TTTCCAATACCGGACTCTCGTCGAGCAGCAAACTCGGATGAAACCCGCGCCGATTGCAGCGGCACTTTCCGCAATCAGCTTTCCCTACCCTGTGGTTGGAACTACGCCTCAAGCAAACCTGGCAGCAGCTTCATCCCAAGCGAGTCAAATGAATGTGAAGCTTCAGGACATGGTGAACGTACACGATTTGGGGATTCACGATGTGAAGTGGCGACCGACGACGACCAGGGTGGAGCCCACGGATGATTACCAGTTTGAGACCAACGCAGGCATCTACGTCGGCGGGCAGATGGACGTATTTGAGTTCGGGAAGCAGTATGTGACCACGACGGAGAACGAGAAGATGAAAAGCGGAGGGGAACAAAGAGTTCTTGGAAGTGCTGAGGTAGGTCTTGCGATGACTGGTGAAGTACAGAGAACTTCCGGTCGGCACGACCTTGCAACTACAACTTCTGCAGGACGAGCTGCAGATGTTTCTGCGGGCACAGCAGCTGTACCGAAAGCTAAGGCACGGCATCAGAAGCAGATCCGGAGCGAATCCTCCCCAGACTTGACAAAATCGATTTTAGAGGATATTGTGGAGGTGGGAGATGGAGGACTTCCTGGACAACTTGCGGAGGAAACCAGCAGCACTCCGGGAGGTCACGTGGCTGAGGGCGACTCAAGCAAATCCCAAACTTCTTCGAAAGAAGTGAGAGTGGATATGGCGTTCTCAAACATTACATTCTCAACTGTTACATGATTTGTAATGCAAATTTACAAGCAAGATCGCCACGATTAAGCTGCTTCGCATGACAAATCTCCGAAGGGCCAAACAGCAGCTGAATCTGCGCCAAATCTGTGATGCAAAAGGCGCAATCTTTCCCCTTTCACTTTTGCCGTTCTTGCATTGCAAATTCATGTAACAGTTGAGAATGTAACATTTGAGAACGCCATAGTGGAGCAGCACCAGGCTGGCGGCGACAGCTCCTCCCGGGCGTCGTCGAAAGAACGAGCAACCAGTAGACCATTTTTACCCGGAAGCACAGGAGTAGACCAGCTGTCCAACCAAAGCTCACCGGTTCTTGTCAACCAGCGGGTCCGTCCTAACCAGCAGTTCCCGCCACAGGAACCTTCTCCTACGACAAGCTACTCCACCGAGGGCACCGCCGGGACAACCCCGGCGACGCCGTTGGATGATCCTGCGATCAACAGCAGGCCACAAATGCCACTGAACATCCCCGCGGCGCACGTGGAAGTCGTGGCTCCATCCTCGTCTCGCGGGCCGCCGATTTTACCCGAGTCGATTTTGAGCGTCGGGGTCACTTCAGACTTGGACCAGGCGGACTTAACTTTGACGGATCAAGACCAGGATCAATCGAACACAACTCTGACAGCTTTTTCCGCGTCTTCATCGAAGGAGATGACCACTAGTAGTCGGAACAACTCGAAAACGAACCAAATTGCCGGTAATATTGTGATATGCATTGCAAAAGTATCGTACTAGTATAAATCGCAATACAAATTTCTCCAGAAGGAAAAATCGAATTTGTAATGCTGATTTCGCTAAGAAACAAGATTTGTCATGCATGATTGCAATTAGTACGAGTGCGATACTTTTGCACAGGATATGTGAGTAGAACCACTGGAACGACGCCCGTGTCTAATCAGAGCACTTTGAACCAGGAGGAAGCAAAGGAAGCCTTGAAGCAGTTGTCCGGTAACACCACCGTGGCAGAACAATACCGCAAGAAAAAACCGTTTCACTGTGAACTTGTGATGCAGAAAATGGAACACAGAAGTATTTGTCTTGCTACACCTGCAAGGCATGGGAATTTCAAGCGTGTTTTCCCTTGGGAAACGCACATGACAGGTTTTTAGTCTCATGTGTAAGAAACTTGTGATGCAGATCTTGCAAAATCATCACAGTGAAGCAGTTTTTTCGTGGGATAAACAAGGGACGCTCAACAATACTGGCGGGGCGTTTGGTGCTTCAGCTTCTACGAGGGGAAAACTTGTGCAGAACAAGCCGCCACTGAGTAGTGCTGGAGGAACAACTTCTGCAGGCCCTAGTACTACAACTACTTCCGGTTTGCCGCCCCGTGGCCCGCGCAGCACCCCGACAGGTTTGCGGGTTCATATGAGTGACAGCGGGCTGGCGTTTCCCTACAATGGATCGGCCTCTAATTCCCTCGGCGGCTTGCAAAGGCAAGCCTCTGGAAGTACGAGAGCAAGTGTCCATCACCAGCATCACCAAGTCGATTTGCTTACCGCGAATCAAACTTTGACCCCACTGCACGCGAGCGGCGGAAATTCTTCCTCCACGGCGAGACGATCCGCGTTGAAGCGGTCCGCAACTAACCAGCCCGCGGACTTGCTCGCTCCCTCGCCCTTTGCCGCGCAGAGCCGCGCGTTTTCCGATGCGTTTTTTCCCTTTCCGGGAGAAGTATACGGAACAGGTGCTAGTCAGGACACGAACATAGGGAAGAACAAACCTTCGGTTACAAAAACGGGCAGTGGCTCTGGAGCGTCGAATCAAATCACGCCCAGCGGTTCAAATGAGAACATGATGCTTGCTGGACAACAACTGCATTCCTCCGCGTCCTCCGCCCCTTTTACCGCGGCGATTAGCGGCATGGTCGTAACCGCGCACCCCAGCCTGTCTTCCGCAGCTTCGGGGAGTGGGCTGAATAGCTCGCGAGGAAATTTGGACTCGTTGAGTGGGAGCAGGGGGACAAACAGAATCCCCTCGACAACCAGCCCGAGTCCGGCGACTTTTAATAGTGCGGCGAGTTCCACCGCCGGTGGGTTTTTGAAGCAGTCTGGTCCTGAATCTAGCACACAATTGGAAATCCGAGAACTGTCCACCGGCGATACGGTCAATTTGAGTTCCTCTGCCGCCTCAGAAGATGTTGCGACAATAAAACGAACTGAGACGTCCAGCGGAGTCCTCGTTGCGACGGGAAATAAACAAGCGACCAAGCCTGCGACTTCCCCAGGTGCAGCTGGTGGCACGACTGGCGCCGCGAAAGCTGGTCAAAAGGGGAAGAAAACACCCCTTGCTGCGATTCAGACCAGCTTCCCGAGTTGTACTAGTACTGCACAGGATGCTGGCGCAGGAAGATCATCTCCACTGCAGGAGTCTCTACCTCTACCTCCTGCAATGCAATCAGGCATGAATAACCGGAGGGCAGTTTCGCATCAATCCACACCAACTTTGCAAGAACATCAGCAATATGCATTGCAAATATGTCTGGGTCTGGAAACTTGTGATGTTGAAGTGTGGATGACTGAAATACTTCCGAATGCAGCCAAGCATGACAAGTTTGCCGCACACTTTCGCATGCGCAGTCAGCATGAGAAGCTGCGCTTTTGTAATATGACAAAAGAGGGCGTCTTTTTGCTAGTCATGATGCAACACAGATTTTACAGGAATGCAGGACTAGCATTACAAGTTCCATTCTTCCAGACCCAGACATATTTGCTATTGATAAGCAAACTTTATCTCATGGATCATCAGCCAGCGGCGCTGCAACAGGAAGTCGAACAGGCGGGGCACCTCCTGGTGCAGTACCACTTCCGACTTCTACCACCGCTGCTCGCCGCACTACTTCCAAACCAGCTACTAAACCGGTGCAACAGTACAGGAAGTTTTCCAATGTCAAAGAGCAGCAAATCCAGCAACAGTTCGAATACCAGAAGGAGCGCAAAGCGGCATTAGCGGAGTTCATCGCACAAAATGGGCCGATTTCCCCGGAGACTTTGGAAGAATCCGAGCGTTGGCTCGCGACGCGTTTTGAAATTACGAAGGAGAATCCGAATTACTTCAAGAAAGCCAAGCTGTTGTCCCTACAAGCCTTGTGGTCGGTGTTACATTCGCCACCGTTGCTGCCGATTTTCGTAGAACGAAAATTAAACGTCCGCTCAAGTACGAGAAGCGGGAAGGGGTTTAGAGATTCCATGCTGGGAAAAAAATCCGACAATTGGTCCTGCGTCGCGGCGAACGCAGAACAATTCCGAACTCTAGACGAAGAGGGCAAGGAACAGCCGGTGGTGCAGTCGCACTGTAAAAGTAGACAGCTGTTCGAAGATTTGGTTGGAACAAGGTTGGTCTGTGGGATGCAACTGTTCCGATCGACGGCCATTGCGGACCAACAAGTCATGTACAACGCTGGGGCTGTATCGCAAGAAAAAACTGTTTCGCTGTGAACTTGTGATGGATAGAATGGAAGACAGAACTATTTGTCTTGCCACACCTGCAATTCCTCGTCTCTTTACCGGTGTTTTCCCTTTGGAAGCGCGCATGCCAAATTTTCTGTGTCATGTGTAACAAACTTGTGATGCAGATCTTGCAAGATCATCACAGTGAAACAGTTTTTTCGTGGGATAGGCTGGTGTGACGAGTGGTGGAAATAAAACCGGGACGGCTAATATGTCCTCAAGTGGTGCCAACATCATCAGTGCAGGAGGTAGTAGTTCTACTGCGAGTCCAACAGCGATGCAAATGCTAGGACCTTCATCGGGAGCAGGTGCGGCCGCTGCTGCGACATCAACCACTGCGGGAACAGGCTCAGCGTCCGCGGTAAGTGGCATGTTGCCGAAGCACGGCTCGAGTGCGACTTTGCATCTACCTGGCAAGGATCATGCCGGCGGTGGTCCACCTCTCGGGGGACATCATCAGTCCCAGTCGGCACTTACCTCTATCAACCAGCATCAAACCACTACCACCACCACGACGACTACGATCACGAAGTCGAATTTGGTGGTTTGTAACTGGGACCACAATTGGGAACTGATATCCTGTGCAGAAGTATCGTGCTCGTACTAATTGCAATCATGCATGACAGATCTTCCTTCTTAGCGAAATCAGCACTACAAATTCCATTTTTCCTTCTGGAAAAATTTGTATTGCGATTTGTACTAGTACGATACTTTTGCAATGCATAACTGAGCTACAGCGCTAACACCGATCAGATTTTCATCACGCAACACGACAGGAAGCACCCAACCTCTGTTGTTTTCACAACTTCGAAAACCACGAAAACGTCGTCAAAAACCACGACAATGAAAGTCTCGACAAGTAGTGGCACTTCTGCATCTGTGGGTCAACTGCAGAACAGTCGAAGCTCAACTACGGGTGGCGCGACGAGGCTAGCGACCTCGAGCTTGAAAAACAAGCATACGGCAGGCACGTATAATTTGTCTTCTTCCCCCCGACTTGTTTCCGGTTCGAACACAATATCGTCGGATCCAGCAAGGGCGAATTCCAATTTAGCGACAGCTGGATCAAGCACGACACCGAAATTGGTGCTATCGCAGACGAATTCGTCGTCAAACACGTATCCGCCGCGAACTTCTACGGGAGCAAATGCGCTGTCCGGCGGCGCTACTGGTCATCTTGCGGCTGTCACCCCGACGAACGCGCAAACCTCCAGAGGGCTGCTGCACCAGCTGGGCGTCGGCGGCACAGGAGGCGCTTCTTCCTCCTCTCGTCGGGCGGTGCAGGGCGAAGGGCAACAAGTTTCGCCTGATGTGCATGAAAATTCGCATATCCTGAGTAAAAACGTCCCCACCCCATAGTCAAGATGGGAAATCTGCTAGACAAATCTCCAAGTTTTGGGAGTTGCGCATGACAAGTTTGCCTCTGCAGCTTCGTGCTGGTTAGCAAGGGAATCTGCATGAGGGAGCCGCTTTCTCATCCTGTTTACAGCATTACAAATTCCAAAACACGGTTGGAAATGCAAATGCCTTACATGGAGCCGCGCATTACAAATGTTCCTGTCGTCGCGCACTTGCACGACAACTCTGGGGTGGGGACGTTTTTACACAGGATATCGCAGTATTTGATGAGAAGCACTGCTCGTACTTCCGCCAGCAGTTCTACCAGCGGGGAGGTATCCTGTGCAAAAGTATCGTACTCGTAGTAATCGCAATCATGCATTACAAATTTTTCTCTTAAGGTAAATCCGCATGACAAATTTCATTTCTCATGCTGAGGAAATTTGTCATGCATTTATACGAGTATGATGCTTTTGCGTTGCATAGGAGGAATTAAATGTCAATTTGGATTTGGTTACACGAAATTTAGACCAGGAACAACTCCGGAGACTGCAACAAAACATATCTTCAACCAGAGCCGGCGCTGGTGCACATGAGGATGATAGGAGCTCGCATTCCGGTAGTCTTGGGGAAGATAGGACGAAAGACCACTCCGCGACGTCTTTAAGCTTTGGTGGGTTGCAGCAGCAACCACAAGGTGGTGCGTCTGCTTCTGCGATTTCGAGTCCCTCCGGAGCTGATATGAACGCTGTAAACCTGTTGAATCAAGAGGACGATTCTTTGTCCAGGTCAAACGAGCTGTTATGAAAGCCTCAGAAAGGAAATTCTCAAAGTGGAAATAATTTGTAGTGCATGGAATGCTACACCAAAAAAACTGTATTGCAGAGAACGCAATGGAGGCCGACTATTGTGCTTCTACGGGTCCAGAATTGGGCTGCAGATTAGCACGAGAGAAGGGCACCCCTTTGCCTCACTAGCATGACAGACACGCTTTGAGTGCCCAAGAAATTTGTCATGCGCCGACTAGAAATGGTGCTTCAACTGGTGTCGTTTTTTTTGCATTACAAATCATTTTCACTGTGAGGATTTCCAACCTGAGGCCTTCATAGCTGCTGCAGATGAACGAGGAGACACTAAACTCGGCGGGAGTTTTAGAACCCGACAGACGTAGCAGCAACAACTCAACCAGTGACATCGGAGGTGCTGGTGCACAGAATCTGACCCCTAATAACGCGACTTTAACGAGTGTTAACGGAGGTACGGTTGGAGGTATGGTAGCAGGAACTACGACAGGAGGTGTTCCATCTGGCGATGCAAGCACTCTGAACAGGGTCGCGAGACCGGAGGGAAGTATGATCGCGGAGTCGCAAAGCTTGAGCATGTTGGGGGGCAGTCAGAACGGAAACAGCAACAGTGGGATAGCAGCTAGTACACAGCAACATCTTGCTCATGGTGCAACTGCTCCTGCTGCGACCCAGCCCCAAGTCTCATCTTCGCGGACAAGAATGCATCATGGGGGAGCTGCTGCAGGAACAGCAGCGCCTGATGGATTCACCAGGTTACGGAAGACCGCCGGAGTGGCCGCAGTTTCGTCTGCCACAACCTCAAGCCTCCGGCTACCGCAATCAACATCCGTGATTGCAGCCGCGCAACATCACCTCCCGGGCGAAAGAAGCAAAACCGATTCGAAAAACGAAAGCGCAAAAGCTGCGCATATGCATCGCAAATATGTCTGCGTCTGGAAACTTGTGATGCGGGTAGGACAAGAACCATGAGGACGCGTTAATTGGCAGCGCAGCATGACAAGTTTCTGAGTACCTACGTGTTGTGTATTCTGCATGACAAAGCGCGTTTCTGCATGACAGAAAAGTGGTCCTTTCGGGTAATGTGCATGACAGGCTTTGGAGTCATGCTGGCCTTTGCATGACAAACCTTTACCTTGGACTCTTCCAGACCTAGACATGTTTGCACTTGATAGCGCAGCACACAATGCGGTTCTCCGCGTCTGCGTCGGACACGGACAGAAGTCCGAAGTTGGCGAAGGAGCATAAGGCGTTCTCAAACGTTACATCCTCGACTGTTTCTGTTACATGATTTGTAATGCAAAATTGCCTTCAAAATCGACACTATGAAGCTGCTTCGCATGACAAATTCTTAGAGGGCCATCAAACAGGCTGACAATCGGTGCCAAATTTGTCATGCAGGACGCGCAAGATTCCCCCTAGCACTTTTGCCATTCTTGGATCACAAATTCATGTGACAGTTGGGAATGAATGGAACAGTTGAGAACGCCATAGAGCAAAAACAGCACGTCGACGACATCGTGGTCAGCTACGAATTATGAACTGCAAAAGTATCGTACTCGTATTGCATTCATGCATATACAAATCTTTGCCTTAAGGTAAATCAGCATTACAAATTTTATTTCTCATGCTGAGGAAATTTGTAATGCATGTATACGAATACGATACTTTTGCACAGGATACGAATACGTTCTCCGTAGGTCGATCTTGCGAGTGTTGCAGAAACGCGCGTACATGTACAATGAGAGCAAAATAAATGACCACCATTCGAGCAGTCAGAGGGGTAGCAAAATCGGCATTGGCGGTGGTACAACCGGCGGTGAGGACCTGGTTGCCGGCGTCAATTCTACCGTTAACAACAAGCGGGGTAGCAAGGCGAGCGCCATCTCGGAAGAACCTGGTCTACTTATCAAAAGGAAAAATCCCCCCACCCCATATTGAAAAGGTAGGTTTTCGAAAATTTGTGTTGCTGATTTGAGGTCACAAATCACGTTTGTGTTGCAAGAAGACAAGGGCAGCAGCTTCCGTCCCATTATGGAGGCGGTTTGTCATGCTGTTGAGCCAACACCACGGACGCTTTTCATGCTATGCGCCTAAGTCAAAGCCTCTCTGCTCAGGCTTGATATGGGTCTGCAGTCCTCTCCAGCAAGACAGATATGATTTGCGTACTCAAATACAGCAACACACATTCCGCTTTCGATATGGGGAGGGGGGATTTTTCCTCACAATACTCCTTGATCCTACTGCTACAGATTTTGCTCCGCGGAGGCCTCAGGGACAACTACACGGAAATAAAATCGTACGACCGCCGCGTGGTGTAAAGCCAGAGGGCGCGGCAGATCCGATGTCCCACTCGTGGACGCGGCAAGATTACGGCAATGATCCGCGCTATAATGATCCAGCAGGTTTGCAGCAGCAGCCTACCAGCCAGTTCGTGAATGTCAGCTCTGGATCAGGAACTACCGGCGCGTCAAGTCCAAGCGCGGATAGCATGCTTCCCTCGCCAACGCCCACCCCGGGGTCTTACCAAGAATCCGTTTTCCAGAACAAGTACGGCGGTGGAGGCAGCAGCAGTAGCCCAAACAGCGCGGGGACGGTGTTTACCGGCGACGAGAGCGGTGCGCATTTGTTTCATCAGCAGGAGGACAACATCAACAATTGGATGAATACCTCAAGAACCCAAGAAGGAGGGGGAATGATCGACGTTCCTGCTCCACAAGGCAGCTGCAACAGCAACACCAATGGCGTCGCCCTTCGCGGCAGAGGTAGCAGCTACAAAAAAGAACCTTACTACGCCCACAATTCCTCCACCGAACACTTCTACTTCCGCTACGAATACGACAATTTGCGCGGTCTCACGACGAAAATTGACTATGTGAAACGGGTATCAAATGCAAAAATGTCTGGGTCTGGAAGGATGGAACTTGTCATGGTAAATCTGAAGCATGCAAAAATCTGTGTTGCATGAGTGCCAAAAGCTGTAAGCTTTTGTTCAAGTAGTTGGAAGGGAGTTTCTCATGCAGGATAGGCATGGCAGAGACCTCGCAGAGTCTGTCATGCTAAGTCCCGCGTTCCAGACCTCACGGGTCATGGAAAATGACAAGTCTACACTTCTCCAGACCCAGACACTTTTACACTTGATAACGGGAATCGTGGACGAATCAGAAACGCGTTTTCTGTATCAAATGCAAATATGTCCGGGTCTGGAAACTTCTGATGCTAAAATGTGGATGATCGAAACAGTTCCGAATGGGACCCAGTATGACAACTTTCCGGAACGCATTCTCATAGTCAGTCAGCATGAGAAACTGCGTTTTTGTAATGAGAAAAGAGGGTGCGACTTTTGATGTTGGTTATGCAATACAGATTTTCTAGGTATGGAAAGCTAGCATTACAAGTTCCAACTTTCCAGACCCAGACACATTTGCATTTGACTTTCTGCCAACCGGACGTCATCCCGTGGAACACAGTGGACCAAATCGTGTCCCAAGCACACCCTTTGCCATATGGCGTTCTCAACTGTTACATTCTCACCGATTACATGGATTTGTGATGCAAGAATGGCAAAAGTGAAAGGGGGAAGGTTGCGCCTGTAGCATCACAAATCCCGAACAGATTTAGGTGCTGCCTAGTAGCCCTTCGCAAATTTGTCATGCGAGGCGGCTTGGTCTTGTGGATGATAATGGTATTTTTGCATGACAAATTCATGCAACAGTTGAGAATGGAACGTTTGAGAACCCCATATGCCAGCAGCGACGCCGGCGTTTTTGTATGAAAAGAATTTCGTCGGCAGTGACGGCGACCTACTTGGAGAGGGTGCTACGTCGCGTGCTGTTGCCTCCAGCTTGTCCCTTGCCAGTAAGAAAGCCACCGAGCAGAATTTTCCCTGGTATCGACTCCGCTCGGTGCTCCGGTCGATTGTTTTTGTCCTTGTCCCGATAAACGAAAAAGACAAGCTGGAGCAGCGAAAAGTGAAAAAGAAGTTAACCGTGGGGGAGTGGCCGTTCGCAGCGTCTGTGTCAACAACATCAGGTGGAGCTGACGGGGGTGGTAAAAATACCAATAAATTTCAAGAGCAAGAAGGCCACCAGAACATCAAGACGCATCAAAATTCTACTAAACTCGTCGACGACGCCTACTCTCTCCACAGCAACTACCCCCAGACGAAGTCGATTCCCGCGGCCGTTCAAGAGTACAAAAGGAGGAAGCGGTTGATCCGGAAGTTTGATTCGTGGAAGAAGCAAGTCGAGCACTATTTGTACGCAAATGCGCCGAAGTATGAATTGCAAAAGTATCGTACTAGTATAAACGTGCAATGCAACTTGGCTCAGCGTTACAGATTAGATTTGCGATGCGGAATATCTAATGCATTAGTGCAGTTAAGTAGTACGAGCGCGATACTTTTGCACTGCATACGAAGAAGAAACCGTCAATCCTCGCCGCGTCGAATCCGGCTTTGAGGGAAGAGGAAAGTCGGTATTCGTTGCCGATTTCTGTGCCGAAGGTGTATGATGAGGATGAAGCGATTTTTCATTTTACTGCGGAAGATGATGAAGCTTTCGATCACCAGGAACAGCACAAGCAAGACTCGTCCGCCGCAGGAGGTGTACGATCTTCTGGAACAATAGTTCCTCCGACCCACCCTCCCCTAACCGAGAACCGTCTCCGGTCAGCGACGACGGGCACGGAAGGCACGATTGGCAGCACGACCGTGCTGAGGAGCGATGAGGAGGAGGAAGAATTTGAGAAGGGCAAACCACAAACGATATACAGAATCGGCTACAGTACGAAATCTTCGAAGATTACAAGACAGACTGCGAAGATTCCGGTTCGGTGGATGCGAACGTGGCACAATATCCAGGTGAGTTCTACTGCTGCAAAGGGAGGAGGTCATCCTCAAGGGACAACTACAACAACTTCTAGGGATCAACATCGTGCAGCTGGGGGTGTTGGAGACCCAAATCTTCAGGGGCAAACTTCCCCCACGGCGTCTTTACATTCGAGCACTGGTGGCGCCGCCTCCGGTCGATATGTTCCCGGTGGTGCGGCGACTGGAACTACGCATCAGCGTGGTGCTTTTGCTGCGGCAAGCGCGGCGAACAACGGTGTTCCAGCATCAACCCGACCAGTCCCACGAAAACAGTATTAAATGCAAAAGTGTCTGGGTCTGGAAGAGTGCAGATTTTTGTCATGCTGTTTTTGCATGACACAAAATGTCTGTCATGGAAGCCCTAGCATCACAGATTTCGAGAAGCTTCCGCACTGCTTAATCCGTATGACAAATCCCCCATTTTGGTGACAGGAAGCGGGCGCCTTTTGCTGCCTATGCATGAGAGATTTATCTGTGGTGTGAAATGCGCATCACAAGTTCGCATGCTTCCAGACCCACACATATTTGCAATGCATAAACAGCCAGCGTCTACTACAAACGAGTGGATCCAACTGCAGCTCGACTCCCACTACCACCCGGACAATCCATTTCACTTGTCCCTAGAATGGATCCTCTGCAGCAACATCTGCGCAGCGAAATTCACGCTGTTTTTGGTCAACTCCGCCTCAGATATGAGAGTGTCAGGATCGAAATCGTCAAAGTTGAAATACTAGTTTGTCATGCATATAGATGGATGCCAGTTGGAACCCAGTTTCCAAATGGCGTATGACAAATTTTGGCGGTCCCTAAATCCAGTTTGTCATGCTGCTTAGGCAAAGAAGACTGATTTTCTCATGCTACTTTAGCAGCTCGAGCTCTAGCCCCAAGCAGGCTTACAATCGGCCTCACTTGCCTGCTCTGCAATGCACGCGCCTCGCGTCATGCATTTTATGCATTACAAATTATGTAGACTTTGACGATTTCGATCCTGACACATCCATATCAGAAAACGGCTTCCTCCTCCAAACCGTCCCGCACTCCCAAGTTTTCCCGCAGCTATGGCGTTCTCAACTGTCACACTCTCAGCTGCTACATGAAGATGAATTTGCAATGCAAGATGGCGACAGTGAAAGGGGAAAGATCGCGCATTTTGCATTACAGATTTGCCACAGATTTAGATGCTGCTTAGCCCTTCGGATATTTGTCATGCGAAGCAGCTTAATTGTTGCGATCTTGGTGGTAAATTTGCATGGCAAACCATGTAACAGTTGAGAACGCCATAGCAGCCGAGCCAGCGGTGTGCGGAGAAGTTTTTCAAGCAGCTGAACAAGCTGAAATACGGAACGGAGGAACATTTAGAACTGATAAAACTGAAACAGCAAAGGGACGAGCACGAACAGGAGTTAGCGAATATGGAAGTGATGCAATTCCTCTTCACCTCGAAATCCTCGTTCTATTTGTTGCGGAACTACATGCAGAAGCAGGTGGAAGATTTGGTTTACAAAAGACCGCCCTTTTTCCACAGGTTGGGGATGCGGATTCCGGTATGGCGTTCTCAAATGTTAAATAATTCTCAACTGTTACATGGATTTGTGATGCTAAAACAGCAAAAGCGAAAGCGGGAATATTGCGCGTTTTGCATTGCAAATCTAGAACGTAGTACCGTGCTGTTTAGCCATTGGAGAATTTGTCATTCGAGAACACCTTGATGGTGCGGCTGCTTATGGCAGTTTTGCATGACAAATCATGTAATAGCTGAGAGTGTAAACGTTTGAGAACCCCATATCCGGAGAGGATCGGGTACGCAGCGCTAGTGGAAATGTTGTTGTCGCCACCACTGAATCTACTGTTGATTTACAACTATGGGGCGACAAGTAGTTCTTCTAAGAGCGGGAGCGGAAAATCTGCAAAGGCAGCCTTGTTGCCATCTGCTACTTCTTCGAAGACGGGTGGCGACCTGCTATCGCAAAGTAGGTCTCGAAGCGGTCTCCCGACGACCAGCATTACTGGTGTCGCTGGTGTGCTGCGAGGGACATCCTCGGTGGTACAACCTGTATCATACGGAGAGCGAGTAGATCTCAACATCAACGACCAGCAGGACGACCTTGTGACAGCAAGAGAAACTTTGGAAGTAATCGACACGGATACAAACCAATATGGCGGTGTTGATATGATCGGCGCGAGGGGACGGGAGACGGTTGTCGCGCAGGCTGGTGTAGCTGGATCTGCTGGAGCCCCTGATGTTCCTCTTGTAGCTTCCGGGGGAGAAACAGAAACTGCTGGCCGATCAACTACATCTCCTGCACGAGAACAAGATAACCTCTTTGACTTCGACAACGCCGTGCCCATGCTCGGTGGATTGGACCTGCGACAGCTTACCACCCCAGCACCAAGAGGGACGCAAGCCACACCAGTGTTTGAGGCCATTCGGCAAAACCAGCATTTGACAGACGGAGGGATAATTGTTCAGGGTGTGGATTTGATAAACACGACTTCTACGCCTCCCGCACAAGAACCTGGATTGGTAGATTCTGGAGGACCTTCTGCGGCTCCAGTTGCTGGTCCTCCTGCTAGCGTCGGGAGAGGGGTCGAGGACGATCCAATCATCTCGCGTCCGGACGACGAGTCAGTGTCAGCACAAAATAATGCCTTACAACTCCCAGCCCAACTTCTCGAGCAAGATTTGCAGGACCAGTACTCCACCGGTAATGTCAGTGCTTCTGGATCGAACTCCAAGGAAGTCGTTACCCCGAATGACAGCACGGTGATGTCACTGAATCTAGACACGTATCCATTGCAAATATGTTTGGGTCTGGAAATTTGTGATGGTAAAATGTTCATGACGAAAACGGTCCCTCATGGAGGAGAGCATGACAAGTTTGCAGAACGCTTCCTCATACGCACTCCGCATGAGAAACTGCGTTTTTGTGTGACGAGAGAGGCTGCGACTGTTGTTGGTCATGCAATACAGATCTCACAGGAATGTAAGACCAGCATTACAAGCTCTAACTTTGCTGATCCAGACATTTTTGCAATTCATAACACGCGGACGAACGCAAACATCCAGCAGCTCGACCACGATGGATTGTTTCCCCCGCTACTTAATACGATTGGCGGCAACACCTCTTCAGCGAACAGCAGCACCATTGGTGCGACCACAGCGGGGTTGTTACAGAATCTTCAGACAAACAGCGAAGAACAGCTTTTGGACCAAAAGTTGTACCACTCAGCTATACCGCAGCAAACGCCGGATTTGCTTGTGCCCTTCCGCTCTGCCACGAGCAATTCCAAGCAGCAAATCACTTCCGGCATCTATAATTCTCGAGGACGCACCCGGGAACATCAGCACAGCGCAACTGCAGCTAGAGGCTCCTTCTATGATGACCGGTCCAAAACCGGGGACTTATCCCCGAATAATTCTCCCGCAGCTGGTGTTGGTGCAAGCGCAACACATCACTCGAGTAGCAACAACCTGCTTATCGGCCCCAATAAGGCCCCAATTCTGGAGAAAGGCGACCCGGACATGCCGGGGTGGGTGTTTATGGAGCCGTATGCATCGCAAAAGAAAAAGTATCGTATCTGCAATAGAAATTGCAGTTATACATGACAAATGGAAATGCAATTTGAATTCGCATTACAAATTGCATTTTCTTCCTTGATAAAATTGTGATGAAAAAATTTGTGATGCAATCGCATGCTAGGTACGATAAGTTTGCAATGCATAAGCCGCAGAGCGGGTTGTTTTTTGTCACGGTCACCGCCACGCACGTTTACTGGAATGAATCGAAGTACTGCGGCCGAAGACCGACGAAAAAACTGCCGGACTCGCTGGCCGCGACATACGAGGCAAGAATGGACGCGATGTTTTTGGAATTCAAGAAAGTTCTCGACCGGTGTTACAACGAAAGCAGAATGAAGATGTTGGCGGATGATCATGGGGCCTGCGTCGCGCTGGCCGGTGGGGAGCAAGTAGATTATGCGCAGCAGCAGGAGTTGTGGTCACCGGCAGGTCCTGCACTGCCGCCCATTGTAAATGAAGAAGAGCAGCACGATGGTAAGGTGTTGATACCTGGTGTGGTTCCTCGGGCCGCGCAAGAAAAGTTTTACGATCCACTTTCGGCACTGCGCCTGCCGCCTGAAGAAGCCTGATTATTATGAAACAAGTGCTCGACCTCTTTACAATCGTCATGCTTATGATTCTAGAACTTCAATTCATCAAACTCAATAGTTATCTCCACTTTCTAGCTCTACGGATAGAAAAAGAAATATTATCTTCGACATCGCAAGAGCAACCTATGCGTAACAAATTCGCTCTTCGACAGAAAGCAACAGCGCACGACACCGTACCTATGCTGTGTTTTGAAGACATCTCGTCGGACATGAAAGCGACGCTGCTCCCTGTTGATCTTGATCATCATGGAAGTAGTTTATGGCCACAAGAACGTAGCTTGATTCCTTATCCTTTCTAATTGAGAAGAATCCTGCGAGTGGCGTCTCACTAATATCCTTGAAAGAACGAAACTGCCACGAAGCCGAGTGTTACTGATACTGCGTAACTACAAAGCGTAATACGGCGGCCGGATAGAAGAAGTTGTAATACGGCGGCGGCTGGATAGAAGGAGAATATGAAAAGCGATCGCGCTCCTGGCCTTGTTCTGATGTTGTTTCGGCGATCTTCACAAGTAGAAGTAGAAGTTGTGATGTGGTTTTTCTGGTGGTGGTGGATCGTCCATGCACGCCGCAATGTGCAGGCTCTACCTTTGTGATGATCAAGCGATGAAGAAGATCTTCTAGTACAAGCCGGAGAAGTGCTTCTAGTCATACTCGACGGAGATACAATGGAGAATAAGTACTTACATACTAACTGTAACTTGTTTGCTGTGTTTGTTACATTCGATCAAAAACTGAAAAAGCTCTACTTTGACTTGTTCGCGGGGTTCGATGATGAAGTGCTATTATTAAACGTGTTTGCCAACTGAACACTCCGACATCACGACAGGCATAATGATAGGCTCTTGGACTTCTCGCTCTTGTTTTTCGATGACATTTCCGCTAAGGCTTAGTTGTGCTTTTGGTTTTCTTTCCTCAACGAGGACTTGCATATGCATCAGATGATGGTGAAATAAAAATTTAATTAATTTACTTTTGAACGGAGTTTGTGTTTGTGATGTTGTCAACAAGTGGCTCATCATCTTCTTCAACTTCATCAGACATGAAGTATAATCCTGTTTCATCACGCCGAGACACCATGACAAGGACAACAGCAAGAACTACACGCCCGGGGTCTACAACTAGTACCATCAGGAGCCTATCATCCAGAATGCAGCACTGCAGGGAGATTTTTTCCTTCGCTTGTCTGATAAGCAGCGTCAGCATCTGTGCTGGCATACGATTAAGAACGTCAACGACAGAAGATATTTCCGCGGATTCTTTTCATCCGGTTCTCACCACAGACCAGGATCACGCCGCACAAGAGCCTGATGGTGCAGCCGAAGAGCTCGTGTCGGCAGATGTCGGCACGGTGCAAGAACATTCATCGCCTACCGGCGCAGCTTCACACGGGGCGACGAGAACAAGTCGCTGGGCAGACTTCGTCTCGGAGGATGAGCAGGACGATGAGCCGGCTGCTGGAGGGCTTAGTGCGCCGGATGATGCAACAACATCGCCGAGGACTGACGATGGCCAAAGAAGTGGTCAACAACACATCGGGTGGATGTTGAGCGACGACAATTGGGCGAATCCGAATGCGTATTGCTGGCACAACAACTACAGCACACACGACCCAGCGACCACGTCGGCGCCAGTTACAGGAGAGAATTTTCATGGTCATTACGTTAGAGAAAACTGTCCCCACTACCCCGGTTTTCCCCAAATCAAAAATTTTTTTATGAACTGATGCAACAACACGGCCACCGGCCGCGCAGCCCGCCCGGATAGTGTCCGCTAGTGGATCTTCTTCACGGATACTTTCTGAGGCTGTTACGTATGCAATGGAGCAAGCGGGATAGCGGCGCGCAAAAGTCGGCGCATGAGCTGACGGGGCAGCAAGCTTTGTGGATGTGTGTAGCTACTTCGGCCCCATCCGCGCGTGGGCTACTGCAACGCGGCCCCGCCACACTGGCCGCGCCCAACTTCTGAGGCTCCGGCCTCACCGTTTCCCTGGGGGTCGTGCATGCGTACCTTTTCGGGAGGTTTCTGGTGCTCGTTTTGGTGGCCGAAAGTGCGTAGATAGCTGCTTAGGGCCGAAATCCCCAGCATACGTTTTTTTTCTCGCCAGCGTGTCCGAACATGCACTCAGGGAAACGGTGCCGGCCAGCCTCAAGCGGAGAAGACAGGTCCGCGGCAAGGGGCATTGCGTTCAGCCTTAGGTGGCCGGGGGGCGGGTCTGGCATGGGCGCCTTGCCCAGGGCGCTGCCTCGCGGGCCCCGAGCTGCTTGCGCCCCAAAAAGCCGGGCAAGGCGTGCAGTGTCTTTGAGTCCAGCAACACACCTGGGGGAGCGGGCTTCGGTCTGGCCATTCGCGGCGCAGGTCGCTTGCGAAGGGCCCGCCCTGCTTACAATTGGATCGAAAAAAAAAAATTGTCTTTGGGGAAAACCGGGGTAGTGGGGACAGTTTTCCCTACCGTAGTCATCAGTGGCAGCAAGATGCAAATCAAGTTGCATCTGAAATGCATCAGCATCACTTCGCAGCCCTTTGTTCATCATCTTCGACACCCTATATCTGCGTCGGGGATCCAGCAAATCTTGGGATGGCCACCGCCGTGCCGATGGTGTTTTACTGCGAGTCCGCCGATATGATGTCCTGCGCGGCGGCGCCGGGAGATTGGGCGGTAGTTCCTAGTGAAACAACAGCACTAGACCACACAACCGATGGAGGGCGCCTCTGGTGGCCGCAATCATTCGAAAATCGGTGGGTGATGGCGCAAGGTCAGGAACTAGAAACACATGCTTACATGGGTCGCCCCGCTGCCGCAAACGAAAATGTAAATATCACAAAGCAACGTGGCACAACTAGTCCGGCTTCTAGTACTTCCTCCGGTGTAGTCTTGCCGTCGAGGTTGTCATCAAAGAGAACAAGTAGTATTAAACGCGACAAACCACGCAACGACTTCGCGTGGAGGTCTCGCACTAGAAACAGCAGCAAGGAAGATGACGCGCAAAGGACTCCTCCCGAATGTGAAGCGAGCGCAAGCACGCACAGGCAAACCGAGAGCCAAACGATGATCCGAAGAATCTCTACTACGTCGTCTGGGTCTGCAGGCTCCTTTTCGTCAGCATCAACTGCAGCAGAGGCACTAGTCTCTACTGCAAGTGCGGAGGAGCTACTGTTTGACGAGCAAGGGACTCCGACTTCTCAGGATTTCGATGTTGTTGGAGCCGAAGGTCGCGATCATGATGTTGGACGGAGCGCAACGAATTCTGCGTCGTCAGGAGCTGACAGCAACACTACATCATCCGCGCGGGAAAGAGATGCTACCGCTGGAGCAGTACATGGGCATGATCAACAACACAGTGGCGGCCCATTCCACGTGCCAAGTCCCGCCCGCCAGAAGAAGAGGGCATTGCAGCGAGAAAGAAAGCGGGCGAAGAGGGAGGCGCTACGTTTGGAAAAACAGACGGACGGTGGTGAGCAGGATGTAGATTGGGAACAACTACAGGCGCAAGAGCCAGTGCGGGAATAGATGGATAGCCGATCAAGTCATTTGTGATTGTTATAAATATCGGGCGCAGCTGCACCTTGCTGGTCGAGCTCGAGCATGCACTTTAGTTTTCAACCTGAGATGTTAGTGAGGCTGAGGTAATTAAAGACGTAAAACATCGATTTGTCAGTGGGGACGTCAGTGGGGAAATAAATCGTTTTTTATTTTTTTGAACCGATTATAAGCGAAGCTTTTGCAATGAAGGTTAACGTGCAGCAGCAGCCCATCCATGTATGATGATGATATACAACGCGTCTTAATAGCGACACTAGGGGAAAAATGCATCGATTGTGGTATTGTATGACAAAGACACAGTAGAGGACTAGAGGTGGACATACCATTTATACGTGTAGACTTTCAGATTCAAGAAGCGTTTTTCTCGATTTTATCTGAAGGTGAGCGGATGAAGACAGAACTTCTAGGAAGTAGCAATAGAAAAAATGCCTGCATTCAAGGTTTCTTGCGGTTTTTGTGCGTAGGCCCTTTCGGGTCAAAGCTCAAGCTCTCTTTTTTGTGCAGTGAGTGCGCAAGAACAAGAAGACCTAGACAAGATTCTTTGAAAACCAGAAGTGAAAGCTGAAAGACATCAGTTGATGAAGAGTATTCGCCTGAACGTTGCTTGTTTTGAGAGGTTTATGCTTTTGCTTTTGCAAACGCAAAGAGTTGTAGAAACCGACTGTACAACTGCAACAGCTTTGCAGTTGGCATTGTTTATCCATCTGGCCAGCCTTGAACCCTAATTCTGCTTCTCGCGCCAGATGTTGCTGGAATTTGTGTTCGTTGGAGTCAGAAAAGCCACGCGTTTATGTCGTGTGGAGCCACTTGCATGGCCCTCATTGGGGCGCGCATCTGAGCAAGCCGCTGGCTGTTGTTTTTCCACAGTTTCGCCGAAACAGTGCAGGTTCCGAGCGGCGCAGGTGCCGGGCGGCGTAGTCGCTGGACTCGGCGCGCCGCCAGGCAACGCAAGCGCTGCCAGCGTCGAAGAAGCGGCAGAAAGTATGCCCGACCTACAGGCCCGACGGGCGCGAGAGTGTTGGGACGCGCCGGCCCGGGCCGGGCCGGCGGGAGCACCGGGCGGGGGCGCTGTGCGAGGTGTAGCAGGAGGGCAGGAAAGCGCCGGGGCCCGCGACCCCGGCCGATAGATGCATCGCAGGGAGGGGACCCCCCGCCGAGCTGGCCGCCCAAGCAAGTAGACGGACCCGGGCGCCGCCGTGCCGATCGCCCGGCGGGCGCGCGCCGTGGCCGCGCGGCAGCGAGCGCGCAGGCATCGAAAAAATTTAAATCGCTGGCAAAACAGTCGGGGAATTCGCTCGACAGTGAAGAAATCTTGAGAATGTTCGAAGGCAATGGCGCCCCGATTCTCAGGGCGGAACTAGTTCGAGGACGATCCAAGCAGGCGGACAGGGTGTGGCGCGTGGTTTTGGGGTCCCGCGTGGCGCGCCGGCATGGTGGTAGTCCGAGCGATAGCGGGCCGAGGCCAACGAACAGCCAGCGCGCCCTGGGTGCGGCCCTAGTTCGTTGGGCTGCCCGCGGGCTTCGGTGGCGCCGGGCGCTATTTTCTGTGGGCGCCGGCAGCGCGCTGGCCCCCCCGTGTGGAGCATGGCGCCGCGGCCATTGCCGCCCGCCCGGGCGGGCCAGTTGCCTGCGTCCTTGCTTGGGTTGGCAGTCAAACCGCCCGCCGGCCCAGCCGGCGCAGCGCCCGCCCCGGTGGGGCGGCTGCCGCACAGCAATCGGACAGGGAGTTTTTCTCAGGTGGAGGAGGGCGCGGCGCCGGAGTCGCTCGAGGTTCGTTGAAACCGTAGACGCGACCTCGGCGGGCCCGCGAAGCCGAGCGGCGACCGCATTAATTTCAAGCGATGCCGCCGGCCCCCGATCCTCTGCCACGCCCTCCGAAGAGGGGGGTGGCCCATTCTTGTCGCCGCCGGCCCCCGCGCTATCAACCTCGCCGGTGGGGCCGCGCTAGTTAGATGGCGGGCGGCCTCGGGCCGCTTCTGTGCGCGCGCCGGCCTGCTTTGATTTGGGCGCGCTTGCTGGTTCGCGTGCCCCGCCCCCGGGGCGCCCGTCCGCCGCCCGCCCTGCCGCCCCCCCTGTGTGCCATCGATCCACCTGCCTCTCGGCATGCTCCAGGTCGGTGAGCCTGCCAGAGAAAGAAGCACAGGCCCGGCCTGGCCGTGTGCCTGCGCATTTTTTCGTGTACCCGCAGGCGACACCACCGGGCGCGCGCGGGGCGCAGGCGCGCGCTCACCCTATGCATGAGCTGCGCCGCCGCCGTCTCGTTCCTTCTGTGATTCCTGTTGCCCAGTTGCTGCCACTTTCAGGCCCGCCGGCCGGCCGCCACCGTGAGCCTCAACGGGATCGGGCCCCAGTAGTCAGAAAAGCAAAAAAATCACAAAAGCCGGAAAATTTTCGCGCTTTTAAATTTTCTCGCGGTTTTTTCAGTTCTTGCAGCCGCTCGCTGGCGTGTTTTCTTTTTCTGGTTGTGTGTCTTGGGTTTGTGGGTTGGGCGAGAAAAGCAGGCGCGGGCGCAAGGGATTGAAGTGGGGCCGGCAGAGGGAGCCCATATTGTCGGTGTGTGTTTCGGGATGGGATAGGGGTTTCGGGTGGGCAAGTTTTGGGTGGGCGAGTGGGCAATTGATTTTGCGACAAAAAATCGACTTTGTTGCGACAAAAAATCTGAAATAATTAAAAAAAATCGACTTTCGGCGGTGTTGTGATTTTTCTTGGGGATTTCAGTAAGAAGCCGAAAAATGTCGCACGGCTGTCGCACCCGTGTCGCACCCGTGTCGCACTCGTGTCGCGCAAAAAATTTTTTTTGGCGCAAATTTATTCGGTGTTTTTCTGTTTTTTCGCCGAAATTGTGTGCGCCCGAACAAATGTTGCGTGCTCGATTTCATGCGTCGAAGTTCTTGGAAAACCCCGGAGCCCACCGGTCCGCAGCTTGCTGGCAGAGCCCCGGCGCTATTTTAGGGCCTGCAGATTTCCCATCGAGCGAGCCCCGGCGGAGTGGTTTGGCACAATAGGGCGGCAGTGCAGAAATTTTTTTTTTTTCGTTTTTCTTTTGGGATTCATGATTTTTTTATTTCCGAGCCCACTTGGGCCCGATCCCGTTGATGAGCCCGGAGTCTGTCGCTTGGCTTGGGCTCCGGGGGTGTGTCTTTGCCAAAGGTCCAGCGCTTGGCCCGCGTCCATCTTTCAGCAGATTCAGATGAAAGAGAGAGGAGCTGCCACCGCTAGTAAGTGCTACGTCAGTTGTCTCTACCGAGAGCGCTGCGCGCTAGCTTCCGCTCCGCCCCCTCCTGCCTAATGTGTGCAGGCGTCGCGTTCTGTTCCACCCGATGAAGCGTTGTCGTGGAGTTTCATTTCGTCCTGCAGTTGTAGTTGTACTACTTAGCGCCACGAGAGCGAGAACGAAGAGGGGGAATGAAGGAAGAGGAGCTTTTACACCGGCAAGCACTAAGCACTTTTACTTACGTTGCAACCAACCAGAGAGAAACAAGAACAGCAGACAGAAAGATTTTCTCGCACACACGTTGCGCAAGCCGGCACAACATTGGCGCAACCGTACAAGAACCCAGAGCACAAAGCCATGACCTCCTGCTACCTCTTCCTCCACGTGGAGGAGTTGAAGACCGAAGTTGCTGGTCACAACGCGTCGACTCCATCCAGTTCCTCCTCCAAACTGAATACGACCGCTTGTGCCAACCGAGCTACAGCAGGCTCCTTCAGCACCACACACAACTCTCCCGCACTGGTCCCGTACGTCCGTGCTCAGTTGCTCGGCGACGTGATTTATGCATTGCAAAGGTATCGGACTACCTAGTATATGCATAAATCTCGTGAAGACAAATTTCCCCCGAATGGAAAATGGAATTTGTCATGCTGATTTGCCTTGAGAACCAGATTTGTCATGCGTATCCGCGATTAGTACGGGTACGATGCTTTTGCATTTGATATGATTCAGTCGACGTTGATCCCAAGCACCAAAATCCTGCAGTTCCGCATCCACAACCCAGAGCAGGATGTTTTGAAATTCACCGTGCACGACGACCAAAGCACAGAAGACAATGACGGCGCAGTGATTGGGCATTTGACCCTTCCGCTGCGCTGCATCACGGACAAGCCGGTGGATATTTGGAGAGTCGATTACCAGTTAGAAACAACGAACTCAACATCGGGTGGTGGTGGAGCATTTTCAACGTCAAAAGGTGGAGGAGCGTCTAGTACTTGTTCATCCAGATCGCTGCAATTGGTCATCCAATATCTCCCGAGGGACTACATTTCGGAATACAGAAACACGGTTATAGGGTTTAGCGCAGGAAATCTTGTTGGCAACAACATTGGGACGGCGCCGGGGAGTAGTACAAGTACTACTTCTTCTATCAACGCGACAAGTTTTGAACGAACCTTGGAGGAATTGAGGAAACATTTCCGGGAAAAAGTAACGACCACTGGCGGCGGTGGATCATCTGGTCGTGGAACATTCTCCTCGTCAACTGCTAGAACATCAAATGGTGCCGCAACTTCTACAACCTCGCTCTCCGCCAAAATTGCTTCCACCATCGCTGCGAGTAAAGTCAGCACGGACGTTATCGTAAGAAAAAACTGTTTCACTGTAAGGATGTTGCAAGTTGTTTTGCATTTACAAGTTCGCTACACATTACAAAGAAAACTTGCCATGCAAGGATCCTAAGGGAAAACATCGCTGAAAATCGCTTGTCTTGCATGTGTAGCAAGACAAAGAGTTCACTGATGCATTTTCTGCATCACAAGTTCACAGTGAAAAAGTTTTTTCTTGCGATAGACGTACCCGCCTCGAGTTTGGTGTCCAAAGACACGAATCCGGTCAGCTCGCCGTCCTACGACCAGTATCTTTCTGCGATGGATGATGTCGAGGCAAACGCGGTCACGAAAGCCTATTCGGGCGGGGCACAGGCACAGCATCTGCAAATAAAGCCGACAAAGCTCCTCCCACTTCCGGGGACGACGACCGGCAAACCATCTGGCACAGCAAACGCTATACCATCATCATCAAGAAACGCTTCCAGAAACGCGAGTCCGAGTAACCATGCAGCGAAGTCGAGGGCAGGTTTAGGTGTAGCTGCCGGTGTATCAAATGCAAAAATGTCTGGGTCTGGAAGATTCCGAGATTTGTCATGCAGTTTTTCAAGCTCCGCCAGGTCTGGAATGCAGGGCCTAGCATCACAGGTTCTGCAGCCCCTTGGTGATGCCTATTCTGCATGAGAAATGCCCTCTCAACATGGCCAGAAGTGGGGACCTTTTGCAAGTCATGCAACACAGATTTTTGTATGATCCGCAACACGCATCACAAGTTGCATTCTTCCAGACCCAGACATTTTTACATTTGATACGGTGTCTCGAGGAACGCCACACCGAAACACAACATCAACAGCAGCTCCTACTTCGTGCAGAGGTCGCAGTCGCAGAAGTCAATCACGACGGGGGCAAATGTTAAGTCTACGACCATACTGGCGTCAGAACAGCAAAGCGAAGCCGCAATCCAGCAGCTAGAGGCCGAGGTGCAGAAACACCGGGCGGCTCTTCTCGAAGCGGGGTATCAAAACCAAGATTTAGTGCAGCAGATTCAGGACTTGAACCAACAGCTCGACTTTGAGATATCCTGCGCAAAAGTATCGCACTCGTACTAATTCCAATCATGCATGACAAACCTCCTTCCGAAGGTAAAACAGCATGACAAATTGCATTTTTGCTTCTACAAAAATTTGTCATGCAATTTCTACGTTGTACGATACTTTTGCAATGCATATGAGACCAGTAACAGCAAAGTCATCATCGAGTCCCAAACGAAAACCATTCTGGTATGACGTTCTCAAACGTTACGTTCTCAACTGTTGCATGGATTTGTCATGCAAAAATACCATAAGCAACCACACGGCCAAGCGGCTGCGCATGACAAATTCTCGAAGGGCTAAACAGCATCTGGGTCTGTGCCAAATCTGTAATGCAAAAGCTGAATAGATGCTTCCTTTCACTTTCGCTGTTCTTGCATCACAAATTCATGTAACAGTTGAGAGCGTAACGTTTGAGAACCCCATATCTGGAGAAAAATTTCGTGATCAAAGACCTGGAGGAGAACGTGGTCCAAACGATGAAGTATGCATTGTAAAAGTGTTGCGCTCGCAGTATTTGCAGCAATGCATGACAAATGGAATTTGCTACCTCCGAAAGCATGACAAGTTGCAGATTCGTTCTGGAGAAAATTTGTCATGCAATTCCTGCTACCGCAATACTTTTGCAATGCATATGAAGGAGCAAGAGAATAATCTGCTAACGGAAACCATCCCCGGATTAGAGGAGAAGATCCGGATTCTCCAGGAGGAGAACAAAACTCACAAGTCCTTCACGAATGACAACCAAGTGAAGCAGATGAGACTCGAAAATGAGGAGAACCAGAAGAAGATCATAAGTTTCCGGAAGTTCGTGGATGAAACAAACGAGAAGTGTATCAAACAAAAAAGTGTTAACGTTATATTGCAAATATGCATGACAAATTCTGCCTAGTATGCATTCTATGCATGACAAACTTGAACGCGCTTTGTGATGCATTACTGCATGACAAATTCCGTCATACGTCAACACTTTTTCCTGTGATAAAGTGCGGCGAGCTGGTGGGGAAAAATCAGAATCTGCTGGACGAGATTTCGCTGAAGGAGAAGGAATTTTTCCTGGAAAAGCAGAACTTTAACACAAACTTGCTCGAGTTGAAACATCTGCTGAAAGAGGAAAAAATAAAAAGCGAGGCGGCGAAAAAGGAACTGACGGATGTGGAGAGCGAGGTATCTACGTTGATTGAAAAACAGTAGGAACGAGCACGACAGCACAGTAAGCATGGATACTGTAATGCGAGAAGTACAATGACCTCTGTGCCTCTGATGTTCTTCCTGCACTTTTTGCAATGTTTGTTTTTATCCTACGTTGCCACGGTGCTAATAGTAATACCAACTTCAAGGTAGAAAAAGCCTAAAAAACTTGTACCAACAGCTCCACTTCACGCGGCAGCGCAATTTAGAGCTGGAAGCGGAAAAAGAAGCGCAGCGAACCATTGCAGCGAACACGGTTTTGGAGGTGGAGAAGTTGCGGGGACTGTTAGCGGGGAAGGCGGAAGAAGTGGATGCGAAAGAGGAATCGATTCTCGCCTTGGAGAAACAGCAGTCTATCCTGGAGCTGTCGATAAGGAAACTGGAAGCAGATAACGAGCAGTATAGACAGAGGGAAAGGGGTTTAGACGCGGGCAGGGCGAAGGAGGAAATGAGTAATTTAAGTATTTACAACTTAGGATGATCTACTTTTGCTATAGCTTTTCTCATGCGTACCTCTGTACAAGTCTATCCCGATGCCGCCGCGAGTGTTGTATCTATTGGACGATCACAATTATAATTTTTGGATTTACCAGCCTCCGCCCTGGACCAGCACCAATTATCCTGTGCAAAAGTATCGTATTCGTATAAATGCATTGCAAATTTTCGCAGCATGAGAAATAAAATTTGTGATGCGGATTTACCTCAAGAAAAAGATTTGTAATGCAAGACTTGCATTTACACGAGTCCGAGTGCGATACTTTTGCACAGGATACCAATCGCAGTGGAACAAGGTTTCGAACGAGTACGTAGCGGATATGGCGCTCTCAACTGTAGTTACATTCTAAACTTTTACATAAATTTGTGATGCAGGAATGGCAAAAGTGAAGGGGGTGACCTTGCACGTCTCGCATGACAGATTCGGCACAGATCATAATGATCTGTGACGTGTTTTATGAGAATGACATTCTCAGCCTGTTTATTGGCTTTCCTAGAATTTGTCTTGCGAAGCCGCCTGATCACGTCGATTCGGCTTGTAATTTTGCATGGCAAGAAGAAATCATGTAAGAGTTGAGAATGTAACATTTGAGAACGCTACAACGGAATTGGAAGCGGAGAACAGCTTGCTAAAACAGCAATTTGACCTCCTGCTCACCGAGCACAAGTCCTTCCTGGCGAAGACGGTTGAGAAGCAGGAAGAGAACGAGAAAAAGGCGAAGGAGACAGAGAAAACCGCGAAGGAGAAAGATACGGAACTACTGAGATTAAGAGTATGCAGCGCAAAGGTATCGTACTAGGCAGGAACCGCATACGCATTACAGATGTTCTGAAGGACAAAAAAGCAATTTGTCATGCTAGTCCAGGTAGAGAGTTGCATTTGTCATGCATGATTGCAATTACTACGAGTAGCAGTAGCTAGGCACGATATTTTTGCGATGCATAAAGAGAAACGAACATTAATTTGGAAAAACTAGAATCGGAGTTCAACGAGGTGGTGAAGAAGCAGCAACTCCCCGACTTGCAGAAAAAGCTCATCGACTTGAAGAACCAGTTGCAATTTTCGCAGAGCTACTCGGACGAATTAGTGAAGAAACTCAGGGACTCAAATGCGAAAAACGACGAACTTCAGACGGAGTTGGAGTGCGATAGGAAGAAATTCGCTGTCGAATTGCGGGAGAAGGACGGGAATTGCAGTGAAATCGGCTTGAAGTGTGCGGATTTGGAAGACAAATTGCAGCGGAGCATGGCGAAGGTGCAGATTGATACGTGCCGCCATCCTTTGTTGTCTGAGATTGCATATAGTTGTTTTGGACTTTGTTTATGGTTTCATCGTCGATAGATACCCCCTGCCGCAGAAGTCTTCTCCTTCCCTTTTCTTTGCCTACGAACATCAAAAAACTACTTATTAGGTCCAACACCTCGTCTCGACCAAATACACACCCCACCCGCACGACATTATCGACCAAACGCTCGCGAAGTGGATCCAGGGCTTCGAGCCGGCGGTCCCGTTTTTCCGCGTCCAGCAGGGAGTTTACTTGTTTGGAAAACGGCAGGTCAACGTGCAGATCAACAACGAGAAGCCGGTCTTCCGTGTGGGCGGCGGGTTTTTACCGTTCGAGCAATTTGTGGAAAAATTTGAACAGGAAGAATTGGAGAAGTGGTTTTTGAACAAGGAGCAAGTGTTTGGAAAAAATCTGCAGTATCGGGAGCAGCTGGAGAACATAAAAATGCAGGACCACGCGAGCAACTACGTCGGAAGCTGTGGAGGTGATCGTGAGGGAGACGATAATCATGTCTACTTCTCCTACCCCGAAAAACACCAGCGCGAGTTCATCACGGCGTCCCAGCAGCATCCTGTGGGGGTTCTGCCTCCGGAAATGGTAAACTACAGTGACGAGGAAGGAGGGGAATACTATGAGTATGGCAGCAGGGAACAACTACACCAACACGGCGGCTTCTACGAAAGTGGAGGGCTTTTGGTGGAGTGACATGTGGAGTTTCGCGATGCTCCTTGAGAGCAGATCGCAGGAGTTGGACCGCGGCCCACTACGATCTTTACTAAAGACGCTTTTAGGCAAATGCCCCAGGAGAGTTCTTGTAGAATCAGAAAAGAAATGGGACAAGGATACTAGACAAAAAAATGACTCGCACAATATTGTTGATCATACGAATGGTACACCATGATCATAAAAATGAATTAATGACTTTGCTTTATTTCGAATTATGTTTCACATGTATCACTACCTTCGATAGTACTATTCAACGCAAACATCCAACGAGGGTATACATGGTATAATTAGGGATATCGTCACGAAGAAGGAGTCACACAAGACGACACGAGTCTCAGCGGATGACTGTCAGACGACATCACCTCGCTGAGGAAAAAAGTTGAAAAATCGTAGTGACTGTATAATTGGGCAATAGATTCCATGTATGATGTGGACGATTTTTCGCTGCATTCGTAAAATGAAAATCGACAATGAAAAGGGATAAGAGCAAAGACGTCCTCCGCTCAGGAGATTTCTTGTGGACAGCAAGAACGCGAGGAAGGGTCTTGAGGATCCGTTGTGCTCGTGGAGCCAAAGAAGTTGTTGGGGAGAAGTCTGCGTCCGAGTACAGCAATGCATGTTGCTAGCTAGTAATGCGTCAAGAAGTCACGACGTCGGCCTGATTTTTGACGACGAGCTATTCTTTCAAGATCTGAATCGGGGGCACGCCATGGCACGGTTCATTTTTTTCTGTCGACAAGTCATACATGAATGTAAACGTAAACGTATCGATACTCCCACCGATGCTGCTCTTGAACATAAAGTGTCGGCTCTTACTTGCTTCTTCAGTCTACTACATGCGACTTGCTAGTACACTCGTCATTTTGGCCTCTGTAGCAACCGCATCGGAAATACAGCTATGTGTTGGCGTTGGGAAGTGTCTCTTGCGTTCTCCTCCTGGGAGTTTGCTGTTGCCAGCTACCTGGCATTCTACCGAAAACGCGACCAGCGGGAACTGCGCTACGCTTGGTTTTTGATGTCGATTGGTGTCATGGAAGCGTTGCAGGGTTTGCTGTGGTTTTTCGCCTTAGATTTTGAACGGGATAAGATCTTTGGCCCAATAAACTATGGGCTGTCAGCGCTTTCACAAGGACAAAGCCACAGGGTAGAAACCGAAGGTGGAGTACAGCGCCCCAATACCGACAGTCACGCCCATGGTGAACAGCAATACGGAGCAGACGACAGGAGCACCGGGGTAGCTTCTTCATCTTCAATAACCAATGTGGCGCTTTCGATCGGGATCTGGGCTGCGGCATGGATTTTGATACCCTGGGCGGTGTGTGATTTTGCGGCAGACGAGGAGGAGGGCACAATAGCAACAAGTGCAAATAAGGCGGCGCAGGGCCCTCGTTCAGCACATCGGAGTGTGGAACTTGATAGCCTAGATGCAATTCATGACCTTCCGGGTCTCGATGGAGTACCAAGAGTAGGGTCGCACAACCTCACGAATCATGGTGAAACTTCCGCCGGTGCGCATGGGGGAGTAGAAGTTGTCAGCGGAGAAAATAACGACGGGGGCGCAGAGGGTCCTGACACGACTACATCGACATTGTCATCTTCGCAGCTCCGACAGCAGTACGTTCCTCTCTATACTTCTAACGGTGGGGGACTGATGATGAACTGCACACGTAGAAGTTGGAGGTCAAGAGAAAGCAGACTTTCATCCCGGCTTTTCGCTTTCAAAACCTACTTCTTCCTTCAGGCGGTCTTTGTTTTGACACTGATGCTCGCCTTCAACCTGTACATGACGCAAATCGGCAAAAACGGCCACCAGATTTGGCCGTGCAGCGCGGCTTTGCACGCGTTCGGGGAGACGAAAATGCGGAATTTTTTCGGGAAGACGAGAGAAGCTGCGTCTACTGCTTCTTCCGGTGCGCAGCTCGATCCCGGTGCCGGAGCGCCTGCTGCATCTACTTCACCGACGGTACCAGAGGACATGTCTGTCTGGAATTTCTGTACGTTGACTTGTTTGATTTACGTCGCAGTGCTCGCCGCCGCGATTCAACCCATGAAGAAACGGGGCAAAGAAGCTACGAGAGAGATGCTTGTGTTCCTCCTCGCAGGCTTCGTAACTTTTTCCAGCTCGTGGGTAGTGTTTGGGCAAACGTTGGAAGCCTGCTCTGTGTGGTGTTGGTCCGCCGGGTTTTACTCGGTGTGGTTTTTAGCAAGGCCGTATGTGTTAGTGATAGAAGAAGCTGCTTCAGCAGAGAATTTACCGAAAAGGAAAAGCGCGATGCCGATATCTGTCAGCTCTATCAGCAGTGAGCTTGTTGATAGCTTTGCCGTGCGCAGTGTTGCCGGGCAGTAGGTAACACGCTGAAAAAGAAGAATTGTTCGACACCTGTGCACGAGAGGGGGCGAGCGATCTGGTCACCGTGCAACCGATTCACGGGCGCGCCTATTCAGGAGCGCGCCTATTGACTCACTAACTCAGCCGCGCGGGGAAGGTTAGCAGCTCGCTCACCTTTGGCGGTCTTGAAGCGGACCCAGCGGGGCGCGCTTTTGCAGCCGACACGTTCCGCCTCAAGGACAGAGCCCGGCGCCATTTCTGGGGTTGGCGCAGAAGCCGCCGGCGCCGGGGGCTCTTCGTCCCTTGCAGCTGAAACGCTGCGGCGGCCCTCTGGCCCGAAGGGAACGCGCCTCAGCAGGGCCGGGACCTGGCTAGAACCCGGGAGGGCGCGCGCCGCTTATGACAGTATCGGTCGCGGGGCGCATGGGCTTCCTCTGGCCGCACAAGTACCAGCGCGACAGTGTAGCGCTTTCGTTCCTGGCCGACCTGTTTCGTGTGCTAGCAGTAGTAAAGCCTGTTCGTTCTGCAAAAACAAACCCAACGCAGAAGAAGGCTTCGCCGTGCACAAAGACATGGAGGCACTTGCGTCGCGCATCAGGGAGCGAGATGCCCCCCCGTGGTTTTCCTTCCTATGGACCCGTGGGGCCGGCCAGATCTTTAGCGCGCGCGGCATTCCATTCTCTCGGGCCCTTATTTTGCCCGCCAAGCAAGGCGGGCCGTATTTTGCCGGCCTGCCTGGGCGGGCGCGCCATGCTCTTCGGGGCTCGCCTGGGGCAAACGTACCAAGCGGCCGCGCCGGCTGGCCCCCTGCCTCCCACCGCCCGCGGCAGCCGGCCCTTTCTCATTTTGGGCCCTTTGGTTGGTTGTGTCGGCCTGAGAAGTACGACAGGGCCCCCCCGCCGCGTGGTGGCGCCGTGGCTAATGGTGTTGCGTAACTATAAGAAGTCTCTAAGGGCTAAGATCTGCAAGCACTGTAAGAAGTCTATAGCATGGGCCTAAGTCTATAAGCGTATAGGCGCCGGAGCCCGTAGCCCCTGCCTCCGCCTCTTCTGCTTGCCGCCCTGCGCCCCCTTCCTAGCGCCCCCCGGGCCACGGGCAAGGGCCAGGCAGGGCCGCCGCCCCGCGCGCGCCGCCCGCGTGCGCGCCCGGGCCCCCTGCTTCACCGGGTGGTTGCGCGCGGGCGCGTCGTCGTTTCCAGGTTGGCGCGTGCCGGCCGGTCGCATCGCACCGCACGCGCGTGGGCCGCCGAGCGCTCGGCCTGGCGCGCCTGCCTCCCGGCCCGCCCGTTTCTTTGTTAGTCTCTCTGTGGAGCATGAAGTGGCTTCGCCCGGGGTATCTATGAATGTGGATGCCCATTCCACCCTGGTTGTGGCGCCGGCTGCTTGCGAGGTCCACCGAGCGCGGGCGCGGGCCGGCCGCCCTTCTTGTCAGTCTGAAGATGCAGGCTTGCTTGATCGCTATGTTTGTTGGCGATGCTTGTGGGGGGCGAGGCTGGGAGGCGACGGCGAATCACCCTCGAGCACGTTCATTCTGTATGCGCGTCATTCTCGAGCACGTTCTGGGGGCTAAGTCGGTATCAGCAGGCGGTTGGCCCGCCTCTTGCTAGTGACCGCTGGTTGTGACTTCTGTATATTCTGGAGCGCTTTCGTGTCCACTCCGCTGCATCGGAAACAGAGACAAGATGGGACGAGGCGTGTTTTTCTTCCAAGCAGACGATGAGTGAGAGTCACGCGAACCCATGCAAGAGTTTACGTATGCAAGGAAGTGAAGATGCACATACCTTTCCGAGAGACAGTGCACACAGTCAAGAAATGAAGGCGTGTGAGGTGTAAGCACTCCTCGCTGTTGTTAATCAATGACCAAAGCCGCCACTATGAGAGGCGGGAGCAGTCCTGGTCGCGGCCCGGCCGCTCGGGCGTTGCTTGGCTCTAGATTCAATCCCACTTGAAGAAGATCTTGGTAGTGTTAAACCCAAAATAAGAATGAAACTAAAGCACATGGCGACTTTTTTTGGGTGAGAGTCGACATTTGTTTCTCGACAGGGACAGACCCGCACACACAAAGAGAAATAGGGCGAGGCATGGAATCCTCCTGATTGCTCTGTCTCTTCTATTTCAGAACTCTGCCCCACAGTAGTGGACGGTCGGAACTAGTGACAGACTCGGCAACATGGCATCGCCAACAAGGACAACCTCCGCGACTGTATCTGCGTCTCCGATTACGACGGCAGGGTCGCCATCCTTCCTTTCCGATGTCTCTCCGCAAACCTTCGCCATCGCCAACGCGGCCTCCTTCGCCCTCTGCCTCTTTTTCAACTACGGAGCCGGCAGAAAACTCTTCAGCGACCTCTCGATCGGCGAGGTTTCGGAGCTTTACACGGTTTTGCTCTCCCCAAAGGGGTGGGCTTTTGCCATCTGGGGCATCATCTACCTCGGGCTGATTGCCTTCTGCGTGTGGCAGTTCTGGGCGGTTGTTGTGCCGAATAAATCTAACGACGGTCGTGGTAGTGCTGGTGGACTGCTTGGATCCAGTTCATCCACCGAGCGCGAGTGGAGAAGTCGCGGAGGAGGGGATGACATGTTTAACGGAAATGAAAGAGGACCATCATCTTCGCAGCAAGGCGCGACCGCTGTAGAAGGGTTACCTGCAAACTACCTCGCGACTGATAGCACAAGAGGAACAATAACCCACGGACCAGGGGCATCGGCGCCCGTAACTCCTCCTGATGACGAAAGAGCTGCAACTAATGATGCTGACATCACTCCAACACCATCATCTCAGAAATCCTCGGTAGAGTATTACCACCGGCTTCTCTGCGACCAAATCGGCTGGCTTTTCACCCTCTGCAACTTCCTGAACGCGACTTGGATTTGTCTGTGGTGCCAGGGCAGACCAGTTGTGTGGATTTGGCTGTCCGCACTAGCACTGCTATCCCTGGTCGCCTGTTTAGCGGTGATTTCGGTGAGGGTGCGGATGTTTCGACGGTTCATTGACAGCAGTGACGCTGAGGAGGAAAGCGAAAGTGCAATGCCGTCGCTTTTCGGTGCTGGATCACGACGCTTTATTACAAACTACACCGGTCGTGGTAAAAACTCAACAAATCCTTTTCCCAGCTCAGCCGTGGGTGTGGAAGATGAGGAATTGGGAATGCAAGCTAGAAACTCCGGAACCGATACAGAACATCAACATCAAGAAGCTGCGCAATTTGGAGAAGACGCAACCGCACGGCGCAGAACCCCAGTACGGGAGCACGAGGAGAGGAGCGGAAGAGTTGCAGCGTCTTCCCACAGCATCGCTTCTAACGGTGGAATACAAAGTGACTCTCGAGGAAAGAACGCCAAAAGTGGTCGCGCCCCCTCTTTATTCCGCCCGCCACTCTACGAGCTCCTGGTATTGGACATTCCGTTTTCCATCTATTATCCAAGAAAAAAACATTGTAGGTGTAACTGTTTTGGAGGAACAGCATTACAAATTTGTCTGGCATGACAGCAAAAACCTGTCATGCGCAGATAGTACGTGAAAACGCCCGTTGATGGGCCCTACGATGCATGCCAAGCATGACAGACGCAATCATCTTGCATTTTGCGCATCACAAATTTACACCAACAGCGTTTTTTTCTCGGATATCTATTTCGGTTGGACCACTGCCGCAGCGATCATCAATGTCAGCTGCGCGACCATCGGATCCGATGCACTTCTTTCCACAACGAAAGATGAGGACCACGACAACTCGGTAGAGCTCTCATCGTCTTCCTCTCCTCTAACAATCGCACCGTCTTCCGCAGCAACTCAGGGGAACAACAACTACGGGAAAATCACGCTTTGCGTTCTCGGCATTCCGCAACATATATGGGCGATCATCATGCTCCTCATCGCCGCCGGGATCTACATGGCGGTTTTGGTGCGGACGAAGAATTTAGTGTACCCGTTTGTCTTTTTTTGGGCCGTGTGGGCGATCGCCGAGGAACTTCGGGTGAAGAAGGGCGCGGAAGTTCGGTCGTTTGATATGGCGTTCTCAAACGTTACATTCTCAACTGTTACATGAAAATGAATTTGTCATGCAAAACTCCACTCAGATGCGACGCGATCAAGCTGCTGCGCATGACAAATTCTGGAAGGCCCAAAAAGGCTGAGGATCTGTGCCAAATCTGTCATGCAAAAGGCGCAACCTTCCCCCCTTCAGTTTTGCCATTCCTGCGTCACAAATGTATGCAACAGCTGAGAATGTAACAGTTGAGAACACCATATTTGAAGGCAGTTCCGTTGCGCCCTCCGACGCGGAGGCGGTAGAGGTGACGGCGTACGCATTGGTGAAAAAGTATCGTACTCGTATAAATGCATTACAAATTTCCTCAGCGTGAAAAATAAAACTTGCCGTGCAGACTTACCTTTGGGAAAAAGTTTGTAATGCATGACTGCAATTACTGCGAGTGCGATACTTTTGCACTGCATACGGCGCGAGTCCTGTCGATTTTGGTTTTGCTGTTTGGAGTCGTCGGGGTGGCGTGGTTTGTGAGGAAGGTTGGAAGTGATGGTCGGTGAAGAAGAAGCGCTCCCGTAGTCTCGTGCGATCTGTGATGCGGCGAAAGACAAGAGGGCGAGGCGCTGCTCCAGATCGTCCAGTGTCATGTTCATGATGAAGATGTGTCTTTGGTTTCGAAGCGTTCGCGAGAAAAAAACTCCGAGATCTCCCTGTTTCGTTTTTCATTCCCTGTGGGAAAGAGATCTGAATTTCTGAAAGTACAACCTTGAAGGCGTCTTGTTCCCTATCCAAAGAGAACGAGAGGCTGAAGCAGAAGTGCTTTTGGTTCTTGCGCGTGCGCGTGCGGCTGCTGTCGCGCGGTGGCTGGCTGGTGATAGATTCTGCACAGCGATCAGAAGCATAATTCTGAGAGTCATCTTCATGAGAGCAGCGAGCGTGAGGACGAGTATGAATATGACGAAAGCCCTGAAGCTGAAGCTGATGAGTTCACGAGAGAACATCAAACGAGAGGACGACAGCTCCAGCGCTGAAAAGTCCTTACGACGAGGATCATTTGTAGTGTCATGGCGTAGGAAGAGTATTCATGGCTGAACTTGAACCTCTGAGCGAATCCTCCGTGCAACTATAAGCACCCCCGACCGCGACCCTGGAGGTACCTATCTGAATCGTCCATGATGGCCTCAGGTTCGGCCGGTATTTCTTCCTCGGACGATGGGCACCTGGATTTCGCGCACAACCACTCGAAGACGTCAAGCAGGCCCAAAGGAGCAGTGACTACGACGAATAAACCACAACATAACATCTCCTCCTCCGATGATGGTCATCTCGACTTCATGCCGAAGAGCAGACCACTTCCGCAGGCACCCTTTGTTGCGTCCGCCGCAGCGGGAGCGACTGGGAAATCTTCCTCAAGCACAGCCAATGTGGGCAACATGATGACGTCAAACAACGCAAATAATTCATCATTCCGGCCACGGGTAAACTCCACCTCCCTGAATTACGACCAAGAACAAAACGAAGTGTTGAACACCAGCAGCATGTCAGGCGCAGGAGAACCATCAAGGCCGCTACAACGCGGAGCGGTAGGCACATCAACTATGAAAGCCTCAGGTTGGAAATCCTCAAAGTGAAAATAATTTGTAATGCAAAAAAAAACGACTCCAGTTGAAGCACCATTTATAGTCGGCGCATGACAAATTTCCCGGGCTGCACTCAAAACGTGTCTGTCATGCTAGTGAGGCAAAGGGGTGCGTTTCTGTCATGCTACTCAGCACTCCAATCCTTAACCCGTAGAAGCACAATAGTCGGCTTCCATTGCGTTCGCTGCAACACAGTCTTTTTGGTGTCGCATTCCATGCATCACAAATTATTTCCACTTTGAGGATTTCCATTCTGAGGGTGTCATATCAACTGGCATGATCGGAGGACCACCGCCCCAACAAGTGGACCGGCTTCCTCCTAACCACGTGCCGGTGAGCAGCATGAAATGCAAAAGCATCGTACTAGTATAAATTGCATTACAAATTCACTTAGCGTTTTTACAAATCAAATCTGTAATGCGGATTTGCCTTAGTAAAGAGATTTGTAATGCATAAACGCAATTAGTACGAGTACGATACTTTTGCAGTTCATAAGCAGCTCGTCCGAGCAGTTTGTCCGCAAGACCCTCGCAGAGCAGGTGGATATCCACAGTAAATTTCCCGTAGTACACGTACAAATGCAGTCGCTGCATGACAAAACTTGCCTTCAATCCTAGTCCAGCATGACAAGTTGGACACTGCAAGTTAGCGAAATTTGTCATGCATTTTGTACATGTACAGGAAATTTCTATTGCATAGTGGAAAAGGAACTGAAACAGACTTTGGAGGAGGTAAACGACTTGAGGCACCAACTGAATAAACTCCACGAGACGATTGAATCCAGTATCATTTGCAAAAACGACGTCCCCACCCCACAGTCAAGTTCGGAACCTAGCAACACAAATCTCCAAGTTTTGGGAGCTGTGCATGACAAGTTTCCCTCTGCAGTGTAGCGCTGATTGGCAAGAGAAGCCGCATGAGAAACCCACTTTCGCATCCTGTCTACAGCATTACAGATTCCAAGACACGATTGGAAATTCCTCTCATGGAGCTGTGCGCATTACAAATGTTCCTGTCATTGCGCATTTGCATGACAGCTCTGGTGTGGGGACGTTTTTACCCAGGATACCCAAGGGCGAAGAGTTGATGTCGAAGAATCGGCAGAACAGCATACTCGAATCCCGAAACCGCGCTTTAGATCTCACACCAAAAAGAGTTAACGTTAACGGAATTTGGCATGCAGGAATGCACGAGAAAAAGAGACGATGCCCAAACTTGTATTGCATAGCATGCATGCTAGCGCAGATTTGCCATCCATGACTGCAATGCCCCAAAAGCAAAACCGTTAACGTTAACACTTTTTTCCTTGATATTAGAAGCGGAGTTCTTCGAATTGAAAGAGACGCAGAAGAAGCAAATTTTGATTCTGAAGGAAGAAATCGAACGGCTGCGAAGTCAGCTGCAAAAGAAGGAAAACACCAACGAAGAGGTGTATCTGTCGAAATTGGAACAGCTGCAACTGGAGAAGGAGACCATTCTCTACCCAGAGTAAAAATCTCCCGTGCATTCACGTACAGCTGCGGTCTCTGCATGACAAAACTTGGCTCCGATCCTCTTTTAGCATGACAAGCGTCCTCAACACAGCACGCCAAATTGATGAAATTTGCGATGCAGCTTGTACATGTACGGGAGATTTGTGTTGCATATCCTCGATCGGTACGAACGAGATAAGAATAAGTTTGACTCCGAGCAGAAAAAGCTTCTTATCCTGTGCAAAAGTATCGCACTCGTATGGCAGTCATGCATTACAAGTCTTAAGGTAAATCAGCATTACAAATTTTGTTTCTCATGCTGAGGAAATGCATTTATACCACTACCAGTGCGATACTTTAACTTTTGCACTGCATACTTTTCCTAGAGGTGGAGTACTTCAAGCAAATGTGGAAGAACAGCGAGGAAAACAACGAAAAGCAGCTACACGCGTTCGACGAGGTGTCAAAGCAATGTAGTTTGAACGCGAAGAAGGCGAAACACTTTGAGGAGCAGTGCATTCTGATCGAACGGAAGATTTACGAGAAGAATGAAGAGCTGAGCACGACCAAGGAATTCGTGAAGGAGTTGCAGGAGCTGGTGCGCTATGCAGTGCAAAAGTATCGCACTACCTGTAGTACTCGCATGACAAATTGGCTCAGCGTGACAAATGGAATTTGTCATGCTGTTTTGCCTTGGGATTGAGATTTGTAATGCATGACTGCGATTACTACGAGTGCGATTATACTTTTGCACAGGATATGCGAAAATTACAGGAAGAATTGAAAAACGCGGTGAATAAGGGAGAAAAATTGGCAATGGAAGCCATCCAACGAGAAGACAAAATCGCGAAGTTAAATGTTAGGTAGTACTTTAGCTTGTATCCTGAACCACCATTTTATCGCGCACGAGCATGCTCATGCATTACCATGCGGAATAAAACTACGACAGTATCGCAACGGAACAACATCCAGAGCACTCTTTCTTTACCTCTATGAATGTCATACAGAGCACTGGGACCACAAACAGATCATGTTGAAATGAATTCCATGAGCTTCATCAATTTCAACTTCACGCGAAATTTGTCAAACCAAAAATAACGAAAAACTATCACCAGCCTCCGCGAAACCGAGCTGAAACTCGCCAGAGAAATCGACCTGGAAAGGGAGCTGCAAAAACTCCACGAACTGCACTCCAACACAAAACTGGACAAGGACAAGCTGGCATATGAACTGTAAAAGTATCGCACCAGTATCTACAAATTGCATGACAAATTGACTTAGCATAACAAATTGAATTTGTAATGCTGATTTGCCTTAAGAGAAGAATTTGTAATGCATAAATGCAATCTCAATCAGTACGAGTACGATACTTTTGCAGTGCATATGGCCCACAAGTCGCTGATTCTGAACGAAGACTGTGAAAGACAATCCCTCCGGATAGAGAAACTGGAGAAGGAGAACCAGCTCTCCGAGGAAGCTTTTCAAAAGGAGAAACAGGAACGACTAGTCCTCGAGGATCAGCTGGCGCATGTTATCCGCTCAGTAAAAACGTTTATTCCACACGTCGACCCACGAACGGGGCCGCCCATAGTTAAGATGGGATGAGGAACCCTTCCAGACTTGTTAGCATGTTGACAATAACAAATCCCGATCCCGAAGGAAGTACTAGAACAGTGACTAGTGAACAATTATGCCTCTCCTGGAAAGCGAAAGCCGCACGAGGAAGAGGATCCCGCCGAGCATGCAAATTTGCATGACACCGACACTCACCACGTGAGGGGGAATTGTATAGGTAGTTTTTACTGAGGATACGCATTAGGCGGGAATTGGTCACGCTACACGACGCGAACGAGAAGCTGTTGGTATCGTACGAAAAAAGTGTTTCACTGTAAGGATTTTGCAGGTTTTGCATCACAAGTTTTTCTACATGACAGAGAAAATTTGCCATGCAAGGTTCCTAAGGGAAAACACAGCTAAAAATCCACTGTCTTGCATGTGTAGGAAGACAAACACTTGTGAAATACATTTTCTGCATTACAAGTGTACAGTGAAGCAGTTTTTTCTGGCGATACTTGGAAATGAAAGAGGAAAAAGCCGCGGTAGAGGATCGCTTGGCCGACATTATCCTGCCCAAAAGATGTTGTGTTGTGGTTGTATTGCACGTTTGCATGCAGACGGCGATTACAAAAATGGTTGGTGTGACAGATTTGCTGTTGTATGTTACTCCTGATTCTGCATGACAAAAGACTCGGCTTCTGTAGAAGTTCCTGAAGAAGTCATTTGCATCTGCTAGAACTTAGAACTAGAACGCTGTGGTGCGTCGCTCATACGACTTCTTTTGCAATGTCCATAAACATATCAAATGTAAAAATGTCTGGGTCCGGAAGAGTTCCAGACTTGTCATGCAGGTTTTCCATGACCCATGAGGTCTGGCATGTAGATGTAGGACATAGAATGACAGACTCTGTGAGAGTTCTATCATGTCTATCCTGCATGAGAAACTGCCTCTCGATCACGTCAAAAGTTGACAGCTTTTGGTAATGATGCAACACAGAATTATTTTGCATGCTTCAGATTTAGCATGACAAGTTGCACTCTTCCAGACCCAGACACTTTTCCAGTTGATAAAACTTGCGGAGGAGGCAAGTTCGGGACTCGGAAGAGATGGAAAACATGAAGAAACAGGTCGAAAACGCGGAGAAGCAGAGGCAAGAGGTGAAAATTATGCCCTGCTCTTCAAATGGAGAACGAATCTCAACTGGAACAACATCAAGGTAGTAGAGTGAGAGTCGAAATTATCTGTCTTGCTCAATAAACAGCACAGGTAGCTGCACGAGTATGATCTGCGTGCTTCGACCTTGCACGACAAATAATTTTGTCCGGATTTAGTCGATGCGGTTTGGCAGAGCATTGCTAAGGGTGTCTCATTCTAGACTTCACCATCAACATAACCAGACAATTCACATGTATGTTTTTTACTTCACACGCATTATAGTTCCAGTTGAGCTTGTCCCATCTGCTAAGGCGCCATAGAAATAGACTACGGGCGGTGTGCAGAGGAGAAACGACAGCTGATGCAGGAGGTGGACGCGAAGACAAAATGGATATCAGAGGTATTAATCTAGTGAAAGAATTGTTCTTACGCAAATGCAAATCCTGCTAGAGTAACCGATTTTGTGATGCTCCTGCTGCTTCAAGTCAATTTCAGCACATTTTTTCAACGGAGATCTTTCCAGCTGCTACGTTAAAATTTTACCCCAGGCCCGGCAAAAGCTTGTTGAGTTCGAGGTCACGGACCGCGTATGAGAGTGTATAGCTTCTCTCCCCATCATCTGGTAACCAAAGGCATATGCATCACTAGAGACTACACGTAAGAAGTAGTGAGTAAATAGATTGAGCCTGTTGTGCCTGCGCATGACAAGTTCGTGCTGCGCACTGTAGAGGTACCGTTTGACAGCTTCGAGTAAATTTGTCATGCAAACACAAACAGTGCCACAAGTCAGCCGCAGCACCATCTGCGTTTACCATTCTGCACGACAAATGAGGGAGACGAGCAGGGGGAAGCTGTGGCACTTTCATACCGCTCCAATTCCATGCAGAAAGCAGAGATCCAGCGGCTGCAGCAGGAACTCTCTACCCGAGAAAATATGCCAAGAAAAAACTGTTACAGTGACGCATTGGGCTGCTGCAGACTAAGCAAGAGAGACGCGCTCTGTCATGCAGGATCTGCACACACAGTCACAGGGTCCACCCAGTTAGTTCATAGTACTTTGTGTTCACCCTTGTGACCGCTGCATTAAGACAAGTTTTGTCTGCCATACCGTGCAAGTTTGTGATGCTGAAATCGCATGACGTCGTGTCTAAGTGTAACACTTTTTTTTCTTGGATAGACGACGAAGTTTCCTTACTTCTTAACCTGAGTGAAAACGTACCCACCCCCCCCGCCCAAGCCCCGTGTCTTCGTGTAAGTCTAAGTGCGTCGATTTGCATTTTTCACACTGACCCGACCACCACCCTCTGACGCGGCTCCACAGGAGAAGCCTGTTTGCCACTCCTATGTGGAAGTGATTTTTAGTGCAACAGTCATGGGAATGATGAAGAGCCGGATTTCGCGAAACAGTTTGATGAGTGTACAGTTAATATGTACGAACTTTGCATCACAATAAAAATAAAACTTTGAAAATTCGCGGAGTCTTTGTGTTAATAAAAATAAAATTTTGGAAAGTCGCGGATTTGTCGCGTTATTTGGAGAAAACACCAAATACATCTGAGCGATCACAGACACAGAGTGTCCGTCTTTGGCTCATTCATTCAGTTTTACTGTTGATAAAAATGAAATTTTAAAATTTCGCGGATTTGCCGTCTTCATAAAAATAAAATTTTAAAATTTCGCGGATTTGGTAACTCGTCGCGATCATAGTGCTTCCAATTCCGTCGGTCGGTAGTTACACGCCATGCGATCGTAGGCTTTTGATTCATTGTGTCGGGTCTTGGCGGGGTTTGTAGAGTAGAGGTTTTCCGTATGATAATCCAACGCCAAATCGCGCAGGACGCAGGGATGCTGGACCGGACGCAGAGGCTGCTGCAGCGGAGCGAGCAGGAGAATTCCGCCTGGCGCAATGAGGACGTCTACTTGCGGAAAATGCGGAACAACCTGGAGCGAAATCATCTGGCGTTTGAGCAGCAGTCCGCTCTCGTGCCTACTTCTGCGCCAACGATTTCCATAAATCGGATTCCAGCGCCAGATCCACATCAACGAGCAGCAGAGCCGGCAACTACGTCCATCAATAGTCACCGAATCGTGCCGGTGCTCCCCAATAGCAGCAGCAAGACCAGTACGGGCACCATCCCGGTGGGAAGCTCCAGTAGGACTTTTGCGCCGTACAAGGTCGTGCCCACGCCGTCGCCTTTATGAGAGTAGTGCACAACTTTCCCTCTCGTAGTAAGCAGCAATACAGACAGGAGCAGCACACATCGACATGATGGGGCCTGTGCATAACAAGTTCTTCTGGGGTCAAGTGTAGTGGTTCTGTAGTTTGGGCTACTTCCGCAATTGGTCATGCAAACAGTGCCACGAGGCAGAAAAAGAAAATGGATTCATTGGTGATCATCGTGCATGACAAACACAAGCGAGGGCGTCGAGGAGAAGTGGTTAGTTGCCCACTCTCATAGCCATCGAGTAGACGGGCCTTGGAGGCAGAGGAGGCGGTGGAAAGGAGTTCGCTAGCGGAGCTCCGGGAGCAACAGAGAAAGACGTCGCAATTGTTGCGGTATTTGTCGTGATGAGGAGGAGGTGCTATTTTAATAACGGCACTCATTATACATGATAGGGGTGAACGGGAACTTGTTGTGTTTGGTTGAGAACAGACGGTCACTATGGCTGGCGCAACTATTAACAATAGTACTATGACGAGTCCATCGCGTTGTACTCGTTTTCATTTTTCACATTCTAGTTTAAACCTAAATCACAAGAACTAAGTTTTTGGATAACTAAAACGGGGGGTCTTGTGCCCCTTATCCGTTCAAAAGTTTTATCATTACGCATATAGATAGAAGCAAGTGCGTTTCACAACCTCCGGCCGTTCCTGATCACAATGACACGATTATAAGCTCGTCGCTTGCACCAGTTACTTACACGAACGTATCGATTTGCTAATGTTTGAGTTTGGATTTGGACGATAACGATATGGCAAAATGTAATTTGCTCCTGCTCGTCCTGCACCCGCACGACGCACTCTTTTTTTTAAGAGCATCATGATTTCGAATTTATAGAGTAGTACTAGATCATCCTGTATAATTGGCGGAATCTTCAGAAACGAACCATGTTTCGACGAATGAATAACTTTAAATTGTAATATGTCGCTAGCATTATGGCGGTAGTGGTATGCCACGCACTCTGTCGGTCGATCGGTGCCGATCTTTATGATATTGTTTTCGTGTCTGTGTTTGCGTTTGATCGTGAAGTACTTAGCATCTTCAAAGAAAGCTGCAGGTGCTCCCCATTGACTTGGCGGTAGCCGAGCTACCTAATGGCAAAAGGCAACAAAAAACAAAAAGTGCTACACTTCTTAGGAGAGACGCCAAGTAGACGCATGATGATGATCAAAAGCGGAGATATTAAAGTTAGCAGAAGCACGACGAGCGAAGAACTCCTTGTCGCTTTCATCAGCAAAAGCCATGATACGATTGAGCGGAAGGAATGGTGTGAAGGATCATACCTATTCTAAACGTAAAAAGAGGAACGCGAACTATGCAAAAGTGCAAGAGGTTGGTAGAGCGAAGAAAACACAAAGCTGCTATGGGAACAACTTTGCCCGATTTCTACGACTGGTTCGTTGTTTTTATTCGTTGAGAAACAGTTATTGTTATTTTTCGTGAGTGCAACTACAATTAGAAGGAAATCCAAGTCGTAAAGACAGAGCAAAAAGCAAGCAGCGACGCGACGATATCGTTTTCCCGGGCGAGCAGTATCATCGGTGGAAGCAGGTGGAAAACAAAAATGACCCAGTGTGACGAGGTGCCAGTTTACCTCCAACCCGTGCAAAACCACCCGGACGTGCATATGGATTGCAAATATGTCTGGGTCTGGAAGAATGGAACTTGTAATGCTGGCTGCGGATTCTGAAAATATCTGTGCTGCATGAGCAGCAAGAGGAGTCAGTGCTTGGCACGCGGAGAGGGCATTTCTCATGCGTGTGTAGCATCAAGAAGCTCTCAAAAAATCTGTGATGCTAGCACCAGCGTCACAGATCTCACAGATCATGCAAAATTTGCATGACAAGCCCCGACTCTTCCAGACCCAGACATTTTTGCAGTTGATAGCGCAGCATTTTCTGCAAGACCACAGTTCCTCTGCTACAACAGCGGTGCAAAGCAGCTACAACCTCCAGGTCGCTGCTGGTGCTGTTCGTCTTGGTCACCAACCGCATCAAATGGAAAAAATGCAGCAAGAACTACACGAAGAAGATCAACAGCTGCAGCTGCAAGTCGACGAAGATTATGGTCAACAACAACATGAAAATCATTACACCCTGCAGCACGGCCCGATCCTTATCCAAGAAAAAAAGTGTGTTAGTGTAGCTTTTTTGCAGGAACAGCATCACAGATTTGTTTTGCATGACAGAGAAAACCTGTCATGCGTACTCGCGAAAACACGTATAATGAAAATAGCCTCTGATGTACATCCAGAATGACAAGTGTAACTGTATTGCAGCATCTGCAAGACAAATTTACACTTACACACTTTTTTTCTTGCATAATCCTGGCGACCCAGGCCGGCGGCGTGACGTACTACAACACCTCTAATTCCGGCGTCCGCGGTGCGGGGGCCCCCGCCCAGGATGTGTACAACGGAACAAGCTATAAACTGCAAACATCCCTGGACGTCTGGGAGCTTGCGAGATTTGTCATGCTAGTCTGGCATGACGCTGAACTCTGTACTGCGTGCCCCCGAAGCGGTCCTCTTGTCTGTCATGCAAAAACGCAGTTTCTCATGCGCAGTGCGCAACTCTGAACCACGGAAAAACTTGTCATGCTGGGGAGCGCATTGCAGTGTGCTCAATAGTATTCCCTTCCTTGCATCACAAGTTATTTCCAGACCCAGACACATTTGCAATGCATACAAGCGACCAGCACGCGAAAGAAAACGGCATTGCGGACGTCGTCGATGGCATCCCGGTGCCGGCGCAGGTGTTGTTGCAACAGCAGCAAATATGGCGTTCTTTAATGTTACATTCTCAACCGTTGCATGAATTTGGCATGCAAGAATAGGAAAAGCAAAAGAAGCCTGCACCTCTCGCATTGCAAACTTCTTGGCACAGATTTTATTGCTGTTTAGAAGCCCTGCAAAAATTTCAATTTGTCATGCGAGGTAGCTTCTTCATCGTGTGGAAGTGGATGCTGTTGCTGGTGTGCGTTTTGCATGACAATAAATCGCGTGACGGTTGAGGGTGTACTAACGCTTGAGAGCTTCATAGCAAGTGCACGGGTCCGTGACCAACCCGAACGACCCGGAAATCTCTCCCCCGGGCAGCATGCACAACGGCAGTCAGAAAGTGGGCAGCACCCGCAGCGGTGTGGATCGTCACACTAGTACTACTACTGCTACTGCTGGTGCGAAGATCATGAAGAAACCGGGCATGGTGGTGCTCGATGGTACTACCGCTTCTGCGACGGTGAAAAATCAAGCGAGCTTATTGCCGATGGGCGGACCCTACCACGGTACATCAACCCACGGTGCTGGGCGTGCGGCTTTTGAAACAGCTGTTGCGGACGGCAGCACAAACCTCACATCGGGGCCGTACAACTACAATCATCAGTACAACTACGGACTGATGACCGGCGCAGGAGGGAACAATAGTACTACCGGCGATGTAGACATGGGAACGACTGGAGGTGCTGGCACGACAGCGAACAACAATCAACAACAAACGAGCAAAATTCCGGTCGGTTCCAACATCTTCGAACGCCAGGACTTCTGGAAATTGCTCGAGTCCCCGCAGTACTTTCAAACCCTGAATTTCCAGGATCGGGAAGTCCTGACCGAGCAGTGCTTCCAAGTGTATGGGTGCGGCGTAGATCGTATGCATTGCAAAAGTAAATCGTACTAGTAGTGATTCCAATACAAATTCGCTCAGCATGACAGCTTCCATTTGTCATGCTGATTTAGCTTGGGAAGGAAATTTATCTTGCGTGACTGCGCTTACCAATACCACGACGAGTGCGATGCTTTTGCATTGCACAGATCGGCTGCAGAAGATTATGCTGTGCCACAAGCTGTTCGACCACGACCTCATCGACTTTTCGAAGGATTTGCTAACCGTGGAGACTCGGGAAAAATTGCTCAACACGAAGAGAATCCAGGATCCGGAGAAGTATAAAAGATCTTAGGATCATAGCAAAAATGACTGTAGCTTGCTCTGTCTGCTGTTAAAAAACTTGTTAAGCCTGCAGCATGACATGATGTGCGCCACGTGGTGTCTGCTACGCACGGCAAGTAAATGGTTTTTCCTTATAATTATATCGTCTCAGGTACCGCCTGTTTTCCGCCGGGGAGACGAAACAGTCGATGCACAGCCTGCTTCTCGCGGCACACTGCGACGTGATCGATCCGCATATGTGCGAGCAGTATTGGGATTACGAAATGAAGTACCGCAGCCCGGATGTGGTGATTATGCATTGCAAAAGTATCGTACTCGTATAAATGCATTGCAAATTTCTTCAGCATGACAAAGAAAATTTGTAATGCTGATTTGCCTTAACAAGATGATTTGTAACGCATGACTGCAATACGAGTACGATACTTTTGCACAGGATAGTGATGACTAGCGAGCAACTGGTACAGTACTACAACAACCACGACCCACTCGCGCCTGCTGACCACGCGTCGAGACAGATCCAAGGGGCGCAGAGCAATACAGAAGGAGGTGTTGGTGCATCAACTGGAACGACCGACAAGTACGTCGGAGCAATGACGGGCGGGAACAACAACAAGCACGGACTCAACTTGCTGGGAACAACAAGCAAACAAGATCAAACGAAGTTGCAGCCGTCCAACAAGTATGCATTGCAAATATGTCTGGGTCTGGAAGGTTGGAACTTGTGATGCTAACTTTGGACTCTAAAAAGATTTGTATTGCGTGACCAGCAAGAGGAGCCCAGTTTGTGCTGCGGGGGGAGGGCATTTGTCATGCGGGATAGGGATCAGGAAGGCCTCCAAAAATATGCGATGCTAGATCATGCATTACAGACATCCAGAGTCATGCAAAATATGCATGAGTAACCTTCCAGACCCAGACACTTTTGCATTTGATAACAAGCCTACAACTTCTTTCCAGCAACGGGTCCTGTACGGGCAAATCGCTGGCAGCGAAGACCAACATCAAGGCGGCCATCACCATCAGCAGCAACAGCAATTTCTGCACCAAATGCACCAGATGCAAAACCAAAACGCGGCATCCGCCGCCACGGCAGCGACGGCTGTAGTGAGCGCAACTGGCTACAACTTCGTCCCGGGGAATGCGCAGCACATTACCACCTCCCACTTGCAAGCATCAACATCTTCTGCTCACGCCGCGGGGACAGTACCAGTAGCCGGGATGTTGAGCTGCAACAATTTGAAAGCTGCTAGTAACTCGTTTACCAACATGGAGGCGATGTTTGACCCCGAAACCCACTCCCCTGTGGATGAGGAAGGAGAGGACAACTATCGGGAACAGGATTCGTTTGAGCTCATGTTAGAGAAAGATACCAACCTGCTCGGGGGGATCAAGGTCGGAGAGGAGAAAGGAAAGCCGGATCACAGCACCATATCCTGTGCAAAAGTATCGTACTCGTATTGCAGTAATGCATATACAAATCTTCTTTTTAAGGTAAATCCGCATTTACAAATGTTATTTCTCATGCTGAGGGAATTTGTCATGCATTTATACGAGTACGATACTTTTGCAGTTCATACACTAAGGGCAGTGCTGGCAACAAAGGGAAGGGAAAAGGCGGGAAGGGTGGTGCGGCCGGGCTGAAAAAGGAACAGCAGGTGGGAAAGAGCAATGACGGTCAACATGTTGGCGGGAAGAAAGGAACAAGCGGCTCATCTTCGAAGCTGGCAAACAACAGCGGTTTTTCCACTTCCGACTCCAACACCAAAAATCAGGACGTTGCGACAACCATCAAAAGCTCCACTGCCGGAGGTACGTCAAATGTGTTGAAAGGAAAGAAATTCGGCTCGTCTTTAGCCGATCAAGGAGCTGCTTCTGGTGCGGCCGCTTCTACTTCTACCGGTGGGAAAGGGCCGATTTCTGGTTTAGCAGCAGGAACTACGACCGGCGTGTTAGCCGGTAAAAAGGGTCCGGGGGGTCGGGCGGTTGTGCCGTCGACCTCCGCCGGTGAAGAACATCAGCTGCAGGAGCAAAAAGACGAAAAATCTGGAAAGCGGAACGGGACCATGAAGGCCTACCGCCCGCCGCCGGGGATGGAGGACGGAACCCCAAGCGACCACAACGCCCCAGCCGTTTTTGACTCTGCATCTGGTCGTTCTCTCGATCGAGAGGAAAACCGATCTGCTATCCTACGTACAAACATCTCCACCCCGGAGTTCTCATGCATATTTACAAGCACAAGAGCATTTGTAATGCGCATATCCATGAGAGGCAATTCCCATCGTGTTTTGGAACTTGTAATGCTGGAAACAGGATAAAGAGACGGATTTGTTATACGAATTCTCTTGCTAATATGCTGCACTACAGTACAGCCCGCAACTTGTCATGCGTGACCCCCATAATGATAATTTCTAGGTTTGTGTTGCAAAACCCCCAGGTTGACTCTGGGGTGGTGACGTTTTTACACGGGATACCTGCTTTCGCGCACGAACAACACCACCCCGACTTACCAAAGTCCATCACCATCGGCGGAGTTACAAATATGCATAATGCAAATATGTCACTCTGGGTCTGGAACAAGAATGCAAGACTTGCTAAAGACTTGTCATGCATGTCTGGCATGACTCTGAGGTCTGTGATGCATGTGCGCGAGCTAGATGCTCTGCTCTTGCCTGTCAATATTCAAAACCGTAATTCACCACACGGAATACGAAGCACATAGGAGGAGCTTAGAAGTTTCTTGTCATGCGGGGCTCCCATCTATTCTTTCAAGTGCACTAATCCATCGCAGACTTGCATCACAACTTTCCAGACCCTGAAATATTTTTGGTGGATAACAAACGTCTCCAAGCAACTGACTGCGATGAAGGGCGTGGTCTTACCAGAGGTCGTTGCCAGTGCTGGGGTATGCATTGCAAATAAATTATCGTACGATTATTTGTAGTATTCGCATTCCAAATTTCCTGAGCATAAGCAATGGAATTTTTTGTAATGCTCCTTTACGTTTACGAAAAATAAGAAAATCAAGATTTGTATATGCAGGACTGCAATCGCGATACTTTTGGTTTTGCAATCGCATATGGGGCTGGCGTGAGCAACAACTCAGTGTATTCCAGTTTTAACCACGCCGAGAAGAACAATCTGCTAAAAGCGTCGAGCGGAAACTTGAACACCGGAACCTACGTTGCTGGAGGACCCTCCAATCCCAACGCGAGCGGATCCTTTCTGCACGGCAACAACTTGTTCGAGGAATCCATCGGTAAGAGCTGCCAGCAGATCACAATGCACAACAAGAAGACGAAAACACTCCTGCAGCGTACCTTCACCGATCCCGGTGTGACCACCCTGGACACGGTATCCTGAGTAAAAACGTACCCACACCAGAGTCAGGATGGGGATTTTGCAACACAAGCCTAGGAGTTTTGTGAGTCACGCATGACAAGTTGCACTTATGCAGTGTAGTGCAGGTTAGCAAGTGCAGCTGCGTCACAGATTCATCTGCTCATCCTGTTCACAGCATCACAAATTCCAAAACACGACTGAAAATGGCTCTCATGGGGATGCGCATTACAAGTCTTCCTGTCTTTGCAAATCTGCATTACAACTCTGGCGTGGGTACGTTTTTACTCAGGATACACGGCCCACCCGTACGGACGGTCGCACCGGTATGGAAGCGTCAGGTCGTTTGAAATCGACAAAGTTGAACTGCTTTGTCATGCATAAAATGGATGCCAGTTGTAACCCAGTTTCCAGGTGGCGCATGACAAATTTGGGTAGAGCCGAAATCCAGTTTGTCATGCTGTTTCGGCAAAGAAGACTGCTCCTGTCATGCTATTTTAGCAGCTCAGTTGCTACCCCGCCTCAACAGGCTTACAATCTGCGTCACTTGCCTACTCTGCAAGACAGGCACTTTGTCGGCTGCATTCTTTGCATGACAAATCATTATTTCAACCTTGACGATTTCAATCCTGCCACTTCCATAACCGGGCGCCGTTTGGGTCGCCGGATCTGACGACCATGAACCAACAGCGGATTGTGAACTTGACCGGTATAGAATTTTGATACCCTAGAAGTTGTAGCGCGATCGCGAAGTAATTTCAGCATGATCTGATGAAGGAGAATCGAAGACTATGATCGAATTATAACAAAAATAAAAAAGGTGAGTCCCCGCAGATTCCGTTTTACAACAGCAGCAATTTGTCGCGTACCTCCACCTCCGAAGCTCTGAACAATTCTTCCATGAACATGAGTCTGTCTGCGACGCCGGGTAAGATTATGCATTGCAAAAGCACTATCGCAGTCCTGGTAGGAATTCTTGCAATTGCATGGCCAACATCAATTTTTTCCAAGGGGAAATAATAAATTTTGTCGTTGATGTAGATGTAGCCATATTGAAGACGAAGGAAGAAGGCAAAGCAGGAGTAGATCTACTGTCATGCGCGAGCATACCTGGCCCCCAAAAAAAAATTCCACGTGCTCGTGCGATGCGCTTTTGCACAGGACAAAGAACGAATCGCTGCAGCTCCCGAAGCAGCCGCCGCGGCCGAAGGAAGAGTGCATGCAGAGTCTGAAGAAGGCGATTTTGAACTACTTTTGCAAGTACGAGTTAGAGGAGGCGGTCTTGGATCGTGTGTGCAAAGACCACGATGTGAAATCTGCCTGGAAGGAGATCGGCCGGGTGCCGTTGTGGAAATTGGTAAAATGGTTTCGTTTGTCATGCAACGTCAAGACAAGGAGACCGAGACACAGACACCTGTCATGCGCATGCGGGTTTTACGTTGTAACACGTTGTATTACGTTGTAATGACAAAACATACTACACGACATCACTCACTACCGCTAGGTGAAACAGTTTCCCTCCGACATGACGCAGCGTCAGTTGGCTGACGGAACCTGGAAACTATGAGAGCGCACGAGAGCAACTACTCCCTGCTCCCTCGAAGTTTGTATAGCAGGACAAGCAGGAACAGCATCAGAAACTACTTATCACAAAAGAATGAGAAATGTAGCAGGGTATGCATGACAAATCATCAAGACACGGAATCTAGTATGGTTGGAAGTGCTGGTGGAGCATGTGATGCAAGTCGAAGTCAGGAGTTCTATTAAACTGCAAGGCAATGCTGGCTCGGCGGATTCTTGTAAGTTTGCATCGCAAACGTTGCGGACGGGGTGAAGTTCGAGTTGTGCACTGGCATAGAAACTCTGGCTGTTGGAAAACCCAGTGGAAAATTATGCATTGCAAAAGTATCGTACTAGTATGAATCGCATTACAAATTAGCTAAGCATGAGAAACGGAATTTGTCATGCTGATTCGCCTTGGGATGTAGATTTGTAATGCAATGATTGCGATTACTACGAGTACGATACTTCTGCACAGGATAAAAACCCAGACTCACCGATGGTCGGCGAGCTATCAACCGCGAATATGAGGATTGGGTCTGGAAGATAAGAGTCCGAGTTTAATGTCATGCGACGTCTGAGTGTCCTCGCCAAAATCTGAATCTGTATTGCTCTTAACAGCACCACAAAAAGGCACCCTACCCACTTTTGGACATATTACGAAGGAAGCGCTCGTGGATCTATGCCGGATTATAGGCATAATCAATATTTTTGCGGACCCTTCTTTTTCAAAAAAAATGGGATGCTAGAGCTCGCAAGGTATGCACCATGCGAAACCTTTCATTCTTGTTCCAGACCCAGACGACGTATTTGCAGTGCATACAAGCCAGCCAAGTGCAATATGGCGCTCTCAACTGTTCCATTCTCAGCTGTTGCATGGGTTTGTGATGCAAGAATCAGAATGGCAAAAGTGAAACGCGGAAGATTGCGCCTTTTGCATTACAGATTTGGTGTAAAAAGTAGATTTAAATGCTGTTCAGCCCTTCCGAGATTTGTCATGCCAAGCAGCTTAACCGTGGCGATCTTGGTGGTAAATTCGCATGACAAATCATGTAACAGCTCAGAGTGTAACGTTTGAGAGTGCCATATGCAACGTCCTGTTTGAGAACGGGCATGATTCGGCGAGCGGAGGTATCCTGTGTAAAAGCGTGGCCCCCACGACCCAGAAGTTGTCATGCAAATGCGCACGACTCCGACCACCCCAAACTTGTAATGCGTAACAGTACCAGTAGCAGTTACAAAACTTGTTGATTTGTGTTGCCAAAGTCCCATCTTGACAACCCTGGGGTGCTGGCGACGTTCTTTTTGTTCAGGATAGGGGGTGGCTTCTGCGCTCTTGTGGGAGAAGACGGTATAGCATTGATGTAGCAAGATGAAGCGGCCGCGTTTCCCAATCATTTACAGAACTATCTTCGGTAGCGCAGTCTGTTTGGCAATACTTACAGAGTTCCCTGGAATGTAGCGCTAGCATTACAACAAGTTTCAACTTTTCAATTTCAGACCGAGACATATTTGCACATAATTTCAGTCCTCCCGGTCCAGTCCGACGATTCTCCCGTCGTGTATGGAAGTGTCAGAATCGAAATTGACAAAGTCGAAAAATTTTTGATGCACAAAATCGATGTCAGTTCGGGCCTCAGTTTCCAAGTGGCGCATGACAAATTTCGGGAGCACCCAAATCCAGTCTATCGCGCTGTTTGGGCAAACAAGAAGACTGCTCCTGTCATGCTACTCTGGCAGCGCATTGGCATTGCATTCCCCTAAACAGGCTTGCAATCGGCCTCATTTGCCTGCTCCCCAATACAGGCCTCCAGTGCCCTGCATTTTATGCATCACAAATTTTTCAATTTTGTCGATTTCGATCCTGACACATCCATATCGTGGCCTGCAGCTCCGTCGCGGGTCTGAGTCCGGCCGCCGCGAAGTTGCTATCCACTGCAAATAGACAAGTATCGTATTGGTACGTCGAATTGTACACTGACATGACAGATTCGGCATCTTTTTTTGACCTAACCCAGAACCTGCGTGTGTGCGAGCTTTAGTAGTTTCATTTTTTCTATCTTGAAATTCAAATTTTTGGACTATCTTGAAATAGGCTGATGGACGCCATCCAGAAGCCAGAGGAGAAAATAGATTTGGGTCACGGGTGGCCCTACAGTGCGATAAGCGACAAACCCACACGGGAGGAGGAAGCTGCTACTATTCCAGAACAGTGGCTGCGAGATGCGAAGGAGGCGGTAAAGAGAAGGAAACTGGACACGCAAGGCGCGGAAGAAGTAGGTGGATAAGGTGGAGGGGGGTTGTAGCTTCCTCGGTCGATATTCTCACGGTTCCGTGCTGAAGATCAGAGTAATAGTTTTTTTTTTTTTTCTGCTCCACACTACCGTCTGAAGATCTGTGCTAACTTCTTCTCCTACCGTGTCAAAGATCTGGATACCAGTTACCCTGCGCTACACTTCTGTCCGAAGAACAAGACCCAGTTGCAAGCTGGATCCGTGCGAAACGACAGCTGATACAGCTAGAGCGCCAGTTAGTTGCAGTGGCGGATGAAGGCAGACGATGTTCATCTGCGGTAACAAAATTCTATACAAGATCACGAACCAGATCCCCATCTTTCACAAGGCGAGAACAGCTGTACCAGATCCACACCCACCGGCATTACCATGGTCCCCTGAAGGCAAATTTGTTTGAATCGGAAAAAAAAAAAATAAAGATCGCAAAATAAAATAAAGAAAGCTCTGCGACAAATCCGCAAGGATGAGCAATAAGAAAGGGTTAATAGGGTTAGGAAGGGTTTAGGGGCAAGGCAACTGGGCGATGCTGGGTGTAACTTCGTGTTTTCCAGTGTCTCCTGGTGGCGTTTGCGTGCCATCGCTTAAGCCTCGGCTACGGTGATGTTGACGGGAAGGGAGAGCAGAGGAGGCTCTCTTAGGACCTGCCAGCATTGAGGATCCTGTTGGACACGAGGAAGGGCAAGCAGAGGCGGCTTGTTTTGGACCTCGTGGCTGCGCGGAGGTTGGTAGGGCTAGCACGGATGAGGAGGTAGTGCTAGTCCCGCCTGAAGCCAAGGACTAAGAGCATCCCGGTGCGATTTTTCTGAGGCAACTCCCCAGTCTTGGCTGTTCGACATCAAAGCGGGTGTTTTTTTTAGTCAAGTTCTGGTGGCAAATTGTTGAAACACAGCTTGCCTGCCACTTACTCTCAGGAACTCAATTAGCACGTACAACAGTCACTCGCTCGCCTAAAGAAGCGAGCACACAGTTGAAATTCAAATTTTTTTGTGTCCCGCGATTCTTCCTCCCAAATAGATACGATGCTTTTGCAATGGATAGTTACCGGTCCCCGCCGATTTGCCCAGCCCGATCGCGTATCCTGTGCACAAGTATCGTACTCGTGCTGATTGCGTTTATGCATTTACAAATTTTTTTTTGAAGGCAAATCCGCATTATAATGCTAAAGCCAATTTCTTGTAATGGAATGTACACTAGTACGATGCTTTTGCATTTCATACCGCGAGTCCGCGGGAGTGCGGCGCTGAAGGTGATGGTGCTACTGCTGGCGGAAGCCCAGTCGGAGTGAAGCGGGTATCCACCTCTAATCCGACGAGCAACGGTCGACAGTTCACTATGAGAACACACACCTTACCCTCCCCCTACTTCCTTTGTCATGCACCACACCAAGCTCAGTCTCTTTTTCTCTCTGGCTCCCTCTTCTCGATGGTGTTTGTATGACAGGTTCCAGCAATGCCCAAATTTGTAGGACCAGAGTGGTCCTGTGCTCATTTCTTGTCATGCAAGAGGTCGTGCTTCTGTGCGGGCGCTTCTCTTGCTCCCCATGCGTCACGATTGCGGGTGGGGATTTGTGTACTCTCATATTTCGCGGTAAGAACGGATACGGAAAGATGCCGCCGGGAGGCAAAGATGGGGAGTGTGCGATCATGTAGTGTGTTCGTAAAAGCTTGTTCCAAATCTCCTACTTTGCGACCCCTACGCGAAGAAAAAAATTAATGACAGTATCCTTTTAGTAGCGCACTGGTGACATGCTCGCGTAAAACGATGCAACACATTTACAACAACTTGCTTTGTCGTTTATGTTAGCATTGCATGAGAGAAAATAAATCACCGCTTTAGCTTTAGGTCGTTTCCATGACAATTTTTTCTGTGTCTTTGCACCCCGAGTTTCAGAGGCAACCAGCTAGTGCTGGCTTCTGTTACTTCCTACAAATATGCTACACGATCTCTTATTTTCGATCTGATTTTTTATACGAAATGTTTCTGTTCGGGAATACAGTGTCTGTATCCACTCCTCTTATTTTAATACAGGGCGCAACCATGTTGAACAGTTATACTGAAGGAGACAAAAGCGAAAGGGTGGCGGCATAAATACAACATGTTTACTTAAGTTAGTTCTCCACTGTTTCTGAATTGTTTCTATAATTTTTCTATAATTTTATCAAATTTTACATCGCAACCAAGTTTCGTGCTTGAATTTCGGATGGATTTCTATTTAGCTTTTCTTTTCGTTTTCTACTTTTATACCCTTGTTATCAGCTAACACGATCTCACATTTAAATGACAATGCTTCAAAACGAATTTCAACATAAAATTGGGAAATCATCGAGAGGAAAATAGATGTTTTGACTAGGTAAAAAGGTACTAGCACAGAATTGTTTGTTATGCAGGATCACATTTGATGCCGTGTTTCAAATGAATCGATTTTCTGGTGGACACCTTGCAGAAGCAGGGAAGAAAATGATGTAGCATCTACGTTCCCGATGATCAGGGACACATGTCAGCTATGTTTAAAATGAAAATATTCTTTCTCAATTACTTTCTTACAAGACAAAATATATGCTATTTGTAGTCCTTGTCAGATGCATAGAAAGCAGATCATACGGAAGTGAACTGCGGAAGATGTGCTGGTGCAGCAGAGTATCCTCGGGCTCATTTGGACATCACACTTTTTCAGTATCTTTGAATTTGTTGCATTTCTACTTTCACGACAGTTTCAGGAGCCAGGAGCAGGGGTTGCTCCTCCAGCTCCTCCTGCTCGTTATAGTTTACAAAAAAAAAAATCTATCGACAGCTCGCTGCATGCCGACGACTCATCCCGACCGGCAACGTTTTCTCTAAGAATTATCTTCTCGTCCTCGCGCCGGGCTCTTGGACTGTGCGATGATGTGGTCAACAGCTAGGGCTAGCTTTCATTTTTTTCGAAGAAATCTGAAATCAAATATCAATATATCACATGGCAAAAACTTATAAGTTGCACCTACCGAGATGACGAAGACGAACAACTCTTGCTTTTTTGAAAAAATGAATCTGACATTGTGTTTCATTTCTGGTGTCTAGTGCCAAGCCCTAGAAGCTTGCTTGTTTTCCATGTAAATGTATTTGCATGGAATAAAGTGGTCCGCGGTAGTTTCTACTGTGTTCTCGTCCTGTTTGAACAAGATATTAACCGTCAGGGTACTTCGTGAGGACTGTGCGTGGTGGAGAGATGGCCCGAGAAAAAGTAGGGCTGTTCCTCATCGTTCAGCAGAAAGTAGAGTCAAAGTTGGCACCATCGTTCAACATCATCGTGCGTGTGTATATTAATGCCCAGCAAATTATCTGATCAACATCAAGCTGAAAACTACATTGATTCGCATTCGTTAATAAGTATCGTTATCGTTTGATGTGGGTCGTATCGTAAACGTGATCGCGTCGTGGTACAACTTACTTACGCTAGAACAACACTAAACGCATCGTTCGTCGTGTAGTATCCGAGCGTCGTCCAAGTCGTAGGACCCTTTTCGTTCAATGTCGCGCCAGTCTTCATCGTTGTAGAAGTGCATGATCATCTTCGTGCAAAAGCAAAAGAATAAGAAACGGATTAACATCAACGTGCCAAGTTTTCATTGAGCAAAGAGGAAAAGCATTGCCATTCCAACACAACTTCGCGAGTTTGAATTTCTCCAGACGAGCACAGTTTTTTTTCTCCCACAACTACCGTCGTAAGGACAAAGAGCATCATCTGCTCGTCCTGAATTGGAGTAAAACAAAGGCAAGGCCTCGTGCAAAAGTAAGACTTTCGACTCCGTCGGAAGTTGTAGATAAACCTCCTTTTGCAAGAACCCCACCTACAACCACAAGCAAAAAGAATGCGGAAGTTCGTGAAAGTCACCGGCTCGGCCGCCACCCTTTCCGCGGGAGGCGCGTCCGCCGCGAAGATGAAGAAGGCGAAGAAGTCTGCTGCGACTGGTTCTACGCACGCGTGGGAAGGAAGTGAAAACGCGGGGCCGACTGCCTTCGTCGAAAACTTGAATTTCTGCCCCGACACGCGCACGTGCCAACGGTCAGAAAATATGCATGGAAAGTAGTATGCAGCTGTTTCATTCGTACAATGAATACCAAAGCGGTAGCAAGCACGGTCGGCGACCGTAGTTATTACAAGCACGCCCGGCGCGACGATGAGTTTGAATTTAGATAGACTTTCGCGAATGTTTTGCAGCTTTGACTTTCTGAGCAAGAAGCTGCCGGCACAATATAGTCGAGGACTCGAGTCACTCGAGATTTGAGATTCGAGCTTCCAGATCTGAAGTTCCGAATGCGAAATGTCGACTGTGAAATCTCCATACCTGTTTTTCGTTTCATCTCAAGTAATCGGCTCCAATTGAACCAGCTGAACAACTAGAGTCAGTTGGTCTATGCAGCCGAAGGCCTCGAAAGTCAATTACTAATTAAACCAATAGCACAGACATTGCCCGTGTCCGTCGTGTGCTAATGTATAGTGCGTAGTTGTATGTATGCAACGAAAATCATACCGCGACGACCAATATCAAACACTGAATTCGGTGTCGGTCTCGTGATCCCAGCCTGGCGCGTTCTGTGAACTTTTAGCACGTCCGGGGCGTCGTGCTAGACATTCATAATATTTTGGCGATAAAATGGCGCGCCATGCATGCGGGGATGGCCGGGCGCCCGTGCTTGCTACTAGCACTTCATGTAGATACAGTGAATGCAACAGTTGGCGCTTTTCCTTCCATAGACGACACTTATTCGAAAAAGGCTCCCTCGACCCCTTCGCCGAAAAAGGCTCACTCGACCCCTTCGCCTTCCTCTTCCTTCTTGCAGTCCGCGGCTGGCGGAAGTTTTTTGGAATATTTACCAAAGCCGTGTAACGAAGTCCAGTGCGGTGACTTCGGGGAAGTGGATTGCAACGAAAATTTCAACACGGAAGGTTGCTGCGAGTGGGAGGCGGAGGCCACATCTGCTCCCACAACCAACGCCGCCGCCGCTATGATTCCCTACATGAACAGTCAAAATGGGGTTGCGCGTTAATCCTAGTATGCAAGTATAACTACGGAAAAAGTGCTCTCACCTGTTGGCAGAAGGCTCTCACTGTGAGAGACCAGCTGTCCACAGGACGCAAAGCATATGTGTACGAATATAATTGCAGTCGATGTTACACTTCTTGTTCTTTGTCGAGAGGCAGAGATTGTGCCTTCATCATTTCGAAAATTTTGTTTCTTTCCTTCACCTTTCTTGTTACACCTGTAAGTTCCGTCCAGCCAGATAACAAAATCTACCTCCACCACTCTGTGAAACATGACTCGTTTTTGAAGCAAGCTGATCCTCATTCGTTTGAGGTTTTACACAACACGCATAACAATTATCCAAATAGAAATATTACTACATCCTCAACAAACTACAAACAAACTTTGATGTACAGCTGTCAGGATCTTCCGGCAGCATCGCTCAGCAGCATTAAGGTGGACGAGGAGAAGTCCAGAAGATCCACTTCAATTTTGTTAATTTATTAAACCCATTCCAATTATAAATTTCCCTGTTTTGATTTTTTTTTGCAACTGGAATTGTAGCGTAGGCGGAGCTGCTGAGGTAGTTATTTCCGCAGAAAAATACATGTTACAAAAACAAAAACGCAAAAAAATAGATATTCGAAAAACACAAAAAAATACTTACAAACACCAACAGCAGCAGCCATTTTCTAACTCTACCCAGGCACTACTGCGTAGCCCGCCTATTGAATTCATATTCACCTTCGCACTTCTCAAGAACGTCAGTAATGTAGTCGCAGGTGGAGCTGTTGTGGTAGTTTGTTCTAACTACTTGTCAGCACCGCTCGGGTATCCCCTGACTCGACGAAGCTAGACATCTTCAAGCAAGAGGAGTATTAAAGTCGCAGGCCTCCATCTGTTGGCAGCTGTGAGGTTGTTTTAGAAGGGATATCATGTAGAGCTAAGGGCAGCTTCTTCAGGTACGGCTAGCGTGAGGCGTTTATTTTCACCATCTGGACCTCGATCTGCGACTGCGCCGGCGTCTCGACTTGAGTATAAGTGTGCTGGATGATTCTAGTAGGTACCTTCTCGGTACTTATGTAGTTTCTTCTGGAGGTCGCTTGGTGGAACAAGAGCAAGTCGCTTTTCGACTAGGATAGTAATTCACTTACCATGATCATTATGTCATAGCCTTTCACTCCATTCCCTGATAGAACAAGTTCTTACATCAAGCTGCCGCAAAAGCGGTCATCAGTGTAAGAATTTTCCTTGCAATTTTTACAAAGTGACGAGCATGAGGATGAGACGACTGCTACTTCTTTTTCTGTTGCTGGAGGCCACACGACAAGAAAAACATAAACAACACTTAGGCTCCGTCTTGTTCATTTTCATTTTCCACACGACCAACGGTCGTGGTCCTGACGTATTTGTTTTATCCTGCTGGATTTCGATTTTCATCCTCATGGATTTTTGTCCTGGTGGAAGATTTTCATCCCGATCATGGACTTTATTATTCATCCTGATGGACTTGAATCCTCATAGATTTTCATCTTGACCACAACCCCTAGCTTCACCCCCTGCCCCTACAACTGCTAAAAAATACAGTTTTATTTCACAAAAAACCGCTCCAGCCTACCCCGTTAAAATTTCAACAAATATAATAGAGTGCGTGTGTGAAGATAAGTAAGTGACACAACTAGAGGCGAGGCGACGCTAATATACAACTACGCACACCTTTTTTAGTGTTTTGCTTTCTGAAGTTGCCAACAGCAGCATCCCGTGCGCAGTTTTGAAACACTTTTGTTGTCAGCTTACGAGCAGGTGTTTATCTTGTCGCTGCATACACATACAGTTGTGTGTGTGTGTCGTGACAGTTTTAGCTTAATATTACTCCGAGTGGAGCAGGTGGCACAAGAGTAAGAGTAAGAGAAAAAGACTGGTACTTGCGTAGTTGGTCACATCAACCTCCACAGGCGGTGGAGTGATGAAGCAAAATTGCAGAAAACTGACTGTGCTTATAGTATGATTTTGTTGTTGTAGTTGTGCCACCTCCGTCATCTTCTAAATTCCAGTGCTTGCACCACAGGGCTGATTTCAGTTTTATCTTTATGTAGCGTTCAATTTGGGGTAGACGCTCATGTACCATACGCATAGCGGCAGCTGCTACAGGAATCAGGACGGCTGTGGAGGAAATGGCTTACTACATCAAAAAAACTTCTACTCTAGTTACGATGCTTACGAACGAATTCTCAGACCGCTACCACAACACGACTACTATACTTTTGTTGGAATTTTTGGAGCAAAAAAATCAAAAACACAAAGTACACGCCGACGCCGGGCGACCTCGTCTGGCCAGCAGCAGCGGCCCTTGATGTGGGGGGAGGTGCAGCTTCAGGTCCTCGGAAAGCTCCGTCGCAAACAAGCTTGCCGGGTCGTGTGTAAAAGACAAAAAGCATTGTCACTCGAATTCATCGGAAGCTCAAACTCTTCATTCATCAGAGTGCAGCTTCTTCCTTCTCTACAAGATTCGTAAGAATCCGGGGCACTTTCTCCAGAGACACTGCAGGGCAGAAGTAGAGAGAGACAAGAGCATTCGCTAGTACGTCGTCGGAAGTACTTGCACTATTTGTACGCCTTGGCACAATTTTCACACCGAGAGATTTGTGCGAGTTTTCTTACTGTGAGAGAGCTTCTTGTGAAGCAGTGCTGTAAGAAAGTATAAGTAGTTTCTTGTAAAAATGTCGGACGTGGGTAGTTCTTCCCCACAACGTTCCTCCTTCGGCAGCAACGAAAACCGCAAAGAAAAAGAATGAGGAAGCTCGTGCTGACGCAAGTCGCTGCTGGCTCGTCCCCCGCCAGCCTGATTTTACTTGCGGAAAACGTGATGAACGCGGGGGCGACAACTACCCAGCCTGCGAGTGAAAAATCTACGCATGCTTCGCTGGAAGCAGATAAAGAAAGCGAAAATGATGTTCTCGTCCAGCCGGACGATCCCAGTGCCTTCCTGGAAGAGGGGACGAAGAAGGCGGCCGTCACATGCAAGCGCACCCTGCCTCATGGATACTGGCACGAATGCTTTAACGACAAGCTTAAGTGCGAAGGTACCGTAGGGAAAACAAGTAGGTAAGTAGTACACCCTTGCAAGAAAGAAAATGAATTGTTCGAAATTCTGTGGCACAAAAAACATTGTGATGCTGCTCCGCAATAAGAGCGGACTGCACGAACACATGCCATGCAGAAGGGAGATTCGTAATTCCGAAAAGGGAAGATCATAGTCGTCAAAGTACCGCGCAGTTTTGTAATGCTGAGCCAGAGCCTGATGAAGCTCAAGAAAAAGAAATGAGGAAAAGAGCAATTGATATTTATAAAAAACTGCGCCAATTCAGCAGATGATATTTTTGCTTTTGGTCGTATTGGTGTACTCCTTGTTGTCCTTTTCCGTGTGATATGCCATAAGGCTATCCAGGAAAAAACACCCATCCGCATCCAATTTGCCATGCAAAACCTACATAAAATCCTTCCTTGTGTTTGTCATGCAAAAAGAAAAAATGGATGTGGATGGGTTTTTTTCTGTGGATAAAGGTAGATCAAGGCGGTTGCGATGGAGTGGTGAGCCTATGGATATCAAATGCAAATCTGTCTAGGTCTGGAAGGATTCGAACTTGTAATGCGCATTTCATAACACACACAAATCTCTCATGCATAGGCCGCAGAAAAAGACGCCCACTTCCTGTAACCAAAATGGGAGACTTGTCATGCGGATTAGGCATCGCGGAACCGTCTCGAGACCTGTGATCATGCTAGGGCGTCCATGCCAGACCTTCTGCGTCATGCAAAAACAGCATGACAAAAATCTCTGTTCTTTCAGACCCAGACATATTTGCATTTGATAATGGAGGGGATCATGAAACGAGTGACGTTCCCGAAAGATGCTGCTGGCCTCTACTAGTAGTAGATGTAAAAGACGACCTTCTATTCATAACAAAAGATGATAAGGAAAGGCCCAAATAATGTGCAGCTCTTATTGTGAAGATGCGATTGCGAAGCAGCTACCAAGAATCACACCTGATTGCGTAGAGCTGAGTTCACTAGGCCTTCTTTTTTTATTTGCAGTGCAAATAAACACCATCGTAATTCTGTATGGGAGGGGACGGCGAGTGAGCTTTTTTTAGCTTCTTTAACCGTTTGGTCCCGCACTCCCTATAATAAAGTCACTCGCTTCATTCCCTCTATAGGAACATATTGGTCCTACGACGACGGAGACACTCAAATGCTGCGTGTGGACGATATGGGATTCTCAACTGTTACATTCTCAACTGTTCTTACATGGATTTGTCACGCAAAAGCACCATTAGCATCCTCACGATCAAGCTGCTCGTCCGCATAACAAATTTGCGAAGGCCTAAATAACCTTAACCTCGCCTAAATCTGTGCGAAACTTGTAATGCTACAGGTGCAAGAACCTTCCCCCTTTCACTTTTCCAGGTCTTGCATCACAAGCTTAATATGCAAGAACAGTTGAGAAGGTATTAGCAGTTGAGAACGCCATAGACGAGTGGTACGGTAGAATGGACGTATCACATTCCGTATCAAATGTAAAAATGTCTGGGTCTGGAAGAATGCAACTTGAACTTGTGATGCTGCATGTGGATTCCAAAAATATCTGTATTGCATGAGCACGAAAGGGAATGCGATTTTTGCTACGCGGAGAGGGCATTTGTCATGCGGAACAGGCATCAAGATTCCCGAAAAACGTCTGTGATGCTAGGGCATCCATCACAGACATCATGGCTCATGCAAAGCGTGCATGACAAGTGTCGAAATCTTCCAGACCACCCAGACATTTTTGCAATGCATATTCCGTGACCGATATCTAACGTCGATGCCGACCTGCCGACACCAGGGCGACGAAATCCGCCGGGGAGTGGTTTTGGTTATGAAGCGATAGCGATTATACAAGAAGACTGTAAATACAATTACAAATGACCGCGCAGCGCGGTTCCAAAATCTACTGTTGGCTGTAAATTTGATATTGTAGGCGGGTTGGTTGTCAAGATCGATTTACATCGTATTTCTTGATCATGCCTAGAGATATAAACTCTTGCTGTATCATATGACTCAGGAAGACCCCAGAAGCAGAAGCTGCAATAGCAATCTCAACCAATTACGACACGACCTCGCCTTCACCTACCAGGAGTTTTCTTTTTCAGGCGCTTGGAGATGAACCCTTATGTGGTTGCGCGTTTTCGTTTTCATCTCAGATTTTCAAAGTTGTTCTGATGTGTTCTTCCGACCGTGCTTGCGAAGTTAGAAGCAGAGGACGGAACGAGAAGGAGAAGTGGCGGGAAGAGCGGTTCCTGTTCCTTTTTGAGGATGATGTTGTGCCTACCTTTACTCACCAAATCAAAGCTAAAGTAACTGGACGCTGGAAGATCTTGTTCTCTCGCAGAATTTTTTAGTAGGCGCGGTACCCTTGTTGTGTCTTTGTGGTTCAACATCCAGTAGCTCAAGCTCGAATTTCCATAGCACTTTTGTTTTTATTTGTTTTTGCGGACATCCGCCGCATCTAGATGTCCCCACGAGAGCGCCGCATGACGGGCGGTGTGACTTATGTGTAGGATATGGCGATCCAGATCCTACTTCGGAGGTTGGTTCTTCTTGTTTTCTTTTCGCCGTGATATCTAGCACGGGCGACCGCTTTTTCTGTCGACAAAGTCGTGTCCTCTATCAGCAGATGCCAACAGCATGTAGGAAGATCGTCGCGACTTATGCAGCACGGAAGATCGTGATTTTTGATTTTGGAGGTACTTACTCCAGTCGTTCCATTCTGATCATCTGGAAGATGGATTTTATATGAAGGACATTTTTCTCATTGGGTGGATTGGCCACGATGATCATTGTTTACGTTTTGCTTTTGCTCTCGACGCTCCTGCAGTAGTTTGTTATTCTTGATCTTCGAAGATCATGGTATGGAGCTACATCGTAAGTACATATGAACAGTACTAGGCGCCTCCCGGATGCCTGCGCAAGATGCTGTTCTACTTTTCAAGGGCACATATAAATGCGCCAAAGGTCGTAAGAAACAAACCTCCTGGAAGATTAAGATATGAAAACTAGTTGAGTAGCGTTAGCGACATCAAAGACTTCTTCTTGTGGTCTAAGTCTAGATCTACACATAATCGACTAGAAGTTCCGACTCGACTACCTTTTCAATCACGCTGAGGTGCAGGACACCGCTCTAAATTATCATAATTTAGAGCGGTCAACATAATATGTTGACCGAAATTTATATAATGCGAATGCCTCGAGTTGTTCTTGCGGCAGATGAACCAGCAGGAAGAGAACGAGGGCCACCACGGTCGTTCTTGGCCCCTCCTCCAAATCTCCCAAACCAAAGTTGTTCAACGTGGTTCTGGCGCCGGAGCCAGCACCTCAAAGGCCACAACAAGAACAACATTGTCCTGAAGAAACTCCTATCAAGTGCAAAAGTATCGTACTCGTACTAATTGCAGTCATGCATGACAGATCTACTTTCTAAGGGAAAACAGCATTACAAATTGCATTTTTGTTGGTGAGCAAATTTGTCATGCATTTTATACTAGTATGATACTTTTGCAATGCATAACTCCTCTACTTTCTGTGCCTCGCCGAACTTTTCTTCCCTGTGGCCGCAATCGACGTGGCTGTGAGTGTAAAAAGCCGGTTTCTTGCAGCAGATAGAACGAGGAGCAGTAGTATGCACCAAGGGGACCACGAGCAGGTGCTGCAGCCGCTGCAACCACTACAACTCGCACAACAAGACTACACGAAAAATTATACTAGTGCCTCCAGCACTACAACAAGAAACAGAAAAACGTCGGAAGATCCTGAGCTCGCGGTTTCTACTTTTGAGAAGCACTTTGAGCCGCTAGCCCGCGCGCACCGCTTGTTCGACGACCTGACCATCAAACGGAAGGAGCCAGCTGTGGGCAGACGGTCGAATGCTTCGACTGGTAGTGCAAGAACACGAACAGGAGCGGGGACCACAACCACCAGCAGCGCGACGGGCAGCAAGAACGGGGATAATTATGAGACACAGCATATTAACGAGGGCCAGGACGTTAATGACCTTCTTCTCTCCGAGCCGGTTGCTGGTTACTCCGTCGAACTCCGGCCCAAATCTTCCGAGTACGATAAACTTGCTATCCAACGGAGAAAGTCACCAGGCCGGGTATATTTGTATGCGTAAAAATAAATGATATTCAAATATCTATTTCCATGCATATCCTCGACAGCGCGCTACCGGCTCGCCCATGACTACAGATTTTTCTGTTAATCTGTTTTTGCGTGACAAAGATGCCCGGCGGGCTGTTTTTTTCTATGGGATACTTCTCACCGACAACGCGCTAGACAATGCGTCAGGCCCGGTGTCGCCGGGGTCCGCGGACGTGCTGCTGACGAACAGACAGCTTTCCGCCTTGGTTTACCGGTTCGTGAACCACATAAAAACCGCGAGGGGGGCGAGGAAAGAAGCGTTGTCAGATTTCGAAAGATTGCAGCTCTTCGTGAACATGACCTCGAACTTCCCCCAGTACCGCGGCGCTCTGGCAGGGATCGGCACGTTCGTATGGTTGGAAGATTCTCAAACGTTACACACTCAACTGCTGGCGCTACATGGATTTATGTTGACGCAAGAATAGGAAAAGTGAAGAAAGGGGGAGCTTGCGCCCCCTCTCGCGTTACAACTTTGGAACAGATCATCTTCAATCGTTCTGCTGGGCCCTTCGACGATTTGTCATGCGAAGCAATTCAATCGTGGTTGTGTGTGCTGATGATGATTCTGCATGGAAAATCGTGCAACAATTGAGAATGTAAAAACGGTTGAGAATCATGTCATAGCTCGGGTTGGAAAAGTACACGGTGGACCAGTTTGTGGGGGCTGATGCTGATGGTGAGGGCAAAAATGCTGCGGCTGTTTCTACCATGGGCATCGACGAGGACACTGATGACGTCGAGCAGCTTATGCAGAAGATTCCCCATTACGGTGTCCTTGCGCGCAGGAAAGCGTTGGACGGCAAAACCGACCACTCGGCGCGGCAGTTTCACCGCGAACAAACGTCTTCCCCCACCTCGAAGAGCTTGGTCTGGATCGCCGGGGAGCATATTTCGGTCCCGTTTCTGAATTCCCCGGATGACTCGTTTCTCCGGAAAGTGTTGCTCCGGCTCCACAAGTTGAACAACGCGAGAAAGATCATGGCCAAGAACAACTGGACCAGAGAATGGCTGCAGAACCGGAAACGACAGGAAGACGCGGAGTTGAAATCAGCGCAGTTCGATCACGAACATTTGTTCGAAAAGCTGACGAACTCCGGTAGTAGAAGAACATCACACCAGGGCACCATAAATCATGAAGCCACTACTACTTCTCCCGCAGATCATGGTGGAAAGATGAAACTGACGCCGACAGTGAAGCTTGTTCTACAGGATGAACTTTCCACTGTGGAAAAGTCGCACGTAAATGAGGATGACGGGGGCTATATCCTATGTACAAACATGATCCCCACACCAGAGTCAAGATGGGAAATCTGCTAGACAAATCAGCCAGCTTTGGTTGTTTCGCATGATAAATTTGGCCACGTAGTGCAATCCTGTTTAGCTAGCTCCAGCAGCATCACACAAATTTAGCATATTGCCATGCTGATTCGAGCATCACGAAGCCCGAAACACGACGGCGAAACGCTTCGCATGGGGCTCCGCATGAGAAACATTCTTGGCATGCAGATTTGCATGACAACTCTGGGGCGGGGATGTTTTTACTCAGAATAGGCTATCACGCAGAGGACCGCAAGGACTCGGATGAAGAAGACAACTCTTCAGTATACATTGCAAAAGTATCGCACTAGTGATAGTTGTGTAAACCGCATGACAAATTTCCTCAGCGTGAAAAGGAAAATTTGTGTGGCTGATTTACCTTAAGAATAGGATTTCGATTTGTATATTATGCATGTCTGCTAGGATTACTACTCGATATTACGATTGCAATGCATATTCAGATGACCAGGATGACGACTCGGACGAAGAGGCTGTGGCTTCGAAAAAGCGCGGTAGACGGAAGAGAAACAGGAGCAAAAGAAGCCGACGAAAGAACAGAAACAAGAAAAAGAAAGGTAGAAATTCTTCTGCATCGACGTCTTCAATGGCGACCTCCACCGGGCGGTCCTCGGTGACCAACACAGCTCATATGGTCTTTGACCCCTTCGACAAAAACTATGCATTTTTGCAAAAGCCATATCTTGGTACTACTTGTAGTAATTGCAGTCACGACGGCGTACGCGTACATATTATTACGCACCATCACAAAGTCCATTTCATCTCAACATCAAGCTGAAGATGAAATTTGTATATGCAGAATACTACAACTAGTGCGGGCAGGATACAACTTTTGCGCAGGATAAAAATCAATTGAAAACCATTTTGGAATTCCTTGCGTTCCGGGGGACATTTTACCTCTTCTCGGTGAACCGCAACGTGCAGAGCATTCTGGAAATTCTGCACGCGGAGCCAGCAGTCGTAGTTCCTGAAACGTCGGAAATAAAGAACTCTACATCTTCACCAAGTGCAAGTGCTGCTGCTCCCCGCGGCGCCGGCGTCGCGATGAAAAATAAAGGTCTTGCCGAGGAGAGTACTACTAGCGAGGAGGCCATTGCAACGCTCCCCCCTGCGCTGAAGGGCTACCGCTCCAATTTTTCCGCGACGAAGCGGTCCGTTTTCCTCTAGCAAAATGAAAAATCCACCCCCCTCCCCATATTACAACTGCGGGAATCTCCTGTGATGCGGGATTTGTGTACACAAATCACATCTGTCTTGCAAAAAAGCACTGCACGCAGATCGCAAGCCTAACGGGGGGCCTTTTGGTGTAGGGGCCTAGCATGGCAGAACTCTGCCCTCTAGGCCTTGCAGCATTACAAACCGCCTGCATATCGCGGCGGACTCTCTGGCTTTGCCTTCTGGCAAGACAGACAGGATGCGTGGTCACGAATCTGCATAACAAATTTTCGGAAGGGCGTGCTCTTTTCAATATGGGGAGGGGGGATCTTTCCTTGCAATATCCTGCGTGTTTTTCTCACCGATTTGATGAACAGCAGGGAGCTGTGGACGGAATTGGCCAAGATGGAGAAGGAGGTGGACGAATTGCAGCCGCGCCTGCGGATTGGGGACAGCGTGCTGGAAAAGTCTATCTTGCAGAAGAATCAACTGAAGGAAATTAAGCTGCTCCTCTCCATTATGGATGTGTCAGGATGATCGAAATCGACAAAATCGAACTTGTAATGCATAAAATGTAGGGCGCGCAAGGTCTGTGTTGGGGCGCAGGCAAATGAGACAGATTCCAAGCCTGTTTCGGGGAAGACGATGTGCTGCCAGAGTAGCATGACAGGAGCAGTCCTCTTTGCCCAAACAGCATGACAAAGTGGATTTTGGTGCTCCCGAAATTTGTCATGCGCTACTTGGAAACTGAGGCTCCAACTGGTATCGATTTTATGCATTACAAATCATTTCGATTTTGTTGATTTCGATCCTGACACTTCCATATCCGTCTTCACGAAGGGGAATCTTTTCAGGCAGCTCAAGTACGCCGGCAAAGGCATGCTTGGTTTGGTGGAAAAGAAACTGATGGAGACCATAGCTTCCGCGGAGGCAAGTGCAGCAAGTGGGAGTCGTGCATCAACCGGAGTAGATGTTGAACATGGTGGAGGAAGCAAGGACCACGACAACGCAATAAATCCAGGGCTCCCGAGCAGTCGGAAAATCCTGTTTGACGCGGGGTTTATCCACAGTGGTTTCGACTTCTACCAAAGTTCGATAAAAACAGCTGGTGGTGGAGCAGCAGTAGAGATGTTGTCGAAGAACAAGAACAGTATCAAAAAAGATTCGACATCATCGACAAAAGAACAATTCTCGAAACTGAAGGAGAAACTGCTTCCCCAGCTCCTGCCCGCCTTCTCCCAGTCCTCTTTGCCCCTGATTTTCGCACACGGACTGATCTACGAGGGGTTTTACACCAAAAACACTAATTATGGAAGCGTCAGAGTCAAAATCGACAAAGTTGAAATAAGTAATTTGTGATGCATAAAACGGATACCAGTTGGCGCCCAGTTTTCAAATGGAGCATGACAAATTCGGGTACTTAGAACCTAAATCCAGTCTGTCATGCTGTTTGGCTAAGGAAGACGCCTTTTGTCATGCTACTTCAGCAGCGTTATTCCTACCCCTCCACAGGCTATACAATCTGCCTCACTTGCCTACTCTGCAAGACAGGCACTTTGTGGCTTGCATTTTATGCATTACAACTTTGTTGATTTCGATCCTGACACTTCCATACCAACGTGGAAGCGAAAATGGAGTCGAGGCAGTTGCAGGATTCCGACCGCTATCCAGTGCAAAAGTATCGCACTCGTAGTAATTGCATTTATGCATGACAAATCTCTTTCTTAGGCTGAATCCGCATGGCAAATTCCCTTTGTCATGCTGAGCTAATTTGTATTGCAATACTACGAGTACGATACTTTTGCAATTCATAACCGCAAGAAATCGAAGCAGCACACGCTGTCGGCGAAAACCGTCCTACAGTCCGTGCCGACCCGGGTATCCTGTGCAAAAGTTATCAACTTGTATTGCAATCATGCATTACAAAAATTTGTTAAGGTAATTCTGCATTACAAATTTTATTTCTCATGCTGAGGAAATAATTTGTAATGCATTTATACGAGTGCGATGCTTTTGCATTTCATGCCGGGCCCTGAGCACCTACTCGCTGGTGGCCAGGCAAGCGGAAAAGACGCACTTCTACCACCCCTTGGTCTACTCGAACTTGGATGGGTATGGATGGCAAATATGGCTGGGTCTGGAAACTTGTAATGCTAAAAGTGAATGATAGACGCACTGCAATTCGCAGCTACGCATGGCAAATTTTCTGGCGTCCATGTCTTACGTATTCCGCATGGCAAACTGCGCTTTTGTATGACAGGTAAGAGGGCCGCTTCGTGCCTATGCAACACAGATTCTCGAGTCATGCCAGACAAGCATGACAAACTTGCATTTTTCCAGACCCAGACACTTTTGTATTTGATAATGGGCTGAGTTTCACGAAAATCGAGCCGAAATTGCACCTGAGCGGGGGCATTGTGCCGTTAATCCAGGAAGAGAAAAAGCACGGAATTACTATGGCGTGCTCAGGTCTGTTACTTACGAACAATCTCAAACGTTACGAACAAGAGAGGCGTGAATTTGTGTTGCAAAATGCCACTGCGCAACATCTGGCGTAACTACTCCAACAGGATTGCGCATGACAAGTTCCGGAACTACATAAGACCCCACTCAAATCCCGCGAAACTTGTGTTGCGTAAGCCGCGAGGCTCGGTATTTTTCTCATGCGGATCATGCGCGACACTATTGTATATGTTTGAGATTGTAGTGCCTGAGCGGGTCATAGTTACCAGCTTTGTGGAAATCTTCAACGCGACCGAGTACTCCGCGGACTTGTGGAACGAAAATTGGGAAGTACAACTTCTCGATTGGGATACGCAATACAAATTTCCCGTACATGTACAACATGCAAGACAAAGTTCGCCAATTTGAAGTTGTGGAACACTTGCCATGCCAAAGAACTAGTATGGAAGCCGAGTTTTCGTTTTGTCATGCAGGGACCGCATCAGTACGGCGCGTACGGGAAATTATTTACTGTGGATAAGGGAAGATGAAGGACGACAAGAAGTGGATCACTCTGAGTCCTCTTCCTCTTGGTGGACGACCCTCACGAGTAGCACCAAGAACACTTCTCCCAGCACGGCGTCCTCGAAAGTAGAAACGATGAGGCAAAACACCACCAAAAACCAAGATTTGGTGTTTGTTGTCGGGAAAAACACGGAGAACTGGGCTCGGTTTCTGCGCAAATTAGAGTCGAACAACAGAGCCGCGGCCGCCGAAGGACACGACGAACAGGCCGAGATGCTGACGAGCGGCGCCAGCAGCACTCCAACCCGCGGCGCAGTGTCCGTGATCCATTTCCCGAATGTAACGGAGTTCTTCGCGAAACACATTGATACGCGACCACAAGGTGAAGGTGCTGGCGAGGATTCGCTGAAATCCGATGCTCAACATGACGAAGCCGAAGAGCGGGTTTCTACAAAAACCATCCTGGAGGAAACTGGTAGGTTTGTCGTGTGCAACGGTGTGGTAACGTCTTTGGGAAACCACGACATCGTGATAGCATCTTCCAGCGATAGCAATTACGACACCACATCAGCAACTGCGACGTCTGGGTCTCGATCTTCAGCTTCCTCGAATGAAAATACGAAAAACTACGGAAAAAAACCCCACGAAAACATTGGCACGGTGTTTCCCTTCCCCTGTACGCCCCAGATTATGGAGGTGTTGGGAAAAAGACCAGACTATCAAATGTAAAAATGTCTGGGTCTGGAAGATTGCAACTTCCTTGTCATGCTAAATCTGAAGCATGCAAAAATCCAAAAGTCGTCCAGTTTTGACCAAGTCGGGAGGGACTTTCTCATGCAGGATAGGCTTGAGAGAGATCGCACAGAATCTGTCATGCTAGGTCCTGCATTCCAGACCCCATGGGTCATGGAAAAGCAGCATGACAAGTCGTGCATTCTTCCAGACCCAGACATTTTTGCCTTTGATACAGACTGGGAAGAGGCGATAGCGCGGGACACGAAGCGAACGCTGAAGATTTTTTCCTCGAAGGATGAAAATGCGGCTGGAAAAAATGATGTCCAGCCCGGGGTCCTCGCGATCCTGGAGCCGCTAGCGCCGTCCACCCCCATTGTCGCGCGGACCTTGCTATGCTGTGCAAAGGTATCGTACTCGTAGTAATCGCAAACATGCATTACAAATCTTGTTCTCAAGCTAAATTCGCATTACAAATTTTATTTCTCATGCTGGGGAAATTTGTAATACATTTATACGAATCATGCGACACTTTTGCACAGGATATTTACAGTTTCTGCACGAAGACAAGAACATCGGGAATTTTGACTTGATGATCCACCTTATCATAGAACCAAAAAGTGTTAGCGTTAATAACGGGTCGTTTTGGCATGCAGTAAGTGCGCGTGGGAAATTTTGATGTTGCTCAAATTTGTCTAGCCTAGGATGCATGATATTGATACACAGAGAAGATCTGTCATGCATGATTGCAACTGGTGTGCGTCACCGCCGTTAATCAATATAGCGCTTTTTGAACCGATCCACCTAGCGACTCCGATTGTGGAATCTACTGCGGAACTGCTCGAAGCGCCGAAACACAACGCGATCGGTATGGGGTTTTCAAACGTTACATTCTCAGCTGTTACATGAATTTGCCATGCAAAATTGCCCACCCCCCGGGGAGGGGATCCTTGACCTGTGGCGCTGGGAGCGGGTGTCCACTACATGATGACGATGATGATGAAGCTGCTTCGCGTGACAAGTTCTCGACGCGCTAGATAGCATTTTAATCTGCTCCAAATCTGTAATGCAAAAGGCGCAACCTTTTCATTTTCCTTTCACTTTTGCCATTCTACTTGCATTACATATTCATGTAACAGTTGAGAGTGTAACGCTTGAGAGCGCTATAATCTGGCGGGATCTGCGACACTGGACGAAACTTTCCATCTACGGGAACGAGGTTGCGCCGGGAGAAACGTATCCACAGAAAAAAACCAATCCCCATCCAGTTCTTGCATGACAGACACAGAGTTTTATGTTTACGGGATAAATATTTCGAGTGAAAGCATCGTCAGCAAGATCGGTCTCGTTCATATTCATCGTTCATACATTCATTTACAGCCCCGGCTGGGATTTCTGGATATTTTTTCAGTTTTCTGGATTTATATCAGACATTGGTATACCATTAGGTCAACCTTCACTCCTTTTTCTGACACCAGGACTTCGGTTCTCGTGGACGAATTAGGGGAGGAGGGGTGTTTTCTGGAGGGGACACCGCCCTCTCGGATTTCTGATCGACGATGGTCGTCAGATTGACGAGAAGGATACCTTTGTCACAGTCACGCCCTGGATAGTAAATCGCGCAAGCGAGCCCCTCGCTACAACCATGTTGTGGCGTTACTAGTAGGCAGCAGGCAGTTCATCTTGGAAAGCTTAGACCAAGCTGGCAATCGTACCACTGTAGGCAGTTCACGGCAGAACTAGCCCTTGTCGCTTCGTTGTTCGACACCAGGCAAGCAGAATGCTCGCAAATAGACATAGTATGCAAGCAGAGAGTTCAAAGCTGAGACACAGAGCAGAGATACCACGACGCATGAGAGAAAACATTAGTGAGCTTGGATTTTTCTTCTACCATCTCATAACCAGAAACAGTTTAGCACAGAATGCCCCGCCACGTCGGGTATGCGCCGGGCCTCGAAGGCTCGGTGCTGTCACCAGTAGTAGATATCCGAAAGACAAAAGCAGAATTATGGCAGCAGTCAGACAAATCGATGGGTCTGATAAATTTCCCGGTCCCAAGAATAAACACGGACTACTTGTGGCAGGGGAGAGCGGTAGGAGACGGCAGACCACTGCCGGACTTCCTGCACAGGACACCACGGGCAGCATACCTCCCGCCAGTGAAGTACGAAAACAGCAACCCACTGAAAGCGCAGGTGTATGCAGTGCGCGCCAAGTGGATACCAGAGCCCAAGGACGAAAAGATATGGGCGAAGCTAGGAACAGCGGAGATTTTTGGTATAGATTAGTCCCCTTTTTAGCGGATACATTCATAAAGCTGCATGATGCGAGCACATGACACATGCGAGCATATTATTCCCGGCCAACGACTCATCAGGTCTGCCAGAGGCTTTCTTCGAAGTGGAAGTGATCCTGCGCACGCAGTACAGCGCGAGATACGGTTTAGCGGAGCAGATGTTCGTGCTACCCAAGATGGTCTGCCCAGTGGGAATCCTGTGGATGCAAAAGTTGACTTTCACCCGAGAACGAGACAGACTGAAAGCCTACGAGGCAAAGTTCCAAACGGAGCGGAACTACACAAGATACAAACTTTTCATGCACAGTGACCGCTTGTGCAAAGAGTTAGAAGAGGATATAGAATCTCTGTACAACATAGAGCTAGAAACATCCATCTGCGATCAAAGAGCAATCACCTGGGCGGATTTGTATGCCTTCTCCGGCTCGCAACGAGCACGACAGATCTTCAACAGGCACTTCGTAGAGCAGCACCAGATGCACGAAGCGTGCATAAGAAGTTTCAACTACGACATCAGCCCACCCCCGCCGTGCACTTTCTATTGTCATGGCAGATCAAATTTAGCTTTCAGAACACGGGTGAGAATCTCCGAATTACACACCAGGATCAAAAAGGAAAAAATCGAAAAACCGGACGGACAGCTAGCGGATGAGTATAGCATTGATGCGGATGTTGAGTCAGATACAGACTAAATGCAATTTCCCAAAAACAGTCAGCGATTGATTCCTCCTAGCACAGAAGCGGCGTCCACGTAGATACTCAAATCTAACGAAGAAACTAGTCTTAGCATAAGAAAGAACAGCAAGTTTAGCAGCAACTAGCAGTAAGTTTTTGTTTATTAACATTTCAGCCGTTATCGAGTTTCACTTTGACAAAAGCAAGATTGGAAAATGAGTGGCATCAGCCACGACGTTTCTATCAAGAATTGCGAAGCGATGCGTGTCGGGAAATGTGACAACTTAGCTGATTTAGTGGGGAAGCAGGGGGCTAGCATCCTGAGCCTGCTTGAGGACCTGGTCAAAAATGGTGGCAAAGATGATTTAGGATCTAATGCAGCCGGGATCTTCATGAATGATCTTACTTCTAAGCACAACTCCCACTTAGGCACCGACGGAACTCGTGTTCCGATTCTGTCCGAAGGACAGAGCCAGAAACTGCTGCATGTGTACAGATCCTTGGCGCAGTTCGCTATCACCACAGTGATCCCGGCGCTCAGCGCCAAGGTCGCGGCTTATAGTGAGTTGATTGATGAGTTGTGGGTGGACTTAAACCCCGCCATGGTGCAAACTGTTTTCCCGAACTGGATGACTTTTTGTGCCGAGTGTGCAGCGAAGATTTATTTTTTGCGAGGAAAGCTTGCTCTACCAGAATTGCAAATGTCCCAGGAACTTAAGCACTTCAAGTATGTGTGCACCAAGCGTAGGACCGATGGCATTACTACCTCCGGGTTCGTCCCGGTCATGGGAGGACAGGCCACTGGAACCACGACTACGGAATTAGCATCCCAATTGACTACCCATCTCTCCAAAGAACCGTACTTCGTGGCGTACGAAGACGAAGAATTAGAAGAATTAGGAGAAAAGGTTTTGAACCTAGCGAAGATGTATTCCAAGACGATGGACGAAGATATGAAAAAGAAGTATGAAAAAGCAGGGCGGTACGCATTCGGACTGCCCGGTGCGCAATCGTCCAGCTCAGGCGGATCCTCTTCTTCTTCTAGCAAGGGAGGAAAGTAATTTTTCATACAATTCAGCTTAGGTACATGTGTGAGAGTGGACGCCGCATGTATGTGTTAAAAATAGCGATTAGCAGCTAAACACAGCCTATAAAATACCCCGTTTCTTTTATTTTTTGTTGAAGCATCGCCATCCAGTAAGATTCTACAATGGGAAGCTGCAGCTCCAGAGCGGACGAGCAGCCTACAGCTCGAGGGAGTGCAGTCTCCAGCGATGATGAAAGCGATATCATCGACACAACATCCGATAGCACGAACCGCGAGCAAGACACGATAGAGCGATACGGTTTCGGTCTGATCCGGAAAAAACCAGAAAAGTATAGAATCATACATGATTTTCACAGTTCCTGATGCTTTTCTGTGGGCAGATGCTTTCAGTAATGCATACCTGTCTTCCATCAAATACACTTCGACACACCATACAGGTTTGATATCATGTCGGCGCTCGGAAAGCCTGCTGAGCACGTACTGACAAAAACCGAAAGAGCAAATGCTTTATCGACGATGATAGCACATGCGATACTATCTCAATGCTGCCGGGCCAGCGGAACAGTCGAAAGAGCCTTCTTCGGAAAAATGATACAAGACACAATAGAGGTACAGTTCATATTAGCTTCCATGTCTGGCATGAGTGCCAAAATTTACATCACACTCATGATGGACACCAGCATGCGATGCAAAGAAATTGCACACCACCAAAATACATTTCCCAGGTCCGTACCCTGAAGGATATCCAGAACATACACCCGCTGATTCAAAATTTCTTGCGGACAACTACCTCCCCAGTGGCGGTGCATGAAATCCCGAGGCCAGGATTGCGTTATTACGAGTCGGGAAATGTTTTCTGGTCTACGACAGAAAAAGAATTCTTGACATACGTAGTGAATGGATCCATGAAAAAAGGGTGCAAATACAAATTGACAGCACCGGCAGAAGAAATTTTAGATGGAAAGTGAATACTCGATTCCAAAAACGCAGCTGATTTGAAACAAGAAAAACTTTTAATGTAGATGTACATGTTGCTACGGACCAAAAATCAAAGCCCTCACCACCGGCTACGTAAGCCTGCCAGCTTGTTTCATTCAAGCTTGATGTTGAATTCTCTACGGCACAGCGTCTAGACATGGTAGACCGTTTTCTCTTGGTTTTGGAAGTTGCAAGATGACAGTTCGTTCGTAGAAGGTGCGGCACCACACAAGGCAGACATAACAGCACATGCAATCGTATACAGAGCTATCAGTGTCAGTGTGTAAGATCCGGAAATCACAGTTTGAGTTGCGTTTTCGTGCGTGCCCGGAACTCCCATGTGACCCTTTCCATGAAAAAAGCCTTAGCGGCAGTTACCTACGTGTAGTTGTTTTGAGTTTAGTAAGTGAAGGATGACAGCTTCGTCGTCTTCTCAGGGCCCGGACCAAAAACCGGGAAGCGGCGCTCCGGACGCACCGCCAAGCGGTCCACCGGCCGGAGCATCGTCGTCCAAGAAGAACATTGCACAGGATAAAGAAAAATCGAAGATGTCGGGAGACAAAAACCAGCAGCAACAAAAGCTAGCTGGGGGAGCAGATCAGCAGCTTACGCCGGCGGATGACACCTCAGCAACCGAGGCAAACAAAGACTTCCAGATTGGTACGATTCGCATCACAGACGCAGTCTCGCAGTGCGAGCCTCCAAAGCAGTTCACCTCAATGGAGAACGCGACCATCTTCAATGAGAAAGCAGGACAAGCCTGGGAAGCTTTTCTCAGCGACCCAGCCCAGTACGCAGATGGGATCTCCATACTACCGAACAATAAGTCGGTGCAGCGCCTGATAGTAGAAAAACTAGCCAACATCAATGAGGGAGATGAGCTGGACTTGCAGAACCTGCAGGCGATGGCGGATATAATCTGCACAGCACTGGTCAAGACGTCGCTGTATGCGCACGACAACGGACCAATGATGATCCAAGCCATGGCGGAAGGTGCATGTAAAGCGAACGGAATCGACTACGCCTCACCGTCAAAAGCCTTCGGCGCAATAGTAGGTGACGCGGGAGTGAAGCTAGCAGCCTACATCAGGAAAATCTTCTCGCTCTTTGTGAACAAAGTGTGCGACGGCAAAATCTCACAACTCCCGAAGCACGTAAACGGCGTTTTTGTGCACGTCAATACCAGATCAACGATGGGACTCATTCAGCAGATGATTTGGTATTTTTAGCATACAGCCTATTTTTGTTAGCAAAGCAGCTAATGACAGCACATTTATCGAAGCCGACACGCATTAATATTCCCCCCTTCTCTTCAAATATCAGGACAATGAGAGCGCAGATTCTGGTCACAGCGCCAGAAAGCGCAGCGAGGGACAAGGACATTTACGGAAGGGACCGCTTCACCGAGCTACTGCCGGACGCCATACAAGAAATCCTCAACCTGGGGCACACCAAAATCGCAGGGCTGGATTTGTCGTCGGAGGGCGGCAAAAAGCGGCTCGGGTGGAACGTCCATGACTTTCACGACCTAACCAGCAAAGCGAACGGCCTTGCACCGAGCTGGCCATGGGCAGGGATCGCGTACACGACTTTCTCCGACTTCGCAGCAGCATGGAGCAAGAAATTTGTACCACCACAGCAGCCCGAAGTAGACTTGTCGAAGTCCATATCAGCCCCGAAGAAATCAGCATTACAGCTAGACTTCTCCGGTAGCATCAGGAGAAAGTTCCAGCTAGCACAGCCAGATAGCACCGACCAGTCTTTGCAGGGCCAGGTAAAGCAAGAAACAGCAAGCTGGGCGAGCAAGTTACAGCCAAACAGCAAAAAAGCACAGCAGCAATACATCCCACAAAGCAATCCAGCACACCCTCTCAACCCAACGAACGCAGGAAGCTTACAGTCTTTCCTAGGTTTCGGAGCAGCAGCCTCGTCATCATCGAATACAGCAGCAGCTTCCTCGGCAGCAGGAGCAGCACAAGTTAGCTCCTCCAGTGCACACAAAAACTTCTTCAGTCAGTTTAGCAGCAAAAGCAAGAAAAATGGCGTAGCTGTCGGCAACGATAGCAGTAGCGATAGCAGCGACAGTGACGACAGCAACAAAGCAACATACCCGAGCAACATGGTGTTGGGGAAAAAGCAGAAAAAGCAGCACGCATACCCAAGGCAAGCACAGAACCAAAACACCATGGTGTCAGCTCTTGATTTACTTTTCGCCAAAACAGAAGAGGACGCCAAAAAAGCAGTAGTCACAGAGCAGCAAATGGAAGTCGCATACCACTACATAATGGAAGGAGACCCGACCGCTTACGATGTCCCTTTCGACGAGCAAAATGCGATCCCGCACAACGTCAGGAAGTACACGGCTCTAGACCCAAAAGGAGACCTGAACCCGATTGACTTTGTGCAAGCAAAACACGAAGTCGAAGTCACGCTAGTAAAAGGCTTAGCAGCGATGGAAGAAGGCGAACTAGAAGACCGTGCTTTTCCTTTCTCTTCTGTTTTTCTGATGATGAGTTATGCACATTGTCATGAAAACAATGATACAGACCCTTTGATATCATTCTTCAAAAAATTTCTTATCAGTCCGCCCCCAGAACGACAGACACTTTGCGTGCACGACGAAAGCTGTGCTGTTGCCTTTCAAAACAGTAGTTGAAGCCGGAAGAGAAAAAGCCAAGGATTTTGTCTTCGACGTGACGATAATTGGACAGCAGGGTAGATTGCGAAAAGAGAGATGGCGCGACATGCTGAAGGATCACCCGAACGGATGTAAGCTAGAGCCGAGCAAAGCCAATTTCAATTGGCCAAAATCCTTCGTGGACAAGGACAGAGTAATGAAGACGCTGCTGCAGATCACAAGAGGGGCAGCGGCTGACGATTCCCACCTGTGCAATAGAATCGGGGTAAAATCGCCGCAAGAGCTGACAGAGCTGAGGAGGATGTTAGAAAAGGTAACCCCCTTTGTTAAGTCAAGAATACATTGAGCAATAGCCAAGTGCACACAGCACGAGCATGACAGACATACAGCACTGCACCACAAACCTGCAGCATACATTATTTCCTCTCTCCCTCCCAGGTCAAGGACGACTGGGCGCCGAACAGGAGTGACGGCGACAGGAGCCCGCAGATCTCAAGCAGAGCCAACGCGTTCTTGTTGGTCGAGAAGTTTAGTTACGCGGCCATCTTAGCTGCAGCGCCACTGCTGAAGGGGGTGTGGACAGACAGTGCAGAAAGCAAGTACGGTTTAGTAGCGTCGAACATCAGAGAAGACGCAATCTGGAAAAAGTTTTGTGCCGAAAAGTTATCGCAAGCGAAGGGAGTTTTAGTAGTAATCGACAAGCTACACACCGACGAAAAGTTCAACAAAAACGACTTCAAGCCAAAAGACTACACAAACGCCTTGAAAAAGTGGTACATGGACGTGAATGAAGAGGATCAAGAAGACAGGGACTTCATGGAGAAGATCAAGAACGCCAAAGGGAAAAACAGGAAGGGAAAGAACAATAATAACAACAACAACAACAAGGGAGGAGGCGGCAGAGACAACAAAGGAGGTATCAGCTTAGAACATTTTAGCTTCTTGCATCATGCATGCATGCAATATAGGTAGCTTTGTTGTTGCCTCGAGAAATGCAGCACCAGTGAGTCACTATATCTTCCTTTCTGTTACACTCCAGGAGGCAAAGGCCGAGGAACAGGAAAAGGAGGAGGAGCAGGCACAGGCAAGGGCAGTGATGAGAACAAGGGTTTCTTCTTGTTCTTGGATCACACGCGGAATAGTATTTGCGAAGTCATCGACAAAGACCCGGCCAAGTTCAACTTCCAGAATTGCTGCATCCCGGCGCTGGCCGAAAAATACGGCATCACAAATGCGCAAGGAGAACTAATTTCTTGCAAACATAAGGATGGTAGTGAGTGTAGGAAAGACAAGTGGCACTCGCAAGCAGCCAAAGTCTACAAAGAAAATCCCACTGTGAAAGCAGTCCCCAAGCCAACCAAGAAGGCAAAGAAGGGCGCCCCTTCAAGTTCGACAGCTACCACTACCAGCAATGACACCGAGGCAGCCACAGCTGAAGCTGGAGCGGCTGCTACGGCATAATCGTTTCGATCACAAACATTGAATTCTTCATGAGAGTATCAGTCTCGCTCGTTTTTCATGTCTGTCAAACACAAATTTACTGCTGTACAAGATGAATGACGGAACCACTCATACCTGATTCATAGCACCATTGATGACAAGGTTGCCGAGGCAAGGCTGCCTACTTTGTCCTCACAAATACAGTTCGTGTTATCGATTCTGTAACACAAAGAGTTGTGAGAGTGATTTTAGATGATATGACAAGGAACAAGAGGACCAGTATTCAGACCTGCATACTAGCCAACGCGCCATTTTTTCCTCTCCTCAAACCCACATAGCAAGCGGACAATGACCATGGAAAAATGATGACTCTCTCCTTAATCTTCGCTGCGGCAGCAGCAATACAACCTCGTGCAGTAAGCCTCCGAACCCCCAAAAAAGCCACCGACAGGATGCCGGTAGTCACACCAGACTGGAAGATGTCGGTAGACCACCTGAGGTCAACGCACGACTTGACTACGACCCGCTCACAAGATTCCAGCGGGAAGCAGAAAGACTAGACAAATTAGTCGAGGACTTGTTAAAAGTGGAGCGCGACAACGCTACGACGATAGCGGAGTACGAAAAAGAAAAGCCGGATCATATCAAGAAGATCAATGACTACTTCGAAGGATGGGACACGATTTACAATACAAAGTATTAGTTATGTTTGATCCTTTTTGGAGTGATGCACCTTTGTTTCTTGAGTATCGATCGTTGCATGCCATCGACATCATTCATTTTTATACACCGCAGGAGGATGAACACCTTCATGCACTTTCACGCAGCGGAGCAGTGCAATTATTTGGACCCGGACCGCAGGGCGCTGCTTTACGGGAAAAAAGGATATGTTAGTTGTGGTTTAGAAAGTCAGGGGCAGCTGCCCAAATATGGAGCCTGGCCCAATGGCAAAGAAATGACAAAGTCAGAGCTTAGCAATCTATCAAACTTCGACATAAACGATCCAGCACGAAAATTAAGCCTCGATAAGTTTGCCCAAATCAGAGATGGCCCGTGGCACTTCGAAACGGAGGACGTCACAGAAAGGTCGGACAAAAGCTACAGCAAACTCATGGACGCAGGACTAGCGTCTATGCTCTGTGAGTCCTGTGCCAAATGGGAAATAGAGCAGGGTACATGGTTCGCGGCCATTTTCGGCCTGGGCCAGAAAAAGTGCCACGAAACAGGACAGCGCAGTAAAGTGCGCCCGATTAGCAATGAGAAATATAGGAGTAAAATCTTAAGCCCACCAGTCGAACATCTTACGTTCAGCGGCCTGCCCGAAATTTTGCAAGGCATTGTGTATTGCTGCAACCCAGAGTACGAAGACTCATACTTCGAAAATAAGAAAGGCGTACTTAGAAGCATACAAGTAGCAAGAGACAAAGCAAAAAAGTGGTGCAGAGGCAATCTCAAAAAGATGACCTGGCGCGACATCCGCACGCTGCCACGAAAGAAAAAAGAATACAAAGGCAAATCCTTTTTACCCTGTCTTAGCAAAGACGACCTTGCTAGTGCCTATTGGCAATATGGAGCTAAAGATCCAAAACAAAATGGATTTCAAATATACTGCCCCGAAAAACAGCGTATGGAATTCGGATTCTTACGCTGTTTGAATTTCGGCAATATTCATTCCATATATGGCTTCTGCGCCTGTTGCAGCCAATGGATGGAAAAATGGTTCAACCAAATAGGGAAAGTGCCAGTATTCCAGTACGTAGATGATTTAATCTACTTTTCAGATCAGGACGGAATTTTAGCACCGCTATACGAACGCTTCATAAGGCGCGTGCTAGCAATATGGGGCATCGCCTTAGCACCAGAGAAGCACGAGCAAATGCTCCCAAGCCAAGACATAGGGGAGATTTTAGGAATAGGATGCAGAAGACTAACAGACTCAATTGAGTTCTTCTTACCAGAAGCAAAAGTTAAGCGGATCGCGGCAGACTTAGATAGGGTAGCAAATTTGATCAGAGATCCAGACCAGCGGACATTAGAGTCGACGCACAAAGAGTTGGAAAAGGTCCAAGGGTTACTCTGTCACGCGATGTACAGTAGGAAACTTAGAAGAAATTTACCAGTATTAAAGCACATTTTTGCACTCACATCGCAGCCCAAAAATTTTGCCCAAAATATTAGCAGCAAAAGCAGACGCGAGCAGTTACTGATAGTCTTGAAAAAGTGCAAAGAGATCATAGAGAGAAGAGACAAGACGGTCATAGCCCGAGACAAAATGTGTAGGGACAGAGTGCACATGTTTACAGACGCAGCCGCATCACAAAGCGACGGGAAAATTAGTTTCGGCGCGATAAGTTTCTTAGAAGATGAGGCCAACAGTATAGGTTTCTTCCTGCATACTAGTCAAGATGAAATCCCGTCCTTTTTCAAAAGGTCAGCTATAATGTGCTACGAGGCGGTCGCAGTGGCATTAGGACAGCGGCTGCTGACGAGATTTAGCGAATCGTCGAGCTACATAGTCAATGTGGACAACTCTTCGTGCACTTACGGTATAGTGAATGCATCAGTTGATTGTCCGAAAACAGCGTCCGTGATTAGCATCTTAAGCGACAGAGCATATTTGCAGCAAATTGAGTACTTTTATAGTTATGTCTCAACGCATTTGAGCAGTGCGGATGCGACAACAAGAATAGAAATGATGGATTCATTAAGCCGCTCACACGGCACAAAATTCCCACTTTCGCGAAGCGAAATCATGCAGGAGTTAGAATTGCTGGCAAAAGAATGCGAAGAGTTACATGACGAACTGATGCTGGGGGATATTAGGAAAGAGTAGATGTTTCACATATTTGTTTCAAAATGCACAGGCCGACCAGAAAAAGAAGGCCAAGCTGAAAGAGCCGAAGAAGTCGTGTGATTTCGCACGATGCGCAGGCAAAGTTTGTCACCATTTTAATGGGATCAAGACACAGTTGGAGCGCTGGTCTACCCTGCTCGCCCAAAAGAGAGCCCCAAACATCGTCCCCTATCACATCAGCATACAATGGCCACTACCACCACAGACAGTCTTACTATTTTGGCCTGAAGAAGAGCGGGATTGCCGCATTGTAGGTATCTGAGATGAGTAGAGTTTTTTCCCTTTGCAAATCAGAGGAGAGCAAGGCTACATGACAGAGAGTACATACCTCCCCTGTCTCTTCCGCATTTATTTTCTTCTCAGGTGAAGTCGAGACACGAAATTCAAAGTGGAGAGTTTGGATGCGCTATTGTCAGCTGCACCACCCGGAGTTTTTCTTCATTCCCCACACTTTCACCACACAAGCAGAAGTAGAAGTAATCAAAAAGCGACACGCCAGTGTCACCTTCAACCACCACCTCATCCCGTTTGCCACGTGGATTTGCGAAAAAGATATCGGGAACCCGATCCCGTACATCTCGACGATCGCGATCAGATTACGATCGCTGGAGCTTCTGGAGCAGACACAATCGCACTGCCAGCAAATACAGCAAGCAACATACCACAGGCTGAAGAGCCTGGTGAGGGACCTCTCAGTTAAGAGAGCCATCCCGCCTGACACGAGCAAGCTGAACCTGCTGAACGCAAGAGAATCTCGGTTATTCGCCATGTGGGCGCCCACAGGACTCCGACCATCAGCCTTTGCGTCAATAGACCCGCTGCAAGTCAAGGATGACCCGGAAGCACCGGGGCGCTTCGTCAGAACACTAGTCACATCCGAAAAAGTGTTCGCCGTGCCAGGCGAGAGCTTCTATGCCAGAATTCCACAGAATTCATGGTACTAATAGTTTAGTGATGATAGCCTATGAGCAGTGTAGAGCATTTGCATACATGCTTTGAGTGCATATACCCCATTGCCTCAATACATACAAATATTACAAGGTATCCAGCAGATTTCCCGGTGCACAAAACCGAGATGGACATTTTGTGCAGAAAGTTAGGCACAACGCCATACGGAGTCAGAAGAAGCTTAGCGATGTGGCTCAGGTTCAGAAGCCTGGAGTGCGGTGCAACACCCGCAGGCGATGAGATCGCAAGGAAGAAATTTGAAGTTTTCAAAAGGAAAGTGACAAACCATTTTGGATGGTCAGAGTCAAGTTTGATGTGGGAGGAAACCTATTCAGTGGATTGCTTAAAATACATCAACCACAAGTTTTACGTCCACCCAGACATTCAGTGGTGGTTTACTGTATGATCGTTTCACGTTTCAATCTGAAAATGCCAAAGAAAGCAATGATCTCCCAGCAGGAGGAGAAGAGTGTCTGTAGCAGGCGAAGCCTTTCTCGGGTTCCTTTCGTACCAGTCGCAAGTGTTACGCTTGTAGTTCGCAGCCCAAGCATGAGATCTTCCAGCACAACAGATCAGTACCTGACGGTGTCCCCTCCATGACCTCCACTGATCTTTTGTGCTCAGATCTCTACCTTGTGCTCCTACTGATCCCCTGGATCAGACCGGTCGTCCCTCATGAATTGTAGATCATATCAGCGACGCCCTGAGAACGTTTGGGGCGCTTTATCGTGCACACGATAGCCAAAATACAGAAGCACTCTTCGCGCCAGTGAAGAGGAGGAAAGCCACAGCTAGCACTACCCCGACCTTGTCGCGGTGTGTGCTCTGACTGCTGGGTCTTTGCTGACGCACTCCCCGGAGTGCGTTACTAGTCCGCGCTTGCGGTCTACCCTCGGGTGGACCTGTGCGCTGACTTTCGTCCAGGCATGCTGTGACACTCGTGTCGCAGCCCGCTTGGACAGCATGGATCTGGTATTTCTTCACTTCTCGATGCTGAGAAGCTGCATCATACAGATACATCATATCGATCCTTGTACTGACGAGTGCTTTTCACCGTGAATATTTTTACGGGATAAATATTTCGAGTGAAAGCATCGTCAGCAAGATCGGTCTCGTTCATATTCATCGTTCATACATTCATTTACAGCCCCGGCTGGGATTTCTGGATATTTTTTCAGTTTTCCCCGCCCGCCTACACCCTGATGTAGCGACCAGCTAGCACTACCCCGACCTTGTCGCGGTGTGTGCTCTGCTGGGTCTTTGCTGACGCACTCCCCGGAGTGCGTTACTAGTCCGCGCTTGCGGTCTACCCTAGGGTGGACCTACGCGCTGACTTTCGTCCAGGCATGCTGTGACACTCGTGTCGCAGCCCGCTTGGACAGCATGGATCTGGTATTTCTTCACTTCTCGATGCTGAGAAGCTGCATCATACAGATACATCATATCGATCCTTGTACTGACGAGTGCTTTTCACCGTGAATATTTATGTTTTGCATGACAAATTGGATGCGAGGGGGTGTTGTTTCCTCTGGATGAAACGACCTTTGAGAACATCAAGACGAGTGGAAGGCTGTACCTGGAAATCGTTCCGCCGTCGAGCTTATCAAGTGCAAATAGAAGAGTATCGTACTCGTACTAATAATCCCACTGACATTGTTAGTTCAAGCATGACAAATCTGGTTTATGTCACTTGAATCCGCATGACAAATTCCAACTTACCTGCTCTTGAGGAAATTTCTCATGCGATACATACCATGTTACTAGTGCGATACTTTTGCAATTCATAGAGCTCATGGCAGCTGTTACTCACGGAGAACTCTACCGGGGATCTGGACAATATGAAAGCGTCAGGGTTGAAATCGACAAAGTTGAAATAGTTTGTGACGCAGCAGAAAATGCAACGCAGAGACTGTCTCTATTGCAGAGGACGCAAGAGAGGCAGACTGTAAGCCTGTTGAGGGGTAGAAGTGCAAGTGGAGCTGCTCAAGTAGCATGACAAAAGTCGTCGTCCTTACCCAAACAGCATGACAAACTGGATTTGCATTCTACCCAAGTTTGTCATGCGCAAGTTAGAAACTGGGCTTTAGCTGGCATCTATTTTATGCATGGCAAATCATTTCACCTTTGTCGATTTCGATCCTGACACTTCCATAGACAACCTGCGGGCGAACGAGGTGAATTCGTTGGATCAGAGTTTCAAAGCGGAGTACGAAGTCACCGGGATTCAGTACACGGTAAATGCGGACGTGTCCACATTTGACGCCGAGCGCATTAGCTCCGGAGAAATTTTCCTACCCAAGCGGAAGGTTACCATGAAAAACTTCCAGCTGGTGGAGGAGAAGCAGAAACGGGGATATGGCGTAGTTCTCAAGCGTTACATTCTCAACTGTCACACGAACTTGCAATGCAAGAATAGCAAAAGTCAACGGGGGGAGGTTCTCGCACCTGTAGCATTACAAATTCTGCACGGAAAATTTAGTTGCTGTCTGGCCTTTCGCAAATTTGTCATGCGAAGCAGCCTGATAGTGTGGATGATGATAGTGCTTTTGCATGGCAAATCCGTGTAACAGCTGAGAGTGTAGGGCTTGGGAAGCCCATATAGGATCTATTTTTGGTATGGAGGAGGAGCTGATGTGTCTGCCCATCGCTGGCGCCAATGACTCTTCGTCAACGTCTGCCGGCTTGAGGAACAAAAAGTCTGCTGCTGTAGTCGACGGTACATCAACATCACAAATTAGTACTACACCATCTAGTAGCACAACTAGGCGGATGGTCCTCCCGCAGCTTCGATCGGAGACGCACGTAAAAAACCAGCGGGTTCACATGCGGACCACGAGTGTGAATGCGAATAAGGATAACAGATATGTCTTCACAGTCGGGGTGCAGGAGTTTCTTGCAGCTGCTCGAGCGACTCCAATGGAGCATCAAGCTGCAACTTCTTCCGCAACTGACTCCGTTGATGTTCTTCCGCTACAAGTGCACTTCGGCGGCTTTGACGGGCGACAATCTGCACGGAAATTGAGTCTCTTCCCGAAGCCCATTAACCTTCTCACCAGCCCAGCAATATCCCACAGAACAAATAAAAAGCTACAGACAAGTTCAGACTTGTGTTGTATGCAAAAATCATGAACATGAAGATGAATGCGAATGGACAAATGAATCTGTATCTGTCTACTTGCATATAATCACGCCAAGCCGAACGTGAAAATGATGCGCTTTAGCTTTTTTTTTTTCTGTACCATAGACAAACGTCGCCGGCTCAACGGAGGCGGTTCTGTCTCTCGCAGACGAGATTCGGATGGAAAAAGACTTGGCGTTACTAGAACCCTGCCCGATGACACGCGAGGAGTTCATGTCATCTGCTTCTGCAGGAGCTACCAGTGCAGCAACTTCATCTGCACCTGGAACTAGTACAACTGCAGTTGCTACAGGCGAATCAAGTACTACCGCTGCTGGTAGTAAAGCCGCTCAGGAGGAGGTGGCACCAGCTGCAGCCAAAACAACAACTTCTACAGCAGCTTCCAGTACAACAGTTAGAGCGTCGAAAAGCAGGATCAACCAGGGCGAATATGAACTGCAAAAGTATCGTACTCGTATAAATGCATGACAAATTTCCGCAGCATGAGAAATCAAATTTGTAATGCGGATTTACCTTAAGAAAAAAATTTGTAATGCATGACTGCAATTACTACGAGGAGTGCGATACTTTTGCACAGGATAGCGAAAAGACGATTCACATCTTTTCTGTCGCATCCGGGTGGCAGTATGAGAGGCTCCTTCGCATCATGATGACTTCGGCGAGACATTCTACGCCCCTGGACTGGCTATCAAAGTGCACAACAACTCCCCCTCCCCCTCATTTGTGTTTGTCATGTCAAATGCCCAATCCAATTGAATTGCTGCGCTCTGGGACTGTTTGCATGACAAATTTCGAAAGCCCACACAGTCCTTCTACACTAGGCACATGAACTTGTCACGCACAGGCTCCATGTGTGTTGGTGTAAGTGTTTGTATTGCTGTTCATGCAAAAATATATACAAATCCAAATGAGGGGGACGGAGGGGGAGTTGTGCACTCGGATACTGGCGGTTGCAGTTTTACGTGCTGAAGGATTTCTTGTCGAGCAACTTCGACGAAAATGAAATCGAACAGGTTTTGCCCAACACGGGGGTGGAATTACTTCCCGTGCCCGCCTGGCCTGACTACCTGAAAAAAACCGGATCGGGGGCGGCTTCTTTTGACGAAACCTGGATCAGCACGGGGGATGAAAAAATCGGTATTTATTTAAGTATTCAACATCTGTTCCCAGCACCATAGACATAGAGTGTGATAGAAGTACCATGCTGCGGACTTTGGATCACGAAGAACAAGAAGGTTTGGCTGCATGCTTTGCCGCGGCCCCCGCCAATGCTGCATCTTCCACATTTCGAAAATTCAAATCCGGGGAGAACTAGATAGAATTAGAAACATAACGTTCGGCGTGAAGAGAAAAAAATCGTCCATAAATTTTTTTTTGCAGGTATCCGCAAAGACAAGCAGCGGCTCATATGAACTGCAAAAGTATCGTGCTCGTAGTAATGGCAATCATGCATTACAAGTCTTTTTCTTAGGGTAAATCAGCATTACAAATTTCACTTCTCATGCTGAGAACATTTGTGATGCATTTATACGAGTAGGATCCTTCTGCAATCCATAGCTCATCTGGGCGTACAAAATTCTTTTTTTGGACCAGCTGTTTTACCAGCGAACCGACCGGATTGTTCTCGGGTTAAGTGCGCAGCACCGGGAGTGGCCGCTGTTCTCGGGTTAAATGCCCTGGCCGTGATTTCCCCTCGATTCTGCTCTCAGAATGCCTGCGCAGCATCGGGCGCGCGACGGGTTTCGTTGGCAGAGTGGGGCCTCTGCGTGCACAGCCAGCCAGGGGGACAGCCCCCTATGGCCACGGCCTTGCGCCCACCGCTAGCCTACCTAGGGCAGCAGAGTCAGTGCTGGGGCGTGTTCTGCCTCGCCCCGCCCAAGCCGGCAGGCTGGCGGGCGAGCCTGGCGTCCTCCCTTGGTGACCTCGCGGCGCCCTATTAGCGTCTCTGCCGGCGTGCACCCTCTGCACCTGGCAGGGGCCCTGGCGCTGTCTCCCCTACCTTGCCTCCTTCGGGTGTGTGGTGCAGGTGTGGCTTCGCCTCTTCTGAAGAGGCCAGCCGAACAAAGTCCATTTTGCCGGCCTTCAGCCCATGGTGGGTAATGTTATCCATGGCGAGGGGGGACAGGCTATCGCCATCCGGCCGAGCCACCCACCAAAAAAAACGCCCCGGAGGGCGGCGCCGGGGTTCTACAGACGCTTGTGGCGCCTGCCGCCTGCTGCTGAAAAAGCCGCGCGCGCGCAAGTTTTGCGCAAGTCCTCAGCACGTTCTCAAATCGTCTCGCGCTATCCACCGTTTTGGCTCTAAAAGAACAAGAAATGTTTGGCTGCATGCTTTGCCTTTGCCGCGGCCGCCCGTGCTGCATCTACTTCCTCATATTCGAAAATTAAAATTCGGGGAGAACTAGATAGAAACATATACGTTCGTCCTGAAAATAAAAAGAAACTCCTTGCAGCTCGTCGTCCATAAATTTTTTTCTGCAGGTATCCGGAAAGACAAGCAGCGGCTCATACCCTGTGCAAAAGCATCGTACTCGTATTGCAATCATGCATTACAAATTCTCTTCTTAAGGTCAATCCGCATTACAGATTTTATTTCTCATGCTGAGGAAATTTGTAATGCATTTATACGAATACGATACTTTTGCATTGCATAGCTCATCTGGGCGTACAAAATTCTTTTTTTGGACCAGCTGTTTTACCAGAGAACCGACTATCACGGGAAAAAGTGTTAATGTTAACGGAATTTGTGATGCAGAAACGCATCACAAGACGTGTCAGAAATTGTCATGCATAGCATGCATATTGGGCTACATTTGTGATGCACGGCTGCAATCTGTGAAAACCGTTAACGTCTTAACACTTTTTCCTATGATACCGACCGAATCATTTTCATCGACGCCGACCAGATTGTGAAGTCTTCTTTGGTTCCGCTCTGGAAAACGTCGCAGATCAACACGATTGACGAGGAGGAGGCGGGGCTCGCGAAGAATCCGTTGCTGGCTGAAGAGCTGAACGTGCCGCACATTCTTCGCGGGGAACTGGCGAAGCAAGAAATGGAACGCGAGCGGAAACTCAAGGAATACAGCCCCGCTTGGGCCTTTGTGCCCTTCTGCCACGGGAAATTCAAAAACAACTCAACCCTCGGGCACCGGTTCTGGGATAGCGGGTACTGGAAAAATTTGCTGGAGACCAAGATAAGTGATATGTTTGTGGGGAAGAGGACGAAGAAGGACGGCGGGACAGATGGGGACAAGAAGGACGAAGACGATGTTGACGCGGATGATCCTGACGAAGATGAAATAGACCAAGACCAAGACGATGACACCACCACCGGCCAAGGTGCCGTCGCGATCGAAAAGAGGCACCAGGGCAAGAAGACTGCAAAAGCTCGACGCGGCAGCGCCACGACAGGGACATCGGACAACTACAGCCATGCCGACAGCGTTCTGCCGAAACCCCCGAAACAGAAGCATTATCACATCTCTGCTTTTTATGGATGTGTCACAGTTTAAATCGACAAAGTTGAAATAACTTGTAATGCATAAAATCGATACCAGTTGGAAGCCGAATTTCTAAGCGGTGCATGAGAAACTTGAGTACAGCCGAAATCCAGTTTGTCATGCTGTTTGGGTAAGGAAGACGCCTTTTGTCGTGCTACTTTAGCAGCTCCATTTCTACACCGAAACAGGCTTGCAATCTGCCTCCCTTGCCTGCTACTCTGCAAGACAGACACTTTCTGCGTTGCATTTTATGCATGACAAACTTTGACGATTTGAACCCTGGCTGTTGCATACTTTGTTCGTGGTAAACATTCCGAAGTTTATCCAGATCGGCGCGCCGGACCTGCTGCGGCACACGTTCAAAGAGCTCGGGCAGGACAGCAACAGTCTCAGCAACCTTGACCAGGACTTGCCGAACTACCTGTACGGTACGGACCAACTGCAAATCCACAGCTTGCACCGGTCCTGGCTCTTCTGCGAGACGTGGTGTGATACCGAGCTGAATTTTGAGGCCGCGAAAACCGTGGACCTGTGCCAAAATCCGTTGACCAAAGAGCACAAACTGGACCAGGCGAAAAGGATCGGGGGGGTCCAGTGGATGCGGTACGATCGCTTGTGGGGGAAGAATGATCTTCGAGTGGAAGGCGGCAATGCAAATGAAAAACCGAATAAAAATAAAATCACCCGGAGGACTTTTATGGACTACATCGTGTCGGGGCGAGGGGACGAAGCAGAGTTGGAAATGGAGATGAATGGTGCTGGGAGAGAGGAGTTGTAGCAGGGTGCCTGCTACTTACTGGCTCATCGTTGGTTGGGTAGTATGGCAGAACGACTTCAAGTAATAATATGTCTTGTTAAAAAAACAGAAACACGTGTTGAAAGTTGAAATAACAGATGGAAATCGTGTAATTCTAATTGCTTCTTGTTTACTGCTCGCCTTTTAGTATTAGTTGTTCAGAACTAAGAAATATAGCGAGTAGTACGTAATTTTTTATTAGACCAGAAAATCGGAAGAAGTACATACTTTTTCGCGCACCCGCTTGCATGACGGGCCGCTATCGTTTCGCTTCGGGGGCGGCGGGGTGCCCCGACAGTACACCCGGCCCGAGGGCCTCGCTGCGCCATGCAGCGGCTCGGGCGTTGTGGCTTGCCAAAGAGAACCGGGGCGGCCTCCCGACCTCGAAGCCCGCCAGGAGCGAGAAACGCCGCCCCACCAAGCGGCCTCCCCGCGAGCCCGTCCCGGTCGGGCCGGTGCGGCGCCGCCATGTTTTTTGCCGGATGCGCATGGGCCTGCTCGCCGTACCGGAGGGGCCGGCCCTTGAAGCAGTAGGGCGCGCGCCCCTGTGGTGGGGCCTGCTTCGGCCCCAACAGCAGCCGCCCCACAATTGGGGGGCCGGGAAGGGGGGCCCGGAAGGCGCGCGGGCCCCCCCTTCTGGAGGGGGGGTAAAAAGGGGGCCGAATTGGCCCAATTCTGCCGCCTTTTTTAGGGGGGGGCAATAAATGGCCTTCCCCCGCTACTACAGGGGGGGGGGCAAAATGGCCCGGAAGCGGGCACATTTTACCCCCCCTCAAAAAGGGGGGCGAATTGGGCCAATTCGGCCCCCCTTTTCCCCCCCCCTCCGGAAGGGGGAGGCGCGCGTGCCTCTTGGGGGGCCTGCAGTTCACCCGCCGGCCGGGGCCCCGGAAGGGAAAAGGCGCGCCAGGCCGCGGCCAAAGCAAGAGCTTTTCCGTGCCCGGAAGGGCTTCGCGTTGGGGCCCCGGGATGCGCGCCGCGTCGGTTGTGTGTCCCCGACGTGGGCCCAGCTCGGGGGCGGGTGGCGGGGTGTTGGCTGCGTGCCGTCGCCTTCCTATCTACGCCAAGCCGACCCGCCCCGGCCCCGGCCGCGCAGCCGCAATGCCGGGGGCTAATTTTTCCGGGATAAAACAACCCGGAACGCGGTCGCGCCTTCGCACCCCCCAACCTCATTCAAGCCGCGACCCCCATTGCAAGGGGATACGCAAAAAAGCATGTACTTCTTCCGATTTTCTGGTCTAATTTTACCACAGCTCAGACTCTACCCCTTCATCAATTCTGCACTCGAGGGAGTTAATTGTAGTACGTTGGTGGCCCTTTGGTCCTCTCGGCGACTACTCCTACCGATCGGGCGCAAAATCAAAGACCAACGACTTTTATTTGGAGAAGCGTTTTGATAGAATTCGAAAGAATAGAGCATGGGCGTCCCAAGCAGTGGCTGAATTCTCTCAAAATATTCATCATAGCAGATTAACGTCGTGAGCGCGGGATCCGCACGAAAACCTTATGACGCAACGTCCTGCTTTATGTCTTGGTGTTCGATGAAGAGGAAGTAGAGCGAAAGGAAGAACAAGAAATAAAAAAGGATATTGCGCACCACCTGTTCATCTCGCAAAGTAGAAAACATATGCGTGCACCTCTTCAGTATCAGTCTGTAACTGTAGCTCTTGTTGTCACCTAGAACAACTACAGAAATATGCTTAGCGCTGTTCTGCCTAGTAATCATATCGTCCTACCAGTGCCAGTGGTCACTACGAATTCGATTTGCAAAATTGCTGCACAGCGATAGTTTACAAGAAGCAAATAAATAGAAATACAATCATGTTGGTCCTCTGCAGCTGCAGCGTATCTACGATTCGTGCTTCTTATTTCAGTCTGCGAACAAGAACCAACAACAGACCTGCCACACCAGCTTCAGCGACCTCTTTATCTTGATATGCCGTTTATTGCCTAGTACCAAGACCAACAGTTCTTGCAGTCAAAGTTGCAGGTCCGGTTTTTAGATAACAGAACAACTTGATGAGATGTGGGCGAGAAAATTAACATCATGCGCAAAATGGATATGAAAAATTTACCACGACTCGAAAATGAAATGATCTCGTTGTCGTTGCGGCGAATAAAGCAAGATGGACTATTTATTTATACCGGGGAACAACAAATAAGCATACGACTGATGTTGAAGTAGCTGACAACTTGATTTATCATTTAAAACATGGACGACACTGTTGAGCCGAAGCGAGTGATCGACATGGAGCGACGTATCAAATGCAAATATAATGTCTGGGTCTGGAAGGATCCGAACTTGTCATGCGAATTCTGGAATAGGCAAAAATTTGTATTGCATAAGCACCAAAAGATTCCCATTTCTTGCTACGCAAATAGGGAATTTCTCATGCGGGATAGACATCAGGAGGCCTGCGCAAAAACCTGTAATGCTTCTGCGTGCATTAGAGACCAGTTGCGTGATCCAGAAGATGCATGACAAACTCCTGCAATCTTCCAGATGACCCAGACATTTTTACATTTCATACGACGCCCACAGGAACAAGTAGACGACGATGGACATCAACAAGTTCCCCCGGCACCGCAAATCGCTTCTATGAAGATGAACAGAAAACCACGACAGCAGTATTCCACTAACCACCCGGGACACCCCGACTACGTCTCGCCACACCCCTGCCTGTGCGGCTCCAAGGTGATGAAATTTACCGCCCGGGAACGGGAGAAGCCGGACTACAATCCGAGCGCGATTTTGTTTTACAAGTGCTGGCTGTGCAAGACCAAATTCCACACAGCCTGCGTAAAGTCCTGGTACCAAGGCCAGAAGAAATCAAGAATGGACGAGTGCGAAAAGGCGCAGCGCCGGGGCGCCTGGGTCTGCCCCAGGTGTCGTCTCAAGCATGTGGACCCCTTCATGGCTATCAAACAAAAAAGTGTTAACGTTAGTAACGGTTTTAATAGATTGCAAATATGCATGACAACTTTTGCCTGGTATGCATGCTATGCATGACAAACTTGGGCACGTTCTGTGATGCGTTACTGCGTCTCAAATTCCGTTGATGTTAACGCTTTTTCCCCCTTTGATAATGGCGTGCACGGCACAAGCAGGAAATACGCACTGCAAACGCATCGCGCCACTGCAACTGCTTCTACAACTCAACATCGCAATACTGCATGACAAATTTTTGGTTTCTCATCTAGTACCTGACTCTGCACGATAAAAAGTAAAAGCCTCGTTTTGCATTTCGATTTCTTGGTCGGGTGAGGTTTCTCATTCAAGTGCAACTACTCGCACGATATAGGAATATAATTTCTAATGCGATTTTTACTGCTAATTTCAATATTCAATTTGTGCGATATTTTTGCATTGCATAGGGGAAATCCAGCAAGTCGAGCGACAAGCTGCTGCGAGTGTGGGATTGGCTTCAGAGGTACTTTACTTAGTTACCAGCTTTTAAATGCTTGTTTAATGTAGTTGATTCCTTCATGTCCGTCGTCGAGACAGTGTAAAAATCGTATAATGTGACTTTCGGAGGGGATCAAGCAGGATTCTTCAAAATACAACTGAGGCTGAGGCAGGGGATCCCGCATAATAAACTATCTATAAAAGGTCTACTTCGATTTACCGCCTGACTTTGTTAAGAACTGGCGAGATAAGAAGGACTTGCCAAACTACGCCTGGGTGATAAAGTCCGTGCGTTGCGACGACTACGACCTGAACGGGCCGAATTGGCCCTACGAGGTGAATATCCTGCGCAAAAGTTACCGCACTAGTAAAAAAGGCATGGAAAATTTCGCTAGCTTGAGAAATGAAGAAGTTTGGAATGCAGTAGTTACACCTTGGTAAAGAGATTTGTGATGGTGCATGACTGCGATGAGTACTTACAAGCGCGATACTTTTGAAATCCATAATGAAATTGCTGGTCAACGGAGTGGAGCACAAAAAACCGAACAAGGACGGCAGACCCACGGAGAAGCCCATGATCCCACCACCGGACTACGGACACAGCCGCAAGGAGTGCGACGGAATCAATTTGACCACTGTTTTTGCGAAGATGGACAAGCATCAGTTGACCAACCCGAACGGGCTGCCGAAGGTCAGACTCACCTGCAGATTTTACAACGGGTCTGACAAATTGGAAGACGGCGAACCGTATGCATTGCAAATATGTCATCTTGGTCTGGAAGGATGCAAGCAGGTTTGTCATGCTTGACTGGCATCATGACTGAAAAGTCTGTCATGCTTGGTGCGCTACAGTGTAGTCACTTGTTTGTCATGCAAAAACACATTTTTCATGCGGTTCACGCTAGACATAGCCGCTCAGAAACTTGTCATGCGCAGCCCCCTAATACAGACTGCGAGCGTGGTATCATTCGGACACTAGCATCACAACTTTCCAGGCCCAGACATATTTGCATTTGATATACCGTCGAGAATGTTTCTGATGGGCTTCTACTTGTGCGAAAAAAAGGGCACGGGGGACTTGCGGAAGCGGGTGTTGGAGCAAATGATAAAGAACCCCAACTATTTTCCACCTTCCGACAGGCAGCGCCGGTTGACGACGACCAACGACACGACCTCCGACCCCCTGGCGGCAGACGCAGCTGTTGACTCCGCGGCGACCAAAAGCTCCTCCTACGACAAGCAGCGCATTCTGCAGTACTTCAAGCGAATGAAGTCCGGGGACGAAGACGGTAGTCAGGAACTTCTCACGACCAGTGTCTCGGTCGAACTCCGGTCGATCTCGCTCGTTTGCCCGATCTCCGGGGCTGTACAGGACACCCCGATGATTAGCCAGACCTCGGAGAAAACCCATCTCCAGACCTTCGACATGGACGCCTTTCTCGAGTCGCATATCCTGCGCAAAAGTATCGTACTCGTAGGAATGCAGTCTTGCTTTACAAATCTTTTTTCTAAGGCAAATCCGCATGACAAATTCCATTTCTCATGCTAAGGAAATTTGTATTGCAATTTATACTACTACGATACTTGTCCAATGCATATCGCAGCGACAAATCCAAAACCCGGCCAAGCGGTGGAAGTGCCCCAACACCCGTACGCGGTGCCATCCCTTTGACCTGCGGTATGACAGTGCACAACTCCCCCTCGTCCCCCTCATTTGTCATGCAAAATACCCAATCCACCCTTTGCCTCTTCCTCTTGGCACTGTTTCTTTGCATGACAAGTTCTGGTAGCCCAGATAGCACTATACACCAGTGCGAATTTGTCATGCAGAACCGGCATTCTTGCGAATGCTTGTATTGCCGTCCATGCTATACAAATGAGGGGGAGGGGGAGTTGTGCACAGTTATATGCGGTTTTGCGGTTTCACAAAAAAACTCATCAACACGGCAGAGCGCATACGCACTGTAAAAATATCGCACTTGTATTGCAATCATGCATTACAAATATTTTTCTTAAGGTAAATCCGCATGATAAATTTCATTTCTCATGCTGCGGAAATTTGTAATGCATTTATACGAGTAGGAGTACGATACTTTTGCAATGCATAACGCAAGGCCGCGTTGAAACTCCTGCACATACGAGATGCGAAACACCATGGGAAGGCCGTGCAAAGAGACGCGGACACGGAAAAGCTGTTAGTGAAACAACTGATCCAGGACCAGAGAGAAGAGGTCCACGAGATTATTACAGTGAAAAATGCCCCCACCCCAAAAGTTGAAAAAATTTGTGATGCATAAAGGTTTTCAAATGAAGAACTTTTTGTCTATGCGTGAAACGAGTATGATCCTTTCTGCTGCAAAATCTAGGCGTGTATCGCATCGCTTGCATGACAAGCGTCGCTCTCGCTGGGATCTTTTGCAATGCAAATGGTTTCTATTCACGATTGGAAATAATCTGTGATGCTGATAGATGCAAGGGGGCAGGTGTTTCATTTGAAAGGGTTTGCAATACAAATGCTCCCAAGTAGTTCGGGGGTGGGGGCATTTTTCATTGTGAAAGAGATCGTGCGGGAAGACTTCGGGCGGGTGATCGTGCACGAGGACGGCATATGCATTGCAAAAGTATCGTACTCGTACTAATTGCAGTTACGCATTACAAATCTAGTTGTTAAGGCAAATCAGCATTACAAATTCAATTTGTAATGCTAAGCCAATTTGTATTGCGATTTCTACTAGTACGATCCTTTTGCACAGGATACGGCACCACCAACTTCGCATTTGACAGGGAAATCAAGAAGGAGCATGAGATGCAGTTTGGTGGGGCGGAGACAATTTTGTCAGACGACGAGCACTATGAACTGCAAAAGTATCGTATTCGTATAAATGCATCACAAATTTTTTCCGCATGAGAAATAAAATTTGTCATGCTGATTTACCTTGAGAAAAATGTTTGTAATGCAAGAAATGCATTTATACGAGTACGATAGTTTTGCACAGGATAAGCACGAGGACGAGCCGGCGTTGAAAAAGCAGAAAACAGGAACTACCGCAACCAGCACGACTGGCGAAATGATAACCGCAGGCACGTCCTCATCTTCAGCTGTTGCAGCCGTTGGGGTCGCAGCTTCATCCTCTTCCGCAGCTTCTAAAGATTCCTATTCCTTGCACAGATCGACTTGTTCTCGTGGTACAACTACCGGGGCGGCTGGGGCCACAGGAGCTGCAGGGAAGAACTACAATACAACTGCAGCGACTTCCACAACCACTTCTATGCAATGCAAAAATGTCTGGGTCTGGAAGATTCTAAACTTGTGATGCTGTCTCTGGATTCGAAAAAAATTTGTATTGCATGACCAGTAAGAGGAGTAGACTTTGTGCTTCGCGGAGATGGCATTTGTCATGCGGAATAGGCATGAGGAGGCGCTGTAAAAATCTGTGATGCTAGGCCATGCATCACAGACATTATGGATCATGCAAAATATGCATCACAGATCTCACATTCTTCCAGACACTTTTACATTCCATAACTTCTAGAGCAGTACAACTACAGCAATCACGGGCCAGACCGCCAAAGCCTGCTGTCGAGCCGGAGGTGATTGAACTCAGCGATTGAAAGGGAAACGGATGAGTCGACTTGTATACGATGCGATTCCAGGAAAACATCGGAACGATTTTTTGAAGTAAGTAGGATCGGAGCTGTGAGTACGAGGTTGTGAAACTGAAAGCTAGGATCAACAAACTCAAAATCAAAACCAATTCACCTCCACGTTGTACTAGGCTTCTTGGTTGTACTAGAAGTAACAACTAGTCACTGGAAAAATCGTTGAAACAAGAAGTTGCTTTTTCGACAGAAGATGCAAAGACGTCTTCAAATAAATCGCGATTGCGTCATCACAAATGAAATCGTCCTTCACGTACGACCCCGGTCAGTTGACGACAACTTTTTCAAGAGCGTATAGAATCTAGTATCATATTGCGAGGAAAAATAAAAATTAGAATTGCACGACCAGGGTAGCTGCCTATATCTTTCTTGTAGCTGCGGCTGCGGAGATGAACGAGGTCACCCATGGCTGAATTTATTTTGGTGTTCTCCTTGACGTTGACACTTGATGACGAAGCGGGATGGACTTTGTCTCACGGTCCACGGGAGGATCAATTTTGGTTATTGGCGTAAACTTGTCTCGGCCATTCTTGTGCAACCCGTTAATAAATATTCTCTCTCTCGTCCTCGTCGACGTACCGCCCGCTGCCTTGACGTGGTGCTTGGTCGTGCTTAGTTTCGTCGTATCTAATCTAAATCTTTATCTTCTGGATCTGGTATATCATCCTCAGTTCGAGGTCACACAGGAGTGGGTCCTCTCCATCCTCAGTGTGAGTTGCATGATTCTATCGAAGAAGCTACTTGATTCGCGTCGTTATATTTCTTCACATGGAGTAGTTTATGTTTTTGTTTTCGTTATTCGTTGCTTTACGTAGTAAGCAAAATACATCAAAGACGAAGGTAGCATCGTTCTCGTAAACCGGCTAAAAATAAGTTTTGCTTTCTATCAACCTGGTCTTGTAGTCTCTCATGCACGCCGGCGAGCAGCGGTGTAGTTTCTCTTTCTGATCTTCGTCCAGCTTCGTCCGTTTTTACGAAGATGAAGTAATGAACTGTATGTGTATGGAGCCGGATCATAGCACAGAAAAAAAACTCGGACTCTTGCCTTCGTTCTTTCTTTTCCGTTGTCGGTCTGTCTCCTGTTCGTCCCCCCGTTCGTCGTACTTCGTCCAGGTCGTCAGTACTTATTTCGTTTCCTCCAACAGGAACAGGAGCAATGATTATTGTTATTCGTAACCACGATTTTCGTACATCCAAAAACAGCCTGACATCACTGTCAACATTGACAGACTCATTTAAAAAGCACCGCGCACCACATTCTGCTTAACTAAACAGGATTCTTCTTGTCGAGATTTTTCCACTCGACGTCAAAATCTACGACCCTCTGAAAAAACAACTAAAATAACCACCACCCCCTGAAAAACCAACTAAAATAAGCACTACCTTGTTGCCATTTTTTGTTTTTCCCCTGTTTATGTTGTAGATTATTGTCATCTATTTCACCTGAATTCCATACGAGCAACTTGTGTCATTTCAGGATGACTTTATTTTCTTCTTCCCGTGCCCGGCACTTCACGACGATCATGTCGCGCCCCTACGCTTTCCTCGTCGCGGCCATGCTTGCGGCCTCCAGCCTCTCCCCCGACGACCTGGTGGGCCGGAGTAGAGGTTGTGGCGGCAGCGTTATTTTCAACTATGTTTCCTTCCTCCGTGGCGTTACCGGATTTAAAGTCGAGCGAGATACCGAACATGACTCAGCGAGCAGTACACAACAAGAACAACTCTTCACGAGGACCGCCGCGCTGTCTGATACTACTTCTACTTCGCGACTTGAAGATGATGAAATGGCCGCTGCTGGAAGACCAACACCAGGCCGCGCAACAAGAAGCAGTGTAGTCGGGAGCGCCAGCACGATGCCTTCTAGCACCGAGGGACCAACATTGGGAGATCTTTCTCGTCGTAACAGTGGTACTGGTGCCGAAGGAGCCCCCTCTAGTACGACGTCGACGCCCGGCAACAAGCGCGACATCTATTTTGTGCCAGATGTTGGTGCTGACAAAAACAAAATGCTGCCTCACGTCGACCAGAGGAAACAGGAACAACCCCCGCCGCCGCCTATGCAAGAAAAAAACATTGTAGGTGTAACTTTTTTGGGGGAACCGCATTACAAATTTGCCCGGCATGACAGCAAAAACCTGTCATGCGCAGATAGAACGTGAAAACGCCCTTTAATGGACCCTAAGATGTATGCCAAGCATGACAGACGCAATCATCTTGCATGTTGCGCATCACAAATTTACACTAACAGCGTTTTTTTCTTGGATACCGCCGGCTGAAGATGCAGCACCTATGTGGGAATTTGACTACGATGAGGAAGACTACGAGAACGACGAGTCGCACCTGGTCGCCAGCTCGCAACAAATTTTGTCCCGACAGCTCGCGGACCTCAGCGGGGCGAGTACCGCACCACATCAGCGGGCGAGACGGAGAGGTGGAAAGAAAACACGAAGAGCGGGGAGAAAAAGTTCGAGAAGCAGCACTTCTACTCGAAGTGCACGACCAACAGCTCCTTCAAGTACTAAGAGCGCGGCTGCCACGACGTCCACTAGTACCACGACGCAATCCGTACCGTCCTCCGAGACTTCCGCAGCGTCCTCCGCTGCAGATGTGGTCCTGCCCCCGGACGACCACCACGTCGTAAAACAATCCAAAATCGAGGACGCAGGAAATAAGATGGAAAACAAGACATCGAGAGCGTCGACAAGTAGGAGCAGCACTACTTCTAGCACCACTACAACCACAATGACGACGGTTGTGGGTGGGAAAAATGAAACCATTTTTTTCACGCTGCCCCTCGGCAGGAGAACTCCTCGAGGAGGTAGTAGTGCAGCTGGCGGGGGCGAGAACAGTACAAGTAGGACAGCCGCGAGAACTTCTACACCAGTAAGAGAGCCTGCACGTGCATCTGCATCGCCACCTTCAACTACATTGTCATCTTCGCGTCTCCCTTCATCCGACCACTTGTTCGAGGGCATTGAAAATGCTTCGTCCATTTTGAACAAGACGTCGTCTTTCGACTTCGATGCCGCAACCACACCGACGAACAGTTCGAGTTCCGCCAGCGCAACTTGGCACGCCTCTACTTCTTCTTCTCCTCGAGGAACATCATCCAGCGAAGAGGAAAGTAGAGCTTTTGGTCCTCAAAATGTGGAAGATCTTGATCGTGAGCAGGCACGGCTGGGAGTTGCAGATGACGAAGAAGTTATTTCACAAGCCACATCCTTCGCCTTTCTCGGGGGGCTGGGGCTCGGCGGAAAAAATCCTTTCGAACTTGTACCAGGCTTTTATAACCCAGGCACACCTGCTCGGGGCGACTACCTCAACGCCAATAACGAGATGCTCTCCAAGAGCTTGAACTTGCCCAACAGAGAGAAATATGAATTGCAAAACAAGTATCGTACTCGTATAAATGCATTACAAATTTCCTCAGCATGAGAGATAAAATTTGCAATCCTGATTTACCTTAAGAGAAAGATATGCATGATTGCGAATACGAGTGCGATACTTTTGCACAGGATAAGAAACCAGACGAGCTTCTCGAGGAGACACAACCGTTTCATATGGCGTTCTCAAACGTTACATTCTCAACTGTTGCATAAATTTCTGATGCAAGAAGCGCAACACTGAAAAGGGCAAGCTCGCAACTTTCGCATCGCAAATTTGGCACAGATTTAGGCACTGTTTAGCCCTTCGGGGATTTGTCATGCGAGATAGCTTGATCGTCTGGCGGCTCGTGGTAATTTCGCATGACAAATCATGCAACAGCTGAGAATGTAACGCTTGAGAGTCCTATATTTCATGGCCGCGTTGTGGAGGTCCCCGTCGAACACCTGAAAATCTATGTTGCGAAAAAGGAAGACGATAACCTCAGAAGAGCCGTACGGTACGTGGCACTCCCAGCAGTGTCCTCGGCGAGAGACCTCGAGACTGATAAACCCAACAAGTACTGGACGTTCTTTACCGAAGACGCGCCGGGAACCGACGACTTTTATCCAGGAAAATAAAACACCCACGACACCCACGATCCAATTTGTCATGCAAAAAATGCATAAAGTCCCGTGTTTGTGATGCAAAAAATGGATGGGGGTCGTGAGTCTCTCTTTTTGTGGATAACCTTCTGTCGCTACCTTTCAGGATGCCGTCGCCCACAGAGGAACTCAATCCTATTAAAGCGCGAGTGATGCTCAACTGGCACGAGCGAAAAGGTTGTATGTACCACGAGACCGAGAAACCACTGGGACGCCACGTGTGGATAACCAAGCCACTTTTCTTTGCAGATCATGAACGAACAACGGGGACAGAAGGAGCAGAAGAGGCCACGACCGCCACGCAGCAGGGCTTTGCGCAGATGTTGCACCTGATGCCGTCAGACCCGCATCCTGAAAGCAGTATGCAGTTTGTCAGAGCTGCTTATCCTCCGTACAAATACCCAAAAAAGGGAGAAACGGCCTTGCCCCTCCAACAACCGGGAGGTGGAACGAGCAACGACAAGCCTTTCATTTTCTTCCCCGACGTTTCTCATTGTCCGCCTTCCGATGAACATGCTCGAATGAGCTCCGCATACCCGGCAGAGGTCACAGTTCCGGCGCAACACCTGCCCCTCTACTGTGTGACGAACCCATATGGATGTGTCAGAGTTGAAATCGACAAAGTTGAAATAATTTGTAATGCGGAAAATCGATACCAGTTGGAAGCCCAATTTCTAAGCGGCGCATGACAAATTTAGGAAGAGCCTAAATCCAGTTTGCCATGCTGTTTGGGTAAGGAAGACGCCCTTTGTCATGCTACTTTAGCATCTCTTTTTTTACCCCTTAAGAGGCTTACAATCTGCCTCACTTGCCTACCCTGCAAGACAGGCACTTTGTGGGTTGCATTTTATGCATCGCAAACCATTTCAACTTTGAAGATTTCAATCCTGACACTTCCATAACCCAGAAAGCAGAGAGGAGGAGCGGTACACGCTACTACCCTACTGGGATTTGACCAAGGTCATGGCCCTATCCTGAGTAAAAACGTACCCACACCAGAGTCAGGATGGGGATTTTGCAACACAAACCTAGGAGTTTTTTGAGTCACGCATGACAAGTTTCAGTCCGTAAGCTAGTGCAAGTCAGCAAGGAAAGCCGCATCACAAATTGACCTTCTGATCCTGTTTACAGCATTACAAGTTCCCAAACACGATTGAAAATGCCTGTCATGGGGTTGCGCATCGCAAATGTTCCTGTCATGGCAAATCTGCATGACAACTCTGGGGTGGGGACGTTTTTACACAGGATAGGCCCAGCCCTCGTCTCCCGGCTCCCGCCGCCTCTCGGACGGTCGAACCGGGTTTATGTGGTACAAGGAAGATGAGCCCCACAGCTATACCTTTCTGACCCGCCAAAGCCCGCTAAATGTTCTTGGTGCAGAAGCACCTGGTGAGTTGTCCTACGACCGAAACGAGCTCCTGCTGTCGCATATCCCGCGTTTACGCGAAATCGTCCGAGAATGCACCGCTCGGGTCTTCCTGCCGATTTCTACTGCTGTGACAGAAGCTGGCCCCAGACATTTCGTCGACGTTGTCGACCCAAGCTTCAGCTCGCTAGACAGTCCTTACTTTTTCCATTTTGTTTACCTAGTAAAAACGCCAAAGGATCTGGAACGTGGCGACTTTACCAGGCTCGCTTGGAAATTCACGGGGCTGGAAAAGGAAAAAGATCCGCACAAGGACGATCGGGCCGCAATGACAGAGCGGAAAGCTCTGAAGGAGGATCCGGAGGCGCGCACAAACGTCCAAGGCTGGAAAATGCAGCAGAAGCACTTCTTGGCGGACCAGCTGCAATCGCCCCAGGAGCAGGAGAGCAGCCTGGTCGAGATCCCGGAAAAGTATTTTCTGAAAGCAGACGAGAGCGTGATGAAAGTGTACGAGCAGCTAAGGGGACAGTGTTACCGAACCAAGGACCAGAAGACCAAAGGCCGCGCGACCAAGTTGTTGCAAATTGCCGAGGTGAAAATGACGGTAGACCACGCACTGGAGAAGCGAACCATCAAGACCAAGCTGCAGAAGCACTTTGAGAAGTTGAAAAGGGGGTGCGCCGAGGCCAACCGGGGTGCGACGAAGCTGACGGCGCTCACGAACCCGGAAGACGTGGCACTGAATGACCTGGTGGAGCGGCTCGATATTGCTTCTCGGGGGGCGTTCCTCTTCGTGGACGACACGGAAGGGTGGGCGAGCGCCTTTGACCTCACGGAAGAGCAGTTGGTGAAAATTCTGCAGCGGATGCGACTGGAACCCGGCTGCGACGACGAGGTACAGGTTTCTGCCCCGCCGACATCGTCCTCGCGTGAAGTTAGTAGTAGTACTGCAACAAGAACCGTGAAGATAAGTGAGCAGCACCTGCAGACCTGCCAATGGGTGTTTGACCACATCGCGTGGCGGAAGCCCGCACCTGTTGCGTCGTCGTCGTCGTCGTCGTCGTCCCGAGCAGAGCAGGAGCAGCTTTCATGCGACGATCTGTCCGCGAAGTTGTCGAACGCGCTCGGATGCATGCCCAAGTCGCACGAGCTGGAGGAAGGCTCGAATAAGCCGCGCCCGGGGTTCATCAATCTGCCCGTGAAGGACCTGACGTTCTTGCGCATTGTCGGCAATTTAGCGACGAACCTCCTTTCCGAAATCACCCAGACCGCCGAATCCTTCCAGCCGAAAATGCGGGACTTTTTCTTGGAAATGGTGCCCGAACTGATGGCGGGTTTGCTGTCGGCACAACTTACCCTTTATCCCGCAGAAAAAAGCAGGCAGGTCAGATTTGTAATGCAAAAATAAATAGACAGGAAAACCAAACTCTGCGCTGCGTATCCCAAACAGCATGCTATGGGGTTGCGCATGACAGATTTTTCTGCGTATTTATTTTTGCATTACAAATGTGCCCTGCCTGCTTTTTTCTGTGGGATACCCTCTGGGTGGACAATTTGGACGGAGACCGCGACGGCATGGTGTGTCCGAACGAGATCAGCAATCTGCTGATTCTGGAGGATATGGATTGCAAATATGTCTGGGTCTCCTGGAAACTTGTGATGCAAGTCCGTGAAGAACAATAAGTGCTCAGTAATGCGCCGCCAAGCATGACAAGTTTTTTGGTGCCTGTGTGCTGCGTAGTTCGCATGAGAAACTGCGCTTTTGCATGACAGGGAAGAGGACCTCTTGGTGGCCACGCAATACGAAGTGCAGAGTCATGCCAGACTACTAGCATGACAAGTCTCGCCATCTTCCAGACCCAGACCTTTTTGCATTCCATAGGGGAGGGGCAAAAGCACATCATCGACCCTCTTCGGGACGCCATCGAGTCCATTCCGGTTCCGGGCGGGTTCCCCAAGTACGTGTCCGGGGTAGTCCAGGAGGTCTGGGAGGACGCGGCAGAGCTGATGATGATCTACGTGGATTACTTATCACAGGAAAAAGTGTTAACGTTAACGGAATTTGTGATGCAGTAATGTATCACAAAACGTGCCCAAATTTGTCATGCATAGCATGCATACTAGGCAAAATCTGTCATGCATATCTGCACCCTGCTATGAAAGCCGTTAACGTTAACACTTTTTTGTTGGATATTACTATCTCTCGGAGGCGTTGAATAACGCCGCGTCCGTATCCCGCGCAAAAACGTCCCCACGACCCCATAGTCAAGTTGGGAATTCTGAAACACAAACTCAGAAGTTTTGGGAGTCACGCATGACAAGCTTTTCTCCGGCGTATTGTAGTGCAGGTTACTTAGCACGGGCGACCGCATCACAAATCCATCTTCTTATCGTGTTTGCAGCGTCACAAATTCTGAAGCACGACAGAAAATGCTTCTCAGCATGGGGATGCGCATGACAAATTATCCCCCACTCCCTGTACTAGATGCGTGTCTGCATGACAACTCTGGGGTGGAGACGTTTTTGCTGAGGATAGTCCGTCGTTTTCGAGAAGACGATGCAGTGGACGCTTGGCGTCGAATATCGCGAGAAAAAACTGTTTCACTGTAAACTTGTAATGCAGAAAATGCATCTGAGAAGTATCTGTCTTGCTACACATGCAAAACAATGGATTTTTAGCTGTGTTGTCCCTTAGGAATCTCGCATGGTAAATTTTCTCCGTGATGTAGAACAAACTTGTGATGCAGAACTTGCAAAATCCTTACAGGGAAACACTTTTTTCTCACGATATCGAATTCGACCTGCCGGTGGAGTCGCACGGGCTTTGCCAGACGGCGCTGCGGCAGAGCGCTGCGGAAAACAACTTTGCCCTGACCAACAAATGCCCGATCGACGAGTTTTGTCGTGGGAAGGAACATATGCATTGCAAAAGTATCGTACTAGTACAAACCGCAATACAAATTTTTCCAGAAGGGAAAATGGAATTTGTAATGCTGTTTTCGCTAAGAAACAAGATTTGTCATGCATGATTGCAATTAGTACGAGTACGATACTTTTGCACAGGATAGAACACCTGCTGTCCGACGTTCTTCCCGGCGAGGACGTGGACCATGGCAGCAGCTCGCACCACCACCAGACGGGCGGAACTCTCGTGACGCACGGATCAGGAAGTGATCTTGGTCAAGAGCGACCTGACGAGGAACTGCACGAGGGCCACGTCGATGTGGTCCTCCCGGGCGGTGGGGGGCAGGATCATCATGATCAAGGATCTTTCTTACCGCCCCGCGATCATCATTCTGATTCAGATGTCGCGGGGCAGCTGGGGGCGAGAACAACGATCACGAGGACCCGTAGTAGAAGAGGAAGTAGAGCTTCAGCAGACAAGCTGCTGTCGCGGCTTGCGCGGGGCGGGAAGCTGCACCGGCGACTATCGACGACAGAACTCGAGGAATACCAGATGGAGCGGCGGGAACAACGGCACCGAATGAAAGCCGGCACAGATCTGCAGGAAGTAGTGGAGGAGGCCAAGGAACAGCAAAAACGCAAGCTACGCGAGGAGTTGGACGCACGCGTATCCTGTGCAAAAGTATCGTACTCGTACTATTGCAGTCATGCATTTTTACAATTTTTTTTCTCAAGGTGAATTCCCATTACAAATTTTATTTCTCATGCTGAAGGAATTTGTCATGCATTTATACGAGTACGATACTTTTGCAGTTCATAACGCGCACGGAGGGGCGATTTCAGCATGGAGTTTATCTCGGAGCCGAATGGGGAAAGCGAAACCGATTCAGAGTCGGCCTTATCCCTCCGAGCGCCTCTGCGACGTAGCTTTTCGTCCCCTGGAATGCTGGAAGACCAACTGCACGACGACGACCTGTCGGGCCGCGCGGCGAGGGAGGACGAGGGCAGCACAGCACTGGTACGTGCTGTTCATAAAAAGAAGCAGGGGGATGGTTGTTGCGACGGGGAAGAATCTGCGACAACGACAGAAATTGTTTCGCGATCGGGGGGAAACGACCCTCAAGGAGAAGAGGATCATGATGGTGAAGGGGGCGGAGGTCTTGGAACTTCTACACCAAGGAGGCTAGTGGACGGACCACAACTCGGGGCGATCGAGGACGCCCGTGGTCTTCACGGGCACCATGGTCAAGAACATCAACCGGGAGGCACGCTGGTCACGGTTCAAGACGAGGATCCCCTCCGGTCAGCAGGAGCTCCTGGGGATGAAATTGCAACAAGTACATCCACAAGTGGAAGTAGAATCACGAAGCTGAATGTGCACGGGGTGCTGTGGTCCTTGCACGTTTTGTACCCCCAGTATGTGCCCTCGCCCGTCGCCTCGGCAAAAAAGGATGGCCACCACTCTAGTAAGGACCAGTGTCGCGCCGTGCACAACGTGTTGACCCAGCAGGACCGGGTCTGGTGCTTCCCCACGCCCGCATCCATTGCAAAAACCTTCAACAAGTTCTCCAAGGACATGGTGAACCAGTTCAAAAAAAAGCCAAAGGCGAAAGCAGAGCAAAAAGCAAAAGCTACAGCATTTTTGGAGAAAGACAAAGTGACCAAGATAAACAAGAAAACGTCGCAACAAGTCAAAGGATCTGGATCTGACGGCGTTGATGCGGCCCGTGGATCGGGCGATGCTGCTGAAGAACCAGACGACGAAGGCGGTCAGGAAGAGGACGAGGCAAGTGAAGATGGCGGTCTTGATGAAATGGATTCAACGAGCGCAGGAGATGATGAACATCATGGTTTTAGTAGTGCGCCGTCTAGATCAAGGTCTACTATTAGCGACGATATGAGCGGGAGTGGCGGCGAAGATGATGATGAAATATTGGACGGTTCTCAACACGGGGAGGACCACGAAAACCAGGACAACGGCCAGCACAGAAGTACAACTGGTGAACCTGCAGCTATCAAATGCAAAAATGTCTGGGTCTGGAAACTTGTAATGCTGCGTTGGGAATAATGAATGCTCTGTAATGCACAGCCAAGCATGAGAAATATCTGCGCTGCTTTGTGTTGCGTTTTTTGCATGACAAGCTGCGTTTTTGCATGACAGACAAAAGGGTCTTTTCTTGGACACGCATCACAAACTTTTTGGTCATGTCAGACAAGCATGACAAATCTCGCAATCTTCCAGACCCAGACATTTTTGCATTTGATAGCAGCGCACTCGGGAGGACGAGGGAAAAAGAAACACGAGCACCAGAACTACGACCTGGACAAGGTGTTAACGCAGTGGCGGAAAAACTGGAAGCGAGAAATGATGATCCGCTCGGTGATGGACATTATAAAAGAAGTAATCCAATTATGCATTACAAATTTCCCGTACATGTACAAAATGCATCACAAATTTCGCCAATTTGGGGTGTAAAACTTGTCATGCTAAACGAGGATCGAAGCCAAGTTTTGTCATGCAGAGACAGCATTTGTACGTGTGCGGGAAATTTCCTGTGGATACCAATCCGCGGAGTTTGCCGAGGGGACGTTGCGCAAGTCGCTTGCGCAAGGGGTCGAGCATATCCTGTGCAAAAGTATCGTACTCGTATTGCAGTCATGCATTACAAATTTTTTTCTGAAAGCAAACCCGCATTACAAATTTCATTTCTCATGCTGAGGAAATTTGTCATGCATTTATACGAATACGATAGCGATACTTTTGCAATGCATAGAGCACGCTTTTGAACTAAGGGGCGGGTTTCAGAATGCGATCGCGAGTCTCCCGCAGCACCTTGTGGAGAAGTTAGACGACTTTAAGAAAGGCGTTCACTCGTGGATCAACCGATTCAAGAAGAGTACGATTACGTCTCTGTGAAGTAGAATTTTAGTAAAGCGACCTTATCGTGATTTCACAACTACAACGAGAAGTTCGCTCAATATCTTGATGGCCGCGAATATTTTATTTACAAAAACTCGAGGCATTTAAACTTATTTTAGGAACGCCAAGACGTCAATGTTCAAAGAAATGTATGAAGTCTGTTCAAGCGTGACTGTAATTTTCTTTTTGACACTGCACTATCAGTACGATTACCAAAGTTTATTTACGTGTGACGGCTAGAAGATAATCTAGTTCTATCGACGTCCCCATTACCAACATTTCGTTCATCACGTATACAAATTCAAAATTTTCTAGCTTTTTTTCTTTTTATTTTCGCGAGTATGCATGCTTACAAGTAGGTGCAACTTTTTCGATGAACCCAATTTTTATTCCGACAACGATGTTTTACTTTTACTTTTGATCCAGCCCCCCCTTCTGATGCTCGACAAGGTGAACGGAGGAACTTTGCTACCGCGTCGGACGAGATACCTTGCAGGAACACGAATGTCGTATACCTGCTGGACAAATTTCAGTGCTAGTGCAAAGGGAACGCTAGTAAGAAATACCAGTAGACTATTAATATCGCGGCACCTTTGCTCGACGAACACCGGAGAGCGGTCAGCCTACTCTCATCAAATGGAAGTCGTTTCGCATTGCATGACAAACCGTGAATCGTCCACAGGCTTTTATGACCTCGTCCTCGTCGGCCTAGCAACGTTTTTCGTACAACTCTGGTGCAAGAAGATTCAGTCGGTACTAGACCAGCACGTACAATTACAAGTCTTCGTCATCGGGGACAACATACAAGTCATAGCACAGCACCCCGCTCGGTAGTCATTGTCGTGCTCTTTAGGTTCGTGCGTTTCGGTCTTGCTTCGTTGCCACGACTCGGTTCTAGCACTACAAAAGCAGAAGCGCACGATGTGTGCTTACTTTTTGTACTCGCAATGCCATCGTCTAGGAAATTCTAACTCTAAGTCTTCACCTCGTTATTTTATCGCTTCACCCAGGTTTGTTTCGTCAAACTTACGTCCTCCACCCCCCGGATCTGTAATCATATTGAGAAATAAAACTACAACAACCCCATAGTTTACTTACTTACGACTTTCACCTTTCCTATTCCTACTCAGTTAAAAGCTTTTGTCTTTCGTGGTGACGTAGTTCTTCGTAACGAAAACGCTATTGCTTCAAAGACTTTCTGCACTCTGGTGTCTTACTCTTATCCACCTCGTCGCCCTGGTTCTTGTACTAAATTAATAAAGTTGATTAGCCACGAGCACGACCGTAAACTGGTTGCGTTGGCCCTCTGCCTCTTCTGATTGGAGGAGAGAGTAGCGGAAAACACTCAGGTACTAGCGGGCACATCACGACTGCCACCAGCAACGTGATCATCTTCATCCTACCCACGTCCTCGCACTAGAGACGATTCGGAAAGAACACAACACAGCGGGGTCAACAAGGCGTCAGTTGTGTACAACAGAAACAAGCACTCGATTACGATTTCCACCAGCCGCTGCCCATCGACTTGCAGGAGCGAACTCAACGAAGACGAAGGAAACTACAGTCCTGTTTAGGCTGGCACCCGAATAAAGAGCGAGCCGACCCTATCCATCGTAGAACCAGCTCCCGCTAAGGGTCGTTCAAGCTCAAGGTCAAAGTCAACCGCAAAAACCTTGCGGCAGTAAATCACGACCTACCTGAGAACGCCGACGGTAGAACAAAGCTCTTCTTGATGTCCACCTCTAGCACGACCTCTACAACTTCTACTTCTTTCGTCCCGCTGGTTGCCCATCAGCGCAAGATGTTGAGCATCATGGTCAACCACAAGACCACGACGACGAGCAGGATCATCTGGGCGGCCGCCAGTGTCGTGAGTTTGTTTGCGGAGGTTCAACAGCACTTGTTATTCAACAACATCCAGCTTGCTGCGGGGTTCCAGGTAAAGGAGCAAGAGGAAGCTGCGCAAGAACAGTTTTATTTTCGAGAAGAAAATAAGGTATGAACTGCAAAAGTATCGTACTAGTATAAACCAGCCATGCTCCGGCTACCGCCGGAGCGCGCGGCTGTTTGGCCGGGTTTGAACTGCTTGCGGACCGGACCACAACGACATGCATACTTAGGCCCCCTCAGCACCGTCTGCGCGCTTCCCGCGCCTAAGGGCGCTCTGCGCAGGGAGGAGCTACCACTAGCATTGGGGCAGAACAGGAGGCACCTAGATGCCACACCAGTCCGCTACGCATGCCTTTCGTTAATCAAGACGAACCAAGAACCGGCCCCACCCCATTCCCCGGCGCCGCTTTTTCAATGACTTCAGTGTGGGAGGGGGGCGCGAGAGGGTGGCGCGAGAGGGTGGCGCGAGAGGGTGGCGGGGGCTGGCGCCGAACAAAACAAGTCCGCGAAGGGCCTGCAATGCTAAATATGGGGAATACCATGCGGATTCGCGCCCGCCACTTTGTGTCTTTACCCTCTCGCAGACCCCTCGCAGACCCTCTTTTTTACCTCTTTTGGGGGTCCCCGCTAATAATCCGGCTATACTCGCGGGTAGAGGTCGACAGAGGTGGCCCAGAGGTGGCCGAGAGGGTGCGCGAGAGGTTGGCCCTTATTCGCGCCACCTCTCTCGCCCTCTGTCGACCTCTCGCGCCCCCTCTTTTTGACCTCTCTGCACCCTCTGAGGCACTTAGGCGCCGCCTTAAGGTGGGTCCTTCGGCGGGCTATACTCGCGCACCCTCTCGCCGACCCTCTCGAAAGGGGTCCCGCGCCACCTCTCCACCTCTGTCGACCTCTTTTTTACCTCTTTTGACCTCTTTTTGACCTCTCGGCCACCTCTTGTTTACCCTCTGTCTACCTCTTTTTTCGCATGAATATAATATATAGTAATTGAATGACAAATTACCTCAGCATGACAAATGCAATTTGTCATGCTGATTTGCCTTGGGAATGAGATTTGTAACGCATGACTGCAATTACTACGAGTACGATACTTTTGCACAGGATATAAGGAAGAACCCAGCAATACTTCTACAGCTGCTAGTACTTCTTCAAGTACATCAGCGACGTCGTCGACCAAAAGCGAAGATGTCAGCACCAGTGTCGCAGCCAGTGAGGCTTCATCTGCAGGAAGTGGGCAACTACAAGGTCCTGCTCCTCTTGCAGCGATAAAAAGGGGCAACGAAGATGTTGAACAAGTTCGTGGAGTGGAACAAGCGGCTGCCGCAGCAGCTCACGTGGAGGAGGGGGCATCACCAGCGGAAGATCATGATATAATTGCTTCTTCTTCTGCAAGACCAGCACCAGCATCAGAGCGAGCAGGAGAACAAGGACCAGACCCACCACCCCCGGGCGCGGCCACACCTTCAACCTTTGAAACGTCAGCCACCGGGAAAATCACGACTACCACTGCGCCACCTTCGAGGGGCGGCGCCGGGGGAACTGCGCCAGCTGTTGTACCAGCGGAAGATCCTCGTGGTGGAAAAACAAGCGATCACGACACGAAGAATGTCTTGCGACCCGAAGTAGGCAGCGCCGCGTCTCCTGGAGCAACATCTGCATCAGAGGGAGTTGCATCTTCATCAGGTCCGATGTGGGACTTCGATTACGACGAGGAAGATTACGAACAGGACGAGTCCCACCTGGTTGGCAGTTCGCAACAAATTTTATCCCGGCAGCTCGGGGCGCTCAGTGGACGACGGCCGGTGGGCGGGCCGGGGGGAACAACTACAACTCGTGGGCGACGAGAGCGAGCAGCCCCCGGAAGTAGTACAACTACTTCTAAGTATACGCACAAGCCGAAACATCATCAAGCCAACAAGAAGAGCGGTACTAAAACTTCTTCTAAAACCGGTAGGAGAAGAAGCGCAGCAGGAGGAGCTTCTGCGCCGTTGTCGATGTCGACAAAAACTACAGCGACAGCCTCCACCCCGGAGGATAAAATTATGTTGAACGCAAACAATACAAATACTACAAGAGAAAGCGGTACTGGAATTACAACGATGATGTCGCAGCTGCATGAATCCCCCGGCCAGATGAATCAGATCAACACCATGAACAGCACGAACTCGAACACCAAAAATGCCGCAAATAAAGCCACTCGTCTCACTTCTCAAGAACATGAACAGCCGGACCATGATGCTGTCAATCCTCAAGCTGACGACCCGTCCTCTGACAGCAGGAGCTCCTCGTTGCCCACGACAAGCAGGAGCACGACCACGATCTCATCGATGTTGCAGCAGGAGGAAACGAAGAATGCACATGGGCCGAGTGATGCAGCTGGTGGAGTGACTTCACCGCGTCGCGACAATGGACGACGAGATGAGGAGGTGCCGCAGCTTCAAGATGAAGATGTTGCAGAAGTGGGTCCTCGCCGGCGAAACGACATTCCCGAGGAGGGCTCGTGGATTCCACCGCGGCCTGAAGTCGCGGCTCCTCCCTCGGGCTTTGCAGTGACTGATGATCATGATCCACCACCAGTGCATAATCACGGTAGAAGATCACGTGGTCGGCGAACAGATTCACCCTCTGTTCCTCGTTCGTCTCACTCCACCTACAACTTTCGACATCGCGACGTCACGACGCGACCGCGTTCTGCTGCCTCGAGGAGAGCAGCTTCTGTCCAACGCCAGGCACCTGATGTTGGCTCCTCCGCCTCTACAGCTGCGTCCACTTCCAGCGTGCTGCAGAAGCAGCAAAGGCGAGAGCAGGCGTCTTGGATGAGCAGCGGTAGAGCTGCTAGGCCACCCGTCGGCGCCGCCGGTGCCCCGCCTCGTCCCGCAGGTGCTCCACAACCTAGAGGGCCAGCACGGCTGGGTGGACACACCAGCAGCAGCAGCGCCCTTGGTGGGAGCACGGGAACTACACTCCTCGGAGGAGGCGGAGGAACTCCAGCACGGGGTACTTATGCCATCCCTACCCAACAGTGGCCAGCACAGCCACGCGTCGTGAACGCCCTCAACGGCAACCCAGGACCCGGCGCAGCAGCTGGACGTCGAACCGATGACGATGGTATTGTCCGATACCATTCCGATCCTACTACAGGAGCCGGTGCCGCGTATTCCTACGGTGGAAGGAGTTCCAAACCAGTGCAGCCGGTTTTTAACCCTCCAACTGCGAGGCCGGCGGTTTTACTTGGAGCTAGAACTCCTGCCGGACAAGCAGGTGGACCACCAGCGCGCGCGACGGCAGGAGTTGGTCCCCCCGGGCCCGCCCTGACGGGTCTTGGTCAAATTTCTACGCAGCAGGGCGGGGCGTCGACAGGAATAAATCCAGTTCCCAACGGTGCTGTGCGGGTGCAGCTGGGTAATCAAAATCAACGTCTGCCGACTGGAGCTCCTGCACAGGCGAACCCCCTTGGGCCCGTCGTTGGGACGCGGTGGACGAACAACCCCAATGGGGCTGGTGCTGGTGGTCGTGCAGGAGCTTCAACCACAGCAGGAGGAGGTGGATCTTCATCGGTCGTCAATCCGGTGCCGTTCAATGCACGCCCACCTGCGCGTCGTCCCCCCGCACGCGTCGCATTCAGGCGGGACTCGCAGCTGGTGGATGATGAAGCGCCGACGCCGCCGGCGCGGCCCCCTACTGGGGGCGTTCTGGTCACCAACGGAGGGGCACCAGCCGACATGCAGCTTGCCCGCTACGAGGCGCCGTCCTCTATCATTCGAGCCGGCCGTTTCGGGACAGACCAGCCCAGGGAGCCAAGTCGAAAACAGGTCGAACAGCTGCTGCAAGAATTGGAAAGCGAATACACAGAATCAAAGCGGCCCGGCGCCGCCGCGAAGTCGGCCCAGGTGAAAAATGCGGTAGCACAGGTGGCCACGCTACTCGAGGAACAGTACCAGCTGAAAACGAATGCGGATGAGAAGATATCCTGAGCAAAAACTACGTCCCCACCCCATAGTCTACTAGATTGGAATAAATCTGCTAGGCAAATCAGCCAGCTTTGCTTGTTGCGCATGACAGGTTTGGCCTCGTAGTGTAATTCTGTTTAGTTTGTTCAGCAGCGTCACAGCTCTCGCCGATTCTGCTGGTTCGTGGAGCGCCGCAAATTTTTAAAGCACACGACTAGAAAACGCTTCTCATGGCGGGGCTCCGCATGGGAAGCACTTTGGGCATGCAGATTTGCGTGACAACTATGGGGAGGTGGGGGCGTTTTTACATAGGATAAAGCGGAAAGCGACCAACACACGTGGTGGCGGCGGTCAGCGATCTGCGCGGCCTCGTGACAGAACTCGGCGACCTCCACAACAACCTTGTTTTGGAGGTGCAAACTATTGACAACAGGGCGAGCGGATTTAACGCCGATGATATCAAGAAGAAAATCAATCCCCCCTCCCCGCCATATCTAAACGGAATTCTGTGATGCAGATTTGTGCTCACAAAGGCAAATCGGGTTTGTCATGCTGAAAGGGAAAAGATGCGGCCTGTAGTGCTGGGTGGCGTGGGAAAGCCTTTCATCTTCAGCATGACAGGTGGAGGCAGCTTCAGGAAGTGGGAAACAACATGACAAATTGCCTGCACTAAACGAGGCCACAGCTCCTGCGGCTCTTGGCCTTGTAGCAAAAATGCGAGTCGATAATTTGTGTACTACTCACCTACAGCGTCAGCACAATTCCCGTCTTCGATATGGGGAAAGAACGGGGGGATCTTTCCCTTTGATAGATGAAGAAGGTGACTTCTTGAAGGATCGTGGGTTTTATTGGGACCACGCCTGTTGGATCGCCAACTTGATTCTCACCGAAAAGCTCGCGACTGTGCGGCAGCATACGGCAACGCTTTTGAAGGAAGCCAACGAGAATCAACTTTGCGAGGGGTGCCTGCCGGACACCAAGCGAGGCGTGCAGAAGCTGATTGACGGGAAAAGCGTCAAACTTCCTCTGAACCGCGTGGAAGCCTTCTGCAACAAACTTCTCTTGGAAAACACGAGGCTCAACCGACCCCTGCTGAAGTTCAATCTGGAGCACGAAACGGAAAAAGAGCGGCGGGCCCGGGAAAACAAATTTAGATTCGCGGCGGAGAGCGCCGACCGGAAGGAGCGGAGAATGTTGGAGGACGCGGCTCGGGAGCGTCTGCGCGGGACGAGTGGTGCAGACGGAGCCGTTTATGAATTGCAAATATGTCTAGGTCTGGAAGGATGCAACTTGTGATGCGCATTTCACAACGCATGAAAATCTCTCATGCATAGGCAGCAAAAGTTGCGGTTGCCCACTTTCTGTTACCAAAATGGGGCATTTGTCATGCGGATTCGGCATTGCAGAAGCTTCTCGAAACCTGTGATGCTAGAGCTTCCATGGCGGACCTTCTGTGTCATGCAAAAGCAGCATGACTCTTCCAGACCCAGACATATTTGCAATGCATACCGTTGTGGTGACCCTGAAGCCGTTGCCGCCAAAGAGAAGGACGACCGCCGCAGGCGACACCGGGGTGATGCAGAAGTATGACGAATTGCGGGTATCAATTGCAAATATGTCTCGGTCTGGAAGAGTCCGAGGCTTGTCATGCTCTGCTAGCATGATTCCAAAGTCTGTCATGCACACTACCCAAAAGCCCCATTTTTCTGTCATCCAGAGCCGCGCTTTGTCATGCGGAAGCAGAATACACAATATCAATACCGTAGGTACTCGGAAACTTCTTGTCATGCCGAGCTGCAAGTTGAGGCGTCCTCATGGTTGTCCTACCCGCATCACAAGTTTCCAGACCCAGACAACATATTTGCAATGCATAGCGGGAGACCTGCTACAATGTCGACGACACAGCGATGTCGGGCCGGGCGGCGGAGTTCATGGCAGCAGCCGAGGTGAGGGCCAAGATACGGGCGCGAGAGCAGATATGGAAGTGTCAGAATCGAAATTGACAAAATCGAAAAACTTGCGATGCATAACATCGATACCAGTTGGAGCCTCAGTTTGCAAGCGGCGCATGACAAATTTCGGGAGCACCCAAATCCGGTCTGTCGTGCTGTTTGGGCAAAGAAGACTGCTCCTGTCGTGCTACTCTAGCGTCGCATTGCATACCCCTAAACAGGCTTACAGTCGGCCTCATTTGCCTTCTCCCCAATACAGGCCTCCAGTGCCCTACATTTTATGCATCACAATTTTTTCGACTTTGTTGATTTCGATCCTGACACATCCATAGCAGAGAGAGGGAACAAACCAAAACCGGGGCGGTTCGAACTTGGTTGAGTGCACGGACGTTTTCGACAACGTGTCCTGGACCAAATTGGACCAGGCTGCCACTAGTGAGAAGTGCCACAAATTATCGCGGGAGATCGAGGACCTCCTCGGGTGCAAGCCGGCCGTACGGGACCGGGGGGAGCCGCAGCAGTTGCCGGGGTTCCTCCGGTATCAACTGCAAAAATGTCTGGGTCTGGAAGGATGTAACCTGTGATGCGCATTTCAGAACTACACACAAAAATCACTCATGCATGGGTAGCAAAAGCTGCCCACTTTCTGTCACCACAGTGGGGGATTTGTCATGCGGGTTCGGCATTGCGGAAGCGAAGCTTCTCGAAACCTGTGATGCTAGAGCTTCCATACCAGACCTCCGGCGTCATGCAGAAACAGCATGACTCTTCCAGACCCAGACACTTTTGCATTTGATATCCGGCTGCCCGTGAAGGAGCTGAGTCTGACGGCGATCGTTGCCACCCAGTTCACCCGCGTGATGTATTCGCTTGCTGAACCGCCCCAGGTTGGTGCCCAGGATCTGCGCGACTGGCTTGCTGGAACGGAATGGGTTGTGAACGCCGTGTATGCAGTGCAAAAGCATCGTACTAGTTGTACCAATCGCATGAGGACAATGAATTTATTCTCAAAGAACAAGCAGGTAAGGAAGTCTTTTTTGTCATGTGGATTCAATTACAAAACCAGATCTTTCTCTTTGCCATGCGATTAGAACTACGTGAAGTTGCGCGATGCTTTTCCTGCGGATACCGTTCAGGCGTTCCAAGAGAAGATGCAGGAATTTTTCGAGGAAGTTGTGCCCGAGGTGATGTCCGGGCTCTTGTCGGCGCAGATTTCGGTGTGGATTGAGACGCTGGACACCAACAACGACGGGCTGGTGTGTCCCAACGAAATCAGCACGCTGCTGATCAGCGACCAGGTGCAAAAGCATGTGATCGACCCCCTGAAAAGCCTGGTGGAGGCCATTCCCGTGCCGGGCCTGCCCAAACTCATCTCGGAAACGGTGCAGCGGGTTTGGCAACAGGCGTCGAGCCTGATGATGATTTTTCTCGACTCGACCTTTGCCAAAGCGGTGCACAGAATTGCGCAGGACTTCGCGGTATCAACTGTAAAAATGTCTGGGTCTGGAAGAATTCATGTTTGTCATGCTTGTCTGGCATGACTCTTAATTTAACAGATTTAAGACTTAAATCTGTCATGCACGTTACCCAAGAGCTCTGTTTTTCTGTGATGCAGAAGCGCAGTTTGTCATGCAGAATACGCAACACCTAGGAGCTCAGAAACTTGTCATGCTGAGCCAGCATCTGTAGCCTCATCATGAGACTCCACCCAGCATCACAAGTTTCCAGACCCAGACATTTTTACACTTGATGCGCGGCGATTCTTATGGGTGGGGCTGTTGGAGGTAGTTCTTCATCAGCTCGTATTGTGAGGAAAAATCTCCCCTCCCCATACCAAAAAGGGGCACTACTGAAAATCTGTGATGCTGATTTGCGACCTCAAATCGTCCCTGTATTGCAAGAGGGCAAAGCCAGAGAAACAGCCGCGTTTCGCAGGTACTTTGTAATGCTCTATCGCCTACAGAGGACGCGCCTGCCTTGCTAGGCACCTACAGCAAGACGCCCCTACTCAGGCACTGCATCTGCCTGCAGTCCTCTACTGCAACACAGTTTGGATTTGTGTACACAAATCCCGCATCACAGATTTCCCTTTTGATATGGGGAGGGGGGATTTTTCACTTTGATAGCTCGAGCTGCGCCGTGGTCCAGGAGCTCCTCATTTATGGAGAATTTTGAAGATGCAGGGAACATTTTCAATGCCACTTCAACATCTCCTTCTACCTGGAGCGGCGCCGGCAGCGGTACAAGCGCAGCTCCCACCTCATTTTTGGAACATCTCCAAGCGAGCGCGGCAACCCCGGCCAAGGATGGAACATCAGCAACTTCGGACGAAGAGAACGCAACTCCTTCCACCACCAGTGAGGGGTCATCCTCATTGGTAAGTGACGGCATCAGTGACGAAGAGAGTAACAGCAACAGCAATCATGCGGTCCCCGGAGGAGCAGGAGAGGACGACCATGACGGGACGCAGCAAGAACAATCTTTGTTGCAAGAAGGTCGTCGCACTGGTTCTTTGCTCTCGGCCGGTGGTCCGCCTGGGCCGCGGCAACCGAGCATAGCGGGGGGTGGTGTACCCAGATTCCCTTCCGGCTCTTCTTCTGACGACAGCGGAGAACTTTATCATCAAATGCTGCAACGAAGTAAAGAGCACAGCTTTGACGATTTGTCCAAAAATTTGAAGATGGATCTAGAACGAGCGGATCCGAAAAAAGTTTTCTGTGGTGGTGCCACCGGAGCAGGCCGTTTCGATTGTGTAATGCCGAAACAAGAAGCCGCAGAGTACCGGAACGAGGTGGCTGCGAAAACGCTCCGGACTTTGTTCTATGCACTGCAAAAGTATCGTACTCGTATTGCTATCACATGGTGCATTACAAATCTTTTTGTTAAGTCAAATCCGCATTGCAAATTTTATTTCTCATGCTGGGGAAATTTGCAATGCATTTATGCGAGTGCGATACTTTTGCAGTTCATACGTTCCCGGCCTATGTGACCGGAGCGACGACAAACGATTGGATCTCTCGCGCCGGAAAGATCAAGGACGGCTTGATTAACATTTGGTGCTTTCCCACCCCGTATCAAACGTAAAAATATCTGGTTCTGGAAACTTGTGATGCTGGGTGGCGTCTCATGATGACGCCACAAATGCTGGCTCAGCATGACAAGTTTCCGAGCTTCTAGCTGTTGCCTATGATTCTGCATGTCAAACTGCGTTTCTGCATCACAGAAACATGGAGCTCTTGGGTGACCACGTGCATGACAGATTTACCAGTCATGCCAGACAAGCATGACAAACATGCATTCTTCCAGACCCAGACACTTTTCCACTTGATACCCCGAAATCCATCGCCAAACAAGTGACCAGCATCGCCAAGCAAGCGAGCGACGCCCTGGAGGGGATTGTAGAACCAATTGTCGGCGGGGGCGCGAGGGGGGCCGCTGCCCCCTCCGAAGCGGAGAAAAAGACGAAAAAGGAAAGAAAAGAACATATCGAATGCAAATGTGTCTGGCTCTGGAAGGATGCGAGGGCTGTCATGCTACTTCGGCATGACTCTGAACTCTGTGCTGCGTCACCGCAAAGCGCTCCGCTTGCCTGTCATGCAAAAACGCAGCTTCTCATGCGGAGTACTCAACCCGGAACCACGGAAAAACTTGTCATGCTTGGCAGCGCATTACAGTGTGCTCACTATTCCCTTCCTTGCGTCACAAGTTTCCAGACCCAGACAAATTTGCAGTTGATAGGACAGCAAAAAAGGCAAAACCTGGAGAAAGAGCTGCAACTCGCAGAGGTCGCGACGAGCGTCTGGCGCCGGTTTTCGCAACATTTCCGGAGGCTTATGACACTGCACAACTACTCCCCCTCATTTGTATTGCATTAACAGCAATACAAACCCAAACGCCAGCGACCCTGGAGCCTGTGCATGACAAGAAATTTATGTGCCTACTGTAGTACTGCTTGGGCCTTCGAAATTCGTCATGCAAACCTTGCCACAGGCGGGAAGTGACTGGATCTGGATTTGGGATTTTGGAAGACAAATGACGGGGAGAGGGAGTAGTTGTGCACTCGCATAAAGCACATCAGTTCCGCGGAGTTCGGAAAAAAGATCAAGGCCGTGCTGCGGGAAAATTTGTCCCAAGCCTTCCAAATCGGGTATCAAATGCAAATATGTCTGGGTCTGGCAGAATGAAACTTGTGATGCTGAACTTGGATTCCGAAAAAATCTGTATTGCATAAGCAGCAAAGAGAACGTAATTTGTGCTACGCGGAGAGAGCGTTTGTCATGCGGAGGAGGCATCAAGAAGCCCTCAACAAATCTGTGATGCTAGGGCATGCATCTCCACCGACATCATGGCAGCTCATGCAAAACGTGCATGACAGGTATCAGAATCTTCCGGAGGACCCAGATATTTTTACAATCCAAATCGGGGGAAGTCTGTTTAAATCCAGAACCAACCAGGAGACCGGCCAACAGGAAGCCAGCATTCCGCAGAAGATATTGGATGGTATGCAGCAGCTGCGCGAATGGTTCGACTGGTCGGCGGCGCCCGGACCAGACGAAAACTTCCGGGAGTGATCCAATTATGCAATACAAATTTCCCGTACATGTACAAAATGAAAATGCATCACAAATTTCGCCAATTTGGGGTGTAAAACTTGTCATGCTAAAGAAGGAGCGAAGCCGAGTTTTGCTTTTGCCATGCAGAGGCAGCAACTGTACCTGTACAGGAAATTTACTGTGGATAGCAATCCGCTGAGTTTGCCGAGGGGACGTTGCGCAAGTCGCTTGCGCAAGGGGTCGAGCATATCCTGTGCAAAAGTATCGTACTCGTATTGCAGTCATGCATTACAAATTTTTTTCTGAAAGCAAATCCGCATATACAAATTTCTATTTCATTTCTCATGCTGAGGAAATTAATGCATTTATACGATTACGATAACGATACTATACTTTTGCAATGCATAGAGCACGCTTTTGAACTAAGGGGCGGGTTTCAGAATGCGATCGCGAGTCTCCCGCAGCACCTTGTGGAGAAGTTAGACGATATCCTGAGTAAACACGTACCCACACCAGAGTCAGGATGAGGATTTTGCAACACAAACCTAGGAGTTTTGTGGGTCACGCATGACAAGTTGCACTAATATGCAGTGTAGTGCAGGTTAGCAAGTGCAGCCGCGTCACAGATTCATCTGCTCATCCTGTTCACAGCATCACAAACTCCATAACACGATTGGAAATGGCTCTCATGGGGATGCGCATTACGAGTCTTCCTGTCTTTGCAAATCTGCATTACAACTCTGGCGTGGGTACCTTTTTACTCAGGATAGACGACTTTAAGAAAGGCGTTCACTCGTGGATCAATCGATTCCGGAAGAGTACGATCACGTCCCTGTGAAGTAGAATTTTAGTAAAGCGACCTTGTTATCGTGATTTCACAACTACGAGAAGGTCGTTTAATATCTTGATGGCGAATATTTTATTATACAAAAACTCGAGACACTTATTTTAAGAACACCAACACGACAATGCTCTCAGTTCGCCCTGCTACTGTGCTCTATTCAAACTTCCCTTTGGGATTTTACTTTCTATATATAAAGTCTGTTGCTCAAGCGGGACTGTAAAAATTTTCTTTTTGACACTGCACTATCAGTACGATTACCAAAGTTTTACGTGTGACGGCTAGAAGATAATCTAGTTCTATCGACGTCCCCATTTCGTATACAAATTCAAAATTTTCTAGCTTTTTTTCTTTTTATTTTCGCGAGTATGCATGCCTACAAGTACAAGTAGGTACAACTTTTTCGAACCCAATTTTTATTTCGACAAGAGCGATGTTTTACTTTTACTTTTGATCCAGCCCCCCCTTCTGATGCTCGACATGATGAACGGAGGAACTTTGCTACCGTGTCGGACGAGATACCTTGCAGGAACACGAATGTCGTATACCTGCTGGACAAATTTCAGTGCTAGTATGAAGGGAACGCTAGTAAGGACCAGTAGACTAATATCGTGGCACCTTTGCTCGACGAACACCAGAGAGCGGTCAGCCTACTCTCATCAAATGGAAGTCGTTTCGCATTGCATGACAAACCGTGAATCGTCCACAGGATTTTATGTTGACCTCGTCCTCGTCGGCCTAGCAACGTTTTTCGTACAACTCTGGTGAGTATTAATTTAGTCGGTACTACCAGACCACGTATAATTCCAAGTCTTCGTCCTACGTGGCTTTTTTTTACCATGACGGCATACAATTCATAGCCCGAATGGTTCGACTGGTCGGCGGCGCCCGGACCAGACGAAAACTTCCGGGAGAGTCTGTAGGAAGTGACAGAAGTTGTGGTCAATGTTTTGCATTTTACTTTTTTTTAATTTTTTACAATTTTTCAAAAAAGTTTTTTGAGTTTTTTTTTTTTGCAATTTTACTTCGGAGGTGGCGTCTCTGTCATCGTCATGCAGGCGAGCATGCTGCTGAGTATACAACAAGTACAAGTGGTAAGACTGCCGACGCCAACTTTCAACATAGCGGCTCCATTTCAATGGACGCACATTACAGCTACTGCTACGACTATCCAAATGCATGAGTTATTTTTTTGCTCTTCTCTATCTCTGCAGAAGAACGAACAACAAGTGTCCATTCCTTTTTCATTTTCCCCTTCTTTCCCCTAGTCATAATTTTGTTTCTGTTGCATTTTTTTTTGTACATTTATTCTTGTAATCGCAGTTTGTTTCACTTTTTCATAGCAGTTGTACCGAATCCACATGATCCACTACCAGTTCAGGCGACCGCTATTGTATTCACAAATCCTTTTTGTTTTCATTCATAAACTTTTTCGGAGTCCTCACAGGTGCATAACTAAGGCAATCATGATCATCCCTGAAGACAAAAGACGCACTAGCATGCGCATGATGAAAATAAAAGTACATTAAGAACAACAAGTGTAAGTGACCTTTTCAGCACACGAACCTCCTCGCGGCTACATTTTGAAACCAAAAGCCTTGATAACTCTGAAAAGTATCAAATGTGCAGTGTTCTTGGGCGAGGATCCCGCCGGGGCCGCGACGTGGTTTTGCTACTCGAAGAGTAGGCTTCGGCAGCCAGGCTTCCTATACGAATTTATTTCGTTCTCTCTTGTACAAACTGAGTGCCAAACAAGTCGAGCAGTGCGGTCCGTTGGAGCGTTCGAAGATGGTGTTTACACGAAGAAATGTTGCGTTGATTGTAGTTGAGAGGGTTCGTCTTGTCGCGCCGTCGTTTTGTCAAAAAGAAGTGTGCCGCTGCCGTGTTATCATCTGGCAACCAAACTTTCACTTTCTTGATTGAATTCTAATAGTCCTTACACGACACTTACACTTTGATAAGTGAGCAGCTGAGGCGGAACGGGCACCAGGCTCGGGAATCAAACTGAGCAACGGCCCCGGTACTAGTGGTCCTCGTGTTCCTGTAGTTTCCATTTTCTTTCAGTTTCAAGATTTCGACTCCCCGCCTTGGCCTCGTCAGGCTGCCCCATTTTTGTTGTGGCTTTTAGTAGAGCAAGGCCAAAAACATGTCCTCCTCGTCTCTGTTGTTGGATTGCCTGGCCCCCTTTCTCGTAGCCGCTCAGGACGATGAGGATCGTCGTGTTCTTGACGCGGAGCAGAGCACAAGCAGGCCGCTGTTGCAAAAGCACACAGCTGATAACTACGAATCCAGAACCACCGGAAACCGCCGCCGAGGTGAGCCCCCCACGAACTGGAACGTCCGCTGCAGCGAGGCACAGAGGTTCTGCGACGCAGTGCGAGACAACGAGGACCGTCAACGTGCTGAAGAAAGCAAATCCGGCACAATTGTAACCATAACGATCCGAGCCTTCCTTTCCCACACACTCGATGCGGACTTTTCCCACGACAGAGCGGTAGCTGACTCTGATTTTTTCGTAGCTCCGGAACGATTTGGGATCCCAGTTCTCTTTCCGAAATTGAAGGTAAGGACGAATTGCTTTTTTGCGTTTTTTTTTCTCCAGCATAAAAGCGATGCTTTGATCATGTTTATCTTGTTTATTCGGGATGAAACAAATTTATCATTTAGCACTCAATAGCCCTCTGGTCATTCCTCTACACGACCCATTGAGACGCTGATGTCTTCGTTTTGTTTTTTTGTTCTCGTGACGTATAGATACATTCTTTCAATAAAAAACGAAGGTCCTTATCTTGACCGGTTGCAGGCTGAAGACTTTCGACCACCTCGGCCCGCTGACAGATTTAACGCAGTTGCTATCCTGTGCAAAAGTATCGTGCTCGTAGTAATTGCAATCATGCGCTACAAATCTTTTTCTAAAGGCAAATCCATACAATCTTTCATTTCTCATGCTGAGGAAATCATTTGTAATTATGCATTTATACGAGTACGATAGGATACTTTTGCAATTCATAGTTGTTTATCTCCGACAATGAGCTTTTCACGATTCCCGAAACCATAGCAAGCTCTTTCCCTGCGCTGGAGTTTCTCGACCTGGCCGGCAACAGAGTAACTTCCTTCGTGGAGACGGGGAAACTCGCGACGCTGCCGAAATTGAGGAGTCTGGATTTGGGGCGGAATCCAATTTTATCGGCGATAAAAAGCAGCAATCAAAGTAAAAGCAACAGCTCTACTACGTTCTCTTCATCGTCTCCCTCAGCGTCCTTATTGCACGATGATGATGTTCTTCGGCAGCAGCTTCAAATCGAGTACCAAATTCTGTACCTTGTACCGCAACTCCAGCGTTTCAACCAGAAGGAAGTTGGAAAAACGATCCAGAAGCAAGTCCGGGCTGGAATCTTGCCCACGGCAACGGCAGCAGACTGCATGCAGATACAAACTGCGCGGGAGGTGGTGGTAAAAAACCAAGAACGATTGTCCCTAGAGGACCACGGCGCGGACGAGGTGCTCATGTCTTCAGCTGCGACACCAAATGCGGAAGCGGATGCAGCTGCTGAGCAGAAAAATAAGACGACCAAATACAACCACGGGCGCTCTGAGGATCAAAGTCGTCACGGTGGCAATGAAGATTACTTCGAGGAGGTGGGGGAGGAGGCTGCGGCTATCTCTCGCGTGGAAGCGGAGATTTACGACCTGGAGAAGGAAATTCTCGCGTCTACCACGAGGACCACCGCGCCGAAGACAACGTTTTTTCCAAATTACCAGTCCGGTGGGTCATCCTCCAGTACTGCGCGGTCTGCGAGGAAATGGAGGCAAGAGGAGGAACAGCAGCAGCACACGCAGCGGGAACAAGATTTGCATCAAATAAACCCTCACGACTCTAAACACGGCCACAAAATGAACAGCGACTTCCACTTCCGCCAAAAACTACCCCCACCGGTGCTGTTTATGAATGACGGGGGCAGTAGTTCGTCGAATAAGTCGTCTGGTGCACCATCGAAGTCCTTGAGTAGCAAGTCTTCGGCGAGCAGTGGTGGAAAAAAATCCTCGTCCTCCTCTTCTGCCCCCTCGGGAGGTGGAGGTGGTGGTCCTGGTTCGCAAAGCCAAGAGCAGCAGCAATGGGCTGATGCTGAGACGCATCAAGACGGAGAGGAGAAATTCTACGACCCCCGGCCGACGTCTGCTTCTGAGAACGGAGGAGTACACGCCACGACCAGAAGTAGTGCTGCAAGCCGCGGGGAGGCCGTACCAGGAGAGCAACAGGAAGGAAGTAGAATGGGTGGAAGATCAACATCTTCCCGTATTCAAAACTTCTCGGTGAACAGAGCTAGCGCGAACGAAGTAGACAAGGGGTTTGTAGAAGAGAGTGACGAAGAGGTGGCTGCAGCGCAAGTTGACCACCGCAAGACAGACCAAATCCGAGCAAGTGCCGCGTCTCGGACGAGTGCAACATCAAGAAGTGCCGGAAACAATGGAAGTCGCGCCGGCTCAGCAGTATTACAACAGGGCTCGCTTTCTTCAGCTTCATTTGCGCAACATCAAGACCACGGAGCCGCGCAAGACGAGATGAATCAGCCGCCTTTTTTCACGGCGTTTGAAGCATCGCCGAGCGGCGCGCCGTTTGAAGGACCACAAGTGGAGGATCTCAGTCCCATAAACGCGTCGGGGCATTCGAAGCCAGGGATGTTGAACTACAACGCGCTTGGCGATTATCCCGGAAAAAACAACCGTCCCCATCCATTTCATGCATGACAAACACAGGACATCATACATTTTTTGCATGACAAATTGGATAGGGGTTCGTTGTTGTTTTTTTTTGTGGATAGCGACTCGGTGCTGCTGCAGTCCGTTTCGGCGGAAGCGACGTGTATGTGCTTTCTAATCTCTGTTCAGTTTTGATGACTCGTGCTTCTTTCTTTATTTACTCAAAAATCTCAAACGACTCCATCTCGAAGATGCCCTTTGTTGAGGCATTACAATCAAACCTCGTCCCTATCCGTGCAATTTGCGGATTATACTTCCAAAATTAACTCAGCCCCCTCGTCCTCCCGTGTTCGGAAAGCGCACTTTGACCTTCTCCACCGCATGATCTCCCCGAGTCACGAGAGGCGCCGTCCCAACCGAGTTCACCATCCCAGCGGGTTCGGGTTTGGGTTTGAACCGAGAGGCAGGAAAACTTCTACGCCAGGAGGAATAGATCATCAGTACCACAATCGTCTGCAAAGTACCAGTCCTCACGAAGAAGTCCGCACGATTTCGCCTCTGGATGAGCGGCCCGATGGGTCTCTTGCGTACCAACTGCAGCAGCTCCTCTCGAAACCGGAGAACGAGGAGGTGGTTCGGTTGGCGCTGCAAAAAGCCGGCTATGCAATACAAATTTCCCGTACATGTACAACATGCAACATCACAAATTTCACCATTTTGGAGCGTAAAACCTGTCATGCTAGACTAGGATCGAAGCCAAGTTTTGTCATGCAGAGACCGCATCTGTACGTGTGCGGGAAATGTATTGTGGATACCGGTCGGGATTTTTCCATCGACCCGAAAAATTACTTCGAAAATAATGGAATGAAGGACGGAATAACGGTATCCAAGAAAAAAACTGTGTTAGTGTAGGTGTCTTGCTGTGACAGCATGACAAATCGGTTCTGCATGATAGACAAAGCCTGTCATGCGCACCTAGTAAATGAAAACACATCAAGAAATAGAATAGGATTTTATGGTTGGTTAGCATGACAAGCACAAGTGTAACAGTGTTGCACGCTTCGCATCACAGACTTACACTTACACAGTTTTTTTCTTGCATAAACGGGTAACAGGAAAATGATTTCTAAGCAGAACCTGATCCGGCAACTGCTGAAAGAGCCGAGCTGCTTCGTCGACGTGTTCCTCCAGCTTTATCGAGCAAAAAAGTGTTTATCGTTATCGAAAAATTCGCAATCGAAAAAAAGACCACTTTTTACCGGGTCGCAAAAAATTCGATAACAGCGGAGGTTTTTGGTCACTTTTACGCTGCAGTACCGCCGTGCCTGGCGTTTGTTATCGAATTTCCTTGTGGTCGCGCCCTCAAATTCGATAACAGCGACGATTTTTGGTCACTTTTACGCTGTAGTCAGCACGGCCCCGGGCGTTTGTTATCGAATTGGTTTTGGGTCCATGGCTTTCTGTAGCGCCCGAAACCAATTCGATAACAAACGTCCTAGCACGGGCTAATTACAGCGCAAAAGTGTCCAAAAATGGTCGCTGTTATCGATTTTCATTTTGGACTCCTAGAAAATTCGATAACAAACGCTAGGCACGGCGGTACTGCAGCGTAAAAGTGACCAAAAATGTTCGCTGTTATCGATTTTTTCGCGACCCGGTAAAAAGTGGCTTTCTCTGCGATTGCGAATTCGATAACGATAACACTTTTTTCTTCGATAAGCTTTGCTTGCACATCATCGAGGAAAAAGAAAAGCATCACCTACAGCAGTACGGAAAAGACCACTTTCCCTTCGGCTACCCCGGGCACGGCGTATCAAATGTAAAAATGTCTGGGTCTGGAAGAATGCATGTTTGTCATGCTTGTCTGGCATGACTCTTAGATCTGTCATGCACGTTACCCAAGAGCTCCATTTTTCTGTGATGCAGGAACGCAGTTTGTCATGCAGAATAGGCAACACCTCGAAGCTCAGAAACTTGTCATGCTGAGCCAGCATTTGTGGCCTCATCATGAGACGCCACCCAGCATCACAAGCTTCCAGAGGACCCAGACATTTTTACATTTGATACGGCGCGCCGAAGTACTATCTTGGTGGACGCGGCGGGGGGCGACGGAGTCGCAGTGGGAGTAGGAGTAGGGGAACAAGAAGTGCTGCTGCATCGCCATACGAAGAACAATTCGGTGGTGAAGAGAACAACTATTCTAATTCCTACGTCTTCCCTCCTGGCACGAATTCTAATTTGAAAACGCCGGGTGTTGCCGCCGGGACCATTAGCAGGACACAAAAACACAAGAATTTTGTTCCAGCGAACGCTGAAGAGTTGTCGGAGATTCGCCAGGAAACGGTGGCGCGCTTTCTGGAGTCAAAAAAGTTCACTGCGGCGAATTCAAAATCCACAGAAAACGATAACTCCTCCTCTTCCCGACGGGGCTATTTGGATGATGAAGAGGACGAGGACGAGGAGCCGTTGGGACCACAGCTTTTTCCGAATTTGAGTGCGCGCAGGGAGAATTTGAAAAAAATGTGCCTTCCGAACCGGCTGTTCAGAGCCGCGGCCAGGAGGCAGCAGGTACATACTAATGTTTTGATTTTTTTTGTAAGTGAGTGTATTTGTGATGCGGAGATGCGAATGCGAAACTTACACAGAAATGCACCAGATGCAATACAAAAACAAATTATCCCACAACCACTACAACATCCAAATAGGAGCAACCCATCCACGCGCGTTGGCAGACCCGCTACGACAATATGGGGCTCTCAAGCGTTACATTCTCAACTGTTACATGAATTTGTCATGCAAAATTCCCATGAGTTGCCAGAAGATTAAGGTGCTTCGCATGACAAATTCTCGAAAGGTTAAACAGCATCTAAATCTGTTGCAAATTAAATTTGTGACGCGAGACTCGCAAGCTTGCCCCTTTCCATATTGCTGCTCTTGCATCACAAACTCGTGTAACAGTTGAGAATGTAACGCTTGAGAACGCCATAGACAACGACCCAGAGCTGTGGAATCCGCACGACGACAGTTCCTTGTCTTGGTTCCAAAAGTATCACAGGAAAAAGTTTTAACGTTAACGGGATTTGTGATGCAGTAACGCACCACAAAACGTGCCCAAATTTGTCATGCATAGCATGTGTTAAGCAAAATTTGTCATGCATATTTGCAATCTATGAAAACCGCTAACGTTTAGCACTTTTCTGTTTGATAAAAAGCCGAACTCGCCAGAGGAGAGGGCCAACGAGCACCAGTTGCACTATTACCATTTCGGAAAACCGGGAGCAGGAGCAGCGGGTGCTGATGCTTCAAAACACCACAGGCATCAGACCCACGACTACTCGACTTCTTCGCGGCATAACTTACCACGTGCAGTAGAGCGTGATGAACACCGAGCCAATGGTGGTCCCCACTACGCACAATCAACCTCAATGAGCAGGTCGAAGGCTTCACCGAAGGAAAAAACGAGAGCAAGAAGTCCTGCAGGCGGGGATATGATCTCGGGTACTACTTCTGGAGCGCAGCTTCTTGGCAGCGCCGCATCACAAGGCGGTCGCAGCACGCCCCTCTACTCCAACATCGACTACATGGGTCCAGCGTTGACCGCTACTACCCCTGGGTCGCGAACCGGAAAGACCGGCAAGAATCGAACAAGAAGTCGACCCCAGATGACGAATCAGCTGCAGATGACCTCCCGGGAACAAGAACCCTGTTTCGACGAAAGCAGCATCTACAGCCGGGATTTTTTTGACATTCTCGGCACCACTGCTAGTAAAAACAGCAAGGCGAAACAAGCCTCGGCTGCCGCCTCCATTGTGAATGCGATGAGCATGTCCGCGAATCCAAGATACCAGTACGGGTCGACGCAACCGCTCGTCAACGCGAAAATCATTCGGGGGAACCGGCATCGACTGGGGAATCCGCTTATCAACTGCAAAAGTGTCTGGGTCTGGAAGATTGCGAGAGTTGTCATGCTTGTCTGGGATGACCAGAAGAAAAACAAAAAGTTTGTGATGCGTCGTGGCCAAGAAGAGACCCTTTTGTCTGTGATGCAAAAACGCAGTTTGTTATGCGAAAAACGCAACACAGCGAAGCGCAGATATTTCTCATGCTTGGCTGGGCATTACAGAACATTCACTATTCCCCATGCAGCATTACAAGTTTCCAGACCCAGACATATTTGCATTTGATACCTCTGAAGGGAAGGGATGTTGGGGTGGTGCCGGGAACGGGAATAGGGAGGAAGCACTTGATTGGAGGGGTGTGGAAGTGACATGGATGAGTATTAATTTTCATCGTCGAGAATGCCAATGCGAAGGCAGGCTCCGTCGCATTGACATGCATTTTTGGCAGATGCGAAGAGCAGGACCATGGGGATGGGGAAGTAGCCGGTCTATGACTAACCACAACCGAAACGATCGATGGCGAAGAGGTCGCGCATCTCCAAAGAGACGTGTGCTTCGTGCGAGGTCTGGCGCGTTCAGGAGAAATCTCGAAAGGGATGAAATGTGTTCGATACATATTTTCGTTTTGAGGGGTGCATACAGAGATTCAAACATAAAAAAAAAGAGGACCGTCATCAACTAAGGCGAGCGCGAGCGCGGAGCAGAAATGCAAATAAAGCTAAAGCACTGGCTGGCTCTGGCAACATCGGGGGCGAGCGAAAAATTGAATTGCACATCAACAGACATCACGAGAAGTCTTCATATGCCTGGTTCATCCGGAGAAAAGTGATGATCATGTACACACGTATTGAGCGAGGCAAAAACAACAAGCAACTGCAGATGCTTGCGCAACCCAGTTGTAGTAGGCTTGTCTGTTTGTAAGATGATGCGGGGACTAGTAGGTGTATGAGAAATAAAATAACCCTGAAGTATACTACTTACATGTTAATAAGCAGGACCTCCTAGTAGTGCCCACAGTAGAAATTTAAAATTTTCTAATCCTCATAACATTTCTTGCCTCACAAGAAAGAAAAACTACTCATGACCCATTTCGCCCACGTCGGCGCGCACTGCGCATATCCCGGTTGCCACCAGCAAGATTTCCTCCCCTTTACCTGCGTCCGCTGCCAGCTCGTTTTATCCACAGTAAATTTCCCGTACACATACAAATGCAGTCTCTGCATGACAAAACTTGCCTGCAATCCTAGTCTAGCATGACAAGTTGGACACTGCAAGTTAGCGAAATTTGTCATGCACTTTGTACATGTACGGAAAACGAAAATTTACATTGCATGCGTTTTCTGCCTCGACCACAGAAGGGAAGAAGACCACAACTGCAAGGGCACCGCCGGCGTTTCCCGACAGGTGATCATTTGCCCAATCTGCAATCTAACAATTCAGAAAGTCCCGGGCGAAGACGAAAATGTCACGTGGTTGCGACACGCCAACACGCCCGGGCTGTGCCGGCCGGCAGGTGCAGGAGCATCCGCAGCTGGTGGTATAAACTCGCGGCGAAACAGTGGCGGATCGCAGTCTCCGGATGCTGGTGGAACAAATAGCAACAATAAGTGCGTAGGGGACGGGAATTGGGAGGAAGCACTTGATAGGAGGGGTGTGGAAGTGACATGGATGAGTATTAATGCGAATGCGAAGGCAGGCTACGTCGCATTGACATGCATTTTTGGCAGATGCGAAGAGGACCATGGGCAAGTAGCCGGTCTATGACTAACCGCAACCGAAACGATCAATTGCGAAGAGGTCGCACATCTCCAACGAGTCGCGTGCTTCGCGCAAGGTCTGTCGCTCTCAGGAGAAATCGCGAAAGGGATAAATGTGCTCGATGCAGATTTTCATGTTGAGGGGAGTACACAGCGAGTCAAAAAGAAAAAACCGTCAACTGAGGCGAGCGCGAACGCTGAGCAGAAATGCAAATAAAGCACTGACTGGCAACATTTGGGGGCGAGCGAAAAACTCAATGTGCATCAACAGACATCAAGAAGAGTCTTCATCGTCCGCCTGGTTCATACGGAGAAAAGAACTGACGATCATGTAGGCACGTATGGAGCGAGGCAAATACAACAAGCAACTGCAGATGCTTGCGCAACCCAGTAGGCTTGTCTGTTTGTAAGATGATACCACGGGGAGTATGTGTATGAGAAAAAATTATAAAAACCCTAAAGTTGTAATTGTATACTAGCTACATGATCAGGACCTCCTAGTTGTATCCCAAATAGAAATTTTTCTAATCCTCTTCGCATTTCTTGTCTTCACGAGAAACAAGAACCACTCATGACCCATTTCGCCCTATCCCACGAAAAAAGTGTTACAGTTGCACATTTGTTGTCAATTCCGCAACACAAGTTTTCTCTGCATGAGAGAGAGAACTTGCAATGCAGAAAACATAAGGGAAAACAGGAAGGAAATGAGGATCCAAAGCATTTCCTGCATGAGAAAGGCTGTCTGTGATGCCGGTCTTGCATAGACTATGTGTGTAACTGTAACACTTTTTTCTGGTCATACGCCCACATCGGCGCACACTGCGCTTTCCCGGGGTGCCACCAGCAGGATTTTCTGCCCTTCACCTGTATGAACTGCAAAAGTATCGTACTAGTATGAATTGCATTACAAATTTGCTCAGCATTACAAACTAAATTTGTAATGCGGATTTGCCTTAGGAACCAGATTTGTCATGGATGACTGCAATTAGTACGAGTGTGATACTTTTGCACAGGATAACCTGCGTCCGCTGCCAACTTGTTTTCTGCCTCGACCACAGAAGGGAAGAAGACCACAACTGCAAGGGCACCGCCGGCGTTTCCCGGCAGGTTATCCTGTGCAAAAGTATCGTACTCGTACAAATGCAAGTCTTGCATTTTTACAAATCTTGTCTTCAAGGCAAATCTGCATTACAAATTTTATTTCTCATGCTGAGGAAATTTGTAATGCATTTGTACTTGTAGTTATACTAGTACGATGCTTTTGCATTGCATACGAGGGCCAAAGGTACTATTTACGAATGTGCTTTTTGTTCTTGAGGTTATTCTGCATGACGAAGTAGGAATCGCGAGTTTGGTTTTGTGCAACACAGACTGGTGGATTTCTTTTTGCGAAGAAAGTAGAAAGCCGAGGACACTTGTTCCGAGCATGACAAATTTAAACCACTATACTTCCTTCCGCATTATAATTACAAATTGAAATTCCAGGTGAGTTGTCGGAGGGCGCTTACAAGATCACGTTGGAGGGGATTCCGAACGACATGACCTGGACCGATATGCAAGAGCAATCTTCCGGCTCTTGATCGTAGAATGAGAGTTTGTGATGCAGAACCACATTGGCACTATCTACGTACTGGCTGCTATCTCTACTCAACTCTCTATGTATCTATGTGGTTCTTTTATGCAACACAAATTCATCACAGATTCTGCGCTCGAGAAACAAGAAATTTCTCATTCCCATACTCTAGTTGAAGGAAATGGGAAGGCAGCATGTGGGCGGAGACAGATACATGGATGTGACGTTTGCCCGCACCTTTCGCAACCGTCAGGGCACGGCCTGTGGCATTCTGGAGTTCAAGAGCAGGTATAGAGATGAATTCGACTTGATATAATTTCGGAGTTTGAAGAGTTTATTGTGATGCGGGCTTTTTATGCACCCGTACGTTGAAGATTTCTCGTGCCAACATCGAAATAAAGATTCCACTTGTAATTATACTTCTTTTCAGGTCTATGGCGCAGGATTTGGTGGACAAGTTGGATGACCGAAAGATTAAGGGCTGGGATGCTATCCGAAATTTTGCCAGGACCACTTCGAGTCAAGTTGTCGTGGGGGTAGTTTGTATTGCAAAACTTTGCAAGGTGTAGGTGATGAAGATGAACGGTTTCTATTAACTTTGCATCGCGAGTAGTTGTAAGAAGTATGCAGATTAGCAGGATCAGGATCAGCCGGAAGATTGTTCTGCAAACCGCTCTTTGGTCGAGGTTCGTGCTGCACCATAAGAATTCCGATTTTGCAATTACGAAAAAACCATTTTCTTCGACGACTCGAAGTTCCTTTACACCTCGATAGCACAGCGTCTGCGGGTGAAGATGGGAGACCACTCTTGGGACTGAAGGGTGTCAGCGTTATCAACTGCAAAAATTTCTGGGTCTGGAAGAATACAAACTTGTGATGCGTATTTCAGAAAGCAGAAAAATCTCCCATGCATAGTCAGCAAAAGCTGCCTACTTTCTGTCACCAAAATCGGGGATTTGTGATGCGGATTCTGTATTTTTGCGGATGCTTCTATAATAAACTAACCTGTAAATGCTAGAGCTTCCATGCCAGACCTTCTGCGTCATGCAAAAACAGCATGGCTCTTCCAGACCCAGACACTTTTGCATTTGATAAGCGTCGGGCGGAAGCAAAACACCTAGAAATTGATATCCTGAGTAAAAACGTACCCACACCAGAGGTGTAATGCAGATTTGCAAAGACAGGAAGACTTGTAATGCGCATCCCCATGAGAGCCATTTCCAATCGTGTTTTGGAATTTGTAATGCTGTGCACAGGATGAGCAGCTGGATTTGTGATGCGGCTGCACTTTCTAATCTGCACTACACTACAGAGTGCAACTTGTCATGCGTGACTTACAAAACTCCTAGGTTTGTGTTGCAAAATCCCCACCCTGACTCTGGTGTGGGTACGTTTTTACTCAGGATAATTGAATAAAGCGAACAACCAAACGGAAGTTACTACTCAAGCGATAGACCACACACGACAAGAAGTGGATGCTAGCGCCGTGCTTGTATCTGGTTCGAGGAAAAAATATGCGACGTAGTTTTTACCTGTTTCACACGACCGGAAATGCATTTTTCGACGGATTTGCAATTTGAGTTTATCACGACGTCAAAGCGGAGTTTTTTTAGTATTTTGAACCTAATAAAAGTTGTAGTTAGTTCTAGTTCAACATCAGGATCAGTTGTCCAACTAAACCATTGTCTGTTGCATTTGCATCGAAAGCGAAACGGAAATCTGTACTTTTTCACACCACGGTGGGGCGGTAACAGAACAAACTGAAACAGTTACTATCTTCACGAAGAAGAAGTAGAGCAACGGCTGTCTTAGTCTTCATCGTCTCACCTTTTAACGACGACCTTTCTAGTTGCGACACTGCCGGAAAAATTATTCCCAGAACAAAGTTTTTTCTATTCGACACAATGCACTCATTGTCACAGTATCCTTGTAATTTATCGATTTCTTGTAATGGTGCACCAGATATAAATATATGCTGCTCGACTTGTTTTGGCTGTTCTGCAACGCTGCAAGGCATCTGGCAGCACCGGATGCTAGCTATGGTAGGATCTTCCTCTTGGGAGCTGCAGCGGGAAGAGATAGAGATTTCGGAAAAGCAACTGTAGAACTTATTTCATGGCGCGACGAGAGCCAGAACAATGAGGAGCACGACCAAGGCACTATCAGCATCGCAGCTGTTTGACGAGTTAAAGTTGCAACTCCAAGAGCCACTACCTAGCTTTTGACAAAAGTGAGAAAGTTGCGTTGCACGACTTCTAGCTGAGGCTCGTGCACCAGTTAGTTTGGAGAAAAATACGCAACAGGCGGAGACGATGGGAAATACGATTCGGAGGCTTCTGGTGTATGCCAAAACTCCCTAGAGAATTTGTGTACCACCCTCCCAGGTGGTCTCAGATAGAGAAATGATCATCATCCATTGTGCTCATAAATAAATTTTTCTGTTCTCCAACGATCATATCGTCACTGCACGCGCTGACCAAGCCTCAAAATCGATTCTGCAGCATGCAGGGCAATGGACCATATGTCTGTGGCTTGCATTTGCTACACTGAGAAGTGTAACTGAATTGCAACTGGCTGCTAACCTGACAGTGCGATTCCATCAGAGCAAAGCTCTTGATGATGTTGCAGTACCGGCTGGCAGCTCATCTTTTCGAAAAAATGCCGCTTGAGACAATAGAGAAATGGCACTACTACGAGGCTTTTAACACAGTAGATGCAAATCGAAATAAATTCATCGTGTTTCACCGACTACATTAGGAACGAACGATTTCGGCTCCGTGCCGCAAACGAAAATTGAAATCGCTTTCATATAAAAATCTAATCGTGATAAAGTCGTTTTGTCAGATCGCCGCTTGTCGTGGCATCGTCTCACTGCTGTTGGTGATGCGCTTTATCTCTTCGTTTGATAAAAATTCGTTTTTCATCATCGCTTCAGTCACGCGCAGTTGTAGTCGCGGTAATATGGCGACCATTTTTTCAGTACATAGATATAGCCCTAGATGATTTTATGGAACTGCCTTTGAACGGCAATGTTTCTGGTTGAGTGTATGATGACTGGCACTTGGAAGTTTTTCTGTCAACTTATGTAGTGCTCCCGAGAATTAGCCATCACAAAGGCAGCACGTTACTATCATATCGCAGTTTCATGAGTTGCAATTGAATATTTTTGTAGATCACTACGGTTTCAGTTTCACACGACTAGAACTTTATACACAATTCTGCGACTAGTTTTAATCTTTAGACAGGAGTTTATTTGCACAGTGGAACGCAGCACACGGATGGACATTTTTCTGCCAAACCCGAAAGAAGATTTTCGCGCGGGGAAGTTTATCGTCTCTGAAAGCCTTACAATCTCGTAATCCCTGGTGGAGGTCCGAAGGACACGAATATAAGCGGGACAGCGCATCGGGGACGAGCAGTTTCCTGAACGAGGTCGACATCGTGCCGCATGCAGTATCGCCTCTTGTTCCCCGGAAATGGTTTCTTGGTACTACATTGTTTCGAGTTAAACAAGTTCGTAAAATATCGGCGCGACAACTACTATATCGACAGGCAGAGCAGTATCACTCCTTTATTATTACCTATGGGCCAGTGACTGCTCCTTCTGTGGTGCGACGACCTGGAGATTATTTACCCTATGGGCGACGACCAGCACAGCCACCATTTCAAGCAGAAAGACAATCCCCCACGACCCGCGATTCCATCTGGCCGACGTAATTTTCACCCTCACGACCATCCAGATCAGGGTAGGGCTACTAATGCCGCCGGCCGCGACTTAGCAGAGCCGGGCAATATTAGACGCTGCGAAAAAAACAATGCGCGCTTCGTCCAAGAAGAGCACGATGTCCCAAGCTATCCTTTACCCGTCGCCCCAGTTCCGACACAGGCAACGTCGGCGTTGCATACTGCGACCACAGTAGACTTCGAGGCGAGAGTTTGGCCGGCACGGGGCGCAAATGGAAATACAAATGCAGGAGCCGGCGTGGGACAACAAGGAGAAGGTGTTGGTGTTCGAGATCATGAACAGGCTGCTTACGAGTGCCAAGCTGCACGGGACGAGCAGGACGATCTGTCACAAGAACGGGGAAATGTTCTTGTGCCGCGTGACCCTTACGCTCGAGAGCGAAACGCGATCTCCTACGACGGCGTAGAGGTGAGCGCCACCTTTTCCGCCGGCAATCATGGAAGCTCCTACTATCAGGAGCAAAACGACGCCAGAAGGCCGGCGGCGACGAGTACGATTGAAGGCGATGTGATAAGCAGGACAGGAGCGGCTGCCGCTGCGCGGCCCGGCCGCGGCCATGTTGATATCCGGCGGTCGACACGAGAGGAGTTTTCGTCGACGGGCTACAATCCGAACAGAGAAACCGAGAGCTGTTTTTCCTCGGTTCCCAGGGGGAGAAAGGTTGACCATGCAGCCCTCACTGACGCCTATCGCGAAAAAAAACGCAACTCCAGCACAGTCAGTGTCAGAGGGCGGCTGGAAAACAGAGAAACCAGCTTCGATAGCAATGCCGACTGCGAAAATGGCACAGCGGGAGCGCCGGCACCGCAAGAACGATATCAGCGAAATGCTGTCGAGAACGACCAGCGTCAAGGACTCCAAGACTTTGTCTACCAGGCGGACCTGCCAATGGTGGCTGTTGTGGATACATCAAACGGTGACCGCAAGCAGGAAGTGGGTTTCACGATTGAGGACCCTGAATACAACCGAGAGCAGCGAGGTGCGAAGCCAATGCTCCACCAGAATCAGCAAGAAGCCCAAGGAGAGCCCGTTGCCCAAGACGGACACCAGAAACGAGCGTATGGTCAGCATGGTCTTCAAACAAAGAGAAAAAATCCCCGCGACACTACTAGCTCTGGATTGAGGTGCAGCGACAAGGCCGAAACCCTCCGCGACCCTTTTGTCCCGGAGTCCACACAGATTCCACCTCGGCGCGCGGAAAAGATTGACACTCCTCCCGCGCCTAATGGCAAGCTCCAGAGGGGCAACGACGCCCGGGATCATGATGGTGGACCCAACGGCAATCTCCCAGATGTGTGTCCTGCGAGCGCGAATAAAGTGGCGAATCTTTCACCTCCTGAGCCTGTACTTTCCACCCCCGTAGCCAGCATCCCCGTTTATGGGCGCCACAGCGCCCCTTTTCTCAACTCCCCAAGCGACCTGCCCGAGTATTTCAACGACGAGGACTGCCGGACTTCGTACCAAGAAAACGATTCGCTACTCTCCACGTTCGCCTTCATTCAGCGCAAAAAAATCGACGTGACCGCCACCGCCCGCGTTGGCCCAGGAGTGGTCATCTGCATGGGCGAAGAGGTGGTTGACAACCATCACGTGGACTTCAACAAGCCGACTTTATTGCTCGAAGTTGTGAAGCGGATTGGGAAGGGCGGGTCGGCAGAAGTGTTCGAGTGCCTAGATTTGCGAACTTGTGTGGTAGACGGAGGCTCAACTACTACAGCCTCGGGCAGTCGTGGCAACTACAGCTGCAATCGTGACGCGTCGCGAAGTGGTGGCATTGGAAGCAGCGGCAACGGTCGCGACAGGGAGATGAAAGCTTCTCAGCTATCCGCCACCCGATACGCATTGAAGGTCGTCTACGCACGGGACGCGCGGCAAATGCGTTCGTTTGCCATGGAGGTAAACTGGCTGCGGGTTTTGCGGGACAAAAATCGTGCGAGCGCAGGGGGGAAGGGCAATGTTGGCCACAGCGCAGACGAGCTGCGGGTAGTGAAGATGATCGGGGAAGCGAAATTTTTTCCGAAAGACCTGGTGATCCACATTTTGCTGGAGTTCGCGGACTGTGGTATGGAAGGGAAGTGTTTCTGTTGGTTTGAATCGTACATAAGTTGTATATATTTTTGGGATGTGAAATAAGCTTGGGTAAGATGCAGCAGTGCGGGAAGCTTACCTATGTCTTCCCATGTTGCGAGTGAAGCCGCAGCCGGATGGAATTTGCCATTTTTTTTTTCCGCACGACAAAGAATCTGCAGTACATCAACTGGAACTGGTTCAGCAACTGAAGCACCTTCTTTCCCCTCCCATACCCAATCTTCATTCTTTCCTCCGGAAAAACTACGAAATTTTCTCCATTTACGACATTCGCAACCTCTGGCGCGACATGGTCGCCGGTGTAGCGGCGATTCACAGCCTCGGGTTGATCCACTTTGATCTCAAACCCGCGAATTTTCTTATCGTGGACAACATCGTGAAGGTCTCTGATTTCGGCCTCGCGAGAGGGATCAATAAAGACGAGGGAATCACCCACGTCTCCCGTGATCGGCAGTGCGGCACGCCGCGCTACATGCCGCCCGAGGCGTTCTACCAGCCGGATGAGGGATCGGCGAGTTTGAAAATGCGGCCAGCCGCTGACGTTTGGGCTTTGGGGATCATCCTCTACCAGTTATTGTACGGTCGGGCGCCGTACGAGCACTTAGAGGGGTGCGGGATGCGGGCGCAGTTCGCCGTGGCGGATTCCCGGGTCCGTATCCTGTACTCGAAATCTCGGCGGTGGGAACAGCAAGACGCGGCGTTATTCGGCCATCTGGTGTCTCTGTTGCAGGTCACGCTGCGGTGGCGTTGGGAAAGGCGATGGGACGCAGAGACGGTGCTGAAGTATTTGGAAATGGGAGATGAGCAGTATGATGCGAGTTTGCAGCCCGGCCAAGGGACCACCAAGACCCGGAAGAATCAAAAGCTGCTGAAAATGCCGAAAAACCTTGTCAATGAAGAAGACATGAAGGGAAAAACGACGAAATGGGAGGGCCATCGGCTGTCGGACATTTACGAAGAGGAATTTATGGAGCAGACGTCGTTGCCGTTGTTGGCGAAACAAGCGATGAACTACTCCTGCAACTCGACTTCTTTCGGTGCTACGGGTGCGGAGAAAGGGGAGCTACTGGCACGACGACAAGACGGACTTGGAAACCAGGATGATTGCGGCGGTGCTACGACGGGTCAGGCCGACTCCGACAAGGATTTGGTCGAGGCGGGTAGTGAGGAAAAGAGCATGAGAAACGGCAATGTCCGAGAAGTTGGACTTGGAAATGAAGCAGCAGAAGAACACGAGCCAGAGCTGGCATCATCCTCAGAGGAAGAGCAAGAGAAGGTGGATGAAAATGCTGAGAAAGGTGCGGCATTGATGTCGCAGCAGCAGCACGTCGTGCAAGGAGCCGCTGCCGAGGGTTTTGCTTCGGAAAACAACAAAACAGCATCGCTAACTTCTGCAACACAAACCTTCGACACCGGCGGGCAGCGAGACACGACGCCAAGTTTTGCACGTGACGACAACGAGGAGGACCTGCCGCAAGACAAATTTCATCCCATAACAGCAGATCCCTCCTCGTCATCGACATCTTCTGCATCATCTCCTTGCGCCGCTTTCCTGGCCTCATCGCTCTCCACCATTATCATGACCATCATCGCTGTTTGTCTTTTCGCCAGCGCTACTGGCTTGGCAGTCCATATGGGCAACGTGAGCGAGGGGAACAAGCAGAAAGCAGAGCTGGGATCTTCAGGGGACGGTGATGAGTATCCGTTTGGCGGCTTTGGCGGCGGGCATAAGCCGAACATTTTAGTCCCAACGAGAATCTTCAACGGGGATGGAGGTGGTGGTGGCGGGGATGGTGGTGGTGGTGGTGGCACTTCACATGGAGGGAACCCGAGCGGCCCACCAACAGGTCTAGGAAATGATGGTCAGGGCGGGAATGCCGGAACGACCGCTCCTTTGCAGCAACCGACCCCTCCTGCGAGTCCTTCATCGGGCTTGTTGAGCCTTTTCCCCCCGGGGCCCATTTCCGGAGCAGAGTTTCTAGCGCCGGCGAAACCAAAACCAAAACCTGCAGCACCGACTGGTGGTGCAGCAGCGCCAAAACCAGCACCGGTCGCTTCCGCTTCTGCAGCACCGACTGCAGGGCCTGTTTCCGCCAGCCCACCAACAGTGCTTCCCGCTGCGACGGTGCCGGCTCAACCGGCAGCTGCTGTTCAACCGAATGCGGCAATTCCATCAACTGCAACTTCTGACCCGGAGTCGCAAGAAGGTCAGGCAGAAGCTGATGCTGATGCAGTATCGGTTGCCCCGTCTGCGTCATCATCTCCTCCGGATGAGAGTGATCGTGCAGCTGAAGTCTCAAGTGCTCCAGCAGCGCAAGAAACGACGATCAGTGATGAAAACCAGTCGGCGCAGGAACAGGCACCCCGAGGAAGCGAAGAAGGGATACAGACTGGAACTGATGATCGTCAGGCGCAAGAAGTAGAAGAAGCACAAGCAGCCCAACAGGAGGAACAGCAAGGCGAAGTACCGCGAACTGGAACGCAATCAGACGTTGGTGGTAGTACCGACCACTCTTCCTCCACTGGAAATATCGGTTTGGGAACAAGTGCTGCAGCTTCAGCGGGGAATACCGGCAACAGCGATCCTGATCATGCAACGTCGAATCCGAGTCACCACGGCGGAGTGGGACGTCAGCCACAAGCTGCTTCAGGCACAGGAGACGTCGAGCGAGAACGGACGCCGGAACCAAACGGCGACGGTATTGAAACTCGTGGGTCTTCTACTTCCGGTGGTGCCTCAGATCTGAATTCACCAGGAAGAAGTTCCGGGACAGAACCGACTGGCGAAAACCAGCAACCGCAGCATTTTACAACAAGTACGGGAACCGGAACGGCAGACACCGATGGGACAAATAAGACGACATTTGCGCAGGGCCATGGCACTCCAACTTCCGGAAGTACTGCTTCCGGTGGAGGCAGCGCCTCTTCAACTTGCTTTTCCACCGAAGCAGGAACAAACGACGGCACAAATCATGACTTACGGCGTGCGGACGCACTGCCCGCAGGCGAAACTCTGCCTATGCGTTCTGCCGCTGGAAGCGGATCATTAGATACTGGCGAATCTCATGCTCCCCCGGTGGCTGTGGAAGATGCAGCCAGCGGCTGTCCCCCTGGAGGGCGAGAAGATGCAGAGGGTTTGCGGACGTCTGCTGATCCAAGTTGCTCGCTCCGCCCGAGGTCGCTCTCCCCGCCCCGAAGTGTCCGTCGTGGGGGTAGTTCGGACGCTGGATCGAGTGGTCGGTCCGCTCGCGGAGGGGGACGGAGGGGGCGATCTAGCTCGGTTGGTTCTACTAGTTCGAAATCATCTGACAGCGATTCAGACTCAGAATCCGATTCTGACAGCACGGAAAGGCGACAAACAGGCCCAGGAGGTGGTTCGCCGCCGCCGACTCCGAGGCCCGACGGGAGTTCGTCCAGCACTGCAGTATGGCGGCCGAGAGGCAAAGCAGCTGCAGCAGAGCCACTTGTCCCGGAGGTGGCCCCAGAACCAGTTTCGGAGGCAGACCTCGCAGCGCTGAAAACCAGGCAGGAGGAGGGGCAAAGCTGCGAAAGCCTGTTTTTGAAGGTTTTGGCTGAATTTTTGGCTGAGCGACAGATGGGCGACAAAAAGCCAAAGGATTTCTGGAACCCAGAAATAGATGACGGCAGGGACTACCTGCAAGAAGCAAGAGATCAATTCGCAGCAGATGGCGGAGACCTAGGGCAGACAACCGCACTTGATCCGGACATTTGGACGGTATTTTTTTATTCGCAAAAAATTTGTAATTCTTTTCTATTTTGTCACAAAGTCGGGTTGAGAAAATGATGCAGCGGATGAGTGAAAATCCAAAAAGCAAGCAGAAAACCTCGTACTGATCGCCAGCTATGTAGTGTCTTGTCTATGTATGTATGATGAGTACTCCTGATGCTCAGTATGTCGATGCTCCATCAATGTCGGAGCGGGTATTTTTTGGTGTCATAGTCTAGTGTGCTTCGCGATCATGTTTTCGCTTCGCCTCCTGGACACTTTCCTTTCCTTTGTACTTCCAGGTTGCAACGATTATGACCATGATGCCACACTGTTATGGAAATTTCCATGCCTTCGATTTGCGGGCTTGCGGAACTTGGCCATCGTTGGAGATAGTGGTGTATGAAACGTACCGGTTGCAGACGACCCAGTGCCTGCCTACAGAAGACGAGCGCTTTTTCAAAGACGTGTTAAACTTCTTTCACGAGCGAATTTCAAGCACCACGAACTCTGCGTCCACATCTCTCGTGGTCTGGGAACACCCTTTGATTTTGGTTCCAGAGCGGCTTGCACCGGACGGGCGAGGCGGGTGGACTCCCATTTCTGCTAACGTCTCCGAGTCTGGTCGTGTGATTCATGAGGAGCGATGCCGCATCGGAATGGCTACGGAATATCTTTTCCAAGCTCAATATCTCGTTCGCGAATTTGGACCCTGGAATTTTGCCGAACTACCTTATGGTACTTGTGATCATCTCGCATTTCAATCAAACATGGTTGTGTTTCATATTCAGCGATGATATGGTGTACATTTAGCGAGGAAAAGTTACTTGGCACTGAACATCCACCCCAGGTTATTGCCTCGATACGGGTCCTCGAGAAAAACTGAATCTGGAAGAGAAGCCTGACGACTGGCCAGAGAAGGCGATTGCCGAAGGGCAGAAGCGGCACAGCAAAGACTGCACTGAACCTTTGGTGCACCCGAAGTGGCACGAGACCTTTCGCGCCGAGTTTTATCGACGGGCATCCTTTTGGAGAAGTCGATCAACAGGCTCGGGGGCAAAGTGGAGCTACATACATTTTCGGTGGAATTGGATCAAGGCTCGATTGAAGTCTCACCGGGATCAGAGTAACAACAAAATATCTTGGAGATTTGCCGCCTATGTCGATGACGCGTTTGTCTACCAAGCTGACTCCTTCTGTCCAAGAGATGAATCAGTGCGGGCGGAGTTTGCATCCCTTCAACAAAAAATTCCCTTTTCCTAGGGGCTGATACACGGTGCGCAGACCACCGCGATGGACGAGCGAACCACTGAATCGCGATCAAATCTTGAAGATATTAGGTGTCGTGGCGCAGGTCACAACCTACTCGTTTTACAATGCAGTTCCTTGTTTGATTTCATGGCCTTTCGGAGCTAACCATGAAGCAGGACGATATGTTCATTTTCGCAAAGCATCAGCAAAGATCGAGTTCGCAACAAAGATCTAGTTTCATTTTTTTGAGGTGGATCCATTTCCATCAGTTTGTAGCAGAGCATCGACCGGCGACACCGAGTCATCCCGTAACCAGGCAAAGAGAGCTGGTCCTCTTTGGCGATTGATCACCTTCATACATGAAGCTTTCATTATTCGCTTCTCTGCTCTTGCAACGGCTACTGTTCTGAGTTGCTACTAAACTAACTAAATCTATTCTTTGTTTCTTTGCTTATGATGGGCAACACGCTTTACTTCAATTTTTACAGGCTGGCATATTGGGCTTATTTTTAGTCCTGTTTTTTTGATGACTACTTAGGTTGCTGTTGTAGATTTTCCTTTTTTTGATATGTTTTGGAATTTGAGATAGTTCTATATCTATTCCATGACCCCATAGCAAATCCCCTCATTTATTGTTTATAGAATTTCATGTAAGATAAAGATACTTTGACTTTAAAAATCCTCCTCCTCTTTAGCACGAATGCGCAGCGAAGGCATTGTAAAATCATGTTGTGCATGACGAAAGCAAAATTTTTTTAAATTTTTTTAATGTAAGTAGTCGATGCTTGTGATGTCACCCATCATCTCTTGCGACTGCAGAGCCTACTAGTGGTGGAGAATCAAAACAGGATGTTGCTAAGACGACTGCGAAGGTCCGGCACGGTGCTTCGCTTTCTTTTCGCGAACAGCTTCTTTAATGTCGGCTGGACGGTGAAGAGCATTGCCGGTCATGGCAAAGTACAGGACAACCGTGATCTCGTGGGAAAAGTACAGGCACAGGAGCAGCAGGCAGGTACCGGAAGACATCAGAGTATTATTGACAAGAAACTTTCCGAGGAAACGGACAACTGGCGTTGCGGCAGCAATAATTCTCAACAGAGTTGCGATGGGGCCATCGCAGCTGCAGAGGCAGGCGAATACGAAGCTGCGATGTCAGGCCAGAAATGCCAGAGCGCTAAAGAAAGCAACACTGTACCAGAAAGTCGCCTGTGTAGAGGAGGTATTATATCTGCTTACGATTTTTTGCTATTGGATCCCGAGCTCGAGCGCGACTCTACACGTGACAATCACGGACAATCGAATGACGCGTGCGCATCATGAAAGTGCCGCACGTGAGAAAAGTTATAGGACTCTCAATCATGTTGAAAATAATTCAGGTTCGTGTTTTCCTTTCTTCGCGGCCGCGCTACGAGATTGGCGCTCTGGAACGGAGCGGCAGGTTAGGATGGATAAAACCCAATCCTCTGATGGGTCCATGCGTGGCCACACGACTGCCGAAAAGAATCAGACAGGTCGCAAGGCCGCTGGTAGCCAGACAAGTCCGGACGCGAGATCAGGGCGGAGTACCCAAGCTCCATCAGGGGGAAGAGAAGATTTGCCGCGAGAACAACTAGCGCCAGCTTCTCAAGAAGCCATTGCAGCTCCAGCTTTGCCGGTCGGTGACCAAGCAGACGAAGACTTGCTCAGAAAAATCATGGGCGCGGAAGCGGGTCTCATGTTCTCCGGCGAGAGAAAGCTGCTCAACGAAAACCAAGGGGTTTTGAGTTTCCTTTCCGCCCAAGACGTCGGAAAGCTGTTGCAATCCACCAAGGCTGGCTTTGGTGGAAAAGTTGCCGCTGCAGCCCATGCGCAGCACCACAATGACACCTCCCTGGAAAGCCGTACAGAAAGCTGCGAGGACCTCTTTCTTGAGGTCTTGCGAGAAAGGGTTGGAGCAAAGCGACCCGAGGATTATTGGAATAGGCAGATAGACATGGGGGTTGATTACCTAGAACACTTCCTCCTCCAAATGGATCGGGACCAAAATGATCGGACACTTCATCCGCCGCAGACAGCCACGTCTCCAGGGGGGAAGCAGAAGCAGGATTGGACCGTACTTAGATACTTCATCAAATACCTTTATGGACTGCGATCTGCTTACCTTTTTTTATCAGCATTTAATCGCATTTCATTGTACTGTGTGTCTTTTTGCTTTTGCTTTTGGCAACACCAAAAGTTAAGTATCGCATTGAGAAAAAAGTTTTGTGCAATTACTAACCACGGTTTCGAAGAAGGATGTGACAAACTCTCATGTGCAAAAGGATCTATCTATTGTGTTTTCGCACCACTAGGTTTACCTGTTGATGACAATGGCGACAGAAACATGTGGGCCCGCAGTACCACATCGGCGCGCGGATACTACCAACAAGTGGCTCCTGTACAGCTCGAAAGCTCTGGCCAAGGGTTGTCACAGAAACGATCGAACTTTCTTCCGCGAGGTCCTAGATTTTTTTCACGAGGATGTGCCGGTCCACAGAAGGTCTGTTATGACGAGGCTTCTCAAACGAGAAACGCAGTCAAAGGCAGTGGTCTGGAATCCGCCGAGAACTAATGCCTTTGCTAGGCAACGTGCTGCCGGCGGTCCACCAGTACAGCTAGTAGACATGTCTCTGAACCCGAATCAAAAGACTTTGGATGGGAGGTGCCGGCTCGCGATGGCGACCGAATTTCTTTTCCAAAAGCCCAGCCGTGTGTACGAACGCCTATTCCCGGTCCGATTGGGTTATTGCTTGAACAAATCCGCGGAGCTGTCCGACGACAATGGCGCGAGGCCTTTTGCCCACTTTTTCCATGATGATCCTCTGCGACTGGACGCGCAGTATTATCCAGCCTTTCGGAAGATGTTCCGGAAGCTGGCTGGAAGATGGCGGTCACAGTCCGATGGGTCGGACCTTGGCTGGTCATACGATCAGCTGCAGTGGGACTGGCGCAGCTTTCATGGGAAACGTTTAAAGCACACGTTTGAATACACGGGGAAATATCCAATCCGCCCCGTGCCAAAAATGTTAGACAACAGACCTGCAGATTTCCTTGTCAAGTTCCCTACCAAAATCCTGGACGCTTTGTAACGGATGTCATGCATCCACCGGAGCGACCTTTACTTTTGGCAGGCATCACAGCGCGCTGAGTGCGAAATTCATGGCGCTTAGACTTGTCGCAGGGTGTCCATTGTCTCACCCTGAACTCACTTTCCGGAAAAACTAGCGCACTGATGCGATTAATGCCATCAGACAGAAGGCAATGCTTTCTCGCGTTATCTGGCATGACCCACCGGAATTATGATTATCACGTTGTCTCGCATAGGATAAGGATTAGTAGGGCACGACACCCTGAATTGCCCGAGTGAAGTGTCGCACAAAGAAAATCAACCAATCCGCACTCCCACTTTCCGCAATTTTTCTTTGTGAGTGCTCGTCTTTGTGGACGCGCTTGCGCTTTTATTTAAATCAACGCGTTTATTTTATGTATCTATACTTCGATTGAATGATGTGATGTACATGTATGTATAATTTCTTGAGATTTGATTTGCATTTCAGCCGCGTTTTACCCTAGCCGAGATTCAGGCACGCCTACCATAGATTCTTTAATTGTTTGATAGAAGATGAGCTCCACTATAAATATCTTGTAGAATCATGTTGCAGAGACGTATAAATAGATGTATGATAAGTTCTACCTGACTCTGCTGGAGATACACTTGTGGTTGTGGGCAACAGGCACAGGAAAAGAGTCGAGTGACGAAGACGTTAGAGGCAAATCAATCTGGTCTGTTTGTGTTCTTGTAGTGTGTTTCTCTAAAGTTAGACAAGGATGAGATTCTATTGCGACGACCGTCGGCTCTAACAAGAGAATATTAGTTTATAGACAAGGCTTTAGCATTGTGGGGTATATTAGACACGATTCCTGCTTGGAGTAGGGATTTGCATACACGCTTTGAGTTTGATCTGAATGCGCGTTGAGTTCCCATAGGCCGGCTGGCAGAGCCGCGCAACGAAGCCAACAAGGAGCTCGTAATTCAAACAAATTAAATAATATCGTAGTCTGGCGGTAGGCCTAATGGGTCCGCGATCGAAATGACTTCAGAAATTGGGAAGGAATTATAGATCGTTGAAACTTTGACGCAAATGTAAAAACTCAAAATGCGCCACAAAAATGATAATGCTAAAATTAGGATCAGCGAAAGGATAAAAATCATAGGTCTCGCGGTGACATTGTCAATGTCTTTATTCGGTTTCTTTTTTCTTATCGGACACAAAAACAAAATGGTCGCTCCTCAGATCTGGCAAGAAATGCAAATGTTGCAAAATCTCATCGAAATGAAAAAAAGATTAGAAGTGCAACAAGTAGAACAAGTCTTTGCAATAATTTTCTATTGGTTTTTGCTGGAAATGAATTGTTGCTTGATCAAAATAAAGGATCTTTCGCTTGGTATTCGATATGCAATCAATAAATCAGGATACTGCAACACGTGGCTTTTGTTTTGGCATACGCGGCCACTTTTACAACAACGAAATACGATTCTTTGTTGTTTTAAGTCGGTACTTTTCCCAGTTACTAAAGGTTTTCTCAACTGAAAGCGAAGCCACGTAGACAATCTTGTTGATTTACCGCTTGCTGCTTTTATACATACTAGGTTTCGACTCCATCAAACATAAATTTGGCGCGGAAAGAACGGTCGAAGGTCGACAAAAATATCATTCCTACGTAACGAGCTGAGACGTCGCATCGAGCTAATGTCTGCTTTAAATTTTTCAGGATGGCAGTGGCACGTACGCGGTACGTTTGGAAGCGTGCGCCGTTTGCTTTTGACCACATCGATTTCGTTGTTGATGCAGCCTGTTCGCGGGGCGTCATCGTCAAGTTCCGCGGGGTTTTGCTTCGGTGCCCAAACATGGCAGAACATTCTAGCGGGCAAGCGGAAGTGCGGGTGCGCCGAATGTGAAAGTTTTTTGGAGATCCTGGTTAGCCAGAAGAATGAAAATCTGGCACCGCGTGTGGGTGAACGACTTGCGGAGCAAGTTATGTGCGACGTATCACAGGTGTTGGGAGACCAGCTAGCAGCGCTCAGAGTTGAAAACAACAGCATGCGTGAGTGGAAGAATTCCATCGATCTGGATCCACTGGTTGTGGTGAGGTCTATCCTTAGGAGTGCGACCGTAGAGCACGGAGACGGCACTTTTACTCGCCATCCGCGGTGGTTCGGCGTACTTGAGCAATGCTACCAAATAATATTCGGGGATTACGATTCCAAAGACGGGATACATATCGAACACCAACAGCTGCTACTGGTGGACGACTGCGTGTGTAAGTCGATGTTTTGCCTATTTCTGTTGTACTTAGTTCGTTGCGTTCTGATTTTTGCTGCGATCGTAAAAAATCGAAGTCCTTGTGAGTTTTCATATTGATAAGAAAAAAATCAAAACCAAGAATCGCACTCTGAGGCGTTTATGTACTTTTTGAAATTCGTCACTTTTCAGACCAAGGGTTGAGAAGTGCTGAGGACACCTTCACGCAGTGGAAGACGGAGACGTTGCTCCAAATATTGCCTGGTGATAACGAAGCACAGGTGCGCGAGAAGAAATGGGAGCGGTGCTGTCGCTCAATGCATGTAATGTACATCAGCACGCTTGGTTCTAGCACTGGGGAAGAGCAAAATGGACTTCGGGATGAAATTGGCCAGAGGAATCGCGGATCTGAGCTTTACGACAAGCAGCTTATCGGGGATCACTACTCGAATGCACGAAGTGCCTGTCGCTCTAGCAGTGAACCCACGCGAGGTAATATTTTTTACTAAAAATGAAATGAAGCATAGTGGAATCCGAATTCAATTGGACTTTTTCACGGAATGCGAAGAAGGATCACTGCGGAAGCAAGCGCTCCTTTGGCAAAAGAAGAATTTCATTGGCAGCTACTGGCAGTGTGTGTCTTGCTGCTGCTCGGGATGCCGTTGCCGACGGGCGACCTCGCCGCCTATTTCTAGCTAGGGACTTGTTTAGCAGTCGTCTTCTTCTTCATTTTCAACCCACATCTCACAGGACGTGCTTGCAGAATTATGCTCAGTTCGCTATGCTACAGTGCTAAACTTCAAACTTCCCTGTGGGATTTTTTTTTTTCAATATCGGATTTTCAACACGAGGATGAACAAACATCACTACAGGACGAGAGCAACAAGGTCAAGGGGGCCCAGAGGCGAAGGTCGTTTACATTGAACTTGCGGCGACACTACCTGTTGCTGGGCCTCGGCAAAGCCCGTATGTGTTCGCCACGGCCTTTCCGGTTCACCCGCGAAGCAAATACCGCGATCTTCGGACACCAGTTCAAGCTGCAATGAGCGCGTACATGGAGCATCGCGAAAAAGTCAGTGGTAGGGCGCTTCCGACTGGGCAGTTGACAGGACTGGAGTTCGAATTGCGCCAGAGGCAAGGCGGGTCCGACTCACTGCATGTGACGCCGCCGGTGTCGCATTTCTTTCAGCCGCGTAAGGCAGCTGATGGAGACAAGTCGCTCGCAGCTACTATCGTTGGCATTGGCAGCGTTGCAACCAGCCTTGCGAGCGTTGTGCATAACGCCTTAGGCGGACAGCTGAGAGGTTTGCTACCTCCACCTCGGGCTACAGCAGTCGTACCTCCGGCAGCCGCTGGCGCTGATGACTATTTCATGCGCGCGGGTGTGCTTTTGGACGACAGTGCAACTTCTCGGAGGCGATTCAGAGGTGCGATTTTGTCGTGCTACAGAATATACCTCTTTGAGTCTTTTTTTTGTTATATATACGTGCGGAAACAACGGAAAAATGAAAATCTCTGAGTTTGAAGTCTTGATCCTGTTCGATGTTGAATTTTCTGCAACACTGTGTAAGTGACCAGAGAAAATTTTTGATGTGTGCGCTCACAGGTAGTGGAGGCAACGATGGGCCTGGGGACGGAGATGACAATGACGATCCCCGAAAGAAGCGGGACGACAAGGAAGCCGAAGACAAAAATGCGGACAAGAAGGACAAGAAAGAAAAGAAAGAGAAGAAAGATAGAGATCGGGACTCGGGTAAATCCAAGGACACGACCCGCGGCAAGCGCGAAAGCCGTGAGAGTGTGGCGTCGCTCAATTTTCTCGGGGTAGTCGTAATTAGTTCCGATGATGCGGACAGGAGTGGCCAAGCCCTGTCATGGTGGAACAATCGCAGGTTTTCTGGCGATGCTGAGCGCGCAGGGTTCAAGAAACACCTGGAAAGGAAAATCAATGTGGCACTTGACGTCGGACAGCTGGCAGGCGCGACAAAAGTTTTGCAGATAAACCGCATGGAGTGGGCAGCAGCGGATGCTACGTCGTCGCCTGGTCTGTTAAGTCTTCTTGGCACGAAGCGGGAGAAAAAGGAGCGGGAGGACGTAATTATTTTTCATGTTAAGTTGCTGCCAAATATTAAACAAATCGCCGAATTTTTTTCTTCTTCGACAAGAAAGCCGCAACAATCAAGACAGAGCGGATGACTTGTCCACTAATAGCTGGTGGGTAGAGGAGCGTAGCATTGCATGCGGATGATTTGCCAACAAAATTACCACTCTACACAGGTCGTGCTAGTCGCACGGAGTGACACCAGCCGGCGGCAGCAGGAGAGCCCTACCGGCGACGTCGTTCTTTCAGTCGCGTCGTGGAACATCGGGCATGGGGCACACGAGGTTTCGAAGCAACGATTGTTCCTGGCAGGGGCCTTGCTTCAGGTTCTTGCGACTGCAGTTGCAAGTCGTGACCCGAGTTCTGAACCGTATACCCCGGACGAGTTAGATTATATTGCCACCTCGCTCAAGGGGGTCCTGACTTGGAAGCCATCGCCACCGGCCGCCGACGACGATGTCATAGAGGATGGCAACGAACCTTGGGACTTCTTGCAGGAAATCTTGCGCAAAGGCACGGCGGCTAGTGCGCTTAGAATCCAGCCTGGTTCCGACGCTCCGGAGCCAACGAGGCCGTTGCTGGATGCACCTGCATCGAAACAAAAACTCTTCGGTCTTCAGTCTGAATTGGCACTGTCCCGTGCGGATGCGGAGTTCCGTTCAGTCTTCGGCCTTAAGGATTTTGTGAAGCCGGCGGCTGCCGTCGCGAACGACGAGAACGCAGCAACCAGTGCAAACTTGACCCGGGCTGGAGGCAGTGCGAATGTTCGCCCCTCGAGTGCGCGAGCGCGTCGCGCGGCAGTTTCAGGTCGACGCGGAAGCCGAGGTTGCCAAGTTCGCTCCCAGTCTTTGCGCGGTTCAGAGCGGTATCGAAATAAGGATTTGGAGATATGGACCGACAGTCCCGTTGCCCCCACTCCCACAAGTCCCGCAGTACCGCGGCAAGGATGCTACCTTCATTTGGAGCTCAGCCTTGCACAAGAAGAAGACTCTCCGCCGGTACTTGCAATTGGCGACAGGGCGCGGCGGGCTGTCGGCGCTCTCGCACCGCCTTTGCCCGCGGCCCTCCGCAGACTATGGCAAAGCGAGGGGTCGCGACGCTGGTGGCGGAACACTCGGGACAGAACCGACGAACACTTTCCGGAAGTGCAGGATCGAGCGCAACGACTTGGCATCGCGCTCCGGGCGTACGCAATGATCCTCTCCAGGGTTGCCCTTGTGCTCTTCGGGGTATGGGTGGTCTTCGTTTCTCCGGACCAGAACGGTTCCTCCAGCCCGGGACTGCTGGACCAGCCCCTGGTGGCGATCTGTTTTGAGAAAGTTCCGTGCGCGAACACCTGCTGCACGCTGTCCGCTCGGGAGATGAAACTTTTGGCCGTGGAAGGAGTCCCACCCTTGTTCAGCGACATGGAGCATCTAGCCTGGGAGAGCCGGGAGTTGGAAGCGATTGAGGATGGTGAGGCGCCTCCGTGCGATGGGGGGCGAAGAGAAAAAATGGTTGACAGCTACAAGCAAGCACAGACCGCAATTGCGGCCGAGTTTGAACGATATCCGGCAGAAGCAAAGGAGCTCAGTAGGGGGGGCTTCAAGAAATTTATGAGGGCGGCGCTTGCCTCGGTCACTATGGAAGAGGTAAAATTGCGGGAGGGACGCTTGGACAACCAAACACGCGAGGTGGCCGCTCAGAGGGATGTTCTCCGACAGAAAGAGGGCGAGCTCCAGCAGAAAACGAGCGAGCTCCGACAGAAAACGGGCGAGCTTCAGCAGAAAGCGAGCGAGCTTCAGCAGAAAGCGGGCGTGCTCCGACAGAAAGAGACGCAGCTGCAGCGGGAACAGACGCAGCTGCAGCGGGAACAGACGCAGCTGCAGCAGAGAGAGACGCAACACCAGCGGAAAGAGCGCGAGTGGACAAAGGAAGTAGCAGAGCGGGGCGGGCAGCTGAGGTCGCTGACAGCACAAGCGACGGACCTCCAAGAAAAGGTCACGGGGCCCGAAGCTTTGCACGAAGAAAAGAAACAGATCCTCGGCGCGGAAGGCACGCGCGACGGCGTCGCGCCACTGTATGGCAACGGCAAAGACTTTTTCCAAAAAACTTTTTTTTTTTGCCACATATGACCTTACGGCACTTTATAGGCATGCCAGCGGGTATGCGCAGAGTAGAATAGCAGAAAAGCTTCGGCGCGGGTTAGGTGGTAGGTTGCTGGTCCGAAGGCTGAAGAGCAGCCGTTCCGGCTGCAGACGCGGCCATGGGTTCGGTCTTTAACGCTTTGGCCTCAAGGTAAGTAGCACGCAATGCCCCCGCCGCGGCTTTGGGGTATCGAAATAGGACTCAGGATACGCCATCGCAACTATGGCGGGCTCGCTCAGGAGCGGCAGTTTCAAAAGAGCACGGCTACGAGACGTGGCCCGCCCTAGCTGTCGCGGTGCCCTACGAAAGAGAAAGAGAGGAGGCTCACGCCTTTGCTGTCTTTGATTGATTCTATTCCCGGCCGCATTGTGGTGCTTTCCTTCGTGGCCGAATCCGAGTTATCATTTTCAAGGACGCAGCTCGCCAAAAGTAGCAAACTTGCGGGAACGAAAAGGGGGGCCGGCCCCCCCCTTGAGGGGGGGGGGTTTGGGGGACCCCCCTTCGTGGAGATACTAAGGGGGGGTAGCTTTCTGAGAAGGCCCAAAAGGAGGGGGGGTTTGGGGGCCCTCTCGGGGGGCCCCAAAGAGGATTTCGGCTTGCGGCTTCGCGAGGAGTTCTGCTACTTTCCTGGAAAAACCGCCGAGGGCGAAGAACCGCCTCCCGCGACCCAGCCAGCTCCCCAAGAGATTTGCGGCCGCGGCATCAATGTCGTCGGCAGTGCCGCGCACGGCTTGGAATTTTTCGAAAGCCGTGCGTGCCGTCTGTTTCGCCTGTTGGGGCGTGGGCCCTCCACTGGCTTCAACGCGCAGCGCATCCGGCATCGGGCTGACTGCGCTTTTCTTTCATTCATGCAGCAGCAGTGCAGGGGCTTGCAGTCCAACATGTACGCCGGACATGACGGACCCGAACCCGTGACGCAGTGCGCCACCAATGCAGCCATTTCTGTGGCTTTAAGCTGACGAGCTTAGAATACCAGTGCTGACATTGTTACTATGCACTCGATCTTCGCTAGGAAAAAGCTATTTACTCGCCACGGCCGGTGATTCATGTGTAGCGAAAAAAAAAAGTTTTTGGAAAAAAGTATTTGCCGCTGCCATACACTGATGAACCCCGCTGCGCCCTGCGCAGCAGTGCAGAATGGGGCCGGGGAAAAGTACGTGTACCGAGCGGGGGAGTTCTGCGTCGGGTCCGGCGCCAATGGACGCCGCCTGGCCCTGTGCCCCAAGCCCGGAGACGAGGGTATCGCCTGCGTCTTGGAACTGGAGTGCACCGAAAAGAACAAAGTCTTTCCAGCAGACGTCTGCTCGAAAGGAATTTGGAAAATGGATACGCGCTTGTCAAATGGCTGCACGGAGATGTATGGCCAGGCACTGTATCAAAATGAAATCCCACGACCCCCCTTACTCAACCGCAAGAGATCTGAGCATAAGTTTATTTCTGAGCACGGAGACTGTGGCTTTTGTTTTCCTGTTTGACTTTGTCAGGTGTGGCCTTACTTTTCGCTGAGTTCGAACGGGGCAGTAGAGGTGCGTCGATCAGCCCCCGCATGATCATACCTTCGAGCTTGCGAGACAGAACAGCGCAAGTTCCTTCCGCTTCGTACAGATGATCATGATAGATGATGATGCTGCATTTGCTAGTGTTAATTCTTTCTGCGGATTTTTGAGAGGGGGGTCGGCTTCACTTTCACACGCGGGGACAGATGTTTGCTGACTTCCACGCGAAAGAGGGCAATACGCCCACGGCGTGTTCGAGGGGGCTCGGGCCCGCACGGCAGCTCGACGGAAACAGCAATCCGATTGCGGACAGTGTCGGGGACCTCAATATTTTTCCACCCGAACAGACTTTGCGCCGCGACTTCACCCGGAAGGTCCGTGCGGTGGTTTCCGACGTGTGGGACTGGGTCTCGCCCCGGATGAAGACCCTGAAGGCACAGTTCGCAGGGGTGGAGCTGCACCAGTCGGAAAGCGAGGGTCATTTTGGGGACGAGGAAGGCGACGCGGCTGTTTGCGAGGTTTCCGCGGAAGACGCAGCGGCAGCCTCCGTTCGCGGAAAACCGTACTTCAAGTTGCACTCACGCGCCGGGAAGAAGACCAGCGGCAGAACCTGCAGGGCGAAGAAGCATCATGGGAAAAGTAAGGGCAAAAAACAGAAGAAGCCGAAACAACAAGAAGTCCAGCAGCAAGGAGCTGCACCACGTGAAAATAAAGCAGCTGAAGCACCAGCAGCGTCGAAACCGGCAAGAAGGACGAGCGCGAAAAGTAGTAAACCTGCCTCAGCACCAGTTCAGAAGCCAGCACATCCAGAACACAAATTTCGGAAGTAAAAACCACCTATCACTAATTGCGAGATGAATATGAAGGCGAGCCTCGCTTTTGAGAAGATAGTTGAGTAATTCCATACTCGCCCCTAGCGCCGTGCTGAACCAACTTAGACAGTAGTCAAGGTCTCGTCCTTAGATTGGGACATTCGGCTTGAGTTGTTTGGAGTGGTTTGGACAAGTTAGTAGAGTACCGCCTTCATTATCCTTCATAACCTAGATCACATAATGTCGAATTTTTTATACTTTCTCCACGGAAGACGAAGACCAAGAAGAAGGGAGAGGCATCTGCAACTTGGAAGACTTGTCACGATTGCATTTACAGGTGATTCATGCTTGTGTATTGAAATTTCCAAGGAGCGAGTATGCTACATTTAACTTTATTACGAGGCACGGAAATAAAAGACCGGCACCGGAACCAGTCCTGTGTCAGCTTTTGTGAGGCTGAGCAGAAAGACCTGAGACCGGAAGTTTTTTCTGTTACAGGCTGCAGTGACCTTATATCTTTGTAGTGTAGAAGCGCTAGTAATAGTATGGATTGCGGCGCAACAACTTTTAGACACCCACTCACAACCGCATCAAACACGAATTTGCGCATATCGAGTTTTAGTAGTTTATTCCGAGGCTTGTGCTAAGATCAACAAATCCACACTAGATGTTTTGTAAGATAATTGCGTTACGACATGAGAAGTACGGTTTGAGCAACCTGGTGGTGAAGTCATAAAGAGTCTTTATCTTTTTGCAAAAGTAAAAGTTGAGTAACAGCAACAGTAAGAGCATGGTTCGAGTAAAAGTACATTCACAGCACGCCGAGTACTACACTAACAAGAACGTGAAAGATACGACTGATTTTAAGTCTGGTACAACATCAACTAGCATATGTGTTTTTGGTTTTGAAAAGAAGTGTTAAGGTAAACGACCAAAGGTCAAAGGTTTCATGTATAATTCCAACACGAAGGACAACGAACATAAAAGAGCACGGCCCGCCATGGCGGAAACACAAATAAAACAAGTACATGTAGTACTAAAGAAAAGAAAAAACGCCGGCCGAGCAGGTCCAGATTCGATTTCCGGATCAGAACCCCGAGAAGTGTTTTCTTGTTGTGTTGAGTCGCTCATCCTCATCCCAGTATTGTCGTGCACATCGTTTGTTCTGTTCTTCTTGCTTTGGTCTTACTTGTCGTGCTGCTATAGGTGTCGTCCAAACTCGTCATGGGGGTTTCCCTTTGTACTTTGTGTCGTTCCACGTGCTTCTTGTATCGTCCTGACAGCATCGTCGTTTGCTGTGATCGTCCACAATCGTGAACCCCAGAAGTGAATTCACGGCGCAGCGATGGTCTGCATGAGTAACTGTAGCTGAAAAGTATATTTCAGGTAGGTTTGACACGATCTTCAGATCTGTTGGCAGTGTCAATGGGTCAGATCCTCCCGTGGTAAAGTATTTGATCATTGCTGTTTGTGTTTACGTCAGCGTATTTCAACCCTTGGTCGTGATTCTGAACTCCTAGTAGCAACCAGCAAATTAATAGTCAAACATCAAAAAATGTCGGCCGCCACGACCAAGGAGCCCAATGGGGCGTTGCAACTGCTTGTCGCCACCGCTTCCGCCTACGGGGTGTACAGAATCTACGCCTACTATGTCAGTAAACAGAGCCATAGAGCAGGAAAAATTCACTACTTCGACGCCGATCATGAAACGTACCGGGTTGTAAAGAGGAAGCACAGCAAAGAGCGGCAAAACCAGGGCACTAGTAGCCCCACGACGAGGACGAGAGGAATAAACAAGAAATCTTCCAGCAGGTCGAGGGATAAGCAATCTGGGTCTTTTTCCTCGGACATACACCCCAATCCAGCAGCAACAACCACTGCTGCTGACGAAGATGTAACCACCACGAACCAGGAAATCGACGACAACGGGGACCCGATCAACGAAAACAAAGTGGATTTGATCGGCCAGTTTTATTGGGACAAGCTTTCTGAGAAAGCCAGGCTCTTACTCGAATATGCAATGCAAAAGCATCGTACTAGTATAAATTGCATATTTGTAATGCTGATTTACCTTTAGAAAGTAATGCATAAATGCAATTACTACGAGTACGATACTTTTGCACAGGATATCGAACAGCAGATGCTGATCCAGGAAAGTTTCATCCCCGGTTTTATTCAGGACGCGAAGGATCGGCTGCGGGTCCAAGACTACCAGAACGCGAAAAAGGCCGTGTTGGAGAAGAAAAAGTTGGAGAAGATGCTGAAAAAATTGGAATTCCGATACCATTTGGTGTTGACGTGTTTGACGGACTTGGATATCGCGTATTGCAAGCGAAAACTCGCGTTGGACGTCTCCAAGTCGACGTTGCTCCGGTTGGAACTGGACGAATTAGTGGAATCGAAAATCGCGGATTGCAAGCGGAAATACTTTGATGGCGGGGGGAACAGTAAACTCGGTTCGCTTATGGGAGGGATAGCTGGATCTTCCGGTTTTTCCAGTCCGACTTCGAGTAAAGCGAGTACTAGAAATAATTATCAGCTCGCTGCTACGGCTTCTTCTCTCTACCCCTCTCTGGACGAACCGCGAAAGCACATCGGGAATCATGTGTTTCAGCAGCAGAGCCCACAGTTTCCGCTTCGTAGTTCCCCGGAGGGCGAAAATTTCCATTCTGGGCGCCTTCAACAACAGCAGCAGCAACAGCAGCAGTACCAGCAGCGGAATGGCAACTCAACGCGGAATAACATGAGTTTGCTCGCCGCCGATGACATTCCGAACGAATTTGATGATCTTTTTGAGAGTGAAGATGGGTCGTTTTTGCTGGAACAACCCCGCTCGAAACCCCCGACTCCGGTGAACATTGCGTACTATCCGGAAGGAACTGGAGGTCATTGCACTTCTACTAGAGGAACGCCAGTGCGTAGTTCCTTTTTCCGGAGGACAAGACAAACTCGTCCAGCATCTTTGGCTCCAGGAATATATGACATCAGTGCAGCTGGAAGATCTACTTCACCAGGTGCGGGGACGATGTTGACATCGTCTGTTCATCATGCTGGAACATCAGACACAAAATCTACTGTACTTCGAAGCCCGCTGTTTTATTCCAACCTTTCGTCGACTTTGACCTTTCCGAATCCGACTCCACTGCTTTAGAAACCACGGAAATCTCCACCTCGCTGTACCCGGACCTGGAACCGCCGAGGTTGTTTTCTTCAAACGGTTTTCTTTTCGGGCAAGCGCAAACAGCAACTCGTAGTTTTCCCTCTTCGACTATGATGAACAGATCAAGTTCCAGGACCACCCCAGCACCCGTGAAAAAGGTTCTGTTCGCGGCCCCCGGGGTGACGTATAGGGAAGTGGTTCGGCCGCGAGAGGTAGAGGACGGGGTGGAGGGAGCCGGAGAAGTAGAAGAGGAGAATAGAAATCCAGCGCTTGTTCCTCCAGCGAAAAAGGCCACAGTGGTGTCGAAAGCGAAAAGTGTTTTGAAAAAGTCGAGCTCTATCATATCCCACGAAGAAACTGTTTCACCTTGGTGATTTTGCACAATCTGCAACACAAGTTCTTTACTCATGACACAGAAAATTTGCCATGCACGCTTCCCAATGGAAAACACGCTTGAAAATGCAATGTCTTGCAGGTGTAGCAAGACAAATATTTCTGTGGTCCATTTTCTGCATCACAAGTTCGCAGTGAAGCAGTTTTTTCTTGCGATATATCACGTCGCTGTCCGAAGGGCCCGAATCCTCCGGGCGGAGCCAGTCGCCTTTTGTCGGAAGGAATAGTTGTAGAAGCAGCGGGAGGTCGTGGCAGCAGCGGGGGTGTTGTGCGTCATCTAGTACTTCCCGAGTAGAGCAGCAGTGCTCGCCGGCCGGGATGAACAGCCGAAGTGGGTCCTCTTCGGCGGTAGAAACTGCATCGTCCACTACACGCTTGCGAAGAGGGAGCGTGGAGGGAACCACCCGTCCTTCCGCCCCATCTTCACCTGCGCAAGACCACGGCCGCGGGAGGAGATCTTCTGTAAGTGCGATGAGAGAGCGATTTAGCGGTCGCAGAGCGTCGTCTTCTGCTACCCGTTCATCCCCACCAAAGAACAATGTCCCCGTCACTCCTCCTCTGTCTACTTCCCAGAGGTCGAGTTCCACTAGGACTAGTAGAGATGGTGTTTGGAAGAGTTAAGTAGTTTGTTAGCATTTGGAAATGTTGCAGTTCAGTTTCTGCGGGACAAAGAAAGCTTCACCTGTACAGATCCTACCCCCAAGAACATCCGAAATTGCGTACCCCTGTTTCTCAGAATATTTTGCTTATTTCCAAAAGATTATATTATTTTGGTCCCGATGAGCATGATTTTGATTGATGTTGACAATAATTTCCCCCAAACGTGATCTCAAGCTCAAGGGAGTTCTGCCACTGCCCTTGACAAGGAACACAAGACATAACAGCATGCGTGTTTCGATGTTTGACGCTGTGAGCGCAGCTTTTACTCTCACCGGCAAGAATCGAACAAGAAGCCGGCCGCAGATGACGAATCAGCAGATGATGACCTCCCGGGAAGAACCCTGTTTCGACGAAAGCAGCATCTATAGCCGGGATTTTTTTGACATCCTCGGCACTAGTGCTAGTAACAGTATCCAGGAAAAAACACCCATCCCCATCCAATTTGTCATGCAAAACATGCATAAAATCCACCATCTGTCATGCAAAAAATGGATGGGGATGGGTGTTTTTTCCTGGATAAACAGCAAGGGGATGAAACACGCCTCGGCTGCCGCCTCCATTGTGAATGCCATGAGCATGTCTGCTATCCACAGCAAATTTCCCGCACACAACGTACAAATGCAGTTTCTGCATGACAAGCTTTTCCTTGAAGCCTCTTGAGCATTAGAAGCTGCTTCTTCTAAGTTGGTGAAGTTTGTGATGCATTTTGTACATGTGCGGGAAATTTGTATTGCATATCTGCGAATGCGAACCCAAGATACCAGTACAGATCCACGCAACCGCTCGTCAACGCGAAAATCATTCGGGGGAACCGGCATCGACTGGGGAATCCGCTGAAGGGAAGGGATGTGGGGGTGGTGCCGGGAACGGGAATAGGGAGGAAGCACTTAATAGGAGGGGTGTGGAAGTGACATGAAGAAGGTCAACACTCGTGCGAGTCGTTACATCGTTGTTCTGGGCAATGCGTCGGCACACTACGCCGCCTTGGCATGCTTTTTTCCCAGATCCAGATGCGAAAAGGACCTGAGGAAGTAGGCGAACTATGACTAACCGCAACCGAAACGATGGGTAGCAAAGAGGTTGCGCATCTTCAACGAGTCGCGTGCTTCGCGCAAGGTCTGTGGCTCTCAGGAGAAATCGCGAAAGGGATCAATGTGTTCGATGCAGATTTTCATGTTGAGGGGAGTACACAGCGAGTCAAAAAGAAAAAACCGTTATCAACTGAGGCGAGCGCGAGCGCTGAGCAGAAATGCAAATAAAGCACTGACTGGCAACGTTGGGGGCGAGCGAAAAACTCAATGTGGATGTGCATCAACAGACATCAAGAAAAGTCTTCAATCGTCCGCCTGGTTCATCCGGAGAAAAGAACTGATGATCATGTACACACGTATGGAGCGAGGCAAAAGCAACAAGCAACTGCAGATGCTTGCGCAACCCAGTAGGCTTGTCTGTTTGTAAGTAAGATGATGCGGAGACAACGAGAACGACAAGTATGTGTATGAGAAATAAAATATTAACCCTGAAGTATATACTACATGTTGATCAGGACCTCCTAGTATCCACGGTAGAAATTAAATTTTTCCCAATCCTCATTACATTTCTTGCCTTCACGAGACAGAACAAAAACCACTCATGACCCATTTCGCCCACGTCGGCGCACACTGCGCTTTCCCGGGTTGCAACCAGCAGGATTTTCTGCCCTTCACCTGTATGCATTGCAAAAGTATCGTACTAGTATGAACCAGCCATGCTCCGGCTGCCGCCGGAGCGCAGGGCTGTTGGGCCGGGGCAAGACTGTTTGCCGATCGGACCACAACGCCACGGGCCTAATATGCACAACGAAACATACTGGAGTCCCGCTCCTTCCGCCTGTTTGCGCCGCGCCAACCCGCAGGACCACTTGCGCGCTTCCCGCGCCTGTGGGCGCTCTGCGCAGGGAGCAGCTGCAAAGAACACCGGGGGCGAACAGAAGCCGCCAGGCGCGAGAGGGTAGCGCGAGAGGGTGGCGCGGGAGGGTGGTGCGGGAGGGTGGCGCGAGAGGGTTGCGCGAGAGGGTGCGCGAGAGGGTGGCGCGAGAGGGTGGCGCGGAAAGGCGCCGAACAAAACAAGTCCACGACTGGCCTGCAGTGCCAAATATGGGGACTACCATGCGGATTCGCGCCCGCCACTTTGTGTTTTTACCCTCTCGCAGACCTCTCGCAGACCCTCTTTTTGACCTCTTTTGGGGGTCCCCGCTAATAATCCGGCTATACTCGCGGGTAGAGGTCGACAGAGGTGGCCGAGAGGTGGCCAAGAGGGTCCGCGAGAGGTCGCCCCTTATTCGCGCCACCTCTCTCCACCTCTGTCGACCTCTCGTGCCCCCTCTTTTTGACCTCTCTGCACCCTCTGAGGCACTTAGGCGCCGCCTTAAGGTGGGGCCTTCGGCGGGCTATACTCGCGCACCCTCTCGCCGACCCTCTCGAAAGGGGTCCCGCGCCACCTCTCCACCTCTGTCGACCTCTTTTTTACCTCTTTTGACCTCTTTTTGACCTCTCGGCCACCTCTCGTTTACCCTCTGTCTACCTCTTTTTTCGCATGAATATAGTATATAGTAATTGCATTACAAATTTGCTCAGCATTACAAATTAAATTTGTAATGCGGATTTGCCTTAGGAACCAGATTTGTAATGCATGCATGCAATTAGTACGAGTGCAATACTTTTGCACAGGATAACCTGCGTCCGCTGCCAACTCGTTTTTTGCCTGGACCACAGAAGGGAAGAAGACCACAACTGCAAGGGCACCGCCGGCGTTTCCCGACAGGTGATCATTTGCCCGATCTGCAACCTGACAATTCAGAAAGCCCCGGGCGAAGACGAAAACGTCACTTGGCTGCGCCACGCCAACACGCCCGGGCTGTGTCGACCTGCAGCTGGTGGTGACAACAAGAACTCATCGCGGCGAAACAGCGGCGGCTCGCAGTCTCCGGATGGTGGTGGAACAAATAGCAACAATAAGTGTGTAGTTTGCAGAAAAAAACTCGACGCGGTAAATCGGTTCATCTGTCCAACTTGCGGCGCCGCGGTCTGCACGGCACATAGATTTGAGGACGATCACGATTGCAAGCAGAGGCAGAAGGACAAAGCCGAGCAGCTTCGGAGCGCGCGAGTTGGGTTTTTCAAGAAGCACGCGGGTGCTGGGAGTGGGCGACGAGCGAGAGCTTCGTCGGATGGAGGAGCGCCCACTACTAGTACGTCCCGCCCGGCACCGAGCGTGCCGATACAGCAAGCGACAACAGGATCATCGTTGTTCTCGTCCTCCGGGGCGGGATCATACGCTTCTTTCGACAGCTTCGCTCCGCCACAAAGAACCGCGGCTGGCGGTAGCACAGGTAGTAGTACAACAACAGCAGGAGCTGCGCAGTTTGATGCGGTCGGCGGTAGGATGGTTTTCGAAAACACAACGACAGCAGCCCCGAACCACCAGCAGTCGCAGAATATTAGCGCAGCACATGGTTATTTACCACCTGCTCAAGAGATGATCACGAAAGAGCGGTCCTATCGCGCCAATGGGAACCCTTTGTCTAGTGTGATGAGGAGAAATAAGTCGAAGGAGAAGCAAGTCCCCAGTAATGAGCCGATCAACTGTCCGCAATGCACCCTCACGAACCCGCCCGGAACGGAAATTTGTATATCCACAGAAAAAAACCCATCCACATCCAGTTTTTGCATGACAAACACATGACTTGATACGTGCTTTGCATGACAAATTGGATGTGGATGGGTTTTTTTCTGTGGATATTGTATTGCCTGTGGCTACGACTTGACCAAGCAAAGAGGAGGGAATTGTGTGTGTATGTGATGAGAAGACTTCTTGTTGAACATGAAGTCAAAATCTATTCCGCCAGCACCAGTCGTGCCAAGAATGCTCAAAAATTGCCTTGATGTTGAACTGAAATTTATTGTATTTTACTGTTTGTGCGAGTTTGTTGTAAGTGCTCGTGGCAACTTTCGAAAACGAAATATCATTTCTTGGAAGTAGGAGCTATTGACGGCGCCCACACATAATGACAATTCAAAATTTGTTTTGACGTGCTGTCGAGTAATTTTCTGTCTTAGATGGAAAAATGTTGCAGGGAACAGGCGGAGCAGCTGTCTTTACTGCAACTCCAGACGCGGCTGCTGTTTTACGTTCATCTGGCAGGAGCACGGTCATTGTATCGTAATGTTCTTGACAAGCACAGGATGGATCCGTTAGATACGAACCGCCAAACAAATATCTACTTCGCAAACGTATTACATGCCGTCGAAATACAACAACGCTCTAGAAAGAATGCACCAAAAAGAAAATGATCCGGTCCGTTTGACGTGGCGATTTTTTAAGTTGAGGAGGATCAACATACTCATCTCTTCCGATCTGGCTCCTGTGGTTCTTGATTTGTGAAATGTGAATGCCACATTCGCTTGACGTCTGTTCGTGTAGAAGAGTGTCAGACTCAACAACGTTCCAGCACTCCAGGTGAAGAATCCGGCGAGAAAGAGAAATGGCTGCCGAAGCGGCGGCGCTCGTCGCACACCAAGAACACTGCAGCCAAAATGACGGAGGTACTATTGCGACGTGTCAAGAAAAGAAAAATTGCGCCGGACCCTACTATCCCACGGACAACCACAGCATTCAAATGATTGTCCGTCTACTTCCCGATTTGGTGCAGAACCTGGGACAGGATACACTTAGACACGGTGAAGGTCTCAGCAGGACAAGCAAGAATGCTGTACCAGATGAAGAACTACACCCCAAAGAGTACGAGCACTGTTTCGTCGACCTCGGATCTGGGGATGGCAGAGTCGTGCGGGAAATGTGGAACCGATTTGGCCGCGGCAAACATCCAAGTTCGTCTTCCTCCTTTCGCGCGATCGGCGTGGAGTACGATAGGAAAGTGCTGGAAAAAAACTGCGGTCTGGTTTTCGAGGAAAAAGCAGGCACACTGCGCGACACGATCGAAGACGAGCGGGACACTAGAAAAGATCTCGAAGAAGATGATGTAGAGGAAAATCGGGAGGTTGAGCATGCTCAATGTCATCGTATCCTGGTAAGTAGAACCTGCAAGATCATAGAAACCATCGCCACCACCGGTTTGTTGTGTCAATGCAAAGATTAGACGCATTTGCCGAATAAAAGGACGTAAATCTACTAAATGTTGCAGCGCATCGTACTAGAGGTGTTGGGTTCACCATCATCATCTTTCCGCAATAACGTGGTCAACTATGTATCACAGTAAATTTGGGTCGGCCGTGGGTGTGATAGATTCTCCGTACTTTTGCATACGATACCCTGTTCAACCGCTAGTGGACGAGTAGGCCCCAGCGACGCGGCACTTCGGGAGCCCGGACCACAGAAACAGGACTGCTGCCAGAGGTCAGCACTGGCGAAGATGAAAAACAAGCAGTACCACAGAGGTCCGGAGTTCCTGTGCTCGGACTTTTTTCTTCTTTTTGAGGAAGACACGACAATGGTGGCTCCACCTGAAGAAAGCCCTGAAGATTACACGACGACCGGAACAGAGGTGGAAGTAGAAAAACAACATGAGGGACACAAGAACTGGAACTGCATCTACGCCTCCCCCACCCTCGCGAGCGAACTGCGGGCGGACATCAATCATGTTGATGCCGACGCGGTGGACGAGGACAACAGAACAAGTGCAACGAGGACGGAAAAATCCACCACGATTTATTGTCGCACCAAGCTGCGCCGCTTCCTGAAGCAAAACGCCACGATTGTTTTTCTCTACCTGTTGCCCGAGTTTCACAACATGCTTTCAAATAAGCTCATCCCGATGCTGCTTATGCAGGAAAAAAACTGTGTAAGTGTAACTTTGTAGGAAGAACAGCATCACAAATTCGTTTTGCATTACAGGGAAAACCTGTCATGCGCAGCTAGGACGTGGAAACACGTACGAAAGTAGCCTTTGACGAAGAACCAGCATGACAAGTGTATATAATTGTGCACTTTCTGCATCACAGAGTTCCACTCACACAGTTTTTTTCGTGCATACTGCTGGATGAAAATTCAAAATTGGAACTGATCATAGCTTGGTGGTGGCCGTTGGAAGTGTCCGGCGCGGACCTGGGCCTCGTCGACGTCCAGAGGCACTGGATTGGACACAAAGCGGAGCCCCTCGCGGATGAGGAGGACGAGCAGGTGGAGGGGCGGGGAGCAAGGGATCAGAAAGAGGACAGTGGCACCGTGTATGTGTATACTCGGCGTCGTCGAATAAGGGGGGCGAGAAAGCAGAAACAACTTAATATTCGACGGCCACCTGCAGTTCCTGGTGTCGAATCAGTGCAACATTTGGGTGTAGAAGAAGTTTTCGAGGAGAATCTCCGCCCCCCAGACGAGCGCCCGTCTTCCAGCGGGTCTAGTCTGTATTGGGACCCTGATGGGGGAATAATGTAACATCAAAGTGGTACTGGTACTGATACTAATAACAGCCAGAGTAGGTGATGAATAAGGGAGATGTTGCTGCATCTTGCGAAGCTCGCTTGCAGTTACAGGCCTCGTCCCGCATGGGGAACTGTTGCTGGTAGGAGTATGTATCAGGCCTCACTGCTGGCTGTTGTACGGAGAAGTACAATAGGACCCCCGGTTCTCACACAGAAGAGCATCACGATCACCCGCTCTTGTGTGAATGAAAGGAAAGTGAATGATCCAAATTCTAGTTGCAGACAGGATGTCTCGCTGTCGAAATCGACGCACAGCGGCGATCTTGATTTGCAGCTCGTTTTTCCGTAAGTTAATCACGAATTCGCTTGGTCTGATCGCAACGGATGATGGAAAATATAAACATGACGCGCATGGAATTGGAAGCTCTCTTGCTGAGTTTATGTATTTCTGCATCTTAATATCAGCATCATCATCGCACAACTCAGTTAGAGACCAAAATCTAGATTGTGCTTTTCGATCCGCCCGGTGTGTTGTCGGGGGAAGCAAGCTTTTTGCTAGGTCGAAAATCATCATGATCAAATTGATAAAAAGCATTTAGATGAATCAATTTGAAGTTTTAGATAACTCCCATGATCCCGATGGATCCATTGTGCAACTGCAAGGTAAAAATATTATGGTGTAGCAGATCATGTCCACCGGCAGTTTTTTTTTCTTTTGGAAGGACTAAAATATTATATTCTTGACGATCGTCACAGGTGGAATACATGTTGAATTCTTTCGGAAAAATCTGTCCTTCGTTACTGGTTTTTTTGTAGGCTTTTAACACTCGTGATCATCATATTTCGATTTGATTTCTCACATAACATATAACATTCCCACATAGTAGTACCGAGACCTCCGTCGAATCCCATTTTTATTATTAAAACTTGAATCTTCGAAATTTGAATTTCCCGTATATTGAGTTGAGTGGTCCAATCCAATACTATTTCGCTAGAAAGCAACGTCGAGGGTCTTTTTCCAAATTGATTCTCGAAAAGCTAAAGCATGTATATTGACATTAAGACCACCGCCTGATGCTGATCATACATAGGTTTTTGCGCTTCCTTTGTTTCTGGAAACCGCCCGCAAGAAGCTTCTCTAGTTGTAGATCAGCAAAATACAACTTTTACTAGTAAAAGCCCGCTGTTGTACAACTCATCTCACTCTACTTCCCTGGAGGTCGTTGTGTGTTGTCTTCTCGTGTGTTGGCAGAAGCTTTTTTTCTATCACTGCGAGTGGGCCCACGACACGACCAGGAAGTCGAGTAGCTTTCTCAATTCATATCTCGTACAAGAAACTACCCCCCTGAAATAAAAGAACCCACACGGCACTACAAACAGCTTCTGTTCTTGCGGCATTATAGTATGCAGAAGGAGATTTTGTCGGGCATGAGGAGACAGCTCATGCGCCGATGAGGTCGTAAATGTCGCTCGGGTATGGATTGCAAAAATGTCTGGGTCTGGAAGATTGCAACTTGTCATGCTAAATCCGAACCATGCAGAAATCTGTGCTGCATGAGTGCCAAAAGCTGTCCACTTTCGACCACGTTGGCAGGGAGTTTCTCATGCTGGATGGGCATGGCAGAGACCTCACAGAGTCTGTCATGCTAGGTTCCGCATTCCAGACCTCATGGGTCATGAAAAACCTGCATGACAAGTTTACACTCTTCCAGACATCCAGGGATATTTGCAGTTCATATCGGGGTTAAGATATAGCAGACCCGTTGTTCAGAGGAATAACCAACGTAAAAAAATCCCAGAATTTTTTCTGAAGCCATATCAATTGTTGTAACGCTGACGGCGCTGCTGTACTACCACCATTTATTGGTTGTACAAGCCTACTAGTAGCGTAACACAGTTAATGGCCCCTTGTTGAATTTATTCTGATAATAAAGTTAAACTTAAAGCTGTGATCACTGCGAGAAGCTGCAAGTAGCCTTGCGCAGCACTAAGGTACCAACAACTAAGGCGTCAAAGGGCAACACCCAAGAATCAATACATAGTTGTACCCCAGTCAAACCTGGTGTTGGACACCAGCGAGGTGGAGCTTTCTCCAAGTTTTTTCACATCGTGTAGAATTTTTCATAGAAATTACTTTAGAGATAACAATAACCTTTCCTCGTCCTGATTTTTCTTTTTCCATACTCATACCTCTAGAAGTTCTATCGCGACCGCGTCCTGCTTCTGTAGCTCAGAAATATTAAAGAGCTTTTGTATTTATTCACAAGCGAAGACACGTGTTACTTTTGTTGTATTTGCGACCCCATCAACAGAGCAGGAGAACGTCGTGTAGAATCCGATCGTCATCATCGTCATTTCATTTCCGTGTGGCACTCAATCATATTTAGGATCATCCGTAATTTTCACGCGAAGCAGCTTCATTATCATTTGTCTTACCACATAGTACCACTTATTTTATCTTTTTTTCGAACCTTGAAATTGAATGTGCCTCTTTTTTTTGTCAATACGAAACACAAACGTCATCTCATCGATACTAACCATATCTTAAAGCAACAAGGCCACTGCCAGGCGAGCAGTGTCAATAAAATCAAAAAGTTTTTTTTTTTTTAAAGAGCACTAGAGCTGCCGTCACGAGACAAGCAGTGACAATAAACACAGCACTAGCAAGCAGTCCATTGAGGTTCCAGATCCACCAAGAGAAGCAGGCCAGCCAGAAGAGCTAGCCCCATCTACCGCCGCAGCAGCAAACAAAATCTCGTCTACACCATCAATCTATCTGCCCACCTGAGAGGAACTAGAACTAGAACTACCGTCATCAAGCGATAGTACGTAGAAGACCAAGAGCGTATCATCTTCTAGCTCCAACTGTAACGAAGACTGAAATTGAAATTCCGAAAAAAAACCTGTTTAGCTGAACTAGTAGGAGAACACATCACTGTGAGAAAGAGAAAAAGCTTTCTTTAGGGTTTTTGTGCTTCCTCTGGAGCTGCTATTCAACTTATAGCACATAAAGTGCTTTCTGAAACTTTTGTACGGTAAAAAATCTTACCGGAAGATAAGCAAGACGGACAAGAATAGTTGTACCCTCAAGCTTATTTGTATGTTTCGAAAATTGTGTCACCGAAATCTAAAGAAGATAAAAGAATGGATATGGCTTTTTTTGGAACTGTCTAAACTGACAACGGAACTTCTTCGCGACCCTTGGATCCTTCCCCGCATGTTATCGTGTTTTTTTAAAAAAAAAGGGCCCAGACTGAAAACGGAACCCGAAGCAGTAAATAGGTGCGGAAATGGAAACACGGAACACCCCCGGAAGCTCCAGCTAGCGCCTAGAAGTAGAAAGACGGCCTCTGTGCGCATGGCTCCCACACAGGTGAGACAGAGCTTGCGAGGGAGGGCGATCCATCGAATCGGTTTAGTTACGAAGAGACGCTGTCTGCGAAAGGAAGCGCGTGAGCCGAGACACCCACAGAGCAAGGGCGCCGGCTTTTGGTTCGTTGCAACTCACGCTCTTTGCCTGGTCTCCTAGAGACGGAAATACTTGCAGTGGGTACGTAGTCTGTCATCAGACAGAGAGCAGGAGAACTAGTCTGAGCGCCAACGCCAACGGCCTCAATTTCACTCGGATGGAGCCGGGCGATCTGACTCCTCAGACACCTCGCGGAAATTGCCTCGACTTTTGTTGGGACAGAACCACCACCCAGCTCGGCAAATGCTCAATTCCTATCCACATGAAAGGGAAACGATAGGGGCAGGGGGAGGATGATCGAAAACGGTATCACAGCGCCCCACATATAAGGACCGGCGCTTCATGGGAATCCTAGAACGATTTCAAGCCCCCCACGCGATCGGAGGGACTACCCGGTGAGGGCGGTTGATCGTTTTACCCCCCTGGTCGTGTAGTACCAACATCGTCCAAAAATTTTCTTTGCCGAGGCCGCGCAGCCATCTCCACATTGTGGAGGTGGTTGCGCGGCCTCTGCAAATGGCCGGCAATGAATTACCAAAAACCCCAGGCACGAGGAAAAAAACCCAGGACAAGCCGGGAGCCTTGGTGTGCTCGGCTTTTCGTCTTTTGCCGGGCGCGGCTTCGGACGCTGCCTTACAGGCAGGACAATGGAAACGAAGGACCATTTGGCTGACCGGCGGGGCGCACAGGTGGGGGGACAGACAAGAACGAACGGTCGGCGGGGCTGCGGCCATTGAACGGGCGCAAATCCCGCAATTTTTGTCCCCCCTAGGAAGAGAGAGAAAAGAGAAAACGAGATCTCTATCTATTTTAGATCGAGAAAGAATAAGAAATAGAAAAAGAAGAAGAAAACAAAAAACAAAAAAGCAAACGAAACGAACAAGAACTGTAGGCGAATCGCCACGGTATGGCGGCTGTCGGTTCCGTTGTCAGTTTAGGTAGTTCCGAAAAAATCAGATTCCTAAAAGAATACTAAATTGATGACCTCCTGGCTGTAATTGAATTTGAAGAGAACTAGGAAAGACATCATCGTCCACGCACGTCAAGCACAAGCACCGCCACCCGAGCACCTGCCGGGCGCGCTATCGAACACGTCCAGCATTTTGCCGTCTGAAAGAAGAAAAAGAAGATCGAAAGTAATACCCGTGAGGAAAAAGAAACAAGAATAAAATTTCCTGTATCACAACTTCCACAAGGGAACAACCAGAACCACCATCATCAGGTGTAGTTTCCTTATTCGCAGTTTACTGTGAATAAGATGTCCAGTAGTCACCAGGAGAACAAACAGATCATCATGGCTTCTAATCTTGAGAGCGAGAACATCAGCACCAGCACGACTAAGAAGAAGAACGCGATTCTTGCCCTCTCATCTCTGGAGACCTCCAACATTGACTCGGCGGCCGGAAAGAAGATGTTGACCAACAACACGGCGCCGGGACAAGGGGAGCAGGAGCGTCACGACCGCGATCATGATCCTGATCCGCCCAACGAAGTAGAACAGCGGTTCTCTCCGACGAGGACCCCGATGGAGGTGATGATGAGCAAGAAGAGCCGCGAACATCATCTTCATCTCGAGAACACCTGCGACGTGGGGCCACCTCCGCCCCGGAAAATCGATCTGCTTTTCAACAACTGTTCAGACGATGTTCTCCTCGCAGGAGCCCCGACCACCCCGATGACCACAATTCCGCCGTCGAGTCCCACAGAACAGGGACAAGGACAAGGACAAGTACCTGGCCAGGTCCGTCCCTTTTCCTCGCGAAGAACTACTGCGGGTGGCAGCGGCGGGTCCTTCGACTCTTGTACTTCCGGGTCGTCTTCGTTGACTTCCGCCACTGCGGGGGTTTTTGTTGGCAACAAGAAACAAGAGCCGGCGTCAGACCGGATTTGCTCGTCCGCCGGGGAGAACAAGAACTCTTCGACCCGGTCGTCCTACGATCTCCTCGAAGAAGATCAGGTCGTGGACAACATCGGCCCGGTGAACGTGATGACCTCCGAGCAGCCGTTATCTTCGTCTGTGTCTCCGCCACCGGGGCTCGAAGTCGTCGCGAGCAAGCAAGGCGAGGAAGGGAACGACGTCAAGCTGAGCGTGCTGTCCGACAACTACATTTCGCCGGAGCAGCTGGACTACAAGACCACGACCAAGTCCTCGAGCCATCAGGGACTACAACTCGTCCGCGCGAAAGAAGTACTAGGGTCGTCCATTGTGACGCTGGATTTGGACGACATGCTTTTTAACAAGAAAGCCACCACGACTGGGGATCATAACGAGGACGTGAAGTCGAAGAAGAACACCACGGACGTCGAAGCTGGAGTTTTAGTTGCTGGCTCATCTTCTCACCAGCTGATGAACACGGATCATGTCGTGAACAAATTCACCGACGACGACGACGATCTGATCTGCGAAACCCCGCAGGAGTGCATTTCGGTCGAGGAGGACGAGGCAAACAATGCCGCCATCGCGGAATTGTACAAGTTGGATCTGGAACAGATGGTCGCCGACAAGCTGGAAAGCACGAACAAGAGCGCATCGCCCGGGAAGTTACAACGGGTACCACCTACAACTTCTCCGGCAAAAAATGTGAACACCAAAACCAACTCCAGCATCCCGACTGGTGAAGATCCAGATGAAAATGACACTGAAAACGAACACCAAACTGCCAAACAGCAAGGATCATCGCAAGAAATTCTTGAAGACCTTGAAGATGACATGAACCCCAACCGCCCCAAGACCACGCGCCTAACCGCCGCGGAGCTGAAGTTAGTCTATTCCCGGAGAACGACACTGTACACGAAAACAAAAGTGTGCAAATTCGAACTGTTCGGCGTGTGCCGGTATGGGAAAGACTGCAACTACGCGCACTCCCCCGACGAGATTAAGCGGTTACCGGATTTTGAGCGGACTTCCTTCTGCAAGATCTTCCTGAAGGACGGCAAGTGCCCCAACATCCCCTACTGCCCCTACGCGCACTGCGTGCAGGATTTACGGGAGTCGCCGGCGCCGCGGCAGCGGTTGTGCGTTTTTTTCCACGGGCCGAACGCGCGGTGTATTTACGGACGGTTCTGCCGGTATCTGCACAAGGTGGACAACGTGTTTAAGCAGATCTACGGAATTGTCACCATTCCGAAAACGCAGGCGGAATTGGAAAAGTTAAACGAGTATGCATTGCAAATATGTCTGGGTCTGGAAGGATGCAACTTGTGATGCTGAATTTGGATTCTGCAAAAATCTGTATTGCATGAGCGGCAAACGAGGTCCAGTTTTCGCCACAGCGAGAGGGCATTTCTCATGCGGTATAGGCATCAGGAAGCCCTCACAAAATCTGTGATGCTAGAGCATGCATTACAGACATCAGGGGTCATGCAAAATGTGCATGGCAAACCTTGCATCCTTCCGGACCCAGACGTATTTGCATTTGATAACGAGATTATTTCCCGACACGAGAAGATCCGGTCGCCGCGGGATTTCATGGACTTGATGGAAACTGCGCGGAACACGCCGCGACATGGAACTGCTGTAGAAGAAGGACCACCTCAACATAGCGCAATTACACAACTGCAGGTCCTCGCGTTGGGGAAAGCGAAAGAAGCAATGAATGTTGCGGAAATGAAGGGTCGTCTCGTTCCTGCCTCTGGAGGTGGAACAACAAAGGGGAACAACAAGAACCAGAATTCTTTACCGATGGTGGATGCAGACGGGCCGGACATTAACTACGAGCGCGTTCTTGCTGATGGCAAAGGAGAAACTGCTGCTGCTGCTGGTGGACAACTACAAGGACCGGGCACAAACTACTCGAAAGGTGGACATAAAAATGCAGTCGCAGACGAGAAGATCATCATGCAGCAGCAATTCAACATGGTCAAGGGTGGCAACGGCAAAGCCAAGGGGCCCGGGTCCTCGAAGAAGGGCGGAGGTGCGAAAGGAATGATGAACAATGACCAGTTTTTGCAGCTGAGCTTGAATCTGAACAGTGACAGTCGCGGCCGCAGCACTTCCGCTCAGCCGACCAGCAACCCAAAGATGTTGAGCAAGGGTTCTACTGCTGCAGCTGCCCCCGCCGGCGACCAAGTAGACCAAGCCCAAGTCCAGAATCAGGAGTACCTCCTTAGCCTCTCCACTTCGAAGGAGAAGCAGGAAACGCTTGTCAGCAACATCTCCAAAGACGCGCAGTCGTTCATCGCACAATCCCCAGAGCCGGGCTCTCTCTCCCCGGACCAGCGCATGCACCGGCTACGGCAACTAAGGGCAAAGCAGGAGCGCGCACGAGCCTTGCTGGACGATCTGTTAGCGGCGAACGACTATGCGGCGCGGAAACGAAAAGTTCTCAGACAGCAGGCTGCGTCGAATACTTTTAAGGGCGAGAGCACGAGTAAGAGCTTAGGGATGAAACAGGCGAAACATCATGGGGAAGGCAAGGACGATATTAAAGTGAACAAAGACAACAGCTCCAGCACCGCCTCTTGTTCTACTTCTACCACGGCATCAACCAATACTGTGGACAAAGATAAAGAAGAACAGGAAAAGCTCCTGGAGCAAGAGGAAAAATTAGCGATGCAGCGGATTCAGGGCATTTTCGACGTGATTGCGGACCTGGATAAAGAGTATCCAAGAAAAAAACTGTGTTAGTGTAAGTCTTTTGGGAAAACAGCATCACAAGTTCGTCTGCCATGACAGGACAAACTTGTTATGCGCAGATACTACAAAGGGAAAACACATAGGAAGCGAGCCGGTCATGCGTGATGTGTGTCGAGCATGACAAGTGTAACTGTTTGGCATTTTCTGCATCACAGATTTACACTTGCGCAGTTTTTTTCCTGCATAAAGAGGAAAAACAGTTCATCGAGGGAAGTTTGAAAGCGAAGCGGGATTCCGGGGTGGTTTCGACGAAGAGCGAGGAGTCCTCTTCGTATCCACCAGCCATAATTGCGCTTGGAACCAACTACGGAGCTAGTTCCACCGGTCGCGTTTCTTCCTCTTCCGGTTTGGACTCTGCCAGGACGAGTCAACTTTCTCCGCTCACGCTTTTGGCCAAGACGAAACAGAGCTCCGCTTCCTGTTTTGAAGAACGAGAGGAGCGATCGTCTACTGCTGGTCGCGAAGAACAGTTAATATCCAACATTTCCGGAGGCGATGTTGTTGGCGTGAAGAAACGGAGCAACGAGCTGACGTTGAATTTGAAAGGCGCTGGGATCAACTACACCGGTAAATATTATACGGAAAGCGAGGAGGATCTTCACGTTGCAGTTTGTGATGAAAGTACAACTACGAGGACTAGTCATCCTATTTCGGAGAAAAAGAACAACATGGTGAACAAGAACAAGCAGGGCAACAAGAATTCTGTGAACGTCGAGCAAGTGCCATCTTCTGCTCCTTTCAAAAATTATAAAACCTCTTCCGCCAACATAAAGACGGACACTTCGACCTTTTTGACCCTATCCACAGAAAAAAACACATCCACAATCATTTTTTGCATGACAAAGACATGACTTTATACGTGTTTTGCATGACAAATTGGATGTGGTGGATGGGTTTTTTTCTGTGGATAGACGCCGGCCGCCTACGACTACCACCACCCCTGCCCGTTGGTTTTGACACGAATCGGCACCTCTCCCGGAGCTGGTGGACAAAGCATCATGATGAAAGAGGCTGCTCCTTCTGCAAAACAAGGGGCTGCTGCTGGAGCTGTCTTGCCGAACAACAAGCGCGGCGCTGGTGAAGGAGCTGCGTCGAATAAGGGCGGCCGCGGGATCATGTACAACGATATGGCCGCCAGGCGCGGCGCGACTACTGCGTCTGCTCCTGCTCAAGAGGATCATTCGCAACAAGTACGGGCGGGAAGGAACATCAACATCGCAACGAGTAGTGCTACGACCGCAAAGACCAATAAAAAAACCACGACGTCGACGTCCCGTGTGGTTGAACAAAAGAACCAGACGAATAAAGTCGTCAAGAACATCACCCACCACGACCGCAAACACAGTTCCACTTCCACAGTCCGATCCTCCGAAACCACTACCCCGTCCGTTATCGAGCCGCCACCGGGCCTGGAAGCGCAACAGCCGCAGATGAGCGTGAAGAACCAGCTTGCCTGTGTGATCGGGGAGAACAACGACGAAAGAAGTCCGACCTGGTCGATGGAAATTTACATGGAGGGACTACACAAGAAAACGCCGCCGCGGGGCGCCGCGGGTGGACACATTCGGAGCAAAAGCTACTGCGGAACAAACATGATTAACGGGTTTGAACAAGAGCAGTACAATTTCAACATCTGCCCGGCTCCTGGTGCTACGCCTACTCGAGGGTATAAAAATCTTCATGCGCCCTTACCATTCTCCGGCAATAAGGGCTGCAACAGCAACTACCCCGCAACTAGTACAGCCGCTGTCTCCGTTTATTCCCCCGTCAATGGTTCCACTCCTGACTCTCTCGGCTGCACGACGGCGAGCGGAAAGAGCAACAACTCCGCGGACAACGCCGAAAATAACCTCCATTCGATCAAACACGTTGCGGGTACGAAGGGTTACTTCGCAGGAAAAGTCGAGAATTTTTACCTACACCCTGGCAGTTCTATGTTAACTCCGTCCCCGCAGAAACGCTCGAAGTCGATGCATGTTGAGCAGTTGTTGGCCGCCGCCGGTGGTCCTTCTCCGAGGACCCCTGTCGCAATGTTGAAAGGTGGCGGCGGTGCTGGTGGTGTGTCCTCTCCCGGCGGGAAGACGAACGGTAAAATTTGGGCGGAGACCAACATGAAGGGTTCTTGTGGTCGTCCTGTTTCCGTTTCACCCACTGTCTCTGGTAACAAGAACGATAGTTCTTGCGCCGGAAAGGGAAAAAATCCAAGTGGTCAACAACAACAAGCCGCTGCTCAGGACAACAATAACAAACCGACCACTGCAAAAGGTGGCAAGGGAACATCAAAAGGTAGCAAAAACCCGCGTTCCAAGAGTTACCATTTCGGGGATCAGGTGAGGATGTTGGCAATGGCCCACTACGGTGTCGGGTGGAATGGAAAAGACGAACAGCAATGCTACTACACTCCTGCTGGCGTTGAGAATGAAGATACAACTGCTTTGCACCAGCGTGTGATGAAAGAAGTCGGCAAGGGCGGAAAGATGAACAGGAATGAACAGCAAGGAGCTACTGCCACTGGTACTGCCCGTGACGGAAAAATCACAACTGTTGACAAGATCTTCACCCACGAGAACCACTACAAGATTTTCGACGAAGATCATGCCGATAACGAGATCATCGAGTGGCCATGCACATCCAATTCGGAAGAAGAGGCCGGCGCTACCTGGTCGGGCTACAAGAAATCCCGCAGGGAGCGATTGTATAATATTGCACATCTTCATCTTGTTGTTTTAGTTTTCAAAAATTACTCTTGCTCTTCTTCGTTCAATACAGTTGGTTCACCTCGAATGTCTACTTCAGTCGCAGTTTTCCGTGAAGAGATTTAGATTGATTGGTAACTCCTACAACCTGTAGTCAAATATGGACATCACAGACTTACTTGGTTGCTTCGCAACCGCAAGAAGAAGTGAGCATGACTGAAATTGAAAAACGACAACCGGAAAATGAAAATTAAAATCAGGGAGAACAACGTCCCCGAGCAGCCGCGTGGTAATTTTGCTTCGCCGAGGCAGCACGAGAAGATGAAGCACCGCGTGCCGATATCGTATTGAAAAACATTCCCAACCCAGAGTTGTAATGCAAATCTGCATGCTGAGAATGTTTCTCATGCGGAGCCCCATGAGAGACATTTTCTATTCGCGTTTTGAAATTTGTCATGCTCCTCCAATCAGCATCTTATACTGGATCTGTGATGCTGCTGATCTACCTCAAACACCACTACACTACGAGTCCAATAAATTTGTCATGCAAAACAGCCAAAACTTGTGGATTTGTTTAGCCGCTTCCCCATCTTGACTATGGGGTGGGGACGTTTTTTCTCAGGATAGCCGACTCCGCCCCGACCGTCGAGGAAGAAGAAGATGCCGCAGGACAACTATAACAACGCTCCGCCGATTTTTGCCGCGAAGCAGGGTAGTATTGACAAGTTTTCGGGGTTTCCTGCTGCTGCGGGCAGCAAGGGTGGACCGCAGAGGACAGCAGGTGGTTCGAACAAGAAGGGGATCCTCATGAAAGGCTCTCCACTTCCGATCGGTGCCGTGAGCTGCCATGGTGGAAATAAAGGAGGCTACTCTAGTACTGAAGACCATCATGATCCGCAGTACTACAACCGCTACGACTACACCTCCGGCCAGTACTATCATGATGCTGACCTGTACAAGCAGCAAATTCATCCCTTGTTTCCGCCGTACAAATACAACCCGGAAGTACAACAACTAGATCAACACCAGCGCCGCATGTACACGACAACCTCCGGGCCCATGCCCGCTATAATCATTCCGTCTCCTCCCACAGCTCCGACTACGATTACGTCTGGCGGAGCTTATCAAGAACCATCGCAGCATCAACGACCAGCAGCTTTCCGCCACGAGTTGGCGGCCCAGGATCTGGATCATCTGATGTACAACAACTCTGTTCGCCCCTACGCGGTCCACGGTGGTACAAATCCCAATGGTTCCTCGGTGTTGCAAAAATCCACGCAAAAAAATTCGAAGAAGCTGTATACTTGTGCTGCTCATGTTGACGGCAATGTTCCCGCTTATTTCTCGGAAAAGAAGCTGCACCAGCAACGCGCGAGCGCGGCAGGAGCTGCTACTGCTCCTACTGCTCCTACAACTGCTGCCTACGATCATGAAGAACAGATCGCGTGGGAGCGGCAGATTATGCATTGCAAAAGTATCGTACCCGTATAAATGCATTACAAATTTCCTCAGCGTTAGAAATAAAATCAATTTGTAATGCGGGTTTACCGTAACAAAAAGATTTGTAATGCATGACTGCAATTACTACGAGTGCGATACTTTTGCACAGGATACAGATGCTGCGGCAACGGTCGATGGATTTGGAAGAGAAGCTGAAGAAGCGTTTGCACGAATTGTATCCGGATGAACAAGTAGAAACGGCGGACGTTTTCGGTGGAAACATCAAGAGTGGAACTGCTTGTGGAAATAACAACAACGAATCCTACTACACTCTGGCTTCGAAAAAGGACTTCTCGCAGCACACGGCGACCTCCGCACACAACTATGGAGGTTTTGACAACAAGCAGTACAACTACTCGCGGTCCGCAACTGGTATTTCGTCGGGTAGTTGTGGAAAAACTTCTACAATGGGAACAACACCAAACACGAAAACAAACATCAGCAAAAACAATAAAGCGAAGAACAATATCCACCCTAATGGCGGGGTGGGCACCATGGAAGATACGGGGGAACCTATTGGGAACGTGCACAAGAAATACCGGAAGAAAGAGCAGAAGAAGAACAGGGTTCGTTGTAACAAGCAGGGCACTTCTGGTTGTTCCTCATCCAGTTCGGGCAGTTTTTCCACTACGATGCCGTCCAGCAACGAAAATTTTTCCAACTCGGGGATCATCCAGATGGCCAGTATTAACCGCGGCTCTTCGTCTTCCACTTGCGGGTGAGAGCCGGACGGGAAGATAAGTAGTCGTGAAAATTCCCTTTATCGAAAAATTCTAGGGGATGTGAAGGAAAAATAAACGAGTTCGACAACCGCTGTGATCCCAACTTCTCCTTCTGGAGTCTGGATTTTTACGAAGTTGAAACTTTTGCACGGTAGTTGAGTGGCGAATGCTAAAAAGTAGACACCACCTGCTGCTCCTCGACCGCGCTACGAAAAATCTATATGCAAATTATTTTTACAAGTGGGCAGGCTCACCAGCTCTGGCGTGACGTGCTGGCGCCCTTATTTGGCAGGTGGTGTCATCGTGGGTAGACTGCTCGTATACTAGTTGTAGGTACGGTCATCATACATCAATTAACTCTTTTCGATTTAAGTACCTTGAACTTTCGTTTGGCTTGATTTCCTTACTTCCCGTTGTTGTTTCATCAATTTTATACTATATTTCTACCTGAATCAACTCGACGTTTCATCTTATATTTTTCCGTTCTGTAGCGGCATCGTCCGCATCGCTCACTACTAACTCCGATGCTTCTGTCGGAGCGAGACGATATACCGATTGTCTTCTTTGATTTGAAGGATGAGGTTCATGATACCGTTATAGTACGCGAAAATGAGTAGATTCACATTTCTTCTTCGTTTCCGTTTTCATCTTGATCTTCACATAGACGAAAAATAATTACTTTGATAGCATACTCACTACAAGGTCATAGGTCAAGGACCAGAACACTACACATTCAGAACATAGTCATCAGCTGATGAAATCAGATTTTCGAAATTTTCAAGGGAAATTTTAAGGTTCTGACCAAACAGAGAAGAGCTTTTTTTCTAGCATGGAAAAAGTTTCTCTTCGCTACTTTTTGGTCGGAGTAAATCCCCAAAGGACCTGTATTCGTAAAATAAAAGGTACCTACTAGTAAGTACTTTATTTTATTTGATGTTTGATGGAAATTATCGGCAGTTCAACTTCAAGGTGTATTTGTGTTTTTCAAAAATCCAAAGAGAAGGAATCGTATTTGTTTTTGGCACGGGATAACTTCAAGAAAATGCTGTCGTGGTCTTGTTTCTACTTATCAATGACAATGTATTAGTATTTTGGGCATTGGAATAGGAAAATTTGGTGTCGGGATTTGTACCATATTGACATCAGTTTACTTTTACTACCACCTGTCTCACAAAAATACTGCGCAGCTCATGATCTAGCGCGCGTTATCTTGGGAATGGGATGCGGGATGATAAAACTAAAAGCTCGGAAGTCGATTGCTCTTCTTTCCGATGTTTAACACTTGCAACATTTTCCAGTGGAGCGCAAGTTGAAGTTTGTGAGAAAAAAAAAACGCTGTCGCCGCAACGTGGTGTAGAATTGTTTCTAAAAGATTGTCTATTCAAAAGCTACTTTCTGATGATTTATTTTGAAACGTGGATATGGATAAAATTACTACAAGATATTGCTGATGTCCAACAAGAAATTCTTTTTTACAAGATATTGCTGTTGATGGTGTCTCGTCGGTGGACAAGAACTAGACCGCCTCCGGCGCCAGCAGCCTGCGTCTTTCGGGAGACTCAGGCTTTGACCTTTTTCCCTTAAAAAACAAGAACAGCAACTACATCCACATAGGGTCCAACCTCGTCGAGGTTTCTACCTTCTAGTATTATTTCTGTTGCGGCTTAACAATATTTTTACCCATGGCTGCTAGCTTTTTTACATGGTAGACTGATCATGCGAGGAGCAGATGACGATGTGAGGAACAAATTGGCCTAGCAAAGAAAAAGGCTCCTAAACGCCGACCAAATGAAAACAAGACGGCAACTAACGGGGCAGAAAAGCACGAAAGGGCGGCCCAAGGGCGCCCCGGCCTTTTCAGGTTGTGCCCCTTCTACCCTGACGCGCGCGCCCTCGTTCCGTGTGCCAATTGGCGGCCTTCGGTGGCACCAGCGGGAGCAGCGCGAATTTCTATGCGCGGCTGTGCGCGCATGCCTTCTGGGCTGTCCGGCCACCGGCGTGCTGCTTAGCGACTATCGCGAGGACTATTTTGCGACAAGCACCCTCAAAGCAGACGCGCCGCTTTTTGACAGACGCGCAGGCTCCGTAGCGGTGCCGAGGGGAAGTCGTGCGAATGTCGGGCCAAGCATTGCGGCCCTCTGTGTGGGGTAAAGCTAGTAGAGGGCCAAACGAGGACTCCTCCGCCCTTGTCTGCCCCAAGGTCGCGAGATGTTGAGTCAGGTCGGAAGAGGGGCGGGGGAATGAACCGACCTGAAGGCCACAGAAAATGCGAAGGGAAGGGCGAAAAAAGAACAGCAATAGGCGCCACGGGAAGGCCTCGACGGCCCGTCGGGAAGCCGCCGGCCCGTCCTCAGACACGGTGGGATTCTCGATTTTTTCCGGTTGGGAGGGGCCCCCAACCGGAGAAAATGGAGCGCCCCGCCGTGTCTGAGGACAAACCGGCGGCTTCCTGGCGGGCCGCGAGGCCTTCCCGGCCGGTGCGCCTGCACGTAGCTGTATGGCCTGCCACATAGCGGCCCCTTCCCCTTGTCCCTTTCCTTGAGCCTTTCCTTCGGATTTTGGTAGATTTTCGGCAAATTTTTGGGAGCTTTCAAAAACGCAGAGTGATACGCACTCCGCCTTTTTTTTGACACGCAAATTGACACGCAGAGTGACACGCACACTGATACGCACTCGTCAAACACGACCTGTTTCTCGTTTTTGACGAGTGTGTACTGTCAAACCGCTCTGTAAATTGACACGCAGTGAGTGCGTGTCAGTGCGTGTCACTTTTACAGACCGGAGAGAGGTTTTGGAAAGTTTTGGAAATATCCTTCACCGACGGTATTGTGTGACACGCACTCACTGCGTGTCAAGTGCGTGTCACTCTTCACGCCTGTATTCTGGCCACCAGCGATTCGGTCGTGCGTGTCACTGCGTGTCTCCAGAATATAAGTGCAAAAAGTGACACGCACTGACACGCACTAGATGCGTGTCACTACCATACCGTGCAGGAGAGAGACAACGCCTGTCGTCTTTTGGTCTTCCCCGATGGTATACGGTGACACGCACTGAGTGCGTGTCACTTTTTGCACCTATATTCTGGTGACACGCAGTGACACGCATTGCGGTACGCAAGTGACACGCAGTGTGACACGCACTGCGTGTCACTTGCGTATCACTTTGCGTGTCAACTGCATGGTAGACTGATGCGAGGAGCAGATGGCGATGTGAGGAACGGGCTGTCATGCGGCGGGAACAAACCCCGTGTGGTGCTTCGCCACAGGACTCGAACCCGTTGGTATGGTCGTTTGCTCTCTTGCGGCCCACAACAAAACAGCTCCACCACTAAATCTACTTTGTCGATACATTTTTGCCAAGGATCATCAAAATAACAGGCTTAAGATTTTTACTTGAGCACAACCAGAACAAGAGTATGGGATCCTTGTTATGTTTGTCCACACTTACTTCTACAAAAACGCTCGCGCCAGTCTGAAAACCAAAGCAGGCTGCTAAGTAGACAGCGGCACACCAGAACGAGACCAATGATTTTAAAAGCTTCGCGAAGTTTATTTGTTGGGGCTAGTAGATAGGTCTCGCTCATCTTCTCGAGGAGATGAAGAGTGCAACTGTCGCTACTTTCACGTCCATTGCAGGACTTTTGTGTCCTCTTCTGTACGACATTACAACTTTTGGGGTCTATTAAAGGGTGCTTTTTACAATATATTTGTGCTAGAATTCAAATTCGAATAAAGATTTACCGCCATGCCGAAACATGTACATGAGAAAATGTACATGAAAGCTGAAGCTCGCCTGAAATAAGAAGTTTCTTTCATCAGCCAGAGTAAGAAGATGAAGAAGTGGAGCACTCTGGTGCTTCTTCGCTTTGGAACGCCCAGCAGTCTGAGCAGAAGGAGGACTGTGGGTTAGTACTGGAAAAAATATCACAACGAAGATGATGATCAACATGACAGAGCAAGCTACAAAAGCACAACTCTAGTCTTGACAAGAACTACGTTGAAGTCGATCACAAGGCAGTTAGACTTCATCTTAGAAAAATATACAAGGCTCGTCGTCGTCTGTTCCTACGCAGGACTCAGCCGCAGAAAGAACTACTCTACTGGTGCAAGTCGACAGTATGCATTTTCTCGAATCTTGATGTCGAGGCACAGCATCTAGATTTGATGTAGGCGCAGCAACTATAACTACAATTGCAAATTAAGTACACCAGGTCGAGCATTTTGAAGTTTTTGGCTTCCACTGTCACTTTCAAATAAAGAGAAACAAGCGCATTTAGATTTATCTATTGTGCTGCTTTAGCTCATCTGTATCTGGTTGTATCAGGAGGGTGCACTTTTGTAGTAGAAAATAACTAGCTGGTGCTCTACAGGAAGATAGATTGATGATACTATTGAATCTGTTTTGTCGGCGCTGCGGTTGGAGCTGCTCCTGCTGGTGTGTAATTTCAGTTTGAAGCTCAAAAACGAAAATGCCGAGAGCTTCTTCTAGAAAAAGAATTCTTTTTGGAAGAAAATTCGTAAACCTAAAAAATGAACCAAAAACAAGAAAAAAAGCCTTCAACAAAACGAATCATACTAGGTACCCGCCGATGAAGAAGATTCACTTAGAGGCATTAAATATTGCTGGAATGCGCGTCCCGAGTTCGCTGAGAAATAAATAAACGAAGTCGAAGCTCCGTTGTTCATGACTCCCATGCAGTGCGGCGTTGGTTTTTTCTTCGAGTATATTTCTTGCGTCTCAGTCTTCACCGAAGAGAGTTTATTGTGTGTCTTGATCATGTACATTCATGCAAGCTTTATTTTGTGGTCGAAAGCGACACAGAACCAGAGGCGTCGAGATGAAAATAAACTGCGCCACCAGGGGGTCCTCGTGAAGATAAGTGGGTTTGCTAAGAGTATGAGACCAAGAGCGCACCTCTGCTATCAATTAGAGAGGATGAGGAAAGAATAGTAGTGGCAGACGATGCAAATTGCTATGATGTTTCCAGCGTTCTTCGTCTGTGATCAGGAAGAGAAATCGAATAGGATAGTGCATCGACCTTATTTTTCCATGTTGATAGGTCGAGGGTTGGTAGCCAACTTCGTAAGAGATGATCAGCTATGGCCTACCTGGTTCATCCGCCGCGCAGCAGCCGCACGATGCGGGTTTGTTACGTTCGCATTTTTATTTGGGTGGAGGATTTCGAGCCTCGCCTTGCCTGCAAGGCCAACGCGTTGCGTGTTGTGGCGCTGCGCCTGTGAGGAAGCAGCGCGCCCGGCGCGGTCCCGGGTCGGCCGTCTTTGTTCGTTTTTATCCAGTCCGCCCAAGAATAGCGGCGGGAGGCCGCAGGGGAGCAGATCGCCAGGTCCAACGGAAACGAATTGGCGCCGCCAGGCGGTGAGTGAGTGTGTGCGCGCGCGCGGGTTTTCTTCTTGCCGCGGCTGACCTTGCTGGAAATCTCTCGGGCCCGTCGCCGCCCGGCCTCTCTTGCCCTTCCCCAGCGGTTGCCAAAGCGGCAAGCTGGAATTTTCCGCAAAGCTGTGGAGCTGGCCCAAGGCAGGCATACAGCGGCCCGGTCGTTGTCTCTCATTTGGGGGACGTCATAGACGCGAAGGACCCGCGGCGCGCCCGGTGTTTTCTTGCTTGTGCGGTCTCGCGCGGGCGGCGCCCCACCTTCCCGCGGGGGCCTGCTGCCTGGGGCCTAGGCGATGCGTCCCATCCATTGCCCACCCTGTGGCGTTATTACTCGCGCCCGGCCGTGTGGCGCGTCTTTGGCCGGCCCGCCACAAGTGGCTGGGGCGAGGGTTGCGCGCACTATGTTGCTTGTTGGCTTGAGGACTGGCGACGCTGGGCGTTCTTAGTCTGGCCTCCACGCAGACAGGCGGGCGCGCGCGCTTCGCGATTTGAATCTACCAACCAGCCGCAACGCCCAGCCGTTAGCATCTGAGGGCGCGGAGCAAAGGGGCGCTGCCGCCCGATTGTGCCTCTGCCGCCCCTTCCAGAGTGCGAGAGTTGCCTGTTTCTGGAAGCGTGGTTGCAAATTTCCTGCATGCCGGCGCAATTTTTGTTTGTTTATGGCACATACCGGAGAAGTGCTCGCCTGTCTCCTTGTTTCTTCGTTGCGTTGGAATTGAAGATGACGGATGCCGGATGTTCCTCCTGTTGTTTTGAGCCTGAAGAAGTGGATAGTTGTACAGTGACTGTCTCCTGTCTACCCGTCCGTTGTAGGTATGAGCGAGGTGAGGATGTGTTTTTGTTGTTGCATTGAAATTGCCAAAGGGTGTAGCTTCGCAAGCGAAGTGTGCGAAGTATTTTATGTGTGTAAGTAAGTACCCCCTACGAAGAGAGCGATCAACTACTTCAAAAGTCCCGAGACAAAGCAGCTCATCGGAGTCACGCGGCACTGTGCAGACACATAAAACGAAAAAGCCGACTTCCTCTTCAAAAAAGAGCGCTGACGTGAGTCGACTCTTCTTGATACTGTAAATCAAGCAAAGAAAGAGCTCTTGCTTCGTTAACTACGTTCACGACGTTTTCTATTGCAGAAAATCAAAACTGTTATTGTAAGCGCAATTCTCCAGCACCTCGAGATGATCCACCTTCGCTCGTCCGCGCGAGCGGGAATGCAGCCACGTGCAGTTTCCGCAACCTCCACTTCCTCCACAGGAGCCAACAAGAGACCTAACCAACACACGACCCTTCTCGCGGCAGCAGGAGCTTCATTTCATCACAACTTCCACAACCGCAAGAATTTTGCTTCCGCAAGTGCCGGCTCCAAGCCCTACAAGGTCGGCATCCTGGGCGCTTCGGGCGCGGTCGGGACGAGATTTGTGTCCATGCTAGAACACCACCCCTGGTTTGACATCATCGCGCTGGGCGGGGGGCCGAACGAAGTCGGACATCTCTACCGGGATGTGGCGGACAAAGTTTACAACGCGTGTTTGGATCCGAAAGGGATTCCACCGCAGTACAGCGAGAAGAAATTACTGCACCCGGATCCGGCGGAGTATTTAACTATTTGAGCAGGAACAGGATAACAAATTTCAATTGAGTTGCCATTGTGTTGTTGCGCATGAGAACCTGCAGATGATGAATTTTCGCAGTTGTGCAAGGGAGGCACGTGCGATGTTATGCAGGTTGATGAAAGATTGCATGAGATGAACAAACTCCTCGTTGTAAAAGAATGATCAAAACCAAAATTAACTATCAGGTGGAAGGCCCTGGGCGTCAACCTCGTTTTCTCAGCCGTTCCAGACCACGTTGCGAAAGTGGCCGAGTTATGCATTGCAAAAGGAAAAGTGTCGTGCCAAGTATAAATCGCATGACAGATCAAGAAGAAAGCATGAATTTGCCATGCGGATTCAGGCAGTCAAGCAGATTTGTCATAAATGATTGCAATTTATACGAGAACGAGTACTACACGATACTTTTGCAATGCATAAGAGTACGCGTTCGCCGAGGTTGGGATCCCCTGTTTCTCTAACTCGCCGGAAAATCGCATGGGCGAAAAGATCCCGCTGCTCCAGCCCTACGTCTATGCATATAGAAATTTGTTCCCGCGCACGACGTACAAACAAGTGCATGACAAATTCCAAATATCCAAACCGAGAAGTGCTCGACACTTGTCACGCAGCTCAATGCGATTGCGATACGAGAAGAAATCTGTGATGCAAGAGTGCAATTTGAACATCTATGTCCTCGTGTACGGGAGATTTTTTCAACTGCACAACTCCAATCCGGAGCACATGATGATGGCGAAAACCCAAGACTCTTTCGCGAAATCCGAGGGCTTCGTCGCGACCAACCCATATGAAAGTGCATAACACCCCCTCCCCCTCGTTCTTATGGCATACACAGCATTACAAACACCAGCACGCGTGGAGCTTGTGCATCACAAATCCTCCAAGTGCCGTAGTCTAGTACTGTTAGTTTGGGGTTGTTCCGGAATCTGTCATGCAAGCAGAGCCACAAGGCAGTGCAAGCGCTTGGGCTTGGCTTTGGGGTTTTGCATGACAAATGAAGCTGCAGACGGGAACGAGTTGTGCACTCTCATAGCCCAAATTGTTCGACGATCGCCATGACGGTCGGGCTGAAACCGCTGGTGGACAAGTTCGGGATCGAGCACTATCACATGCAATATATGTCTGGGTCTGGAAGAGTCTGAGCTTGTCATGCACATTTTGCATGACCCTTGAGGTCCGTAATGCTGATGCTAGCATCACAGATTTTTTGAGAGCTTCTTGATGCCAATTACGCATGAGAAATTCTCTCTCCCCGTGCCAAGAACTGACTCCTCTTGCTGCTCCTCGTGCAACATAGATATTTTTAGAATCCGCAGACAGCATTACAAGTTCCAATCTTCCAGACCCAGACACATTTGCAATCCATACGCACGTCAATGCGACAACATTGCAGGCAATCAGCGGAAGCGGGTTTCCGGGACTGTCTCATGCGGAAATGTACGATAATTGCGTGCCGTACATCGGGAACGAAGAGGAGAAAATGGAGGAGGAAGCAGCGAAGATTCTAGGTATAATGGAGATTTTAATTTTTTTCTTGTCATTTGGATTTATTGTGCATCACAACCTCTAGCTCTATTCAGTGCTGTTGCATCACAAATTCAAATTCAAATCCACATCATACCTTCCTACACAAAATAACCAGGTTCTTTCGACGGTTCGAAGCTGAATTTCACGGACATCAAAGTTTCCGCGATTTGCAACCGCGTCCCGGTTTCCAACGGGCACATGATTTGCGTGTCGGTGAAGCTGAAGAACAAGCCGGCTAATTTGGTGGAAGAGTGCAACAAGGCGTTTGACGCGTTCACCGTGTATGCAAGAGAAAAACTGTGTAAGTGTAAATCTGTGATGCAAAAAATGCAAAACAGCATATACTTGTGATGCTCGACATGCGTGATCGGCTCGCTTCCTATGTATTTTCCCTTCGTATCTGCGCATAACAAGTTTGGCCTGCCAGGGCAGACAAACTTTAACTTGTGATGCTGTTTTCCCAAAAGACTTACACTACCACAGTTTTTTTCCTGCATACCGTGCCGGAAAAAGTGAAAAACTGTCCTTCCTGCCCCGAAAAACCGATCCGCTTGTTCACCCAGGAAACCCGGCCGGACCGGCCCCAACACCGCTTGGACCGGGACTACTTCGGGGGGATGGGCGTCAATGTCGGACGCGTGCGCCCGTGCCACATCAATGATGTGAAGTTCACGATTCTGGGGCACAACACGGTGATTGGTGCCGCCGGGGGAAGCATTTTAAACGCGGAGTTGGCGGTGAATGAGGGCCTGATTAAGAAGAGCGGGTGATGATCTACTTGATGAGAAGGTGCGGAACAAGCAGGCTCTTGTGTAAATCCCTTAGTAGTGGAGGTTCTCCACGCAGCAATAGACCGAGGGGGCCGTCGCCGTTTTTGACTAGTACTTTGTTTTTGCTTCGAAACTCGTCATCAAATAAGGACAAGAAGAAAACTTTTTAAGGATATCATGCACCGATGAAAACCGACGACAAGCTTTTATCGTTTGATTACTTGAAGTTGTTTAAGGTCAAAGAACCATTTTTAGCCGAGCGGTTTGCAGCAGTTTCATCTAGTAGAAGAGGGACAAGACTTTACTGACAAGAATTTTGTTTTTCTCGAAGTAGTAGTTTTCAAGTTCAAATAAAGAGCAGTCTATAAGGATAACGCTGCAATTTGTTTGTGGTAAAATCAAAATGCGATATGTTGAAGTCGCGGGAACGAAAAGCGATTATCGACAGTGAAGGACTACAAGGCTTTCCAGATCATGAAGATCCAGGAGTTCGAGAAAAAGACGAGCAAAAATTTGAGAATTCTATCGTTTTTTGCTTGCGTTCTTTCTCCTCCTGAGTACTTAGCTCTCTTGATGACTGTGTGGGTACTATACGCTTATGCACAGTGTGTAATCAAAGATATACTTTTCATCCTAAAGAGCTCTCGTGGATTCATAGATTCTATATCGTAAGGTCGTCGACAATTTTTTGCGCCGGATTGTTCTGTTCCTTAGCGAGTTTCGAGTGGAAGTGAAGACCAGAAGGCCTAAGAGGACTTTGCTAAAGTGCAAGTCCAGGGAGCTGCGTCAGACTGTCGCGCCTCTTGCCGTTGCCGGTGAGAGCCAGAATAGACTTGTGGCTGTGATGAGGAAAGAGCGCCAAGAGGGGGAGGGGAGTCACGCGCATCGTCGCGGACCCATCTGCCAAGAGACCTACAGGCGAGGCGGCCACACGACAGTGAGTGCTTCCGCAGTGCGATTAGTGTCTGCAATTTTCGCGCGGTGCGTGTCGCGGCGCCGGGGTACTAGACGCCGGCCGCCGTCTGGCGCTTCTATCTCGTTCTGCCTGGTGAAGCCGGGGCGCCGCGCGGCGGGCAGGAAAAAACCCAAGCGAAGAGCTTGCGAAGAGCCGGCGGGGCTAGAGGCCAGCGAATGGCGAAACAATCACGCCGCCCCGGCCCTGTTTCTTTCTTTGTTGATTATCCCGAAGATGCGCCAGCGCCCGCATCATCGTGGAGAGCCCACAATATCCGCGCGCGCCGCCTTTGGCCGTCTTGGTTGCCCCTATCTAACTGTCTGCGAAAGCGGGGCGCGTGTGCGCCCGCCCGCGCCCGCCGCCGTCGCTCCGGCTAGGTAGCAGGCGGGCCTGCTCTCCTGTGCCTGCGCCCCCCCTTTGGCCGGGCGGGCTCGTTTGAATCAATTTGCGCACGCAGCGCAAAGGGAGGCCGCCTCGGTGGGGCGTTCGCAGACTCCCGCTTTCAATATCAGGCGGAGATGGGCCCGGGGTTTGGTAGCAATGCCTGTCACTCCCACCCAGCGACGGACCTACCGCTACCGGGCCTTGTGGCCCGCCGGACGTTCGGCCGGCGATCCTCGCAGGCATTCGGGGGCAGGCATCCATCGGTGGGGGACGGCCCCGCGCCTGCTTCGCAGAGGCGCCGCGCGGGCGGAAGCTGGGCGTGTCACGCAGGCCTTGTCGCATGCTGCATTAATTTGAAAAAGCATTCGTCGCCAGTCCACGCGACGAGGGCGCGTTGGGGTTACATAATATGGCGTCTCCATCTTCTTCGTTGAACACGAGATGGCTGGCGTGCCGTGGCGTTCTTCTTCTTCAAATGCGTGCATAGTTCAGGCACAGCCGACGCTGCTTTGTTTTTTCGGCTGAGATTTAGTCCCGGATTTCCGAGCCTCATTCTACTCGGTCAGCTCAGCCGCGGTGAACCACCTACAGGCCTGATGCCTCATCTTTGTTAAATTCAAGTTCGTGAACGTAATGTGCTGCGTTATCGACTCCAATGTCGCAGTACCTCGGTCGGAGTACTTATCAAGATGATGCACCACTGTTGTAGTTGTTTGCACACATCTTGTTCAAATCCATGACCACCGTTCCTCCGCTCTGGCGCTAGTGCGCTTTTCTGTTGAATTTCATCCGCTACGACCCTGGTTTCCGGTTCCGCAGCTTGGCCTGGAATGTCCTGGCTCAGTACCGTCCTGAGTAAAGACGTCCCCACCGCGTAGTTCTTTGTATATCTATATACTGATTACCTCTGTCTTCATTACAGATTTTTTCCCTCGAACACGGCCAGAAAATGTCTCCCATGCGTACTAGCTGCATTACTAAGGACGTTCTTGGCGGGCAAATATGCATGACAGGTTGGTGGGGGTGGGGATATTTTTACTCAGGATATTGATATTCAACTTTGGGTTTGGAGAAGAAGGAAGACGACCGAGTGCCATGGCGCAACCCAGCGATCACTCCGTCGTCCCTTCCGAGCCCACGGAACAAGAAGAGAAGGTTGTAGGTAATCTACCCCGTTCGCGTGTGATAGATCCGATGTTGAGAATTCTTCTTTGTTACGCGAGGACTTTTACAATTCTATTTGAATGACATTTGCACTTGCATTTTCTTGCACACAGTGAATAGTTGACTTAACATGATCTCTGACAGGTGGCTCCATTGTTTGCAAGTTTGCCAGCACGAAAGAGCCACCGGATGCAGTCGAGAATGAACCCGCGCGCTCGGTTGGTACCACCACCCTCAACATCCTTTCAGCATCTGCCGAGGATGCGGAAGCGGATTGCGCTACCGGTATAACTTAGTATTCTTGAGTAAGTTGTTGGATCTCCAAACGCACACTGTAATACTGTCTGATATTTTTCCGCCTGTATGACGAGTTTGTCATGCGGATTTCACTTTTACTTTTGCATTAGTTTCGATGTGAACAAGAACAGCGCCCCAATACTAGATTAACCAATTTGTCTTGACACAGGCGGATCCGCCGTTCTTCGCAGGCTCTCCAGCGCGACAAATTCGAATGCAGCCGAAAAGCAAGAAAGCGCGCTTTTGACGGTTGTCACCACCAGCACCTCGAACTTTTCAGCATGTGCCGAGGACGCGGAAGCGGGCGATGAGGGTAGCATTTTGGATAAGTTGTTGATTCTGAAGAACATCTCCATCTTTTCATCTGTCTTCATGTACATTTCTTCATCTGTCATGCATATTTTATGTAAGCTGTGCAAGCCACGTTCAAGATATAGCTCACTTCGCATGACACTAAATGAAATCGCGCATTTTTTTATCAATCGCAGATGACATCCCCGTTGTGCGGAAGCGCTCCAGCACGAGAAAACCAACCAAGAGGGACGAGAACCGTATTCGGGAATTGAAAAAGAGGTTTTATACCGTCACCGTCCGTGCCGTGCTGATTCCGGTGCTGCTTGTGGTGCTCCTAACCATCTTGCGCGGTTTCGGTTCGGTTTGCGAGTTTAACGATTTTGCGCGGTTAGCATCGGTGATGGGCACAGGGGTGTTTGACCCAACGAAAGTTAGTTCCGACGGGAAAACCACGGCGAGCGGAAGTGCGATTGGTATTCCGACAAATTTCGCCTATGCCTCGTTTCACGAGGCGGCGATCGGTATGATGTTCGTCGAAGTGTCGACGGCGTCGGCGGGGGTGGTGCTGCAGGCCCTGAGCCCGCGGAGTTTGTTACAGCTACGGGCATCACTCCGCAAGCACCGACCAGCGCTGGCGTATGTGGCAACTTACGCCTTTTTGTGTGGAGTGATGATGTATGCGGGCGTTTTCGCGTGTTTGGTGGACGCGAGCCGGGTGCAGAGTCTCGCTTTGTTCCGATTGGTTTTCACCCCCATAAAAGTGCTCGCGCTGCCGGTCGTATTGCTTCTTTTCCGGTATTCACTGACCCGATCGAGTGCGGGGTGCTCTAGCGCGGTCTACCGTTTCACCATAGTTCAAGTCGGTCTTTTCGTCTTCTGCGGTTTTTGTCTCCTTGCGGTAACGCGCATTGTTCCGGCCCTGCTCGCTGCCGCACGGGATTTACCGGGGTACCAGCGAATCATCGCGGAGACGCTCGTGTGCGGTTTCTTTTTCAGCATCGTGCTGCCGATTCTGGAAAAAATAATGGGGCAACTGCTTTTGCCGAGGGCCCTCCCTACTGACAACGATTGGCGGTTGTGCGACTTCCCCAACGCACGAACACAACAAGCCGCGCAAGACAGAACTCGGGGCATATTTACCTGCGTCCTCCACTACATGTTCGACTCGATGCGGTTCGGAATGGGCCGCGGGGTTTTCCTGGTTTTATCTCCTGCGACCATCGCTTTTGTATTGTTCCGGGACCTGACTTACCACGTTTGGCACTTCGCTTTGCGGCAAAGTGAAGCGATTTTGGTGTTCGCGTTGAAAATTTGCGACTTCGACGATCTAGAGCACGTGCCGCAGAGTTGGCGCTGGGTTACTAAAGTTTGTTACAACCTGCAACGCATAAGTTCTGTTAATCGACGCTTTTCCATCGCTTTTGACGAGGAGATTGACTTCGAGCAGCAACTTGCAGAGGAGCAAAATAGGAATAGTGGCGCTGGTGCTGCTGACGACGGACAACAGAAAGAGCAGGACTCGGGTACTAGCGGCATCAAGAAAACTTTGGCCCTGCACTTTTCGAACATCCGGCTGAAGATCCGAAACGTACCGAAAAAAGTATTTCGGGATTTGTACAACCAAGAGGTGGCAGATGTCTCTTACGGAGCAGTGCAAGTCGTACCAGAAGAGCCGCCGAACGCCGGCGGATCCGAGCGCGGCAATGAAGAAGCAGCCTTTTTTCCCAACTTGCTCGCAATGGAAACGGAGAAGCAAACTGTTTTTGCGAAAGAAGCTGCAGAGGAGAAGCAAGTTAATACGCCAATGGACGGACGAACAAGCGGAAGCGAAGCGCGCAGCTGCGAAAACAGTAGGGTGCTAGTACGTATTGCAAATGTGTCGGAGTCTGGAAAGCTGCAATCTTTGATGCTAAGTCGGGATCGTGCAAAAGCTTACAGGTGTTGTGTTGCGTGATTACCTACCAAAAGTTGTCCACTTTTGACCAAGTTCAGAGGGAGTTTCTCGTGCAGGATAGGCATGCGTGGGATCTCTATCTCACAAAATCTGTCATACTAGGTCCTAAATTCTGCTACACCTCGTGGGCTAAGTATGGAAAACGGGCATGACAAGCGTTGCAAATTTCCAGAATCAGACATGTGTGCAGTCGATAGCTAGCCGGCACCTGCAATTCTGCCGGCGTAGCTGTAATGTCAGTCGAGAAGGCCCTGAGCATGCCGGTCGGGTCGAAAAGCCACACGGTGTTGAAGACCAGCAGTCTCCGGCAGGACGTCTCTACTGGCGCGCGCCAGGCAGCGGCGACGACCCGGACGCTAGTGAAGTTTTTACTTGGGCAGGAAGACAAAGTAGCAAAAACAGAAGCAGTGGAGCCGGTTTCTGCGGCAGAGCTGAAGGCTTTCAAACACTGCATTGATTTTTACCGCCAGGAAAACTTCAAACGGTACCAGATTCGCGCGCACTGCCGGATGATGACGTCGTTGACGCTGATTTTCGTCCCTCTCATTGGACTGGCGAACAACGTGTCACTGTTCCCCGGGTTTCCGCAAACGAACGAGGAAATTATGTTCGGACTGATTGCATCAAAATGAAAAATCACCCCTCCCCGTATGCAAAGCGAGATTTGTGTAGCTTTAACATGATATGTGAATACAAAAACAAATCTACTTCAATGCGTCATGCTAGAAAGGGAGAGAGTCGGAATCTGTCAGACTGTCGTCCCAAGTCTGGCGTGGGGGGAAGGCAACTGCCTGCAATCGAAGCCGCAGCTGGATCCCTTAGTATTCTAGTGGTACTAACCGACTTGTGTAAGTACTACTACACAAACCGCGCATCAGAAATTTTCTTTTGAATAGGGGGAGGGGGGATTTTTCCGCACGATAGGTTGCCTCGATTATTTTCTTCGTAAACGACATCGTCGAGTGGGCTGTTATTACTTGGAAATTTGCGGTGTTTAATGACGAGCAAGCGGAGGTGTTGTTGCCGAGGTTCGTGGGAATTTTTTTACCGGATTCCGAGCCGAAGCAAGTAGCAGGGGCTTCGTGGCGGTTGTTTCCGGAGGTTTTCACGCTTATGCAAGTTACTACTTGCTTTTACTTTCTCTTCATTCTGACCACAGTAATGTACCAGCCGTACTCGCTTTTCATGTTGCAGGATGAAGCGACTGAACAAGCCGATTTGACTTGGAGTCACGTTTACGAGTACTGTGGAATCTAAAACAAAAGCTCAAGCTTCTGGCAGCTGCTGCTACGAAATCGGATTGGTGTACAAATCGAAATCGATGCCATATCTTTTGCTTTACTTGGTGACGCAACGCCAGCGGTACTGGTACTCTCATCAAGAGCAGCCCGCTTCGTATAGAAAAACAAAATCAGTGACTTCGTATAGAAAAAAGAAAACTACACTTAAATACAACAAACAGTGTTTCGCCTCTGGATGGAAAATCTAGAAGACCCACTCAATTACAGTTTCCGTGCCCGATTTTGGAACAAGTTATCTTTGCTGACCTTCGAGAAGTTCTTGTAAAAAGTAGAGTATAGTATTTAAGTTGTAGCCTCCCCGCCCGGACGAGGCATCCAGACGAGTCCAGTAAGTGAACCACAGCAGAGCATCAAGTATAGCAAAGTGAAAGTACTAGATGAACATGAGACATAAAGTAGAACATGATCACACGCAGCACCAAGGGCGGTGCCGGTCCTATCTTGTAGAAGCAGATCAACATCCATTCCCATGCGTTGGAGGCTTGCTTCCCCTGTTCGCTCCTCTCGTCTCCTCGTCCGGTATTATATGCGTCGTTATCGGCTGCTTTTATATTTGACTGGGATCCTCCCTAGACCTAGAAAAACTTAATTGTTGAAAGCAGGAGAGAGTAGTTGAGAGAACTTGTCTGGTGCAGGTGGTTAACGGAATTAGTAGGAGTGACGAGTTGTACTACAAACGGGAGCTCGACGACGCTTTGATGTCGTGATAAGAAGAGTCCTTTCTGTTTGTCGTTCGTCTTTGTTTATTTCTTGAGGTCAGTGTCTATCATCACTCGCCCCAGCCCAGATCTATCACGCAACCTACCACATTGAGATTGGGAACACATGATAATATCAGACGAGATGACCTGGTGCTTGTCGCGTAGAATTTTGAACAATAACTAACGGGAATAAAGATAGAGGTTGCTTCCGACCTCGGTAACGCGATCGTGGCGTCACACGCACCCTCCCCACTCGACATGTTGGGCAGCAGCAACGCCAATTCATCTCCAACTGCAGCAACTACTGTTGCACAGCCTCCAGGAGCTGTTGCTGAAGATCCTGCTTCCAATGCAGCCGACATCAAACCGGTCGACCCAGCCACAGCAGCTGAAACCGACCCGCCACCCGATCCTCCTCCACCCGAGCAACTAATGGCCAATGAAAATAACAAAGCTCCAGAACCAGATTTCGAACAGGACGTCGAAGACCAGCCTACTTCCTTCAAAGACCTCCCGCCGCACCCCTTTGACGTCGAGACCCGTCCGGAACCTTCTGGAGAGGTTAGTGAGAAATTCGCGGACTGGCAGGATTTTCTGAACACGGACAGAACGAAAATGCGGGAGTATTTGAAGTCCGAGGACAGCGACCGGACAAACTTGGACAAGGACAACGCCATCATGCAGCGGAACTACACGAAGCCGCCCTCCAACCCGTTCTCCAGAGTCCACGTCTACAACGGGACGAGTACTGTGCAAACCGGAAATAGCAACGCCAACACGAAGAATTACGAAACCGGGGGTCGAACCCGGTACGGGATTGAGGAGATTCAGTACAAACCGCACCTGACGGAGCTGTACCGATCGGAGAATTTGAAGGGGACGAATCTAGAAGACTTCTTCTGCACCCGGAACAACTTCCCGACAACGAAACGGGGGATGGGGAAGCAGGAGTACCCGAACCCGATGCTATTCGCGCCGTTCCGGAAGGACCCGCAGACGAACACCCCGATGCTGTGGAGTCTAGCGGCCCGGCCAAAGAAGTCCTGGACGAAGTGGTCCGGAAATCCGATCTGGCTGTACAGCCGGATTGGGCAATACCTCTCCCGAGAGGCGTTGGAAAGTTGGCATACCAGTCGGGTGAAGCAGGAGAGGGCGCCGAACGAGGCTGCGGGGTCGGACACGTACCGGGTCCAAGCCGGGAAGGCGCTTGCCTGGGACGTCGGCCGGCAGTTCGGAAAGGCGTTGACCGGACCGGGGGCGGTGGGGGCGTATTTGGTGACGAGTAACCCCTTGTATCTCGGTCCGTACTTTCTCTACAAGAGTGCAAAGTATTGGATGTTTCCCCCGAAACAGGCGAAAAGCGGGAGCGATCTGCTTTCCAAACCCCTCCACCCCACGATCGACAACAGCCGGGAAGCGCGGGATGTCCGGATCGCTATGCACTGCAAATATGCCTGGCTCTGGAAACTTGTGATGCTGAATGGTCATAATTGAACAACCTTCCAAGTGGGGCCAAGCATGACAAATATTTTCATTATGCCTGCTTGCTCATGATGGGTGGCGCGCATTACAACCTGCGTCTTTGTATGAAGCGAGAAGTCTTGCTTTTGTTGGTCCCGCTGCATCACAGATTTTCTGGGGATGCGAGACAAACAATACAAGTTCTGCCCGTCCAGACCCAGACATATTTGCAGTGCATAATCGCGTTGTTGCGGCAAAAAGCGAAAGCGATCAAACACGCACAGCGGATGTACCCGTCGTACTACTACAGAGGGAGGTCCTCGAAGTCGCAGAAACAGCAAGTCAACCCGCTTACCGGCAAAAAAACTTACAACGCGATTCCGGACGGACACGGGGACGGGGCGAGTTCAACATCAGTCGGGCTTTTTTCCCGCGACCCGGCGAAGACCAAGGCGAACAGCGGGGTGCCGAATTTGCGGATTTCCAACCCCGCTGCGGATCTTTTGAACTCCGCGAATTTGCCGAAGGATTTGGCGAAGGAGCCGCCGCATCCCTGGTTGAAGTTGGCAGATTTGGAGATTTCGGACACGACCGGATTTGGAGACAGTTTCGCGAACAAACCCAACCCGTATTTGCACGTCACTTTAGAGGACACGACCGCCGTATCCCACAAAAAAAAATGTTTCACTGTGACGAGTTTGCAAGATCTGCATCACAAGTTTGTTGCACATGACAAAGAAAACTTGGCATGCGTGCTTCCTAAGGGAAAACACAGCTAAAAAACCAATGTCTTGCATGTGCAGCAAGACAAACACATTTGCGTTCCGTTCTATGCATCACAAGTTCAAAGTGAAGCAGTTTGTTCTTGCGATACGCCGGGCAGGTCCTGTGGGACGCCGTGTACAACATGCGAAACCAGAAGCAGTTATCAAATGCAAAAATGTCTGGGTCTGGAAGAGTGGAACTTGTAATGCTGTCTGCGGATTCTAAAAATGTCTGTATTGCATGAGCAGCAAGAGGAGTCAGCTCTTGGCACGCAGAGAGGGCATTTCTCATGTGTAATTAGCATCAAGAAGCTTTCAAAAATTCTGTCATGCTAGCACCAGCATCACAGACCTCGCGGGTCATGCAAAATGTGCATGACAAGCCCCAACTCTTCCAGACCCAGACATATTTGCAGTTGATAGCAGTTGGTGCTCAGCAAAACCTCCATGCTCGGGAAGGCCCGGGCGATGTTTTCGAAAACATTGGACCAGGAGATCGCCAACACGGATCCGTCGTTTCTGCGAGAGGACGCAACCGCGATTCACGGCGTCCAGAAGGAGATGTTGAAGCTCTGTCCCAGAACGACGGACTTGGTCCCGAGAACCTACGTGTTGAACGTGAAACGGTGGCCCATATCCACAGAAATTTTCCGTACACAACGCACAACGGCTGATTATTATAACGCGATCAACTGTTAAATCAAAAAATATTTTCAAATTTTTCTTTAAGTATCGGAAAGCGCGCGCGCAGAAGCCCACCAGAATCGGCGAGCAAAGAATCCGCACACAGCGCGCAGATCTTGAGCATTCAAACTGACTTATGCTAGAGTCGGGCGCCGAGTCGAGCCCTCGACCGGTCGCACAGTTGTGCTGCACGGGCCCGGGTAAAAAGGCCGCCGCACGGAGTCGCGTAGCCTTTGGGGCAATTTGCGCGGCTCCGGAAGCATGACGGTGAAGCGGGCGCGGAAAGCTATCATATCGGAGACTAGCTAGACGCCCGTCTTGTCTTGTCCACCAATTTGCCACGGCCTCTGAAGCTCGCCTGTCGCGGAAGACATGTTGGTTTTCTTAGTGAACCTCATGGCGCGCGGCCATTGTTGCAATGAAGGAACAGGCGCTGGCCAGCGGGATGGCGTTTTTGGGCGAAGCTTGTGTGCCCTTCGCTCAGATTTCGCGACTGTTATTTTCGGGCGGCAGGCTGCGTGGCGTTTCCACCATGCGCAGCTTGGGCCCTACAAGTCCGCCACAGTGTTGGCAGAAACCCGTGCGCCCGCCTTCAGGTCGGGGCTCCGGGGTTGGCCGTTCGCTTTGCTCCAGGAGTGGGGGGCGCTGACCTTGTCCTGCGGAAAGGTGAGAGCCGAAGTCTGGCCTTTCGAGGCGTTCCCGGAGGTCCCCAAGGGAGGTCCTCAAGGGACCTCTACGAGGAGGTCTCATACCATCGGGCGAAGATTTTCCGAACCATTCCACTTTTGGTCGGATTTAGGAGGTCCCTCGGGGAGGTCCCCCGGGGAGGTCCCGAAGCAGCACAAATCCAAAGCAATGCAGGTCGAATTGCCTCAGGGCAACAGGCATGCCGGGGCTGGCCTTGTGGATCCCCATCCTGGCTCCTCCGCCGCCAGTGGGGCAGCAAGGCTTTTGCGCCATGTTTCGACGCACTCCTCTATCCGCGGCGCGGGTGACGGCAGTCTTATGGTCGGCTTCGCGTCTGGTAATTTGGCAATGCCTCTGACGGCTTGTCTTCCCATCCCGCTGCGATCCAGGCTCTGCCCCCGTGCCAGGGCAGGAGCTCAAATGATCCGGGTCTAATAGGAAGGGAGCAGAGCCATGCCTTCGAGCGGGGTCTGGGCTTCTAAGGCCACACGGCTGCGGCGGCGCCACTCGCCTCGTGTCAGACAGCATCCAGCTGGGGTCGTGGCATGCCTTGCTGGAGGGCTTTTGCGGAGCTCTTGCGCTGTTGCCCCCCGAAGCCACTTCCCGACAGGCGATTTTTTTGGCCCTTGCGCTGCGATGGCCGGCGCGTACTCGCAATGAGCACGCAAGCGGCAACTAGAAACCGAGACGGCAGGGGCGACAGAAAAAGAGCACGACTCTTTTCAGGCAAAACATTCCAAGGCCGGTCGAGGTTGCGCGGCAACACACTTCTACACTTGAAAAAAAATTTGAAAACTTTTTTTGATTCAACAGTTGAACGCGTTATAATTATATGCAGTTTCTACATGGCAAAACTTTTCTTCAAGCCTATGCAGCATGACAAGTTGTCGTGTGCTCTTCATCTAAGTTGTTGCAAGACCTTGCGATGCGTTTCGTAGTACATGTTTTTGTGCGGAAAATTTGTGTTGCATAACCCAGTGTGAACGTGAACGAGGACTACGTCGGGAAGATGATTTTCCAGAGTATCCAGAGTAAATTTCCCGTACACGTACACATGCGGTCTCTGCATGACAAAAATAGGCTTCGACCCTACTCTAGCATGACAAGTTTTACGCTTCAAATTGGTATAAATTCGTGATTCTTGTACATGTACGGAAAATTTGTATTGCATACAGAGCTACCTGACCACCGACCCGATCCCGAACTTTGAACGAATCGACTTTCATTCCAAGAACAATTTCGGTGTCCATTTGTCGGACGCAGACAAATTTGCGATGAAGAATTCCAGCAGTTTAAGCGATCGGTTTCTGGCGCTGTTTTGGCACGATCTACACAGCTGGACCATGGGGAAGTTTGGTGTGGGCTTGATGTAAGATTTTGTGAGTCATCTGGCAGGAGCAGGGAATGTATCATGAGTTGAGCGACCATTTCCATTTCATTTTGCTTTGCTTATTGCCGAACCTGATTTTGAAACCTCTACCGTAGGTAGTGCACTCTTTCTTCGATGGTGTAAGATGTTGAACTTGAATTAGTGTTTCGTTTCCGGCCTAAGCAGGTGCTTTGGATCTAAAGGAGGTTACTGGAACTGTTTGGTCCTCGTCAAGATGGTACGTTGTCAATGACTTTGTTCAGCAGCGAGAGATAGATGGGAGAAGATTAGTTACGGAGAGTGAGGGTGAAAGAAAAGGTCAAGTTCTCGCCGAATGAAGGAACAGGTCGGGAATGCGAATGGCAGATCTTGCTCCCCTTCATAATTTGATCGCCTTTACTTTTCATTTCTGCTAGAGAAAAAGACCAGAAGGAAGGAGTGACGAAGGCGATAACTTTGTTTGTATCAGCTCTGAGTGGAGATTATATGAGGAAAGCACAGGAGGGGGCAGAGCCACGGCATTCTGAGAGCAGGGGGCCAGGGAACGACGTTTGTTCGTTTGTAGATGAGAAGATCGGCGGCGCCATCCAAATAAAATAAGACGCGACGCGAACATAGACCAAGGTGGCCCAGAGTTGTCCTATTCGAGGACCCGTCTGGCAGTTGTGGCTTCCAGGAGACGTTTGCCCGGTGCGCCTCGCGGTTTCACATTGATCCCGCTTGCATTGGGGCGCGGCCTCGCTCGTTTGGGAGAGGGCAGCTAGCCCAGGCGCTCGCTCGCGCCCTGCTGATCCGATTGTCTGTGGTAGGTGGTAGCAGGGGCCGCAAGATGCGCCACTACCTGCCGCGCATCTGAGTCGCCCAATCGCCGAGCCCTGCCGCGACTGGGCTGCGCAGTTTCCCGCCTCGCCGTTCATGCGCGGGCGCGGCAATGCGCGAATCGTGCGCCGACACAGCAACAACGCGCGCCATTGATCAAAGCCGGGCGCCCGATGTGCCTCGTGGCCGTTGTATTAATTTGCTGGCAGATATCGCCGGCGCCTTCTTTTGTTGCCTGCCGTCGCAGCGGGCTAACGATCGAAAGAGGCGCCCGGGCGTAGCTGTTCTCTTCTGGGGCCGCCGGCTGTTGGTTAGATAGATAGCGCCCCATTGGGGCGGCGGTGTTCCTCCCTTCGTTGGTGCCGGTACGTAGGTACTTTTGTAGTATTCTGGCGCCGCCCGGGGAGATAGGATTGGGCTGGGAAGTTGACCACAGAGCTTCGTCCCATGTGTCGGCCGTGGGTCTGTGTGTGGCTGGGCTGGTCGTCACTGGCGCAGGAAGGCTTATGGAGTTGTTGCCGCCAGCCCGCTTCTGGTGCATACCTTCCAGGACCACGGCGGGCCTTTGCCGGGCCGCCTGGGTTGGCATCCGTGTGTGCCTCCGTGCGCCGGCGGCTGGTGATTCTCATTTTCTTTTTTCCGTAGACTCCTGTGCTTGAAGTCCAAGCCGCTTCGCACAAGCTCGGTCGGTGGTTTTGTTAGCGCCTGTTCTTCAGAGAGAGCATCTGCCCGGAATGAAGCAGGCGACCACTTCGTATCTCTCTGTATCTACCTGGAGCAGAGGGTATATCTATCTATGAGGAGAGAACAGGAGGAGGGGGTAGAGCCAGGGCATTCTGAGAGCAGTGGTCCCTCGAGGACGGAGCGATATTTGTGTGCGGGCGCGAAGATGACTATGAGTGGTGCTGGCGTCCGCGCCATTTACCAAGATAGGAACTCGATGCGAACATAGACACAGAAGACGGCTTTTGCTAGGTGTGTGGAGATGCGGCCTGCCTGGCGCGCAGGGATAGAGGGGCTTTGCGGTACTCTCATACTGGGCCGCCCGGGGCTGTGGCCGGCGCGCCTCGCGCGTTTGTGCGCCGCGCTCTCTCCGGCTTTGAGCTGGTCCCCGTTTGGGCATGGTCCCGGTGATACACATGGGGGGGCGCATTGTGGTGCCTGTGGCAGGGAGCAGCCTGCGCGCCCCCCCCCCCCAACAGGTGGCCGGCTGCCTGGTGTCGCGCCCCTGCCTGTGCCAGTGAGGTCGGGGGAGCCGGGCCGCGCGTTGCGCCTGAAACGCCGAGCCCAACCGCAACGGAGGAGCGGCCCGCGCGGTTTCGATTTTGTTAATTCGAAATGGTAGCCATGGGGGGGCGGCCGCGCGCAGATTCTTCCATCCCGGGTGGGCGGCCGGCGTTGCGTTGGCCTGGCTGTTTGCCGCCGCACCGGCGCGCGCGGGACCGCGGGCGCGCGCCGATTTCGGGGCCCCCGGGCTGTTACCCTGCAACCGGATGGCCCTCCTGCGCTGCCTGCGTGCCGTAGTCGCTCGCTTGGGCCCGCCGGCGGTCTCTACCTTTGTTTGTCGCCGGCCGGCGGCGCGCTGGCTGGTCGGCCTTTGGGGGCATATGGTCGGCGCGCCGCCGCGACCACGGGCGACGTTCTGTATGGGGACGCAGACTGCTGTGGCAGGAGTCGGCTGGCTCGCGGCCACGCTCCGCCACTCCTCTGTGTCGGTCCAGGTGTGGGCCGCCGGTGGCGCAGTTACGGCTATGAGCTATTCTTGTTGCCACTTCGTGTCTGGTGCGTGTGGCCGTGCGCGCCGGGCCTACCGCCTGGGCGCCCATGTATGCCTCGGCGCGCACCTGGCCACTTTCTTATGTCTGTTGTTTGTCCTTGTTGAGTTCCCAACGCGGTCGTAGAGGCCGGCTGGTTTTGGTCGTTCTGTTCTTGTGTGTCAGAGAGAGCTATCGCTGGGGAGCAAGATTGAATGAAAGAGGGCGTTGCGCGTCCTGATCAGTTGAAATAGAGCGCAGGATAGTTTCCTGGAGGGATATGGAGGGAACAGTAGATAGGAACTACTTAAATAGATCCACTTGTTTGTACGAAAAGCACCTCTGAGCAGCGATAAACCAGTGCAAAGGAACACAATTGCCAGCACGGCCTTGAAAATTATACATAGGGAAACGCACTCAGCTTGTTGGCTCGCAAGACGTTGAGGATGAGCAATGACAACGCCAAAGAAGACGCGGCGTCAGTGTAGGGAGAACCTGCCATCTTCCCGAAGATGGTGCCTGCGTTGCATTCAGGGCGCCCCTTCTTGCGGCATCATTGTGCAGCACGTGTCTGGTGGGCGGGCACTCTCGCAGAGATCAACCCGCCCGGGCGTGCGCTTGTTCCAGTGCGTGGGCGTCGCCTCCAACGAATTGCAGCCAGTCGCCCGGGGCCCGCCGCGTCCATCACATGCGACAACGTGGCCAATAAAAAAGAAAACCAGCGCAGACACCGAGCGAGGTCCTCGCGATGATTGCCCGGGCGGCGTGCCAATCTTTGGCGGGGGGCGGGTGGGGGTTGCCTTTTCTTGGCGCCTTGGCCGCCTGATCACTGCCGGGCACCTTGGGGGCCCGGTGATGGAAAGGGCCGCGCGTGGTGCGCGCAGGCACAGACCTACTCCGATCGGGGTTGCCCTTCTTTCGTGGTTGCAGCCTTTGCATTGGTGGGACGGACCGACGGACGGACGGTGGGCGGCCTCTGTGTGCATTGAAGTGCTGCGCCGCCGCGGCGACAGGGTAGGCCTTTACTGAAGCAGGCCAGCCCAGGCGCAAGACTAGTCGCGCACGCAGCTCCGCCTGGCCCGCCGCGCACCCGGGCGTGCACCGAGCGAGCGCCGGTTGCCGGCGCAAATGAATAGCTTCGCTCAGTTTGCTGCCGCCGACACTCACTCCGATCGATGTGTGCCGGGCCCATTGCCTGGGAGGGCGCCCATGTATCTATGCCCCGGAGCGTGTGTCATTTATTTTCCTACGTCCGCTGGCTGCGTTTGAGTTTGAAATTGAAACTCAGACTCTTCAGTCGCATGAGCTATCGGTCTCTCTGCCCTTGTTCGTTAGAGTGAGAGAGGTGCCAGGAGAACGCTGAAAGATAGAGGATGATCAATTCATTGAAATAGAGCGCAGGCAACCTTACCGGAGGGTGGCGTGGGCGGAAAAGAAAAAGACGCAAGTCAATATATCTCGGTGGTGAGAAAAGCTCCTGTGAGCAACGAGTAACTGTGCAGTAACCTCCTGGATCAATTAATATCGCACACATACTCATGATCAGCCGGCTGGTTCGGAGAGGACGGAGGGTTTTTCCAAGAACAAGAATGCATCCTGTACAAGAATTAATATTGTATTTGCTCCGCCAACTCAAGATTGTGTTTGTGATTTAGTTATTGAAGATGCGGGGGGACAGACCGTTTTCGTTGTTCTACCTCGTCCCTTCGTCTGTTTCCTCCGGTGCCCCTTCGGATGGTAGAAGAGGCACACAGCCAGCGAACCACGCTTGAATAGCAGCGTGCCTGTGACGCTTGCCGCACGAAAACGGGCTGCAGCGTCATGATTGAGTTGCGCGAGGGAATAAGTTCCGGCACGTGCGGCCCGAGGATATTTTCGCGTTGGAGAAAGGAGAACATGCGGAGGAGAAGAGAGGAGAGTGAAAAAGCAGCGACGGACGTAAAGATGAAGACGAGAACTTCTAGCAGGAGTTCAATACCAATACGTCCTCATCTCGAAGGTAAGCGTCGCAAGATGCTCTCTATCATCCCAAGTCTTCTATCCTATCTTCTCTCTCTTCAACTTTTCCCACAAGTCGCAGCCCAGACCCAGACCATGGCGCCGACGACGAAAACGGCCGCGACCACTCTCACTTTCGAACAGCAGCAAGACCTATCCAATGCAAAAATGTCTCGGTCTGGGAGATAGCGAGATTTGTCATGCTAGTCTGGCATGACTCTGAACTCTGTGTTGCATGGCCGCGAAGAGCTCCTCCTCCTTGTCGTGCAAAATCGCAGTTTCTCATGCGGAATACGCAACTGGGAACCATGAAAAAAAGTTGTCATGCTTGGCAGCGCATTTTTATAGTGAGTTCACTCTTCCCTTTCTTGCATCACAAGTTTCCAGACCCAGGCATATTTGCAACGCATAAGACCTCCTAGACCCCCACCTCCGCATCCCCCTGGTCGCCAAACGGCCGGACCCCTTTGTCCCCCCGGCGAAGGCGGTCGCTGTGATTGAGGGGAACTACACGCTAAACTCCGTCGACTGGCTGATGACGATGGAAGAGCTGAAGAAATCGGTCACCCACGGCCTCCGCAAGTGGATCGCGACAACCGGAACCCCGCAGGTGGAGACTTCCATACCATTACCCGCAAACCATTTGAACGAATCCGAATTCACTTTACTCTGGGAGGACAAAGCTTGTACCGAAAAATCCACGCCCCGGGCCGTCTGGCCGCCAGTGGTTACGTATTTGGACAACAGCCTATCCTGTGCAAAAGTATCGTACTCGTACAAATGCAAGTCTTGCATTACAAATCTTGTTTCCAAGGGAGATCTGCATTACAAATTTTATTTATCATGCTGAGGAAATTTGTAATGCATTTATACGAGTGCGATACTTTTGCACAGGATACAGCCTTCGGTTTGACAACACCGGTGCGCCGATAAAACCAAGCTGGATTCCGAACCGGTTCTTGTATCCAGACACGACAACCATTCCGGTCACGCTAGATCCGGCGCTAGCCACCGCCGCAGCAAGGTTTACCGTCTGCGTGAACCAGCACGACACGAGCCTCCGCTGGCTCCTCGACGTGCCGACCGGGGAAGATTTTATGGACGGGAAACTTCCGATATCCAGAGTAACTTTCCCGTACACATACAAACGCGGTCTCTGCATGACAAAACTCGGCTTCGATCCTAGTTTAGCATGACAAGTTTTATTATGCTCCAAATTGGTGAAATTTGTGATGCATCTTGTACATGTACAGGATATTTCTATTGCATATCCAAATCCGCAGTGGGTCGCGCCCGGGATCCACATCACCGGGGAGCGAATATCAAATGCAAATATGTCTGGGTCTGGAAATTTGTGATGCTACAGTTTGGATAAGACTGGCGCTCTCAAGAGCAGCCAAGCATGACAAGTATACTTGACGCCGTCTGATGCGTAGCAGGCATGACAAACTGCGTTTTTGCAGGACGAAAAAGTAGCGCCTTTGTTGCTGGCTGTGCAACACAGATTTTTCAGGAATGCAAGACATGCAACACAAGTTCCACTTTTCCACACCTAGACATTTTTGCAATGCATAGTGAACGACGGACAACAAGTACGTAATCATAGACGCCGCGAAAGCGCTGAATCCAGACAAACCCTTCCTTGACGCCGCGGGGACGCCGAATTTTGCGACCAACAAATTCGAAGCGGACGGGACGACTTTGAAACCGAGAGCGAGACTGCACGTCGTCGGTCGGGTTTGGATCTCGTTATTGCAGTTACTCCACCGACGGTTTCAGCTGTCCAGCCCGTTGACGCAATACGTGCCGGAAATCATCCCCGGGACGCTAGATCCGCTCGCGGAGTTGACAGATGATTTGTTCAACGTGAAGACCCCGTATGAGCGTGCACAACTCCCCCATCCCCCTCATTTGTATGGCAAGAACAGCAATACAAGCAACAGCAGAAATGGGGCGCCCGCATGACAAATCTGCGTGCGGATTGTAGTACAATTTCAGGTTCCAAAACTTGTCATGCCTACAGCGCTTGCGAGCAAGGTTTCAATTTGGTACTTTGCATCACAAATGTTGAGCGGGAGGGGGAGTTGTGCATTGTCACATCCCGAACCGGCACTGGAGCATGGAGATCGCCTACGGGAAGAAAAAAGTGTTACAGTTACGCATTGTGTTGCAAAACTGGCAAAACAGACAACGTCTCTCATGCAGGAAATGCTTTGGACTTGGAGCCTCGTTGTCGTTTCCTTCCAGTTTTCCCTTATGATCTTTGCATTGCAAGTTTTCTCTGTCATGCGGAGAAAACTTGTGATGCTGAAGTTACATCAGCAAGAAGTGTGTCACTGTAACACGTTTTTCGTGGGATATTGCCTACATGATGGACATTTCCCCCGGCATTTTGACCCAGCACCAACTGATTCCGGTGTGTCAGGAGAAAAAAATCAAGATGAAGGGTTGCGTATCCACAGTAAATTTCCGGTACAGGTACAAACGCAGGCACTGCATGACAAAAAGAAAAATGGGCTTCGATCCCAGTTTAGCATGACAAGTGTTACACCCCAAATTGGTGAAATTTGTGATGCACTTTGCACATGTACGAGAAATTTGTATTGCATACTGCGCGACCGTGAAACACACGGTGTATGAATACCCAAGCCACATCACGGACTACAAGCTGAATTACTTCATTCTCACCCGCCGGATCGCCTGGCAGGACGGAATCAAATCGGTCGCGAACGGGTACTATGCATTGCAGAAGCAGTATCGCATTTCATGTATAAATCGCATGACAAACTTTAACTTTTTCAAGAAGAAAAATGGGACTTGTCATGCAGATTCATCAAGTAGGAGACTAGATTTGTCATGCATCAATGCGATTAGGTGCGATACAACTTTTGCAAATGACAGGTACGAGCTGCAATTGGGCGAGGCAAACTACACGTGGTTGGAAAAGTACGATCCGGTGACTGGGTTGTATGCCGTTCTCAAACCAGTTACATTCTCAACTGTTACGCGAATTTGTAATGCAAGAATGGCAAAAGTAAAAGGGTAAGGGGCGAAGCTGCACCTGTAGCATTACGAATTTCGGCTGTAGTTTAGGCCTTCGCAAATTTGTCATGCGAAGCAGCGTGATCGTGTGGATGATGATGGTAGTTTTGCATGACTAATTCATGACGCAGTTGAGAGTGTGACGCTTGAGGATCCAATAGGTTGCTCAAGCCGGTCGTGAAGGAGACGTCACTTTGGTCCGTGACCCACTACCCGCAACAAGACTGGCGCTACGTCAATGACTGCAAGACCGGGACCTCCTGTTGGTTCATTCCGATCGCCCCGTCAGGGCGGTTTATGCACAGCATGATCTGGTTACGACAGTGCACAACTTGCCCTCCCGCCCATTTGTATGGCATGAACAGCAATAGAAACATCAAGACGCGTGGAGGCTGAGCATGGCAAGTTCATGCGCCGATTGTAGTACTGTTATTTGGGCTTCCAGAATTTGTCACGCAAAGAATGCTACAAGGAGAAGGAAGGCAGCAGCTGGATTTGGGATTTTGCATGGCAAATGAGGGGCAGGGGGGGTTGCGCACTGTTATACTGGTACCGAACCTGGTCCCACTACGAAGCGTACTTGAATCTTTGTATCAACTGTAAAAATGTCTGTGTCTGGAAGAATTCATGTTTGTCATGCTTGTCTGGCATGCCTCTTAATTCAAATTCTGTCATGCACGTTACCCAAGAGCTCTGCTTTTCTGTGATGCAGAAGCGCAGTTTGTCATGCAGAATAGGCAACACCTAGGAGCTCAGAAACTTGTCATGCTAAGCCAGCATCTGTAGCCTCATCATGAGACGCCACCCAGCATCACAAGTTTCCAGACCCAGACATTTTCACTTTTGATACTTTGCGCCGGCGAACCTCTACAGTCGCCGGAGCTGTGTCTCGACGACATGAACGTGTGCCATTACATATCCAACAAAAAAGTGTTAACGTTAACGGTTTTCCTAGGTTGCAGATATGCATGACAGATTTTGCCTAGTATGCATGCTATGCATGACAAACTTGGGCACGTTTTCGCTTTGTGATGCATTACTGCATCACAAATTCGAATTCCGTTGACGTTAACAACACTTTTTCCTGTGATATTACAACCTGACCTGCCTGGGCGGTGTGGATGCGTACTTCGCGCGGCAGGATGTCCGCGGGAATTACTTTTTCCGTACGGCGTTTTTCACGGACAACGATGACGGCGAGTTTGAGCCGCTGTTGGAAAACACGCACATGACCTGCCCGCCGTCGTGCTGCAAATCTAGAAGAATGTGCATGCGCACCCACGACGTGACGGGGACGGAGGTTCCCTTTGACCGAACGCAGCTACTGGTTTTCGGCGGCCGGACCTACGTGCACGACTACACGTTTCCGAAGTACCCGGACCGCCCTAGCTGGTACCACCAGCCGGGCGGGGAAGAGATGTTGAATTCCGCGTATCTACCGGGGATAGTGCAGGACACAGATCCGAACAAGGTTGGGGTGCAGTCGGAGCTGATCTGGCACAACTGCAAATTCATGGACAATATGAATTGCAAGAGTATCGTACTGGTAGAAATAGCATGGCAAATTTTTGCAGAAGAAAACATGCAACTTGTCATGCAGATTCAGGTATAGCAAGTACATCTGTCATGCAAGACTGGCATTTAAATACGAATGCGATGCTTTTGCAATGGATAAACAAGGGCGCCTTCGAGGACCCGCCAAGTTTTCCCCAGCCGGCGGACCCGGAGAAGGGGCACGGGCGGCGGGAGCTGCGGTCCTGTTTGGAGCTCGCGACCGACGAACTCTGGCGGTACGACACGGTGCGTATGAACTGCAAAACAAGTATCGTATTCGTATAAATGCAAGTCTTGCATTACAAATCTCTTTCTCAAGGTAAATCCGCATATACAAATTTTATCTTTCATGCTGAGAAAATTTTTTGTAATGCATTTATACGAGTGCGACACTTTTGCGCTGCATAGTGCGGCACCAGTGGCAGTTCATGAAATTTGACACGTCGCAGTCGGACACCAGTACCAACATGGTTGGGACACCCACTGCCCGGTACGCCCACGCGTCGCAACTGGTCATCTACACCCGGGCCTCCGATCCAGATAACGTGCGACGGCAGTACATGTACATGTACGGCGGGGCGGCGATGCAGTGCAGGTTTGGGCTCTGTGATGATTTGTGGCGGTACGAGATTCCCTGGGCATCGATGGCCTACTACCCGCAGTTTCCGGCCCGGGCGTGGCAACAGGGCAATCAGTATGATAGATTTTTCCGTCGATTTCTCATCCAAATCTGTAAATGCTTTGACTGGTCGTGCTAGTGGTAATATTACCATTTACACAACTTGAGCTTTGTGAAGCTACACGACTACAGCTGCAGCTGGGCGCGAAAAAATCCAATGTAATCAGGTGGTTCCTCCGGTCCAAAGCGACGAAACTCTGCCCACCAGGGGAGTACTGCGGTCGGTTTCGGCATTCCATGGTGGCCAGTTTCGACAACCAGTTTCTGTTCGTGTTCGGCGGGCAGGGCATTGGCCGGTGGGAAACCACGCTGTTCCGGTACCGGGTGTACACGGATATGTGGGAGGATCTGGATCCTTCGGGGATAAAGTCCGTCACCAGGCTCGCCATTGACTACAATAACGAAATTAACCCGCAAATTCTCGACGCCAGCTTGTACGACCCCGCGGTGGACGAAAACATCTCCCCCACGTCCGTCACCGGACAACTGTGTATCAAATGCAAATATGTCTGGGTCTGGAAACTTGTTATGCTGAGTTGCGAATAGTGACCTCTCTGTAATGCACAGCCAAGCACGCGAAGCATTTGCGCTGCTTAGTGTTGCGCTTTCCGCATGACAAACTGCGTCTTGCATGACAAGCAAAAGCGTGTACTCTTGGACACGCATCACAAACTCTGCAGTCATGCCAGACAAGCATGACAAACCTTGCATCCTTCCAGACCCAGAGCCAGAGGATATTTTTGCGATGCATACTGTGCGAGATCAAGCAAATCGCGTGTGGGGCTCTGAAGAAGAAAAGGCTGGAGGGGGGAAGGACGCCGAAGGGAAGGGGGGACAGTCAGATGGTCTTCTTCCGGGGGGACAACTCACCGCTGATGCTGTTCGCGGGTTTTAGCACGGAGTGGAGCTATTTGTATCCATTACCGGAATTCACCGGGGAGAATTACACAAGGGTACGGCACATATAGAAATTTTGAGAGGAACAATTTCTCATGCAGATAGTTGGATGCCAAATTAGCTGTGTAATGCAGAACAAGCCATAGCAGTGATTTGAAATCATAAATCAATAAACAGAACGCCTCGGCGGTGCGGCGCGATTACGCGTTTGAGACGATCGACCCGGAGTTCGAGCGGAATCGCTACTACTACGACGACACGTGGATTTACGACCCGGGCGTGAATCTCTGGACCAAGCACTACTACAAAGAGGGCACCTACGAGCGGCCCAAGGCGCGGAAGGGGCACTCCATGGTGGTCCGACGCCAGGTGGCCTGGGAACCGGGGCAGCTGCAAGATTCGCAGATGATTCTTTTCTATGAATTGCAAAAGCATCGCACTAGTAGTAACCAGCCATGCTCCGGCTGACGCCGGAGCGCACGGCTGTTGTGCTGGGGTGTGACTATTTGCGGATCGGACCGCGACATAAGAGCTTTGGGGGCAGCGTGACAGGCCGAGGGAAGTACTGCCGCCGGCTTGCGCCATGTCAACCCGCAGGGGCCCCTGCGCGCTTCCCGCGCCTTTAGGCGCTATGCGCAGGGAGCAACTGCAGCGAAGCTTGGGGGCGAAGAGAAGCCGCCGCGACGTAGGTGCCGAAGCAGAACGGGGACCGCGCTGCCCTTGCTTTGTTGATCACTCTCCCGCGCCCGCCCATCTGATTCCCTGGCGGAAGCTGTGGGCGCGGGGGTGGCGCGAGAGGATGGCGCGAGAGGGTGGCGCGAGAGGGTGGCGCGAGAGGGTGGCGCGAGAGGGTGCGCGAGAGGGTGCGCGAGAGGGTGCGCGAGAGGGTGGCGCGAGAGGGTGGCGCGAGAGGGTGCGGGCCGACGCATGAAAAAGCCCCAAAAGAATCGACCCTGTGCCGGGCGGATTCGGCTTCTTTTACCCCTCTCGCAGACCCTCTCTTTCACCTCTCCCGAGAGGTGTTGCTAATAATCCGGCTATACTCGCCGGTAGAGGTCTACAGAGGTGGCCGAGAGGTGGCCCAGAGGGTGCGCGGGAGGTTCGCCCTTATTCGCGCAACCTCTCGGCACCTCTGTCCCCCTCTCGCTTACCCTCTCGGGACCCTCTCGGCCACCTCCGGGCCCCATAGGCGCGGCTTTAGGGCGAGTCCTTCGGCGGGCTATACTCGCGCACCCTCTCGGCCACCCTCTCGAATGACCTCCCGCGCCACCTCTCCACCTCTGTCGACCTCTTTTTGACCTCTGTCGACCTCTTTTTTACCTCTCGGCCACCTCTCTTCGACCCTCTGTAGACCTCTTTTTTCGCATGAATATAATAGATAGCAATTGCATTACAAATTGCCTTTGCATGACAAATGGAATTTGTCATGCTGTTTTACCTTGGTATGGAGATTTGTAATGCATGATTGCAATTAATACTACGAGTGCGATACTTTTGCATTGGATATTTTCGGCGGGCAGTTACAGGACGAGCCGCTGGGGGATCTATCAAATGCAAAAATGTCGGGGTCTGGAAGATTGCAACTTGTGATGCTGCATTTGCATACTACAAAAATCAGTATTGCATGAACAGAAAATAAAGAGGTCCGATTTTTGCCACGGCGAGAGGGCATTCCTCATGCGGTATAGGCATCAGAAAGCCCTCACAAAGTCTGTGATGCTAGGGCATGCATCACAGACGAGACGTCAGGAACCATGCAGAATGTGCATAACAAACTTTGCATCCTTCCAGACCCAGACATATTTGCATTTGATAGGATCTGTGGACGTACGATGTGGAGAGAGACCCCCGCGATCGGAAGTGGCAACGCCTAGACAACACGTTCGAGGGAATACGTCCGGCGAAGATGGCGTACCATTCTGCGGTTTGGGATAACCACACGAACGAAATGCTGGTGTTCGGCGGCATCAGCTTATGAGACTGCCCAACTCCCCCTCCCTCTCATTTGTATAGCATAACCGGCATCACAAGCAATGGCACATATGTGGCTGTCGCATCACAAATCCACGTACGGACTGTAGTGCGGTTTTGGCATCGAGAACTTGTCATGCATTTGGTGCCAAAGAGCAAGGCGCGGATTTGGCATTTTGCATGACAAACGAGGGGGCGGGGGAGTTGTGCACTCTAATACAGCTGGGTGAAAACGGATTTGAACGTGACGGACACGCGACGAGATCGAGATCGACGCTGTTTCAAATCCGCGAAAGACTTGCCCACGACGTTTCACGACCCGGAAACGAAACTGCAGTACCCAAACATCACGGATTTGTTTATCCTGGAGGGAGACCCGAAGAACCCTTTGACGACCGATTTACTGCGGTCCATCAAGCGAAACTGCGCGTTGCGGGGCTTGTGTTGCCCCCTGGCGAACAACTTTCCGGAGCCCGGGAGTGACTTGGAAGACCAGTTGTGGAACAAAAAACCCAACAAAAATCCGGCAATCTGTGACCAGGACGGCCAATTTACCGCGGCGAACGGCTGTCGGACAGACGTGAATCCGCCGATCTGCGATGTCCCGGGGCAGTTTACTTTCGAGAACGGTTGCAGGAACCTGGTCATAGCGGATGAGAACGGGTTGTCGAAAGAGAAAATTGTGGCCGAAGCGATCGATGAGGACAAGGAGGTGGTTATCCTGTCTAAAAACGTCCCCACCCCAGAGTTGTCATGCAATTCTGCATGCCAAAAAAGTTTCTCATGCGGAGCCCTATGAGAAGCATTTTCCATTCGTGTTATGGAATTTGTGATGCCACCATCAGCATGCTATGATAGATCTGTGATGCAGATATGTGAACTAGCTGAATCGAGGATCACACTACGAGGACAAATTTGTCATGCCAAACAGCCAAAGCTGGTCGATTTGTCTAGCAGATTTCCCATCTTGGCTCTGGTGTGGGGACGTTTTTAATCAGGATAGGGGTTACGCGGGAATACGATTTGATCGTCCGCGAGGGCCCGGCCGCGATTGTCGAGGGGGGTTTTCTGAACTTAACCGCGATGCGGTTTCTGTGCAAGGGGATCTGCGACTATGGATGTGTCAGAGTTGAAATCGACAAAGTTGAAATAATTTGCCATGCATAAAATGGATGCCAGCTGGAACCCAGTTTCCAAGTGGCGCATGACAAATTTCGGCGGTCCCTAAATCCAGTTTGTCATGCTGTTTAGGCAAAGAAGAGCGATTTTCTGATGCTACTTTAGCAGCTCGAGCTGTAACCCCAAACAGGCTTACAATCGGCCTCACTTGCCTTGTCTGCAACACACGCGCCTCGGGTCATGCATTTTATGCATTACAGATTATTTCAACTTTGACGATTTCAAACCTGACGCTTCCATAGCGACGTAGACGAGTTTATCCCCGTCTTTCGTCCCACCATGCACCTGGGCATGTGGCGGCTTATGAACTGCAAAAGTATCGTATTTGTACTAATTGCAATCATGCATGACAAGTCTTGGCCTTAAGGTAAAGCAGCATGACAAATTCCAGTTTTCATGCTGAGCAAATTTGTAATGCAATTTAGACTAGTACGATTGCGATACTTTTGCAATGCATACGGCTCCGCCCGGACCAGTGCCCCAACAACTGCACGGGGAAGGGCGTTTTATCGTATTGAAAATCGTCCCCACCCCATAGTTGTAATGCAACTCTGCATGCTGAAAATGTTTCTCATGCGGAGCCCAATGAGAAGCATTTTCTAGTCGTGATTTGGAATTTGCCATGCTCCAATCAGCATGATATACCAGATCTGTGATGCTTCTGAACTACCTCAATAAACAGCACTACACTACGAGTCCAAATTTGTGATGCAAAACAGCCAAAGCTTGTGGATTTGTCTAGCCGATTCCCCATTTTGACTATGGGGTGGGGGCATTTTTCGTTGTAATACGTTTGCGAGTTTTCCCACTGCGTCTGCGAAAATGGGTGGACGGGGCCGGACTGCTCCTTACCGATGTGCCCCGGATCGCCCTGCTACACGGATCCGAACTCGATGGAATATCACTGCATTGAGTGTTCCGGGCGGGGTCAGTGCGTCACGGACGACGTTCGCTATGGGGTCTCGCACCCCAACATACCCGCAGGCATCAAAAACGCCTACGCGCTTGGAGGTGCGGCAGCATTGAAGGACACGGTAGTACGAAGGTGCGATATGAAAGTGGACAACTTGTTCCCCTCCCCCTCGTTTGTGGTAATGCAAAATACCAATTCCACGTACACGTTTGCCACTTGCGTTGAACAAGCACTGTTCGCATCACAAATTTCGAAATAACCTGAAATAGTGCTACATTCCATGTGTAGAAGATTTCTTCGTTATGTTGTGGGCGCAGGCCCATTTCTGTCGTTGCTTGTGTTGACTCGTTCGTGCACAATTACAAATGAGGGGCAGAAGGGGGAGTTGTGCACTGTTAGACGCGAGTGTGACACGGGATGGACGGGCGAGGACTGCAGTCTGGCGGCGTGCTTCAAAAATTGCAGCTCCACCCCGACAGAGCACCGGGGAACCTGCTGGAATGAGTTTCCGGCCGAGCAGTGCATCTGCGTGCAGGGCTACGAGGGGAGCTACTGCGAGCGGAAATTGTGTCTGAACAAGTGCTCCGGCAACGGGGTGTGCGTCGACGGGGAGTGTGTATCACAAGAAAAAAGTGTTAATACAGTTACACATTGTGTTGCAGGCCAAGCAAGACAGACAAGCTCTGTCATGCCGGATATGCATAGGAGCCTCGTTTCATACGTGTTTTCCCCTAGGATTTCTGCATTACAAGTTTTCTCTCTCATGCAGAGAAATTTGTGTTGCTGAATTCACTACAAAAACAAATATGTAACTGTAACACTTTTTTCGTGGGATAGTGTGTCTGCGACATGTACTGGGTCGGTCCGGATTGCTCGGTGCTGACCTTTTCGCCCGGGCGGAGTACGCAAACCGTCGACGTCGAGGGCGGAAGCGGGCTGGGGAAAATGTACGCATCAGTCGATGCAGCTGCGTCGACCATGGCTACTAGTAGGCGGATACTGTAGCCTGCATGCGCCGGTTGTTGTACTAGGAGAGAAATAATATTGAAGCGATTGTACTAGAGATCCACGTAACTTAGAAATCCTCACCGATGTTTGTAATTTTCACACGAACTAGCAGTAGTGTAGGCTCCTTGTTTTTGTTGTACATTTAATTGGTCAAAAGCCTGTCTTTGATGCTTTGTCTATCGCACTAAAGATGCGGAGGTGAAACAGAATATAGACAGCTGAGCTTTGAACTATTCCTTGGATTCTGATATGAGCATAAGTGGAATCTAATATCAACCGTTAGGAATGGAGCACGTGGAATCTATTCTTGCACAAAGATCTACTACTGCCGGGGAAGATGCAAAGATGAAACCTATCCCAGAGCATGCGGAAAAAATTCGAAACGAAAGAGCTTACCTACACCTTTCACGCAGCCGCTCCGCTGGTGCAAAGCAATGAAGTCTTCCAATTCGAATTCGAAATGAATCAGATAAAGATCTTCAGCAGATGAATGGCGAAAGTAAAGCAATGAATCTTCATGTGGTGCTCAAAAGCTGGACTGCTCTTCTTCCACATCTCCGAACAACAACAAAGCCAGGCATCGTAAGAAGGACGCCAGGCGTGGTCCTCTGTACCAGTGATATAGATTTTGATATTCCTCATGTAAGTACACTGATCGTATTTCTATATTCTAATATTTTCACGTTCGTTATCGTTATCCTTATCGTTTTCGTTTACATTTCGTTTACTCTTTTGAGTGGTTTTACCTCAAACATATTTGTACCAATTTGTTCTCGATTAATACCTAAACTTGGTTCATCTGGTCCTGAAGCTAAAAACCATTTCCGACGATGTTGCTTCGCTGCCTCTCTACCTCTCTTGCAGCCACTTCTGTTGCGCAAGCCGGAGCGGTGCGTTTGACGTCGCGTGGATTCATCGCCCCGGGGGATGCACAGCTGGCGCCGCCGGCCCCGTTCGACGACCCGGATGCAGCAGCTCATGCGGACGCAGAGGGCCACGAGCCGGTCTTTGCCCACGACTTCTCTCCGGACGGGAAAATGGCCCCGTTGCCGGCCGATTGGTATTCTCCGGACGCGAAGCTGGCGCCACGACTCCTGCCGGCCCGCGACTGGTATTCTCCGGACGCGAAGCTAGCGCCGCTGTCGCATCCGGTCGACAATGCATTTATTCCGGGCGACCTGCCAGGCGGCTCTGATGTTGTGCACCGAGGAGGACCACAGGGCCCCGACGCCCCGTTCTTGTTGCGCCCACTAGCCGGGACGACCAACGTCAACGAGCGAGATCAGATGCTTCAACCACGAGGACCGGCGCAGCAGCAGCAGCACAGTGAAGATCAACAACACCCAGCACCGGAGGTTGTTCTTGACAGGTTCGCGGATCATTTGTGGCGACAGTTTTCTCCGAGCGACAGTGAGCAGTCGGGGGCTTTTAGCACCTGCTCCGGAACCATGCGCCGCCTGGTTTCTCAAGACATCATCGACGACCATCGCCTGCTGATGGACGAGGACTATTTGCGGCAGCTTGACCAATTGGACGAAGGGATGAAGAGAATGTCCTTGTATAGTTCAGCGAAGAAATCTTCGTCATCCAACGGCTCCGCCTTCTCGGAAGGGTTCCTTGCAACATCTCCGAAGAAAGAACAAGAAGAGGACCACGAGGAGCTGGCGGCGTGCAAGATCAGCAAAAAACAGGACGATGTGAACTACCCGCTACAAAGTAATAAAACCACGACAGCTACTACCAGTAACGACGGCGCATCATCTTCTCGCGCAAAGCTACCGATTTTGTATCACAGGAAAAAGTGTTAACGTTAACGAAATTTGTGATGCAGTAATGCACCACAAAAGCCAAAACTTGTGTTTGTCATGCGTAGCATGCATGCTAAGAATTTGTCATGCATATTTGCAATCTATGAAAACCGTTAACGTTTGACAGTTTTTTGTTTGATATTGTGAACACAGCGAACAGCCTTTTCTCCGACAGTCTGTGTAGTACTTCCATAGTAGATCAGATGAAGAAAGATATGTGCGAAAACCTTACTCCCGCCAATTTTCGCGACATCAACGACATTTGGGTTCCTTGGTGCCGCCAACTTGCACCAGCACAGGAGGACCTCGAGTACTAGCCTCTGCACTGGAAAAATGAGATACTTACTTGGGGACATCAAGCACAACGAACTTTACGCATCCAGCCGCGGATAACGAACCACAAAACGCGAAAAAACGTACAACATCGGCGTCTCTGCTCTTTAGACAAAAGTATTGAAGAGCTTGCAGGAGTGGTGTGATGTGTGAAAATAGATGTATGATGTGCTCTCTTGTTTCAATTTCATCACTTCTCCAGATGACAGATAAGCCTGAACTTTATGATGTCGAGACAGTCCTCCAGCTCCATATGCGGGAGCAGGGACTGCGCCTTTATTGATTTTGGGCATGCAAAGCGATAGCTCTCATTTGAGTCGTATTACTTTTTGGCCATAGTACGGATACCCATTTACTTTTACAACTTTAATAGATCTTCAGCAGAATGGCGAAAGTAAAGCAATGAATCTTCATCCGCTCAAAAGCTTGGACTGCTCTTGATGTTCCACATCTTCGACCAACAACAAAAGCCAGTTGAAGTTGGCTCTTCCACCTACCAAGTTAGCATTCAAATGAGTATCAGGATGCACTTGCATGTAATACAGTGCCCGCGCCCGGTCGGTCTTTGCGCTCGTGGTCAAGATGGGAGGTGCTTCTTTTTTGACACTCAGGCGAGGAACTCGGTTCATACGACCACGACGTTGCAGCTGAATATTCATCGGTGCAGTGGAAGATGACAATAAGCATTCTGTATCCAATTTTACATCGGATAATAGATAATGCCTTTCCCAAGATCGCACGTGACGTGCGGTTGATGTTGAAATAGCTCGGTTTCTTGGCCTAGTGGTCTGATGATGTCCACTACTGCTCTGCTTCTCTGTGATTCTGCGCTTTCGAAGAAGTGCGTCGGTTGAAGGCGCAGTAGCTGCTGGTGCGACTCCGCCGTGTGTACTTATCGAAGAAGCAGCCGTCCTGCTTATCTGTCCTGCTGCTTTATTTTCCTCTGCCAGAACTATTAAAACTCTCGGTCATAAACTCGCAGTTTGCGGCGCTAAAAAACTAGAGATGATTGTTGTCGGTCTTGAAGATTTTTAGAGCCTAGTGACCCGCCGCCGTGAAGGGGACTCTGTGCTCTACTTTTTCCACTACTACCTCCACTCGACTATAATTCCGGCACAGAGTAGAGATCGGCGCAGTTTTCTACTTTATCCCAAGAAAAATAACACTTTCAAGTACAAGTAGGAAGCACTTAGTGTTGGTTACTGCACGTATGTATTTTTCATCAAGCGATTGAATGGAGTTCTACTCTTCAACAATCTTTCAAGAAGTCAATACAGTAGATTGAAGAAAAAATTTAAGTTACCTTTATTTACCTGCATTTATTTTCTTCTGCAAGAAAAGCAAATGAAGAGCACCAAAAACGACGACCTGAAGATGAACGACGCCTACAACTTCGGAACAAGCCCCTCAAGGACAAGGAGGATGATCTCTCTCGCTTCTGTTCCCCTGGCCGCGTTTTTCCTCTCGACGAGAGAAACGTGTGGCATGGTGTTTTTAATGCAGCACGAGGGCCAGCGGCAAGTTGATGTTGAATTGGAAGAAGAAGGAGAACAAGGGGAACAGGAACTCGTCCTATATCATAAATCTTCACAACGACTTCCTCATCATCTTGAGGATCGCCAGCGTACTCACGGTCCTGTTGTACCGCTGGACCTCCAGAATAGTACAACAGACGTCAACATTTTTGGTACTACAACCGACATTACCTCCCTGAGCTCTTTCGACGAGAGAAGAACTGGAAGCCACGAAGTAGAGGACCAGCTTGGTGCTATTCGGACGAGCGAAGTGCACTACGCTTTCCTCCAAAAATTTTCACGACGGACGAAGAAAATGAAAGAGAAGACAACCACGACGTCGACCCAGAAGATGGAGCAGCAGCACCACCACCACCAGCAACAGCTGATGTCGATGCTGCAATTGCAAAAAAAACAAAAGCCCGCCTGGACGATCATTGGGAAGATCGTCTTGGGAACTGTTGCTGGCAAGGTGGCTGTGGACACCCTGAAGGACATTGCGACGGCACCTACTTGGGGAGACACGAATATTGTCAAAAGTGTGCGCTCTATGCGATCCGCGATCGCCTGGCTCTGGTGGGGCAACAAGGCCCGGCGGTTGCTGCGGTCGCGGGGGGAGGCGTTCACGGAACAGAAACGTAGGGAGCTGCTGACCAAAATGCAAGCAGTCTGGAGCAATTTCACTGATCAAGTGGTTACCGTCTCTGGGGGGGAAAAGCTACAAGACTTGGAAGCGGTCGGAGATGCCACTGAGAAGAGAGAAAATTTTGCCGACCGGATATCAAAGTGAAAAAAGCCCCCACCCCATATCGGAAACGGAAGATGCGCGAATTTGTGATGCTGTATTTGAGTACACAAATCGACTTGTATTGCTAGAAGTCCAAGAGACGAAGCTGCGGCCTAAATTGCAGGCAATCTGTCATGCTGTTTCCCACTTTCAGTTGCCTCCTGTTATCCTGGAGCTGCAAGGCTTTCCCACGCTAGGCAGCACTACAGTCCGCATCTTTTGCCTTCTAGCGTCACAAAGTTGATCTGTGACAACAAATCTGCATCACAGATTTCCGTTTTGATATGGGGAGGGGGCATTTTTCATTGTAATATCGGATGAAAACGGCGGTGGAGCGGATTGGAGAGGGTAATAATTCTCCCGACTTGTATCAAATGCAAAAATGTCTGGGTCTGGAAACTTCTGATGCTAAAATGTGCAGGATGAAGACACTTCCGAATGCAGTCCGGCATGACAACTTCCCAAAACGCTTTCTCATAGGCAATCCGCATGAGAAACTGCGTTTTTGCATGACAAAAGAGGCTGCGACTTTTGTTGGTTATGCAATACAGATTTTCTAGGTATGGAAAGCTAGCATTACAAGTTCCAACCTTCCAGACCCAGACATTTTTACAATCCATAACTTGAACGCAACTACAACTGTTAGTGCAGCTCCCGTAGCAGGGGTTACGCCCGACCTCGCGCATTGGTCCCAGGTTGACCAGGAAGCTAGCCTAAAAACGCGGGACATGATTGCAGTCATGGTGAAAGGAGAATCCTTATGAACTGCAAAAGTATCGTACTCATATAAATGCATTACAAATCTTCATTTCCTCGTCAGTAAAAATTGTAACGCGGATTTACCTTTGAGAGAAAGATAAAGATTTGTAATGCATGATTGCAATACGTATACGAGTGCGATACTTTTGCACAGGATAATCCTTTCCGCTTGTCTGCGAAGTTATGATCGTAGAAAGCGACAAGGTCATGCTGTACCACTATCATTTGTAAAAACGTTTCCACCCACCCCCAGAGTTGTCATGCAAATCTGCATGCTGAAAATATTTCTCGTGCGGAGCCCCATGAGGGACATTTTCTAGTTTTGTTTCGGAATTTGTCATGCTCCAATCAGCATGATGTGCTAAATCTGTGAAGACGCTGCTTAACTAGCTAAACAGCATTACACTACGAGGCCAAACTTGTCATGCATAACTCCCAAAACTTGGAGATTTGTGTTGCAACTTTACCAACCTGACTGTGGGGTGGGGACGTTTTTCCTCAGGATAACCACCCGCAGCCCGTACTGGATCGGCGGCAGAAGCGTGACATGTGCACCGACTATCAAATGCAAAAATGTCTGGGTCTGGAAGATGCAGATTTGTCACGCATATTTTTCATGCCCCATGAGCAGGTCTGTAATGCAGGACTTAGCATGACAGAGTCTGTGAGGTCTCATCTGCCATGCCTCTCCTGCATGAGAATCTCCCTCCCAACTTGATCGAAAGGGGGGATAGCTTTTGGCACTCATGCAACACAGATTTTTGCATCATTCGGATTCAGCATCACAAGTTGCAATCTTCCAGACCCAGACACTTTTGCAATCCATACCGACCTGCAGAAAGCTATCCCCATCGCTGACCTTCACTATTTGAAGCTGCCGCCCTCTTTTCGTGTATCAAATGTAAAAACGTCTGGGTCGGGAAGAATGCAAGTTTGTCATGCTTGTCTGGCATGATTCGAGAATCTATGTTGCATAGGCAACAAAAGGCCCTATTGCCGTTCATGCGAAAACGCAGTTTGCCATGCGGAATACGTAAGACATGGGAGCCAAAAAATTTGTCATGCATAGCTGCGTATTGCAGTGCGTCTATCATTCACTTTTAGCATTACAAGTTTCCAGACCCTGGCATTTTTGCACATGATATCGTGTGGTGCAGCGCCAAACCTCGGATATGTTTATTTTCAAGCCTTTCGACGACGGACCTTTGGGCACAAACGAAAACGGAAAGATTTTTGAGCGCGAGCAGAACCATAAAGACCTCTCCACCCTCTATCAAATGAAAAAGTGTCTGGGTCTGGAAGAAGATTGCGAGATTTGTCATGCTTGTCTGGCATGACCAAAAAGTTTGTAGATGCGTGTCCAAGAAGAGACCCTTTTGCCTGTCATGCAAAAAGAGAAACGCAGTCTGTCATGCGCAAAATGCAACACAAAGAAGCGCAGACATTTCTCATGCTTGCCTGTGCAACATACCAGAGCACTCACTATTTTTCCCAACGCAGCATTACAAGTTTCCAGACCCAGAGACATTTTTACATTTGATGCCCTCCGATCTTACACAAAACAGCACGGACTGGATAGTGTCCCCTTTCGCTGTCAGCTGAACCTGAAAGTGAGCGAAACGCTGCTCTCCATGCACGAGAAACTCATTGAAGGCTTGTATGACGAACAGAAGCTGCAGCTGCAGGTGGTCGAAGAGGAAGTGCAGAAAGTCTTGCACGCTATGGAATCCGAAAATCGGTTTTTGAACTTTTTGAAGTCCGCCCCTCGGGCGGGGCGGCTGCGCAAGCTGCAAGTGCTGAAAAAGAAGATTCTCGCGCGCGACATTCCCAAACTTATGAAGCAAACGCGGCAGATGGCGAAGGAAATGGACCCCTTGTCGTTGCTGACAAAAGAAGACTATGAAGTGCAAAAGTATCGTACTCGTAGTAAGTGCAGTCATGCATTGCAAATCTTTTTCGTTAGGTAAATCCGCATGTTATTTCTCATGGTGAGAAAATTTGTAATGCATTTATACGAGTACACGATACTTTTGCACAGGATAAAGACGACGAAGGTCCTCGTGAAGATGACTCTGCCGGCGTAGTTGACTCTCGAAGTAGTGCCAGCGGGAGGAGCGATGTTGAAGGTATAATCGCTAGTACAAGAACCAGGAAAACGACATCAAGCAGCACCAATTTGCAGCCGGCAGCGCCGCAGCCGTACTATGAAATGTAAAAATGTCTGGGTCTGGAAGAATGCAAGTTTGTCATGCTTGTCTGGCATGACTCGAGAATCTGTCATGCACGTTACCCAAGAGCTCCACTTTTCTGTGATGCAGAAACGCAGTTTGTCATGCAGAATAGGCAACACTTAGAGGTGGCTCAGAAACTTGTCATGCAAAAAGCACTTGTGGCCTCATCATGAGACGCCACCCAGCATCACAAGTTCCCAGACCCAGACACTTTTAGTTACATTTGATACGTACATCCTGTTTCCGATTCAGCCCAACGGCACGGCTTTTTTTCCCCGCATGTTCCACAATGCGGGGGGCGGTAGTGAGGCCGGGGCAGTCGAGTTGATAATCGAGGAAGAGGAAAAGTCGTTCATTATCCTGAGTAAAAGTGTCCCCATGCCAGAGTCAAGATGGGAAATCTGCTAGACAAATCAACCAGCTATGGTTGTTTCGCATGACAAGTTTGTCCTGGTAGTGTAGTCCTGTTTAGCTAGTTCCGAAGCATCACAGATCTAGCATATCGTGCTGATTATAGCATCACAAATTCCAAAACACGACTAGGAAACGGCTCTCATGACGCTCCGCATGAGAAACTTTTTTGGCATGCAGATTTGCATGACAGCTCTGGCGTGGTGACATTTTTACTCAGAATATTCATCGCTCCCTTCGCCGCATCGTTGCACTCGGTCCAAGCATATGAACTGCAAAACAAGTATCGTACTCGTTGTATAAATGCATTACAACTTATTTCCTCAGCATGAGTAGAGATAAAAATTGTAATGCAAATGCCGATTTACGTTTTTAAAAAAAACATTGCATGATTGCTATACGAATGCGAAACATTTTTGCACAGGATAAAGGACTCGCTGCCACCTTCCTGCGGCAGGGCGGGTTGGGAACAGCAACAGGAAAAACAACAGAATTATCCTCGGCCGGGGATACTACAACTCCTGCTTCGAATGTTTCGCCGAATCCAAATCCTGCGAATGGTTCTACCTATTTCCGGTCTCTGGACCCTAGTAAACCGCTCCCCACTCTCGTGCGACTTGCAGATGAGGACCGCGACGCTCGTGGTCTTGTTGTATCGGATCAAGCCCGGGAACAAAAAATGCTGCAGCTGCTGACGGCCACCGCACAAAAAACCTATGGAAGCGTCAGGTTTGAAATCGACATAGTTGAAATGATTTGTCATGCATAAAATGGATACTAGTTGGAAGACCAATTTCCAAGCGGCGCATGACAAATTTACGAAGCGCCGGAATCCAATTTGTCATGCTGTTTGGGCACAGAAGACTGCTTCTGTCGTGCTCCTTTAGATAGCAGCTCTGTCCCAAACCCTAAATAGGCTCACAATCTGCCTCACTTGCCATCCCGGCAAGACAGGCACTTCATGCCTTGCATTTTATGCACGGGTGTCTATTGTCTATTGCATTTTATGCATGACAATGCGACGATTTCAATCCTGACAGATCCATAAAACCTTCGAAGTCGGTATCTCCTATTTCCTGGGCACGGGGACGGGGACGACGTCGCCAGGGGTGGTCCCCTTGCAACAACAAGAACAAACCACGAGGACCTCCGACGAGGTTCTTTCGCGGCAGGTGCAATTTCTAGCTGAGGAAGAGAAGTGGAACTTCTTGCTATCCACAGTAAATTTCCCGTACACGTACAGATGCGGTTTCTGCATGACAAAACTTGGTCTCGATCCAAGTTTAACATGACAAGTTTTACGTTCCAAACTGGTGAAATTTGTGATGCATGTTGTACATGTGCGGGAAATTTGTATTGCATACTTGCAAACCAGCGGGTATGACGTGATGAGTACGATCCCAGGTTTTGGCACGGACAAGGCTGAGCTTCGCATTGCCGATGTTCTCACTACTATCCAGGAAAAAAACTGTGTAAGTGTAACTTTGTAGGAAAAGCAGCATCACAAGTTCGCTTTCGCTTTGCATTACAGGAAAAACCTGTCATGCGCAGCTAGTATCATCGGAAACGCGTATAAAAGTTGCCTATGACGCAAATCCAGCATGACAATTGATAACTGTTTTACATAATTCTGCATCACAGATTTACACTTACGCAGGTTTTTTCTTGCATAACCACGTTGCCCGGCAGCGCGGAGGTGGAGGTTGACACCACAGTATCATGTGCAAAAGTATCGTACTCGTAGGTACTAATTGCAAATATGCATGACAAATCTTCTTCCTAAGGTGAAACAGCATCACAAATTGCATTTGTCACCCAGAGCATCAAGTTTTTTGTAAATGCAATTTGTACAAGTGCGATGCTTTTGCATTGCATACACAGGAGCGGAGAACAACAAAAAAAACAACGCTCCGGATGTTACCGAAAAAAGCTCGACGCTTCAAAAAACCGAAGGTGATGAGACTGCTTTAGCTTTGCCGACAAGAATGGCCGCGCATGAGACCACTCCTGTGGCTTATTTGCCGACGAGAAGGGGGGCCGCAGTGCTGTCAACAACAAGAACACACGACCAGATTGAGACTGATCAAGCAACCACGCTTCTGCAGGTGCACCGTTTTCGGCAAGGTCTTGCAGATGGGGGCTTGACCCTGGGCGCTGTAGTGGTTTGCGCCGTGAAGATGTTTTTTTTGTATACGATTTTATGCGAGTGCACAAATCGTCCCTCATTTGTATGCCACGACCAGCAAGACAAATGCCAGCGCACGTCGTGTATGCCGTCGTGCATAGTTCATGCGCCTTCTACGGGGGTACTGTTAGTTTTGGCCTCCAGAATTTGCCTTGCAAACAGTGTACAAGGCAGTGGCAGCATGTCATGTGGATTTAGTATTTTGCATGACAACATAGCATGGATTTGGATATGAGGGCGAGAGGGGGACGGGTATGGGATTCTCAATTGTTACATTCTCAACTGTTACATGATTTGTCATGCAAATTTGCCACCAAGCTCGCCACCATTAAGCTGCTTCGCATGACAAATCTCCGAAAGGGCTAAATAACATGTAAATCTGTGCCAAATCTGTAATGCAAGAGGCGCAAGCTTCCCCCATTCGTTTTTCTTTTTGCCGTTCTTGCATTACAAATTCATGTAACAGTTGAGAATGTAACATTTGAGAACGCCATAACGGGTTGTGCACTCTTATAGATTCTCGGGCTTTTTCAGGTTCTGCTACCTGTTGGGATTGGCCTTGTTTTTCTTGGCTTGTGTGTTTATTCAACATAAAAAATATTTTTTGAGATCATGGGCTGACTCTATCCTCAACAAACAAACAAACCACTTATGAAGCTGGTCATCTCCGGACATGTTGGCAGCTTCGTCTTTGCTTACTAGTGCTACTTCAAGAAGAAAAGGACAATATGAAAGTGCACAACTCATCCTCCCGGCCCTCATTTGTATTGACACATGAGCAGCAATACGAGCCCGAGCGTCGGCAAGAATGCGGGTTTTCCATGACAAGTTTACCCAGTATTGTAGTGCTGTTTGATCTACCAGAACCTGTCATGCAAGAGGTGCCAAGAGGCATCAAAGGGTGGATTTGATGTTTTGTATGACAGAAGATGAGGGGGACGAGGGGGAGTTGTGCGCACTCATAGACAACAACGTGGCCAAGCTAGTCCTCTCGGACTTAGGCCAGCGATATTTGGGAACAAAGCGAAAATTAGAATATCTCTTCTTCACTGCGTAACTTGCCTGCTGATTAATATTGCGTAAATTAAGTACCTCAGGGCTTTTCTTTCTGAGAAAAGGAACGACCGGAGCTGTGATCATTTTTATTTCATCGTCTACTACTAACTCATACTTAAAATAGATTTGCCTTGTACTTAATTTTTTCTCAACAACTACTCTTCTTAATAATGATAAATAAGTCGTGAGGACGAGATGATCATCATCGTTCACCCCAATTTTGGCTAGTACGAAGATTCGGACAAGCATAAGCAATGCACGCGCCGTCTCGTCGCCGGGCTCGCTGCTCGGTGCCTTGTGGTGGAGGTGGATGTTTTGCTGGTCAACAATTTTGTCGAGCTCTTTCCAAAGAATATAGAAACTACAGATGGCGGGAAAAGAGAAATTGAAGCATATTAACTTTAACGAAGTGTAGCAAAACCAAAATGGAATGAAGTCTGGTAGGGAAGAACAAGCACACTTTCTCGCCCTGTGCGCAGTGTGAAGGGCCCCCCCGCAGGCGGGATCCCCAGCGGGCGAAAGGGCGGGAGGCGGGCCCACCCTGCTTTCCCCGATGGTATGCTCGACGCAAAAATAGTGCCGCTCTTCGTAGCGGCGTGATTACAATTCTGGGCCTCAGCGCGTGTCGGTCTCTGTATTTTTCAAAATTAATCGGTATCTACAGCTACAACTTCTACGCGGTTTCTTCGGTTTTTGCGTGAGTGCAACTCGTCCACCACTTCCACTAATGCAAGAACTACTCGTCGACTTCTACTATTGCAAAATATGATTTCCACTTGACTTCTACTAGTGCTGCAAGAACTCGTCGTCCACTCTTTTTACTGTCTGAGTCGGTCACCCCTTCCGTCGAGGGGTTCTTGTCAGAAATCCTGATAGGACTAGGATCGAGATCGGTGCATCCAAAGAAAAGACTTTATGCCAAAGATGTTGACGTCAGTCTTGATCGGTCGGCCGCCGTGCGTTTTGGTCTGTCTCATCGTTTTTATATAAGTTGGTCGCGGTGCTGGAACACTCACATAACATATTATGGATATCGCGCATGGAGGAAAACAAGGCGAAATAACTTTGTCGCGATATTATGTTTAACAAGTGATATTTCTATTTGGACAGAGCTTCAACTTGTTCTTGCGCGTCCAACTACATTTGTGACGCGACGAGGACATCACCTTCCCTTTAATTCTTCAAGTATCCCGATAATTTGAATTTCTTTTTTAAGTATATTTATGAATTTTAGTTTTACCACTTGACGAGGCACCTCCCCCCGCCTAGGAGAAAGATCGACACTTTGAATCATGATTTGACTTCCTACTTTCTGCCCCCCCGGCTGCTCGATTGATCATGAAGATCAGCACAGCGATGGAGCAATCTTCATCAAGAGCCGCGACCTAGCTGCTGTAAGTACTCGGGGGCGAGTTTTTCCACAGGGTGCTCCACAGATTCATCAACCACCACGACTCACCTCTCGGCCCGTTGAATATCTACACCGCGAAGAAGGCGCTGCTGAGTCATTTCATAACGGTATACTTCCAACTTTGTAGTTGTTCTGCAGCGTGTTTATAGTACCTAGTATTGCTATTTTGGAGGTCCAGGTCGGGGTTGTTTTCTTATGCGGATCTTCGAAGATTGAACTTGAATTTTGTGCAAGAAATTCTTGTCGCGCCTCATGATTGATGCACTGCCCCACGCAATGAAATTTCGTACATGAAAACCAAACCAGGCCTACTTGTCGTCGACGGGAGCCAAGACAAAATAATCAAAAAGCTGCAGCAGAACTTCAACTTTATCGATGGAGGTTCGACCTCCTCCGTTTATTCTTCAGGGCCCTGGGCGCGGCTTTCCCAGATGCAGAGCGTCTAAGTCTATCGACAGTGGGAATAAAAATGCAGGCCTTAGTGAGGACAGGAGATTTTTGCGCACACACCACGACGAGCACTCCAGCGGTCGAAGACTGGTATCATGCGGGAGAAGTGGGCGGGTCTTGGTCCTTTTCTGTTTGTTCGCGATCAACATGTTGTTGCTGCTGGGTCGTACTGCTTCTACATGTGGCGTACTTCATCTCTTCTTGGCCAGGGCGCTCGAGCTCCTGGGAGGCGGTGTTAATAATGCCGGTACTATTTTTACCACGATTACCAGCACCTCGGCCTCCAACACAACGCTCTACTCCGGCTGCGGCTTATTCGTTGCTGCAGAGCTGATGGAACTGCGGAGGAAGGAGGGTCAGGAGACTGAAAACGACTCACCCGAGGCAGATGCTGGGATGATTAGTAGTATTGAGAACACAATTTCCTCCGACGACTCCGACGAGCCGGAGCCGGAGGCGGAGCCGCGCACGCCTAGGTTAATATCCTTATCGTCCTCGCCAAACGAAAAATCTGATGCGCAGGGGGGCCGTGCGTTCCTGCAGACGCAAGACGTACCTCGCAGTAGAATCTTCGCGGACCAGCCGCATTCGTCGAACCTCCGCCGTGAGGACGAAGCATCGTATACTCGCCCATTTGAGGGCACCAGGAACGTCGACCCTGAAGGAGCAGTCGTGTCTTTTGCACGCGAGAAGGAGGCAGAACTACATGATTTACCAGCAGACGATAACGGGCCGATGTTGGAGTTGTACCTCGGACACTCAGCCGATTTATCAAATGTAAAAATGTCTGGGTCTGGAAGATTGGGATTGCAACTTGTCATGCTGAAGCCGAATCATGCAAAAATCTGTGTTGCATGACTACCAAAAGCTGCCCAGTTTCGACCAAGTTGGGAGGGAGTTTCTCATGCAGGATAGGCATGACAGAGACCTCGCGGACTCTGTCATGCTAGGTCCCGCATTCCAGACCAGACCTCATGGGTCATGGAAAATAACCTGCATGACAAGTTTAACACTCTTCCAGACCCAGACATTTTTACACTTGATACGATTATGACGAGGACGATGATCAGCAGGTTGATCAGAGTGAGCAGCAGGAGGTGCTGGCGCATGTCTACTCGACGTCACTCTCGGGGAAGATACTGGAAACGGAGCAAGTGCTATCCAAGAAAAAAACATTGTAGGTGTAACTTTTTTGGAGGAACAGCATTACAAATCTGTCTGGCATGAGAGCAAAAACCTGTCATGCGCAGATAGTACGTGAAAACGCCCTGTGATGGACCCTACAATGCATGCCAAGCATGACAGACGCAATCATCTTGCATGTTGCGCATCACAAATTTACACTAACAACGTTTTTCTCTTGGATAAGTGCAGAGCAGTGCGCTGCAGCGAGGACTGTCCCCCTTCTACGACGACGACTTCGATTACGGAAGTCCGGAGGATTATGGAAGCGTCAGGTTTGAAATCGTCAAAGTTGAAATAATTTGTAATGCATGAAATGCATGACCCGAGGCGCGTGTGTTGCAGAGCAGGCAAGTGAGGCCGATTGTAAGCCTGGTTGGGGGTTACAGCTCGAGCTGCTAAAGTAGCATGAGAAAACCACTCTTCTTTGCCTAAACAGCATGACAAACTGGATTTAGGGACCGCCGAAATTTGTCATGCGCCACTTGAAAACTGGGCTCCAACTGGCATCGATTTTATGCATGACAAATTATTTCAACTTTGTCGATTTCAACTCTGACACATCCATAAGGATATGGACATGGAGTTTGCCGCTGCGTTCGGTAGACCGTACGAGCAAGCTCGGGACGACCTTTTAGCCCTGAAAAGGCGCGAGGAAGAACAAGAGCGAGAACGGGAGGAAGCCGAAGCCCGTCGCCAAGCTGAACGCTTTCGTCGCATCCAGGAACAGCAACAAAAAACTTTGGACGACACAAATTCCGAGAGCGACGTGCTGCAAAACGATGAAATCATCCCGCTTGCAGTGGCGAAAATGTTGCAGGGAGAAGGAACATTTGCTGCAACAACTGACTTGCAGTGCCCAGTAGAAGCTCAAGCTCCTGATGGAAAGAAGCAGGAAATAAATCAGCAGTGCCTAGCTGCTGGGAAAAGAGAAGTAAAAGCCGAAGAGGTTGTAGCTTGGTACCAGTCCAGCTCCTTCTTCGGCGGGGTTGCGAAAAATTTTTGGGAAGGAGTGAAGCGGCGGATTCTATCAAATGCAAAAATGTCTGGGTCTGGAAGAATTGGAACTTGTCATGCAATTTCTGGAATAGGCAAAAATTTGTATTGCATAGGCACCAAAAGCTTTCCACTTCGTGCTACGCAAATAGGGAATTATTTCTCATGCGGGATAGACATCAGGAGGCCTGGGCAAAACCTGTAATGCTTTTGCGTGCACTAGAGACCAGTTCGTTGCGTGATCCAGAACATGCATGACAAACTCCTGGAATCTTCCGGACCCAGACACTTTTGCATGTGATAGATTCCGGACTTGCGCAACATCTTCCGGTCCCTGCTCGAGAAGTATGAAAGCCTCAGGTTGGAAATCCTCAAAGTGGAAATAATTTGTAATGCAAAAAAACGACTCCAATAGAAGCGCCGTTTGTAGTCGGCGCATGACACAGTTCCCGGGCCCTTCAAGCATGTCTGTCATGCAGGTTAAGGCAAAGGGGTGCCCTTCTCTCGTGCTAAGCAACACTCCAACTCTTCACCCCTAGCAGGACAAGAGTCGGTCTCCATTGTGTCCTCTGCAATGCAGTCTTTTTTGCCTTGCATTTCATGCATCACAAATTCTTTCCACTTTGAGGATTTCCAACCTGAGGCTTTTATAAGAAGGCGACTTGGCTGAAAGACAAAGTGAAGGATGCGGGCTCTAGCTTTTCGAAGTTCATTGCCAAGCTGGCGTTTGGTGAGTTGAGTTTCAAGCGTATGTTCCGGGTGCTGACCGACCGCTTGGCGCAGACCGCCAGTTTGAGCCTTGGCGTCGCGGCGCAGGCAACCCTGTTTCGGTTTGTTCCAGGGGTTGCGGTGCCCATCGGCGACTACCTGCACGGCACCGTGAAGAAAATGGTCGAAAAGTTCATGAACGGGGAGCCTTTTACTTTTTTGCGCGAGTTATTTCAGAACATCGTGGGCAAAGGGCTTGTGGGATCCATTGTGCCCTTCTTGGTGCGGTCTGCGCTCTCGCAGGTCTGGGCGCTTGTTTCCGGCGCTTTTTCGAAAGCTGTCGAACTGCTCGGCGAGGCCGGCAAACTTGTCTCGTGGGGCATAAAGGCCACGGGTGAGCAACTCAAGAAGCTTGTGACCCACGTGGCACACGGATTGGCGACGCTAGGCAAAGGGTTGCAAAGCATGGCCAAACGCCTCGCGACATTCCTTTCGCAAAAGCTCTTCAACTTCCTCGAGAACAAAACACCAAAAGCTGCACAGCCAGCAGTCGACAACATCACGATCACGTCACAACCTTCTACAAAAGTTGCAGCTTTACCACTTCCACCACAGAACGACCACATCAACGGCATACAGCAGAACCAGAACGACTCGGGTAATAAAGACGAGCACGAGCAGACGGACGATGAGAAGAGCGAAGCGGCCCTGCAACATGTGCTCGCCGACGTAGAAGGAAACGAGAAAGTGGATACCCTGGAAGTGGTATGAAAAGGAAAAATCCCCCCTCCCCATATCAAAAAGGAAATCTGTGATGCTGGAGTTGCGTACACAAATCAGATTTGTATTGCAGGAAGGCACTGCGACCAGATCCCCAGGCTAGCTAGGGGCGTATGGGTCTAGTTGTTCAGCATTGCAAACGGCTGACCTTTAGGCCCAACAGCATGACAAATCGCTTCCATAATGGGGCGGAAGCTTCTACCCTTGTCTTCATTCTTGCAACACAAATATGATTTGTGACCTCAAATCAGCAACGCACGTCTGGCCTACGGATATCATGGGGAACTAAGGCTCAAATCAGCAACGCAAATTTTCGGAAAGATACTTTTTCGATATGGGGAGGGGGGGATTTTTCCTCTCAATAAGTGGAAGCGGTGGAACTTTGGCAGGGAATGGACAAGCAGGTGGCGAAACTGGCAGAAGAAGTCTTCAAGAACGGTGTCAAACATGATCAAGAAGAGTATGCGAGTGTCAGGATCCAAATCAACAAAATCGAAAAACTTGTAATGCGTAAAATGTATGGCACGCAAGGCCTGTATTGCGGGGCAGGCAAATGAGGCCGATTGTGAGCCTGTTTAGGGGTATGGAACTGCTGCAAAAGTGGCTTGACAGGAGCAGCCTTCTTTGCGCAAACAGCATGACAGACTGGATTTGGGTGCTCCCGAAATTTGTCATGCGCCACTTGGAAACTGAGGCTCCAACTGACATCGAGTTTGTGCATCACAAATTTTTCGATTTTGTGAATTTCGATTCTGACACTTCCATAAAGAGAAGGCAGAAGGAGAAATGTTCATAAAGGCTTTGGCGCCCGAAGTCCCGGAGGAGGTCCCGGAAAAAGTAAAGAAGCCTTTTCTTGGACGCATCAAAGAGAAGGTCTGGGACTTTCTTGTCGGGGAGGAATCCACGTTGAGGAAAGCGATTGACAAGACGTGGGAAACGGGTTTGGATGTGCTCGGGTGGCTGTCTACGCATATGGCCCGCCTGTTTTCTATGGATGTGTCAGGTTTGAAATCGTCAAAGTTGAAGTAGTTTGTCATGCATAAAACGGATGGCAGTTAGACCTACAGTTTGTAGTCGGTGCATGACAAATTTTCCCGGTCCTGGAAAAGAGTCTGTCATGCGGTTTAGGGCAAAAGAGCTGCCTTCTGTCATGCTACTTAGCAGTCCAACTTTTGACCCTTGCCAGGACTATAATCTGCCTCCCGTGGGTCCTCTGCAATAGAGTCACTTTTTGTATCGCATTTTATGCATTACAAATTATTTCAACTTTGACGATTTTAGACCTGACGCTTCCATACTTTCCAGCGCGGTGTTCTATGCCATGCTGTTCAAATTGGCGGGGATCGTTTCCTATGAATTGCAAAAATGTCTGGGTCTGGAACATAGCAACTTGTCATGCTACATCTGAATCATACAGGAATCTCTGTTGCAAGAGTACCAAAAGCCGTCCATTTTTGACCCGGGTGAGAGGGAATTTCTCATGCAGAATAAGCAACATGATATACATAGATCTCACAGAATCTGTCATGCTAGGTCCTGCATTCCAGATCTCATGGGTCTTCATGGAAAAGCTGCATTACAAGTTGCGTATTCTTCCAGACCCAGACATTTTTACATTTGATATTTCCGACCTCTTGCTCAACGTGTTGCATCTCTTTCACCTGCCCCCTTGGCTAACTGGACGGGTGACCAACGATTTGGTGGAAACCGTGGTGGTGGTCCTCGGTGTCCAATTCCAAGACAAGATTACCGAACTGCTGCAACGTATGGAAGCGTCAGGTTTGAAATCGTCAAAGTTGAAATTACTATCTATTATATTCATGCGAAAATATTGGTCTAGAGAGGGTAAACGAGAGGTGGCAGGGAGGTCAAAAAGAGGTCAAAAGAGGTAAAAAAGAGGTCGACAGAGGTGGAGAGGTGGCGCGGGAGGTAATTCGAGAGGGTGGCCGAGAGGGGGCGCGAGTATAGCCCGCCGAACCGGTCACCCTTTAGGGCCGCTAAGCGGCACGGAGGTGGCCGAGAGGTAAAAAAGAGGGCAAGCGAGAGGTGGGCAGAGGTGCCGAGAGGTTGCGCGAATAAGGGGAGACCTCTCGCGCACCCTCTGGGCCACCTCTCGGCCACCTTTGTAGACCTCCACCGGCGAGTATAGCCGGATTATTAGCAACACCTCTCGGAAGAGGTGAAAAAGAGGGTCTGCGAGAGGGGTAGAAAAACCCGAATCCGCCCGGCACAGGGCTTATTTTTTTGCGGCCCTTTCATGCAAAAGCCCGAACCCTCTCGCGCCACCCTCTCGCGCCACCGTCTTGCGCCACCCTCTCGCGCCGACAGTTTTATTTCCCCGGGGAATCAGGTGGGCGGGTGCGGGGTGGTGATAAACAAAGAGCAGCGCCGGCCTCTGTCTGATTCTTTCGGCACGCACCTACGCCGGGGCGGCATCTCTTTCTCTTCGCCCGCAAGGTTTACTGCAGCTGCCCCCTGCGCATAGCGCCTAAAGGCGCGGGAAGCGCGCAGGAGGCCCTGCGAGTTGACCTCGCGCAAAATGGCGCTCAAAGTTTCCTCGGTCCTTCACGCTGTGCCCAAAGAAAGCTTTTGTGTCGCGGCCCGATCCGCAAATAGTCAAACCCCAGCACAACAGCCTTGCGCTCCGGCGTTAGCCGGAGCATGGCTGGTAATCTGTAATGCATAAAATGCATGACCCGAGGCACGTGTGTTGCAGAGCAGGCCAGTGAGGCCGATTGTAAGCCTGTTTGCGGTTACAGCTCGAGCTGCTGAAGTAGCATGAGAAAATCGCTCTTCTTTGCCTAAACAGCATGACAAACTGGATTTCGGCTCTACCCAAATTTGTCATGCGCCACTTGGAAACTGGGTTCCAACTGGCATCCATTTTATGCATGACAAATTATTTCAACTTTGTCGATTTCAACTCTGACACATCCATACAACGCGTACTCTATGACCACTTGCCCACTGTGGCTCAGAAATTTAAATTGTTCATGAAGTCTGGAGCAGAAAAGCTCCGGAGGTTGCTCGGCAGCGTATTGATGACTCTGCCTCATCAGACACTCGCATGGCTCAAGTCGAGTATCCACAGTAAATTTCCTGTACATGTACAAATGCGATTTCTGCATGACAAAACTTTCCTCAAATTCTATTCAGCATGGCAAGTGGCATGCTCCAAGTTGTTGGTGACATTTGTGATGCATTTTGTACATGTACAGGAAATTTGTATTGCATATCGAGGATAGTGAAGACCTGGACAAGTGCTTGGGGCAGGATCAGTGCGTTGTTCGGAAGGGGAACATATCCTGTGCAAAAGTGTCGTACTCGTAGTAATTGCAGTCATGCAATACAAATTTTTTTCCTAAGGTAAATCCGCATGACAAATTTCATTTCTCATGCTGAGGGAATTTGTAATGCATTTATACGAGTACGATACTTTTGCAATGCATAGAACATCCGATGCCGCTGAAGGGACCACGTCCAAGTCCACGCCGCGCCGTTATGCTAGTGCGATCGCAGAGACGATCGCAGGAGCTGCAAGCAAAGCTATCAAAATGAAAAATCAAAATCCCCCCTCCCCATATCAAAATGGAAATTTCTGATGCTGATTTGCGTACACAAATCCGACCTGTCTTGCAGTAAGGCACTGCGGCCAGATGTCTGGCAGCCTAGGTGGGAGCGCGCAGGTCTAGTTGCTCAGCATTGATGCAAACGGCTACCCTCTAGGACCAACAGCATGCCAAATCGCTTCCACAATTGGGCGGATGCCTCTGCACTTGTCTTCTTGCAAGACAAACCTGATCTGTGGCCACAAATCAGCAGCGCAAATTTTCGGAAACATACCTTTTCAATATGGGGAGGGGGGATTTTTCCTCGCAATAAAAGCCGCTCGGGAAGAGGGGCACGGGACCGAACACGGCGTCATCGCGAGTACGGAGGCCGAACTGTTTATGGAAGTGTCAGGAACAGGATTGAAATCGTCAAAGTTGAAATGGTTTGTCATGCATAAAATGCAAGGCATGAAGTGCCTGTCTTGCCGGGATGGCAAGTGAGGCAGATTGTGAGCCTATTTAGGCTTTGGGATCGAGCTGCTAAAGGAGCATGACAAAAGCACTCTTCATCTGTGCCCAAACAGCATGACAAATTGGATTTCGGTGCTCCGAAAATTTGTCATGCTCCGCTTGGAGCTTGGTCTTCCAACTGGTATCCATTTTATGCATGACAAATTACTTATTTCAACTCTGTCGATTTCAAATAACCTGGCGCTTCCATACTGTTGAAGCACCGGGCCGGAGACGATGAAGATGGGTCGTCGTGTATTCTGAGTAAAAACGTCCCCACGCCATAGTTGTCATGCAATTCCGCATGCCAAAAAAGTTTCTCATGCGGAGCCCTATGCAGAGCGTTTTCTGTTCGTGTTTTGGAACTTGTGATGCTAGAATCAGCATTCTATGCTAGATCTGTGATGCTTCTTAACTAGCTAAACAGGATCACACTACGCGGACAAACTTGTCATGCCAAACAAGCAAAGGCAAAGCTGGCTGATTTGTCTAGCAGATTCCCCATCTTGACTCTGGTGTGGGGACGTTTTTACACAGGATATCGCGGACTACTGGAAGTGGAGAAATTGTCGTCAAGAGCCGCGGCCCATTCTCATGGTTTCGCAATCCCATTGGCCACATGCAGCGAAACTTCAACGACGCGCTCGAAAAGTTTCGTGTCGCCACAAGCCGTATCCTGTGCAAAAGTAATATCGTACTCGTTGTACTAATCGCATTCATGCGTTACAAATTTCTTTCTGAAGTTAAATCTGCATATACAAATTTTGGTTCTCATGCTGAGGCAATTTGTCATGCGATTTATAAAATAACACTATAGAATTTTTACTCGGATTTTTCGCCCTTATAGATTATAGGGGCGCCCTTAGAAAATGAATTCTAGAAAAAAGGGAATTTAGAAACTTCCCTTAAGGGAGCCCTTAAAGGAAGCTTCTAAGGGAGCGCGCGTAAGAAAAAAAAAGGCATCGCGGGGAACAAACATCCTGCCGGTGTGTCCTCCACGCCCGCGGGCGGTCCGGCCGGTTTTTAGCAGGTCTATTCTGGCTACCCCCAAAGACCGGCCCCGTTTGGGGGGGTAGGGGGGGCGATGAAGCTCGGCATGCAAAATGAAGAGGGCGGCCCTTCCCGTATCTGGGGATATATCTGGGGAGATATCTGGGGATATATCTGGGGGCATATCTGGGGATATATCTGGGGATATATCTGGGGATATATCTGGGGATATATCTGGGGATATATCTGGGGATCTATCTGGGGATCTATCTGGGGAGATATCTGGGGAGGTATCTGGGGACATATCTGGGGAGATATCTGGGGATGCGGGAAATATCTGGGGAGATATCCGGGGAGACATCTGGGTCCGGGGACCTACTTATCTGGGGGAGAGGCCTTCTCTAGACATCAGGGTAGGAAGCCCAAAAGCGGGGGATCGGGCCAGGGCCGACGGCCGGGCCGGGCGGGGGCGAGCTAGTTAGGAAGAAGCCCCGGAAGCGAAGGCGCGCGCGCCCACTAATGTGGGCCGCTACTAGTGAAGGGCTTCAGTAGCAAGCGGAGCCCGTTTTGTCATGCTAAGACCGCGGCCCGAAGGGCTTCGAATAGTGGCCGCGTTTCCGCTAGCAGATTCCCAAGAGCGGGACTCTTTCGACGAGTCTTCAGCCCAACGCTCTCCAAGTTTTTTCCTCTTTGTTGTTAGTTTGCTTGGTAGTTGCGTTTAGATTTACTAGGCCACCTATCGCCGGCGTCCTGGACGCCGGCGTAATGGTCTAGTACTAGTACGATGCTTTTGCACAGCATAAGCCGCGTCACCGACTTTATCTCCCGAAAGACAAAGGGCTTCATGGACTACGTGAAAACCGTCGGGGCCCGGAGCCTGTTCGCCTCCGTTCGTACAGTCGCGGAGGTGGTGCTTGGCATATGGCGTTCTCAACTGATGTTACATTCTCAAACGTTACATGAATTCGTGATGCAAAATTGCCATTAGCCTCCACTTGATCAAGGTGCTTAGCATGGCAAAACAGCATGATGATCTGTGGAAAAGCTGTGATGCGAAAGCTGCAATCACTGTTGCCACTCTCACTGTTGTTGTTCTTGCATTACAAATCCATGTAACAGTTGCGAATGTGACGCTTGAGAGCGCCATATGGCACCGTGGTGGATTATGTGTTTCCTTACGTTTTCTTTGTGTTGACGAAGATCTGTCCGTATCAAATGCAAAAAAGTCTGGGTCTGGAAGATTCTAAACTTGTGATGCTGCCTCTGGATGCTAAAAAAATTTGCAATGCATGACCAGCAGCAAGAGGACCCCAGTTCGTGCTACGCGGAGAGGGCATTTCTCAGGCTGTAGAGGCATCGCAATGGCCTCTAAAAATCTGTGATGCTAGGGCATGCATCACAGAGATCATGGGTCATTCAAAATATTCTTGACAAGTAGCCTGGCCGCAATCTTGCAGACCCAGACACTTCTGCAACCCATAGTCCGATTTTGGGCCCCGTCGAGTTCATCGTCCGGCTTTTGGTGCACCAGCTAGCGTTATCCTGTGCAAAAGTATCGTAGTCGTAGTAATTGCAATCATGCATTTTTCTCAAGGTAAATCCGCATTACAAACTTTACTTCTCATGCTGAGGGAATAATTTGTCATGCTTTTTTACGAGTGCGATACTTTTGCAATTCATAAGCGTTGCAGCTTTTATATTTCAAGCGGCCGGAAGGCGGGCAGAAGCAGAACGCAGTGGCGTCGGCCGTGGTCGGGGCTATCCAAGAAGAAAAAAACTGTGTAAGTGTAACTTTTTTGCAGGAACAGCATCATAGATTTTTTTTGCATGACAGAGACTTTATGTTGGAAAAAAAAAAATCTCAAGGAAATTCTACCGACGGCCTAAGGAGATTCTCCCTCAAGGAGATTCCCCCCCATAAAAGTTAGATTATGAACTGGCGTCGAGCTTCATGCTCATATTAGCATAGAAAGAAATAGTAGACCAAGACGAGCGCTGGCGCCCGTGCAAGATGAAGGGATGAGCGTGGGCCAAACTACGTGCGCGCTGACCGTTGCCACCAAGAGCCCCCGGCCCGCCTGCGCACCGGGGGCGGAAGACTTTTTGGTCCTGCCCTTCGCCCGCCTGCCCCGCCCGTGTGGCGCCAGCCTTGCTGCAGCATCAGCCCAGGCTTCGCTCCGTCCTTACATACAAAACGCGCGCAGGCGCGCAGCAGCTCTCCTCTTGATTGGCTCCCGGCGGCGCGGTGCTGGCGGCATTTCTTTTGTTCGGTGTTTGCGTCTTTGAAACTGAACAGAACACGACAGCTTCTACTTTTGCGCGCGACCCAGTCGCCAATGGTTAGCAAAAAAGCAAAGAACTTTTCGCGTTGCGCGCGTGCCCCTGCCTGTGGGTCCCTTTGTAGCCGGTTCGGCTGTGCGGTTTGCATGGCCGACAGCAAGAGCCGGCTTTTTCTACTCGCATGTAGTCCCGGGCCTTGCAGAGCAAAGACCTTGCTCCGCACACGAGCAGCGCGCGCTGCGTCCCCTCTTTCTTTGCGCCGACGGCGCTGCGCTTCAAATTCCTGCACCGTCGCGGTCGCAACGGCTTTTTTTATTTCGCGCGCGCGCCGCACCCGCTCACGCTCTGCCCGTCGTTGTTTCGCACCGACGGCCCTGCGCCTTCGTTCGCGGACCTTCAAAATTGCCTCCGCCCGCGCGCAGCACGTGCTCCGTTCCTCGTCGTTGTTTCGCGCCGACGGCTTTGCGCTTTTTTTCACGTGCGCACGGCAAAAATTTTAGTCGCGCGCGTGCCGCGCGCGTTCCACACTGCGTTGCGCCGCGCCGAGGCCCTTGCGCTTTCATTCTTGCATGGGCGGCCGGCCGACAAATAAAAATTTCTTTCGCGCGCGCGGCGCGCGCTCCACCCTTCGCTGCTTCGCGCCAGCGCCCTTGCAGTTGCCTGAACGGGTACCCGACAGAAATCTTTCGCACACACGCCGCACCCTTCTCTGCTTCGCGTCAGCGGCCTTGCAGTTTGTTTCCTGCGTGGGTGCCACACAAAATTTTTTTGCGTGCGCGCCACACCTTCACCCCTGCAGTTTCTTGCACGGGGGCCCGACAAAAATTTTTTTCGCGCGCGCGGTGCGTGTGCCCCATCCCTTGTNTTGCCCAAACAGCATGACAGACTGGATTTGGGTGCTCCCGAAATTTGTCATGCGCCACTCGGAAACTGAGGGCCCAACTGGTATCGATTTTATGCATCACAAATTTTTCGATTTTGTCGATTTCGATTCTGACACTTTCATAGAGCTTGAAGCAGAAGCGACCGCAGAAACGACCGTAGCAACGGAACCCCGGGGAACCTTGTCAGCGACAGCCGACTCCGCGCTCGATAGCATGTCGGAACAAAGTGCTGACGCAGCCAAGGTGAAAACTTTTTACGACAGTTTTCCCACGGTCGTGATTGGGTGCTGGCAGTTGACGGAGCGATTGAAGAACAATGAGAAAGCGGTGGAACTTCTGCAGGAGTACTACAGAAATGGTTTTCACCACTTTGACACCGCCGACATCTACGGCCCCAGCGAGACACTCCTCGGGTTCGCCCGGCAAGCAATCCGGCTGGAGTTGCTGCAAAATGCAAAGAACACGGGTAACAAGACTGATCTCGATTTCCACGTGTTCACGAAGTACGTGCCCTCCGGGCCCCAGGAGTCCGCCCTGCGGATCAACCAGCTATCCCGCAAAGCGCTTTTCCAGGAGGACTTTCGGAAGAAAGAGCAAGACAATGACTACCCGCTGGAACTCGTGCAGTTCCACTGGTGGAATTTCGCCGACCGCGGGCACATCCAGGGCGCGCGGGACCTGATGTCGCTGCAGGCCGAGGGGAAAATTGAGCACTTGGCGGTCACAAATTTTGACACTGTCCACTTGAGGGAACTGATCGAAAAGGCTCAGTTCCCCGTCCGGGTGAACCAGGTGCAGTTCTCCCTGCTGGACCGGCGTCCGGAGAACGGGGTCTTGCAGCTCGCGAAGAAGCACCAGTTCAAGTTGACTTGCTTTGGCTCGGTGGCCGGGGGGTGGTTGAGCGAGAAGTTTTTGGGCATGGAGTCCGATCCGATGCGTAGTTCCCGAAAGTTCCAGGAGTCCTCCACGGTTTCCTTGCGAATGTACTACTCCAGCCTGATGTCGTGGTGCCGCGGGGACTGGGACCTGTTCCAGCGGTTGCTGCGCACGCTGGAGAAGATCGCGAACGCGACCCAGACGAAAATTGCCGTTGTCGCAACGTGGTGGGTTCTGCAAAAACTGGAGACCGACGGGTTTGGCGGTGCGGTTATCATCGGTGTGCGCGACGCGAAACACCTCGATGAAACCAAAATCATCCAAAGTGGGGGCAAGCAGCGCGACAACACGGGAAAGAAGATTTTCCTCGCAGCCGACCACATGGAAGCCATCCAGCAGGTGCTGGATCAAGGCACATTTCCCACAGGTGAAGACATTTGGTCAAGGGAACGTGGCGATTGATCATGCAGATCAGCTTTTTCGAAAGCTGCGAAGATTTATACGCTGTTCGGCGCTCCAAAATTAAATTCTACCAGCGCTTGCTGACTAGTAAAGCGACGAACCACAAAAATATTGATACAGCATATCAAGCGCATCGCGGAAGTGTAAAGTGTTGAATAGTAGTACTTTTGTGCAGCAGCTGGAGTTACATCACCTGACCTCTTTCTACACTGATGTCAGCACCATAGGACCTTAAGTGGGCTCCTGTAGAAGACTGAACACCTCGAAGTGTTTGTAGGCGAGACCTCTACTCACGCAACTGCGAGTTGATGGATATATTAACGCATGATGCACTGCGTTCTTTGTCTGTGCTCCTCAAGGTAGGGAGCTCACTACCTTCAGAACGCCTTTGCGCCACGGATTCTTGCATACGTGGCTTTGTGTTTGCGTTTCCTAGTAATACCTAAGAGAAACCGCAGCTCCTGCTGCTGCAAGGATAATGTGCAAAAGCGGGTGGGGACAGAAACGACATAACTCTGATGGAAGATCATAAAATGCAAATTGGTCCTGAGGCCCATTCGTTGCGCATCAAGATCAAAACCGAGTTCAAAGAATTGGCGTCGTACACATCCAAATGGAGATCTCAATCTCAATGTTGTCTCGATCTGAGTCGCTGTCATAGTGTATCCGTATGGAAGATTCGACTCGATTAGAAGAATTTTACGAAATATTAATATTGATTTTCGTCGAAGATCGTCGGTCATCTCATTTGTGTTGCCGTGCAAATGATCCAAAAATGCACAAAGCCAAGTCGAAGAAAGTTGGGTGAGAAAAGTGGAAGCGATCGCATTTTTTGTTGAATTAAGTAAGAGATGAAAGACGAAGATCATATCAATATCCATGACTACCTGCATGCTTAACGAAAGATCATAGGACAAGTTTTCTATACTGTATGCCCCCTTCTTGTTGTAAGTACACCGTCAAAATTGGAATCCAAACAGGCAAGTTTTTAGGGCCTTAGATGTTGACTTTCTTCAAGGTTACACGCAGCCTTCAATTATTCGCAGCTTTGCGACTTCATTCCTTTGCGACAACTGTGTAACCTAGCATTGACGCTCTATCATAATCACTTTATTAGAGCACAGACACGTAAACAAGAACTTGAAGAATTTTTTAGTGAGCAGCCAGCGCTTGTCATTTAGTGGAGGAAGATATTATAATTGAAAACCATGACCGACGCCGAGCAGCCTTTGCCGCCGGGCCTGGAAGAGGATGTGGATCCCTCCCTGCTGCTTGCCGCCATGAACACGGGTAACGCGGCCGCTGCCACCGAGGGTCAGAGCTACACCGCTGCGGAGTGGGCCGAGTGGATGAAGCAGCAGGGACTTGTCATGGCCGGACCGCCCGGGGCACCAGCAATTCCGGGAGCCGTCGCCCCCGCCGTGGCACCAGCAGCCGCACCCGCTGCAGCACCTCCGGTGCAGGTAATACCGGTGGGCCAGAAAGGCGCCTCCTCGTCTGCAGCCAACGGGAACGGAGTACCAGCACCAGCGCCGCCAGTCCAACTGGACGAGGACGGTCGACCGCCTATCATCCGTGGCGGGCTGATCTCCGAAAAGGCTGCCGAAGTGCAAGTAGAATGGGCTGACGCTGATTATCGCGAGGCCTTGCTCGCTGCGGAATCCTGGGACTCGCTAAACCTCACAAAGTACTTTCTTACTTCATCGTAAAAAGACACACTTATTGTCATTTTTTCCATTAGATGAAATATTTTGGCGGTTCTCCTTACGTGAAAACTGCGCAGATCGAGCGTCATGGCCTCGTAGTGCAACCTCTCACGCCGTGCTGCTACGCAGCAAGCTACCGAAAAAAAAGGAAAAGAATTCAACAACTCTGGACAACTCTACTACTCTAGGGAATTAATGGAGGGCATCCACGGCATGAACTACGTTCGACCTTCACGGATCCAAGCCGCCGCACTGCCACTCATCTGCCCGCCAAAATCGAAGAACATGATCGGGCAGGCTGCAAATGGAAGCGGTAAGACGGCAACCTTCTCACTGGGAATGCTTGCGAACATAGATCCCAAGCTCACCTATCCGCAGGCCATGGTGATGGCACCAACACGAGAACTCGCGAACCAGACAGAGGAGGTCGTCATGAAGCTCGGGAAATTCATGGGCATTAAGGTCCTCAAGGTGCTGCCTCAGGGAGACAGAATCGAAAAGGGAAAATGCGAAGCACACATTCTAGTCGGAACACCAGGACGGGTACAGATCGCATTTTTGCGTTGTTGCGCATTTTTTGTTGAAAACATGTCACCGAGCAAAGCTGTCGTACCACGTGATTTTTTATTTTTTCTCCGGCAAACCCGTGAGCATGAACAAGTTTGTCAGCAAGAAGTCGCTACTTCGCGAAAACACAAAATTCACTACAGATCTACGACGTGACAAAGAAGCGCATATTGAACGTGGACCGGGTGAAGGTTTTCATCCTTGACGAAGCTGACGTCATGTTGGACCAAGAGAATCAAATGGGCCGCGACGTCGCGTCCGTCCGAAAGTGGCTCTCACCAGATTGCCAAGTTTTATTCTTCTCCGCCACGTATTTACTCAATTTGTTTTCTCCTGAGATTTTTGTTTGTGTTGGTTTCATTGTCTAGATCTACTAGCGTGCCGAAGTAGATCACGAAAATGCGTTTTTGAAGCCGGCCTTCTCCAATGGGAAAAGAAAACAACTCCACCAGATACCCGGATCACGTGCGAGAGTTCGCGAAGGCCATCGTCCCGAACGCAGCAAAAATCACGGTGCAAAACAAGGACTTGGCGATTGACACCATTCTCTCCTTTTACCAGCAGTGTGCAAATAACGACGAGAAATACCAGGCCCTGAAGGAAATATACGCACACTTGAATGTTGGGCAGTCCATCATCTTCATGAACAGCAGGAAAACTGCGTACTGAGAACGATCTATTTATATTTGATTTATGCTTTTGTTTATTATTATTCATCTATTTCGATTTCCATTTGTTCCTTTGTGCTGGTCTTGCTAGGTACACACGCACAGAAGAGAATTTCTACATGCCAAGATAGACCAGGGATCAAATAAATCGGGGGAGGATAATAAAGCACCAAAACTACCCACAATTGTCCCTACTAACAGGTTCGAAGTTTCCGTTCGATTGCGAAAGGACGGGTATGCCGTGTCGCTGATTTGCGGAACGCAGCAGACTATGGATTGCAAAAATGTCTGGGTCTGGAAGAATGCAGGAGTTTGTCATGCAGATTTTGCATGATCCATGAGGTCTGTGATGCATGCCATAGCATCAGAGATTTTGCGAGGGCTTTCTGACGCTCATACAGCATGAGAAATGCCCTGTCCGCGTAGCACAAATCACACCTCTTTTGCTGTTCATGCAATACAGTTTTTCTGTAGATTCCAAAAGTAGCATCACAAGTTGTATCCTTCCAGACCCAGACACTTTTACATTTGATACAGACCGGGCCAGAAAAGATCGATCCCGCACACCGCGACAAAGTCATGGACGAGTTTCGGCGGGGCATTATCCTGAGCAAAAACGTCCCCACCCCAGAGTTGTCATGCAGATTTGCAATGACAGGAAAATTTGTAATGCGCACCTACATGAGAGGCATTTCCAATCGTGTTTTGGCACTTGTAATGCTGTAAACAGGATGAGGAGATGGGTTTGTCATGCGACTGTCCTTGCTAACCTGTACTACACTACAGCCTGCAACTTGTCATGCGTGGTTCCCAAAACTTCAAGGTTTGTGTTGCAGAATCCCCATCTTGACTCTGGTGTGGGGACGTTTTTACAAATGATAGGCATCACCAAAGTTCTAGTGGCTACCGACGTCCTCGCGCGCGGAATCGACGTGCCGGCGGTGACGCTCGTGGTGAACTACGAAATCCCGACCATATGGACTGCGGGATCAAGGTATTACAATTTTTGGATGAAGTGTAGCATTTTGTTTGCATGATGATGACATGAGTATACGAAAAGAAAGGGCTCGTTGAAAGGTGGTTGATATGTAGTTGGTACAACTTCATAGCAAAGGAAAGAGAACAACGAGACTGACGCCACCAAGGCAAGAAAGAAAGTATCGAGAAGCCAGAAAAACACTGAACATCAACAGGATTGGCGATAGAGAAGCCAACGGGGAAACTTACCTGCACCGAACCGGTCGTACGGGACGCTTCGGCATGAAGGGTATCGCCGTGAACATGGTCGACAGGAGAGAAAAGGAGCTCATGCTGGGTATCCAGAAACAGTTTAATATCAAGACCATTACCGACCTGGAAGGAGACTACGAGCTGCTCGAGGAACGATTGAAGCAAGCCAGGAAGGTGCAGTGAGACGATCAGCAAGCATCAAATGAAGGAGATGATAGTCATTCTTGATGCACCTTTTGAATTCGCGATAAAGAAATACGAAAGGAAAAACATGCGTCCACCATAGCTACTACCCGCGACCCGCATATGAATTGATATACCATATTGACTTGACCACGACCTGTATGTGTTAATGTACATCTTTTTGTGAAAATGTTATGGTTTTTCAAGACTCAGACTCTAAAGCAAATGCAAAAGCAAAGAAAGCATGGCAACATCCCGCGCATAGGCTGCGAATGATATATCATTAGACGGCCTCCCCGGCAAAGGCAAAGACCGGCTCGATTTGCTGTCATTCTCAAAGAACAATTACAACGCGACATGCACTATACATCCCTCTGCACCCATGGCTCATGGTAATTCAGTAAGGTGAGGCAGGAGGAGAGGCCTAAAACGAAAAGAAAGGGAAAATAAAAAGAGAAGGAGTATAATATGAATGCTTAAAATATAATTTGCCCCCCCATAAACCATGTTTTATTTTCAAGAAAACGGTTTCTACTCGATCTCGTTTTACCTTGAATTTGATCTTGACACACCGAGCATTTCAATAGAATTTCTGGTTGCAAGTTGCATGTTCCGAGCTTTGCAATATGGCAACACCGAGCTTTGCAATTGACCACACTTGAGGCTATTTGAGTTCAAGTAGCAACCGATTTGCCTTCAAGTAGAAACCGATTTGCCTTCAAGTAGAAACCGATTTACCTTGCAGAAAAACCGAATTACCTTCCAGAAAGCCGAGTCTCGCCTTCAAGAAAACCACAACTTATTCGCGCAGTCAGCTTCACCGGGCTAACTGCGCGAATAGTTGTGGTTTATTACAGAACCACAACTATTCGAGGACCAGGCGAGGTTTGGTGGCATTGCGTTTCAGCTTCGAAGGACTGAAAGTGAAAAGCGAAGGATGAAGCAAGCGGATAGCAGCAGGAGATGCGACGCCCAGGTTATGTGTTTTTCTCTTTCATAGGTGTAGGTCGCGAAGGAATTGGTGGTGGTCACGAGAATAGATTATGTTCTTCTCTATCTTCGTGAATAGATCATTGGGCTTTCATCTTCATCTACGGGCGCGGTGTCTATTTTTTAATCTGCAAATAAAAAACAACAACAGCTCGACTTCGCACACCGCTCAATGATAGCCGCGCGATTCTGGACATCGATGGCTATTCCGACAGCCATCATCTGTCTGCGTCGACATCGTGTAAGCGGAAGTGGAGTGCCTGCGCCAACGTCGGAACGGGCGCCAAGGAGTAAGAGAAGGAAGAACTGCAGTGAAAATGATGATGTCTGAAACAAGAAGTGTTTTGGAAATGAGGATGATGAGAGAGAAGAAAGGATCAGAGCTGCAAGATCAGAAAGGAGCTGCTCATGAAAAGCCAAGAAGTTCGTCTTGCACTTCGACTTCGCATCCAACTTCTACTTGTGCTTCGGCTTCACTTTCTCTTTTTCTTTTAAAAATTGTGCTCGGACATAGTCATGCGCGGAATATGAATCTTTAGGATAAAAAGAGATCTTGGTCTTAGCTCGAAGATCAACTAGAAGATAGATCCGTCGTTGCGTTTTTTTTGAACCGCAAAAGTTCTTTTTGCTACTTATTGGCGGAGAAAAAGATCTTCTCTGGATCAGATGTTTTTGCGATGCAACATGATCAACCGCTCGCACTCGGCGGCCGCGGCGCTTTCGGTTTTTAATTTCTATTGAAGTGCGCTTTTTGTTTTCGTTTTCCATTTGCTGCAAAAACAAACATTGAAAACCAAAAACAAAATGATTCCGAAATGAACTCTATTTACTATCTATGATTCGCGCTTCTACTTGTCTTTCGACATCAACTAAAACTTTATTGCAGGGATAAAAATACTCGCTTGAAAGTCATTTATTATTCGACCCTCCGGCCATACCAAAGGCATACATGGAGCCCTTCGCCAACTCCATGCCTCCGGCTGGAAAAGAAGATGCGGCTGATGCCCCTGACCCTCCGTTGGGTGGTTCTGCGGATCCACACTTCCCCTCGGTGCAAGCGTGGATCAACCAACGGTTCCAAAAAAACCCCGAAGTTTTCATGGACGAATTTCGCTCCGAACTTTCCAAGCATGCTCCGCACCCTTCGAATCAGCTGCGGAGTTCGGCCCACCTGGCTTACCTCGAGCATGCTATGCAGGAGAGCGACATGAACTTCGAGCGCGATCCCTCGACGCTTGATGAGCCGAAAGATCCGGAAGCCGACTTTCCCCGTCTCATCGCCAGCGAAAGCTCCAAGTTCGAGTCGTTGCGGTTGGTGTTGAAAGCTAAGACGATCAACGATGTGTCGGTGCTGCTGGAACAGGCCGCGGAGGACTTTCCGAACCACGTGAAGGACGAGTCGCACTTTCAGAAAAAGTCCTTCGTGCCGACCCAGTGCCCCACCAACAAGCAGCTGCAGAAGCACTACACCAAGTGGCGCCTCGAGCTGGACCCGTCTGCTGAGGCAAAAGGAAAAAGAGGTGCGGCAGAGAAGGATGACATGCCGGAGTTCGCCCTTCACATGTTGCGGAAAATATATGCGATTGAAGTACGGTTTTTTTTTTAGTAATTGACTATGCAAGATTGAGGAAGTGGAAAAAAGATCTTGCGCAGTCACTGCGAAAGTGTGTGTAGATGTGAAGCAAAGTTGTGCATGATAATGAAAATCTAAATCAATGATTATGATTATGATCCGCAATGCTTACAAGTGCCTAACTTGCGTTCCAGCGTGAGCGCCTATGTTAGTGCGAAACAGATTTGAGCGCGCGTGTGATTGTGAGTGTGAATGTGAATGTGATCCTCTACGCCTACAAAAAATTCGTAAGAGATAATGGCAGCACGATATCAGTATGACGCGCGATGCGACGTTCAACTTCAATCGCCCTAGACTTATTGTCTTGGTGTGAAACTCTTTCGCAAATCGCAGGCGGACTGTGTTAGCCTATCTCTACTGAGACTGTTGCTTGCGATTTTTCCTCTGGTATGATTGTGACTAAAGACCATGCAGCTGTTTTTTTCAGGTCCAGGCTCCGACCTTGATCTCGAATACGAAAACAAATGCGAAGTCACTAGCATAGCTTACGCTTGAAACCAAACCTATTCTGCTTAGAAAATACAAATACAGATAGGAATACAAATACAAAACGAAATTCAAAACGCACACACTCGCACGCACTTAATTTATTTTCGATTTTGTTTTCAGGTGACTCACGTGGCAACGTTCGCACAACAGACCCAGGACACGCTGCGGAGAGTCTTCGATGACCACGAGTTTTTCCACATGCAGGAGAAGAGGAAAAAGGAAAACTCTGTTCCAGAGATGTGGCGAACCGCGATTGAGTGGTCCGTCTTCGACAAGTTGGATTCGACGGAGGAGAAGGTGATGTACATCGGGTACGTCATCGGGAAATCGTCGGCAACCTCCGAGAAAAAACAGGAGCTGCTGATGTCGCTGTTTTCACCCGAAGACGTGGCGTCGACGCTCCAGCGGGGGCAGTACGTGGGCAACTCTCCGTCCCGCAAGCGCACGCGGTCGTTCGAGCTCGACAACGACAAGACCTTCCGTGAAGACCGCGACGACCAAAAGAAAATTAAGCTGTCACTAGCGCAAAAGAAGCACGCCCTCCGCCAGTTTTGCGAGCGCATGGAGACGTACTACGGTCGTGCGCTCGACATGGATGTGCGGAATGACATGGATGAGATTTTTGGTACGAAAGCGAGTTTGAGTAATACTTATACTTTTGGTTGTGGCTACAGCTACGGCAAGATCAACTTCCAATGCTATCAGTAGTGTGTGTGTGTGAGTGTAGGTGTACGTGTATTCGGCATAAGCGCTGAGATTGACACGCACTCCTAGTCCCACCTACGGCTCTTTGGCAAAGATGTGGTTTTGCTTTGCAATACCAGCGCCAAGAGAAACAGCGAAACAGCGACTGACTCTTGTGGTTGCAATTTTTGATATCCATTTTGACGGAGCTTTCTCTTTGTCTTAACTTCGTTTCTGCACTACGACTACTTCGGTTTCGTACATCAAGCTCAGCGAGCGTTCGTGTTGACTGGCCCGCAGAGCGAAGCCACCGCTTTGCAGTCTGCCCGCCTTCGTGGTCATCGCGATATGTAACGCTGTAGCCAAAACAAACAAAACGCTTTAGCACGTGGTGCGAGCGCACACAACCACAATAACAAAAACAGTAGCGATTCTTCTACGTCTATAGCTGTAGCAAAACGATAGCGAAGCTTGTCCTTTTGCGCGTGCTTCGCTACACATATGAAAGTTGAAAGAGATGACGCTCGAGATAATTTGCAACTTAAAATTGAATCTTCAACTTTTTTTCAGGTAGTAAGGAGCAGCGGATCAAGGAGACCACGCGCCACGTGCAGAAAGACTCGTCGGGAAAAGCACTCTTCGTCGTGAATTACGCGCCCGGACACCCGCTCCAGCCCGGCCAGGCCCACCCTGCCCCGATCTGCAAGATCGGACCGAAGAAAAACCCGGTACTGAAGCGCAGGATCGTTGTGGTCCGCATGGCCCCCGATTCCACTACTTTTAAGAAGGACGGGATGCTGAGCCTGGACGTTCTGATCGGCTACGTGCGCATGGACGCAAGCGGCAAGTTGAAGTGCCACATCCGGCCCTTCATCCCAAAGTCGCGGAAGAGTTCGGCCGGTTGGAAGTCTGTTCTGAGCGAGGTGTATGCGATGCTCGGCAACTACCTGCCGTTGCCGGGGAGCGACACCCGGCATTTCCCAGGAGACCCAATCACCATCTGGTGTTGTCTCTCGGACGCGGGTCCAGACGTTTTGAAAGCGTACAAGAAGCTGCGGGTGTACTCGGCGGCCTGCAATGCAGAGCGCGCAAAACAGATTGCGCGGGGCGCGACGCAGTGGCTGTGTGAAACGTACATAGTGCAATTCTTTTGCCAAGCCCATCAACTGCATCGACTTGTCGGTGATCTACAGGATCTCGTCAATTCGCTGTACCCCGGCTTCACCGAAGGAATGCAGAAGATTACGGAAGCGGGGAACATGTGGTGCTTGGATGTATTGTACTCGAAGATTCCGCAATTTCAGCAGCACCGCTGGTTATCGATCTACCCGTGTGCCGAGCGGCTGAATTGTTACGTCACCCAGAAGGCGCTGATGATCAAGCTGCTCTCTCTTGCCGAGAAAAACAGGAAGAAGGAAACGAGAGCTACGTTCATCAAAGCTAAGAAAGCGGGAAAGGATCCGGTGTTCTGGCAGGTGCTTGGGTCGTACACCAAAGTTCTCCGCGTCGTGCACGAGCGGTACCTGGGCACCATCGGCGATTCCACCGTTGTTCTCGGGAACGCTACGGTCGCGGAACAAGCGAAGCACCGCATCACTGGTACGCAGGCAACCGATTTCCGTCGTCTCTTCTCAGGAATCCTCGCTATTGCGCCCGAAGACGTGGCTGCCCTCCAGCTCGCGTTTTTGCTGTACATGCGGTTGCCATCGAGGGAGTTGCAGTTATGGACCTTCCCTTGGGTCTTGACGTGGTTGTTGGATCCGCGGAATGCCAAGCTTGCGGCGGAAATGTTTTTGGAAACGGAAGGCGAGTGTCGGGACGAGTTTCTGCATTGGTTCGTCGAGGCTTACAAGACGGAGCTGGTGAAATTGAAAGCTGATGGCGTCGACGTTTCCGAAGCCTTGCAGGAGGTCTTGCTTCCGCTTAACGCGTTGTCGACACCGTGTACTCAGTTTACTGAGTCTTTGCACTCCACCGGGCAGCAGTGGAAGCGGATCGCCCCCAACATCAAACAGGAGCGGGCGGGTTTGCGCACGCAGATTTCGCGTTCCGAAAAGCTGGAGTGGCCGGAATACTGCGACTTGATCGAGCAGTGGCGGTATAGAAAAAACTAAGGTGCTAACTCGACCAAGAACATGTATTTAGATTTTGACTCGAGCATGGATTTTTTGATTTTGATCTGCAGACTTTTTTGTGAACCAAATGCACTTCCTGTTTCTCTTCTACTTCCACTTCGCAGTCAAAGTAATCATCTACTGCTACAGCTACGCCTTCAGCTTCGTCTCATTTCCAATTGCAAAAAAAACAACAGGTCATACTTCGACTCCCGTCGCAAAAAGCTCAACGATAGCCGCGTGATGTTGGACTTCGATTGCTACTCCGACGACCACCACCCGTTCTTGACCACCGCCATGCAGGCCTACCGCGACAACAAGAGTATCAAGCACACGCTCGAGGCGCAGCTTTTCGGTGGATTTATCCACCAAAAAACGCCGCTTGTGGTCCCCGACATCGTGCGCCATTACTTCCCGTGCGCGCCGGTTGTGCCGAAGTGGTATGGAGGAATGAAGACGACGCTGATTCCGACCTACGAGATTGCCAATGGCATTTTGATCCAGAAGAAACTTGCTGGTCAGGCGTGTGGTGGAGTCTACTTTGTTTACTCGACCTCCGGCGAGAAGGGTCACGCCCAGCTGTGCACTTTCGTTCCGACCTCGGCCCGCAAGATTCTGTCCTGCGTAAAGCCTGTTCCGAAGGCTAAAGCGAAGGCGCAGCCGATGGCACTGGAAAACGGACCTTCGGAGTTGATGAAGCCGTCCCCCTTCGGAATGGGCGAGAACATGTTTGTCAACCCGTTCGAAGGAAAAAACTACACCGCCATGAAGGCTCTTCCGGAGCGCCTCGTGAACGACGCGACGAAAGAGATATTTGAGCTTTCGATGGACCGCACCAAATCGGTGACCATCTCGCACTGGTGCAACCGCCTCGGCGGCTTGACCGCAAAGCTGAACCCGGCGTCGTACCTGATCTTCTCCAAAGCGTCGGTTGTCGATACCTACTTCATCCAGGGGAAGTTATACTTGGTCACCAAGCCCGAGCTTTGGGTGGAGGCCAAGATCCAGCGGTCTACGATTATGCCCGAGAAGAAGATGTTGGAGTTTGATCCTTCCGCGAAGGACGAGCGCGTGAATCCCGGAGGGCACAGGCGTGACGAACGCGACGTGCGCTGGAAGGCTACCGTGACGCCGTCGATCGCCATCCCGGAGAAACAGGTTTGCCCAGCTCTGGCGGGAAAGCGCGTCTACTGCATCTTCCGCCCGGATCAGGCCTGTTGGCACGGGCATGTGTTCGCTTCCGACGAGGATGCGGATGACGAGATCTTCGAGCCGAAGTCCTGCGGAAGTACCACCACCGGACGCTTCATGGACAAGTACTCCGTGATGAACGCCCGTGTGCGGTGCCTGAAGAAAGTCTGCGAATTTGTTGGCTGCGACTACCCCGAGGGACAGATTACGCCTGCCATGGAGAACGCCGCGTTTGACCACATCAAGCCGTACATCTCCGCGACCAAAAAAGTGGACACAATGGCAGAGGATACTTCGGCTTCGGAGGGCAGCACGGACGACGAGATGTCTGTTTCGACCTGAGTTTTCTTCTCAAGTGCCTGTAGGTCACTAGCGATTCTGATTTTTTTTCTGTTCATAACCTTCGTGTGATATAGCTGTAGCGAGCAACTCCAACTTCAGTACCAGTACGTTGATTCGCCAGTACTTTTTTATTCACGACAAGATAGAAATACAATCATGCCGCTGCGTTCTACATGTCAGTAAAGCTACGTACTCACTAACAGCATGGCGATAAGTGCTTAGCTTTTTGATATGGTTTTTACATATCACATCTTATGTTTATGCGAGAAAATCATCGCTATGCGCGTCGCCGGTGCTTGCAGTTTTTCACTTTGTGTTAGATGTAGCAACACCGCGGTTGAGATGCAAGCACTACTACGAACAGCAACATACTTGAGCTTGCGACGGGTCGTTGAGCTTTAGTTTCAAAAAATAATTTGACAAAAGTCAAGCGGTATTTTTGAGGAGAAAGTGAAAAAGCGTAGCAGCGGAGAAGTGCGATGAGTGAGAAAATGCGCGCAATACAAGAGGCGTCTTCAGGTAGTCAAGCACTTTGTCCTCGGTCGTATTCGATCCATTCCGCAACTCGGTCACTGATATTTTCGTTGTGCGATATCCATTTCCATACACCAGCTCCCTTCCATGTACTCTTCGACTGGAGACTGTAACCGTTCCCCCATATGCCAACTTTCCCCTCAACAGACATCATTTCCAAGAGAATTCGCAGTAGATCCTCCAGCAAAATACAACGCAAATACATGAAGTTTCAACCTGTGATCAGCAAAAATCTACGCGCGACTTCATTACTTTTTGCTTCGCTTTTCATCATTTTTTGCTTGAAATGCATGATCCCGAAAATCATCGTTCTGGAATAATTCCATGATCTGAGCTCAAAAGCCATCACTTTTGGCAAATATTCGCAAAATTAATGATGAATTCCTGGAATTTTCATGAAAAGCCATGGTTTTTGAGCTCAGATCCTTGAATTATTCCAGAGCGGGGATTTTGGAGGTTGTGAATTTCTGTCAATTTTCCATGAATTTCATGTCAAACGCAGCGACAAATCATCAATATTTCAGCAAAAATTCCGTAGGAGCGACAGTGTTTCTTCGTAGTTTTCTTCAGAAGTTTGTGTGAAAATGCAGTTCGGAGCCGCCGTTCAGGGCCAACTTGCTGAGGCCTTGAACATGCCGACTGAGGAGGAAGTCAAGATGATCGTTGGCCGTTGGCAGCAGGGACAGGTGCGATACATTAGTACTTTTTCCCTTCTGTATGGATGTGTTTTTCGTGATGCAACAGTGTAGAACTCATCATGCTTATCAGATTTTTCTCATGTAATTTCAGAAAAAATCTACAACTTCAGGTCTCCAAGAACGAGATGATGACGTTCGTCGATCGCTTCCGTTCGGACAAGTACGAGCCCGGTGCGCTGGTGAGCAAGAGCATGATGCCCAAGATCAAAGAGTCGTCGTTTAACCGGCTGAGGTCGACCCGCCACCGCGAGTTTTTATATCGCGAAATGTGTCGCGGGAATTATGTAATGAGGAGATTCATGTTCCTCGTGGACAATGGCGACGCTTTCGAAGTGGTCGGCCTCAATCATAGTTGGCAAGCCGGATTGATGTACTTCGAGTCCCACGGTGAGAATCGCTGGAAGGAACTCGGATTCAGGTGCCATTGTGTGATTAAAATTTGTGCTTCAATAACCATGCTCATGTCTATGTTTATCTTCATGATGCTCTCCATTATTATTTTCAACTTTCACCCACTCATGCTTGCATTCGTCTCGTGTGACATCATACCAATACCTTCTCTCGAGATACAATTACATTTACAAACTTACTCTCATACAAATCCGCATGTAGCTCTTCACAAATGAAAAACAAAAAATAAAAATCTCTCCAGGGCCTTCATTTTCCACAACGATTTAATGACGAAACTTCCTTCGTTATTATCGTTGTGGATTCGTTTAGATAACGAAGCAAACACGACATTAAAAACAGCCTTCTGTGAAAAACTGCAAGGAATCATGGAGCAGGTATTTTTTTAAATTTTGGCTTTGTAAGTGTGCATCTAGTCGTAGTTGTTGTTGTGCTCGAGCTTGTACTTGGACTTGTTCTTGCGGTTGAAAAGTTTTGCATACTACCACATATATCAGCATGAGTGTGAAAGTGAAACTGAACGTTTAGTCCACCTCGCACGAGCAAGGTGGACTGATCGCCCACGCAGCGTCACATCTGTTATGCCTTGCATGTCCGCAGCGACCGTCGACATTGTCGTCGTCGCTGTCGAGGGCGGGTTCGCAGTAAAAGGGTCGCGTCGGCCTCGGTGCTAGCATTTCACCTTTGTCGCCGCAAGACGCTGGTATGTAAAATCTCCTTCATTATAGCGATGCAGCGTATCGACGCTGCAGTGCCCCGTCATGGCCATGATCGTGCGCAGGCTTGTGCCGGCCGCATGTAGGTGGGTGCACAAGCTGCGCCTTGGTGTGTGGGACGTGATGATGTGGGCGGGGCACGACTTCTTGTGTTTCGGCACGAAGTCCTTGCGCACCTCCCGCGCCTTCTTTTCAAACGCTTCGTAGCCGAAGCTAAACACTGCGTCGGTTTTTTTATATCCGGCCGAGTCCATGTAGTCTATCATGCTCTGCAGGAATTTTTTCGTCTTGGGCAGTGGATCTATCGGGACGTTTTTTAGTTTCCCGCGGCCGCCCTTGTTGATAGCGAGCTTCGAGTTCCCCACTCGGACGCTCGTTAGCGACAGATCGCCGCGCTGAAGAAGGCGAATGTCCATTCCGCGCCGTCCGGTCATAGTGGCCAATAACCAACCAAGTTTGTAGAAATTGCCAGCGTCCCGCTTTCGACCACTGCTCTCTGCAAGCGCATCCCCAAACGCGATGCAGTCTGGCATCGCCAGCGAGCCGCTCTTCTCCTCGCCATCATCTAAGTCCAGATCTTTCGCACTGTTTTTCGCCACCGCTTTCGGTGGTGCTTGTTTTGCAGGCGCTTTTCGTGCTGCCTGTTTTGGGGAGCTGCAGATGGCCACGGCCTTTCGGTTCGACTGCTTCTTCGCGGTATGTTTCCGAAAGTGCCCTTTGCCACCCGTGCGCTGGTACTTGGACTTCGTTGGCTTCTGGGCGGACTTCACCATGTTGATCTGTTGGGGTCTGGGCCAGGGTCGGGTCCGGGTCCCGTCCTGATTTTAGAATTTCAAACGCAGATGTGATGCTGAGGGCAAGTTCAGATTCTGCCGCAGGTGTGATATTGAATTGCATAAAACAACGGATCATCAGCCACTACTTCAGATTGCTGCCGAATTGGAGGACTACAAACGCAAGCACCCGCATGAGAAGATCAACATCCTGGACTTCTACCAGGTAGATAAATTTATATTTGTATTTTTCGTTGCAGTTGCTGTTGGTGTTGCATGCTAAATCGTCAATGAAAATAAGCAGAGCGTGTTCATGTGTCGCGCATACTACGAGTACGACTTCGACTGCAATAGAATTCTTGGACGATAAAAAAATAAAACACAATACAGCGCATGTGCGAAAACATCGTGTCCGTCATGGAGATCAACGTCTGCCATCAAATTCTGCGCGAGATTGGCCTGGTGCCGGACTACTGGATCACCGTGATCAAGGAAAAGGGGACCACGCGCGACGACCCCCGCTACGTGTCGCTGTTCAAGTATATCTTGTTTTCTATTTACTGTATATCTTGTACTAAGGTCACCTTTGCTTTCACCTTCGTTCACCACGTCGACGTTTAGAGCTACTCGTACTACATACGCAACTACCTCGTCGTCGAAAACTACATCTACATGCACTACTCGGCGTGTAGAGTTGGAGACAAAATCGCAAAGTGAGCGTTCTACTTAGGTAAAAAATGCGAGCTAACTTGTACGGAAAACATGCGTGCACTTATGTGCTCAATGCTGGTGCTATCGCCTTCTGCTTTGCATGCTAAGAGCAAGATTTTCTATTTCTAAATGTAGTTGTAGCGGCCTGTGAAGTTTTTGCGAATTGGAGTTATTACCACGCTGCGACCGTGGCTCCGGCCACGCTGCGATGTAGTACACAACACTACTCGCTGTTGAATATTTTCGCAAGGAGGCTGTAACGAACGCTAGTGATCAGGAGCTGTAGGAAAGTCTTGTGATGTGCCTCGGTGTGCGTTGCACTCTGCGTCCGCAGGGCGCGCGCCTCCACCTTGAGAACTCTAGCACTGAAGATGGGCACTCTCGTTGTCATATGAATACATACTGCGTCAACAACTCAGCTGTACTCACCTACTACTACTTGCACTTCTTCTTCATCTTCTGGCTCTCGTTCTGGTTCTGCAAACATTTATTCTTATTTCAATTCAAAAATATGAACAGGACCCGCCTGTTCAACTTGGGTTTGAAGTACGCGAAGCCGTCGCATCGTTGCTTGACCCTGGCAACGATCTTTCATACGTTGCTCGGCAAAGGAGGAGTGGGAATGAGTTTGCAACAAATGCGTGAGGTAAAATCGTTAGTCCGCGATAATTATATCCGCTCGGAGCCTGCGGATTCGGACAAGAACAGATTTTTGGCCTACCTCATCAGCGAAGTGATCCGCAACGCCTCTAAGCCTGCGAAGAAGAAGAAGGAAGATAAGGAAAAGGATGAAAAGAAGAAAAAGACCCAGCTGGCGATCAAGGCGCCCGCGGCCCAGGACGACCCGGAGTCGAGCTCCTCCGATGATGGCGAAGACATGATGATCGATCGCGGTGCTGTCACCTGGGAGGTATATCTTTATCATTATCTTTATCATTATCTACATTTCTTTTTTACAATAACAATGGGGCAATGCTTCAACTTCAAGCGGAAGCGAAAGGCGACACGGCCATAGATCATGTAATTCGTTTTCGGTTTCGCACTATCATCTTTATCAATGTCGACGTCAAAGTCAAACTCAAAGATAAAGATGATCGCGCGTGCGCGTCCAAGAGTGAAACGAATGTCGCCCGCCATTCCGCTTGAAGATGTTGATGATGATGTTGATGTTGATGTAGCTGTCGTTTTAGTATCAACGACAACTGGCGCTGCAATCTAAACGTAAACGTATATCACAGACCAAGGGCGCCAAGGTCGGTGACTACGTGTGCGCCAAGACCCCCGCTGAAGCGTTTTTGATCTGCAACGTCGACTGGAGCTTCGGTGCCCGCAGCAAGGAGCTGAAGGAAGAGAACGCGGTGTTGAAAGAGTTGGAGAGCCAGTTCAAGTTCACCATCGTCTTCATCTGCGGGGAGATGCCGGGGACTATTGTGGTGCGGTTTGCCGACGTGTTTGATACCTCTTTGCCGGCGTTCGGCGAGGGAACCCAGGTGAAGATTGATGTGGATAAGAAGGATCCGAAGATCGGAAAGCTCGACGGTCAGTGCGCCCAGATCAAAGGGAAGACCAGCAGCCCGGAAGTCAAAGCTTTGAAGGACTCGATGAAAGAACTCACCACCCGCTACAAGGAAGAAAAAGCCGCCCTGAATCGCCAGCAGAAGGAGGAAGGACACGCGCTGTCGAAGTCCATCGAGGCGGCCGCGAAGGAGCGCAAGAAAGCCAAGGTATTATTGCTACATATCAACACCATCTACTCCTTCAGTTTAAAGGTCAACTACAACTTCAACATCGACACTGCAGTCATATACTTTGGCGCCATGCAGTCAGATACTTTAGTACCACGCAGTAGCAAATTTTTATGCACTCATATATTTTAGTACCATGCGCATGAGTTCGTATTGCAGCGCTGCATTATTATTATGCATCAATGCCAGCATTTTTTTTCAAGTTCAAACTCATGTTCCAGATCAATTGCAGTCCGCAAAATTGCACTACAGATCAGCATCAATGAGACCGCGGAGGCCAGCCGCCAGATCGTCGAGATGAAGGAGAACCATGTCAAGGCGATGATGAAGATCGAAGACCGCTACAGCGACAACCTCAAGGTCCTGCAGGACGCGTTGAAGGGTGCGGAGAGTGGCCGCTGGTTCGCCTTGGTCCTGTTCCAGAAGATCACCCAGCTGGACGTACATCCTGAATTTGTTTGGAGTCTTGATCTTGCTCCGCCAGAATTTCGTGAATGGTTGTTCGTAAGGTGGATGCCAGTCGAAATCCGAAGATGGGGTCTTCCGCCTCTCTTCCACGAATTCAAGGCTCAATAGTTTTCTTACTCAGCACTTTCAGGGCGAAGTGCAGCTTGTTCATGCACAAAAGAGTGTTGCTTTATAGCGTTACCATGATGCGGCCCGCTTTTCAGAGTCAGTGCGTTACGGCTGCGAAGCTGTGCTCGCACTGACTAAAGACAATCTTGGCTCAGACTCTATTTTAAATGCCAGTGAAACAGTTTATATGGGACCGCTTCGCACTACCACTATTTCGCCCTTCGCCTGTTGTGTCGTGGTGCTGAGTCTAAGTCGCTACCCCAAACAACAGCAAGAAACTACATCTATCTACTATCATTTCAAGGGCTTCTTTTCGATCATTTTCACACACATACAAACTAAAAACCACAGATGCCGGCGGACTGCTTGGACTTGAACCGCGACTACTACAACACCTCCATTCCGGCCGCCAGCCTCAAGTCCGGGGAGCCGTGGATCGCGGAAGCCACTGTTTTGAAAAAAATGTTGGTGATTCCGATCAAGATTCCGGTGACGATCGAACTTCGTTCGAAAACCTCCCCGATGGCCCACAAGTACGCGACGGCGTTTGCCCGTGAGATCGCCATGGACTTCAAGCCGAACAAGTCGGCCCAGCAGATCCGCTTCTCGAAGGAGTCGTTCACGATCCGCGGCGTCACCTTCACCACCTGGTTTCCGACCGAGATCAAGGAAGACCCGACCAAGAAGGAGAAGAAGGTTACCGCCAAAGCCGGCAAGGCCGTGGCCGAAGGTATCAACGCGATGGACGAGTACATCGGACAGAACCCGTTCACCTCCATGTACCCGGAGAAGAACCTGCTCACCTCCTCCGAGGCCGAAGACGCGAATGACAAGAAGAAGGGTAAGGCGGGTTCTACCCGCGCTGCGAGCAGCAGCAGCTCCGCTTCGTCGTCGTACGTCCCCCCGGTGGTCGACTTCGTGAACAACCCGTTGGTCTCCCGCACGGGAGCGTTGCGTCCGCGCGCTGCCACGGAGGATTTTGAGGTCGTGGAGGAACCCGCGAAGCGCAGCCGGTGCAACACCTTGGATGAGTTCTGGATGGTCGAGGAGAACGAGGAGTAGATGTGATTTGAAAAAAAATCTTTCTTCGATAGCTGTCGCAGTCCTTGCATATATTTGATCTTGATCAACTAGCATGGGCTCTATGGTTGTACTGTGAGGTATTTTTCCGACTGATAGCGCTCCCGTGCAATCAGTGGAATTTGGAATCACAGATGTCGTTTCGCACTACAAAATTAGAGTTTTAATTTTTTGTTTTAGAAAAAAAACATCGTTTTATTTGACGTCGGAAGTGATCCTTCGCGGATCACTTTCGTTGTCAACACTTTCAATTTTACCCAGATCTCCAGGGTGTTGGAGACTGGGCTTTTTACTGTCGACTTCACAAAAAATTTGAATTTAGAAATTAAAATATTTCTATAGAAATTGATAGATGAGTGATGTAACACCATCGCCATCGCCTACAGCTGCTTTTCGGGAGGTGTGCGATCTTGACAACATCTGTGCCCCACCTCCCACACAAATAATTTTATTTTTACATTATGAAAATGCAAGGTCTTACTTTGTGACGTATCTATTCGTCCATCTCTGTTTGTATCAGGTAGTTACGAAAGTACATCCGTACTCTCGTAGCTACTTGATTTTTTACTGCTACTTCGAGCTCGTATTTGAAAAAAAATAATTTTTCTTTGTAAGGGAAGAGGCTTCCCAACTCACCTGTCCGCCCCGCACTTAGGGGCATCGTGATATTATCTCTTCACACTGGTATGCTGGGCGCTGCCAGTGTTTGTATGGAACATTCTTTTCTCTCCGTCCCAAACCATCTCCATCGGTTTACCTTTCTATTGTTTCCTAGACACGATGAACTCCATGTCCATTGCACATCTACGATGAACTCCATCTCCGCGGAGGAACATATAGAAAGGTTGGACGTTATGCACCTTCGGTTGATCATGTGTCTCTCTGCATTTCAGATTGACGCATGATAAAAACATGATGTGAAAGTTAGGCGAACTTAGCATCATCACTGAGCATTTGTTTTTCTCGTGGTCGGCAGCATGCACTACGAAAAACTTTTTCGAACCAAAGTTGAAGCAGCTGACATTGAACACGTAGAAGGGAGGAGGAAACAAATGGAATAATGTTGTTCTCCAACAGTAGTGCCGCAGATCGATCCGCGGTCGCATTCGCCGTTATTGTATGTCGTTGTTCATGGCCAATAGTGGATGTTCGCGAATAGTTGTGGTTCTGTAATAAACCACAACTATTCGCGCAGTTAGCCCGGTGAAGCTGACTGCGCGAATAAGTTGTGGTTTTCTTGAAGGCGAGTCTCGGCTTTCTGGAAGGTAATTCGGTTTTTCTGCAAGGTAATTCGGTTTCTACTTGAAGGCAAATCGGTTTCTACTTGAAGGCAAATCGTTGTCTTTTTGATTTTGGTTGAAGCTCGGTGTAGTCAATTGCAAAGCTCGGTGTGGTCAATTGCAAAGCTCGGATCATGCAACTTCAAACCACTATCACATACTCAAATGCTCGGTGTGTCAAGATCAAATGCAAGGTGAAACGAGATCGAGTAGAAACCGTTTTCTAGTAAATATTACATGGTTTATGGGGGGGCAAATTATATTTTAAGCATTCATAGAGTATAAAGTTGAAATTTGGGTTGGATCCAAGAGGCACCCAAAGGCAAAGTCAGTAGAAGCTTCAAATCAGGTTGCGCTCGCTCGCTTGAATGTTGTTCACCCGTAGTGAGATTGACTCATCAGAAAAATGCAAATTATCTACACTAAAAGCGTCAACAAATTACTCGTCATAGTGATAGCGACAGGTGCAGAAATTTACAAAGCAACAAACCTTCATCTTCCATGACCAGTGTGTGTCGAGTTGTGAGACGAGATGAACGATGAGAGACTTAGATCTGGAGCATTTGCATCAGACGATTAGAAAGGCACCCGACGCCAACTACATTGTTGTCTATGCAAAAATATCAGTAGAACACCAGTTTTCAGTCTTCACTGGTCTCGTTTTCTTACAAATATTCTTCGTCTGTGTTGTTGTCGCTGTTTGTTGTGTTTCTCTTTCCCACTTTTTAAGATATCTCTATCACGTATGCTATGCTGCTCTCGTCACACTCACATGCGACATGGAAAATATGTGATCTGATCAATCTATACAGTTCATTTATCAAGCATTTACAACGAGAACGAATGCAACTGCAACCCCCGTCGTCGGATGAGCAGAGGCTGAATTTTTTGTCCATCCTTTTTGATAGCATTTTTTCCAAACGAAACATTCTAGAGGTAGGGAAAGCATCGGGAGAGAGGGGCTATCCGTTGGCTTTTCAAGACAAAACTGCGATAGTACGAATAACCACCTATAGATAGGGAGGCGGATCGACACTCCCTCGGTGCCCGGGCCCGCGCACCGATTACGGAACTGCACACAGACTTTCCTCGAGTACGACTACACATCAACCGCTATGCCGCAAGCAGTAATGCTCAGGCGGGTGCTGCTCGGTTGCTCGCTGTCCTCCGCACACACAGCCGAAGCTCTCCGAATCGACAATGGAAAGGAGTCAATAGAAACATGTACAGCAACTACCATCCTAGTTTTCTTGATTCACATAGAGATATTAAACGGTTTTCATCTGGAGGTTTCCATGACGCATAAAGAAACCACCGAGGATACGACCACTGCCTACGAAGATTGATAGAAAGCGCAAGCGAGAACAAAATTAATGAAAGACGGGCATAAATAACTACTCAAAGAGGTCGTAGCTAGAAAACGTGACAGATGTCGAAAAAACACACAATAAATACACGACAGCATTCCTGCTGACGCCAGGGGCTCAACAACCAGCGGAGTCGTCCGATAACGCTGCGTCTTCACAGCTTGATGCCCTCGTATCAAATGCAAATATGTCTGGGTCTGGAAGAGTGCAGATTTTTGTCATGCTGTTTTTGCATGACGCAAAAGGTCTGTCGTGGAAGCCCTAGCATCACAGATATCGAGAACCATCCGCAATGCCCAACTCGCATTACAAATCCCTCTTTTTAGTGACAGGAAGTGGGCACCTTTTACTGCCTATGCATGAGAGATTTGTGTGTGTTGTGAAATGCGCATCACAAGTTCACATCCTTCCAGACACAGACATATTTGCAATGCATACCTCGACCTCAACGACCATGATCTCTCGTTGCTCGAGTCACAGGCGACGATCGAGCTGCAGGCAGCAGGGCCACCACCGGTAGAAGATTGTCTGATGTGATTCTCCTCTGCTTTGTCTTGATGCTTTTTGAAATCATCGTGGCCCGCAAGAATTTATTCGGCTCCTCACCGCTCGCTCTTCGCAATTTTATCGTCTTCAGTTTTTGTTTTCCCAAGTGAAATCAGGAACGAGATTACATACGTAAGAAGGTAGCAAAACTACAAAAACTCTACAGAAGGATGCAGACGAAACGACAAAGGCCAACTTCCACTTGCTTACTCTGCATCAGCTCGCACAAAAGGCTGTCTCGCAAGGCAAAAAGACCCACAGTAGTCTGATGAATACCAAGCGCAAGGCGACTAAACAGGTATAGAGATGACAGGAGGAGCTTCACAAGAACTAGCGAAATATGTCGCTCTTGCTTTCTTGTTTGTACTGCTTAGTCCTGCTCGCAGTCATAAACGATTCTGTCACCTCGACGATGGTGCTTTTCTTGATGTTTTTCTGCTGGACAACCCATGCATGGCATAAATACTACTAGGATCCTCTGGCCGTGACCGGGAGTTCGCAAGGGTTTCCGGATCCGTACGCCGGTAAGTCAGACCTCGAGATTGTGCAGGACTGGTTGGGATCGGAGATTGCCAAGGGCATTGCCGCCTCGAGCAATCCGAATGCGACCCAGAACGCGGTGGCCCAGTCCATGGCATCCACGATGAAGACCATCGCGGGGGCGGCTGCCGCCGCCGTGCAGGCCGGTGCGTTTGGAAACATGGACGATATGACGCGCATGGCCGTGGTGGACAAACTGCAGGACATTGCGAGTTACAGCGGGCCACCGGAGGCCATCGCCGAAAAGGTTTCCGCCACCATTACCGAGATTCTCACCATTGCGAAAATGGCCAACACCACCACCGTATCAAATGTAAAAATGTCTGGGTCTGGAAACTTGTGATGCTGGGTGGCGTCTCATGATGAGGCTACAAATGCTGGCTCAGCATGACAAGTTTCTGAGCTCCTAGGTGTTTCCTATTCTGCATGACAAACTGCACTTCTGCATCGAAAAAGTGACGCGCTTCTGCATGACAAACTGCACTTCTTCTATTCTGCATGACAAACGCACGAAAAAGGTGCGCGGACTAAGGTCGGCTGAAGTGCTTGAAAGGGGTACGCTTCGGGGTTGCCCGTCATCGTGTTAGGATCATCGGGCGTGATCGATAGACCCGCTGTTTACGTACTAGCGCACAACCGGCCACAGAAGTAAGCTCGCGAGCAAGTTTGTAAGACTAACCCGTCAAGGCCACACCGAATTTCCACCTTGCTCGCGGGCTTGGATGGTAAGGGGGTTCTGCCACACATAGCGCCCACTGACCGCACATGCGCGTAAGAAATCGATAGCGGTTCTGCGGTTGCGGTCGGGTGATAGTTAGGAAGTGGATCGGGTATCCACCTAGGGGTATTGGCAGAGGCTAAATCTGTTCTAACGCCCAGGTATTGGCAGAGGCTAAATCTGTTCTAACGCCAACCCGCCAGGAGTCAAATGGTTACTACTACTACTACTACTGCATCACAGAAAAACGGAGCTCTTGGGTAACGGGCATGACAGATTTAAGAGTCATGCCAGACAAGCATGACAAACATGAATTCTTCCAGAGCCAGACATTTTTACATTTGATACACCGCCGCACCGCCCGCAACTACCGACGCACCACCTCCGGCAACCACGGTGGACCCCGCCGCTATCACACAGCAAATCGTCAACAACGTCACCTCGGCTATGAACATGCAGGCAAACAACCAACCAGACGGCGTAAGCTTGATTGTTTCTGTAGAAGATGAAAAAATGATGTTTAGCCATCATGTAAAACTCTTTCTCTTCTTGTGCATACAACACGATCTAAAAAAGAAGTACAAAGGAGTCCATTGCTCTCTAGGGATGAATGTAATATGAAATTTTTGGTGCAATGAGCGGGAACGGCCGGATCCCCTGCCGACAGCTTTGTTGCCTGGAAGCTCTCGTCCACAACTACAACATGCCAGGTGTGCAACGATCCCGACTGTGTGACCCAGAGTCCGATCTTGGCGGCTGCCAGCGGCTCTTCGACCACCACAACTACTTCGACCACCACCTCCACAACTACTACGACCACCACCACAACCACCACTACCACGACTACTACCACTACAACGACCACCACCACGACCGTCACCACGACCACAATCGCGACCACCGCCGCCCCAACGACGGCCGCCGCAACAGCCGCCGCCACGACGGCGGCTGCCACGGCCGCTCCCACCACGGCGGCACCCGCGGGTAACGCGTCGGGTAACGCCACCGGCACGCCGCTCCTGTTGGAGGAGGGAATGACCGAGGACGATTACCCAAGTGACGCGGCCTATGCGGCGCTGCAGGAGGACGCGGCGGCCACCGTGGGTACGGAATCGGAGGAGGAGGTAAAAGACCTGCTCGAGAAGGCGGAAGACGCGGGCGGCTACTTGAAGCCGTGGGCCACCACGGAAATCGGCATGTACAAGAAAAAGAAAACCCCGGAGCAGACTGCCGTAAAGAAGGAGGACGTGCAGTTGCCGGTGGTCCCCGCCTCGCATGTGGTGGATAGTGGCAAGGAAACGGAGGCTGCGAAGGCAGACGAGGGGGAGAAGAAGCCAGAACCAGCTGCCACGGGGGAGAGCGAAAAGGCGGTGGTGTCCACCATCCAGACTGCCGCGTCGTCGAGTGCCTCTCCGGCCGGCGTGCCCAAGCCGGCGAAATCGTCGTCCACCGAGACCGGGGGCGGCCATGCTGCTTCGTCCTAAAGCAGGTGTTGAGCACGAATTGCGGAAATGGGGAGAGTAAACAAAGATCAGCAGCAGGCTTCTTGAAAAAGCGAAAAAAAACAAGGGAAGGAGGTGCCGGTGAAATTTTACTTCGATGATGTGGGGAAGGCGATGCACAAGCAGCCGAAAAAAAGTACACTAAGAGGAACAGTTCAGTGAGAATAAAGACCATGACGCCCTATAAAAATTATGGGTGAGCCTGAGCGACCCGAGTTAGCCGTGAAAGAAAGCAGAAGTGCAAAAAATGTCGCACAAAAAATGTCGCAGTAAGCCTGGCTATTTATTAGTACTGATTTGGACCGACTTCAAAAATGTTAAGAAAATCGGAAAAAAATCCGCAAAAAATCCAGGCACGCCGCAAAAAATCGACTTTGTGCTGCGGCTGCTAACGTCCACAAGCGAAGCAAAGTAGCGCGAAACGAAGTCGGTTGCCCGCGTTCTCGAAGCTCGAGAATGCGCCAACTCGGTCTCGCGGCAGTTTTTGCCGGTGTCCTCAGGCGTTAGGCCCCACCCTGGAGCATCCGGGCTGTCAGAAAGATTCCCGCAGCCGGGTTGGGGACGCCGGGTTGTCATATTCCGCCCGGCGGGCGGTGCTCACAAAATCGCTTTTGTGAGTACTCGCGGACAGATTCGATTTTGTGCGCACCCTTCCGGTACGCTTCTCAAAGATGCCCTATCCTCGGGCGGGGCCACACAATCCGCGCGTGGTCGCAAATCGATTTTACCAACACAAATGCCGGAAAATCCGGCAAAAGCTGCAAAATTGATTGCGTGGGGCGAAGTCGCAGAGGACGGGCCTCTGCCCGCCTTGGATCGATGTTTCGGTCGCACGCTACAGGCTCAGGGATGATCGCGAATTCCAGAACTTGCGCCCCGATGAAGTTCCGCGCATTCACCGTGTTGGCCCAGCGTAAAAACCAATGAGAATTCCCGAGATTGTGGATTTACATCCGGGCCCTAGTTCTGAAAAGCCGCGGGAGTGGCATGGGCCCCGTCTGCGTGTTCTGAGCTCCGTAGAGGCGCCAGGAACAGGCTCTCGGCTGGCGCGGGGGTCGCAAAATCGATTTTGTGAACAAGGCAGCCCTCGGTGGGTGCCGCGGCTCAGTCCTCGACAGCCGCTGGGCGCTTGGGGCGCAGAGTCGGGGACTTTAGTCACTTCAGGCTCGCAGAATTGTCTGTGGGTTCAATCACCCGAGGCGCGCAAAATCGATTTTGCTGGCCCGCTCCTTGTGCGGTGTCTGCGTGAGTGGTGGCGCGGGCACAAGAGGTGGTGGGCCTGCTATGTGGGCAAGGTAGGTGGCAGTCCGGCTGCTTGGCAAAATCGATTTTCCAACTTCCTGAAAATCCAGAGGTTCAAGTGTTCCGGAAGTCCGCGCGTTGGACTTTCCGGGACTGCCGAAAAATCGATTTTCCGGGTTCCGGAAATTCCGGAAATTCTAAAAAATCCGGAGTTTGCGAAAAATCCGGAATTTTCCGAAATCGAAAATCGAGATCGGGACATCAGCAAGTCCTCGAAATCGAAAACCGAGGCGGAAAATCGCTTTTCTGCTTCATTGCTACGGAGAACGGACCAAACCTGGTCCATACCATCGGCGGAGGCAGTTGCTTACTATCCAGTTGGTAATCTGCTGCCAAAAATCCGAGCGCTTGCATTTTCAAGAGATTCGGAGGCGCACCAAAGTCGATTTTCTGTGTGCCAAAAGTGCGCCCAAGTGTGCGCCAAAAGTGCGCAGGAGTTACTATTCAATAGTAACGAAGACGGACCAAACCTGGTCCATACCATGGGCGGAGGCAGTTGGTTACTATTCAATAGTAATTACTATTTTGCTCGGGACGCAACACAAAACAAATCGTATTTTTGTGTGCGACACCTCGAGTGCGACTGCCTTCGGATTTTTTTTGGATTTTTGGCAGCAGATTACCAACTGGATAGTAAGCAACTGCCTCCGCCGATGGTATGGACCAGGTTTGGTCCGATCTCGCTACTATTGAATAGTAATGGAGGCACGACATCGATTTTCTGCTATTTTCTAGGAAGCTTTATTTTCCGGAAGTCGGAAAATCCGGACCGCAGCGATCTCCCGAGATCTTTCCGGAAGTCCAGATCTCTTCGGAAAATCGAATGTCCGGCAAGGTGCCGACGTTGTCCATAGGGTTGAGGGGCTGCAGAATCGATTTTGTGGCCGGTAGGGCTCGTTGCCCGTACCTCATAGGGCGCGGGCTGGGACGGGGGTTGGTAAGGCATTGGCGTGGGAGACTGCATCCGCGAAGAAAGGGCGGACGCACAAAATCGATTTTGTGGGAGATCCGCTAAGGCGCATAGCGGGATGGAAGCTCTCCCCCCTAGTCCGTCGGCCCGGCGGATTGCGTGGCGCGCCGCCTCGATATTGAGCCACGCAGCCGCTCGATTCGGTCGGACCTGGGAAGCTGCGAAATCGATTTTGTGTGGTCGGGCGATTGTGTGGCCTTCGACAGCGATTGCGCGACCCACAACGGCGAACCTGTGGCCAGCACAAAGCCGACCTTTTGGTCGGCGCTGCGTTCTGGGGGAATGGAAAATCGATTTTGTGCAATCTGCGGGATTGCGCGTCTGGAGGAGGGGTTTTGTGCAATCCGCGCCTCCGTGATTCGATTTTGTGCAATCTGCGTTCTGTGCGATGCAAAATCGATTTTGTGGAATGCAAAGTCGATTTTGCGGGATTCGGTTTTGTGCAATGCAAAGCCGTGATGTGGTTTTGTGCAATGCAAAATCGATTTTGTGCAATGCAAAATCGATTTTGTGCAATGCTAAATCGATTTTGCGGGATTCGGTTTTGTGCATATGCAAAATCGATTTTGTGCAATCCGCGTCTGAGGGAATGCAAAATCTATTTTGTGCAATGCAAAATCGGGACTAGGTTTTGTGCAATGCAAAATCGATCTTGTCCAATGCAAAATCGATTTTGTGCAATGCAAGATCGATTTTGCGGCATTCGGTTTTGTGCAATGCAAAATCGATTTTGTGCAATGCAAGATCGATTTTGCGGCATTCGGTTTTGTGCAATGCAAAATCGATTTTGTGCAATGCAAAATCGGGCTTCGGTTTTGTGCAACGCAAAATCGATTTTGTGCAATGCAAAATCGATTTTGTGCAATGCAAAATCGATTTTGCGGGATTCGGTTTCGTGCAATCATGCAAAATCGATTTTGTGCAATCCGCGTCTGCGGGAATGCACAATCGATTTTGAGCAATGCAAAATTCGGGAATCGGGAATCGCCCCCCTTAGGTTGGTTGGCTCTGGCCTCTACAGTTTCGCCGCGCCACCGGATTTTTTTTCGATTTTCTTGGCCGATAAAAAGTTGGTCCAAATCACTACCAATATTTAAAACTGAAAAAGTCACAACGCTTTGTGCAATTATGATTTACAACTACTTTACTTTCTATACTACACTTTGCAACAAGAACAAGTCAATTTACTCGTTACAACTTCAACAAACAACGGAAATTACTGAACCAATTATAGTCAGAAAAAGAACAGCTTTTTACTCAAACCAAATACTAGACTCAATGGCGATAGCAGTTCCAAGTTTCGGGAATCAGTTTTTTCACTCTTCTTGCACAGGTTCGCTAAGTAGTTTCAGATAAAAATTCAAAGAATTTACAGAATCAACAACAATGACCGTCGCGGCCTCCAAAGTCGTTTCTTGCATTGTTTTTGAAAAAATGAATCTGCCCTACGCTACTTTTTACGACTGAATGTACACTGGGAATAGGAGGCCAGCAGTCAAATTTTGAAGGATTTGTCACGAATTTATTGGTCACCAAGTGACATTGACTGAACAAAGCTACCGTGTATTTTTCATGGACATGAACATAGATGGCAAATGCGCAAGAAAAAAGAAAAATAAAACAGAAAAGCACACAGTGCTGACAGTTAGTTACTACAAGCTCTTCAATGAATTCATGGGCAATTAGGACACGGAGGCATATATTGTCGAAAGAACCGCGAATAGAGAGCTAACTACCTGATTTCGTTTTCGTGGACAAAGAAGGAGAGAAAGCGACTCCTCGTGTGAAAACGGTTTTACATGAGTTTTTTCTTCCTCTGTTTCATCTGCATTCAGCGTCATCGACCGAGCGCATACTTAGACGTCGTGGTCGTGATGCTTGTGTTGTGTGGTCGAGGGGATAGGCTCGAGAATTCGTTGCAGGTAGGACAAACAAAGAAATTTCTAGAGATTGGACAAACAAAGATTGCCCAGATTCGTGTGCCCGTGGTGCAAAGCGTTGCGTCGTTCCCTGCCCCGTTCTATCGAGCCACATGATAAGAGGCCACCGCCGACCACCACACCCTGCGAAAGAAATTTCTGTATCTGTATCTGTAGAGTGAGCAGTCGCTTGGCAAACCTACGGCGTAATTTTGATCCCAAAGCTAAAGCTTCATCCGACTTCTCGTGTAATCACAGAACCACGACCATCTCGAGGATAAAAATCATAGTGCGCCGCGAATTCCAGTTGTTCTTGTTACTCGCTGTTGTACTTGTCTCAAGATGGGATTTTCTATCCATCTGCACCCTGACTTCGTGCTCACGAACGAGCTTTCCTCCAGCAGCACCAGCCCGTCGATTTTCAAGCTCCACGCGCAAAAGACGCCGTGTTTCCCCACTACTTCCTTCGCCCAGTGCAGCTACCGACGTGGTGCTACCCTTCCCAAAGCTGCGTGTCCAGGCGTCGGTTCCCAGGCGGCTTTGGATGGAGGTGGCGCAGGGGGTTGCGCTGTGCAGCCACCGGCCTGCTGTGAAGCCGCGCGCCGGGCAGAAGCAGCTGCAAAGATGATTAAAGACACGATGGATAGTATCAAAAGTCTATGTTTTATTTCTTTGTTTGAACACCTACACCGAAACAAGGTTAGGTTTAAGTATCTATCAGTTCGAGAAACGGGCACGTTCTGCTTTGAATCTGATATACCACTGGTTATTCTTTGCTCTCTTTTGCATTCGCTGCATTACCTACCAGGTAATTGGTTGCTGAAACTTCTAAACTTCGGTGGCGGGGTGCACGTTGGCAACGCAGGAAAAGAAACGGGTGCTGCTCCAGCGGGCGGTGGAGCGCCAGCAGGTGGAGCTGGTGGAGGTGGAATATTCGGCAGCTTTTTTGGTGGCGGTAGCGGAGCTGCAACGGCAGGCGCGAGCGGTGGACCGCAAGCAGCCGGGATGAACGAGTTCACAATTGCAGCAACCGCGTGCGCAGCGAAGTTCATCACACAGGGAGGCGCAGGAAGCTTTGAACCGCGCAAGGACGAAGTACGGAACGACCGCAAAACACAGACTAACACACAAAGTCCGTTTCTCTGACAGCGTTTTTGCAGAACTGCAACTACTTACAATGATCGGAAGAATTTGGATTTTCCAAGAACAAACTAACACCTCACGACTCTTCCCCTTGTAATAAAGACAGTCAAAGAAGATGATACAGAGGGAAATGCGTTTTCTGAGCTTTTTGTTTGAAATGAACCTTCATTATTCAGCACACGGGCCCGATAGAAACTCAGCAAGAAGGACAGAATTCTGTTTCGACGTATTTTTGCAGATCATTTATTCGCTGAAATAAAACTATCAAGATCAAAAAGTGGTCTCGCGAGCCTCTTAGTGCTTATGTGAGATGACTTTCATCTTTGCTTGTTCTTGCACCGGTATGGCACGTTTACCAACGCGAACCGCGGTTACTAGTAAGTACCCGAGTTTCGTCGCTTTTCCAAACGGTGCCAGTTCGCGAAAAGATGTGAGCCCGCGTCTGTCTATCGAGGGATTGAGTAAGAGGCAACGCCAGTCGCCACCTAAAGTAAACATCTTTGCGCTGCTTGTTTTCTGAGAGCCAGCCTGTCGTGGAGGTGGACCAAAAAAGCACGGTGGCATATCAAAGTAGAGCGACGCCTATAGCAAAAATCAAAACCATCAAACAAGTAGTCCAGTACTACAGTGAAGATGTTTTTCCGCCGGTCCCTTCGGCGCATGGCACCCCCCGCTCGAATATCCAAAGAGGATGTGACGACAGCGCTAAGTGGGTCATCTCTGCTCCACAAAGATTGGCGATTTCTCGACGAGGCCACGACCAAACGACCCGACCGTCTACGAAGAGAGCTGCAGTTCACCGACTTCGAAACCGCGTGGAGCTTTATGTCGAAGGTAGCGCTGCGGGCGGAGAAGGTGCAGCATCACCCGGAGTGGTTTAACGTCTACAATCAGGTGCATATTGAACTCTCAACCCACGACTGCGGTGGCATATCAGAAAAAGACTTTGCCCTCGCAGAGTTCATCGACCAATGCGCGACTGACGCTGGAGAAAATAAATGACGGATACTGGTGATCGGGGATGGCGGGTGTGAGCTGCCAACACGAGCGACACAAAAAAAGTGTAATCAAAAGCATAGATAAGTACAACAACAACGACAGAAGCGAAATCAGTGCAAGATGGTTAGGTTAGCGTTAGCAGTGTCGTGCTGCGTGTGCGTATCCTCGAAGTCGTGTGTTGCACATACATTACCATGAAACTAGCACGGTGTGTATTTTCCGATCTCAGCCTCACGAGTTCGGCTTCGGACAAGCACAAGTCGAGAGATGCTAGAAAACTTGCATCAGCCTGAAACCCGCAGGAATAGCGAGCAGAATTGACGATGAGAGATAGAGTGATGCTGCCGCTCATTATTATTTTATAATTTTCCGTTTTCCCTCTTGCTCTTACCGTGCGGTGCCTAGGTTGTACTGAGTGACGCGTTATCATCAAGCTGTTTGTACAGCCGTGGACACGGACTGCCCTTGATGTGGTAGTGCTCCGTTGCACACTAGTACACATTCCTACAACCACCTTCTTCGTACAACATCAATGCTTCATGATTCTCCCACGCCTCCAGTTGTTTGGGGACTTAAATCAAAATCCGGGTCCTTGTTGGCCCGCTACTTCTTCGTATGAGACAACTGTAGACTTTTCGAAACGAAAGAGAGGAACTACAAATGCTGCAGTTTGCCCGCCGGCTGGCGGAGAAAACTGCTCCCAAGGGGCTGCTCGGGGCGAGCTTCTTCCAGAATTTTAGAGGCAAAAGCACTGCAACGGCTACCTCCGCCGCAACCCGAGGAGCAATCTTGCGCTCTTCCGGGCCTAGACGGTTTCTCTTCACCAACTATGAAGCTCCCGGCGCGAACCAGGGTGGCTATCAGCAACATGCATACTTCTCGCAACCGATGTACAACCTGCTCTCCTCCAAAATCTACATCTACTGGGTAAAAACATGATGGAAATTTGAGATACAATTTGTTCTAGTGAGTGTTTGCGCGGATCACGGAAGCAGAAGAGACACGAACGCGAGCCAAAAAAACTAAAACTAACCTCAGGTCGTCGTTTTCGGTGTAGGAGCCAACATGACGTTTTTGCCGATGCACTTTCTGGGTTTCAACACCATGCCGCGTCGTTACAACGAATCTGCGGACGCCTGTCAAGGTTGGAACATTATGTGTACGCAGGGTTCATTAATCGCGGTGCTCGGGGTCTGGTATCTCAAACGGTATTAGAGCTAGAGAGGCAGTTTGACAAAATACGTAAAGGCGTTGCCTGGAGAGCCGGAAAGTGTAGTGCAAGTGCTATCAAAAGGAAAAATCCCCCTTCCCCATATCGAAATGGAAATCTGTGATGCAGGATTTGGGTACACAAATCGGATTTGTCTTGCAGTAAGGCATCGCAGCCAGATCCTCGGCCTAGGTAGGGGCGTATAGGTCTAGTTGCTTAGCATTGCAAACGGGTGCCCCCTAGGCGCAACAGCATGCCAAATCGCGTCCATAATGGTGCGGAAGCCTCTGCGCCTGTCTTCTTGCAAGACAGACGTGATTTGTGACCTCAAATCAGCAACACAAATTTTCAGAAACATACCTTTTCGATGTGGGGAGGGGGGATTTTTCACTTTGATAAGTGCATCATGTCGTGGAAGACATCGACCCATAGATGACGGCGAAGATGAAGATGTACTATATACGAGGACAGGACACTCGCAATCATTGGCGTTTGTAAATCAGGAGACACTTTCTGCCTGAAGCTGAACGCACGAGCACACCGGTGTGCGTTGCGGAGTTCTAAAGCCTGTGCAACCTCCCCAGATTCTTGAAGTGCATGTAGCATTCTACTTGATGTTGTTTTGCACGTTGGCCTTCCAGCTGGCACGACAAAGTGTGTACACCGTAGTAGTGGGCAAGTACAAGTAGGGAGGAAAAAATGCCAACATGACGCTGTTGCTACCTATACTTTCATCCGAAATTTCATCAAAAGTGAAGATGATGAAAGTTGCTGGAGCGAAAATTTAATTACTGAGAGGGTGTACTTTACTTTATCGAGTGAAGCGGAAGCGCGTATGCAAATGCATGACGCCAAGCGTGGCTCGGTGAGAGCGCTTGGACGAACATTACCCACGAGGACAACAGTCCGCCCTAATAGTGTTGCAGCGACGAATGCGTCGCCAAGTTCCATCGCAAAGACAATTGAAAAGTATCAGATTTAGACAATGGCGGGAGCATCAGGAGGCGCAACCGGCAGCGGTGCGGGGGCGCAGTCGAGTACTGCCGCAACCAGCGCTCGGAGTTCCTTGCCGCCATCCAACCGAGGAACCATGGTGGCGCAGCAAGGAACTGCTCAGCCGCAACATCAACAGCAGACCGACCAACCGCAGTCGTCCGAGAAGGACAACATCAAAGGGTCCAGGATTCGGGTAGCTGTTCGAATTCGCCCGTTGCTCGACGGGGAGTCCGGTAACCCCGACAGCGTCGTCGTGAAGCCCGACGGCAAGACTATCGCGATCAACGTTCCACCGGGGAACAGTTTGCACCATCACCAGTCAGCTTCTAGCGCGGCTTCCCCCCGCGACCACTACGCGATAGGGGTTCATCCCCACCCGTCGAGGAGTAGCACGACCGGCACGGCAGGCGGGTCTTCGAGCAGCCGAGGCCGGCGAGACGAGAAGACTTTTGCGGTCGACCAAGTTTTCGACAGTCGCGTACCTGGGCGCTGTGGGCAGAGTGTCGTGTACCAGCAATTTTGCGGCGACTTGGTAGATAACGCAGTCGAGGGCTACAATGTGTGCGTGTTCGCCTACGGCCACACGGGCACGGGCAAGACCTACACCATGCTGGGAGACTACAAAACCACAAGTCTCCACGCTGAGGGGGAGAATGTGAATGGTGCTGTCACGACTGGTGATCCACCACGGAGCTACCCAGCAGGTGGCCCGCAAGCCGGGCGAACGGTGTCGTCGAACAGCAACAGAAATTCGAAATCAACCACGTCCTCGTTCCTCCCCTCGCCGCGGACAGGACAGCTCCCCTCGCCGGTGACGGCCCAGAGCCCGCAGCTGCTCACGCCGCAAATCACGGGCGAAGCGGCGGGGATCGTGCCCCGGATGCTTCGCAAGTTGGTGGAGCAGCACAGCGACAAGTTTGATTTCACGCTTGCCTACTACGAAGTGTATCTAGAGAAGATACGAGATTTGGTATTCGGGTGCGGCGTACCGGGAAACAATCTCCACTACGGGGAGCAGCACCAGTCCTGCAGCCCATCGCAGATGGAAGCTGCGAATCACGCCGTCTACGACAACGTGCTAACTGCAGCGGGGCAGCAGGTGTTTCTACGAAAGGCACCCAAGTCGGAAGAGCAGAACGAGTTTGATCCGGAGAACTTGTTTGACGACACGGGCTCCACTGGACCGCATGGAGGGAAACCACCAGGAAATACTTTCCCCAACCACCTCGACGTGCCGGCAAACCTCGTACAAAACCTGCAGCATCACTCGCCCGTGCAGCAGCACCCGCAACCGGCGCCCTTCAGCTCGTCGCCGGTGCGGCCTGTGGCGAAGAATGCCGGCGTACCGGAGCCGAAACTGAAGTACGACCCCCGTTTTGGGGTTTACGTGGTCAACATTTCCGAGTGCGTCATTCAGAATGTGGCGCAAGCGCTCAAGTGCATTCAAGTCGGGAACCGACGCCGCAGCTCGGCGGCCACGCGCATGAACCGACAGAGCTCTCGGTCGCACGCTATCATTGAGCTGCGCTTAGTGCCCAAGGACGTGCCGCCCCCCGAGGGGACGACGGCCAACGAACGGGGCATCTTGCGAACGACGAGCGGCAACCGCTTGACGCTGGTCGATTTGGCTGGCAGGGAGCAAGAAAAGAAAATCATCGCGGAACACCAGAACGAACTGCGCAGGAGCGAGACCCAATTCATCAACAAATCACTTTTCCATCTGAGTCTCTGCATTTCGCGGCTGCTGGAGGAGGACACGAAGGCGAGCAAGCGCAACTCCAGAGTCGTGCAGTCCGCTTTGGATTCGGCGAAAGACAGCAACCCAGGCTCCGAGCGCGGAAGCTATTCAAGCATCACTCCGCGCGACCAGGTTTTGCAAATTGAAGGCGTTCCGAAAAAAACGCAGTTGGTTGAGTTTCGAAACTCTCGACTTACCATGCTGCTAGCAGGTACTAACTTTTGAACATATAGTACTCAGATCATGTTGATGGGTAGATCCTCATTCTTGTTAACATTAAAGCAAAATTTCTTTTTGGAATCGACACTGATAGTTCCTTACGTTGTTTATCACGAAGTTGAAACGACCTTTTGCTTCCACGTGAACCCTTTGCACAGATGCGCTAACCGGGAACTCAAAGACGGTACTGATGGGGACGATTTCTCACGAAAATTCGCTGATGGACGACACTTTGGCGACTCTTCGGTTTTGCAGCGACGTGCGGAAAGTTACGACGAAGCCGCAAATCAATGCGAACCAAACCCAGTTCGATCTCGTGCAGTACCTGAAGGAGGAGGTATTTAAACCACTTATGTCGGCGGTTTTTTGCGTTTTCGGAAGCCTTTCCGACTGCGCATATTTCGCCCCTGTATACTTTTTCAGAAGGTTACGACAAAGCCGCATTTGTCCAGTTATCTTGCAGTTTTGGGGTCCAGAGCACGACCTAGAAATTCCGTTGCTGGAATCGGCAAGGGAACAAACATGCCTGCTCTACCTCTTCACTGAATGTTCCTTGAGGGGCAGCAGCTGAGTGCAGCTATAGGTATAGTTCTTTTGATTTGGATCTGCAAACACTATACATAGGTTTCCGACCTGACGCATCGATTGAACGCGGCGGAGACCAAAGGCGAGCAGCTGATAATGGATATGGAAAAGAAAGAAGACCTCGTGAGCTTCTACAAGTTCACCTTAGAGAAAATCCGAAACGCACGCGTGTCTCCGCACGGGAGCCCCCGGCTCTCCGGAGGCGCGGGCGGTTTGCACGCACGGAAACGCTCGAGCTCCCGTCACCGCGGTGGCGGCCGCGGAAGCAACAACTCCACCGTTCGCAGCCCTACCGCAAGCGAGCACTGCGGACCTCAACATGAGCCACACCATGGCATGCACAATACGGGCAGCGCAGGTGCCGTCGGGGGTCAACAAGTTCAACAGCATCCCAATAAAGGAGCCCCCGCTTCGTTCCACCCGCGGAGGAGCCCCAGTAGTTCGCGCAACAGTGCATCGACGGCAACCGGCGTCGGAGGTACAACAGCCGCAACCGCAGCGCAGCCATACGTGCCTCACCATCCGCCTGGCGCGGAAGTGCTTTTTTCAGAGAGGTTCAAAGAAGTCGTCGGGACCCACTTACGGCACGTCGAGCAGTATGTACAGGAAGCAAATCGCATTACCGATGCGCACTACAACGATACGGACCGACAACGCCGCGACACGTATCTGTGTTTCGAGACGCGCGTATGCATTGACTACTTTGCGTGCGAACAGGAAAACCAAAATGCGGCCGGGTCGTTGCACCAAGAACAGTACAACTCGGGCGGCACCTCGTCTACATCGTGCTCGGCGTCCGCGACGTCTAGTCGGGCGGCCTCTCACGAGCAAGCGGCGGCAACATGCAATACCTTACATACAGGGATGACGCAGCAGGGTAGCAAACCCGGGACTGTGACCTTCAACTTCGACCGGGACATGGCCCAGCACGAATCTGCAATGGCCACTGGTACGGCAAGCGCAGCAGGAGGCAACCAGAGTCGGAAGATGGACCCAAATGACCACCACCCAGCGAACCTGGTGGATGTTGCGACAAAGCAGAAATTTGGCCGCATGTTCGAGGTGTCCATCGGAGTTTACCGAAGGAAGCGGCGGCGGAGCGAGGCGGACCTGCAGGCTAGCGAGATGAAATATGGGGCGATTGCATTTCTGACGCTCGATCAGTTGATCAAGCGCGTCACGAAAATGCATGCTATCGCGAAGTCCGTTGAGGCTGGCTTCACGATAGAGGAAGCCTTTGACGCCTGCGGCGGTGATCCCTGGTATTTCGTCCGAGGAGAAGTGCCAAGAAGAAAGCGCTCGCAGAGAGAGGATGCGGGTACTCAGTTGCTGATGCCCGCTGATTTCTATTTCCTTGCTTTCTTCGACTCTACACAAAGACGGCGGCAGAATTTGATTTTTTTGTATTCACTTTGGTTCTTGCAGCAAGAAGTTGTGAACTTCTGATTTTGCTTCAATGTTTCTCTTTGTCTTTCTTCCTATTGTAGATACGCGCATGATTGATTTTCGAAAAATTACACCAGGTGCTCCTGCAGAAAATGATCGCAGTGGCGCCACGCCGTCCACCCTAAAGCCAGCAACACCGGTGGAGCGGGAAGATCTTGCGGCCCAAGGAGAAGAATCTAAAACATATCACGAATCCGAACCGGCTGAAGATCAAATCAACTTCTCAGCCACGGAAAACGAGCAGACCAGTCAGTTACCAGCGCACCTGGAGTTTTCCGAGCACGAGATTGCGTTGCGGCAACAGTTAATGCTCTGTCTGGAGTCGTTTCTGTCCGAAAAGGAAAAAAACAACTTCGTCGGGGTTCGCGCCTTGTGCACCCGGTTGAAAACTTCCCTTGAGGAGGATTTCTGGCGCACCCGCTCCCCGAACAAACACACGCGAAACAGCCAGATGCTTGCCGCCGCAGCGGGAGCAGTGATGGCCGCGCAGCAAGGGGGAGCTGGAATAGATCCCTATGGAGCATCAGGTGCTCACGGTTTCAACATCGCGGCCGCCGCCGCCGGTGGGGGTCCGGCACCACCAAACGTGGGTGCGTATGTCCGCAGCAACCCGGATAGTCTGAACAACTCGGCGTCTATTGTGCGTCCGAAGATCCAGCTGCCCACACAGGAAATGGTGACTCGGTTCACCCAGAAGCAGTTGCAGCAACAGCAGCTGCACCAGTTACAGCAGCAAAATGGGACCACGATGAAAGACAGCAAGGGAAGCACGACCAGCGCCAGCACCGGGCACAGCGGTCATCAAGTTGGTGACCCCGGTCCACCACCGCAGCCCCGTCGGGGATCCGCAGGAAGTGCGACGGCTTTGCTCGCTGCTCCGCCGACCGGGCGCAGTCCAACCGGAGCGCCGGAATCCACTGCACGTCCGGGACAGCTCCCTGCAGCAAACCATGGAGCCAAGACGGCGACCGGCCGAACAACCACCCCCGGAGTTGGCACACCGGCGGGGCAGCAAATGCGCACTGATCATGACGTACAGCGGAACGAACCGCCGGTGGAAACGCGTCTGGGCAGTACTACCAGCATGTCTGCGGCGCGGTCCCCGCATTCGGAGTTCATTTTTCAGAACTTTGCAAACTCGACGTCTTACTTGTTTCCACAGCACGGGGCGTCGAGCGTGCCGTACAACCAAATCGGAGGTGAAGCGCAAAATCTGAAACCCTCCTCTTCCTCATATGTGCATAACGGCTCCAACACCGGAGCATTGGGCGCAGGCACCGCCGCCAGCGGTCCGCGCGTCCTCTGGAATAACCAGGCACCATCGCTGAAAGCGAGTCCGCGCGGCCAGCAGCCGAGTTCGCTGACGACCAGAAGCCCGCTCACATCGACGTTCCAAAGCCCCAGGATAGGGATGTTTGCTAACAACAAACCGGCGGCGGGTGCTGCAGCTACGGGCAGCGGAGGTGCGGCGTCTTCAAGTTCCCAGCTTCCGCCAACAGCGGTGCCCAGTTATGCAGGAGCGAATACGCAGCAGGCTCGCGTCACCTACCCGGGCGGTGCGAGTCAGCGATCGCAAAACTCGGCGGCGAGCACCTCGGTTCTGATGGTGCCCCCCGGGGCGCACTCGGCGCAGCTGCAGCAGCTTCCGTCGCCGACGGCAAACCACCTGCAGCCTCCGGTACTCGCGACGCGAAATTTTTCTCCCGTATCCCAGTATCGAAGCGTCGTTCCGAAACTGAATCTCCCACCGACAGCAAGTTTCTCACCCAGCATGCCAGCACGGGTCACAGCGGTGAATGCAGCTGCGGTAGCACAGCACCTGCAACAGCAACAGCAGCAGCAAACTGTTGCAGGTGGAGGGATGAATGTTGCGAATGCAGCCACGAACCGCGGCGACAGCGAGCCGTCTGCGCGTGCCGTAGAAAGAGGTTCTTTGGTGCAGCAAATACAAAAAACGACAAGCCTGACGGGAAACAAAGTTGGCGGCAACTACACCAATCATGCAAATTTGCAGATCGAAGTGCCGCCTGCGAACGGCGGACCGGGGAGCCAGTGGTCCTCCCAACAGAACACGCCGCAGACCATCACCTCGCCATCATTGCTCGTGACACCGACGCACAACTACGCACCAGCACCGCTAGCTCCTCCGACCCAACACCAGCAGCCGGAGCAGCAAGGTGTGACAACAAATAATGTAGTTCCTGCGACAATGAATCCCTACCAAAACCAGAGGGTCAAGTACTTGTCGCCACGCGGTATAGTGACTGCAGGTGGAGCTCCTGCTGTTGCTTTATCTGGTAGTACTACACAGCAGACTGTGGGAGCACATACATCACAGCAGCAGGTGCAGTACAACTTGCAACAGCAGTACGTTGCAGCGCAAGCGCAGCTGCCAGTGCATCAGCAGCTCCCGCTCACCTCTTCACAGCTGCACAGCTTGCCTCCCAGACACGGGTCCTTTGCCTCTGCGATGTCGGGCCGCGAATCCGTCCAATCGGTCGGAGATTCGCTCATGTAGCAGGATATGAGTGCGTTCTACATCGCACTTAGCACTTAATTTTTTGCATCACCATTTGCATTTTCATTCTGTTCCTGCCCCCATGCAGCTTGAGTTTCAGATTTTTTCAGTATGCTCATGCCTATTAAAAGCAGCCTTCGAAGACATGCGTCAGCGAATATCACAAAGTCTAGAAGATGTTACAATCCGATCCACGAGGCAGGGGCACTTTTTTGCCGAAGTGTGCCTTGATGAAGATGTACACATAGACGATAGAAACCATTGACTCAGTTAAAGGTTCCGTTACGCTTTGGGCAGTTCGCGTGTTTAGGCTCTCCTATCGTACTGCCGCGATACATATATGACATTTTACCTGTCCCTGTAGCCATATTTTTGGAGCGGAATGTGAAGCAGAAGAACACGCCGCGCCGCTGAGATCAGGAGCGAACGAGTAATAACACCCTGTAAAAGAATTCTTGACCAAGCGAAACCAAGAGAACACGGGCCATGAAAGTCTACGACTTGTTTTTATTGACCACCTGACGGGTCTAGAAAAAAAAAATAAAAAATCAACCGACAGAGAAAAGTCCAACCCGCACAGAGAAAACTTCGCAACACATAAAAAACTTCCGTCGTGCAGAGAAAACTTCCCGCGGTGAACATGGTCGCAGAACTAACCTGCACGCGAGACACTGGCGCAGCTTCTGCACGCCTACCCTCGCGCGGTCGGCCGGCGTGCGTTTTATTGTTTTTGGAAAAACTCCGCGCCGAGCGGCATCCGTGGCTGCTTTGCGGCTTCAATACGTAGGCGCGGAGTTCCTTCACGCCTTTGAATGAAGCTAGTCCGTGTGGTGCTGTGGAAGGGTTGGCCGAGGCGGCGCACGTGCATCCACAGGGCCGCTAGGCTTCGCCGGGGTGTGCAACCACAAAAGCGCGCGGCGGCGCCTTCAGGCTATTGGGGGCGCGCGCCGTGCTGGCGTGTGGCAGCGAGCGCGCAGGCCCGCGCGTGCGCAAATTCCTGGCGGGCTGCGTGTGTCCTGCGTGCAGGGCCGGGACATCGCCGCTATTGGCCGAAAAAATTAGTCCGCGCGCTTCGCGCGCGGTTTCGGCGGGTAACTTTTTCTGCTGGGGCCCGCCCTCCGTCCGCCGGGCCGGCCTACCCGCCCCGCCTTGGCTTTTCTTGCCGATAGAAAAATCAAACACGAAAAAGCCCCCCGGATTCCCATTTGGGGCGCTTCTCGTTCTCGTCTGGGTTGCAAAAGTTTTTTTAGGTTCGCGCGCTTTTTGTTGCTACGGCCCCGCCCGGGAAGTGGCGGACGGCAAAAACTGTCTGGGAACCGGATTCGGAGCCGGAAGCCGAGAAAAAACTCCGCGCGCGCTGCGCGCGCGAGTTAATATGGTTTCTGGTTGCTTAGGGGTAGGGCAGGCCCGTTTGTGCTAGGGCGGAGCTTTTCAAGAATGCCGGGCCCGGTACAGTGTTTCTCCTTCGAGCTCCTGTTGGGTTTTGCAATTTTGCCGGCGCGCGCCGCGCGCCTGTCTAATCCTTTCCAGGATTAGAAGCAATTTGCGTTGTCGCGCATGTCCCATGTCCATGCGCGCTCCCACCCACGCCCTTCAAAGGAAGCAAAAGCGGCTGCCTGTGTCGCCGTAGGCCATGCGAAATAATTCTTCGCGCGCGCTGCGCGCGCGATGCGGGTACCCTAATGCCGGCCGAGGCATTTCTACCTGGATTCCGGGCGAGGATGCCGGCTCGGGCCTTTCTGCCTACCTTGATTCTCTCTCAGTAGAAATGCTGGGCCTTGCATTTCTGCCTTGATTCCCAGTAGAAATGCCGGCTGAGGTGGTATTTCTGCCTGGATTCCCTGTAGGAATGCCAGACCTCCTGGTATTTCTGCTTCGATTTCCTGTAGGAATGCCAGGCCTGCTGGCATTTCTACTTAAATTTCCTGTAGGGATCTTCGATCTCTGGCACGAATGCCATGGCGCTTGCGCTTCTAGCTTGATTTCCAGTAGAATTGCCAGCCCTCCTGGCGTTTCTACCTACCTGGTCTTTCGGTAGGAATGCCAGGGGGGGGCCTCCTGGCATTTTTTCTACCTGGATTTCCGCCAGGCTGGCACTTCTTCTTGGATTTTCGGTAGGAATTCCAGACCTCCTGGCGTTTCTACTCTGATTTCCAGTAGAAATGCCGGCCCTCGGCAAAGGTCGACTTTTCTCTGTGGGAGGGAAGTTTTCTCTGTATCACAGAGAAAACTCCTCTCGCCACAGAGAAAACTCAGAGGCCGCGACAGGTATTTCTGTGCAGAAATGGCAGTTTGTGATGCGCAAGCAGCCATTTCTGTTTGTTTTTATATGTGTATCCTTTATGTTTTTGCTTATGTTTGTTTTTGTTTCTTCTCATTCTGTTTATGTTTCTGTTTCTTGTTTACACTTTTCTCTGTTTTGCTTTCAACTTTCTCTGTGATATCTTTTGATATCATTTGATATCAATTGATATCAACAGAGAAAACTTAATATTTTATCTTTCGAGACCCCCTGACATTGATGACGCGCACAAGCATAAAACTAAAAGCCAAGAGATGACGTTTGGCATCGGACGTCGCGGGGGACAACATGGCATAGAGGAGACTATCATGTGCAGCTGTCAATGTATTGTTCATCCGATGACATTGCTTCTGGTTCCGCTGATGCACGACGTGTGTCAACGCTTTCGGTACAACACAATGCAATGGTTTTTTCAGGAGCACATGGTGGCTATTTTTTGGGCTTGCTTGGCCCCCCGCTTCGTTTCTGTAGCGCTTGCGCAGTTGTTTGGAATTTTCTTCACTGGGACCTGACGAGAGGGTCAAGAGAAGCTTTATTTGCGGCCACCTCCACCTCCTCCTTGTTCACAACATTTTGTATGCAAATATATGAATGTCGGTATTTGCGATTTGGAAGTTCTTGGTAGAAATTGAAATTGAGATACAAAGTCGAGATCGAGATAAAATGTAACTTTAAAGAGCGTGGTCCTCTACCCACTGCTACATCCATGTGACGTCTTTCTCCTGAAGGGAGCAGCAGCATTCCACGACTCCAGCCCCGGCAGGATCATGACTATGACTCAGCGCACTTTGCTCTCCGATCCTCTGCTGGAGGACAACAAGAGTGGCGGTACCAGTCCCGACAAAAGCTCCGCAGCTACAGCGACGACCTTGCACCCTCCGCTTGATCAGGTCGATGCCGAGACGGAAGAGAGGGTCCCGGAGGAGCCGGGAGAGCTGCGGAAGGTTATCGTCTCCTTTTCCGTTCCGGTGCTGATCCGACTGGTGGCGACGAACATCCTGATTGTGCTCCAGACCGCCTACCTTGGGCATTGCGGCGTACTCTACCTCGGAGCGTCCGCGCTCGGGGATATCGTGACCAACACGGCCGGGATCTGTCTCCAGTCGCGCGTGAGCCGGAACTTCATGGCGCTCGCCTACGGGGCGGGAAAGTTTAGAGAAGTCGGACTCTGGCTGTACACCAGCTGTGTGGCGTTGACGATCGTTTTGATTCCGGTGCTGATCCTGTTCAACAGCGTTACCTTCATGCTGGAATCCGTGTTCGACGTCGAGCCCAGCCTCGCCGAGCTCGGGGGCTACTACCAGAGTCGCATGTCCTGGGCACTCCCGGCCACGACGTACTTTTTGGAATTCATCAACTTCTTCGCGGCCCAGGGAGAAACCGAGCCGGGCGTCACGGCGCTGTGCCTCGCGGTCTTCTGTCTCGTCTCGCTCGGCAGCCAGTTCATCTTTGGCATTCCCCTCGGGGATACGTACGACTACTCGACCACGATGACGGCCAAGATTGGCGGCCCGCTTGCAAGTGTAAACACCGACGGAGTTGCGGGCGTGGTGGTACCAACAAAAACCATCGACCATTCCATTCCGATTGGCGGGTTTGGGTTCTACGCGGTTCCCGTCGTGTGGTCTGCGGTGAATTGGATCACCTGCTTTTTCGTGCTGGGCTACTACTGCGGCTGGAAGAAATGGCACAGGAAATGCCTCAACTTCTCCCCCTGTGGGGTTTTCTCCAAAATATGGAGCCAAAAGTACCTGGGCGAGTACTTCCGCCGATTTCTCCCGAGCCAGGCCGCGTTAGCGAGCGACTTTTTGCGGCTTTCCTTTCTCTCCGCGGTGGTCGCGAAAAATACGGGGACCACAAGTCTCTCGGTCTTCAAGTCCACGCTGGCCGTCACCCTGGGCTTGACCAGCTGCACCTACGCCCTCGCGACCGGCGCGTCGCGCTTTCTCGCCGTGGCGCTCGGCAGTCTGAGCGAGCCGGGCGCGCGCCAGGTGTTCCGCCAGTCCATGGGCTTGGAGTTTCTCTTCGTCGTCTTCAAGGGGATCTGTGTCTACGCTTTCTGCCCGTGCATCGCGGCCTTCTTCTCCGAGGACCCCGCCTTTCTCGCGCAGTTCGAACTCATCCGGCTTGCACTCGCGATACAGGGGCCGCTCCAATGTCTAGCGCTGTTCTGCGAAGAGGTCCTGGTCACGCTGCAGAAAAACCGCTTGCTCTTCTGCGTGTCCCTGACCAGCAGCTGGGTGGTGCAGGTCCCGTTTGTGTGGTACGTTGTGTCAAACGCGCAGATGTTTGCCGGCGTCTTGCGGCTGACCGGACAAGCGAGCGACGATGATCACGTGGATGCGGCGTTCCCGCTCGTGTACTGGTCGCAAGCGATTGCGTATCTGCTGTATTTGTCCTTCTACCTGTTTTACTTTTCGTGCTTCCTGGACTGGTCCAAGGAAATCAGGCTGAAGCGACAAGAGCTGTTACTCCGACGCACCGTCGCTGCCGCCGCGATCGACATTGCGCCGGCGGACGTGAAGAACGAAAATGTGTGACTGTGCTGCGCGCAGAATTTTACTTACATACAACGACGCTTGTTTTCGGACTGTCTATCCCCCCTCGTCAAATGCAATGGGATATTACAACAGGGTGGCTCCGTTTAAGATGAAAAGTAGCATGATGCCAGATTTGTGAACTCCAGACTCTGGTGGTGTTGTGGATAATAATCCCGTCTTTCTTTTGCTCACGTGCTAATTCGCTGGTCTTTTTACCTCCATCCGCCGCACATACTGCACAGGATAAGGAAGGCGAGGAGTTAGGATCGCAAAAAGAATGTGATGAGATAAAGACATGCAGGTGTTGACATTGTGGTAAAATTAAAAACGAAAACGAGTGACACACGACGTTGCATAATATCAACCAACAACTTGTTTTAACACGGTCGCAGAGAAGTAGTGACAGCTCCGCACAAGAGAAAAAAAACTAAAGAAGATAAGAGATGCCGGGGATGGTTCGACGGCGGAGCAGGTACATCAGAAAATACGCAGCTAGGCTTGTGTGCTGGCGTGCTTTTGTGGTTGTGGTTTCAGACACAACGAGATCAAGCATAAAGATAAATGATGGCAACGCCCAAAAAACAAGGGCAAGCCGGTACTCAGATGATACTATGTATGAAGTACAAGTACGAACTCTTACTGTAATACATAGTGAGAGAGCTGGGAGGGGACTGCCGAGAGTGAAAGAGTTGAGCTGGCGCTGCACACCAAATAGAAAGGCACGAATGATTTCTCCGTTGTTTCTATCATCTTCTGAGTGATCGCTCATTACGATGATGTTCAAAAGAACGAGACTATGTGTTGGATTTTCATCTTCACCGCGCGGCGCGTTTTCAGCCTCCACGCGTAGTCACAATTATCGAGACGACATTCTCTTGCTTGTGGTAGTTACCGCAAAATGATTTGTCGCTCGTGTGCACCTCCGTGTTGAAGCACTGTCACCGCCGACGTCGATGAATCCAAGAACGCAGCTGTAGTACCTCTTCATCTACATGTCAAACATACTTCGCCAGCGCCGACAGATGTAAATTCCGGCTTGCCTTCCCACACGATAACAATTCCGCGTTTTTTGTCCTGCGACGGTTTTTTTCTGGGAGCTTCGACGACACGCGGATCCATCCATCAGAGTACAATTTTCTACACCGAAAGCCACTCCACCTGACATCCACAGAGTTAACATCACGACAACACCATACCGTGTGTGAATCTACTACCTGAAAATCTACACTCTTTTTTGCGAGGACTACACATTTGATAGCCAAAGTTTTCTTCACGCGTCGACCGGCCAATACCAAAACTTTTCCATCCGCACGAAGCAGAATTTGCATCACCACTCGTCCTTGTAGTTCCACGCCAAACCCGAGGGACCCTCCGCCGCCACTCAAAATGGTTCAGGCGGCGCGCTTTAGCCTGCGTGAGATACAGCTGGACAACATGAAGATCAACAAAAAGAAATTCGACGGGAGTTATTGTTTCAACCGGGCAGACAGCAAATTGCTGACCGAGGTAAGTACTTACAGTAGGTACCAATACACACCGCGCTAGCACTAAGTTTTGACATTGATTTATGAAGTAGCATCGATAAATGTTATTAATTTTTCTTGTGTTCCTAAGAAGTGCGATATGGATATCGAAAAAAGGTCCGACGGGAATTGCGGCGCAGTTTGTCACAGGAAAGCCAAATGGGCGCCGCCAAGGCTCGAAACCCGACCAAGGGAAGTCGCGCATCAACGAACAAGAAGGCACGAGACGCGGAAGATAGGGACAATGCGAATGCCCCACCTCCCCGTCCGTCTGCCATGATGCGCCGAAGTCGGACCAGCGAACCGGACGAGCTGCTGCCGATCGTGAAAAAAGCTTTGAAAAACAGCGGACAGGGAGATAGCAAAAGCAAGAAGCGCTGCAGGGGAAGACAAGATGATGTTGACGAAAGCCATACCCCCGCACCCCCGCGGCGCATGAAGTCCGTCAGTTTCGCGCCGGGGTCGCCCGAAACCAATGTCTACCTGCAGAAATCCCCAACGGGCCCACCGATTCCGGCACACAAGCTCCTCATGCGCCGGACGCGCAGCCTGGAGAAGCTAAACCGAGGTGAAGAACGGCCCGGTAATCATAGCGATACAGCTACCTCCAAAGCGGCAAGTTGGACCTCCTTTCGGGCTAGACTTATCTTCGGCTGGAAACGAGCGAAGGGCGCGCGACCAGGGAGGAAGAGAAGCAACAGTAGGACTGCCATTGCTCCCGCTTCCGAGGCGCACGGTCGTGACGACGTGTACCCGCCAGCGGACCTCCCGGACGGAACTACAACAGGAGGAGAGCTGCAGCGAACCACATCAACCGGGTCCTCTTCAGGACGGGATAGTCCAACCGAGGAAGGCAGCACGTACGCAAATTTATGTTGATTCTCAAATAAGTAAAATGCGTGAACAGGAGGGCGATTTTTTTTCTGCTGCGTTTGAAAAATGCGCGCACCATGTTTATCCAAAAGTATCAAGGAATCTATTCTGTCGTGTCACAAAAGCACAAGGTTTCTAGTGTGGTAAGTAGTTGAATCACGCAAACGCACAGGCACGCAACGTCTACTTCGGCCGTCGATTCGAACAGCAACATTCCCTCCGACAATTCGCACAGCCGAGTGTTTAGTCGCAGTGTGTCCTTCGAAAGTAACCTTTCTGGCGGGAGCAGTGGCGCGAAGGCAAACAAACACGAGACGCGATATGAGGCGCTGAAGCGGCAGCAGCGAGAGGAGAAGGCCACAAAAATGTCCGCTGTGTGTGGAATAATGTAAACAATTGTGAATTTGGATTTGCATGCAACATGGTGAGCCTATACTTCTACTGATTCCCAGGAGATGGTCCCGACAGTCATTAAAGCAATCCAGATTATCGATAGAAAAAATGCAACTTCATCGATCATTTGCTGTGCTGCGAGGGTGTCTCCCAACAGACGACGTGTACGTATTTCAATTCCAAAAAATTCGAAGCTTTGACTTTTCTGTTTTTCTTTCTTTCGAGTTTTTAATGAATGAATTTCTTCCTCCCGTCCGGCGTGTGGTGCCTATGTGTCGATGTCGAGCACCAGCCGAGAAATGTAGTAAAACAAGCACCATGTCCATGTTACATAGATTGATGATTGGTTTAAAAAGCACATTTTCATCGTGAACTTTTTTCGCTTCGCCCGCTTCGATCTTCCTCGTTTATTCTTGTTCTCCATTATTGATCCGCGGCTTGGGATCTCGTAAGGGGCAAATAGACGTATACCAAGACCGTGGGTGGGCTTGTAAGATGGTTGAGAACTAACGTCCCATTAGAATCAGCATCAGAATAAGAGCCAAAGAAAAAGACGACACGAAAATAGAATAAAGAGCAGCAATTTATTGCCCGTGCTCCTGGTGTCTGGCTCCTGAGCGGAGACGGCTAGTGTCCTGACATCGAGGATGAAGATGTTCTGCCAACACTGTCAAAGTGATCCCCGATGCAATGTTGCAATTATCGCAAGAAGTAGAACTACTGCTGCTGCTCTGGCAGAAGCATATGCATGAGTACAAGCACATTCAGTCGTCGAGCACCGAAACGCGATATCGAGAAGAGATCACGTTGCCCAAACCACAAAGTTTCATTTTTCTACTAATCGCATCGCCTCGTCGTAGTACGTAGCTCTAATTTCGAAAATTTCATGCCAAATCGGCTCGATTGAATAATTATCCGATTTGCTGCACGTGGCGTGACAGCATTAACGAGCTGCAAGTGCACCTCTTTTGCTTCAATCGAATCTTCATCTAGGACAGTCCGAGAAAAGATGACAAGACTATAGCGTTGAAAAATAAAGCCTTCGATGGTGAGGACGGCTCGAGGAGGAGTGCCGTGGTCGTTCTCGGCGGCAGTATGGTCTGCGGAGGCGATATTGGCCTTCTCCGGACCCCCTCCCCGACCTCCCCAGAATGCCAATCGCCTCGAGCTGCAAAGCACAACCGCGCCCGAGAGTCACGGCGTGACAACATCCTTGTTCCCACAGGAGGAACTTCCCTTTGTCTCTGATGACCAAGACACGGAGGAAAAACTGGACCAACAGCTGCCCACCACAACAACGCTATTTCTTCAAATTCGGACCTCCACCGAAGAAAGCGTAACAAGCAGCCAACAACAAGAGGACACGAAAAATATTTCCGAGCTGGTTCTGGACAATTCGCGGAATGACTCCTGGGCCGACACGAACGCCGCCATTCACCGGTCGACCGGCGACGCGATCGCGCGAAAACTGATCCAGGGAGAGACACGACAGCATGTCGCGGGGAAGCGGAGCCTGCTTGGTCCCGGGCCGCCCGAGTCCGAGCTGCAGTTTGATGAGGATTCATCTGCGTCCGCAGACGAGCAGCAGCAGGAGCAAAAATCCGATGTCAAACTGCTGCACCAGGGGACCAGCCACGCCCAGGACGCCAACACGTTTGGCTTTGACAACGACGAATTGAAGTATTCCGTTTTCCGGATCAAGTCGGTGTCTCCACAGAACGATTTCTTGCAGCCCTCGAAGCCGCCGGAGAGCGGGGTGTCCCTCGGTTCCGGCTTTCTGGTGCGGACCAACCTTGCGTCCGATACGTTTGATCCCTTGATCATTACGAACGCGCACGTGGTATCGAACGCCCTGAAAGTGGAACTCCAGCTCTTGGTGCTCTCGTCGGAGAGTTTCCCGGCAAAAACCGTGCAAATCTGCACGCAGTTTGACATCGCGTTGCTGCGGTTCGAGAAGCCGGAGAAGTTCAAGGCGGTATAGTAGTTTGTATTTGTCAACATTGTGTTCAAACAATACTCATATGTGAGAGATAGTTATCCATGGCCAGTCCCTTTGTTTTTACGTGGACGAGTATTTATGTATGAGTGTGCAAAATTTTCATTTTGTCCCACCGTAGCAACGAACATACAACAACTGAACGCCTCGGCGTTTCTTCTCGCAACGATTTGCGTCAGGCTCAGGTCACGCAACGAAATCAATAAATAAACAGGCGCTCGACGAGGGCAGCATCGAGGTGATCCCGCTGCAGTTTGTGTCGAAGACACCGCCGATGGGCGAGAAAGTCCTGGCGGTCGGATTCCCCTTGGGCCAGAACCTGCCCACGCTCTCGGGCGGCGAAATCGCGGGGAACCAGGAGGTGGACGGAAACATCTGTATCCAGTCTACGGCGCCGATCTCGCCTATGGATGTGTCAGAGTTGAAATCGACAAAGTTGAAGTGATTTGTCATGCATAAAATGCGACACAGAGACTGACTCTATTGCTGAAGGCGCAAGGGAGGCAGATTCGAGTGCTGGTAAGGGTCAAGCATTGGGCTGCTGACTAGCATGACAGGGAGCAGCCATCTTGCCCGAAACCGCATGACAGACTTGCTTCAGAGGCCAGGAAAACTTGTCATGCACCGACTACAAACTGTAGGTCTAACTGGTATCCGTTTTATGCATGACAAACTATTTCAACTTTGACGATTTCAAACCTGACGCTTCCATATCGCCGGGGAACAGCGGCGGTCCTTTGTTGCTGGAGCGCGAGAAGAAGGTCGTTTATCAAAAGGAAAAATCCCCCCTCCCCATATCAAAACGAAACTTCTGATGCTGGATCTGAGTACACAAATCAGATTTGTATTGCAGGAAAGCATTGCGGTCAGATCCCCGGGCTAGGTAGGGGCGTATGGGTCTAGTATTTCAGCATGGCAAACGTCCCCCCTTTGGGCCCAACAGCATGACAAATCGCCTTCATAATGGGGCGGAAGCTTCTGCCCTTGTCTTCTTGCAAGACAGATGTGATTTGTGACCTCAAATGCGCAACGCAAATTTTTGGAAACATACCTTTTCAATATGGGGAGGGGAGATTTTTCCTCTCAATATCGTTGGGATTAACTTCGCCAAGGCGACGGGCGGGGCGGAGAACGTGAACTACGTGATCCCCTACTGGCGTGTGTTGCAAAACCTCGGGCTGTACGACCACAACCAGGAGATCAGCAGCCTGCCCAAAGACGACCCGGGGTACGTGGAGGTCCCCGCACGGTTCCAGGTGCGCATCCCGTCGCTGGAAGCCCGCATTGCGTTCGGGTCGCCCGCGATCTACGACCTGGACCCGCGGTGCAACGGCCACGGCGTTCTGTTAACGGAGATCGACGAGCGCAGCATGTTTACGATGGCGCAGCCGCCGGTGCTGATCGGGAGCTACTTGGTGCGGGTGGGGGACAGCGTCGTGGACAAGTTTGGCCAGGGCAAGAAGGAAACCTACCTGAGCGACCAGATGAGCTACGAAAACTTGTTCTTCATGCAGGGAGACCTCGACGCAGACTGCAACAGCTGTGGGACGAGCTGTCCGCGGTGTGACGCTCTGTACCGGAATGTCACCTTCGTCACGTGCAGCGACGGCCAGGAAAAGACACACACGGTGTCGCTCGCATGGAACGAGATTTACAACCAGGGCATCAAGTACATCCCCGAGCCGGCCTACGCGCCACAAGACGTATTTTTTGCGTATAAAAAAGAAAATACAATAAAAACTTGTTATGCGGTCGTGTCAAGGTCTAGGTCAACATGAGGATGCACATTTTCTGGTCGTGCTATGAAGAAAGCGCAGTTGCGGTTCGTACAATGCATTGGTTTTGGATCATTTCGTTCCCGACTGTGCGAGGGGGTAGTTGTTCCTACTGCTTTCACTATGCGATAGGTGGGAGGAACAGCATGCCAGCTACTTCTTTTCCAAAACCAACCCATTTCAGCTGGAGTACGAGTCTTTCGGTGGAATGACCTTCAACATGCTGTCTACGAATCTTCTCGAGGCCCTGATTGCCGCGAATCCGGGCATGCCGACGGTTGCACGGTGGTTGCTGCCAAACGAGATCATCCATCCTCACGTAGCGCTGGCCCACGTGAAGCACGGGAGTGAAGCCGGGGAAACGCTCGTACCCGGACTGGTGATCAAGCGCGTCAACGGCTGCTTGGTGACGACAATGACCGAATTCCGCAAGTTTTTCATTCCCAAGGTCGCGAGGGAATCCGACTGCGGGGCTACCACCGCAAGTGCAGCTGGCGGGAACGCGCTCGTCCTTTCACAGTCGGCAAGTATTCAATCTACTTACCTCTTTCAGTGAAGAACGGAGTGATTCATTACTTTGATGCTAATGCTGAATGCAAATCAACATTGGCATGATAATGATATAAGGATCGGTGTCTTGTTACTATTCATTGGAAGAGGACGAGCAGGCGGCCTGTTTCACTGCTCCTCGCATCGAAAATCTTTTTACGTCTCTCGCTCGTGTTTCAGGTAGCGGCAGCTTCTTACAGCGTGAGTACGAGAAGAACGGCAAAGATGCAAGTATCATGGACAACATCTGGAGCATTGAAAGCGATTTGGGTGTGTTCTACGCGCTCCGTTTCAACGAAACGCTGGCCAAGGAGCTGAATGACTTTTGCCAGGATCCTCTCTTCTCCGCGTTGGACAGAATGATTGCAGAAGCCGCCATGATCACGAACATGGGAGGTATAGTATGTCTCTCGGACGAATTGTGAGAATCACTGCTTTGCAACCACTGTAATCATTTGTTGAATTTTCTTCATATTACAACTGATGAGTAGAAAAAAAAATGCATGAGTGAAGAAATCATATCTAACAAACATCTACCAAAAACTCGCCAGATTTGGTATCCGACAAGTGCATGAAGCACGTAACGGACATTCTTGAAGAAGCGCAAAAGGAAGAGCAGGAGTCAGAGGAAGAAAGCAGCACTTCAGGGAACAACTCGACGCTTGCCCAGAAGAAACGCAACTTCCCGAAGAAGGGCCTAGACTGGCAGAAAACGGCCCTAATTGAGAAGAGTTCAGTAGCGAAAAAGTCTTCATCCTCGTCCATGGCGACATCGAAAACGGGCGTCGAGAAGATGGACAAGTTCCTTGCAGAAAAGTCTCACAGCAGCGTCGTGCGCAGCAACACGCTCCTCCGTGCAGCGGAGGATGTGATGCGGGATGCAAAGGAGTTGAAGAATACACCGAGTAACAGTACTGCCACAACTCCAGCACCGCAGGAAAAGTCGAACGTCCCAAAACCAAAAACAACCATCGAGAAGACAGAAAACGGTGGTTTTCACATCCGCATGGAATACCCACCCACGGGAGACGCTGGCACAAGTTTGATGCAGCGGGAGAAGAAGGCGATGACAAACAGCAACAGCAACTCTGCGACGAATCCTGCTGGTGGGTCGACAGATGATAGCCAAAATGTAGATGAAAAGAAGGAAGGTGATCAGGAAAAGGAAAACAAACCATCGGACGTAGCAGAGGATAAGGCTAAAAAGTCCAAAATTCCAAAACCCATCACGACAATGACGAAGACAAAGAACGGCGGTTTCCACCTGCGAATGACGTATCCTGGGGCAAACGACGCAGGCGGGTCGCTGATGCAACGAGAAGCCAAGGCAATTAGTCCGGACATCGAGGCAGAACAAAAGGACGAAAAATCAGCGGAAGGGAAGCCTCCAGTAGACAACTCCAAGAGCAGCACACCACCAGCAACACCTCCTGTAACAAAGAAAAAGGCCTCCATCCCGAAACCAATTACGACAGTAAGGAAGACAGAAAAAGGTGGCTTTCATCTCCGCATGGTGTATCCACCAACGCATGAAAGTGGCGGCTCTTTGATGCAGCGTGAGGCGAAAGAGCCCCCGCCGGCACCCGCGCCCGACAGCGAGAAAGACAAGGATGAAAAAAAAGAAGAAAAACCTGCACCCCCTCCACCGGAAAAGAAGAAAAAGTCGAAGATTCCCAAACCAATCACAACCATCGAGAAGACGGAAAAGGGCGGCTTCCACATGCGCATGATCTATCCGGGCACGAATGATGCCGGCGGTGCTACAAGTGGCGGATCTAGTTTCATGCAGAAAGAAAAGAAGCGCGCTGGTGCGGGAACAACTGTAGAGCAGGGCGCCTCGTTGGAGGATGCGGTTGTATCCCCAATATCATCCTTGGTTCATACAGTTTTCGGCGGCACTTCTGGCAGGAGCAAAACAACGCCAAACAGTGACCAGTCCCAGTCGGGGGGACATCTACTTCCGACAGAACAAAATACCGAAGAAGCAAGCGCTCAGGAAGGCGCCGGAGAAGAAGCAGCGAGTAGCGGAGCTTCGCATGTAGATGAACAAAATCGCAAGATTCTGATGAAGTCATCGGGGCCACTACTGGTGTCGGAGGATATTTTTTCGGGGAAGCTTCGGACCCACTTGCTCGAAGACGAGCCGATGGCGTAGAGGAACGAACGTCGGCGGAAAACAAAAAGGCTGTAAAACATGCGACGGTCTATTACATCTAAAAAATTTAAATCCTGTCTTCCCTAAACTTCGTTCCACCTAAAGCAGTAGAGCGATAATAGGAGTACGACCCGTTTCTAGTCGTAGTCCTAGGCAGAAGTCGTTCGGAGCGAGCGGTGTCATTTCCACGAACCCCTGTATAAAAAGATGACACTTGTTCGTCGTTTCAACACTTCTGCAGAAGTATTCGCCAATCGCGGACACAACGCGGTCTGATGTTGCACCTCGGTGACACTGGGAGATATACAAAGCCGCGGTATTTTTCATTTTTTCAACCAAAAAACCGTTCGATTTAGATCTAGACATTCGTTTCAGGATTAACACTTCTTTGCTTTAGAATTGAGGATCTTCGACCAGAATTGTTGATTTGCCAAAATTTACGTTTTGAAAAATGCGAGTACGATAATGTCAAATGTTTCTTCTAAGAGTCTTTAGATTGGTTGAGAACACAGCTCCTCTCGATTTCCACGAAAATCGACCAGAATTTTCACGAAGGCTGGATTCCGAATGTGCTTGTATACTTCTACACACCGTTGGCGACGGGCCGCAGATCCAAATGAGTCCCGGTTTTGACATGGATTTTTGTCTCTTCTCGCATAGGGGGTTGTTCCTTTCTCGTGCCGCATTGGAATTTTTGAAGACTTTTAGAACTATGCTGTTCGTTTCAATTCGAATATCTGCAATTGATGCAGCATTATGGCGGTCCTCCGCCTCCCTCATTGTACCGGGATCTTCATCTGTAATTACCGAGGCTTGGCTCGGTTTTCGTTTTGACAGAAAGAAAAGGATCTTAACCTTGTCGTTTTTTGTGCCTTTCGTTGTGCTTTTGAGTTTGTGCACGATCCTCATCCTTCTGATGGAACTAAGGTATGCGGCGCAATCGTAGGTCGGACGGGGGTTGTTAGAGATTTCGGATTTCAGAAGGATGCGGTTGCCACGTCCGGTTCTCTTAGGGCTGGCGTGGCCCGTCGCTGATGCTTCGAAGATACGATCTAAAGGCGACGCTGTTGGGAAGGTGGTGGAAATGCTGTCTAAAATGATCGCAGACGGCGAGGAGGGAAAGGCAAAGGAGGCGGCAATTTTTAAATCCATTGAAAAGTCAGTGGCCCAGACCATGACGGAGGTTGGCATAGAAATCGAGCATCAGAAGGAGATGGTGGAAAAATACCAAGCCTGCAAGGAAGCAGTACATGACTTTTACAGCCCGCGCTACATGTATCGTCGTGTGGTCAATGGTTTGCTGTTACTTTTGCGCTTGAATCCTGCACTTTGGGGCGTTTTAAGAAATGCATCCACTATCGCGGCAAAAATAAAATCATCCTTGTTCAATCTGTTCACACCAGGGTGCAGCTGAAGCTTCCGAGCTCGCGGGAGAAATAGAGGCCTTGCAGAAAGAGAACGCAGACAATGCGGCTGAGCTCGCCGCAAAGAAGGCTTCGAGAGAAGAGGCACAGGCAGCTTTCGTCAAGGAGGAAAAAGTATCAAATGTAAAAATGTCTGGGTCTGGAAGAATGCAACTTGTCATGCTAAATCTGAAGCATGCAAAAATCTGTGTTGCATGATTACCAAAAGTGGTCCAGTTTTGACCAAGTCGGGAGGGAGTTTCTCATGCAGGGTAGGCATGAGAGAGATCGCGCAAAATCTGTCATGCTAGGTCCTGCATTCCAGACCTCGCGGGTCATGGAAAAGCTGCATCACAAATCTGACAATCTTCCAGACCCAGACACTTTTACAATCCATAAAAAGATCTGATGGAATCTGTAGACGCGCTGACCCGGGCGATTCAGGTTATCAAGGCTGAGCCAGGCTCCGTCGCCGCGATTCAGACCAGCCTCCAGGGAAAGCTCCCAGCTACCGTGCAGGCAGATTTAGAAGCTTTCGTGCAGCAGCCCCAGGCGGGGAAGACCGCATACGAGAACCAGAGCGGTACTTCAGGTTTCGGACTCGAGGAAAACGAAAAACACACTCACGATACAGAAAGATGCAATTTTTCGAAAATATTTATAGTAAAACTCATTTCTTTCTCTTTGTAATTTCGATAATTTAAATCCCGAAAGGTGGCCTACTCCAGATGTTGGAAGACCTGCTCGCCGACTTCAGCAAGCAGCTGAAGGATGCGCAAACGGGGAACTCGAACCAGGTGCATGCCTTCCAAATGTTCAAAATGGACATGGACAACGAGATCGAGAACATCGAGCGCGACATCTCCAGCAAGACGCAGCAGAAGGGCGAGGCAGAAGCGAAGTCGGGCGAGTGCGCTTCCAAGGAAGAGACTGCGACGGACGCTTTGGCCTCCGCGGAAAAGCTGAAGAAGGAGACGGGGATGTACTTTAAAGCCCAATCGGATTCCTTCGCGCAGAACCAGAAGGTCCGCACACAGGAGCTCGACGCACTGAACAAGGCCGTTGACATTATGAAGGGCGACGCCGTCACTACGGGCGCGGACAAGCACATTCCGGGCCTCGTGCAAAAGGCGAAGAGCTTTTTGCAGATCTCGACGAGCTCGAAGCAGTCTTTCACGGGCAGCAAGCTGTCCCCGAGATTGCAACTAGTGCAGGAAAAGCTGTCGAGCGTGCACAACAGCCCGCGGTTGTCCATGATCTCGGTTTCTATGTTGACCGGCGGTACTTTTGACAAGATCATCGGCATGATAAAAGAGATGATCACCACGCTGGAGGAGGAAGCCGCCCAGGAGCAGGCCCACAAGGAGTGGTGCGATAAAGAGCTGTCCACCACCGAGAAGGATCGCGATACGTACCAGGGCGAAGTCGACGCTTTAGCCGCAAAGAAGGAGGGTCTGGAAGCGAAGAAGGCGAACGCGCAAGAGGAAATCAAGCGACTGCAGACGGAGACCGCGGAGCTCAAGAAGACGGTCGCGGACACAACCGCGGAAAGAACTGCGGAAAAGAAGGAGAACGAAGGTACTTCCTGTGTACAAGCTTCTTGAAATGCAGCCGGAATATTGCATTGCGATTTTGATTGATGTTCTTTTTCTAAGAGAGGAAATACATAGAACTTAATCCCATTTTTGCATCACAGAAACCATCGCCGAGGCCAGCGCCGCCCAGCAGGCCGTCGCCAAGGCCATCGAGGTTCTGGAAGAGTTCTTATTTCAATGAAAAATGCCCCCTCCCCATATCAAAACAGAAATCTGTGATGCAGATTTGTGGTCACAAATCAGCTTTCTGATGCTAGAAGGCAAAAGATGCGGACTGTAGTGCTGTCGAGCGTGGGAAAGCCTTGCAGCTCCAGGATGACAGGAGGCAACTGGAAGTGGGGAACAGCATGACAGATTACCTGCAATTTAGGCCGCAGCTTCGTCTCTTGGCCTTCTAGCAATACAAGTTTATTTGTGTACTCAAATACAGCATCACAAATTCGCGCATCTTCCGTTTCCGATATGGGGTGGGGGCTTTTTTCACTTTGATAGTTCTATGGCGGTGACGAGGAGCCGGCACTGCTCCAGACCAAGCAGGCCCCGGTGATCGCGAGCTACGGCGGCATGGGCGGTGAGAGCACGGGCGTCATCGGTTTGATGCAGACGATCGAGGCCAAGTTCAGCGAGCTCGAGTCTGACACCAAGGCGGCGGAAGCCATGGCTTCCACCACCTACAAGGAGTTCATGGCGGTGAGCAAGAAGCAGCTCGAAAAAAACCGGGACGACCTCAGCGATACAAAAATTGAGGTGATCAAACTCGACGCCGAGATCGCCCGCACCGAAAAGGCGCTCGCGGGCAAGGCGAAGTCTTTGAAAGCCGCACAGGACTACTGGTCCTCTCTGCAGCCGATGTGTGTGGTCAAGAAGGTCAGCTACGAAGAGCGGGTCGCTAAGCGGGAGGAGGAGATTGCCGCCTTGAAGGAGGCCTACAAGATCCTCAGCGAGGAATCCTAAATGTGCTAGTTTTTAGATTTTTGTGTACAATACGCTTGAACAATCGACAGCAAATATTTTGCGCTGTGCTGCTGTAGCTACGCTGCCCGTTTTGTTTTCTGCCCTAAGAATTCAGTAGTCGGACGTTTCTTGACCGAATTTTTTTAGCGCAGCTGTTTCTGACAACATTTTATTCTTTTTTCTAATGGCATCAACACATCTTATTCTTTTTTCTAATGGCAAATGTTAGGTATTTTTAGATCAGTAAGCAAATTGGAACAGTAAGCAAATTTAGATCGTAAGCAAATGGTATCACATATTTTGGACGAAGCAGCTGCGCCCAGAGGATGTGGCTCTGTGTGGTGAGTGCAAAGATTTTGACGCTAAAGGGGACAGGAGCGTAACACAGGCGCTTCAGCCAAACATTATGTTTCATTGATTGTGGAAGCATGTACACATACGATTCAAAATGAATACGACGAGGAGCGCACAACTTCGTGTCCCATTTTGCTTTGTGCACTTCGCTGTGTAGCGCGCAGCGAGTAGCATCATATAAAGATGTGCGCATCATCGCCGTGAAGTAGGAGAGACGGTCGCCGTCGTGTCATCGTGGCCTCGTGCTGCTACAGAGGAAGTAAAAGCCAAGTTACTTTATTCCGACGTCGCATGAGGTTCATCTCGCAGTCGCGAGAGAAAACAAACATACGTTTATTGTCCCACTACAGCTATGTATCGGTGCCTCTTGTTCGCGATGTAATCAATTGCGTTTCTTCTTGCTCGTGGCTCTTCAAGTTTCAAATTAGTCAGTGCTGGTGAATATCCAGGAATATCGTGTCTCATGTCGTCACCGAGAACGATAGTTCCAAGTCCGACCGGGGGCGGAGGGTCAGAAGATCCGGTTAGCACGAGTATTCTTGTGGGCGACAGCAGATCCGGTGATGGAGATGCGGTTGATGATGAAAGCGATCACAACGTAACGAACTCGGAAATTGGAACCGCCGCATGGCCGAATACTCCGGGTAACATGGAGCGGGACGCTGTCGGTAATTGGGAAGCGCGCTTGGGTCGGCTGCCCAGCGATCCTCGCAGACCTTCCACCCCGCGTGGCGAGGAAGGGGGTAGCACGGGTTCCTCGTCTTCCTCAACCAGCGCGCCTTTTTCAGCCGGTGGTCCTGCTCCAAGCCCGCCGTTGTCCCGAGCGATGCTTTTCTGTTCGGGAAGTGTCGCAGGTCTTGCCGGTAAAACAGCGACAGCCCCTCTAGATCGCGTGCGCATTCTGTATCAAGTATTTTTTTCTTTGAGTTTGGCCCTGCGTGACCTGTTCCTAGCTGCACGTTGGTATCGGTTCGGTTCTTCATGTCTGCCGAGGGCTCGTATCTGACGTTTGGAGTACTTATATAGAATTCAACAGAATGAAAATAAGGCAGAAACGAGCGCATAAGTCGCACTTTCCCCGCCTCTCACATCTCAGGTGAATCCGGACCGTGCTTTCACGTTAAGCAGCGCCATCAAAACCGGCCGCACGATATACCGCAATACCGGACTGCTTGGACTATGGCGCGGCAATGCAACCGTGGCCGTTCGGTCGGTACCGTATGCGGGCATCCAGTTCACGACGTTTCCCACGTATGACCAGTACTTCCGCGGCAGTTTGTCTCCAGGCTATGCGAAGTTCGCTGCCGGTGCCGCGGCCGGCTGCACCGCAACCACACTCACATACCCGCTCGATCTAATCCGGGCCCGAATGGCCGCACACTGGAGCATCGACCCCCGGTACAGCAGCACCGTCGCCGCTCTGCGCGAAATCTGCAGCCTCGAAGGGCCGCTTGCACTGACTCGCGGGCTAGCGCCGACTCTGCTTGGCATCGTGCCGTACAGCGGTTTATCGTTTGGGATTTTCGAAGCCGGAAAGGCATACTATGTGGAGCAGATGACCGACACGACGACAGACTCCGACGCGGGTGCAGCAGCGGCCCAGAACGTGCCGCTGCCGGTGCGGCTTTTTCTCGGGGGTCTTGGTGGCTTAGTCGGGCAGTACGTCAGCTACCCCTTTCACGTGGTCCGCCGCCGAATGCAAGTACAGGAGCGCGATTCGTACGCGGACCGTGCTTTTCAGCGCACTTTTTCTTCTTCGAAGGCGGCGGAGAATCAGATGGACCGAGCAGGGGTAACTGCTGTTCGCAACACGAATTCAGCCGCTAATACTCAGCCTCCGGCCGTGGGCTCTAACACCCCCGTTAAGCAAGTGCAACCATCTTCCTCGGCGTCTTCGAGCTCCGCTTTTTCCCGGCAGCGGTCGATCCGTGGGTCACTCGCGATGGAGTGGCCGTCGTTCATCCGGATCTTTGTCGACATTTATCTAACCGAGGGCTTGCGCCAGGGCCTGTTCAAGGGCAGCAGCGTCACGCTGATCAAGGGACCGATCGCCGCTGCAGTAACCTTCACCTCCAACGACGTCATCAAAAACTTCCTGGTCCAGCGGCAAGTGGACGAGCAGCATACGCAAATTTCCGCTGGTCAACATTATTCTGCACCTTCCCGGATTAATATCGGTAGTGGTGCGCCGGCTGCACCAGAAGGGACATCAGTTTTGAGTGCACAAACAATCTCAACATCTGGCGCACGTGCAGAAGTACCACGCCCACTTTCTGCCGAGGAAGCCACTACTCGGGCAGGCAACAACTCGGAAAGTAGCAAACCGCAGTCCAGCACCAGTCTGCTTCGGACGCGCTCGTCATTCCGTCCGCCCTTGCCGTCGCAAGGCCATCTGATCGAGCAAGACCACGAGACGACGACAGATCCGACACCGGTGGATTACTTACGGCGGAAGCGAAGCACGCCGACGTTCTACCGCGTCAAGGAGAACACGGACCAGCTCCCGCCCGATCGGGAGAGTTTTACCCGCGCCGCCGCATGGGAACATGGGACCACGACGACGGACAGTGTTCGAGGGCATCGCCACGTCGATCAAGGCCCGGAAGTACAGGAGGACCTGCAGCGACCGTCGAACGCAAGTCGCAGTGCGGCCGAAGAGCTAAATCAGTTTACTTCGTCGACAAGTACCTCTTCCTCCGTGAGCCGCATGTCTGATTCGTCCTGCCCAGGCAATTCCAATTTGGGGGGCGCGGGTGGAACTGGGGCGACGGAACGTGGTCGGGGGCATCATGAAAAAGCCGCGCACGACGCGGATGAGCAAACACGACACGGCACAGCAGAATCGTCTACGAGTAGCAGCACCAGCACCGCCACAAAAGCGCCAGCGCCACTCACCCCGATGCAGCGACTCTGTTGCGGTTCCGTGGCCGGTGCGTGTGCGAAAACGGTGATTGCTCCGGGAGACCGCGTGAAGATTCTGTATCAAACGAACCCCAGCCGGCCCTTTACGTGGTCCGCCGCCTTCAAGACGGCCACGCACATCTACAAGAACGATGGCGTGCTGGGTTTCTGGCGGGGGCACGGCGCGACGCTGCTGCGCGTCTGTCCCTACGCGGGGATCTCTTTCACAGTATTCCCAGAGATCGAGCACACGTTGCTGACCACCTGTTTCGCCGCCCCGGTAGCTTCTTTCTCAGCAGCGGACCTTCGAAGTTCACAAGTACCCTCCGCGTCATCATCCTCCCCTGCGACGTTGAACAACGGCAACAGTGAGGTAATCGCGCGGTTCCTCGCTGGCGCGCTGTCTGGAATGGTGGCCACGACGCTGACCTACCCGCTAGACCTCATGCGGGCGCGCATGGCCGCGCACTGGGGGACAAAGCCGCTCTACAACGGGTACGCGCAGGGCTTTCAGCATTTGTACCACGCCGAAGGATTCTCCAGTTTGTTCAAGGGTCTGCGCCCCACGCTGCTGGGCATCATGCCCTACGCGGGGTTGTCGTTCGGAATCTATGAGAACCTGAAAACCTACATCCTGCCATCAAAGTCGACGACGTCGGGAGGCTCGGCCAACCCATCAGACGATTGGCACATGATTTGGCTGCGGCTCATCGCGGGCGCAACGGCCGGACTGGTAGCGCAGTCGGCGACGTACCCCCTGGACATTACGCGGCGCCGCATGCAAGTGATGCCGGCGAATACGTACCGCAACGAATTCGACGCGATTCGAAAAATCTACCGGACCGAAGGGCTCAGGAGAGGTCTGTTCAAGGGCTTAAGCATGAACTACATCAAAGGACCCATTTCCGTCGCAATTAGCTTCAACGTAAACGACATGCTGAAAAAGTGGCTTTCATGAGCATTGTTTGAATTGTAGCACCGGGGCAGAGCGTGAGCGTCGATGTGCGTAAATCTAAATGTACGTGTACCATTCAAATGCATTTATAACCGTGACAGTGACTTGCCATTGTGTTCTGTGTTCCGAACAGACTTCTATCGTCGTGCTACCATCGTATCGACACCGCAGAACTTCCGGGGTAGTTTTATGCTTGCATTCCTCGACATACACATAGTCTTTGGCGAGATGAATGGACGTTCTGTCCTCATTCGAACGTGTCGAACTCGTGGGCCTACATGCAAAGTCGATCGTCTGAAACTTGAAATCCACAATTTTCTGTGGAGGATATGTCGTGGAGGAAGATCTGGGATTTCGTAAAAGGATATCATATAGGTGTAGGTCGTTTCGTATTCTCCTGCTCGTTGTAGTGGGATCCCGTTACGTTCTCGTGGTCATCAACGATTGGTATCTCTCATTTACATTTACGTTGAAAAAACCTGTGACTGTCATCGTATGTAAGTGCACACCTACTGATGTGAAAGGAGATTGACCGCTAACACTTACAGGGAGGGCACGCAATGTAAAAGCGTCGCTGACGGGAAAGAAATTCGAAACGAAATCACAACTACTTACACTTGAAAGAGCAATAAGAATAAAGATGTTGGGGCGTCGCCATTTCAACTCCTTTCTGTTTTTCCTCCTTGCTTCCCACTTCGAACAGCGAGAGGTACTGGGACGCGAAATGGTGGAAGGGGAAGACGCAGGCCATGCCAGCAGTGTGGAAATTGAGGTCCGAGCGTCGGCGGACACCAGCGCCTCGTCCGGAAACCTGCGTGCGTCGGTGGTGAAGCCGGTGCCGACCGCCAACCTGCCAGCGTCCTTCACGGAAACGGGAGAATCGAAGAAGACCGAGCAGCGGGAACTGGTCATGCAAATCATGAAAGAGCTGAAGCAACGATCGGACGAAGAGGAAAAGGTATGTAAGTACTTACTTTAAATTACAACGATACTTACAGTAGCCTCCGTTTTCATTTTCTACGCGATATAGTATGACCTGCACTTCTAGATCATCTAGTGCAGCGGCACTTGCATGATAGATCCGCACGGATATTTCACGTTCTTACGAAGTAGTGAGCGGATGACTTCCACTTCTACGCAAGCCTTGGCTAAAAAACAAAAATCAAAATGAAAAAAAGCCAAAATCCATGCAAATCTATGGAAAACAGAAGGGAGAAACCGCTCCATCGGGGAGCAACATCCTGATGATCGTTATCGTCACGGCCCTCTCGGTGGTACTCGTCATTGTGGTTGGTACCTACCTCTTCGTGCGGTGCAAGAAGGTCAAGATTGAAATTGACGAAGAGCGTCTGTCTCTGATTTCCGGAACCAGCGACATTCCAGGGTAAAGGAAATTTATTTATTAGTTCATGTTCGTACAACTTCTTGAGAACGGGCACGCTACCTACTCTACAGTAGTGAGTGAGGTTCGCGATCGCGTTGGCATTCCCATTCGATTCTACATTGACTGAGCGTGAAGACGTTTACTGTGGCTGGATGTTGCGTCGCGGAACCACGTGATGCAGACATTCACGAATATGCATCAGGTACCGCCCTCACAGCGATTCCTACTTCGCTCAAATCAAGGCCGAGGCGCTGTCAGAGCAAGCCGCGAAGAAGGGCAAAGTGAGCGTGAATGCGGAGCAACCGGAACCTTCGGACGAACTGAGGTCGAGTCGCATCGACACTGACCGCGCTGATATCGTCCCCGACGAGGATCAGAAGTACATCGCCTAGAAGAGGCGAGAAACGGAAAATGGAAGATTTTATTCGAACAAAGTGCGATATTGTGAAAAGAAAAGTTGCTATAACACTTCAACTTCTACGAACAGAATACGAAGTAAACTAAGTAAACTAAAAGCTGAACGTAACTGCAATCTAGCAAGTGCAACATATCTCAATTTGTACCAACCCTTTGTGTTGCCTAAGCTACGGATTTCAAATTGATATATGTAGATGTACAATACAGCCAGCGCCAGCAGTGGCACTGAGTGGATTTCTTGGTATTTCCCTTTAGTGCAACCTTATTATTCCGATATGATGATATACAAGCCCAGAAAGTGACCCTGATCACGGAACGAAAATGAACAGAGTCAGGGGCGTAAGGCTCAACAAAAGTGCGAAGCAAATTTGCTTTCCTTTTCGTTTAAGATGATATCAAGGAAATACCGATGCGACGCGCATGACTTCCGGTTTTCGTATAATTCATTGGATGCGGGAGCGGGCCGGCTCAACTTGCTTCCAGGTTGCACACTGTAAGGAACTTTCGAAATAATATTTTCGATCGTGAGGAGAAACGAGGTGGTCGACCTCGACGTATGCATCCTCCGTAAAAGCAGGAGGCCAGATCGGTGAGGGACGGCGATTTCGTGCAACATGCAGAGCCGTGTCTGTGCACCGAGAGTTTTTCGGGCATTCGTCAGCGAATCGGAAGGAATTCCATTGATCATGCGGAGCACCTTTGTCTTTTACTTTTTGAAAGGAAAAGGCAAATTTTTGTCGATATCCCTGCACAGTTAGTTGATAGAGGTAATTGGTAATTCCTTGTGCACCCAGGAATTGAATTGACCAATCAGACTTCGGCAAAAAAATGTTCGGTCCAAGGACCCGCAGCCACCAGCCGACGGGGGCATCCGTTTCGGGTAGTGAGTTTCTGCGACAGAAAAACGATCTGTCTCATTCGGTCTCGGCAAACAACCTCCGACATCCGGTACCGCTTGGCCTCACGGGTGAACTGCGAGTGCACGAAAAGAAAGAGGTGGAGTTCACCAAACGAAGAATACCGCTCTGCTTTCGCAGTCATCGAGATCTGGCTGGCTGCTTCGAACACAATGCAGAATTATTCGAACCTAGGGTAAGAAGTACTGATCTTTTGGAAGTGTGGTCTGCCTACTGCGATCTCATTTTTGTTTGTACACACCCGAACCCACTGGTCGTCCCGCCTAGAGACGGAAGTGTGATTCTGGATGCTTTTACGTCGAATTACTTAGTTTGAAGATGAAGAATATCGGAACCGAAATCAGGTAAACGTCCGGAATGAAACAGACATGTTCTGGGACGAAAGTCTGCAGGATAATGTGGAAATGTGGTACCCGCTTGACCAGAGGCCATCCTGGGTTAAGTCAAAAGCCTACCAAAGGTAGCACGGTGAAAGTGCATTTTTCTTCTTCATCAAGATCAATGTATGCATATCGCTATCCCTATGCTAAGCCTAATGGCAAAGATTGAAGTAGGTTTCGTGCCCCTTACTTCTCAGGTTCCTCTTTCACTGATTTTCTCCATTACAACACCATGATATCGTCTCGTACATCAAAGCAAACCTAAACCACTGAACAGACGACAGTTGATGGGGCGGCGAAGGCAAAAAGAAGAGATCGACTTCACGGACACGCTGGAGACGGTGCGCGCGCAACCCGCGGCTGGCAGCGTGGTACCCTCGGGCAAGTATCCTAACTCCTTCGACTTTTCGGGCGGTAAGTCGCTCCAGGACCGATTCTTTACCAAACAGAACTACCTGGATGTCCCTACCGCGCCGGGGAGTATCAAATGAACCGCTAAACATTTACCTCAACAGAATTAATGCTGGTTTCAAATGCACCATGGATGACCTCTGAGCACCCAATTACAAAAAACATATTTATAAAAACGAAAGCAAGACCATGATCTTGTCAGGCATTTTGCCCGAGAAAGTAAAAGTATTAGAGAAAACAACGGAACTCTCAACCTCCGAATTCAACAATGCAAAAGTAAATGTTACTTAGGCCCGGCAAAAACCACGCACACGGAAGATTGGGCAAAAGCATCAGTAGCCACCTGCTATGAAATCAAAGAGCTTTGAATCGTTTCTCGCAACAAACCTTGAAAAACCTTCTTAACCTGCAGTAGAGAACCTTGACTCACTTTGTTTCTGTTTCATTGACTTACTTTCAGAATCGACACAATGACAATGAGAATAGCAATACCGAATGCCAATCTGGGAAAAAGACGCAACGAACCGGAGAAGGGCTGACATTGGGCAGCCAACTCCGTAGTAGACAGAGAGCTTTTGAACTTTGATGTAGCTTTGCTTGGCAAAATTAATTCTCTTCTTGAGAATTCTTAAATTCGTGCTATGGAAAAAGAAATACCTTCTTGTGTTACTAAGTTTCGTGTATGTCAGGAGGATACTTATTGTTCTCTGTCGTGATTGCCGCGATTAAGCTCGATGACATGAGCAACGACAAGAAAGAGGGGCGGGGGCGCATATCCATGTCGAGTGCTGTGGTCCCAATTCATTGAAATAGTGAAATTTTGCGAGAGAGTGAGAGTCCCGACAAGTGGAAGCGAAAACAACTTGTATTTGCACTCAAGCCATCCGTGATATACTAACAAATTCAAATTGAGGCTGTATCGTTCCGTCGGCGTCGCCGAGCAACATAAACATTCTGATTGTCTTGGTTCATCACCGTATTTCCATAGAACGCAAAAGCCACCACGATTTCGAGTAGAGAGGTAGCTTCTTGTAGTTGGCTTTGAAGCATTAGCATTTCTCTTCAGTAACGAAATATGGCTCGGGGCGGTGGTCTCGGCGCGGCCGCGCGCAATGCCATATTCGCCATTTTGGCGTATTTGGCCAAGTTGCGAACGGAAATTTTGGACTTTCTTCGGTCGGGGCGGATGGCCTATTTGATTCTGCTCGGGATGGCGTTGATATTCATTGGCTTCTTGTGTTTCATATCAAATGCAAAAATGTCTGGGTCTGGAAACTTGTGATGCTGGGTGGCGTATCATGAGGAGGCCACAAGCGCTGGCTCAGCATGGCAAGTTTCTGAGCTTCTAGGTGTTGCCTACTCTGCATGATAGACTGCGTTTCTGCATGACAGAAAAGTGGGGCTCTTGGGTAACGTGCATGACAGATTTGAGAGTCATGCGAGACAAGCATGACAAAGATGCACTCTTCCAGACCCAGACATTTTCATTTTTGCATTTGATATTTCATTGCCAGTTTCAACAGCGAGGACTCCCGACGTGCGGAGCCGGGAATGATCAACGGTTTGGTAGCGGCATTTTCCTCCAAGCAGTTTCAATCCGCTTCGTTTCTCTTCATGGGCGGCATTGCAGTGATGGCAGTTACCAGCTTGCCCGTGATTGAAGTGGTCTTCTGACGGGGCGAATAAATGTTCGCAGCGGGGCTCGGCGCGCGGACGCGGAGACGTGGGGGATCATGGTCGTTGGGACCTTTGTGATTCCGAAATTGCAGCGCACAGACACCATACAAGCAGGAGGCGGCGGATCAATCTTGCCTGGTAAAACCCGACTCTCGAGCTGAACGGTGCAGGATGGCGGTACAAGTGGTGACTGCTAGTGGCCCGGCTTCATGTGACGAGGCAGAGTGTAACAAGCAGTACGGAGTAGAAGCCACGTACAGGAGGTGGCCGATTGCCGCTGGGCTGGACGGGTGTTCTTGTAAAACTACGAACGAATGAAATGACGAAATCAGTGGGAGGAGCGAGAAGTGGCATGCACAGTCAATTCGGGATCGGTGATGGTGAGCCCGGAGACAATTTTCTGCTACGGGAAGGAGATGAAACAAGAATGAGAATGATTAAGTGGGACCCTGTACGAAAGAAAGAATGCGAATGCCGTTCTGACCAGCGATAAAACTCGCGCTACTCTCTATTTACATACTATTTTGGTTGCCGTTGTTATCAATCGAACGCTAGCGCTAGCAGCAACCGGCATACTAGGGAGACAGGCCCAGGCGGCAAAGAGCTTGAAAATTTGATCGTTTTGTGAAACTTGAGAAAGATTGTGATTCGTCATGATAGATAAAGTATTGCCGCCCTGCGCTCGAGGCTGAGGCTTCAACAGAACGTTTCTGACGGACGCGAGGATGTTGACGGTGTGGCTTCGGCTGCTAATTTCGGCGTCGTGTATGCAGCGTGTAAGTACCACGATGATTCTTGTGGTGTATCATATTAATATATATCTCAGATCCCGGTCCAAAAGGTAAGAGCAAGAGGGTGTGTTTCACAAAAACTCGACGCGTCGTGATACGTGAGTACGATCAAATTGCGGACCACACGTGAGTGACCATCAAAGTGCAATGTTTTTCTCGTCGTGTGTCATCAAGGTCGTCCAGCCACATCCTTTTCGTCTCGCGGATTAGGAAGAGTTTACCTGATTGTACCTTTACACTTCTTTAGGCTTACTTGTAAACCTTGCTTCATCTACAAACATCGAGATGATTCAGTTTGTTGGTGACCTGCTGTTGACGGCGTGACCTTGGTAGATGAAACAAGAACTAGTGAGGCTGAGCTGGGCGCTCTCTGAGCGCTTTGTAGACGTCGGCACCTAGTAGAAGTAAGAGTTCAACAAGTACATTTTGTTTTGACGACTACGGAGGAGTGCAATTGCATCAATCCTACAACTATGTTTTCGTCTCTGATAAACCCGCAGCAGATGGAGGAGGATCAGGCGGCGAACAGCCAGGACGGCGGTCCGGTGCTCGCCAAGCGGTTCGATCGCCAGCATTTGACGTGGCAGAGCATCATGTTCCTCGAGCAGGACATTCCCGCGACGAAGAACCACACCTGCACGTTGGTGAACGAATCGGAAATTTACTGTTTCGGCGGCTACGACGGGTCCAGGAACCACAACAAGCTGTACAGCTACCACATCGAGGACACGGAGTGGCGGAAGCTGGAGCCGTTCGGCCTCGCGCCGTCGGGCCGCAACGGGCACACGGCGACGCTGCTGCCGCCCAGCGAGAAAACCGGGGGTTCGCAGATCCTGTTTCTCGGCGGCTGGCTCGGCAATGGCCCCCTAGCTGCGGGGGACGTGAACATTCTGGATTTGCGCTCCTTCAAGTGGGTCCAGCCCGAGTTCCGCGGGGACCCGCCGGGGCCGTGCAACATGCACACGGCCGACGTCGTCGGGGAAGAGGTGGTGTTGGTCTTCCGCGGCGGGGACGGCAGGGCGTACCTGAACGACTTGCACGCGCTGGATCTGAAGTCGCGTTCATGGCACAGCTTTCCCACCACGGGGGAGCTGCCGCCGCCGCGGGCCAACCACTCCTCCTGCGTCGCCGGTAACACCAACAACCTGCTGTTCATCTTTGGCGGCTGGGACGGCAGCAAGCGACTCAACGACCTGCACTGCCTAGACGTGCACACGCGCGTCTGGTCCTACCTGCGTGTCAACGGGCAGCCGCCGCTCGCGCGCGCGGGGATGAGCTTGAGCAACGTGCACGGCCTCTTGTACCTGTTCGGCGGCAGCGGACACACGACCCGCTGCTTCAACGACGCCCACGTTTTCGACCCGAAAACAAACACGTGGATGGAGGCCTTCCCCACGGATTCCAAGCTCTGTTACACAAAGAGAAAAGTGCAGGTAGTACGTATAAGGGATCATTATGATTTTCATGCGGTTGTTCTGATTTTGTACACAGTTCTAAAATCCAGCAGGATTCTTTCAGCCTTCTGAATTATTTCCAAGAACCTGACGAAAACGACTGGTGATCATCATGTTTTCTATCTAATCAACAAAATGCAAAAAAAAAAAGCAAACTTTGCGGCTGACGCCCGGGCAATCCTGCGTTCCCGAGAGGCGGGCCGGCCACGCGTGCGTGGCCGTAGGCCGGCGGTTATTCGTGTTCGGCGGTGCGTGCGGCACGCACTACTTTGAGAAGGGCCACTATGGAAGCGTCAGGTTCGAAATCGACAAAATCGAAAAATTTGTGATGCGTAAAATGTAGAGCACTGAAGGCCTGTATTGGGGAGCAGGCATATGAGGCCGATCGTAAGCCTGTTTAGGGGTGCGCAATGTGCTGCCAGAGTAGCATGACAGGAGCAGCCTTCTTTGCCCAAATAACAGTACGATAGACTGGATTTGGGTGCTCCCGAAATTTGTCATGTCCATAGGGCCCGGGGGGGCGGCGTCTTCGGGTTGATCAATTCACCTGATACACAATGTCCCGCCCGCAGTAGCACAGTCTGTTTATGTCATGCGCCACTTGGAAACTGAGGCTCCAACTGGCATCGATTTTGTGCATCACAAATTTTTCGATTTTGCCAATTTCGATTCTGACACTTCCATAGCCACGTTTTTCTGCTCGACACCGACGCCGCGCCGGAAGTCAGCCTCGACGTTTCCCCGCTGGTCTCCTCGGTCGTGCGCTCGCAGCTGGGCCTCTACTTTGACAACCCGCAGTTTTCGGACGTGTGTTTCGTGTTTCCGCACGAGCGCAACCAGAAGCTGTACGCGCACCGCGTGCTGCTCAGCGTCTTCAGCGAGCACTTCCGCAGCATGTTCTCACACAGTTGGCGCGAGGCCACGGAGAACGAGATCCGGTTGCCGGACGACATCAGCTACGACGTGTTCCGCAGCATTCTGAACTTTATCTACACCGGGGGCGAGTTTTTGACCCCGAAGGACAACGAGGAGGAGCCGGACACCAGTCAGGAGAACGTGCTGTACCTGCTGCGGCTGCTGCGCGCCGCCGACGAGTTCTGCATCGACCACATAAAGTCGCGTTGCGAGGAGCGCCTCTGCACGGTGGTCACGTCGGCGACGGTACATCTGGTGTACGAGGAATCGCAGCGGTACTGCGCGCCCGTCCTGCGCCGCTACTGCCAGTGGTTGCTGCGGCAACAGGACACCAGCAGCGCATCGTCGCCCCTCCTGATGCCGCTAGCAGGGGCGGGCGGTGGGGAAAGGGGCAGCGGCGGGTTCCCAGCCGGGTCCTTCGGCGACCCCGCGTACACCCCCTCGTCGCCTTCCGGCATGTCTGGGCGAATGGGCATGCCAACGACAAGAATGGACGATTTTCTTGCCCCGATATCTTCCAAAGCGGGTGAGATGGCTGCTCTTGAAAGCATTCCCCCACCGAACAATGCTGGCGAATTTATGGCAAATATGGCGAAGGCAAAGCGAGACCTTGGCTTTGACCCCGCAGCACCCTGGGGAGAAAAGTTTGGCGGCGCATCTTCATCTTCGTCACGAAGTCCGAAGGCGGGTCTTTTTGGCGCAGACGGTAGCACGGATGCGGGCCCGAGTAGTTCCTCACTTGCGCGTCGGAGTGGCACCGTCCTAACACTGCCGAACCGTGACCCGACATTGTTGAATAGTACCAGCGGCAGCAGCAGCAGGAGCCCTGTGGCAAGACACGCGGATCATGACGCGACGTCTGCTGTTGGCGCGGCCCTCGGTGCGATAAATTCGTCGACGTCTAGCAGCACCGCAGTGGATACTTCAAGCTTGGCAGCGAGTTCCGCAGCGGCTGCAACCGCCAGCTCAATTGAAGGGAGCGCGACAGCGCCAGATCGTGCCGGCGCCAGGAGTCCGGCTGGAAATCGCAACGGAGAAAAGCACGAGCAGATCCAGTTGAATGCGGCGGGCGCAGCATCTTCAACTGCAACAAATCAGCCTACAGCATCGTCGTACGCTCCCCCAGCACGATCAGCAACAGAAGGGACGAACGCGGGTCAGGCAAACAACACAACCGCCGAGCACAAGGCCGACGACGAGTACATCCGCGCTCCGGACGAAGGAACGAAGGGGAAGGCCGACACGAGCTAGATACTGTTACGACGAGTTCCGGCCACACCCTGAGTTTCGACATCGGTGATTACTGAAATGTGCCAGCGTGGTGGGAGTTGTACGCCCCTTACAGAGCCGGGGGCGCTTGATCGATATACACCTGTTTCTCCGGCGGTTACGCGTATCACGAAATTCTTATACACAATTATAGTTTATCGCATGATATCTATCTGACTTATTGTTAGCACCACCATAGGACCACGATAAAATTGGATTTATCAATCTGTTTGGGGCACTACAGTCGTGCCGAATGCGAATTAGTAGATCATTGCCTGCTCCCCCGGAAGTAGTAGATTGGTATCGATCTCTTGGTCCTGTCTCTCGGGTGTTTTCAGTGGTATCACTTTTGGAACTCGATCATGTTGATGGTCATTTTTGGCGAAGGACGATGCACAGAACTACAGTCGTTAGCTTTGGATGACTTCAACTTTACATTTGGATCCTGTCCCTGTGTGTACACAGTTTTGCCTGCTTTATCTGCAGTCTCAGCTTTCATTAATTTTGATTCTTGACACTACATGAATCAATTGTGCTTGTTGTGTGGATGTCGATGTCGTCGAGCAGCGAACGTCTATAGGGAAGGGGCGTCAGCTTCGGATGCAAAGTTGAAACAGAAGCAGCAGATTGTATGTAGTGAGGTCACCGAACGGTTCTAACCGGGGAGTTTTTTTGCCATGTCCCGTGAAAAACGACCGTCAGTTTTCAAGCGGTCGAAAGCGTTTTTTGACATAAAAATTTTTTAATTATCAAGCGGGCAGAGCGTTGCTGGCAAACAAGCCCGGTCGCAAACTATCGATTCGCACTTGATAAAACGACGCAGGGGAGCCGGCAAAAGGGGCGCCCTTCTGAGGCGCCCGCCGCCTTGGTTTCTGGCGATTTGGGGCGCCCAAAAAGGGGCGCGCAAAAAACGCGCCCAAAATCAGAACAGCGAAACAGCATGGCACGGCCGCGATTTCGGAGCATTTTGGGCGGCCGCGAAAGCGGCCGCCTTTTCGCCGGTTTTAGAGCCTGGGAAGCTTTGCAAAAAGCGCCGGCGTGAAAAATAAAAACGCGAAAAATAAAAAGCGCCCCAGACGCGCAAAGCCAATCCGCATGCTATGGGCCCGGTTTTTCTTCGCTTTTTGGGCGCCCCCCGTGGCACCCGGATCGGCCCCATAGCATCGGGGCTGGCTTTCGGAAAGGAATTTTGGAAATGTGCCAAAATTTGCGACGTTTCCCAAGTGGCCGCCATACCGTGCGGCATAACGTTACTCACGGCGGTATGGCGTGCCCATAAAATGCAAAGCCGCGGCCAAGGCTGCGGCCGGCAAAAAAACGCCCACGACCTCACTACCCCCGCCCCGGCGGCTATATTTGGCACGACAGAAGAATCCCAACCAGGAAGCACCTGCTGGGAAGCACATACAGTGCAGCGGACGTGTGAGCTACTCGTCCGCGACTGGAGGTTCTTTTGCTCGGTCGGTCACTAAAGTACTTTCAAAGTAAACCGGTTAATATCTGAGGGGGCTCCCGGTGAAGGTGACGCTGATGTGCGTCGTGGTACTGCACCAGATGACTTCTACTTTCAAATTTCAAACGGGAGCTAGATGCCGACGTCGTTGTTATGGGTCGGTACTGTAGCATGAAGATTCGTGGTGGGGTGTGGCTGCTCGATGTGGCTACAATGCAGAGAGGTGGGTTGGCGAGAAAGGGAATAAAGCTACAGTGCTAAGAGACGAGAAGATACTATTTGAAGTAACCAGCATAATAAGTCCGTAAAAATAAAGTCGATTGCAGGTCGTGGAGGCAATGTCCGAACATAGCACATTGAACTGGACACCATCAGGAGGAGGTCAAGAAGACGGCGGGTAGGAAATAAACACAGCCACCACGCGGAGGTTGAGGGATCACTGGGAACCTGCATCGCGACGGCACGTGGTGCTGTGCTATGTTGACTCCAAGAACCTTCTCTACTTTTGGTTCTCGTGAAACCACCGGGCAAGCTGAGCATTCTACTGCGCCCTCCAGTGCTGGAGAGAAAGGGCAGTTTGCCTACGCTGTCGCAAATCAACATGAGCAGCTACGTGGCAGGACGTGGAGGATCCGGATGGAATCCTTTTACGGCATCTGGCGTCGGGTCGAATCCGTTTGGTGATGTTGAGGAGGACGCGCACATGGACACAACTACGACGTCCCCAGAGCAAAGTGTAGGAGCTGAGGTCGATTCCGAACAGCAGCAACCGCAGCACATTTTCAACGCGTTTCGAAGTGTGGGATCTAATCCCTTCACTGCACCGGGGCCGCTCTTCCCGCCGCCCCTGGAGCAGGGCGATGCTGCGCGCAATAAAGATGTCGGCTCTTCGACGGGGAATGCTTTGGTTTCGCCCAAAGCCAAAACTGCAGCACCGGCGTTGGTCCAACATCCCCAAGGCCGTGAAGCGACATCCGTGTCATCGGCTTTGCCGCAAAGAAGCCAACAAGGTCCGGGCGAGGATGGGACAGCAAAGATGAACGGCAGGGATGAAAGTTGTGCAGGAGCAGGAGCGCAGCAAATGCAAACGTTGCCGCCGTTGAAAAAGCGGAACGTCCGTCGCTCCACAGCGAGTTTGTTTAGCAACGCAAGTGGAAGTTTGTGCAGCTTTCGTACCTGCTTCACTTCGTTTCCGAAAAATTCGGAGGAGAAAGGAGCGGACTCGGAGGACATTGAAATGGAGGATGCACGCTCAACGGCGCAGACACCGTCCGCGTCCTCGGAACGGTTGTCGCCGCTGAAAGACGGAAACGGACAGTCGAATTTCACGGGCGTTGGTATACATTGTACACATCATTGTTTCGACGTTTTCAGTTGCCTGGCCGTATTCATGATGGAGCTACGAATCAACCACTTGCAGCTGCAGTACGAATGCTAGTGTTGCAGGGTACTTAAGGAGTTTAGTATTAGCAAAGTGGTGTACTGTGTATAAATATGTTTTGAACAACAGCAACGCGGCAGAAGGACGCGGAAAGCCGGTTTCTGCCATTCGCAGGAGATACTAAGTCCTCATCGTCTTCTTCCACCTGGCGCGGGGCGATGTACACCGGTGGCACTTCGGAAGGAATGACCGACGCGGACCTGTTCAGCGCTATCGCACAGCAAGACGACAGCTTTTTCTCTAATGACAATTATGAGGGAGGCGCGTGGTCGGAGTCTCGAAGCCCCGCACGCAAAGGTAATCAAAATCACCAAGCTGCCAGAGACAACGTACATGATGAGGATGCTGTCATGTTTACACCCAGGAACGATCTTGACGACTCATTCGGCATTGACGAGGACGCGGACGAGATCGAGAACTACGGGCGGAAGGATCACGAAGCAGGGAGAAGCTGCAGCAAAGGCAGGGAGGGGTTGAAGAAACGGAAACTTAGCCCGGTTCGACATTGCGAGGAGGGCATGTTCTCGAAGGTCGGGTCATTTCCGGGGCGAACATCTTGGAATCGTGACGAGAACGGTGCAGCACCCGGGTTTCTGCATACACAGCAAGATGATGATACAGAGATGACAAGAACCCCACCTCGTGCAGCAGCACGAGAGGACCAGCGCACGGGAAATCGGCTAGGCGCGAGCAGCGTTCCTGTGAAGAGGCGGGGTGTGCGAAAGCAACACCAATTCATAAAAGCACATCTGCAGCGTGTGCTCCAAGCGAATGGAGCGGGAGCTGCAACCGGCGCGACGGGTATCTATTTATCTGCTTTGTGTAATCAGGCACGCATGATCTCGTGTCAGCGTAGTTTGGATGATAAGTTGCTACGTTATGTCTGCATGACGTGGATCACAGGTAGTTGTGAGCGACATCGAGCAGTTTTGTGGAATACACAAACGCTATAACAATGCTTATGTTATTAGGAAGAGAAGAGGCCGAGAAACGAGGAAAAGTAGGGATACCGTGCGCGCATACGCATCCGCTCAGCCGTTCGCGACGGACAGGCCACAGTGGGTTCGTCGCGCCAGGCGGGTTTAGTGCATCTTCAACTAGCGCTTCGTCGTCATCTGCTGGGACCAGCAGAAGCACCTCGCGTAGCCGCATGCCTCCGGTGACGCACCAGACGGTGGAACGCGAGCGCCGCGCGGGCGCAGTAATGACAGGCGACTCCTCCTCTAGTAGAGCGCGCGGCGCCACCGGAGATAATGCCGGCACGCGGACACCGTCTCCGCTTCGCACACCCAGGGATTCGACGTCCCCCGGACGGCAGCATGAGCCACAGTCCGAAAAGAAGCTCGCGTCCTTGAGCATCAGAGAGCTGAAGGACATACTCCTCTCAACTCGTGGCGTGGAAGCACCGCGCGGCACCGAAAAAAGCGATCTGTTGCGCATGATAGAAAAGGGAGAATGCTCCGTCGCCACAAGACGGTCTGTTGCAGCGACGCACGGACCAGATTCTCAAGCGACAGGAGCTTTTGTTGGAGCCTTGGATCAGTGCGCAGGTGGACATCGATCATCAACACCAACTTCCGCCTTGTTGCCGCCCGCGTCACAAGCCTCAAACCCTTGCTCACAACAGTTCACGTTCGAAGGACCACTTTGTGGTTCGCAGCCGGCTTCTCAGTACCAGAGAACCAGCGAAGTGCAGCGCATCCTGGCGATAGGCACATCACAGCATAGGTATTTAGACTTACTTTAGTACGATCAATTTTACATCCATGATTTTTCGGTTAGTTTATTTTTAACTTCTATCAGTGGTTTGTCTTTGTGTTATGGTTTACTCGCTCGGGGTCGGGTCTTTAATGATGCTTCTTGGTAGGACGAGACTGACGATTTGAGTTCTGCTTTCGCATGGCAGGTGGGGCTGGGAAGTCTTGGATATGCTGTCGGATTCCGGGTCGATGTGCTTCTCGTCTCGAGGCCACCAAGAAAGCGAACTCCGCAAAGCGGTAAAAAGATTACGTGTTTTGTGTCACCCGGACAAGTTTCCACCCGGAGACCGCGGCGATGCGGAGACGGCTTTCAAGCGGATTGTAGAAGCCGAAGCCCTTGTGAAGAAGCAGATCGAGGAAGAACACATCAACAGCGCATTCATGGGCTTTTTCGCGTGATCAGGTACAACCTTTCGCGATGAACATTTTGATGCTTCTTGTGAGGCGCAAGGACAAACGGCAGCGGATTGACAAGGTGACAAAGCGTAGCTTTGTGAACTGATATACCACACCGACTTGATGCCAAGTTGCGTCTTGTTGCCGGTAGGAGCACGAGTTCAAGGGTTCTGCGCGAGGATCTTTCTACCTCGGAACGAACCTCATGTCTAGCATACTCCCTGTGTCAGAATGGATAGCTTGTTTCTCGCGCACGACATACCGTGTTTCATCGCCAATAAAGAAGGACAAAGCACTTACGAGAATCTCATACTAGACGAGGCGCATGACGTAGCAACTATGTACATGAACGTCAAGTCGACACGGTTTCGGAATGCATTTTACGTTTCGCAGTGGTGCTGGCGCTGACGATGCAGGCTGCACTAAGTGGCGTGAAAACAATTTGATTTGATTTGATGTCACGACAGATTCTTTTGCGAAGGGTGATGTTCCCGACGCTTTTTTTTTGATCCAGCGGGGCCAAGACAATATCAATATGTATTTTGATGATTGGGATTCTTCATCCGAGGGAAAGTTATGCACTGCTCGTCCTGGCGCTGCATCGAGCAGTGCATTGAGCGTTGCCATCGAGCCATCTGCAAAGATCCAAAATTCTTTCTCATTTTACATAAATTTCAAAACAATGGAGGTGGATCACCAAAAATTCTTTTACACGCAACGTGTGCTTATTACCATAGAATTTCTGGGATTTTTTATCAGATAACCTCTGATATATCCCAACCAGGGAAAAGTATGGCTTTTTGGATGTGGAAAGCCGCGCTTGCGGCAACTGCGGTGGCGCAGAGCGACTTCGAGAATGATTTCGAAGAGAGCGTCATGGTGCGTTCTTTGGCAGCCAATGCCACCATGTGCGGGAACAACTGTTTCTTGGCGAACAACGTGTGCCTGTCCGGGTTGACCAGTGCATGCTGCGATGCCGCCAAGTTGGTTACCGTGGAAGTCATGGCCGAGGCTGGGTACTCCGCTTCCACCTTCGCCAGCCACGGAATCACCGCCTGTCCGGTTGCCAACCAGTGCATTACCTACGGGCCCCTTGCTAGTACTTTTTCTTTGTTTGGTGTATGAAAGTGAAAGATTTTGAGTGCTCGGTGTCATTGGCTTTCCCGCTCTGTTAAGAGTACATCACGACTTAAGAGTGTATGACGACTGGTACTGCATCCTGCGTACTTAATGTGAATGTGATCTACCTACGAATGTTGCAGTTTCACACTATACTGGTAGTGACGTTCAATTGAAAAACATCTGATCAGATTTGATTCCGGCGCAGGACACTGCCGCGGCTCAGAAGACTGCCCTTTGCAACACCAACGATGCGTGCATTAACAGTGTCCGTACCGCTCTTAACTCTGTTGCGTCTGGTGCTGTGAAGACCTTGGTCTCAACAAAGTTGGGACCAAGTTCAACCACGCTCTCGGCGAGCAATTACTGCGCCACGTGCATGTACTACTCGAATGGCGGCCTGGCTACGGCGGGACAATACGGTCCGAAAACGCAGATCTTCGGGTCGGGCAATTGCTGCCAGGCAATCCAGGATGTTTCAAGCGTTGCTGCGTTCAGCATGGGAACGCTTGCCTCTGGATTCGCTTCCGGAACGGTCAACTCGACGTGCCGCACCCGCGATGGAAACTGTGTCAACGAGAACTCCACGATGTCCGGGCCCGCGCCGTATTTCTATGGTCTTGCTCCGACGTCCTTCTGGGGCGCTGGTCACAGCGTCGGAAACGCTTCCAACATGACGATTCCATGGGAAGCATACGGTATTTGTGCTTTTTCAACGTGATCAAAGTCATTTGATCGGCACCAGGTCGAGGTCTTTCTGTGTTGAAGCAGCTAGTTGTTGCATAATAGTAGCACCGCAGTAGACAGCTTCAGTTCGAATAGATCTCGCAGCAGTTTTTCCGTACTCGATCTCGCAGCAGTTTTTCCGTACTCGATCTCTCGCAGCAGTTTTTCCGTACTCGATCCAGATTTCGACTTCCCATTCGCAAGGTAACCTGCCGTCGCAAGCGACGTTTACCGCCGGTGTTGCCGAGCTGTGCAAGAACGGTATGGCGTGCCCGCGAATGGCATACGGCGAAATGGGGGCGAACTTTGCTTCGCATGCAGGAAATGGTGGCGTAATCGCAAACGCGATTGCACTGGAGAATGTCTGCAATCTGCTGTACTACCCCGCCGCCCCCAGCACGCCCTGCATCATTGCCAATTTGAACGTCGGCGTGTTGCATTACTCGGCGTGCATGGCTGCCCAGGTCCTGGCGGTCGTTGCGCTGCAGGCCAACTCGACCTCCGCCGCCGTCATGGCCGACGTCGGCGCCACGGACTGCTGGGTTGCTCAGGGCGTTATGCCGGATAAGACCGTCGCGTGGAGCAGCGGGAACCCGGGATGCGGTTCTGATGGAGTCACACCAACCGCCGCTGCTGTCGCGACATCTCGAACTCTCATGTGCGGGGCGCAAGGATCGCAATTGGCGGCACTCCGTACTTTCGTTGACACGGACACCCACTTGATCTCCGTGGCACTGAAGGGCTACTTGGGCACGAATGGGTATTGATGCAAGAATATACTCACCTTCACGGATTTTCAATGTCCTCATCCTTTTCGTTATGATTTTGCCGTTTCAATATTTCATGTGGTGTGCACAAATGCAATTTATATTTACGCTGTCGCGTTTGGGAGTCAATTGAAACTCAACTGGAGTGGATTTTGTCGATGCGACTCGATCTCTACATTGTTAGATCTTGCACTGCGGATATGTTGCCTAATTGCAAAACCTAACATCAGCACCTCCACGGACTTTTGCCTGGACCCCACCACTACGACCACCACCACGACTGTCGTGGCCGACAGCTCCGCCCCCACTCAGGTCACCAAGCACACCACGGCCGTTGCGTTGTCAGTTGACTTGCCCACCACCCTGACCGCTACGGAGAAGACCACTTTGAAGACCGCCATTGAGACGGCCTTGCACGACTCCTGCTGCGGACCCGTCGTTGGCTCCGGCAAGCCGTTCTCCACCTTGACGGCCTGCAAGTCCACCGCTGGAGAGGGCGGCGTCACTAGTGCCGTGGCAATGTCTTGGTCGGGCATCTTAGCCACCCGTCAGCGTCGTATGTTGGCTGCCGTTCCGGTCACTGGTAACTTCGAGTTGTCGTCCACCGACGCCACCAAGATCACCAACGCCAAGAATGACATGGTCGCGGCCACATCCGGTGGGTCCCCGACTTTGACCACTGCCGCCATCGCCACTGCCGTGACCTCCGGTATCAACACCGCCGTTGCGGGAACGTCCCTGGCCTCGCACAACTTCACCACCACGGTGTCCACGTTGACGGTCCCCACTACCACAACCGTCGTCTCCGTTGGTGGTGGTGCGACAAGCAGCGCCTCCGCCTTGGCCACCGGCTTCGCCTCGTTGTTCGCGGTCGTCGCCGCCATTGCCTTCTTGTAAGTGCGTGGAGGACTGGATGCTTTATTTATCACTTAGTTTAGCGTAGTTCTTCTTCTTCTTGTCGTTTCTTCAGTTTTTGTTTCGTCGTTTACGTAGTTTGAAACACATATGGTAGAAGCCCCTGCCCTTCCGACTAGCGTAAGGTGCATTGAAGCCTTGTCACAGAATGGGTCGCGAGTAAGCGACATGCTGAAAGCTTCGCATTTTTGTCGCAAGCGCTGCTGAGATTGTTGTTTGCAAAAAGCAGCAGAGACAGCGGATGCGCCACTCGCGCATGTACCAGACCTATCACAAGAAAACTTTCTGTTTCATCATCAAAAAAGTAGGATGTAAGTTAAAACTAAATGATGACGATAATAACAACGTACATCTTAGTACCGGTCTGAGTCATCCATGGCATTATCTCAGCTTGCGGGCATGCATGTTGCTTTGATGCAAAATCAATGGCGATCATGCATATTTGCCAGGCGAAGTACATGATATATAAGTGCGTTTGTTACAGTTGCTGTTTCCGTAGCAAGAGCCTGCTATAGACCGTAGGTGCTTTCATTCCGTCAGACCAGGTCTATTTACTCTTGTCGCACGTCACACAGCCCTGGCGCAATAACATGTCTGTCTTATCAGCACAGGTTTAGTTTGTTGCCCTGTTGGCTCGCATGCGACACTCCAAATACCTTTCGAGGCATGTTTTGCTCTGCCTTGACTTTTCTTTTCGAAAGTGGTCACAGAAATGTGGACCACTTTTGACGAACTTGTGCAGTCCGTGCCAATGAATCTTTTCAAAGCGCACACATCTGCTTTACATGCATTGCGACGTGGGAAAATAACTTTACACATGACTCATTACGGAAGCGGAATCGCGGAAGGTGAGGATCCGTGTTTCGCCTTCTCGTGAGCGGCAAGCGTATGCTGTAGATGTTTGTGCGTGTGTATCATAAGCAGAGAACGGAACTGAATTGCAGCACTGGAACCGAATGAGATGAATGTGGAGCTATTGATGTTGAGCTTTTCTGCTCTGATCCTGGAGAGACAGAGTGAGCGACGAATGCGAGAACAAAAAGTGTGCGTCTTCATTCAACATATTGATTTTTACCTCAACCAAAAACCGTAGGGGAACAAGTGTTGTTTACAACAAAAAACTCAATCACAATGGCCAAGATGATGAAGATGATGGCGGCCCCGGCCCCGGTCATGAAGAAGATGTCCATGAAGAAGATGATGGCCATGAAGAAGAAGTAAATTTCTTCTCGGCCTCTCTTCAGATGACAATCTTTTGAGAATGTTCTCCTAGGAACAGCCCAGCGCTCCTGCTCGTAGTGTTATCTATGGCGGTCGTAGCTAAAGCTGGCGCATGATGTGTTAGTAGTTTATCGACGCGTCGTAGTAGTCTACGCGCTACGTGCTACTATAGGAACTACACTGCGAAAGGCGCAGCAATTTCTGCGTGCAGCATTGGAATTGGTTTTCGTTTTCAGCGATTGATGAGGAGAGTGCATAAAGGATGAGTGTCAGTTTCATCAATTGATTGAGCTACAACTATGATAAGCACAACCGAACATCACTAAAGCAAATACTCGTAGAAAACAGAAAGAGAGGGTGGTAAACCTCGAAAACGCAAAGCAGACGTGGGAGAGAGGAGACGACAAAGTGATGTTTTGCGGGAGGAGTCTATGCGTACATCGTTACATGACAATCAATGACTGCACTGCTCAACAATCTTTAACCTTCAATCAAAAACCGTAGGGAAACTGTGTTGTCTGACAACAAAAAAACTCAATCAAGATGGCCAAGATGATGAAGATGATGGCTGCCGCCCCGGCCCCGGTCATGAAGAAGATGTCCATGAAGAAGATGATGGCCATGAAGAAGAAGTAAATTGCTTCAAGCACCTCTATTCTTTCATGATGACAATCTGAGATTGAGGACATTCTGGCGCTCCTGTCGTTGGTATAATTCCACGACGGTTGTAGCTAAGGCCAGACTTCCAAGTAGTGTAAGCTTTTGTCGTAGTATGCTACGCTTGTAAGCCTACTTGATATCCCAGCGCTCCTGCAGCCAGCGGCAACGTCCGTAGAGCAAACTGCTCACTATGATACCGGAAGATTGGTCCTGTTCATTGTGTTAAGCATGTCCACTGTGTTAAGCAGCGATGATCGGTCGTACGCAAGAACTTTTGTCGCTGCCTGTGCTGCGCATAATTCCCAGCAGTGCTCATACCATCTGCGTAAAGAGCTTTGGCTGTAGCTGTGATCGGTTTCCAGATCGTATGTTGAGAGCTCAATGAGCTGCACTGCCTACTGGATCGCCCAAACCACGCACGCTGATGTGGTGTGCTGTAAGTTAAGTAGGAAAAGTAACTTATACCAAACGGTAATATTCTGATCTGACCGCAGATACGTGCTGTACGAGTTGAGCTGTTTAAGTACAATACTATCACCTCGGAGTGCCCCTGCTGTGGTTAATAATACCGTGGACTTTGAGCTGATATTGATAGCAAAATAATGTGAACGTTACGACGACGACGTAGATTTGCATTTGTGCAAACATTGCTGACCATTGCGTCGTTGACCAGCATGTACAGGTTCTATACCCATTTGTTTCTTCAGTGCTCAGTCCGATGCGCCGGATTATCGGAGCGCATTGATCAACCCCACGACTACGTGGCGAAGTACCGAGTCGCCGATGACCGCAGTGTCCATTCCGAGGAAGAGTACGACGCCGCGGACCAGCTCAAACTCTTCGATGACTATGCGGATCTGTGGGCGGATCGTTCGAGCGCAACTTCCTGTTGGAAAGATGGCAAGGTGGAGACGTTCAAGAATTATGATGCGTGTTGCGTCGACGACGAAACCAATCCAGTCCTTGTTAAGGTACAAAATCAGCTGGCCAGGCGCGCTGATCTACAACATGATGCAAGTGTACCGGAGAGATCCAACCACGAACCAGTTTCCGGTGTTGACGTACACGCACAGTCCAAAGCAAGACCTTGCTATCATGCGCAAGCGAGAAAGTTCAAAAAGTACTGCAGTCAGCTCCGAATTCACTCATGACATGCAAGCTCCAGAGTTTTCGTATCCCCAGCATCCGCTTTTACAACATGTTTCGCGGAATAAGCCGTGGCAGGAGTACGCGTTCCCCATGCGGCGTAAACGAGGAAAGTGCGCAGTTCCGAACGCCTGGACGGACTTCGTCGAAGAGCAGCTATCCATTGCACAGATCATGAATCGTGTCATGGAGCAGTATGGTCCGTCAGATCCGAGTGTTGTGAAGGCAATACAAGCGATAATGTCGACACCACCCGAAGGCCAATCGGTGACGGTTTTTGATGATGCAGGCTCCGCGAAGCGAACGACTGTGACTCGTGGGATGCTCGTCCGCCAACTGCTTGAAGGAAAGCGATTTCGCATCGAGACCGATAGTCAGTTCTTTCAAACGTGCTGCATTTCTGACATCATGCACCGTATTCCGCTGGCGAAGCATCTCTTCGCGGGTTTGGGGCAATTCGTTGCCAGTAACATCACTCAATTATGCCCGCACGGGATCGGAAGCTTTGGCGGCCAGGCAGCAGATCCGGCAAAGCTGGTGTGTGTCAGTGACTTTCTTCGTGTGACGAGCGCTGGTGTGGCAAGCAGTGCACGAACTGGCGCTGCTGGTGCGATGAATAGTCTCCTTGGCCACTTGAAGGCCGCAATCGAAAGTGTTGGTGTGCGACCGAAAAAAATGCTTGTCATCAGTATTGGTAGCAACGAAGATTGGACGTTCGAGGAAGCGATTCATCTCTGGGTGAGAAAGAACGTGCAGAATACGACAAGGGCCGCAATGTACCACACAACACCGCGACCTGAAGCTCACGACGCAGAGCAGCTCATCATCCATACGTTTGACTGCACGACAGAAACAACAAGTAAGCCGGAGAATTCGACTCGGCCGAGTTTTATTCGCTTCCATCCAGTGTGCATTGTAGGAGAAAAGGAGTTCGAACGCTATGAAAGTCGTTCGCGCCAACAACTAAACCGAGACGCAGGCGAAGCTTCGGAGATCATCCCGCTATTTGAAAACGAACACGACTCGCAAGACCCCGGTTCCAGCAGTACAGTGCTACACAAGCTTACAACATGGCGACGGCTATTGGAGAACCTGTTCGAGGAAGAGGGTTGTGACACGACATACCAGTGTCGCGTGCCTCTGCTAAAAATTGACGTCGACGGCTGGGAATGGGCGGTCGCAAAGGAACTCTTTTCGTTTGGACAACACGGGACCGAGAGTGCATCTTCGATTGCAGCAGAGCTACAACCAACTCAAATCGCTATGGAGCTGCACCTTTGGGTCCCGGTGCAAGCCGGGGTGCTGACCGATTTCTTTCCTGCAGAAAGAAACGCGTTTGTCGATCCGAAGCGTATTCGCTATAAAACAAGAAACGGTGAAGAAGGACACGGAGACGACACAGATGGAGATGCCGCTCAAGGCATCCCTGCTACCTCTTCGTTAATCTACAAGGTACCGGGCAACGAAACAATTGCACTGACTAGATTTTTTCGCTACGCACGAGACAGTGGGTATTTCCTGATGGGTAAACTGCCAAACCCATACAATCCCGGAGCTACAGAAGTTTTACTGAAGCGGCATACTTCATCCTCATCAAGCAATAACCGACCCCGCGGATTGACTTCGCACACTACCACTCAGCGAAAGATATGATATCTTCGGCGCGCTTTTGTTCACCGTCTTCAAGTCCGTAGACGTCACGGCATTGAGAATGTGCATGTGGTATTAAACTCTCGAGCGAAATTTGCTTCTGTGCGTGTTCCTTCAGGGTAGCAGCCGCGCAGGGCACTGGTAGATGGAGATGTTCTGTAGAAACAAGAAACGAAAAATGTAAGGGATTACTCAGGTCGTGTCTTTGCAGTTGCCGCTGCCTGCGGTGCTGCGTGCAGTCGAGGAGATGTCGTTTGTGGGATTACGGAAAAAGCGACTACTTTTTCAGTCGCTTTCTTTTGTGCTGAGCTATTTGCTTCAACATGTGGTTGGTGCCCTGGGATTTCGACTCTTTAAGGAGGTGCATCTTCCAGCAAGAAGCCCGAGTCACGCCCATCTTGCTCCCGTTCTCGACCTGTTGCAGCTGACCGAACCGGACTCGCCATGCACACAGTTTCATGGAGATGAAAAGCGCTGCTTGGACGTGAGTAACGCACAACACTGCATGTTCTTGCAGCTCGAGAACGCGCCGTCGCTGTGTCTTCCCTGCACCTTCGGGGAAACAAGTGTGCCGTGTCCGGCGGAGCAGAGCGTCTTCGCGATGCAGAAAGTAGTAAAGTGCGACATGGCGTGCGGCCACCAGGAGGTGCGGACGAAGGTGAGTCCCTGCACGGACGTGCTGGATAAGCAGATCACGAAGAACCAGTGTATGAGCAAGGGGGACGCGTCCGAAACGAAGTGCATGTGGATCCAGTACGACCTGAACGGCCAAACCGAGTCCACGTGTGGGCCCTGCGAGGTGGGCGGTGTCGGCACCGTGTCCTGCTATGGCGCGGGAAACCCGGGTCCGGAAGCCGGATCCAAGGTGCTGGACTGCGTGTCGAAGTGCGACGAGCAGACTTCCGAGTACGGGATCCCGTGCGGGGGTGGTGTGCCGGCCGTCACGCCGTGTTTTGTCACGCCGGCGCCGCCAGACGAAATCGCGGTGACGGGTGTGGACGCCTACAAAGTCCAGGCCGAAGAAGGGGCTCCGGAGTACTTCGCAGCGCAGGTCCCCGCTCCCTTCGGAGCCGCAGAATTCGCTGCTGCGTCGAAGGCCGCCGCAAAGGCCGCGGGGTGGTACCCGGACACAAAGCTGCCGCCCGAGGTACATACTCGAGAGCTAGAGCCTTTTTGAGCTTTGCCTTTATGTGTTGAGTTACTATTTTCCTGCCCACCATTTCTACCACGTCATTGATTTTCGCTCGTTTTTAGTGTTTGCTTCGGCTGGCAGCTGTAGCGGAATATTCGTCGACATTCATATGCCTAGATTTTTTCGTCGATAACGATAAGTAACAATCCATATCTACTCCAGACTCCGGTGATGGTGTGGGGCGGTCCGCCGGAGAACTCGACTGGACTTCCGCATGAGGTGGCACCAATGTGGAACTTTCACAGCTCTACCGCAAAGCGGCAGAGCTGGCGCTGCAGAAATTGAAGGACATCAGCATCGATTTGTCCACAAAAGACCCGGCAGAGAAGACAAACATGCTGCGGAAATGCGGTATGATTTTTTGCATGGATTTCTCTTTTTTCGTGTCGCTTCAAATCTCCATCTGGTGCAAAGGTTTTGTTACACTGGCGTTACATGTAGCGTTTTGGCGCTCGTTCTGCAGCCTGTTAACAGAATCTCCATCCTGCTTTTCTAAATACACAACAGCGGAGACGACCCTGAACTCAAAATTGGTGGCTGACTACAAGGAATTCTTTTCCGAAATGGTCGTTCGCGCGATCCAGATTCTAGGCGACGACTTGGACTACCGAGGAATCGGAATCAAAAAGGTATCTATAATGTTGAATTTGTGTTGCACCAGATGTTGCCTTTTACGCAGGCCCTGTAATAAACTGTGGCACGAAGAACACGAAGATAGAAGAAAGAGAGCATAACTGAAAACACCAGAGAAAATGAAAAACTTTCATCTACTCAACATCAGGTCACGGGCGGCAGTGTGATGGATTCCACGCTGATCAATGGCGTTGCCTTCAAGAAAACCTTCTCCTACGCTGGCTTCGAGCAGCAGCCCAGGAGCTCTGTGAAGCCAAAATTCTTACTTTTGAACTTGGAGCTGGAACTGAAGAGCGAAAAGGACAACGCAGAAATCAGAATCGCCGACCCCAGCAAGTTCCAGGCCATTGTCGATGCGGAATGGAGTATTGATCTGCAGCTTTTTGTTTGTTGTTCAACAGATGTACTTCTACAATTATCGATCAGCACAAAATGAAGAGCCAGAGCCTATGGCTTCTATGATGCAAGCATAATGTAAGATGACAACTGCCCACTTCCTGTATCGCTATCGTCGTCTACTTCTCCGACTAAAGCATTACAATATCCCCACGACAGATATCATCTACGAGAAACTGGACAACATCGCTGAATCCGGTGCCAACGTCGTCCTCTCCAAGCTCGCTATCGGCGACCTCGCCACCCAGTACTTCGCCGACCGCGACATTTTCTGCGCCGGCCGGGTCGAGCACGCCGATTTGGACAGGACGAGACGCGCCACTGGGGCGGCGGTCCAGACGACAGTTACCGTGGGGCTGGACCCGAGCGTCTTGGGATCCTGTGGAAAGTTTGAAGAGGTGCAGATCGGAGCGGAGAGGTAGGATTTGATACATGGTTTTGTTTGACAGGCTCATGGTCATGATTCTTTTCCAGCATCGTCTTGGTTTTTTCCCAAGTCTTCTGCTAAAAAAATCGGCTGCACATCGTGCAAATCGTCTTCGCACAACATCTTCATAGCACAACATCTTCATAGCACAACTTTATTTGTCAACAAGAACATGCTCTATTGATTGATTGAGCATGTTGATCTTGATACAACATCACAGGTGGAACCTCTTCAAAGACTGCGAGAACACAAAGGCCGCAACATTGATTATCCGTGGAGGCGCTCAGCAGTTTGTCGACGAGGCCGAACGATCTATCCACGACTCATTTATGATCGTGAAGAGCGCGAGCGACAAAGAACACCGCGGTGATGAACAAGCTCCGACAGAAGCACACGGGCGCTTCCAGCACGGAGTCCCGGTGGTTTGGCGTGGACTGCATCGATATCAAATGTAAAAGTGTCTGGGTCTGGAAGATTCTGACACTTGTCATGCACGTTTTGCGTGAGCTATGATGTCTGTGATGCCTACCCTAGCAATACAGATTTTTTGAGGGCTTCTTGATGCATATTCCGCATGACAAACGCCTCTCCTGCGTCCGAAGCTGCTTGCGGCGACGGTGCAAAGGTTTTTGATGAGGTGCAGTCGGGTATGCATGACAAATGCCTTCTCAGCGTAGCAAAAATTGCATTCCCTTTGGTACTCATGCAATACAGATTTTTTTGGAATCCAAATGCAGCATCACAAGTTGCATTCTTCCAGACCCAGACACTTTTGCATTTGATAATCGAGAACGGCGTGAAGGACACCCTGGCGAACTTCATCTGGGAGCCGATGCGACAGCCTCAGAATGGAAATCCTGAAAGTGGAAATAATTTGTAACAAGCCTCGGGGCGAGCCCTGCTGGGCTCGCCTGGTCTTGGGGTTGTCGGTTGCGACCGGTAAGTCGGTGGCGGAATAAACTCCAAGGAGACAGGGACAGGGGGCCCGATGTCAGTGGGGGCGTTGTGCGCGTTCGCGCGCCGGCTCGTGACAAACCCGCGCCAGCTGCTTGCCCCGCTCCGGCTTGCCAGGGCGACTCTCTGTCGGCCTGTCTGCCGACCGGCTGCCGCTAGCCCGCCGACTGCCGCGCGCTAGCCCCTGCCGGCTGCCGCTGGCCTCTGCCTGCCGGCTGCCGCCAGCCTCTGCCCGCCGGCTGCCGCCCCCCAGCCCCTGCCTGCCGGCTACCGCTAGTCCTACCGCTGGCTTCTGCCCGCCGCTGCCTGCCGCAAGGTAGCCTCGGCCCGCCGGCTGGCCGCCGCTAGCCTCGGCCTTCCGGCTGCCTGCCGCTGGCCTCTACCTGATGTTGGCCCCTTCCTGCCGCTCGCATGCTGGCCTCTGCCTGCCGCTGGCCTCCCTGCCGCTGGCCCCCGCTTGCCGCTGGCCCCTTCCTGCCGCTGGCCTCTCCCTGCGTGCCGCTAGCCTCTTCCTGCCGCTTGCCCCAGCCTGCCGCTGGCCCCTTTTTGCCGCTGCCTGCGGCCTGCCGGCTGCCGCTAGCGCCGGCCTGCCGGCTGCCGCTAGCCCCGGCCTGCCGGCTGCCGCTAGCCCCGGCCTGCCGGCTGCCGCTCGCCCCGGCCTGCCGGCTGCCGCTCGCCCCGGCCCGCCGGCTCCCGCTAGCCTCGGCCGGCCGGCCGCCGCTAGCCTCTGCCTGCCGGCTGCCGCCCCTGGCCTCTGCCTGCCGGCTACCGCCCCTGCCTGGCCTCTGCCTGCCGGCTGCCGCTCCTGGACACCCTAACTTCAAACAACAAAAAGACCTTTTTTTGCTATTAATCGAATGGCTGTATGCACCGATCACGAAATGCTACTTCGAAAATACAAATGCGGGAAGTTTTTCTTGGAAGGTAATCCAAATGATAACAGCACGCAGCAGTGATGAAGAAGGTTATCCGGGATTGGATGGAGCAGGGCCTGCAGCCGCGCCACGATCTGGCTTTGTTCGTCTTCTTGAAGTTTATCTCCTCTGTCGTCCCGACTATTGATTACGACTTCACCATGGATATCGAACTTTAGCGCAGGCAGCCCGCAGCGGAGGCCCCCAAAAACCGGTCTGGGGAATGCTTGCAATGACACACACTTCTTCAACTTTTTCAAAACAATTCAGACATGTTGCTGCAACACGGTGATTGCGTTCCCGATTGCGGATCCCGCGTGTAGTTGGAGTTGTTGCTGGCAATGCCGTAGAGTGAGCGTTTCTGGCTTCGTGCCCTGCACGTCCTGATGTTGAGCTGGACAGGTCACAGCTCTACTTACAACAGGGCTACACCTTTTTGACAGACCGCAAGAACAGTTTACTCGAAAACCACCATAGTCGGAGAAGCCCGACTACACTATTCCGGAGATCCACATCGATGCAGAAACAGAAGCTTTTCCCCAGGAAGAGGGTTGGCGGGATCTTGGTTTGTTCTTGCCCTCTACTCCGATGTTTTTTTATTTTTCCGAACAGAGGAAGTGAAAGACAAAGATCAAGATGAAGAAGAAGATCAACAACAAGATCGCAGGTCCTGCAGCTCAGCTGCATTCGTTTTGTCATGGTTTTGCCCTGCCGATAAGTAAGCCACTTACAACTTTTCGCTAGGCACAGCAGGTATTGCAGAGACGAGAAAATCAAGGATGGCTCTGTCGTACGGTTCTGACGGGAAGTTCTGGAGCGGGCTTCTGCTTGGAGCGAGCACGATGGGATTGGTCTGTCTCCGTGACCGCGCGACGGCGTCGTCTAGTGCAACATCCGGCAGCACGGCTTGCAGAGTGAGCATGTACAACATTGGACCGGGCGGAGGTGCAGCAAGAACAGGGTCTTCAGCTCCTCCTGTTCCAATGCTAGCGCGAGGAGGTGGGACGAGCAGCACGTCATCTGGTGACCGTACGACATCCACAGAAGCGGAGCAGAAAGCGACTGCAGCACCGACGGCGACGGCAGCTGTAACCAGCGAGAGCAGTTCATCGAGCAGCGCTTCGGCCTCGTCCTCCTCTACAGCAATAGAGCAAGCAAATGCCGCGGCAACCGCAAGTGGCGGCTCGAAGGAGGTGACGTCCCACTACGACAGTAAGTACCAACAGTGGCAGCTAAGCATGAACGAGTTTGGCTCGCGCGCACAGGCGCACTACTGGAGGGAGTTCGTGCGCCCTGATACGAGATGCGCAGAGTTCGGATCCAGCTCGGGGCACATCATATCGTCGCTGCGAAATCAAGAAGTCTTCAAGTTTCCGGCAAAGGACGGTATCTTCGTTCTTCACGTTGACGGAAATAATTCTACGTTCTTCACGTTGACGTTGTACTGGAACTGGAAAGGACGGCACGAAGAAGTACAAGTACTCTGACATCTGTTGCACGACCCATGATGCCGTTATGTTCGGTAAGCTCGCCAATCCTGCTGTATTAATCTTGGTGTCTTAATGAAAACAGGTAAGTCCGCGCCTCAAATCGGCTGTTCTCTCGAGGCTATCGGCGTCGAAGTCAACCCGGCCGCCCGGGATCACGCAGACACGGTTCTCAGACCGAAGTTCGGCATCAACGCGACCGTCGACAACGTGGAGAAACTCCCGGACGACACGTATGATTTGATCCTGACCCACCACGTCTTGGAGCACTTGGAGTGCGCGTTGTGCGAACTGCGAAAGATTTACAAGAAGGTGAAACCGAGGACCGGGGTGTTTGTGGCGGTGGTGCCATGGTACACGGAGTTGGCGGAAACCTACGACGGAAAAGACATCAATCAACATCTGGCGGGATTTGGCGCACAAGAGCTAGGAAATTTGATGACAAAAGCAGGGTTTTCCGTGTCGGGGGAGGAATGCCACTCCTACCACCGGGAGTGGCCAAGCAATTACCAATTCTGGTATTCTTGTTGGTTCTTACACTGTTGGAGCCTCCTGGAAGATGAAACTCATCCTACAATTCACTTTGCTCATCTCGTCCACGTTGGGGAAACAAAGCACAGCCATACTAGAGCAACTTCTTCAGTCATTTCCCACTGATATTGAATCAAAACAAAGGTTTAACGCGCTTCCGGAGTGGGCATGGCTGGCCGTGCAGTCGTGGTGGAGTGATTGGTTCGGCAACGGCTCCGTCGAAACGAGATGCGTAGGAAGAAAGATGTGAGTTTTTGAGGAAAGGAGTCCACCAAATTGCGGACCTACGACATCTCAATAACATATGACAAATACTACCAAACTCACCAAGGCTATGGCTCTTCGGGTATTAAGACTTCGACGAGTCCTGCGTTTTTCTTTTGAATTGCGTGGCTTGATATTAATTATGAGATTGGAGGAGTTCGATTCACGACCCCGCGGATTGACTTCGCACACTACCACTCCGCGAAAGATATGATATCTTCGGCGCGCTTTTGTTCACCGTCTTCAAGTCCGTAGACGTCACGGCATTGAGAATGTGGTATTAAACTCTCGAGCGAAATTTGCTTCTGTGCGTGTTCCTTCAGGGTAGCAGCCGCGCAGGGCACTGGTAGATGGAGATGTTCTGTAGAAACAAGAAACGAAAAATGTAAGGGATTACTCAGGTCGTGTCTTTGCAGTTTCCGCTGCCTGCGGTGCTGCGTGCAGTCGAGGAGATGTCGTTTGTGGGATTACGGAAAAAGCGACTACTTTTTCAGTCGCTTTCTTTTGTGCTGAGCTATTTGCTTCAACATGTGGTTGGTGCCCTGGGACTTCGACTCTTTAAGGAGGTGCATCTTCCAGCAAGAAGCCCGAGCCACGCCCATCTTGCTCCCGTTCTCAACCTGTTGCAGCTGACCGAACCGGACTCGCCATGCACACAGTTTCATGGAGATGAGAAGCGCTGCTTGTATGGCGACGTCAACTATCTCAACAAAAAGATTCTCAAAATTTTTATGGTTTGAGAACGTTGTTAATTCCCGATGGTATGGCCAGAAAAGTGCTGGTCCAAAAATTTTTGAGAACGTTTCTGCTGAGATAGTTGACATCGCCATAGCTTGGACGTGGGTAACGCACAACACTGCATGTTCTTGCAGCTCGAGAACGCGCCGTCGCTGTGTCTTCCCTGCACCTTCGGGGAAACAAGTGTGCCGTGTCCGGCGGAGCAGAGCGTCTTCGCGATGCAGAAAGTAGTAAAGTGCGACATGGCGTGCGGCCACCAGGAGGTACTGACGAAGGTGAGTCCCTGCACGGACGTGCTGGATAAGCAGATCACGAAGAACCAGTGTATGAGCAAGGGGGACGCGTCCGAAACGAAGTGCATGTGGATCCAGTACGACCTGAACGGCCAAACCGAGTCCACGTGTGGGCCCTGCGAGGTGGGCGGTGTCGGCACCGTGTCCTGCTATGGCGCGGGGAACCCGGGTCCGGAAGCCGGATCCAAGGTGCTGGACTGCGTGTCGAAGTGCGACGAGCAGACTTCCGAGTACGGGATCCCGTGCGGGGGTGGTGTGCCGGCCGTCACGCCGTGTTTTGTCACGCCGGCGCCGCCAGACGAAATCGCGGTGACGGGTGTGGACGCCTACAAAGTCCAGGCCGAAGAAGGCGCTCCGGAGTACTTTGCAGCGCAGGTCCCCGCTCCCTTCGGAGCCGCAGAATTCGCTGCTGCATCGAAGGCCGCCGCAAAGGCCGCGGGGTGGTACCCGGACACAAAGCTGCCGCCAGAGGTACATACTCGAGAGCTAGAGCCTTTTTGAGCTTTGCCTTTATGTGTTCAGTTACTTTTTTCCTGCCCACCATTTCTACCACGTCTCGTCATTGATTTTCGCTCGTTTTTAGTGTTTGCTTCGGCTGGCAGCTGTAGCGGAGTATATGCCTTGTTTTTTTCGTCGATAACCATAAGCGACAATCCATATCTACTCCAGACTCCGGTGATGGTGTGGGGAGGTCCGCCGGAGAACTCGACTGGACTTCCGCATGAGGTGGCACCAATGTGGGGTCCTGCGCCGCCCGGGATCCCAGGAGTGCCTGCACCTGGAACTGGATTTATGGGTGTCCTGCCAAATGAACCAAAGCCGTGAGTAGAAGACACTGCGATACGAAGCTCCACAACAAAGCGCAAAGGCCGTCTTTCACAAAGAATGACAGAACTGGCATAGCGGCCTTCACTGGGGGTTCATACCGGGTCGCGGGCGATCGATTGCGAAGTTGTGTGCGTTGCATTTTCTTTTCCATGCTGACGTTGTGCATAACCGTTACCATAACCATAAATGAAGGAAGGACCACTGCACCGCAAGCATTGTTTTGTCGCCTGCATTAAGGAGGTCGATCATGCTAAAGAACCAAAAGTAGCTTTGATTCGATCGCGCTGAGTGTGGTGCCTGTACAGAGTCGTGTCATGCAACCACCCCGTGATTCTGATATCTTGTTTTCTCAGACAGTTTGTCACTGTTTTATAAAGACATACTGGAACTTGAAAATCAAAATGCTCGGTGAGAATACATAACGGTACCTGAATCTCGTTTGCTCTAAAAGACAAGTTCGACAAGCACAGGTCGGTTGCTCGTGCGCCCAGTAAAGTCGTCGGTGTGGTGTGAGCTCGTACAAAAACTTGCGCCAGTTAGTTCGTCTCTTCATGCCTTTTCATATTCGTACAGCTTGCTGTTTCTACACGTCCTCTTCATGCAGCGGTGCTCGGTTTTTTTGCTCGTCCACGGGACCGGGTGGTGCGCCATCAACATCGGTCGTACGTGCGTAATCATGCTTCGCTTTGCTTCGCTGTCATCGTCCTTGGCTTGTGCAGCTTCCGACTCGGTAACCTTCGTACAAGATGATGATTCCTTGGCGTTCAATACTGCTTTACGCTTCATCGGTAGTGACTCTAAGTCACAACTTGTAACTGTAGTGTTTGCATTTTCGTGAAAAAGTTTAAGTTACTGTGCAGCATTTTTCTTGTTTCGCTTTAAAATCTCTTCGCAAAACCGATTGCAGGTGGTCTTGTATTCGGCTTTGGACTCCCCGTTCATTGCTGGTCTTGACTTTATTTTCTCTATCACCAACGTCCCTTGTTGAGCAAATTATTGAACAACGGTGCTTTTTTCACTTACTTCCTTCTGTTTGAAAATTCTTCTTTTTACCGTTTTGAACACGACCAACGAAAAACCAAAACCTTAATATCACTTCTTGACAAGCGTCCAACAGCAAACAGACATGACGGCGATTGTAGTTTGCATGTTGACGGATGTGTAGCAAGATAGAGCGTGGTTCTTGACAGCCTCGTTTCTTGTGAGCAACCTTCTTGCAGCAGCGCTTCTGACGCAATTCCTGTGTCCGGAGGACCGTGCTAGGAGAAATAACGTCGAGCAAGCAAGATAAACAGGTTTTCATCTGAAAACAGAAACGAAAAAACCGTCGAGAGAGTAGCATTCGGGCCACTGCTCGTTTCTGTACGACTACAACCCCGCAGCTGCACATCAACCTTGTGAAAGCCGGCACCGCTCCTCACCAGTACGAAGATGGGGTTCTGCCGCAAATTGTGCCCCTGTTGCTGCCACCGGGTGCCAAAGGCAGAACGGGATCGGGTGAAACGGGTGCACGCGGGAGATGCAGTCGACGATGACGTGATGGAAAACCTGATCAACGCCGCTACGGGTGAGGCGGTGGACCCCGAGCAAACGAATTACGACTACTTCTTCGGCGCCGCGGAAGACTCGGGCCGGGTATGACATGATTTTGATTGCGCTGATTGCTTTATTCTTCTTGTTCGGCTTTGCAGTTCGTGCTCGTGCTACAACAACTTGCAGAGATAGAAACTACAAGCACATGCTAAAATACGCAGCTCGTTGTATGGTCGTCGATTGCGTCTTCTTGTTTCTTCAGTGATTTCGCGCTTTCAGTGGCCGAAGAGTCAAAATCGACGAAACAAAAGTAGAAATGTATACGTAGTTTCTTGTCTCACCACGTGCACGTCCTCTCATTCGTCGTGGTAGCTTCTGCTCTGAGTCAGAGGCTGAGTCATCAAGGATTATGAACTGGACGATGTGACTCATTCTGATGCAAGCAACATGATATCACGTTAGTATCTATGTTTTTCGATGAAATTGATATCAGGACCAAAGCACGGTGGCGCCGGATTGGGAGGAGCAGATCGAGGGTGCTGGCGTCCTCGTGGACACGGTTGCGCGCGACAGTGACGCGGATGAGCACTTCCAGCAGTACTCCAAGAGCCTGCACGGGTCGCCCAACCGTGGGAAGTCCGGCGTCGACGGCGCGCACAACCGGTCCCCGCCGCCCTCCAGCGCTTCGGGAGGGAGCAGCTCGGCCTCGGGTTGGGCCAGCGACAGCTCCGCGCGCTCCTCGGGGGTGGACTCTTCCGTGCACTCCTCGTCGAAGATCCGGATTGCTTCGGTTTTTTCCACGACCGCGACGTCCGCGCAGCCTGGCAGCGTCAAGGTTGCAGCAGCTGCGCGTGGTCATGATGAGCAACCGGTGGTGGAGAGTGGCTGCTACAGCGACTACTACTCCGCCCAGGACGAGCGCCCGCACGGAGAGCAAACGACAAGCACGGAAAACGATGCTGGTTCGTCCGATGCGAGCAAAAAATCCACCTACACCAACCCCGCATTCTACGTGTCCGCGTTCAAGCGGGCGTTTGCAGCGACGGGCGGTGGTGTGGAACCAAGCAACGATCCGAAAACGCCGCCGATCGGGTTGGGCAGCCCCGCGCAAATGGTCGGCTACAGCAGCAGCAGCGGGTACCGCATGAAAGAGAGCGACAGCTCTGACGAGTACGACGACCCTGAAGCCTCCAACTTCAACAACGACGAAGAACCTGCGACCAGCACGGAGGAGGAGGAAATCTACCTGAGCAGATACAATTGAGAGAGAGGAAGGAAACTCATTCAAGTTGAGAGGATCAAACTTTTATCGAGTTCTCTTCTCTTTCCAAGTTGAAACTTTGTTTTCTAATTGTGAAAATCGACTAGAAAATTATAACTACTACACGGCTTTATCGATTCCAATTTACTATTGAATCGATCAGATGAAGCCTAAGAACACTGCGTATGTGATGTGTCTGTATCGAAGTGATGAAGACTGCAGTGTCAAGCTGGCACAGTGGTTTTCATCATTCAAAATCAGGTAAAGATTCAAAATCGTCGCCGTCCAAGTGGCTTTCGATTACAAGCTCTCCTTGTGGATAAAAACTCTCTGAATATTCTTAGCATAGTACCTCGTTCCATTGATTGTGGGAAATCTGCTTCTGATATTCGGGTTGTCTTTTATACGCGAGTTAATACTTCTGTGGTACCAAGCAATTTATTCAATTTTCTGTGACAAAAAAATCTTGTTTAAAAAGCTCGCTGCTGCTGAGCCAGGGTTGTGGATTCGACTCCAGCCTAGGTGCCACGCACCTGCAGCCTAGGTGGATCCACGTGACAACTCGGACGGAGTAAAAAGGAGAAAACGCTATAAAAGTGGAAAGTGAAAAATGCAATCGTTGTTGCGGAGCGAGGTGGCGAGGAGGATGAGTCTACTCATGAGTAGGGGAATCCTTATCGCCGTCCCGTTTCGCGCGCGGGTGTGCGCTAAAAGTGAGCATGCTATCCATCGTGTGCAAAAATTGAAGGCTTTTTTTTCTGCTTTATCTTTACATCGTTCTTGTTTTGCTTTTAGAGTAACTTCATATATTAACTTTGTTTTCTCTACTCATGACGTACTTTTTCCACTACAAACGTAACGACCCCCATTGCAAACTAACGAGTAACGACCCCTTCTCTTTCAGTGCTTCACATCAAAACACAGTACTTATTGTCCGGATCTCCGTCTAATGAAGCGCCTCAAATCGAAAACCGAAAAGGAGCTAGATACGCAGTCAGGTATCAGCTCTCAGCATCGCGCCAAAACTATCCTGACCTCTATGATGCTACATCGGCACTTCATTTGCATGGTACAAGCGTAGAATTGCGAATTTATACTTGTAAAACTTACACGGAATTACAATTCTTGTGATAGTTTTACGAGCTGCAGATTCACCTACGAGGCTTGATAGGTGAGAATGAGGATCGATGATTAGGACGAGTCATTTGAGTACTCGCATGCACTTATGAAAATCTATTTCTACCCGGAGAATGCGACGCCGACGCTGATGCAAAAGGAAAAGTATTCCACCCGGGAAGAATCGCCGCTACTAGTCATCCTTATTCATTTCGCAAGATTCTCCCTGGACATACGCGATTATTTTGGAACAAGTACAAAAAAAGTGCCACTACAACGAGCCTCAGAAGTCTTTCGCTTTTCGCTGCCGCAATTTCAATGGTGTTCGTGTTCAAATAAAGTTTTGCGCAACATGCGCACTGCCGGCATAATATAGCTGGCATTCATGGAAAACGTAGAAGCAGCGGAGTCTTTCTTGATGCAACTTTATTGACAGGAGAAGGTCGCTCGATCGAAGCAAGATGATAAGGTAAAAACGAGTGTTTATCTTCTCCAATTTTTGCGCAGCGCTATTTGATTTGGCAGTATCGGATCATGATTCCACGTTTACCTCTTCGACGAGCATTTTTTTCTGAAAGCGAATCTCCGATAAATTTCAGTGTCAGATGGCCAACTTAGAGCGTTTTTTCTTTGCTAGGTTGATTCACCGACAGAACCAGACACAAAGCGGAAGATGATCATCGAAACAGCACATAGAATTTTCAAGTTTTTGTTCGAGGTGTACCGCATTGAATATACTTTCGTGTGTGAGCATCTGCTATAATCGTCTCCGTGTTTTTTTTTCTACGATACCTATGACAACGCACTATCAGATTTCTTTCACAACATAGTGATGACGGGAAAATTTTCTGTCTGCCTCATGTCTCCCTCGCAGAAGTCATGACATGAAGTTTCGCCAAAGCAGGTGAAGCCTTCGACCGGCAAGTAGACCGATGACCAGTTAGTTTGGTTTGACCGGCGTATTGGGAAACCAGTCTACAATGCGAAGCCGCACAAGAATGTGGCTTCTCTGTTGCAGCATTCTGGTGACCGCCGGCAGTGTTACCAGTGCCGCGACGCCTGCAGCTGCGACGAGTCGTCTTATTTTTCACTACGTGCCCCAGTACCAAAAAAAATGCTTCAAGAGGAGCGACTTTTTCTCAGACGAAGACGCTGCACAGACCGCGGCAAGAGATCCAAATGTTGAGCGGACAGAACTTTCTGTCCTCGGCCTCGTTGGAAACCCTAGCCTGATGCTGGAGAATGCTGCTGACGAAACGACTCTCCAAGCAACCTCCGCAGAGGGCGCCGCCGCCGCAAAGAAAGCACGAACTCCGGACCCTTTGCGCTACGGCAGTTTTGACGCAACGATGGTTGACCTCGCAAGCAGCGCAGCAACTGACATTTGCGTCGCAACACTATCAGAGCCTGGGTGTAGCTTTCTCGTCGTGGCTACCGGCGTCAATGCAGCCGTCCCGCTGGGTGTGGTACCGACAAGCAGTATCACGCGCCTGCAAAACGGTTTGCCAAGTGTGGTCTCGTGGCCTGATTACTACGCGAGCGGACGAAAGAAGAACGCTGACGCGACAACTGGCGTAAAGAACCTTCGCTGGTTCAAGTTTGAGTACGGCAGGCCTGCGCATTCGCTGGAAACGGCAGTCCAGATAGAGCTGCTGCAGTTTGCGGCGCCGGAGATCTTGAATGCGGAGATGGCCCTCATGGAACAAGATTTCGCCCCTGCACGCGTTCTGAACGTCTACCGCATCGATAAGACGTCCAGCTCCAGCACAACTTCATCTACTTCGCAGGAACTTAGGGATCCGCTTGCGTCTTATCCGCTGGATTTTCAGGGCAATCGGGTCTGGAAGTTGACTCTACCGACGTCAGTGGCGGACCACGAGAAGTCTGAATCGAAGGACGGAGTAACCTCCTCACGACGGGAGGAGCTGCTGTTGTCGATAGAGGACCAGTTAGTCAACAGCGATATGATTACAGGAGCTGCTGCTCCATCATCGAAAATCGCAGGAAACGTTGCACCAGTCGACGGTGATAGCGATATGCAGTACACTCCCGCAATGGTGCTCACCGTCACTGCTAACCCGGAGAGCGCTGCGCTCGCTTTGGCTGCAGCAAACAGTGAAAACAAGGTATCAGACGGACAGAACCAAGCCGAAGCGGCGCCAATCGCTGCGCGATTGGTTCCGCACGGCGTTCCTGCCAGGGGATATATCGAAGTTCCCGCGGATGTTGCACCGACGGCGAAAGTCTGTGCGCCCATTCGGTACTCCACGCTTTTCCACGCAGCGACGGATCTGACGATTTCGCTCGTGACAGACGACAGCAACGACTTTGCAAGCAGCACAGCTGGAAGTTCCGCGGTTGCATCTTCGAAAGTAGCCACCACTTGGCATCTCAGAGCAAAAGCGGCGCCCGATTTGTGGTCAGCAGATTCTTCACCCTCCTTGTCTACTGCTCTGTCATCCACCAAAACCAGTGCCGTTGGCGCCGCTGCCTCCGCTGCCATTGCGGAAGGAGAAAGCGTAATGTCAGCTGTTTCGTCAACCATCAAGAAATCGTGGTCTTCGGTCTTTGGCAGTGGCACTTCCTCGTCCTCCGCCTCCAAGACGTCGGAAACCTCTGCTGACCAGATCCCCGCCGGCAGCTATCTGGGCGCGAAACTGGACATCTCGCGCACTGAACTGGCCGCTTTGAGCGGTTCGACCACCAGCGCTTCCATGACCGAAAGCGGCCCGGTGCAGATGAGCAATCAGTTGGAGATCGATGTGTGCCTGGAGGGAGGAGCAAAACTGGACAAAACCTCCAGTAGTGAGTCGTCGACGACCGTGGCGGCGGATGAAAACCTGCTCGGTGGTGTTGCAAAGAAAAATCCGACGGGAGACGAATCCAAAACGCCCGGCACCATCTACTTTTTCGAGCTGCTGGTCGTGTCAGCGTCCGAAATGATCACACTGGAGCCTGGCAAGCCGGTCACCGCCACGATTCAGTCGAACCACTGGCAGGACTTCCGCATCTTCGTGCCCCCGCCGACTAGCGTTGCTACGCAAAACCCGAACTACGCTTTGACACTCTCCACGCACGGCGAGAACCACGCCCGGACTTACCTGGTCGCGGACGTCCGACACTTCGCGCGCGACCCGCGGGCGTACCGCTGGAAGAGCGGGGCTCAGGAGGACGCCGGGGTGGACGAAACCATCGTGCTCTCGCCCCTGCACCGCGTGTGCAAGTACGGGGGCATGGTCCACCGCAAGCTGTGTTTTGTGTACGTGTCGACGTTCGCTTGGTTTCCCGAAGACGGAGAACGCGGCAAGAGCGATAATCCTCTGAAAGACCAGGCGGCAGAGTTTACGATTTCCGCAACATTCAACTCTCCAAACAGCGCGGGGACGGATGTGTCACCGGCGAAAGGGGCGGCGTTTTCTCCGAAAGACGGCGACGACGGATCAAATCTTCCCGTCGATGCAGGAGACATCACTGCGACGAGCAACGCGCTGCAGAAGCATCTCGTTTTGCGAGAAGGTGTTTCGCAAGATGTTGTCACGTCATCAGCAGACACTGCGAGTGTTTTCAAATTTGAAGTCGACAAGCGCGACGAGGGAATAGTGGTCGGGTTGGAGCACTTGGAAGGCCGGTGCCGCGTCAAGATTTCGGCCTTCGATGATGTTGCCAGCGATCCAACGGCCGATGGCGTGGCAGCGACACCCTATGCAGATGATGCGGTTCTACTGACGCCCGGGTCGCCGGTTTTGACCGAGGCAGCGAACATCGCCGCGGCAGAGACAAATGTGGCCTCCGGGGTCTTGGACGCCGGCTCAGCAGCAGACGCATCAACAGGAACAGCAGCAGCACCTGCCTCGAAGAGTGGCGTGCCAGTCGTTCCCATGAAGCTTTTCATCAGCGTAAAGGCTGCCAGCGCGGAAAAGCAGATGGATGCGGGTGAAACGTCAACAAAGGCCTCACCTTCGGCCCATTGTCGCCTGACGGCGCGGGGGACCCGATTTGTCAGTCCTTTGCAAGACGGTGCTACGGTCTCGGGGGCAGTGCGGCCGCAGTTTTTGAACTTTTTTTCCGTAGATCCGCTTGATTTCCGTAACAGCGGTGCGAATGGCATCGACCTGCAACTTAACGTCTTAGCTGGCGGAGTGGATCTCTGTGTGAAGTACGGATCTTCTGCAGCTGAGAACAAGGATGCTGCAGATGCAAGCCAGAACGAAATGGATTCAATCGCAGCTCATCATTGTGACCTTCGGACCGATACTGTGTCCGGCCGGAGCGCCTTGCGGCTGTTTGCAGTCGCACCCTCCTCGCTCTCCACAGCTGCGGCAGCAGTGGAGAACGCTATCACGTCTGTTCTACCTGGGACACCAACATCGATAGGCCCAGAGCAAACGAAAAAGGCACGCGTGATCGTTTTCGCAAGGGAGGACACGCCGAGTGCGTATTCCCTCACAGCATCGGCCAAGAACACGGTCGCGACACTTCTGGATGGTGCGCCGACGGAGATCTTTCTGTCAGCAGAAGATGCAGCGGCTACTTCTTCTTCGACTAGCAGCAGTGCCTTGGTGAAAAAGACGTTCAAAATCGCGGAGGGACTATCAAGTACCCGAACGCGCTTCCGATTGCGGGTGAGTAATGGCGGTCCAGTACAGGTGTGCTTTCAAGCTTACCTCCGCGATGATTCCTTCGGCAGTAACGCTAAAAACGGAATCACACTGGTGCCTCAAATTCAAATTGCTGGGACCGCCGGCCTAGCTGCGGATCATTCGGATTTGTCAGGTGATGCCAGTAGCGCTGCAATAGTCTATGATTGGGGTAGATCAGCTGGCGCTACTGTCGGCGACAATTCGGACGCAGTAGGAACAACAGCTGCTCCGAGCACCACAGGAGAGGACGCTGACAGCGACAAGCTCAAGGCCGCCTTGAGTGGAGACGGCCAATCTAGTTCGTCCTCGCAGACCACCAGTGGTGCAATCCTGTCGTCGTTGAAGAGCCTTGCAGTAGGAGGTATCATGGGATCATCTTCGACCCCAGGGGATGTTGACACGCCGGAGAAAAAACTCTTTACTCCGCTCGTGTGTCTTCCCAACAGAACCGTGACACGGTTCGCAGCCGTTGACGTGATGAAGCCGCCTCCGGATTTACTGGACGTAATTCAGGACCTTCGCGTGCACGTCAGCCTCGCGGACAGTACTAGCACGTCAGGGTCCGAGGCAACGTCCGCGAGCGTGGTACTGTTTTCACAGAGGAGCAACGACGTGGTCTTGCGCGATGGGCAGCAGGTCATGGACCGGATTTTTGCCCTCGCGTCTGCGAACGTTGGCACTGTAGTTGCGTCGGAGTACACGAACAAAAACGACTTTCTGCCGGGGACCACCTACTACCGTTTCTTCCTTTTCCCGACGGCGAATTTTCTGCTGAAGGCTCTGCAAATCGAGCTGACACTGGACGACTCGACCGCCGCAACTGCTTCGGCTCTAGCAAGCACGCTGTCCTGTGTCTCTATGGGGTTCTCCGTACTTCCGACCGACGATGAGGACGAGGAGCCGGCCAACGAGAGAGGCGCAGCAGCGCAAGCCGCGGCCGATCAAAACCTGCAACTAGCCGAGCAAATTCGAATAAAAGAGTCGCCAAAGACGTCGGCGACAAAATCGCTCACCGCCACGCTGCCAGCCTACCTCGTTTTCCAGTACAGACAGCGATGGCTGCGCATCCGGGTCGAGAACCGCTGCAGTGCGCAGCAGGCTAATTTGAAGAGCCTGCAATACACGGTTCAAGTGAAAAGTAAAAACTTCTTTGACAGCTTTTCCTCTACCACAAAAGACGTGAAGCCCGTGAAGCTGGTGCTTGACGCACCGCCGCAGCTGGTCACATTTGACGACCGCGATGACGATTTCGGGCTCGCATCGCCGGACTTCTATCACGTAGACCTACCAGCAAACAAGGCCCCGGCGGAAACCATGTCGCCGGAGTTGAAGAAGAAGGAAGAGGAGGACATGAAAACAGCGCTGGCGATGCAAAAAAGCGCTGATGTCAACTCGGGTGAGGGAAAAAGTAGCCTCGGTGCAGCTGCCGCGAAAGCGGTTGAAACCGTCGCGGACAACCTTGAAGCTGCGAAGGAGGCGGTGGAAACGAAAGTGGACGACTTGAAGACAAGTGTTGAGGATTCGGTGCAAAACGCGAAGAACAAAGTCGAGGACGCTGCGAAAATGACAGCCAACAAGGTGATGCAGCTGGCTCCGGTGAGTGTAATAAAACCCTTTTCGCTGTCGACGGACAACGACCGGGTCTTGCGAGTCGACGTGTGTTATGGTCGAGTAGTGGTAGCGACGGGAGCGACAGTGGAGAATCTGAACGTGGAGCACGACGACGCTGCGTCAGCGACGAGAGGTTCCTTCTCTTGGAGCACAGTACTGGGCGGCAAGACGGAGTACGTCGCCGTGCGGGAAGCTAGGCAAGAAGGGGACGACACTGGAGCTGGTGGAGTCATGCAGCCCTCCGCGTCCGCGTCCGCCTCAAATACAAATTCTGCGTCGTCCTCTTCGTCGGATGCTGAAGCAACGAGTTCGTCCACGATCTTTTCGGACAGCGTGTTGTCTCAAACCCTGCAACCAAGTTACGAAATTTCGTTGAAATTGTCCGGAGCAGAGCAGTCTTCTAGTTCAGGCAGTAGATTCGACCTGCAGCTCGACAAGTACGGGGCTTTTCAATACCAGTCGTCCGCAGCGGATTCACCACAATACGACATGCTGGTACTGTTGGACCCTGACAACGCCCAGACCACCAACCTTCGACCGGAAACGCGGTGCGGCTTTGAGACACTACTCGCTGCAGTGCTGGAAGAAAAGCGGTGGGACGCTAATCCACGGCCACTCCTCCGATCGCAAAACAATCTTCTTGCGCGGCGCGACACCGCTGCACAGGTCTTCTTCTCCAGAGGGTCGCTGCTGGTGCTGCAGCCGCCGTTGGAGCAGAGCGGGGAGTCGAGTTCTAAGGATGGTAGTGCAACGACCATCCCGTTGCAGGATCTACTGCAGCAGCCACAAGTGGCATCGAATCTGAAGTCTTGGGCGAGTGTCGCCGCCGTTGTGATGAACACAAAGACGAAAGCGCTAAGCAAGCCCCTGCGGTTCCCCGCCAGCGACTTGCTCACGGGAGTGGGCGTTTCTTCTTCGGAGGCAGATGTCGGCGCACCGAGGTCGTTCTCCATGACGGTAATCGTGGGGCTGTTCAAGATTTTTTGCATCTACCTCCTGGTGGTTTTTTTCCTGGGGCGTTGCCTCGGAATCTCCAACTGGCGGAAGAACTACGTTTACAGACGGCTGTTTTACTTTTGGGACCGCGTTTCCGTAGCGGTGTGCGGACGGCGTGGTCGTTCGTCCGTGGACGACGACCTGTTTTTGGACGAAACCACGCTAGATGGAAATGCTTCGCCGGACGCCTACCATCTACCTATGGTTTTGGAGCAGGACCAGGCCCAAGCCAGGAGGCGAAATGGCAGCGGTCAACAGCAAACCGGTGGTTCCTACGTGCCTCCGAAGCTGGGCGTCGAGGGAGCAGGCACAGGAAAGAGTAGCAATGCAGGATTCGTTTTTAGATCGGGCACCGGTTCGTCGAGTACAACCAGCGGAGCGGCAACTACTGCGATGGGGGGGAACTTTAGCTCCGCGGTCGCTGCGGCAAACACTGCTTTCGTTTTATCAAGCGGACCCGTGCCGGTGACATCAGCGGAATCACTCAGAACAAATGCAAGTTTAGATGAGTCTTTCGCGAACACATACCATACGCTGTGACATAGACATCGCGACGAGTCGTGCAAATACAGAACAAGTGAAACAAAAAGATGATTGACGAGCTCTTGCTCTTTCACTCTTCAAATGTGAGTCATTTTCATTGTGGGTACAGACAACATGCAAAGATGCGCGCCTCAAGTGAGAACTTTTGTCCGGTCCTCTTGCTCTTCAGGAACATACAGCAATGTGGTTAACCGTCGACATTACGCAACCACGGTGTCGTCATCGTCATCGCGTTCTCACAGGCATAGCGTAAGGACATATGCTGCGCAAGGGCAAGTCATACTCCTAGTACCATGCTTCTCTTCATTGCACAGCATTTGGCTTTGAAAGAAGATACTCAAAAACATGGCGTTCGTGGTTTGAATTTTTCTTTCTTGACAGCTGAGCAGTGTCATCATCAAGAAGACTTCTCTTCGTAGTCTTCATGCTTCTCCCTGGTAATTTGTGACTTCGTCTTCGATTGTGTCTGTGTGTGGTGCAAGTGCGCATGTTTTTTTTCATCGATTCGATGACTTCACAACATGATGAAGCCAGTTTTCGTTGCTTAGATCGTACCTGCTGAGTCGAGTTCATCGCAGTCTGAGTGTGTTTTAATCGGGTTGCTCGTTGTCTGTTATTTTCCTTGTTCTCGTCCTCGTTCCCGATCCCGTGCGTACTACAACAAGGAAGGAGTGCGAGTCGTTTTATTTCGGACTGTCTTCACAGGACGAGTATTCTCGTTGTCCTTTGTTGCATCCATTTGAAAATCCAACCCGCCCTAGTTTGGCAATAGCACGAGCTGCAGCTGCTCTCAAGGCGAAGCACGATGCGCCTCTTATGCCGTGTTCGGGTAGTGGGAGCCCGTACAGATAATGATGACACGGCAAATCATACGGCGTCTTCTCCGCAGCTGCCTTCCGGCTGCGCAAGCAAGGGATCCGAAAGTGAAGATATTGCTATTGGCAATCCACTGATTCTCGCAGTTCCAATCCGCGACGCGACAAGCACCACGGTGGCAACGCTCTTATCCGAGGTGAAGAAGCGGGCAGCGAGCTGCGTAGACGAGCTACCTTCGGCTTTTGCTCACGATGTTGACTTTCTTGATAGCGGCGCCGCGCCGATATGGAGTGGCTCTGGTGCGGGAGCAAATCGCGAGGGCATCCCATCGAGAACGAGTAGCACAAGCTCCTCGACTGCAATGCCAGGATGCATCGACAACCAGGGCAGGAAAAACTACTACCTGACACACGAGGGTGCCAGGTTGTTTCCCGACGACATCTTGGAAGATCTCTTTCAGTCTTCTCCAGTGGAGCTAGAGCTGCATGTACGAAGTGCGACGTCGCCGTTCCCTAGTCCGAGAGGAGACCACCTCGAAGCTGGAGGTAGCTTTTAGTTCTTTTTTCGATTGACTGCAACGGACGAATTTGCTTACTATATAAGAATAGCTTTTGCATCTGCATCACGAGCACGAGCAGCTCGTCTGTTCTTGCTGCAGTGCGCTTACTGACATTCCGCAACTAGCACGGGTGTGTTTTTGCCACTTCTTCTAAGAAGAATGAGCAAAATTTCAAGAATGGGTCCAACATCAACACGATACCTCTACCTCAGGGCTGCTCGCAGGTCCATCCAAGAATCTGGAAGAAATCAGTGAGTTCGAGCTGCAAGTGCAAGATGAGAATGGTTCGTCGCCCACCTGGTACTGGCACTTGCACGACCACGAGCACTCACGGCAGATGTTACTGGAGGCAAGCAGTTTGCAGGACCGTCCGTTGAGCACCACATCGCGAAACTCCTCTATCAAAAGGGCCGCGGCCGCGACGGCGTCCTCGTCCTCCCACCTGATGAGCTCCGACGCACTGGCGTTCGTACCGGGGGCCAGGAGTCGCTGCGGGTCGGCTAGTGACGTCGTGCCCATAATTGAAGACCAGCCTGTGGGGACGTCGACATCTTCGAAGAGTGCCGCTTACGATCCTACCATGCAGGCACGCGCGGGGAGCAGTAGTTGTGCCGCGGATCGTGATGCTGCCAGTGTTGAAAGTAAAGAAAACTTTTTTCGCTCTGGCTATCATCACGATGAGCAGTACAACACGAGCAGGTTCTTCCAGCAGGAGCCTACTTCCGTAGTGGAGCGCAAATACAGTGGAGGAATGGAGGATCGACACAACGATCATACGCACATGGAGCTGTACCACGAGCACGATTACAAGAACGAGTACGGGCAGCATCACCAATTCGCGTGGAGCGATTACGCGTACCACCAGCAAAATGACGAACACTACGATCAGTATTACAACACGTACAACTGCACGGACGTTCCGGAGATAGGAAGGAACAGCACGTACTCTAAGCCAACGCCCGATCACGAAGATGAGGACGACTGTGCTGGTTTTTCGGATGCAAAGGCGGGGACGACGCAGCAGGTGGTTCATCACGACACCAGGCCTCCTGGCGTTCGAATTACCTCAAGCTCCGATGTGCATATCGCACCGCCGCATTCAGCCAGCGGAATTGGAGAAAACGCCGGGAATCACCGGGCGGGGGTGCCTCCAGGCAGCGCGGTCGGTACGTTGTCCGCTGGTGTGTCATCCAGCAGTTCGTCGTCTGCATCATGTCCTGTTGCTTCCTCAGGTAGAGTAGATGTTGCAGGTCAACAGACGGTCGGAGCAGCGCCGGGCCTGCAGTCTCAGTCGTTACGCCCCTACCAATTGGTCGGGTACTCAAAGAGCTCGCTTGCTGATACAACAGCAGGTGCACAAACGTCGTGTGGGGTTTCTGGAGCTGCAGAAGCGGTGCGGCAGAACGAGAGTTCAAGCTGTGACGAGAGAGAAGTGGAGCGCGCACGTGGTCCCTCGAATTGCAGTGGCCGCACACACGAACTGCCATACGAAGACGCATTCACCACTGCTTGTTCTCCGCCTGACCAGTATGTCGAAATAGTGCAGGAGCAAAAAGCCATCTGGACCATTTACGGCATGAAGGACAAGCTGCAAAGTGATTTCTCGGGTGCAACTGGTACTCATGGCGGCATCAACAATTGCGACGCAAGAGAACCCAAAGTGGTCACAACAAGCCAAGACCAACTGAAACTGGTCTCGCCGCCTTTCACCTTGTTCGGCATGAAAGGGTTGCGATTGGTGCTGAATCCGGGATGTTCTAGAGGTCCGGATGGTAGTGCGACGTCTCCATCGCTGCATGTTGGTGGTACACTACAAGGTCAAACGTGTGGAGGGAGCAATGCCAATAGATCCAGTGCGTCGTCGAGCTCTTCCAGTCGGAAGCACGCGACGGACACTTCTACATGGTGTCACCGGAGCCAACAAGGTCACGGCCTGTGCAGAGTCGCTTTGGAAGTTCCAGCGCTCTGCGACCAAGAAGACCTCGTCCACAACTTCTCATCGTCCACCTCGTCCTCCGATAACAGTGCGATAACCAAAGGATTAATACGAAGCAAGACCAGGGGATGTCACAGACCGCGGCTCCGAGTGAAGTTGCGGGTAGGCAAAACGGAGAAAGTTTTGCATTCTCTCGACGCACTTCAGGAGACGTTGGAAAGCAGTATGGGAGTTGAGCTCCAAGATGAGATCCAGCCAACCGATTGCGAGCGGGCAGGAACGGAGCAGGAACGCTTTTGGACGGCCACTGGAGCTGGTGGAGGTGGCAACGACGTCAGCGCAACGACTGACGATTTGCGAGGTTCTCTAGTAGAAACGACTGAGCACGTCACGAGTTGTGTGTCCTCAACAACAGCCTCTGGCCCAAGTTCCACTCGCTCCTCAAATTCGACAAGTTTCGTTCGGGAGCAAGAATGTGACACCACAGGACAGTCCACCTTCGACTCGGACTTACCCGCATCGCCTCCTGCGATTAAACCCGTCGTCGTTATGGAAGACGATCCGACTGCCGGCGGCCAGCGCATGTACGTTGTATACGCGAATACAAAGAAACCGAAACGTCGGCGCAGTGTGGACAAAGAGCAAGATGTAGTTGAGCGAGCAAGTAGCCGATCGAGAAGTAGAGAAAAACACAGGACTGGAGGTACACAACATGATAGTGTCGCCAGCGTACACGACCTTGACGTTGCAACGAAAATAGGTTTTGAGAAGGATGTTTTGGAAGCAAGCACGACTCTTGCATCGAACTCCACGTGTGCGAGCTTGACGGCCGAAAACAAGAACCACGACGGCGGCAATAGTGGCATGAGCACGCCGGACGACTCGACTTCAGTGGTCGACCAACCGCAACCCGAGCCTTCGGCGCCCCCAACGGCCAGGCACGCGGCCAGTAAACCACGCACACGGTTTGTCAGCAGCGACCTGAGTTTCGCGGCGAGACAGGCGGCCAAGACGATCCAGCGAAAAATCAAGCGGGATTGCGAGACGGCATTCGCTGACAAAGTCGAGATTTCGGTGGAGATTCTCGACGTAATCGATGAACACGAGGAGCTGAAGGTGAGTACGGTACAGAGTCACGAGGCGGCCGCGGCTAGTAGCGGAGGCGGCGGAGGTCACCAGCAGTACGAATACTTTCCGCAGTTGCAGGCGACCTGGAGCATTTGGAACGTGCGTCACAAACTTGCAAAGTTCGGGAAGAACATATTGAGAGGAAAAATCCCCCCTCCCCATATCGAAGCGAAGTCTCTGATGCTGGATTTGCGTACACAAATCAGATTTGTCTTGTAGAAAGTGCTTGGCGGTATTTTCTGGGCCTGTTTGGGTATGCAGAAGGCTAGCAACTGCGCATGGCAAACAGGTTTGCAGTAGTCGAAAGCGCATGACAGACTTGCTCTGGAATGCGTCAGATGGCTCCTATGGCCCTATATGCAAGACAAAGATGATTTGTGGCCACAAATCAGCATCACAAGTTTCCGGTTTGATATGGGGAGGGGGGATTTTTCATTTTGATAGAACACGCCAATGTTCTCCGACCGTTTTTCGCTCGTATCAAATGTAAAAATGTCTGGGTCTGGAAGGTTGCCAGGTTTGTCATGCACGTTTTGCATGACTCCTGATGTCTGTGATGCATACCCTAGCATCACAGATGTTGTGAGGGCTACCTGATGCCTATACCGCATGACAAATGCTCTTTCCGTGTAGCAAAACTTGGACTCTCTTTGCTGCTCATGCAATACAGATTTTTTTACAATCCAAAATCAGCATGACAAGTTGCATTCTTCCAGACCCAGACATTTTTACATTTGATAGCTCGGTGGGATCGACGATTTGCGGTTCAAGCTGTATCTGAACGGAAAGCCGGACGCCGCAGACGGATGGTGTTCGCTCTACCTGGAAGCCCCGAAGTTTTCGGAGCTGAAGTGCAGGTTCCACTTCCGCAATTCGGGGAAAAAGCTCAGCTTCGAGCGCTTGGAAAAGTTCCACGACAAGTCAAACAGCTGGGGGTTCGTCTCCGCCGCAAAGGTTGAAGACGAAATGTCGTCCGCTACCAGTACGTCGCATCAGTTGTCAAACCTCAAAAGACCTGGTAGCCGTGGCACAAGTAGTACGAACAGTTCCTGCGCATCCTGGCTTTCGAAAGCGTTCACCGAAGATAGCAGGAACTCTCGCGTTACAATCGCGGTGGAGATTTTGGAGACGCGCAAGCTGGACTATCGTCTCAGCCAGACGGAAGATAATTTTTTGAAAAACCTGAGAAATCCGGACCGGAGGAAGCATTTGCTGAAAGAGCTGCAGAGAATGACAACCTCGTCGTGTTTCTTAAACACAGGAAGTTTCTTCGGAGACGAAGATGAAGTGTGTGAGGAGATGACAGATGACGAGGATGTTGAAGACCCACATCGTCTTTGTTCAGGCTCCGCCGATCATTCGACAAATAATGGGACGGCAGCCAGTGCGTCTTCCGCTTCCAATGAAGGGGTGGCGGATCTTCATCAGAAACACAGCTGCAGGAGAAAGTGCAGAATAGGTGGGCGCTCAAGTAGCTCGAGTAGCAGTAACAGCTCCAGTGTTGTGCCAGCAAATAAGGTGCAGCGTGTCGCAGAGCTCCAGGAGAACATGAAGAACATTCCGAACCGTTTTCGGATCCTTCTTTTGGATGGCTTGCCCGACAGCGCGAAGCAGGTCGCGCTACAAAAGTGGGAGTCGCTGCAGGTGGACGCAAACTCCGGCGAAGCACAAAAGACCAAGAAGTGGCTCGACGGTTTACTGGCTTTGCCCTTCGGAAAGTTCACGCCGCCTCCGGTTCTTTTTCACCCGAATGGAAAGGCCGAGACCAGAAGGTACTTGCAAAAAACACAGAGCGTGCTGGACTCCGCTGTGTTCGGGCATGACGAGGCGAAGGAGAAAATTCTGCAGCTGATATGCCAGTGGATCGCCAACCCGCAATCGCAGTGCCTGAACTTGGGAATCCAGGGTCCGCCCGGGAATGGGAAGACGACACTGTGTCGGAAAGGCATCGCTAAGGCCTTGTCCCGACCTTTTGTACAAATCTCGCTCGGAGGCGCCACGGACGCAGCTTTGCTCGAGGGACACCATTTCACCTACGTGGGGAGCACCTGGGGCCGCCTGGCTGGTACTGAGTCTTCACTTTACAATCTCATACGTAGTGGGTGCTTGTCTGCCCTGGGAATCTGATGCAAGCTCTGTATGCCCCTCGGCTCGCCCTCGTGAATTAATTTGAATATTTTCTAATTTCAATTTTATAAATTTGATCATGTTCTTCCACTTCTACTTTTTGTTTTTTTATCTTGAACTTTTCCCTGAAATAAAACAGGTATGCTGATGGAAACCAAATGCATGGACCCGATAATTTTTTTTGATGAGCTGGACAAGGTTTCTGATACGCCCCGTGGGGAGGAGATTGTTGGGGTGCTGACGCACTTGACCGATCACAGCCAGAACGCGAGCTTTACCGACCGCTACTTTGACGGCGTTCCGCTGGACTTCAGTAACGCGCTGTTCATTTTCAGCTTCAACGATGAAACCAAGCTGAACCCGGTGCTCCGCGACCGGTTGACGGTGATCAATACTAAGGGGTTCAATCCCAAAGAGCAGCTGCGAATCGCGCAGCAGTTTCTGTTGCCCGATTTGCTGAAGAACGTCGGCATGAATGCTGGTGACGTACTGTTGGAAGATCTCGACCAGCTGCGCTTCGTCACGTTTCGGCATGGGCTTGCGCAGGACCACGGCTCCAAGGACGGCGGGGTTCGGGGGTTAAAGCAAGCCCTGGAAGCCATCGTCTTGAAAGTGAACAAGTTGAGGCTGATTCAGCACTGTAGTTCTTCTAGAACTTGTGCGGGTCTTCAGAACGGCACCGGAGGCGGAGCGGGAGCGGCATCTTGTTGTGTGTCGAGAGACGAGGCGGGTGGCGTCGCGACGACCACAACGCAAGAAGATGAAGATGAGGATCCGGAGGACGGCCAACAATCTTCTGACAACGAAATCCAGGATGGTGATGCGGTTTTTACTGTGGAAAGCCGAAGCGGTCGGACGCAATACGAAACAGCTGGCAGTAGCGAGGAGCAAGGTGATCATGCTGATACAAAAACAGGGACCTTTATTTCACCTGCAACCGAAGCCGGACATAGCGCCTCTGCTTCATCCCGTCGTGTATCAAAGAAGAAGAAGGAGCGCAAACTCACACTGCCGGTGAAGCTGACGCGGAAAAATGTAGAGTGGCTCTTGCCGCAAAAACAGCAATCAAATGAAAGCTACCGCTACATGTATACGTAGTTACGGTTTTTCTTTTTCTATCGCACGGTTCGAAGTTGAAGTTCTTGCTCTGCTCAAAGATTTTTTCATATACCTGATGTATAATTCGACTGTATCTGTGCACGATTTTTTCGTAACACAATTTTGACTTTTGCGTTTATGCTCCCGTGCCTATTTACGAATTTTTATCACTTTCTTCGTGTAAAATTCATTCAACTTTGCAACGACCAAGTAGTCTATTTCAACGCAACGAATTCGAATAACAATGTCAACGAGTACACAGTGCTCACGAGACCAACTCCCTCTCAGTGATTGATCATTTGTGATTTAATTGCAAGTATTACTCAAAAACAAGTTGTCAAGTCAAACGAGAGCACGCACTGACAGCAGGTGTCCTGTTTCTGGGGTACCCGGGAGCCGCACTCTCTGTCGCCGGGTACTATAGGCGAATTCGCCCGCAAGGGTCCCGCTCCGTCGGGCTGAAGAAAAAGCTCGAAAGAAAAAAATTAAAATGCAATTGATGTGGATGGGGCTCTCCCGAACGCCTCAAAAATTCTGTTAATTGATGAATAGAAATCAGGAAGGCAGCAACCTTCCGAGGCCAAAAAAGTGCGACATTGACTGGGCGACGGAAGTGTTCATCCACTTCCATTCTTGCTCCACACTGATCAGCGGTGTCCCACCGTCCATCTAGAGGATGCACTCGCACAAGCACGTTAAAGAGCTTGCGCTAAGAACATCCAGAGACAAAATCACAAATCAAAAGCTGGTCGTGGGCCCGTGCCTCCGCGTCTTCAACCGGTCATTTTGTACACGCAACATTGACACATCGTCTTCCACTACTTCGGTTTTTTCCAAGGAAAAGTCGACCCCAAGCCGGGTTTCCGCGCGAGTTGCATTTACCCGCGGCGTGCCGCCAAATAGGTGCCTATATGTGACGAGGCAGACTCTGTGAAAATAAGATGCGGCGCTTTATTCCATTTCTCAGAGTTTTACGGAAAGTGTTGCCTGTGTGCACGAAACGAACTGCGGCACTGGCGGGTTTTGCTTCCCTCGTCCTGCTGGAACTCCTGGTGATCCGCTCGCACATATGCCGGGATGTCGGACTGATCGAGTTTTGTTCATGGGGGCTCCGGCAATTGGACCTAGACTGACCTAGTCGTGTGCCCTTCCTCTTCGTTAGATCTACCTGGTCTTCATCTGCTAGAAGGTCGAAGTTTGCAGTCTTTTGCTAGGCCTACTTTCTTAGGCTGATGCTATCCTGTGCAAGAGTATTGCACTCGTATAAATCCGATGGCGCATAATTGCAGAACTTCTACTGATCTATGCATAGAGTGACTTGGTCGAAGTTGAAAGAGGAACGCTTCCTCGTCTAAAGCGAAACTCGAAAAGCCCCCCCCTCATACTACGTTGCTGTTGACGTTATCTTCAACAACCTCGACGGTGCCTTAGTGCGTCGAAATGCCGAGTTCCTACAGACGCATCTGCAGTGGTACAACTACAAGAAGGGGCCTTCACCGATAATGGCGTCTTCAACGACATCCGAATCATCTCCCAGCACTTCCCCTTTAAGTTCCACGAAGAACGTTTACATCAGTGCATTGGGGGACAACGCTGCGCACAAGGGCGCCGGCCGAACGACGGCGCGGCGCATCGAGGACGGCGACGCCAGCATCGGCAGCGTTCTTGTGGAAGAGCCAGACCGGTTTCGGTTGCGCGAGACGGTCGTGAACCAAGAAAAACAGTTTCCGCCGGATTTTGAGGTCCACATTCTCGCGTACAACCGGGCGAAACCACTGCAGCGTTTGTTGCACAGTTTGTCGCGTGCGGTTTATGCGAAGGCCGACCGAGTGGACGTGGTTTTACACTGCGAGGGAGAAGAGCCGAACGAGAAAATCCTTGAGGTCTTTCACAAATGGACGTGGCCACCCAGCAGATCGACGAGCAGAGCCGCGACAGCAGCTGCTGCAACCTCGAGCCCTACATCTTCTCCGTCGCCCCCGAGTCCGACGTCTGCCAAGCGCGTCGTTCCGAACTACGCCCAGCGTGGGTTTTATGCTCTGAGAAGTACGAAGTAGTTTGGTAGCGCCAGTTTAGAGTTCCAGGAATTGAAGCGCTCTGATTCGGTTTCGGCCTCGTCGTTGGTGTCGTTATGATCTAGTAAGCTTTCGTCCGTGGTGGGCCGCGCATACCGCATAAAGCGCGACGGTGCTGTCTAGCGATATTTAGTCGCGAGCACTGGTTCCAGTCCTGGAGCGTCTTCATCCTCATATTCTCAAAAAAATCCCACCCACAGCTCCCTGGCGGACGTCTCCAAGGGGTAAGGTGTTCATCTGCTCAAGCCAGCGTGGCTGTCTTTCGTCAGCTATCCGTCTTTTCTTCTAGGTGTCAATTCCTGGAGCGTCGCCTTGACGGTTCCCAGCGGTTCCTCTCTTCTCGCTCGCGCGAGGGGTCGTGCATTCCTGTGTTCTCCGCACATTGCCGGAACAGGTCTCCGACTCGCGCGGAGCCTCTCGGAGCGTCTAGCGCTCGGGCAAAGTGATCTACTTCGAAGCCCGCCAGAACGATAAACCGTCCCGCAGCTGGTACGGAGCCTGGTACCCGCGAGACAAAAATCTGCACGTCTTAATTCTCGAGGACGACCTTGAGGTTGCGCCGATGTTTTACCTGTGGCTGAAGAAAGCGTGGAAAGTGTACGGTGACACAGCAAACGGCTTCGCCCGACTGTTTGGCATCTGCCTGAACAAGCAGGGAATGGTCCCTCTGTCGACGGACAAAACGGTGCGGAAAAACGCGAACTTTGTGGGAATAAATGGCACTGGAGGTGTACTTATCAAATGTAAAAATGTCTGGGTCTGGAAGAATGCATGTTTGTCATGCTTGTCTGGCATGACTCTTAAATCTGTCATGCACGTTGCCCAAGAGCCGCATTTTTCTGTCATGCGGAGACGCAGTTTATTGTCACGCAGAATAGGCAACACCTACAAGCTCAGAAATTTGTCATGCTGAGCCAGCACTTGTGGCCTCATCATGAGATGCCACCCAGCATCACAAGTTTCCAGACCCAGACATTTTTACATTTGATAGTACTGAGGGATGTGCGAAAGGGCGACGTGGCACTGGACGATGCAGATTTGATATATGATGAAGAAGTTGGCGTCGGCGGAGCGGAGGCTTCCGTAGTAAGAGCGGACTCCGAGCAGGACTCTGAAGCTGAGCGACGCCCTTCAAATGACGCCATCACCACCCTCCGCGCAATGATGAGAAAGCATCCGAGGGGCGGGCTCCCCTTCCTCTACCGCCAGCTAGGGACGCAGGGCTTCTCGCCTCATCCTGTATGGTGGAAAGTGTTTTTGCACTGGATGCACGAGGAGCTTCCGCCTTTAATTCCACATTCCCGAACTGAATCTTTTTGGGACGGGTTGTTGTACCGTAATCACTACCCATTGAAGTGGTGGTTTTGGCCGGTGCGAATGTTCTTGTTGCTTTTTGGCAGTGGGCCGAAAGTGACACTAGAGAAGCCGCCAAACATTCCGACAATCGACGGGAAGAAGATCGGTTTGGTGACATCGGGGTGGTGGGCCGATAGCGGCTACAACATGTGGGAGCAACATGTTTCCTACTTTGTCGCCGATCGCGACCTCTTTTTCCTCTACCTCGATCTGTTTGACGAGTCCGGGTTGGTCACCCACTGGCGCGAAAAGGGAACACACTATGGATCGTCCACCAACGTGGGAGTGGGTGTCATGCAGTGGCCGTTGAACAACGCGACAAGTCTAGTAACTGATCACGGCGGAGATTTCGATCTATCCCTGTTTCCGCGGAAAATACCCAGACTTGATTGGGACGGGAAACCGATGAAAAAGGTTAAGGAAAGCGAAAAAAGTAGAATTTCCTCAGGCGGCGAAGTAAGTCGAACAACAGCTGCAGCAGGAGATGGGCGCGTGGTAGTGCAAGTGGTCGACGTCGAGTTGAAGAAAACTGATGAAATGGAAGGTAAGAACGGCGATATCAAGACGAAGCTGCAGGTCGTTACGTCTGCGTTGAAGGACGGGCGACCCGTCGTAGTTTGGTTTCATTCATCAGCAGGAACAAATAAGGCGAGCTCTGAAACTATTGCACGACTCAGCGCTGGTGTGCTGCACGACGACGTTGACGCTCACAACAAAAAAAGTGTGGTAAACGCGAACTCCGCACCGAGCCCAGGATCTAGTAGTGGAGCGCAAGTTGTAGTTCGAGGAGAAGATGAAGTTAAAGAAAAGAAATTTATTTTTGACGCTGCTGTACTGGAACAAACTGCAAATAGCGCGTCAGAAGTCAGAATCACTGAATTTGCGGTGTTGCTGCGGTCCACAGCAAGGGCGTACGCGGTGTGGTCGGAACTGCTCCACCGCGTACAGACGCATTTTCGGAGAAACCCACTTTGTCCTTGGAGAATAGCAGAGGAGCTGCGATACTTGCTTCAAGTGAATTTTGCGGGAGTGCTGGCGCAGGTTGTTAAGCCGCCCTGAATAGAACAAGAAGACGGAAGCAAGCACAAGCGCTGTTTTGGTTTTTTACTAGAGCGAGGCATCGCCCACCTCTGAGCATGTGAATTTGACAGAATTTACGGCGAGCCTTTTGCACTTGCTCGCGCCAGTTGTTCCCTCCGCATTTCTTCGTTTTTGTTTACATCTCTCTCTCGTCGACCTGTAGAGACTCTTGCTAGCTTCATCTTGGTAGACGAGCATGCGCATGCCTGAGCCTATGGTTATTTGGCGGCGTCGCTCAGGATGCGCATCTATCTCGATCCGGAAGAGCAGCCCCCTCGTGCAAGGAGATGACAAGATAAGAACTCCTCGCACAAGCAGCAAAACAAATGTGGTCGGTTCGCCTGGTTGCTTGCGAATTAGGGCTAATTTGGATTTTTCACACCGTACAAAATGTATCTCGATTGCGGCAAGAAAAACGTCGCAAAGGCGCAGCGGACGTGGTGCGGACAGTTATCTTTGATTTCGATCGGACGACGGTACACTCGACCGCCAACGCGGGAGCAGGAGATAGTCGCGCTGAAGCTCTCTTGTTACTGGAGTCGTTCAAGAAATCCGGCCCGGCTGCTTTTCCCTGGAACGTGTCCAGCAAGGTGTTTCGGGACCGGCTCGCCGCGAGCCCAAACTGTCGGCTGCATGAGAATGAACAAAAAGCAGCACCATCATCTTCCAGCGCAACAGCTGCAGGTAGAGGCGGTAACGCAGTGGACTTTTAAGCATTGGGCCTCCGCGTTAGACTGCAGTTGAGTGACAGCTACGGAGTGGATAGAAAACAGTTGAAATGCAGTTGCAGCCAATAAATCGTGATCAACGAAGATATTTGATGAATATGCGGTGGGGTGGGTATGACGGAAGCCTTCCGCCGCTTTCTGCTAGGTCTGTTGATGCTAGTTCTTTTCTTTCACGAGGCAGACGCAAACCAGAGCTCTTGCGCGCAATGGCCCAAGAGCGAAAGCCCTTGCTAGATGTTGCTTCCACGTCGATTCCATCTCGAACGGAACTAGCTTTCCTCTAGCTTTCCAACTGTCCGAACTTGCTTCTATCTTAACACGGAGGTTCAATTCTAAGACTTTTGCCCCTTTTTTCGTACGCACGCAGCGTTTCCGCGGCAATCGCAAATTAGCGCTTCCGCCGTCCTTGGGGACAAATCTTCAACATGCCGTGTCTGCGACGAGTTCTTCCGCAGGGACGAAGGACGATTTCTGGCCCAGTATGCACAGTGGCACGGAGCAGCACTCCGACACCTCCGAGCGAGCCAGAGGGAGACGCGAAACGACAAGACAGTAGAAGTTGATGCGCCACCAGTCTTGGTTTGGCGCGAACCGGAATACGGAGGTGGGGGCTTGGGCGACCGCGCAAGGGGGCTGTTAAGGGCGGGAATATTATATGCCTTATTGAACAACTTGTGAACTACCCGCCCTGTACTTTTTGTCTGAAGACGATCGTGAGCTACAGAGGGCAGGTCGGGTCTGGGTCACGTTGCGCTTTCGGAATTATCATTTTCTTGTCTTGCGTGCAACTGAAATTAGACAATCCCAGTGGTCGTGAAGATGAAGATGTTTTATTCAAGGTGGGAACTTGAATCATAATCTTCAATAGGGCGCTCCTCTCCTGCTCCATACTGGCTCGCCGCCTTTCTCACCGCTGTCAAACTTCGGCGGGTGTTTCTCCTTCGGGACCGGCAGCACACGTTTAAGCGATTCTTCAATCCGGCTGCCATCGACTGGACAGTGGACGCGGAAAGACTGTTTTCAACTTCGCGCACCACCCGTCCCTTCTTCGTCGACTCGATCGGCAAGTTTCTCGATTTCGACGCCTTCGAAAAGGAATATCCACGCGCCTCCGTCCCTTGGGTCGAGATCCAGACGAATTCCTTACTCCTGTTCGAGAACGAAAAACTTGCCTCTCAACTCTATGGAACATGCTTGGTGCGGTGCCTATTCGACTTTCTCTTTCGGCCAAGGGAGTTTTTGGTTGAGAAAGCGAACAAAGACGCCGAGGCGTATGGGTTTGCGGCGTCGTCGACGTCCACCTTGCAGCGGGGCACTCCAGGTAAGACGGTTTGCTCGCATTTCCGCCTAGGCACCAACCTGCATTTGTTCCAGCACATCGCAGCCGAGGAAGTCGCGGCTCTGGCGAAGAAATTTGCCGGGAAAATTGGGGAAGACCGGAAAATCGGGGGGGACCTCGATCCGAGACTTTGGCCGTCGAATAACCTCGGCAAAAACCGCATTTACCAATCGGAGGAGGACATTTTTAAGTTAGGCCTGAACGACTTCCAGGAAAGTTTGAAGAGGAGGTTTGGACGAGGACGAGCGGCGGGGGGTGACTCGAACGAATTTGAACGAAAGTGGAACGCGTGGCGGAAGCCGCTGGATGAGGCGGAGCGGTGCGCGGCGAGTCTAGCCGAAATCCCTCCTGCAAAACCCGGCTCTTCTTCTCCGACTGCACCATCCGCAGAGAAACCGATATGGGGAGGACAAGCGCCTGCTAAGTGAGGAAGTGCTAAGTAAAATCTGGAGTCTCTGTCTCATTTAGCAGGGTAAGAAGGCAGGAGTGTCACGAAGCAGCAGTCAGACAGTCGCAATTTGCGGGCGCTGCAGCCCTGACAGCTGTGGCCCTGTCGTGATCCTCCTGGCTCTTGTAGACCTGAAGGCTCCTTGCATGATGAAATGGCCACGATTAATTCTTGTCCTTTTATTTTAGCAATTACTGAAACAAACTACCCGCCTCCCCAGCTGATTTTGCACCGGCCGATCAGAGCGCGTGCTCACTGTACTTCGTCGCCCTATGGGCCCCAGCGCTCCTTATTTAGTGACTCTAATTGCCCACTTAGCAGCTGGCCGCCTCATAACCGAAGTGGTTTGTGTTTAGCGACTCTCCGGCCGCGTACGAATACGTGAAAGAGCAAGCCTATGGAAGAGACAGGATCGCAATTGACAAAGTTGAAAGAGTTTGCAGTGGGTAAAATGATAATGGATGCCAGTGCTGGGAGCCCAGTCCTCAAGTGGTGCCTGACCAATTTCGGCAGCAGCGAGCTCCAATCTGAGACGCTGGCTGGGCAGGAGAGAAGACTGCTTTTGTCGTGTTACTTTGGCGAGCTCTGTCTAATCTTCGACGCCGATTTCGATCCTGGCGCCTCCATAAAACCGCTCGACAAAAGTATCTGAACGTCACCGAAACGACAGCGGTGAAAAAGCACACGGACCCAGCGAATAACCACGAGAAGAAACGAAATCGGATCTCGCTGATAGCGCAACAAGGCGCGTGGTTGGATCTGGCGTTTCTGACACAGTTTACAACCTGAAAAAATACACTCTTAGGCACATCTTTATGTCTGACCGGATGAGGATGACATTCGCTCTCCATACCGGACGCGAGCGTCGAGAGATGATGCATTGCGCAGGTTCGGACACTTGTGTGAATTTGTTAACCTGAAGAGAGTGATAAAGATGTAAAGTAGAGGTGCGTATTTTTTACCTGTAACCAGTGCGACGAATTTGCGGCTTTTTATTCCGGGTACAGTCGACTGTCGCTGGCGCTGAACATGAGATCGCCGACGGGGACACGGCTCCTACCCTGCTGCCGGAAAAGGAAGGTGGACGAAGGAGCGTGGTCGAGCTCGGACTGTAAGCCGGAAGTAAAAGAGAACTGAGACGAGGAAGTAGAACATCTATACCATGGCTACAAGGAAAAAGTCTCTCGGAAACATGATAAATGAGGGCGCTGCCGCGTCCTCCTCTTCCTCCTCGAGCAAGGACTCTGTGACGCCCTCCCCGCCGGTCGGAAACTGGCGTGGGCGTCTGTCGTGCGAGGACTGAGAAAACTCTTGCTGCTGCGCTTAAAAGAATTACAGCCACTCGTTCTTCTTGCGATTGCAACTTGAACGTCTCGCTCTTCTCGCAATTGTTTGCTCTTTCGTAGCTTACATCTGTACGATGTTGAAGGAAGCAACTCGTTGCTGTGTGCGTGCGGGTCTTACGTGACATGGACGGTTACGGCGTTGCTGTTCTTGGGAGAAAACGATTAGAACCACCCGCCAAATACAGCTTGTAGTTGAAAGCACCTACAGAACCTGACGTGACCCAGAATCATATATAATCAAGGAGGGACAAAAACGGCAGCGAACTCTGATCATCGGTCACAGTTCACCGATCTGATGTTGCCCTTGCGATCTATGTATGTAGTTTTGCGGTTAAGATTCTGTTTTATGAATATTAGAAAAAAATATAGAAAAGGAGCTAATGCAAATGGCAATGCTAAAGCAAGGCTGTTTATTGTAACAAACCAAAGGCAGCCGCAGCTTTGCTTTTGGGAAAAGCAGAAATATGCCCGAACTGGAAGAACTGCTATAATAACGAGCTGCTGCTCGACGTCCACGTTGTCGTGCGACGATGGCAGTCTCTCAGGCGTTTTCCTTCCCTTTCTTGTCGTCACTTCCGGTGTTTTGCTTTCTTCTCCTCGGTTGGCGCGCCTTGGTCTTCCGCCTTGAGACCTGCAACCCAAGTGGAAGTCGGAAGACGGAATGTTGGATTGCAAACACCATAGCGAGCAGAAGAGGCAACCAAAAATGTCCCTGTACGTCACTGAAAGAAGCCACATTCCACAGTGACGTAGATGATTTGCTCCGCGGCGTCCTGCACCTCGGGTCCGAATTCGAGGAGCCGAAACTCGTCCTTCCACCTGCTCCAGCAGCAGGCGCAGGTGAACCCACAGGGACACCAAAAGAAGTATGCGAGAAAGCAACTGCGGAAAGAACAGGTCTGCACCCATGGGGAATCGATATTTTTCTGTACGAAAATTTCTTCAAGAAATCTTCGGATAGACCACCGGTCTCGTCAAAACGTTTTGGGCTACAGATTGTGGATAACGCTACGAAGAGGCTGCAGTTTTTCAGTGACTGCGCCGGGTGGAGTGACACATGCCGAGTTATCGATACGCACGGAAACCGAAGGGAAGCTAGTGGCTCAAGCAATACCGATACCTCAGGTGGCGATGGAAGCTCCAGCCCGTCCTGTTCCGCGCCGTCCATTCCTGAGTGCGCACCCTCCAAGCTCCGAGTGGAGAACAATCACATGTTGAGCGAATGCATTTCCAAAGTCATCTCCACATCTACTTCATCTGCCAGTGAAATCGACTTACTCTTTCTTGACCTGTCCGGCTCCCACGAAAACGCTATCCACAATTTCGATTTATCAAAAACCAAGATCGAATTCGTGCTGATTCGATTCGACAAGCAGAACCGCGGCAGTATGGATTTGTGGTTCGAGCGCATGGGGTATGTGCACGTGTACACACTCGGTTTCGCGTACCGGCTGTTCAAGAAGCGCGGTTGGCGGATGCCGGTACCGGGACCAGACGATCCGAAATTGTGCGGGAAAGCATCGGTGACTCTGCAGAATCCGTACTGCGCGCCGATTCCGAACAACGAGAACCTGGAAACGATTGCGCACTTCGAGAGGCTGGTTGGCACAGAGGAATTTCGAAAAGGGGCGACGAGTTTGAAAGCGCCGTCGTGGAGCATCGATGGAAGTAAAAGTAAAACGGCCTTCGCGGCGGGCGCCCCCTATCTCTCTGAGGACACGCAGATTTTGCCTTCTAAGACTTCCGAAGCGGCTGCCGCGACGTTTTCCTACTCCACGCCTTTGGTTTCCCCCTCGAAGTGGTTGGTCGAGAAGGGAAATGCTGCCAAACTCCTCCCCGTAACAATAAAGCCCGAATACAAGGAGTTTTGCATGAACATAATGGAGGGAAAGTCGGAAAGCGGTTTCGCCCAGTTTTGGCAGGACTGGATGCTGTATCGGAACTTCTTCGCAGGAAAGACGGGAAAAGGATTCTTGTACGTCGACGTCGGGACGAACGACGCCATAACGATTTCCAACACGGTATTTTTCGACAAATGCCTCGGTTGGGAGGGGGTTTGCTTCGAGCCGCAACAGCGGTACCATAGCAGAATTCGGGAGAAGCGAGGCTGCAGATTGGTGCCGCATTGTGTTTCCGCGAAAGATGAGGTGGTCGCCACAAGTGGGGGCGATGTAGTGATGACTGTGCAACAGAGTGGTTCCTCCAGCAGCGGATCGGCAGCGCTCACCGCAAAAACCGAGCGCAGGTGCGTGGGACTGCGAGAGGAGCTGAAGCGGCAGAGTCTCGAAGGACGGCAGATAGACGTGCTGTCGATTGATATTGAATCGTACGAGAACGTAGTGCTGCGCTGTATAGACCTGGAAGCGTTGAAAGTACAAGCGGTGGTGATCGAGACCAACAAACAGAACAGGGATTTAGTGGACGCGTTTTTCCTGGAAAGGGGGTTCTCGAAAGCGTTTGTAATGATTCTGATTTACACTTTTTTACTACTACTTCGTTCGTAGTAAGTTGGTTTTGTTCCACCCTGTTTTTGATTTTGTAACTCGTATTGCGAAGTGGAATTAGGAATAGGATAAGCAAGCATGCTTTTTACTTTATTTTTGCAGGTTTTCTTTGGTATCGACGACCTCTACGTGCGGAACGCTGCATTGCCTTCCACCGGAAAAACGAACTATGTGTTGCCGCCTACTTTCCCTTCGTTGAGTCGAATCGACCACAGACGAGAGTGGATTTGTCCCGCAGATGCTGTCGCTGCCCCAAATAATAAACTCGGCGCGCCGACGGCGACACCCTCGAGAAGTAACGCAGTAGATTCATCAGCTACAACTGGGAGTGCGGCAGCTCCAGTCTTCCGGCTGGTTTCCAACACTTTCTCCGGATACGTGGTCTCGCTTCCGATGTCTATTTCTGGTGAAGTAGCCCCAGCCGCCGACTCGGCTCTGTACCTGGATCCTGCACAGGCGTTTTCTGCCTCCTCCCCAGCCTCCGCACAATCCCTCGCCGAGGGCAAACTCGTTTTCCCTCCGGAGATTAAATCGGTAATAGTAAACGTGGGCAGCAATATCGATCCGCCGCAGCCGGACGCGAAGGATGGATCCGAGGCCGTGATTGCGGTGGAGCCAATCGTCGCAGTCGCCAGCGAGATCATTCCATACGCCAAGAAGAGATTGTCAGCTTCTTTCTCGTTCCCGTGTGCGAAAGAGGACGCAACTTCAACCGGGCAGAAGTGTTTGGACCGTCTCTTCGTCCTCCCCGGTTGCTTTGCGAGTAGTGGCGGGGGTTTCCGGGGCTTCAAGGTGCGTAACGATCTCGGCGCGAGTAGTAGTCTGGCGGCGCCAGCGGATAAAAACGCAGAGTGGAATAAACGAACGATGAAAGGGGGGAGCTTGGCAGTCGTGCCACTTCTGGGTATTGCAAGTTTGTTCGCGGCTATCCCGGAGACGGTAGCGGTAAAGTGGGTAAAAACAGACATGCAGGGGTTCGACTTTGAAACCGTGAAATCCATGACATCTTCCGCTGCAAGGAAAAGTCGGACTCGGAGTCCTGAAAGCCAGCATCTCTTGGGCCCCCGCCTGCCTTCCTTACGTACCGAGGTGTACTGCCAAGGCGCTGCAACGTATGTTGGCGCCAAAAACGACTTGCTGAGGGACTTCATCCCTTTAATGCTGTCCGAAGGTTACACACTATCTGGCGCAACCGGCTGCGCAAAGACAGAACTGAAGAAGTGCCCGGAGCTCTTTCGGGTATCTCCTTCTTTACCAGCGGCAACAGCAAGAGCAGAGGCAGTTCAGAGTAAGACCTCGATGGAGTACGAATACTTCGAGTCCGAAACCGGTACGGTCGAGGTGGTAGGGGATATATCGACGGCTTCTGGGCTGAAAGTCTTTCTGGAAAAGCTGGAGAAATGTCGGACGGAATTGCGAGCCGGAGGCGTTGGGACAAACAGGGGAGGGTTATTTGGAAAGCTGTTGGGACTGTTTACCGGCTCCAAGGGACGAAGTGGAGGGACAGGGATCTCCGGGAGCTTCTCCGAAGGGGACGCAGACTGGAAATTTATCAAGCGACCTGGGTACTTAAATTTATGCTTTTACTCTGCTATTCTCGTTCTCTGGAATGTATATAGTTTGTGCCAGCACTTCAGTACGACGCGCCTGGGCAAATAGATCCAGTAAAAGTTTGCTAATCTCAGCGGGATTTGTTTCCTACCGCTCACTTTCAGTGTAAATCAAGAAACACTCCACGAACAGGACCTCTGCGACTTCACCAGATGTGTCAGCAGCCCCCTCAGCTGCAAAGGACCTCGTCGCCCTGGACGCAGTTTCGAATCCTCCATCCTCAGTAGAGGTTTTGCGTGACATTCAGGAAACAGAACTACACGTCCAGCTGGGGGGTGCGACGGACCCGGCGGAGGACTCGTTGGACGAGAAAGCCATGACGACTTCCAGCACTTCAACTTCTGGCACAGCACGAGCTACAGTGGCCGCACGGATAATAACTGAGCCTGTGTTGTCGCGCTGCAGGGACCTGCACGATCGCGGAGCCTCTGCAAAGGAGGGCACGAAGGATGGGGTTTCTGGAGATACGACTTCTAAGCAGCCGATGAAGCGGTACGTAGTGTGCGCGCTGATGGCTCCTGGGATTCCAGGGGTGCGAACGCTTTGGCAGAGAAGCTCCTCTTCTAGCAGTGTAGGTCTCGATTCACACAAGCCCGCTTTCGTCCCGACGCTGCCGCTTAGTCGCCTGCTCGACTCACTGCCGAAGCGACCAAAATCCCTGACAGTGTCCAGTGAGAGTGATTTGGATTTTTTAAATTTGTCAGTTAGCAGCGGCAGTGCGGACAATATCTTCGCGAAGCCAAAATGGTTTCCTCCTCGTATTCTGCTCCGACTGACGACGGGAAACGCGGCTGAGGTGTTTTGCGGGACGGGACGGTGGCCGAAACTGCTGTCGGACAGGGGGTTTGCTTTCACGAACAAAGAAGCGCTGCGGGGAAGGTTGAAAGAGGAGCGAGGCCTCATTCCAGATTGTGGTAGCGGGAGCACGACAAGTTCTGGCGCAGTGGCAGCAACCGCCGAAAAGCAGAAGAAAACTTTTTTCATCGCGAGCTGGGAAAGGATCATTTAAGGCTTACAGAAATTAGTTCCTACCCTTGTTCCCGAAAACTTAGGTTTGAAAAAAATGGAAATAAACCGCGAGGGGGGTTTAGCTTGCACATCTTCGCAGTCGCTTGGAATGGCCGAAGGCCATGAAGGGCGTGGCTGGGAAGCAGCCAGCGCGCGAGCTTGGGGGAGAACGGGCAGCCGTCTTCGGGGGGGCTGCCGCGCTTCTCCTGCCGGGCTGCCAGGAGTGGGCCTTACGCTCCTGCTCGTTGAAAGCGCGTGGCTTTCAAGTGCCCTGCTATTGGAAATGAATTAAGTATTTGCATTGCCTTAGCATAGGAAGTATTTTCTTTGTTGTGCTAGTATATTGCAAGCAATTCGTGTTCAGCGCCAGGTCGTTGAAAGCAATGCGCCTTCAATGTCAGGGGTCGCCCAGCAGCTGCCACACTCTAGCCTTTCGGAAATGCGTTCCCAAGGTTTGCCGGAAATCCTGGGAGCATATTTCGGCAAGGCCCCCACGTCGGCTTTGTGCTCTGGCCGGCAGTAGGTCTGAAGACCTCGCGCAAAATCATCCGACGTCGGGGAGATAAAGAAGTGCGCCCCTGGGATTTTCGCCGCGTCGAGACCTGGGATCATAGTTCTGCAAAGCCCCCTCGTAAGATGATGCTGCGCGGGATTTTCTGTGTTTCAAGGTCAGAACACAAACTCGAGTAGCACTCTCGTGCTCTGGCTTGCAGAACTGTGCTCCTAAGATTTGCTGACATCGAACTCAAGTCCGAGAATTCCTCAGATGCGAGCTCACATCCGAGAACTCCTCACATGTAGACGCAGTACGCAAATCCCAGGAGCGCATTTCTTTGAGACACGAAAGCCGAAGCTGTAGGAGCGCGAGTTCTGCTGTGCTCTTAGGTAAAGAAAACTCGCGCAGCAGCTTTTTCCTCCTGGCCTTCTAGAAGTGTGCTTCTGAACACATCTGCAGAGCGATCTGCTTTGTCTTCTAGGGAGAAGACACAGCTTCTTCTAGAAGAAGAAGCAGCTTCTTCTAGAAGCTGCGTCTTCTAGAAGAAAAAAAGCTGTGTCTTCTACAGGAAGACCAGCCTCATAGAAGAAGACAAAACTTCGCGTTTTCTTCTAGAAGAGGACGCAGCTTCTTCTAGAAGAAGAAGCTGCGTTTTCTTCTAGGAACTCAGTTTCTAGAAGAAAACTTTTTTCATCGCGAGCTGGGAAAGGATCATACTAGAATCGTAGCAGCAGATATCGAAGGAAAAAAGTGTTACAGTTACACACGACATCGAAAATAGCGTATTTTTTCAAGGGCAGGCTAGAACTTTTTTCGAGCCGCGGCTACCTGTCATGCCTATTGCGTTTTCATTTTCGTGTCAGGCAAAAAGGAGGCCTCCACGTAGCTGCGGCTGCTTCAGTTCACTGGAATAGCTAAGAAGGCAAGCTGCTACATGTCGCGGACCTGATTGAGAACTACAGTGACTGATAGACCGGGCGGCGGCAGAATGTCTCAGCGAAACAATAGAGCGGGCCAAGGTCAAAGCGATGCTTTCGACCTTGTGATGGACAATGCCTGCTGTTTCACTTAGTTGCAAATCTGATGAACCGCAGCGACCGTTTTTGACGCCTCCAGGCCGACTTGCGCAACGGCGACACGCACGGGAGCGAAAAGTGCAGAACAGCGCTCGCTGGCATTTGACGCGACGAGCGGGCGCGTTTGCAGTGCCAGCCTTTTCCTTCCCATCGTGGTCATGATGGCTCTACGTAATTTGCCCTTTCCTGGCCAAATCGACGCCCTGTCCCGAATGCCAACTTTCCACCCGGATTGCAAAAAAAAGTGATACACACTGTATTTTTTTGAGGGGTCAAAGCAAGGCCAGAAAAAATAGCAACTGTATCACTTTTTTTTCCATGTGTAACACTTTTTTCACCGGGCGGAAACCAACTTCGATATTTTTCTCCCCGAGCGGAACCTTGATACTTTTTGAAATGTGTAACACAGTAAGTCGCAGAAGGCCGTGGGGGTTCGCAAAAAAACTGCTGTGTTACACACCAAAAAGTGCAACTTTGGCCAGCCCTCAAGGGAGGGTCAAAATGTGGGTGATTTTGCGCAAGAGGTTGCCGCTTTTTTTTCCAAATGTGTAACACCTCGACTGAAAGCAAACACGCGAAAGCGCGAGTCTTCAGCTGGAGGCTCTGCGTCAAGTTTGCACACCACGCAAAAGAAGCTGGCCCCACGTCCGTGATTGAATTTCAGGGATCCTGCGGGCGCAGGCTGCTCCGTGGGTGTCTGAGAACATAAGAGCAGAAGAAAACTTTTTTCATCGCCAGCTGGGAAAGGATCATACTAGAATCGTAGCAGCAGAAGTAGCAAACTGAAAAAAACCTTGTGAAGAGTGATCGCTAAAAATGCAAATTCTTGTAAACCCCACCCGAACTACGCCTCAAAAAATGATTCTCTTAATTGATGCAAATAAATCAAAAAAGCAGCAACCTTCGGGTATTGCTACCTCCTTTTGAGTCCAAAAAACTGCGACATTGACTGGGCGACGGAAGTGATCATCCACTTTCATGTTTGCTCCACACTGATCAGCGTTGTTCCAGCACCGTCCATCTAGAGGACGCACACGCACATGCACGTTGAAGAGCTCGCGTTGACACCCAGAGACGAAATCACAAATTAAAACGTGCCCCCGTGCCTCCGCGTCTTAGACCAATCACTTTTTACATCCAACATTGAGACGCTTTCACTTTTTTTGCATTGCGAAGCTCAAGTTTTGTTTTCAGAGTTTTCGTTGCGGGGCAGAAAGACGCCCTTGCGCGGAACACCTCCAACTCCAACAAGTTTTCTAGCCAGACCTTCTGACGCCAGGCCATTAGCATTACTTTCGCTAGCTTGACCTCGTTGTCTCACTTTTTGAACGAACGCGAGCACTTGAAGAAGTATCGACTGCGTACTTTGGGTGGAGCTGCAACTCTAAATCAGTAGATACAGATCGATACTAGTTTACTAAGCCACATTGCTGTCAATATGGGCGACGGGAAGAAAAAGCGAAAGGAGGACGACAGTTCCTCTGACGAGGACGGCAGCCAGAGCGACAACGAGAATGAAAGCCGTGCCGACGTGGAAAAGAATAAGAGCGACGAAAATGGCGAGGAGAAATCTTCCAAGAAGAGTAAGAAGGACAAGAAGGTGAAGAAAAAAGACAAGAAAACAAAGAAAAAAGACAAGAAGTCGCGCAAGCACAAGCAGCGACAGAAGGGGTCGGATGACGACAGTTCCGATAATTCCGATAGTGACGCCAAGGCCAATAACTCATCGGACGACAATGACAGCAGCAGTTCTGAGGACAAAAAGAAAAAGAAGAAAAAAAAGAAGAAGAAAGCTAAAAAGGAACATCAAGAAAAGCCAAAGCACCACCACGACGACGCACTGATGGAACTCGTGGCGCCGAAGAAGATCGAGAAGCTGGTGCGCGCAGCGGCGACGTACTACTTGGATGTTCCAAATATGAAGCGGTTACTCCACTACCTCCTTACCAACGGACAGGAAGAGTTGGAAGATCAGGGCTACGAGAAGGAAACGCCGAAGATCTTGGACCGCATCGTGTCCGACCTGAAGTCTCTGTTCACAGCGATCGACGACGGGCAGAGTGTGAGCCTAGATGGGTTGACGAATCCCGCAAAGAAGAAGAAGCTCCGCCATCTTTTCCAGGGTCTGAAAATGACGCAGGGCAACGACGAGCCGGGCATGCAGACGCACCAGGGTGCGAACCGGACGAAGGGCGGCTGGGAGCGGCATCTGATCGCAGAAACGTACATGTACTGGGACCACCTGGTCGGGCCCTGCGTCGGGGAAATCGCGGTCGGATTAAGGAAACAATACAAGGAGAAAGAGGAGAAGAAACGCGAAGAACTGAAGAAGATCGTGAAGAGTCCGAGAAGTTCGCCCACAAACGCAAACCCACCTCCGGGGCAAGCGTTGCTCCTTTCTGCGGCGTCCTCAACGGGCAGTGCAGTGGCTGGTGACGGTCAACTGCAAGAACATGAGCATGACACAGCTGCTCAAGCTGAGCAGAACGCCACCGCGAGCAGCGCCGCGGCGAAGGCCAGCGGGATTGGGCCGGCGAGGCCGCCGTCGGATATGGTGATTTCTCGGAAGAAACCGAAGGAGGACAACAAAAACGAGCCCGACCAGCCCGCCTGGCTTGCGGGTGCGGACATGTCCGACGCGCTCGCCGGATTATTTGGCGGCAGTCGCCAGGAGAAGAAGGACGCGTTTGAGATCGAGCGAACTCAGGGCGAGCTCGACGCGTTCGAGAAGGCCTACAGCGGCCAGCAGAAGTCGCTCTTCGACCAGGTTCGGGACGGCACCTCGGGCGCGGACAGTTTGAAGCGCGGACGGGAGCTGGCGGAAAAGCGCATGAAGGGCGACGGCGACCTCTGGGGGGCGGGAAAGCACGAGCAGGAGATGATCAATGCGAGGGAAGGCGAGGTAGTTGTGAAGACGCGAAAATTGTTCGACCCGACCACGGATTTGGACACCAAAAAGCAGATCGACGCGAAAACCTTCTCGAAAATGATGGAGGGCGACGGCGCACTCAAGGGCAAGTTCGGACGCTCGCAAATCTCGAGCAGCTTCTTGTAGTTGAATGAAATTGATATGCAGCTTGTACCTGCTCTCAAATCACTATCACACGAACAGGAAGAACTACGACCATGGTTGAGCCGACCGATTTCTTCTGTGCACGCTTTGATGCAATGTAGGCTTAAATCATATCAATCATCGCGACATAAGTACGAGAACGCACAGGCCACGCCAAGTAGGTAAAGCAGCTGCTGCTGGTTTTCGACGACTTAGCTCGTGCTCACGGCACGTCATCATGTTCGCCTGTCTCATCTATGCCTGGTGTAAGTAACCTTACACTCAACCGCAGAGCACAAGAATTGGTCGTCCGTGTGGTCGCGTCTTTCATTTTGTTCCTCAGTTCTTCAAAAAAGCGGCCTTTTTTCACGTACAGAAAGTAGAAGGATAAAAATCTGGTTTCTACTCCATCTAGTGTGCAGCGTGTTGGCCTCTTTCCTCACACAGAACCGACGGATAGATTCTCATTCTCATCACGACAGCCTATGCTACACCTACAACTAGTGTGAGTGTTGATCCAAGGTGTTGCGATCCGTGTTGCCTCTTCGGTTGCCGTTGCGCAGCGTTCTTTGAAAACGATTTTGCTTGTGGAAAAGGAGAAGCGGCGGGCGCGTCCAACCTGGCATTGAACGAGCACCACTTATTTATTAACGCCTCGCGTAAGTGGGACAACTGGAACTGGAACTGTTGAACGAAAAGTACTAAAGTCGTCGTTGAAAGTTACAGGCGTTGCGCAAAGCCGAGGAAGCGAAGTGGACTCGAGACTCGTCGTAGCTGCTGACTTCAGGAGACAGGAGAACTACGGGGTGACAAGAAAAAGGGAAGGTGGTATTCTGACCGTCAGTGGTCGCAGTCCAGGGCCGCCAGAGTTGATCTCCGCCTACAGCTACACCCTGCAACGACGACAAGCAATAAGATCGTACTCCTCGTCGAATCACGGACAAGGAGTGCGAGTGCCACTCTTCCCGAAGTGCAGGTTGTGCACTAGCTCCCGGTCGTGAATCTTTGGAATCGCCTACAACAAGAGCGAGGAGCAAACCGGCGACCCCATTGAAATTAGAACAAGCTGTGTCGCGCTACGGTGCGACATTTGCCAGGCAAGAACATTCTGTTTTACGATTAGATTCTGATTCATCGAGCAAGGAGGTACGGAAAATTGCTTACAGCTGGTGCTAGAACGGTAGTTGTAGTTCGAGTAGTCGGTGAGAAGACGTCGAGATCTTCGTCGTGCTGCATACGACATGAACTCGATCTTTGAGTATGCACACAAAGTCGGGGACACGCTGCGAGCCGGAGTGGCAGCGGTAACCCCAGTACCGACGGAAACGAAGTTCATCGAGGAGGGGACTTTGACACCACAGGAATTTCTACAGGCTGGCGACCAACTCTGCTACAAATTCCCGTCCTGGCAGTGGGAGAAGGGAAAGCCCGCAAATCGCGCGGGGTATCTGCCAGACGAGAAGCAATACCTGATCACGCGTATGAATTTCACATTTTTGTGCATTGATGGTTTTCATCTCTTTGCTTGTAAGTGCTAATCCTCGTCGTTCTGCTTACCTGGGAAAAAATTTTGGACTGTATCATGATGTCCTCTAGAAATAGAATCAGAAGCAAGTCCTGCTCTCGTTACGTCAGCTAGTAGCATCGTGCAGATGGCATGATCATCATGAAGATCTTCGTCCTCATATTAGGTAACGTCCGTTGCCGCGAGAGGGTACGCGATTTAGATGCGAGTCTGCAGAAACTGTCTATGTCAGAAGACTGGTGCCTCCCGCCAGATACGGAAGACAAGGACAAGCCGGGCGGCGCCGGGGCCACCGGCAGCAAAGGGGGCCAGAAGGCGGCGGAGAAACTGGATTTCGGAGACTTGGATAACATGCTGGCAGGGGATGACGATGACGACATAGAAAACGATGGGTAACAAGCGTGTTGATTCGCACCTTTTGGCTCATGATCATGATCTTTATTTCATGCCAACCATACGCCAAAGCACACATGATGCATAAGTTAAGTAGTTGTAAATGAACGAAAATCAAAATCGATTTTAGGTTTGAACTCCCGGACAGCGGAAAGGAGTCCACCAAATTGCGCACCTACGACCTCTCAATAACATATGACAAATACTACCAAACACCAAGGCTATGGCTCTTCGGGTAAGGCATCGACGAGTCCTGCGTTTTTCTTTTGAATTGCGTGGTTTGATATAAATTCAATCAAGGCGATACCAATATAATCACGACTGCCTTTGCGCAGCCGCATTGCAACTCTTGTACTGCAGGTATGACATCTACGGCCGACCACTAGAGTCCCGGGAGATTTTTCAGGATGTGCTATCAGAGTACCATAGCAAAACCGTCACGGTTGACCCACATCCTCTCACCGCCGTGCCAACCTGCAGCATACATCCATGCAAGGTAGTCTACAGGAAGTGAACATAACTTAGACTTACTACAAAAGACCTTTTTTTGCGTACTAATCGAATGATTGTATGCACCGATCACGAAATGCTTCGAAAATACAATAAATGCGGGAAGTTTTTTATCTCAACGATGACAGCACGCAGCAGTGATGAAGAAGGTTATTCGGGATTGGATGGAGCAGGGCCTACAGCCGCGCCACGATCTGGCTTTGTTCGTCTTCTTGAAGTTCATCTCCTCTGTCGTCCCGACTATTGATTACGACTTCACCATGGATATCGAACTGTAGCACAGGCAGCTCGCAGCGGAGGCCCACAAAAACCGGCTTGGGGAATGCTAGACATGACACACACTTCTTCAACTTTTTCAAAACAATTCTAGACATTTTGCTGCAACGCGGTGATTGCGTTCCCGATCGCGGATCACGCGTGTTGGAGTTACTGGCAATGCCGTAGAATGAGCGTTTCTGGCTTCGTGCCCTGCCCGTCCTGATGTAGTTGAGCTGGACAGGTCGCCGCTCTACCTACAACAGGGCTACACCTTTGTGACAGACCGCAAGAACAGTTTTCTCGAAAGTCACCAAGATCGGAGAAGCCCGACTGCAATATTCCGGAGATCCACATCGATACAGAAACAGAAGTTTTGCTCCATCAAAAGGGTTGGCGGGATCTTGGTTCCTTGCCCTCTCCTCCGATGTTTTTTATTTTCCGAACAGAGCAGGAGCAGGTGCAGGAACAGATACAGAATGGAAGTGAAAGACAAAGATCAAGAACAAGATCGCAGGTCCTGCTTCTCAGCTGCATTCGTTTTGTCATGGTTTTGCCCTGCCGATAAGTAAGAAGGCGTGAAGATCTGGCGGGTCGATGGCTGCGTCGTGTGTAGCGTTAAAAAGTTTTTTTCGTCTGTTATTTCTAAGCATTTAAATTAAAATTTACTGTTTAACTTGCTTTCCATTTAAGATCCTGCTTTCTGAGTGTAAATACTTGATTGCTACAGGAGACGCCTCGCGACCAAATCAAAATCAAAATGGCATCCTCCGCACCAGCTGCGGCCACAAGTTTGATCACAGGCTCCCTGAACGCGAGCCGCGCAAGACATTTGGAAAATGCGCTGAAGATGCTAGACGTGCAAAGCGCCAGTAGTTATAAAAATCGTACAGCACCATCTTCGATGCCAAATCTGACCGCTGGCGGCTCGTCCTCCTCAACCTCGTCGACTGCATCAACCACCACGCATCATCAAGCAGTTTCCGCCTACCCGCTAGACTTGTTTCTCCGGAGGTATTTCAAGGCGCATAAGGGCATTAAGCGCGAGGACCGGAGGTTCATCTCCGAGCATTTTTATGAACTGATTCGGTGGAAGGGGTATCCAGGAAAAAACATCCATCCCCATCCAATTACGTGCATCAATTCCACTATTTGTCATGCAAAAAATGGATGGGGAAGATGGGTGTTTTTTCCTGGATAAGGGGATGCTGGACCTGGTCGGCGGACAGTTTATGAACAACAACCTGTGGCACAATCGCATGAAAACCTACTTTCTGTCCAAGCGGTGGAAGGACCAGCAGCTCGCGTCGCGGAAACTCAGTCCCGCCGCAATTTGCGGGTTCCCAGACTACTTGTTTTCGTGCATAGCCAACAGCTTCTTGTCTCTAGCGCCCACGGCACAAACAAGCGACGAGGTGGAAGAACGTGAGGATGACGTTCGTGTCGTCACCCCAGGCAACATCCATGACAGATCAAGTCGGCCTGGAAACGGCCTCCATAACGAGAGCAGTGAGGCTCCGTTCGACTACTGCGCAACCACGCAGGCTACTGACGTCACTTCCGAAGAAGTTCCACAACAGTCGCTTTTTGCGGCGACGAAAAGTAGCAGGCCATCTGCCAGCTCCAAATCAAGCCGCACGACGCCAGTTTACTCACAATCGGCACCTTCATCACCGGCAAATCTCAGCGCTTCGGCCCCGCACGTGAAGAAAGCGCAGAACCTTTGCCGCATTCTGAACGAGAAGCCGACGTACTTTCTGCGCGTGAACCCGCTGAAGAAGTCGAGACAGGAAGTGTATGATTTGCTTCTCGCGAAGGAGATCAACACGATCGAAATGGCGAAGCACAGCCCGCTCGGTATCACACTACATCATTTTCAAACGAAAGCGGCCATCCTGGAAGCTTTGTTTGAGGAAAAACGATCTGGCTACTTCGAGTTGCAGGACGAGAGCTCGCAACTGATGGGACTCGAGGTGGATTGCGAGCCCGGGCAAAAGGTGCTCGATTTTTGTGCGGGCGCGGGCGGCAAAAGTCTGGTGTTTGGACCAAAAATGCGAAATTCCGGTGCATTGTTTCTTCACGACGTTAAAGACACGGCTCTCGTGCAGGCGCGGCGGCGGCTTCGCAAGGCTGGAATCAAGAACTACCAAATTTTGCCGCCCGGCCATCCGCTGCTGCACTTCAATCGAGCGAAGTCTTCGTTCGCGGCAAGTAACAAAACACTTTTGGGGAAGTGCGACTGGGTCGTCTTAGACGTGCCGAATAGTGGGACGGGCGCACTGCGAAAAAACCCAGACATGAAGTACACCTTTAGCGAGGAAAAGCTCTTGCAGTACATTGCGAGGCAGCGGGAAATCTTTGACCAGGCCCTCCCTTACGTAAGGTCCCCAACTAGAGGAGCTGCGAGAGTGCCGAGGAAGGATGGAAGTGCCGCAAATGGGTCGTCTCTTGAAACTCCCACCCGCGGTGGAGGCAAGATTGTTTACATGACTAATTCTATTTTGCCAGAGGAAAACGCAAGACAGATTGAATTCTTTTGTGAGAAATACCAGCTGTACTTGTCTAAAGAACCTAAACATGCGCTGCCCCAAACCAAGGGTTTGGACGGCTTCTTCTGTGCAGTGCTGGAAAGGGCGTGACGGCAGCAAAAAAAATGACCAGAGCGCTTCTATTTTTTTGGCGAGTCGTGTAAGTACTCCTGTCCTAGACCTAGTCCCACTGGGCAGGGGCTCTATTGATTTCATATGGAGGGTTCTTTGCCTACACGGGGCGGACAAATCGCAAAAGCTAGAAATAGAGTCCACTGTGTCCTTCTGTCTCGTCTTCGTTTTTGTTCGTCGTGTTGGTTGCACTTGCCGCGTTGAGCACTCCGGAGGTGAGGGGCTGGCAGACCCTGTGTGTGGTACCATAGCCGACAACATGGTTCTTTGTTCAATTTCAGGGGTAGAAAAGCGTCCCATCTAAACCTAAAGTGTTACGTTGTTTTGTCACCTGTGAGGATGCTTCTACTTATCGATCAACAGGCACAGGTGGCTGTGAGTTTGAGTTTTTGAAATTTTCGGGAGAGAGCAACACGTTGGCTTGCTTTGCTGATTGCGACCGATAGATAATTGCTTCCATTGCCGCGAGCTCGGGTCGCAACAAGACGAGCAGAACGCCCATGGTCCACATCGGGCCGGTGAGCCGGAAAAAAATGGAAATGTTGAATGCAGAGTCTGAGGTAGTGCATGCTTGATATGATATTGATAGTACAAGCGCAACAGCAATAAAAGCCTTTGAAGTAAAAGCCTTTGAACAATATGTCTTGTTTTTTTTTCGACCAATGCGAGCGCAAGTGCATCGTGGACAGCGGGGAAGTGGAGATCGTTCACCCGCGGCCAGCCGCTTCCAAATGGAGCGGCTCGACCTTCTTCCACTTTGACGAGGACTTTTTGGGTGCGAGTAAATCGAGGACGGTAATGCGGCCGCCCGCCAGGGGTAGCCCGTCCACCTCCGCCGGACGGGGGCTGTTTGAGGTTCGACGCAGCATAGGCGAAACAGCACATCGGTCGTCATCCAAAGTCAGCACGTCCACGACATCGTCTGCTGCTACCAGCAGCACTGCTGTGTCGTCCGTGCTTTTCCCCTTTTCATCGTCATCAACATCGAAAAGCACAGCCGGCGGGGAAGCGGCCGGCGCTCCTGCTTATGTTGACGGCGAGTATGGGACAAGTGAACTGAGCGACTCCCACATCTTGAGCCGATTGGTAGGGCGGGATGCTTTCAGAAAGAGGTCGGCTGCAGAGCAAAGACGTGCGATTGACCAACAAGGCCGGGACACGTACTGCTCGGAGGGTCGTCGGACCGGCGGAAATTTTGTGCAGCGCCTGTTCTCGTGCGAGATGGACCATCGTACGGGAGGACGGTCGTCCAGAAACGAAATCTTTCCACGCAGCCTCGAAATCACACTCTCCCGCCTGCCGCCACAACAAGAACTGGGACTACTGGATGGGTAAAAGAGTCAGGACGTCCCAGTCTCCCGCTGCAAGTCTGGCTTTGATAATTTGGCGCCCTATTGATCTTGATAAATGAAGCAGATGAGTTCCTACCATCCATTTTTTTCGGATTGAAGACAAGAGTTCAGGCAGTAGAATCTACCACTGGGGTGCAGGCTCCCAGCGATGGTTCTCTTTTTGTCTGCCGAGGCGGTGGTCCGTGCTGCACCATGTCCATGATTTTGATGTCGTTTACCGTTCTTGAGACTGAGAGGTCGAGAATTTAGGTGTGACCAACCGTAGCCCAAAATTGATGTGTCTAGCGCTCGCTTTCGCTTTGTTTTCTTTCTGATTCTGTGTTGGAGATAAAACTGAGACTGAGAGAAGACCACATCGAGAGATGTCACAACTCGTCTATTGTGTAATAATCCTCCTTCTACTCGTATTAAGCGCACATAGTGTGGTCCTTGTTGTACCTTCCTCGTAAAGGTATTTCGACTTCGTCGTTATAGTCGACTACGGCTTCATAGCCCTGCAGCGAATCTTGCTCTTTTTGAGCGAAGCTGCTAGATTGGATGTCAGTCACACCAAAGAGGACCAGGAACTTCTTTTCTCGCGAACACAACTTCGAATCGTTAAGCTTTCCGACCATTCACTAGACGATGCTTCTAACCTCCCACCCAAAATGAAAATGATTGCAATCAAATTGCAAGTCTTTGCTGTAGCCTGCTGGAAGAGGGCCTTGTGCTTTTGTAATTCTCGTCGTCCACCACAAAGCAGCAACACATGATATGCTGGACCTGAACGAGGAGCGTCTTAAACCGGAGCTGCTGGACGTGACTCCGGACCTCGGAGGCTCGGATGTCGACGAATTCATCAAAGATGACGATGGCAGCTCTTCGTCGGACGACGAGGAAGTCCTCCTCGCGAAACTGCAGCCCCCGCTCGCCGTGCGGAGCAAGACCGTCCGCGGCAGTGCTGCGGGCTCGTTTTCCACGCGACCCAGCGGACCCACGCCAAGGCAGGGAAATGTTGGCGGTGCGCGATTGCTGGGACCGGCGGCTGGTCCTCCTCCAAGTGCTAGTTTGCAACCAGGAGATTTCAACAACATCGTGCAGCAACAGCGTCCGCAGACTGCAGCAGGGCACCAGGTTACTACACGCGGGATACTGGTGCGGAAGGACGCAGCGTCGTACCCATCTGGATCCTCACCACACCGAAAAAGGGCGATCACATGGGATGACCGAGACCTAGAACGGGAAAGAGCCGCTGGAGCATCTACTTCACGGGAGGACGTACCCAAGCCAAGTGCAAAGAGTAGTGCTGCACGAAAGGATGACAGATGCGACGGCGAGGCCGAGGGGCGAGACCGAGGAGACGCCGTCGAACAACATCAGCGAGAAGCTGTGGCTGCTGCTGCAAATAAAACAACGAAGTTTCGTGTGATTCCTGGGTACCCGCGGATCACAGCGGATGCTGTGTTCAAGGATAATTACGCTGGCAGCAAGCCAAAGGAGTACAGCGCCCTGAAAAAGCAGTTCGAACAACGGTTTGCCGAGGCACTACAGCAGTCGAAAAACATGTACCGTGCGGCCCAAATGATGAATGCAGACGTCCCCGTGCCGCACAGGTCGACGCCGAAAACTACCGATGCGGGAGTTGCACCTACGGATCACGCCGGAATAAATCAGGCGAAGTTATCGCCGAGAAAAATCCGTTCCGCTGGGGCAACACGAGGAGGCGCTGGCGCAGGAGGAGCGTCGTCTAAGCGACCAGCTACGTCATCGGGCGCCGCGGGTCGCGCCACCGTCTATAAGCAAGCTGAAGCTGGTGATCGCGAAGATCGAAATTTGGTGGTTCGTTCGGAGCACGTCTTGGCGCGCGAGACGAGTTTGGAAGCCGGTACAACGTCGACCAGGCCAAAGTCGGCAATGACACCGGTGGACAAGAACAAGACGAGATCTGACGTCCTAACATCCCTGCCAGCTCAGGACTTGCGACCGCGCTCGGCCTATCCGCCTCGAACACCCACGTCCGAAAGCAAAGTGCAGAGCATCGTGATCGACGATGGGCTCGCAGTATATCAGAAGAACCTCGTGCGGCCCCAGCAGCGGCCGAAACCACCGCAACTCCATCGGTCTGCGTCCGCGCTGCCAGTCAGGAGTACGCCGTCGCCAACAAAACGTGTCTCCGAGGAAGAAAGCTTGAAGGCTGCCGAAGAAATCAATCTGGGTTCATCTACTGCTCCAACCGCCGGGCAAAGGGAGCGCGACGCGGGGGACCCTGCAGCCTGCCGGCAGCGCAGCGGCTCGGCTAGTCCGTCCAAGCGAGCCGCAAATGTCACGCGACCGTCGTCGACTGCAGGTTCGCGGCGAGGTTCAGCAGCTTCTTCGACCGCCCGCTCCCAGTCCGCGTCTTCCACCAGAAGCAGTGGGCGAATGTCCGCGGCGGCGCTGCGGCAGCAGATGCTGGACCAGCAAGCGCAAAACACGGCTGCAATGTCCGCCGCCTTGCACGTGCCACACTACAAAGACCGCGAAACGCAGGAGGAGTTCATGAAAAGTATGCTACCTGCTTCGTCGCGGCTATTGCAGGGAACGCAAGCTTCCCAGCGACGAAAAACCGCCACGGAAAAGGAGCAGCAAGAAGACCACGACACGCTTGCGACCAATAAAGTAGGTTCTAGCAGCGGTAACAACGCTGCAGGTGTGTCGTCTACAACTACCACGGCAGTTCCGCGCAACGTGAATATCGTTGCGAATCGCCAAGTTTTCACGGCGGTGGACCTGCAAGACCGTGTGGAATACACGGGTCACCAGAGCAAAACGGCGTCCCAAAACGCGCTCGCACGGCCTAGACCCAACACCAGCAGTGGTTGTCGGAGCACGGAGGACCGACCTGCTTCAGCCATCAACGCCATCGACACATCAAATACCGTCTTCGTCGCTGACGATGGAGTTGTGATATCGGCCGCAGTCTCCAAGCCCGGCGCACTAACTAGAAGCTCCAGCTGCGCTGCGATGCGCCCGAGCAGTTCCCGCACAGCACCCGGAATGGCAGCTGCAGCGGCTCTCTCGTCGAGCTCCCGGCTCCCGCGCCCGACTTCGGCCGGCCGCCCACAGAGCGCCAGCTACCGCGCGAAGGCGAAGCAGAGTTTCGAAGTATTAGAGTTGTCGCTGATGAATAAGCACGTGTCCAAGGGCGAGCGGATGGTGTTGTTTTTGCAAAAGCAGGAATGTGGCTTGGAGAAGCGCGTCTTTGTCCTCGACAGCAGCGACGAATTCATTCGGAAGGCGCTTCTTGATAGGGGTAATTGGGTGGAAAACAAGTACGTCGAGTCCGGCCTGTGGAATTTGAAGTGGTGCGCTACGGACAGTGAGGAAGACTACAAGAATCTGGACGAGGAGAACGACCTGTACAACCATTTTCAGCACAACCGTGAGCTGACCACGAAATTCGGTCTCGCGAGAAACTTGAAAAACCTGTCCAGTGACACCGCGGCATCGGGAGTTTTGGTCGACGTAGATGTTGCTGTTGTGCCTGCACCAGTTGATTCGTTCTTGAACAAGCAGACGATTTGTAGTACTACTCGTAGCTCGAGCACCGCCTGTTCGAGCCTTGTTCGAGAAAGAAGCGGCCGCGACGTTTTCAAGCAACAAGTGACCTGCTCCATCGTCGACAGTTTTTTTCCACGATGCTACGACATCGCGCTACCGGAAAGCCGGGAGGACTTCATTGTGGAGTACTGTCGAAACGCCGCATGGTGCGTTGCGAAAAAGCACCTGAACCTGGTTTCGACAACCTCCTCCTACCCGGTTAGCAAGTATCGCCCGAACCTGACGGTCTTACGTGTGGCGCAGAGGGTTCTCGATCTGTGGGTGCAAGAAATTAACGCGGAGAAGCTGCTTGATTGTGATGTTGGATCTTCTTGTTACACGGGTAGCTTCTCAGCAGGTGCTGCCGCACAAAGGAGAAACAGTGGCTGGGTTTCGGAGGAGGAGGAGGATGTAGCCAGCGGAAATCTACTCGAGGTCCACACGGGTGAAGATGCTTCTACGAGGTGCTCGCGACGTTCGCCTTCAAAATCAATCAGCGCAAACAGGCCAGCACGGAGCGCAAGCAGAAGCGCTTCACCTGAGAAAGGCAAGGCTTGGAACAATACTGCGCCCTCCTCGATGAAACTACAGGTGCAGCTCCGTTCCGCGACGACTGTCGATGAGGCGGATTTCGACGCACTAGCCTTGTACTCCGAACTTAGTGAAGCTCAGCTTTGTCGCGACTTCAGCGAACACGAGACCAGCCATTTCTTGAAGAAGCGCGGCGGCTTGCTGAATTTGTACGCGAACGCGCAGAACAAGCAGGTGTACTCCGAGTCGGTGCGAAACTCTTCCGTTGCTGCCAAAAATGACGGACCGGAGCAGCTGGAAACGGCCGGGTGCGGCGGTGGAAGTTCGTCATCGGGCGGACCCCCCGGAAACCACAACGCGTCGTCGTCGAATTCAGGCACTTCTACTGCGAGCCACAGTGGCATGAATTCCAGCAACCCGTTGGCTACCAGAACTTCCAGCAACAGCGTCACCGGCGCAGACGCGAAGCAAGCAGAAGACTGGCGGCGTGCTGTACCCAAATCTTTGCAGAGCATCGAGCAGTGGGCGGAATTTTCAAGCCATACCTGGGTGAATTTCACGGACTATGGGACGAAGCACCTTCAAGAAGCGGAGCACAAGCATTCTAGCGCTGAGGCTGACAACAGCTCTTGTTCATCGGCCAGTACAACATCAAATCCGTTCTTCCTCCTGAACGCCGAATTCCAGAAATTCACCGCTTTCCTGGAAAGCCACCCTCTGACAAAGCCGCAGCTGTCCTTGTGCAATGCGAAGCAGAACTGCTGGATTGTGAAACCGGGGAACAATGCCAGAGGAAGTGGCATCGTCGTGCTGAAGAATCTGAAAGAGATTCTGTACCAAACGAACCCGTCGAGGCTGGTGATGAAGTACATCGAGAAGCCCCTCACCCTGTTCAATGGACGCAAGTTCGACGTGCGGCAGTGGGTCCTGGTGAAATCCTTCGACCCACTGGAGATCTGGATGTTCTCGCAGTGCTACTTGCGGCTGTGCAACGAGCCCTACGATTTGGGAGATTTGGAAAACCGACAGAAGCACATTAGTAACTGGGAGGTCAACAAGCACGCCAAGGGAAAGCACGCGCAGGAGGGCGCGGTCGCGTCCCTGGAGACCTTCAAAAACGAGCTCCACGAGATCACGGGGAACCCGGACTACTGGGAAGAGGCCATTTTGCCGGAGTTGCGCACCATTATCGTCAAAACCTGCGAAAGTGTGAAAACCGTGGTGAAGCAGCGGAAGTCGTGTTTCGAAGTGTTTGGCTTCGACATCATGATCGACGACAAATTGAAGCCCTGGCTCCTAGAAGTGAACTTGTCGCCCGCCTGCGACGTGCGCACCCCGTTTCTGGTGAGCATGGTGTCCGACATGAGTCACTCCCTGTTCGACGTGGTGCTCGGGAGCGGGAAGAAGATTGGGAACAACGCCGAAAGTTGCATTGCCGACGTCATGACATCCCCGCGCCAGTTTCGAGAACGGGCGCGGGCCGCAAAAGCACGAGCAGACGTGAAGGAGAGCAGAGAAGATCAAGCGTCTGGCACTTCTGGCTATTCGAAGGGCGAGTGGTGGTGCATCTGCAGAAGTGACAATACTTGGAGCAGCGACGACAGAAAGTATCTGACGACGCCCCGAGGCAGAAGTTTTTCCTCCATGTCCCTTTCGAACAGCACGGCTTTGCTCCAGGATAACAAGGATCATGTTTCCCAACAACAGGGAGCTTCTGGCTCGAAAGCCGGCGACGTGACGAAGTTGACTATTCTGGGCCAGAAAGTGAAATGGAACCGAGAATGGAAGCTCGAATACTGCTGGCTGCGGTTGCGTGCAGCGCTGCTACTGCAGAGGGTGACCAGGGGCATGTTCGCGCGACAGCAGCTCCGGTACTACAAAAGACTGAAGGCTGTGAAGGTGATCCAGAGGAATTTTCGTGGCTTCGCGGGAAGAAAGAAATTCCGAAGAGAGAAGCAAACGTCGCTTCTGCACACAATTCTGATTCCAAAGTTGAAATCATTCGCCTACTGCGTTTACCTGCGGAACCAGAAGCGGTTGCGGCTCGCGCTCGTCGCACAGAAACTCTGGCGCGGAAGAAAAACTCGGATTTGGTTCGCGACCTGGAGACTTCATGAGTACGCAAAACGGATTCAGAAGTTCTTTCGGAAACGACGACGGAGGAGGAGAATCAGCAGGAAACGAAGAATCCAACGATTCTGGCGAAAGCAGTTTCGGAAAAGGGTCAACGCGGCAAACCAGATTCGGAAGATGTTCGTCGGTTACAAGGCGCGAAAAGAGTTTGAGAAAAAGTTTCTGCCTCGATATCGTGCGTTGCTATTCGGATTCACATTTTTGCCCTACCTGAGACGATTACGGAAGCAGACCCTGCTCGTTTACCAAGCGATTTGCGCACGGAAGATCCAGAGATTTTGGCGAAGAAAGAGGCGAAAGGAAAATTGGAAAACGATGCGGTTCTTTTTCTGCGAAGCGTGGCAAGCTGGTTACTTTGCGCCGGTACGCGAAGCGCAAATAAAACTTGCGGCGATCCAGCGTGGGAACCAGGCACGGAAGGAATTTCGTCGCAGGCTGCAGAAGAAGAGAGAAGAGGACGAGCGGCGAAGACGGGCGGAAAAAAGAAAACTCGAAAACAGTGCTGCGGTGAAGCTGCAGAGAAGCTTCCGATATTATCGGAGAAGGAAGTATGGGCGCGAATTTCGGCGAGAAATGCAGGAGGAGCGGCGTTCTGCGGCAACGAGAATTCAAGCTGCACTTTATCGTGGCCGGAAGGCGCGGAAACTTTTCGCACATCTTAAGTGGCTGCGAGAACAGAGGCGCGAGCGAGAAAAGAAACAGCTGGAAGAAGCGACAGCGAAGAAGAAAAACACAACCGCGTTGCAGATTCAGAGCATTTGGCGGGGTGTGACCGCTCGCAAGAAGAGGCGAGTGGAGCTGAAGAAAAAACAGGAAGTCGAGGAATTAAAAGGCGCCAGCTTCTCGATGGATTGCCGTCCGACTCCGGATGACTCCTCTACTTCGATCTCTGTTTCGCGCGGAGGAGCTGAAGGCGGGTCGAACGAGGTTCCGTGCTTCGCTGCAGTCTCCTTGGCATCTTCCCCGAGTCAATCGCCCGAAGATCATGACGTGCCACCACAATTTTGTATCGACGACGAGAACTCCTCCAACTCTGCTAGTGTGGTTTTTAAGGCAGATGAGGCGGCTCGGGAAAATGATATGGTCGTTGCGGCAACCTCAACAGCACTAGCATCACGGACTTTCGCTGGTGCTGGAAATGAGGACAACGCGGCTAGTGTAGAAAAAAAATACGAAGAGGAGGTGATATCGAGCAGTAGCGATAGACGAGAACAAGGTCATAGGATTGGTCGTGCTACGCCGGAGGACAGAAATGCTCTGTCGTTGTCTATAATTCGCAGGAAAAGCAAACAGCAAGGTGCTGCACAGAAGGAGCCAACTGTCAACAAAGAATCAGAATCACTTACAAGCGGAGAAGTACAAGCAGCACACTTATCGGGCGCCGATACAACGAAGGCTGACCAATTGACGGTGACAAGTACAACTTCATCGGCGGCTCCACTGACGCAGGCAAAGGCTTCTTCATCGTCATCGCCTGTGTACTCCTTTGCAGCTGCCGCCAATGCTGCGAGTGCCGTCTCGTCGCGGACCCACATGCAGTTGGTTGACCTTGTTAGCTTTCACAACGGTACCACCACACAACAAGGGGCAAGCGTAGGTCGAAATACTACTACAACAACCAAAGTTGGTGGAGCAACGACAGCTATTGCAAGTGAACACACCGCGGTACTAGGTAAAACAACCAATGCGCCAAACCGAACAAGCGCGTCGCATTCGAAGACTCAACTGCTACGCCCACATAGCGGCTCACAACTCCCAATGGCCATCTCCGGCGGATCTTCTTCGAGTTCGAGTAGCCCTTCGACTTCTGGCACACTTCCGACAACCAAGATTCGCCCGTCAGCAGGTGGTAATGCCACACCACCGAGCGCTAGCTCCTCCTCCTCGCCGCCGTCTGCCGGGGTGGTGCCGCATGCCGCGAGCGGTGCAAGTCCGATGGAAAGTAGTTCGAGCAGCACTGCAAGCACCTCGCGCGCTTTTCGACTGCTATCGGCAAACAAGCAAGAAGCTAGAGCACTTGACCCCGCAGAGGTGTCCTCGAGTGGTGGTACGACAGCGGCGTCAGCAACTATTTTGCCGCCGGGGAAGAAAAGCAAATCGTCCTCGTCCTCGACTAAGCTGAAGAAGGCCTCCACGCCAGATTTGTTGGTGCTTGGAGGGTTCTCATCGTCTGGGGGTGGTGGAAGTTCTAGTTCTACTACGCAGTCCCTTGCAGCCGCAACGGCTCCTGCAGCCAGGGTAGTTTCCGAAGAGCCGCCAGCCCGCTCGATGACCGTTTCTGCCCATGGGGATAAAGCAGCGAAGAACATCAAGAGTCTCTCGAAGACAAAGGCGCAGCTTCTGGACCTAGAAGAGCGCGCGCGTCCTCGGAGCGCGCAACCGCCCAGCAACTTGATGAGTGGTGGCGGAACAACAGCTGCGATCTCCTCGTCGACTCCGAAAAATAACTCACTGGCATCCAATAAATCCGGACTTGTTCTTCGTCCAACTCCAACACTAACACACCACGCCGTTCATCAGGAGAAAGAAAAACCACCCGCAGCTCCGCCACGCCCTCCGGAGAAGAAGAAGAAAAAAAGCAGAACTACACACAGTTCCAGTTCGTCGGCTAATACAACTGCAGGAGCACCACAGCTACCACTTGGGGCAACGACAGCGACACCAGTAGCTGCGAGTCAAGCCGGAGCTTTTGCTCTTTGCCACACTACACATGACCCGGAGAAAACAAAGGACGGCAAATCTACAGCTGCAGTTATTGTGTCGCCTGCTCCTAACAAGTCCGGAACTCTGACGGCCTCCGCCGTTCACGCGGAACTCAACGCAAGAGAGAAAAAGGCGCGGAGACACGAAACAGAACGCAGTTGGTCGGCGTCGGTTCTGTCCAAAATAGTGCAGCAGCAGCCTCAAAGCCAAACGGATGTTGGGACGAAAAAATCTTCTGCGCCCACCCTGGTGCCATTGCAGAAAGGTTCTGAAGATGCGCACAACTACTTTGTCAGCAACTCCAGCACAAGGCCAAGTTCGTCGCTGAGCGAGTTGATCCGCGCTGGCGAAGAGGTGGCAGTCGAAGATAGCTGCGAGGATCCTTCGGACAGCTTATTTCTGCAGGCGCCCCTAGCGCCACGCGGTGGTCGGAGCGGTTCCAAGAGTCCCCGTGATCTGTTGCACGAGGGGCTGCGAGATTTAGAGATGCTACTTTTGAATATGGGCGGCGGTGAAGGCGGAGACTCTAAATCGCGTCCAGACGTCACCGTGGGAGACAGGACGAGGCGGAGCGGGGAACAAGCTGCAGCAGGTCTACAAGGCGGCGAGGAACAAAAGAAGGCGCCCCCTAATGCATTGATGTCCGGCTCCAACGTTCGCACGATTCACAAACTTCGGTCCATGAGTACCGTCGAACAGAAAGAAGCGGGAGTTTGTGAAGATGCAAGTCTAAAGACTAAGCAGGCTCTATCACCAACAAACGCGAATGCAAAAGGACCAGCACAGCTGCGGGCACAGGTTTACCGCACGCGCTCCCTCACTGCCGATGGAATGTTGGTAGTACCGACCTGATTTTCTGCCGGTCAGAAACGAAATCAAGCTGGTGTTAGTTTACAACTTGCACTCAAAAATGTGAAATAAGTACTTGTTACTTAGTCTTAGACGAAATGCAACTCAATGACCCAGGGCCGCACAATATGGTGCAGGTGTTACGGGCAAAGCTTATACTGAATCAATGAATCAATGCCAATGCTGGTGAGTAATCAATCTTGGTGGTGTTGCTCTTGCATCAATCTCAATATCAACAACGAACAACAGTTTTTGAGTGGTCACCAAAACAAGTAAATTTATTGTCTCTTTGTCCTCTGTATGATCTAAGTAGTTTTCTACGTTTTCCTCTTCCTAGTGAACTTTAGAAAAGATTCGAGGCTCATGCTAAATCTGAAGCAAGTGTAAGATTCGAGGCGGACTGGGACTGAGTGGGACACTTGGAGCTGCACAGATAACACAAAATAAAGTTTGTCGCTCACTGGGCACGGATATGAGTGATGGTTCGGAGGAAAACAAAAGCTGATGCTGCACACCTCAATTTTTCCACCAGAAATATAAAAAGAGAAGGAAGTAGAGGTGCAACAAAAATCCAACATTCGATGTCTGTGTTTGTTGTGGAGAGCTGGACTTGCATGAATTCAGGCGTTGGTACTGGTCGGTAGTTGTCGTAGTTGTCATCTGCGATGACTGGCATCTTCATCTACTTTTTTGATGCCGAAAAGCGCGCAAACGCATCCAGTATGACTCGGCGGTGATACACTCCCTCGATCTTTTTTGTGACCCTTATCTTGGCTGTATTACGGTTCATTTGCTCGCACCGGTGGTTGTTCAATCTGCCCGTGGGTCCCATAATTGTTTCGAGGTGTCGCTCCGTGTCCTTTCGAAGGACTTCCTCGCTGATTTAGATGCATGATCAACACGGATATTGTGGAATCATGGGAGGAGAAGTAAGTACGTTCTTAGCAGAGTGCGTCTGTTTCAAGCTATTTCGAGCAAGCCTCGAAAGGACCGAAAAATATAAACGTGACTACACCTTCAAGTTCAAGATGATCAAAGTAACCTAACTTCACCTTACGTTTCTGCAAGTCCAAGCGCTTTGCTCATATTAATATAGAAGAGAAGTGTAAGATAAAGATTCGAAACCAAGATTCTGCTTCACAGGTAGATTTACACATCGTAAGTGAATCGGTTTAGATAGAAAGAAAAGTAACAGCGTGAAAAGTAGTTTGAAAAAATCTCGAAAAAGCAAAAACGCCATGTCGGAAGCCGAGGTGGGGCGGATGCTGCAAAGCGCCGCGCTGGCGTCGGGTAATATCGGTGGTGTGTCGCAGATGAACGGCGCGGGCAGACCAGGCCACGCACTGGATCATGGCTCAAAAGACGAGTTGCAGGCGAAAAAGGTTGTTGAAGAGAAAATCGCGTTTGTTGGGCGGCACTTGCGAGATCCGTACGCGGAGTCCATTCACGATTTGTCTCATTTTTTGATCACGCTGCAGTGTGTGTGCGAGAATCCCGGCGTAGAGCTCGAAGACATGGCCTGGGAAGTGGGGCTGCCCGAGGTACAAATGGTTTGTGTGCTACAAAGGGCTCGCGAGGACATTGCGACGTTTCCCTCGTACTTTCAGAACGGCTTGCGCGCCTGGACCTGCCTGGATCGAGTGGCAGTCCGCACGCAAGAACTCCCGAGTGCGGAGCAGAATGCAGCTTGTGCGCACGACAACAAGCAACGCGCCGCGGGTCCGGTGCAAGTTCGGCTGCTCCGAGATTTGGATGCGAATTGGAAGAAAGGGCAGGTAGGGACCCTCCTTGGCGCCGCCGTAGAGCCTTGGGACCAGGAGCAGGTGAAGCGAAGTCACGACCAAGGTCGCTCCATGCAAAATCGAGTGATGGAAGATCGGGGGAGGCGATGCGTCGTCGATTTCTCCTCAACCGCATCAACCAAGACCACGAACGCTTCTGCGGTCGACGCGGTCCAATACGTAGCATTTGACGATGTGGAGCTAACCCCGGAATGCAAGAAAGTCCTCCGTCCGGATCCTCAAGCATTGTTGCCATCGTCTTTCAGTACGGACAAAAAAGAAGAAAATGTGAAAGAGATAGAGCAGAACAGCATGAGCAGTTATTCGGGAGGGAACGACACGGAGAGACGGAAAAATGAGAATTCATCTGCGATGGAGAATGTACGAGTAAACGATATTAAAGTTCCGGCCGTGGTCGAGCGTGCCAGCGTGCCTGTGTCTCTACCACCAGCTGTCACCGAGGTCGCCGACCCGGAATTTCACAAGTTCTACGCTGTCTGGGCAACGAGTGGGAATGAGTTACTAACCCTGAAGCAACTCGCAGCGGAAACCGGAATTTCGGTGGGAAAGGCCCAACGGCTTTTGCGCAAGGCGAAAGAAATCGGCACGGGACAAGAACAAGACAAAGCCCCTGACAACAGCCAAAAACATGACAAGGACAACACCATTGGGGGACGAAGCAACTGCTCTTCGTGGCCGTATAACGTGCCGACCACGGATCTTGTTGCCTACGAGGAGATCGTGCGTGTAGATGCGATGCACCAGGCTGCGGTCAATGCGCGCTTCGTGATCGCGGAGCCGAGTCGCTCATTGGAGAGAAAGAAGCTGACCGCAAAAGAACTGGCCGGGGCGAAAGCGTGCAACGCGTCTTCGGAGGAGACCCACAGAACTATCGTGAAACTTCCCGCCCACGACAAAACGCAGGAGGTGATAAGCACGAACCCGCACGGGACGCAGAATCAACTTTTGACGGAAGATATCGCAAAGAAGAACAAAGGCGTGATGATGGGCATGGAGCAGGGGGTCGCACTGACGAAAAGGACCTTGAAGGAAATGGCAAGAGACAAGGAGAAAACGAAGAGGGAGGCGAAGAAAAGCGAAGGCGTCACGAAGTCGAACGATCCAGGAAATGTTCCTGGACGTACTGAGCATCTTGAGTTTTTTCGCGTCACAAAGGAGAGCTTCGAAGTGATTGCGGTTTTTGGGCCACTGAAGGAGTTGATGATGTGTCCTGCGTTTTCGAGGGAGGAGAAGGATCGAATGTTTCCGCTTTTGAATGACTGTGCACGGCAGGAACACACGGTCTTCGATACCTTCTACTTTTCGCGTCTGGCCACGCAGAAGCACATACGTATGACGCTGAAAAAACCCTTGCGCATCTTATGCACCAGCCGGATCCCGGACTCGTTTGCGAACTTTCGGCGGTATCTAGAGGCCGGGGGAACCTTCGAACGGGAGAGCGATATTGCCGCTGCCGAAGGTGGCTTCTTGACCGCGGAAGCTTATTGGATAAGCAAGGCGCCACAAGGTAGTAGTGCAGGAGCTGCAGTGCTTGTTTGTGTTTATTCCTCATTGATGGTAAGAAGTGTAGAAGTTGTGCGACGAGCACCAGCACGACAGTGTGACAGAATCACAATCAGCGTGAAAGTCGCAGAATATTAAGCTTTTGCTTCAAACAGGTTACGATGTTCGGCAAATGACGTCGGTGAATGCCAAGGGGCAAACCGTGACGAACTGGACTTTTGTGAGAAATGATGCGGCCGCACTAGCCCAGTTGAGGGCTTTAGGTAGCGACGGCCAGAAGATGGTTATGGAAGCGATGAGAGCAAATACTCCAAATGGTGGGGATTTCATGCAAGCGAACATCGACATTGGCGAGTGGCGGAACAAATTCGCTCAGGCGAAGCAAGGGCTACAGGAGGTCGAAAGCGCAACGGACATGAGCCGCAGCGTTCCGTTTGAACAAGATAGTGGCATACTGCAACAGGTCCAAGCGGAGCTGGCTATCAGTGACGAAGTGAAAGCGACTGCCGAGCAAAAATCAGACGGGCGCGACACGGTGCGCGCTCGAAGGCTTCGGGCAGAAAAGCTCGATGAGAAGGAAGCAGAGCTGAGAGATGCGGACGAGAAGAGAAGAAAGGGGAAAGAAGCGGTGGCTTATGACATCAAGTTGAACGACGACGGCACCAGTTTCATGGTGCCGCAAGGTGTGTCTATGGCGAACGTGAAGCTGGATAAGATTGACGATCGCGACTTCGACTCTGAGACATCTTCTTCTGATTCGCCGGAGAAGACGGAGAAGAGACGGGAGGCTTTCAGGAACAAGTTCTCAAATAAATCGAAGCAAGTTCATGATGCGGCAGCACCCCATTTTCGAGATTTCAGGGACGAGAAGATCGAAATATCATACTCGCTGCCGGAAGGTGCACAGACATCGCCGACGGATTTCTGGCTCGAACAGTGCTTCTGGAAATGTATCGAAGACCAAAAGGACGACCTGTCGCAGACGGACCTCGCCACCGGCCTCCTCTTGGCAACGTCTCTGGATGAGGAGACCGGGACAGTTTCAGACGAAAGAGCGAGGCTGATGATGCAAGAAGAGCCCGGAGTAGTGCAAACTTCCGATGAAGCGTTCTCGTCTCTCGTCGCGTGGCTGCGGAACCCAAAAATCCTCGCGGAGCAAAAGAGACGGGCGGAATCGATCGCACGGGAGTGGCAAGAACAGACTCAAAAAACCGCTGCGAACGTCGATGCGAAGAGCAAAAACTTCAAACCAAAGAAGCGCGTCCCGGCGGCGGATGAACTGCAGGACAGCGATTTCTTTTTGAGTTCGCCACGAGATGCGCAAACTAAAGATGCATCGAAAACTTCGCAGCTTCTATTACCGGCTTCGGGTAGTATTGCGGTGCACAAGTTTTGGCGCAAGCGCATGAAATTCCGGCACGTCGTGCGTGGTGTCAACGAAATGCGGAAAAAAGGGTTACTCGACGTCGAACAAAAATCGGCGGCAGCGAGTGCAAATGGGGGAAGTAGCTGTCTCTCGATTCACACAACAATAAAAGGGTCTCACTACGTTATTCATGGCCCGGGCGGCACCGCGACCATCATCCGTGACCACAAAGGAACCATTGAAAAGTCGGGCGATGACGTTATGCGGATGTTGAAACACATTGCATACGTTACAGGTGGCGGAGGCTCGGGCGCTGTGGCAGCTGGGAATGAAGGAAGCGTCGAGAAGGCGGGCACTACTTAAAAATGAGTTTTGGGAGTTGCGCTGGCACACACAGGTGGAGCGTTTTTTGACCGTTTGAGTAAGGTTGGTACGACAATTTAATGAGCATGACTCAAAGGGTATAACTATAATCTTAATCTTCTGAATGAATGAGATGTAAAGAGAGGTACAGCGCGAGCGCACAAATAGAACAAGGTCTCTCTGTGACAGAGATATGAAAAGGCGGAGTGGACGATCATGAACAGGATGGAACGCAGCTAAGAGCTATCAAAAAATGACGATGTGTCAAAACGCGTGACGCGGGGGACCGGCTTTATTCTAAAAAGTTATGGTGTTCGAAGCAAAGAAGATCCTCATCTTTCAACAACCGTTGTTCAGCATGATAACTAGGTATTTGGAATGCGAATTTTCGCATGAAGATCTTCTCTTTTGTTGGCAAGCAACTCCAGATCCGACTATCTTGCTTTGTTCGTGCTGTTTTTTCTCAAAAATAACTCAAGTTTTTCGCCTACCATGATTGTTTCGCTCATTCTCCGCGCTTTCAGCAAGACTACGGGGCACTAGGTTTTCTGAATTTAAGGATGCGGGTAGTGCCCGGCAAAATCGGGCTGCTTGCCGCAGCGAGCATAGCAACTGCGTCTGCAGCATCCACATCCACGAAGAGAGCGGGAATCAAGGGAAATGCAATCAGTGGCGTAATTAAGACGTTGAAGACGCTCCTGAAGAACTCAGAGAAGGACAGCAAAGAGAAGGCGGACCTGTATGACAAAACAGCCTGCGACTGCCGCGACGACATGCGCACCTACACGGAGCAATTTGAAATGGCACAGAAGGAAATAGACAGGCTCGACGCCATTGAGGAAGAGCTCACGGCAAAAAAGGACGCTTTGGTAAAGAGGATTGCCAAATACAAGACCAGTAAATCCGATTTAGAAGCGTCCATCCAGGCGGAATTCACAGAGAAGTTAAACAGCGAGGGCGAGAAGGCTGTGAATTTTGCAGAGGAGACAACTACAGAGCAAGACGCAGCCATCGAAGAACTGAAGAGCATTAACCAGCCCTACTTGAAGGAGGAAATCAGTAAGCACATGCTCGCGAGATCTTTACTTTTATGGATGTGAAACAAAAACGAATTCTGCTTATTTGGAATCCCACTTTTTCGCTTCCTAGCACTACCGCTGCTTGTCGTCTGTGTGTAGAAAAATATGCGTGCAGGAATCATTTTTAAAAGTGGCTCGGATAAACGGAACAAGGATTGATAGTGATACAACAAACAAAAACCACCAGGTGGTGACACCACCCTTCTGGACACCACTAAGCAGGAATGCGAGGAGCGCGTCCGCAAGCTGGATGCCATATGAAAGCCTCAGGTTGGAAATCCTCAAAGTGAAAATAATTTGTAATGCAAAAAAACGACTCCAGTTGGAGCGCCATTTATAGTCGGCGCATGACAAATTTCCCGGGCACTTAAAGCGTGTCTGTCATGCAGCTTAAGGCAAGGGGGGGCCCTTCTGTCGTGCTAAGCAGCACTCCAATTCTTGACCCCTAGCAGGACAATAGTCAGCCTCCATTGCGTTCTCGGCAATACAGTCTATTTTGCGTCGCATTTCATGCATCACAAATCATTTCCACTTTGAGGATTTCCATTCTGAGGCTTTCATATGCCATGATGGCGGCGTGCGACAAGGTTCTGACCCTGATGCAGGACTCGTATCAAATGCAAAAATGTCTGGGTCTGGAGATACAAACTTGTAATGCGCATTACAGAGCACAAAAAAATCTCTCATGCAAAGGCAGCAAAAGTTTCCACTTTCTGTCACCAAAAGGGGTGATTTGTCATGCGGATTCGGCATTGTGAACGCTTGTCGAAACCTGTGATGCTAGAGCCTCCATGCCAGCCCTTCTTTGTCATGCAAAAACAGCATGACTCTTCCAGACCCAGACATTTTTGCATTTGATAACTCGAGCAGCAAAGCCGTCGTTACCATGGTGACGAAGCTGCGAAAGCACGCTTTCGACAGGAAAACCGAGATTCAGCAGGGCGAGGATGAATGTCAGGCGAAGATCCACGACTTGGAGGAGGCAATTTCTTCCAACCAGGGCTTTTTAGATATGGCGTTCTCAACTGTTACATTCTCAACTGTTACATGAGTTTGCGATGCAAGAATGAATGGCAAAAGTGATAGGGGGAATCTTGCGCGTCTTGCATGACAGACTTGGCACCGATTATCAGCCTGTTTGGCCCTCTGATAATTTGTCAGGCGTAGCAGCTTGATGCTGTCGATTCTGAAGGCAATTTTGCATGACAAATCGTGTAACAGTTGAGAATGTAACGTTTGAGAGCGCCATATTAGATCTTTCCATCGCCGCTTCCGAGAAGCTCGAGGCCGAGTTGTCGGACACCAAGGGAAAGTTGGGGGAGACGCAGTCCGCCCTGGTGGACGAGAAGGAAATTCGCACAACCGCCAAGAAGGGCGTGGCCGAGACGACCGAAACGTGCCAAAAAGCCGCGGTCGCGTACGACGCGAGCACAAAGCTGTTGACCGCCGAGATCTCCGGGTTGACCGGCGCTATTGCAGCGTTGCAGAAGGTCCCGGCGCCGGCCGGCGAGAGTTTCTTGCAGCTGGGCTCGGACGACAAGGAGTTGCGTCAGCGGGTTGCCAACGTCCTGAAGAGCATCGCCTCGTCCGCCGCGGTTTTGCACAGTACTATTGTTTTTTTTACCTGGCTCGCCAGATAGTTTTAAGACTATCGAAGAAGCTTGTACTCGCCTTGTTTTTGTTTACCAGTGCAGTTGTGACGCGACGATTTAGAACGCGCATAAATAAACCAGCTATATGTGATGAAAACTCTCCGTAGAAGAGCCGTAGACCCGCTGTCGGAGATCGGTGGAGCTAGTTTGGCCTTCTGGCATGGGTTCATTTGCGCTATGTTTTGGAATTGCAAAATCATAGCCAATCATTCAAATATCATCAGGCTCTCGCCTTTCCTCCGTCGCTCTGCAGATGAACTTGCAGGTTTCCAAGCCGGACTACTTTAAATCCGTTCGGAACCTGATCGAGACCATGGTTACCCGGCTGGAAGACGAACAGGACGCGGAGACCTCGAAGTCCGACTGGTGCGCGCAGAGCCTGCAGAAGATGAAGGGCGCCTCTGACGATGCCGACACGGACCACCAGGCCGCGGTCACGCTGGTCAAGGACACCGAAGCCTTGCTGGTCAAGCTCAACACCGAATTCAACGAGGAGACGACAGAAAAAGAGACGCTCGAGACCGACCTCGCAGCCTTAGAGAAGCTCATGGGTGAGAAGGACAGCTACTACAAGGATCTCTTGGAAGAAAAGGTTTCCGGGGAAGCTGCTTTGCAGGAGGCCATCGGGTTCCTGAAGGAAATCTACGGCGAGAGCGCGACCGGCGACTTCAGCAGTCAGCGCACCACGTCCGGCGGATCCGTGATCGACCTGCTCACCGGGATCGAGTCGGACTACTCCTGGGCCGCGGATCAGGCCAAGATGGAGGTAGAAGAGAGTTTAAAATTAGATTTTCGAAACTGGGACGTTGATTCGTAGTTTTGAGTTAATGTATAGAAGAAAAATGTGGGAGGCGATTTGGTGTTTGCATTTGGAGCTGCAGGAATTATGCTAATTCAACTCCGCGCAATGCACAGAGAATGAAAATAAACAGTCTGGCTGCGTCGCGGAGGACAGCTTCGAGACCCGGAAGGGCGAGAACATCGGGTGCGACGGTGTGATTGTGGACGGTGACAAAAACTACGAGTCTGAGCAGTACAAGAACCAGGAGCGCAAGGAAACCATGGAAAAGGACATCGCGGAGTGCGAGAAGGAGATCGAGCGGTTGACCGGCGAGATTGACACCGAGAAGGTCAACCTGGAGAAGTACCAGGAGCAGCAGTCAACCAAGAAGGGTGCGCTCGAGACCGCCAAGGAAATTTTAAAGGCCCGGCAAGAGGCCTGCGTCAACGCCGGAGACCAGTTCGAAGCCCGCAAAAAGCGCCGCGAGGAGGAGATTGCGTCGTTGAAGGATGCCCTGCAGATTCTGGAGACCCACTCCAAAGACGCAGAGGAGAACGACATGGGCACGCTCAGCGGCTTCTTGCAGACGCGCAAAGCGAAGTAAAGAAAGTTAGATGCTGTTTAAAGGTTTCACGCGGACCACTCGTAGTCCGGCCCCAGAGCCACGTTCCGGATTTTGGTCAATGTATGATGCTTGCAGCAGCGGGGTGAAGATATTTTATAAAGAAAAAACAAATGAAAAGAGAGTACAGCCAGACCGGGAATAACTTGGACAAAATAGACTTCAGTATATCAAATCCTTCCATATCAAAGCAACTTTTCGTTTTTTAAATATGTGTGTTTGTGTGCGACGCGAGTTTCTGTTACTCTTACTGTTTCTTTTTTGTTACTGTTTTTGCACTTGGTACAACTTCTATCCTTACTAAATCCTTACATATCAAAGCAAGTTTCTGTCCAATTATATGATTTCCTGTCTGGTGCGCACTGAGTTTGTTAGCATGTTGACTGCATGATTGTACAAATAGAAACAACATCGAGACCACGATTGGTGAATGGGCAAAGACAGGAAGGGGCTTTATGGAGCGAGTCCTGCGCACATTAAGTACAGCTTGAAAATGAATCTATGACGCAACCGGGAGCTGCTAAGAGAGAGGGACAGGGAGTCAGACAGCTGCAAAATGCACTCGGATGCCTGTTCACAGACTGTCAGCAAATGTTCCGTGGAGCATTGAAGTCATACCGCTGTCTTTACTGCAGTCCTGATCGCGAAATTCTGCAACGAGCGACCTGCATTCAAGATAGAAGAAGACTAAAAACTCTTCGATTTCTGCGGATACTTTTCATCCACCCCTCGGACATCGCGCAACAGGTGCTGCTGGCAGCTGTCCGGCGGTCTGGTTGAGACAAGCCTATATTGCGTATGTAGATGGAGTCAAAAACAAAATCGGCTATTCGCATGATCTCACTGCAAGGAAGCTTAGGAGCAGAGCCCATGATCAGGAAAAATAAAATGATCCGATCAGAATAAAATAATTTGGAATTGTTGCGTAAATTTTTGTTGACAGCGACGAAGAGAAAGATCTAGCTCTGGAGTACGTAAAAATGTTAATGCTGAAGAATTAGTTGTTGAGCACGGATACGGAACGCGGTGGATTCGGTTGTTCTACTACTACGATCTACGCTCTTGGTAAAACACAGATCTTTGTGTCGGTGTCTGTTTCTCAATGACATAACAAACCACGTCCATACTGCCGCCATATCTATCCTCGTATCTTCATTTGTTCTCCGCAGGCATTTTTATGATTGTTTTCAGTGTTTCCTCTACAGCATTGGAGTTTGCCAAGAGTGTTTGACTTTATTTTAAGCTGATTTTTGTTTTTCTCATTTTTAAAAGCAGATCGCGAGCCTGAATCTGCGTCGGATAGAAGTATTGTCTGTTGTAGAAATTTGGACAACATGATAAAGTCGAAAGGCGCAAAAGAATTCTTTCACAAATAAGTAAGTAGTTGAAGATGGTCCTTGTTATCGTCGGTGTATCATTTTCAACTCCAGCTCTTTCCAGCTGGAGCTGCTCTTGGAGTTAAGCTTCCGAGGACCGGCGGCCTATCTGGCGAGCTACGTGCAGGCACGCGCGATGATCTCCTTTCGCGGCACTCTTTTTGCCACGCTGGTCATTTTGCGTGTCGGATTTGTTGACTCCGAGGATGCAGCATTACCAGAGCAGGTTACTCCAGGTCGGCAGTTTTTAGCGTCGTCAACCAAAAGAAATGAAAACGGAACAGAGCCGACGCCGAGCAGTACGGGTGCGCATGACTCAACAGATCAACTTTCCAGTTCAACGGCAGCACCACCAGATGCGACCTCCAACGCTCCAGCTGTGGATCATGAAAGTAGCTGGCCGATTCCCCCGTCGACTGTGAGTGTAGGTGATGAAAGAGAAGAAACAGGTATCAAGGAGGATGCTGGAGCAAAGAGTGTAATAGAACAAGAGCGGTCCACCTCGGGTGCGAGGCATGCAGAAGATGAGACGACGAACTTCTCGAAGGATGGGGATTATCATGCATCGTCGACGAGCTCCTCTTCTTCAACCTCCTCGAGAAGTCAAGACAAGCACGACGAGATTTCGCAGTCATCGAAAACTGACGAAAAGCCACCAGTTCTTCTGTTGCAAGAGAATTCACAGAGCACTAACCACAGTACTAGCAAGCCGACAGGAGAAACAGCGGAAGTCGTTGTACCGCCTGCTTCGACATCAAACACGGCGTCAACAACACCTGCGGCTAGTAGTGCAACCCCTGTCGGCCCTTCTACCACGCGCACGCCCGCTGTCGTGCAACCCGGAACGGCTGTCCACACCCGCGAACTCCGTCCGAGTCAACAGGACGCGACAGCAAAAGGTCCGCTTGGCTATGCTTCTTCAAAACCCGCGTCTAAAAGTGGCGATGCGGGTGCGCCGACAGAAAAAAAAGTGAAAATTATGGTTGAGCAAGAGTCCTCTCCGGGAACCCCGGATGGCGGAGATAACACCGCAAGGAGCGGTGGCAGTACGCCCGTTTCGTCCCACGCCGCGCCGACTAGTTCATCAGCTTCAACAGCCTCACAGCACCACAAAGGAGTAAAGGTGGCGAAAAAAGCCGACCCGATGAAGGAGGTTGTTGCAGTACAGACGAAGGATGGGAAGATCGTGCACCTGAATCAGAACCAAGCGGTAATCAACAGTGACGGCACGGAGCAGCAGTTGGTCCTCGAGACGAAGAAAACACACATTGAAGTCGTGCAGACCTCCTCTGGGATCTTTGTCCAAATGTTGCTGGAGAGGCTCGGTCTGGTCATAAATATCGCGTGCCAGCTCGCGCCGATGCAGCGAATGCTCCAGGTGAAGAGAGACGGCACAGTGCTGACGCTTTCCCCGACACCCTTCACATCTGCAATGAGCTGTAATTCCCTTTGGCTGCTGTACACCATCCTGATTTTCGAGCCGATTCTGATCCTGTCCAACACCTCCGGTCTGTCGTTTAACAGCTTCTACGTCTTCACCTTCTACAAGAATTGTCAGAAGGATTTGGAAAAGCGGGCGCTCTTTAACCAGCAATTGCAGATCATAGGATTGCTGTTCGTCCTGGGGCTCATCAGCGCTTTCTTCTTCAGCATCGAATCACTGGCCAGCCTGGCATCGGCGGTTATGCTCGTTTTGGTATAGTGTTTTTCGATAAAGATGCGCTTTGAGTTCATTGTAGAATTGCCGCGTTGAAATTTCAACAACAACGTGAGTCCTGCGCTCGTAATTGAATTGTTTTTCATATGATGCGCCGTAGAGTTCTAGTTCTTCTTCCTCTTCCTTTTCCTGTAGTTCGATGTCAATAGGCATTCAAATAAACTGAACGCGACCAGGTGTGCTCCCCGGCTCTGCACTTTCCCAACGTGTACTTTTCCCGGGACGTCGGCCCTCTCGGCGCTCCGGAGATGGCGATCGCAGGTCTCGCCGGTTGCATCATTTGGACGATCGTCGGGTACTTTTTCTACGACAACACGGCGGTCTGGCTCCCACACCTGCTCGGCGTTTTCGTCGCTACCGGCAGCTGCATTTTGTTTGCCACCGTCGGGAAGGCAAAGGTCAAGCGCCGCTGGCGCAAATGGTTGCGGGAAGATTACCCGGGGAAGGCGTCCGCTGTGGACGACGATGACGATTTTTCGGCTGGGGGCACAAAAACTCCGATCGGACGCGCTGGCAAGAGCAACAAAGTAAACCCCGAAGTAACCACGACTGCGGGAATATCGAACCTGCACCCGACTAGCTCCACCCACGGAGGCCGATCCCGCGCCGGGATCAAATCTGGGGAGACCCGGGACAGCGTCAGCAGTGTTGCAAGCTGGGAAAGCGGCGACAGCCAGCTGTCCTTAGGTGGACGTGTGTAGAGGCTGGAGCAAGCTCCTGTGTTGGTTTTGAGAGAGTGGCCGGTTGCGGTGGTGTGGTTTTTTTTTTGTTCGCGACCATGACTGGAGGCGTCACGCCAGCCACAGAAATTTCAAAGCGACCTGTATTCCATTTTTCTTTCTCGTGCTCGTACCCCTACCCTCTTCATCACCCCTGTAACTTACAACTTTTTACTGCGAAATTATGACCCAGGACGGCGACGCGTCAAGTGTTTTGACTTTAATGAAGCTCGACGAAGATAGATCTTAAGTAGTTTCGACCACGATTTACATTCACATGCCGTTCTCTGCTACTACTAAAGTAGATGATCCGAAGATCGACTTCCATCATCACCACAAGGTGATCGGAACTATAAAAGAGACGGCACAATAAAAATAAAAATGAAAAATCGCAATCCTAGAACCCATGGTATTCGTGGTTTTGGAGAAGTCGTAATGCATGTATATGCGAGTTGAGCGCGTGCTGCATCTTCTCACTCACAGCACAAGGCACACGCAGAAGCTGAACATCGACGCGACACGCTAACAAGAAGGCTGCTCACACCCACATGATGTGGCAGATATGGATATCAAGTACCCACCCCAAAAGTAAATATCTCGATCTATCGACATCATCGCAATAGCATGACCTCGACCGCAAAAGTACTCGAAAGTAACTATCTCGAGCCAATCACATTCACGATCGCAGGTGACCGTGCATCTGCAGATGAGGATCAATAAAGATAAACCTGGTTTTGTTCTTTCCTCGTGAGGCTCTAACAAACTCTATTCTGGTGCTCTATCTTCGAAGGTCTCACTGTAAAACATCACAATTTCGGCTGTATTACGATCAGCAAAAATAGCAGCGCCAGTATCTGGTGTGCAATTTGCAAGAGCGGCACTACATCAACCCATCAGATCCTTCGAAGTATTCTTCTGGTGCTAGTTTGCTGTAGTGATTCATCAGCATTCGTTCAGCATTTCGATCCCTTCGTGTTAGTTACGTTTTCGAAGACGACAAACGATCATATTGAAGACGAAACAGGAGCTAGCGTACCAAGATCCGGCCTTTTTCTTAGCTGCGGAAGGTAAAAAGTAAAGATCCATTGCTGGTTCGTGGTCAGCATGTTGTATGTTAACTTGATGAGGTCAACTCTATCTGTATATAATGTGTGTAGTCGAAGATGAGAAAGAGGATCTAGTATGTTCATGTTGTTAAGATTGAGATTGGGATGCTGCACAAAAATAGACATCAAGGAAAAACAGATTTGAGCCATTCCTATTAATACCCCTGTTTTTCCTCCCGTTCCAGTTAGCTTTTTCATTTGATATGTGTTGTTGCGGAACCCCATAACTAAAATCTCACTCTTGTGAACCCTTTACTGGGTAACAGTATCATCGTCACACGTCGTGATGACGGTGCGGTGGCGCTTTTCTTTTCACCTAACTTCTTATCCGTAAAATTCTTTCATCACTACTATAGTTTTTCTATCTTCGTTTTCTTTTGAAAATGAAATTTTTTCTTGTATTCGGAGCCGCGACAAGAGGCGGAGTAGCCGCGGCAGGAGTTTATCCCTCTACCGCTTCGCACACGAGCGGGGAAGACCCGCGTGCTACTTCGACGTATGCGGGCTCAATGGAGCGTAGCACTGGTGCCGCGTTCGTTGACGAAACGGAACGAATCGGCACTGGACTATTGGACACCCCGTTGCCTCTGTCGGATGAAGTGGAAAATGCAGCGTCGCGAACATATCGGACCGCCACTGAAAGCGCGGAACAACAAGATGAAGCACAGCGAGGACTTGAGCACGATTACGCGCCTCCGCCTGTCGTGTCGCAAGACCAAGAAGCTGCTAGTGAGGTGGACCTCTCTAGTACTTCTGGGCCGGCGAAAAATGAAACCGATCTTCAGGAAGAGGATCGTGAAGTCGAAGGAGCGAGGTATGGTGGCTCGAGTGGGAGTGCAGGGGGAAGTGGAGGAGCAGGGAGCGCAGCTGAAGATGCGACGTCTTTGCGTGGAGGTGTTGTTGATCCGGCTGTAGTTAACGAAAACTCCTCCACCACGACTTCCTCAAGTGGCCAGATGCGTGACGTGCCTGACCCCATCGCGGAACGCTTGCGAGAGTTGGTACTACATGCCAGAAACACAACTTCATCGCTTACGGGGGGCGGGCCTTCGGGTGCAAGTGCGGAAACCGATGCCGCGTTCTATTTGCAACATTATCCTGGACCACTTGGAGAAGAAGGTCAACTTTCGACTCCTGCCATGGCCGTAAAAAGCCAGGAAGAGACGACGCTCTACTCCGCGTCCGGACCAGCATACACGTATTCTGGGGAAGCTGCCTCGGATGGAGCGTTGCCGGAACTACGACCGATGCTCATTCACGCAGCGGCGCACGGTGCTGCAGCTGAGCAAGTCGTGCGACTGCAAGAAGAGGTTTCTGGCTTGACGAGGAATGAAGCCGGGCGCTCTAATTCTATTTCCGGTGGTGCAGTGCACGAGCATGTGCTACTTTCCACTCCAGCAATTCCGATCACGAGCAAAGCAGGAACAGTCGAGCAAGATGTTCATGTTGCGACACGACCTGCAGATGCAGGCCCGCGAGTTGCGTCTCTTGAAGATGTGGCAGGCAGAGGTTTGGGCATACGGAGAGTGCCACATGCGAACTCTGTTCCACGGAGTTGCGAATCCGGAGAACGTGAGCAAACGTGGACCTCCGGTGGCATCGAGGAGGGGCACGACGATGACCAACACCGAGACCGACGGAAAGGATCTATTTTACAGTCTATGACGCTCAGGGAGCAGTGCGAAGATCCAGCTGAATTGCGTCACGTGGATAGTTTGAGAGATCCATCCACTTCGGCCGGCGGGGACACGACGGGCTCAAGCTTTCGGCGCCGACGCGAAGAACTCGAGGAGGAGGACAACGACCAAGTGTTTCATGGGCAGGAGGACGGCGGGGTGGTGGAGGAGGATGTAGAAGGAGCAACCACGACACAAGAATCTGCGGCCTCTACTGCAGAAGTATCGCCACAGGTTGAGGGTGAAAATCCCGATCCCGTGATGAACAGGAATGCGGCGCCTCTAGAATACGATTTGCATGAGCTGCACGATGGACATGATGGTGCCCCGTATAACTATGACGAACACCAACATCACCGATACAGCGTCGGCGGGTGGATAGACAGGTTTTGGACGTTTCTCATAAGCCCGGACGCATCTCAAGGACAGACACAGGTGTACGAGCAGGTGCTTCCCGATGAAGTAGGAGTGCAATCGGCGCCGTTTCATTTTGGCCGTCGACAGGGAGCACAGCGTCACCGGCGGACCACTCGCGGCGTTGACTTGGAAACTGGGACTGATGGTTTTCTTGCAGATGAGCAACAACCTCGAGACGCTCGGGCTGTCGCCCCCCGAGGCATGCCCACCACCCCTGACCGAGAAGCTTCTCGGCTTCGTGTTTCTCCAGAACAGACTCCTGAGCAAGTAGATCCACCGAGGTCATCACCGTTTCTATCACGAGGACAAGTAAGTCAGGACGACGACAATCCTCGGCCGCAGCCGACGAGACGAGGCAATTCACGACCGATACCGGGTACAAGAATGATGGATGATTCCGCACGCGTCGCCGCGGGAAGTTCATCTTCCGCTTCGCAGGAGCTACACTCACCTGCGCTGGCAGACCACGAGGGGAACGTGGAGACTGCTCTTTTGGACCTCCGGCACATGAGCCGCCCTGGTGGCAGTGGTGCTAGTAGTGCAGCTACGCCTCCTCGCGAAGGTGACGATGAAAGTATGTTGGCTTTTGAGCAGATGCAGAATGGGGAGCGACGCGCAATACTCGACGCCGTGTATTATAACTCAAGTATGCTGCAGCTGCACGATGGCGAGGACGCGCCACTACAGCCACCCCTACCCGAAGCACGCTCCCTGGCTGGAACAAGCCCGGGCAACAATCGCGAACACACAACCTGCCTGAGTGCGACGAAGAAATGCGGCCTCGTTTCCCTTGGTTTTGCAAACCTTGCCTTGGTCCTGGGCATTCTGTTTTCAAACCAGTTACCAGCTACTCCAGCGGACAAGGTCGGACAGGTTGTTCCGTACCAAGACCGCAACAACTCGGAGAATCGAAGCGAGAGCATGCAAACAACAGGAAGCGGAAGCGAGTTATCAGGAGATGGTCCTCGTGGCCCTGGGAGTCGTCGTGGTCCGCGAGGACGTCGTCCGGCGGCCCACCAAGCACCAGCGGGACTAGACGAGAAATCGTCTCCGATATGGACGGTGTTTTACAGCAGTTTAGCGCTAGACGTTCCCGGCTCGCCGCCTTCTTCCAACGACATCCGGCACCCGCAGGAAGCCCGGTACCGTGCGTTCTGGAAGGAACTCTTCCCCATCTCTGATTTGCAGTCCTTTTTTGCGACAGTGGCGGCGCGGAGCATGCAGAGGCGCGTCCGGCTCGAGAATTCGGACGAGGAATCTTCCGCTCGTAGTGGCGGAGACGGATTTGAAGAAAGCGGTCGACGCGATGCGGCAAGGACGTTACGTAGCCCCACATTTCCCACAACCAAAATACCCAGTCGTGTAGGGAAGGACCGCGCAGAGAACGCCGCCTCCTCGGCCGGACACGATCAGCTTGGGGCAGGAGAAGAAATGTCGGTTAGGAGACTTCTGCGGACTTCTCCAGCCGCGCAGCGCCGGCCGCAGCAGCTCCCACCCGAAAGTGACCACTTTGACACTGAGCTTACGGCTTCGGTGAATTTCAACGAAGTGATGCATAAGAACTCTTCCGAAGTCTCATCTAGTGTGAAGCCTGATGCTCCTGCGTCGTCCACCACCACTTCTTCGCCATCATCTAGCAGTACTTCAACGCGCGCGCGCCGCGCCGCTGCTTCTACTTCTAGCACAACTCTCGCTTCGACTCCCAATCGCCCGGGGACCACCTCTGTCGCAACACCTTCGGGAGACGAGCAAGGGGCCTCTGCTGAGTGGTACGCAAAAATGCGAAAGCGGGCGCATGAGGTCTGGGATCAGGAGCGCATCGACGCGTACCGCGAAGCCAGCGAGGCACCGTACCTGCACTTTCTGGATTCCGTACCGTGGCGGCAGCAGCAGTGCGGCCCCTTTCCGCCGCTACCGGAAACCGATTGGACGGCGGAGCTGCGACCTTTGTGGCTGGAGAAGGTGAGGACGGCGTGGTCGGTGTTGGACCAAATCCAGTTCGGCGAAGAAGATGTGGACTGGTGGATTCGGGACCCGGACAACTTGAAGCGGAAGGTGCAAGTCCACCTGAAGCCGGCGAAGATGGGGAAGGGGATGCATGGGGTGTTTCCGCCCGGCACCGTGTCGCCGCTGCCCGAGAACCAGCGGATTGCCGACATGGAGCGCCGACGGTACTACGACGAAGCGGAAAGGTTTAGATTAACGGTTCAAGCGCAGCAGCGCAGGCGGGAAGATCTGCGGGCACTCGCGGAGGGGCTTCACAATGAGGTGGACGCGATTGAAGATGTCGGAACAAGCGGAGATTCTCGTGGCAGTAGCAAGAAGGACCAGCATGGGGAGGAAGGCATGAAGAGCGAGGAACTTCCTCGAGAGCACCGGGACCGAACGGTGCGGAATCAATCGCGGCAGTGGAGTGAAGAAGATGCCAGGCAAAGGATAACATCAACAGCATCACCAGGAGTAGGCAATGATGCCGGTAATCCGAATTATCATTTGACTGGCGAGGAGAACAAAAGTGGGAGCAACAAGGTCGACGCGGCCCAACATCTAGAGCAAAGCGATAAAGAGATGGTCGACAGCGCAAGGGAGTTGCAGAAACGCGAGATCCGCCAGACCGAGGAGAGATTTTTCGACAGGCTCTTCAGCAGCAGCATTTTTCGCGACGCCGGCGGTCATTCCGAAGATGAACGTCGGAAGCTTGTTTCGTCCACGTCTAGAGAAGATGGTGATGGAGCTAGTAGCGCTCCAGAGCCAAGAATTGTGGGTGTGCGCAAAGTCGTAAACCGGGGAAACGGGGGGCGATCGTTGTTGGACTGGACTCTGCGACGAGGCCTGCTGTTGGACAGAAAGAGCATTCGGCAGAGTTCCAACTTGCCGTCGAGGCCCCTCGAAGATTGTGTTTTGGGGCATGAAAAAAATGAATCCCATCAGCATACATCACCCAAACCTGATCTCGTTCTATCGTTTCTCGGGACGAATTTCGGGGCGGACCGAGTTTTGCTCCGTCTCGCGCAGGATGGCAAGACACCGTCACAAGTGTGGAACCAGTCGACGCCTTCCTTTCTCGACGTATGGGACGAGGCGGCGGAAGGTTGTGAATCTGCTCGGCGGACAGAAGCGAGAGCTGCAGATGACGCCAACTCGAGCAAGCTGCGGATGCAGATCGAAGCTGAAAGAGCGACGCCGCTGCTGAAATTGGCGAAGGAGGGGCCGTCGCCGCCGCGTGCGTCGGAGAGTCCTACGAAAAGCGAGGAGGTACTTCAAGAGCGCTCGCGGCAAAATTGCGTGAAAAATCTGAAAGACGAAGTTGCGCGGGAGGTCAGCGGCTTGTATCCACTGCTTGTGTCAGAGCTGACGAGAGCGTTTCTTTACGATTCCAAAGCTGCAGTAGCCCTGTTCGCGTGGGAGCTACAACAAGCGCAGCAGATGGTGGCCACGCTGATGATCGCCGAGAGGGAGGCGAAGTTGGGACCTTTTCTTGTGGAGAGTCCTCCAGTGCCAACGCTGCAGGATTTAAAGATTTGGAAAGTGGATTTGACGGGCTTCGTGCTTACCCAACAGAGAAACTACATTCAACGAGCTGGCACGGCTAGTTGGATGCAGAGGATGGCGAAGCAGCGAGTCTTCCCTGATCCGGAACAAGAGGGCTCACTAGAAGCAGATCGTGATACCGAGGGTTCCTCGCACGGACAGGACAAGATGATGGAAGTGGCCAGCTACTTCAGCCTGCCGGTGTACTTGGAGCCGCGACAAGCGTTTGAGGAGGCGGCGGCGGTTCTCGGTTTGATTCCACGCCCAAATCAGTCACAGAACATTTTCATTGGGACGCGCAGCATGGAAGTAGTCGGAGCGCACGGGGGGCTGCAAGTGGTGCCAGATTTTTCACCGGAAGACGATGAAGATGAGGAGTTGAAAGAAGAAACGGGTGGTGCGGGATCATCTGAATCCAACCTGGTATCTGGAATCTCAAAGTGGAAAAGGAGCGAGCAAGAGCTGAGAAAGAACCCGAAAACTTCTTTGGTGGACCAGCTTTTCTTCAGTAAAAAGATGAGCCGCAGGATATTCGATAAGACGCACTACAAACAGGCGTTGCGGGACCAGCAGGACCTAAGAGACGAGGAATCTGATTGGGTGGATGATTCCGAGACTCGTACTTCTGCTGCACCCGACACAACCACAAGGAGCTACCGGACCACATCCGACTACAAAAAAGCCATCGAGGCGGCTGAAAAATCCCAGCTGCTCGCGTTTGCGATCGAAGTTTCGTTTTACGCGGACACGTGGTGGTGCGATCCAACGGAGCGACAGATGCTGCACACCCACACTTTTGCAGTTGTTAAGAAGCCGCGGAACAAAAAGATCAAACCGGAACAGGAAAGAACTTCTGCAGCCGCAGCTGGAGATGAGGACTCGAAGAACGAGGACGGGCTTGATCTTGGTGGCACCGGAGACGAGGCGGGGTGGAGCGGTCCGCCCGGGATGATGATGAATACAACCAGCACGACCACTTCGCTCGTTCCCGAAAGCCCCGAGGCTGCTGAATTTCTGATCTTTCATGCCGCTGATTTTGATATGATGCGCACGAGTTTTGGAGAAGAGGGTGGAAAAGCGTCATTTCGGGCGAGTAGAGATGATGAACAGAATCCGGATCAAGGCCAAGATCAGCTGCAGCACCATGATGAGCACTGCGTTAATCATGCAACAGCCTCTGGCGCAAGGCTGGGGAGTAGTTCTTCTTCGACGCACCACGAGGGTGAAAAGCGCGAAAGAAATGAGGGTATCCCCCGCTACTTTTTGCAGCAAGAGTTGTTCCGGGTGAAGCAGAAACCGCAATTCCGCCTGGTGTCTAAAGCGGTGTTGGAACAGTTGCTGGATCCGGAGATGCTGATCTACATTGACGAAGACCTCGACGAGTTCGAGTACAACCTCACCACCGGTGAAATGAAGTTCGAAGGGGCTAAAAGGGCGCCGTTGCGAGCGCAAGAAGAGAAGAGCCCGCTTCTTGAAATGCAGCCCAGTCTCGGCATGCTGCGGGACTTCGAAACAGAACAGCTCTGCATGTACAAGCTCAATTCTTTATCGTTGCAGAATCTGCCGCTGAAGCCGCATCAAGGAACCGGGATTAGTGAAGATGTTGCGCCGGCACCGTCTATTCAACAGCAACAAATTTTTGGTGGCACCAGCAATCTAGAAGCGGCAAACCCTCTGGACGTTTGCGCGGAAGCGCAGGGAGATTTAAACCGATGGAAAGAACTCTGGAACGATTTCGTGTTTCACGGACTGCTGCCGGAATCCACATTAGCGAAGCCTGGCTTCGGGATTCCCGTTCTTCGCAGCATCTATCAGCTCGATGGAACGAATCCACGGCCGGACCTCTTTGAGGATTCACTGTAAGCTGTCGCCTGGAGGAGTGAGGAGGAGGAGGACCTGGGCGACACTTGCTCCGGGCAGCACACATCTAGTGCTCTACCCTAGGAGCTGCAGCACCAGTACTCTACCGAAGATGACACTTCGCTATCATCTGTGTGTATCGCCGTAGGTCTCGTTTTTGACTCAGCGCAGTGATCTATTTTTGGCTGCGCGGAGCGGGAGCGGGGGCAACCCTCGTTGATTTTGACAATTTTAGATATGAGGTCGACCTCATGCTCATCTTCATGTTGAAATGAAAAGTCATAAGTCAACATCATGCAGCATTTTCCAAGAATTTGCTATTCCATTTTTTTTTCGGGAGCTAAAAGGGAGCTTCGGACTCAACATAGCAATAGCTTGTGCACAGGCACAGGATAAGATTCGTTCCTTCAATCATTGGACGAATATTTAGCACTACACGCCGCCTCTCGCACAGGAAGGAGCTTGCATTTTTCATATAAGAAACCGGCACCGAAGGAGCCAAAGAGCTTCTCATTTCAACTTCTAGAGCCGAATTGTTGCTGATGGTCATGTTCATGTACAAGTAGACCCGGGCTAGGGCGATGAAGATGCATATACAACGCAGGATGTGCAGTTTCTCATGTTATACATAGGTGGAGATAGTTCGTTGCTGAGTTTGACAAAAATGACGTCGACGATGTAACGATGACAAAGTGAATGACGTCAAGCTTGCAGCAGCTGGAGTAGGCTCCTTCTACTCAGCATCAGCTAGTAGCTTGTTCAACTTCAACGTAGTTTCAGTTTGTTATGATCTCTAAAAACTAAAACATAAACATTTTTCTGTACGTTGAAAACAAAGAAAAAGACTGCGCAAATACAAATTGTCCATGTACATTTCAGGCTTAATCTAAATGGTGTCGTGTACTTCGTGGACATGATGTAAGTAAGTACATAATTTTCGTGCAGTAGGTACCAGTCGACGTAGTCGTTGCTGCCTTCTCGTCATCTGTTTGCTTCTGAAGATTTCGGGAGCAGGTATGTTGACAGTGAGTTCATTATCATTTTGATTCGTCCTTTCGCTACAATACATTTCTCTTCTGCTAGTCTGTGCCTCCCATTCTGTCTGCACGGAGCATATATTTATTCCATTTCTTTGTGAAGATATGTGTTTGATGATGCATCCGGTTTATTGTTCCAAAATGGAGAAGATCTTCCCCGCCAGAGGACTTCCTTTGTTGGCGCTCTTTGCAACTTGCGCCAGCTGGGTCTTGTCGTATTCGATGACGGCTGCAAATGCGCTGAAATTGAATTCGGCTCCTCCGTCGCGATTTGATTTCGCTGCGAGGGACGATCAGCGTCAGCAAAGACCAGGTGGGCCGTTAGGGGATGGTTCTGAGCACATCGGACAACTCCAACTGCCCCTGCTTGAGCGAGTAGCGCGAGAAGAAAGGGACACAAGTTCAGGCGTTGTCGATCGCATGGCAATGAGGACACAGCAGGCGGAGGAGCCAGAGCCGGAAGCAGATGAAGCATCTGCGGCAGGCGGTGCATTCGTAGGAGCGGTACTTCGTAGTGCATTCGCAGGCGGTGCATTCGCAGGCGGTGCATTCGTAGCGGAATCTTCACTACAACCAGTTGTCGCTAGTACAACTCCAGCGGGTCGTCCTGGTGCTGGTTCTTCTTTGACTGGTGAAGAGCGACAGAGTGCGGGTATTAGACAAGTTGCGGAGGGCGGGGGACCGACGTCGCGGCTACGGCGAGGCAGCAGTTCGACCGCGACCTCCGGGAGGGACATAGGAGGCAGTAGCAGAGGCCGAGTGCAGAGAGGAAGCAAGCGCAGTAATGTAACTCCTACACCCAGCACTGCCACTGGTTCCATTGGAGTTGCCGGCGTACTAGCAGCTGCTGTAGCGGAGGGAGACCACGTTGTGGAAAGAGGCCCGCAGATACAGTGCGACGGCACAGTTGTACTAAGTGCATCCGGCAGTGCCCCTGCAGAAGGGCCGAGTGGCGCGCCGGAGGGGGCGGACGACGATGAGCCAGGAAATTCTGAATCCGCTGGCCCTCCAGTGAAAAATCGCCGTCTTCTTGGCGCCGGATTCGATATAGCTACGGTCCAGGAGCCAAAGATAGCGCCTTGTAGCCTGGCCAAACGGAAGGCCTTACTTCTTCTCGGTGGAAACGCAGGCAATGAGAAAACCCCGACAACCTGTCATACTGATTGCGCTGGCGTCGAAAACGATGAAAAGAGGGGCGCGCATCAACATCCTTGGAACGAAGAAGGTGATTGCTCAGCTACGAGTAAGTCTTCAGCGCTTCCATCCACAAGCGCGTCCTCTCCCTCACACGGTGGAAGCCCGGCACAAGACAAGACGGAGTGTCGCACTGTTGGTCTTGGAACGGGAAACCGACTAGGACATCACGAAGACCAACGTCTCCGTGCTTCAGCTTCGTCGCCTGCTGATCTGGGTCAGCGTGTTGAATGTACTAAGTTGCGGGACCGCAAGGGGACTTCACAACCAGAGCCGCAGTTTTGGGCGCATAAAAATGCTGCCATTTGTCCAGCCTCGTCCGCTGCCTCTCCCTCTGCCAAGTGTGTCGGTCAGCCCGCGGAGCACCACTGCAACGGTAAGAACAATCAAGATGAAGATAGCGTAACGATTAGCGAAAGGGCCGAGGATGCCGATGCGGAAAATTACAGCACAGGCGAAATATGCCCCCGCCCCCGGAAATGAGCAATTCTGGGGTGCTTAGGAGGCACCCCATCTGGTGCTTAGGAAGCACCCCATCTGGTGCTTAAGCGCGTCGCACCAGGGCTGCGTGCTTTATTAGAGTCAATATCTCACGCTTTGCTGAAGAGTCAAGCTGCGCTCAATGAAAAAGAGGAACGGGGCGTCTCTATTGCCCCAGACCGCAGGTTCCATCCATCGCCATAGAAATACACCCAAACCACGTCGATCGGACCATGGTGACTATGGGGCCTGTATTTTGTTACTTAGCTATAGTGTTGCGATTCCGACGCTAGTATTTCTACTGCCCTTCGTTATACTTACTCTGCGTGCCTTCGGCAAGAAGTTAACTCCTAGTCCGAAGCTGGCTCGCGGGCAAGCTTCAAGCTTTTGGCGCGGTCATGCACAAAAACGAAATATGGAAAAAGCTCGACCGGCGAGCCCAATTATGGATCGGCAAGTCCGCCGATCCGGGTGTCACATAGACGCCCGATCTGCCGGAATCCGGCGGCGCAGAAGGAGCCGACTTCGTCGCCGCCGAATCGGGCCTGTAGCATGCGGATTCCCTTTAGAAAAGCCGCGATCTTTTGAAGCGCCAGATCCCGGCAGATCGGGTGTCTATGTGACACCCGGATCGGCGGACTTGCCGCATCGGGCGAGTGCAGCGCTCACCTTTTGGTGTCTGCATGCAAAAACCCAACATGTGTGCTGCAAAATGTCACAAGTTGAGCGCTCGCATGCCTACGATACCACGGCGCTCAGGGTGTGAAGTTGGCTCATCGCCGGCATGGATCATCTTTGCTCCCTGAGCAGATGGCCATCATCCCATGAGCTTGAGGTCGCGCAGCTTACTGCGTTTTTGTTCATCGCGGCGCCGTGCGTAATATTTTTACCCTTGGTCGTCGAGAGGTAACAACTGGAGCGGGCCAGGAGATTTTGTTCCCGCTGGTCAAACAAGGTTACTTGCCCGCCTGGCTAGGACCAGGAGTCTACTTTCTTGCTCCTGGGGCTCGAAGTTCGGGCCCCCGCGGTATCAAAGGGGCAGATGGGGTGCTTCCTAAGCACCAGATGGGGTGCCTCCTAAGCACCCCAGAATTGCTGATTTCCGGGGGCGGGGGCATATTTCGCTTGTGTAAAAATCTTTGTTGGCACATGAAGAACGAAGCAGGAAGTTGCCTGAATGCGTGCGGCGACAGTCTTCTCCTTCACCCAGCGGGACGGACGACCGCTCGAACGGTGGAGTTGGTCCTCGATGACTTAGACTTGGAGGAGAATATAAATTCCGGCTCTGTATCAGACGACTCCCAAGAACCCTTAGCGCGAGACGAGGATGTATCCAGGAAAAAACACCCATCCCCATCCATTTTTTGCATGACAAACAATGGATTTTATGCATGTTTTGCATGACAAATTGGATGTGCCCGGGGATGAAGAAATACTCGCGATGTTTTCCGCGGTTCTGACCCTAGATCTCCTGCGTCCGAAGCTGCTTGCGGCGACGGTGCAAAGGTTTTTGATGTGGTGCAGTCGGGTATGCATGACAAATTGGATGTGGATGGGTGTTTTTTTCTGGATAGGATGGGCCGTTCCATCAGCGGTCTCCTTTTGGAATTGAGCGCAGCCACGGGATATCAAATGTAAAAATGTCTGGGTCTGGAAGAATGCAACTTGTCATGCTAAATCTGAAGCATGCAAAAATCTGTGTTGCATGATTACCAAAAGTCGTCCAGTTTTGACCAAGTCGGGAGGCAGTTTTTCATGCAGGATAGGCATGGGAAAGATCGCGCAGAATCTGTCATGCTATGTCCTGCATGCCAGACCTCATGGGTCATAGAAAAGCTGCATGACAAATCGCGCATTCTTCCAGACCCAGACATTTTTACATTTGATACGGGATGCGACGGCGGTGTTGTGGCAACTCGCAGGCCCGTGTGATTTCGCTCGGGGGATGTTTGGTGTTTGCCGCGTTAGCGACGACGTTCCTCGGGATGTCCGCTGATGTCACTGCAATTATGAAAAACCTGAATAGTCCGGATTCCGCCGGCCCCAGTGGAGACACGTTTGCAACAACCAGCGGGGCGGATCTGCTACCCGCAGACGAGGGGATCAGCCAAAGCACAGACACGTGGGCGGGGAGCGTCGCAAGGTCTTCCACAACCTTGATGCACTATCAACGGAACGATCTTCGCTATGATCATCATTCAGGAGAAGGACGAGCTGCAGGCAGCACGCGGATGAAGGACAGCGCATCTTCTGCGGATCATGTGTCGCCCACGCCTGTTCATTTGCGCGATCCGGCCGTGGGACTCAAAGATGACGAGGATCCGATAGATGCTAGCATCATGCCTGGTTTGTCCTTGGGCAACAGTTTCGCTCGCCGCGCGACAACGTCGGCAGATGTGGAGCGCAGCGCATCTTCTTTGTCGACAACTTCTAGGGGACCAACTGCAGGCTCGACGCGGACGCCGGTCGGTCACGGAATAGCAAGGACCACTCCGTTTGCGCCGCATGGCGAGCGGGTCGCCATGTCCCTCCCTGTGTTGTCCCCCGTGGAGATGGACAGGTCAGTCGTGGAGGTCACAACAGGATCAAGAAACTCAATCGAGGATCCTGATGTTTTCCAGTCCTTCTGGGAGGATGCGATTCCGCAATCCGAGATCTTCGGTTTTTTCTTTGAAATCGCGCAAGGCATTGTTATCGAGGAAAAGAAGGGGCCGGGTGGCTTGTTCAAAAACGAGGCCAGTCGGGAAACTCTCCGGCTCACCTCAGCAAACGGCACGATCTTTGTCAACGGCATTCCCCCCGAGTCGGTCAAACAAATCGCGAGAGACGAGGAGGAAAGCGCGAGACAAAGGGCACAAGAAGCCAAGCCGGAGGGAGCCGATGTCGTGATCTGGAGACCCTATCGGGACTTTTTGGAATCCGTTCCGTGGCCTGAAGATCACGAACGCACGTTCTCCAACTATGAATGGGCCGAGGTCATCGAGCCACTGTGGCGGCGGACATCGTCCTACAGGTTCGGAAGTTGCAATTTCTTGAAGGACATGACTGAGACAAATCAGCGGAATGTCATCTCACATAGCATTGCTAAGAAGTCCTCAAGGCCCTCGGGGACATCTTCACGCGCGAATTTTTCATCTCCTCCACGTGACAAACTTCGCGGTTCTGCTGGTTCTCGACGAGAGTCACGTAGTGAAAAAGACGATGGACATGATGCTGCATCACTTGCACTACAAAACCTATCCTCCAAAGCGTCCGCGAATCTTCGCGAAAGTAGGACTACTGCTGCAGAAGTATCTGACATGGAAGGGGACCACGACTACGCGGCTGAGACTGGGAAGCAAGTCGCAGGACCTACCGCCGCAACAGAGTCTCCCGCTCTCATTTGTCATAAAGTGGTCGACCGACTCCTAGGGAAGCTACTTGCGCACGATTCTCATGCGAGTGCCGTAAAAAGAAACGCTTCATCACCAGTAGATCCATCGTCGACGAAGTTGCGCCAGCAGCTCCTGCACGACGACAGTCCGGTTATTTCCACATCTTCTGATGATCCGAAGCACCACTTGAACAAGAGGTTTTTCTTCCCTCCACCGGATTTCCTCCTGGCCTTCATCGCGCAGGATTTTGGCTACGAGGCACCGACCTACAGGAACCGCAACGACCCGTTGCAACAGGCGTCGTGGTACCACCGCTGGCTAAACGACGAGATCGACGTTGTCGAGGAGGTTCTGACCAAAAAGGACGGCACATTGACGAGCAAGTGGCTGTACCCCTTGCTCAGCGACGGAATGAGTCTGGACCCTACGGAGAACGAATTTCGGTCCCGGGGCGTGCACCGCCTGAAACAAGACATGGGGGAGTTCACCGTGGAGAAAAAGTTGGGAAAGATGACGCCCCTGTTTGCCTTGACCCAGTACGAGAAGAACGAGATCGAAAGCTTCCGGGCCTTGTTCGAACGGAAAGAAAAAAATGTGGCTTGGGAAGTGAATTTGCAGGACCAGTTGTTTCAAAACAAGTTGCAAGAGGACATCGTCGTCGAGGCCCGCCGGGCCTACAGAGGATTAACCGAGTACTTGGCGCACAACGCTCTGCTGCGAGATTCGCGGCTGGTGCAGAAGTACTTTCAAAATTGGCTAGAACAAAATAACCGCCAGGAGAGATATTTTTCGCGTGCCGAAGATGAACGCACATGATGAAAAATTGCAGTGACCTCTCCCGAGGCACCAAACGGCTCTATGAATACACTTGGTAGGGGGCCGGCTTCGACGTCATTTTCTGAAGGTGGCTGCCGCAAGTGAGAGAAGTTGCGAGGAAGACATAAGAACTGACAACCCTTTTGAGAATACAGGAACAGAAAGTTGTAAATGTCTGCCGGTAAAGTAGCAAAACCCGCAATCGTTTCAGCGAAGAAAAACTAGCAAAACTAGCAATACATTTACGTAGTTTCTGTCGGCGAAGCTGAAGCAGCAGCAGAAAGTCCACGAAATTATTCCGTGACGTTGTTGACGTTGATCGTATGCGGAAGAGGAACTGTCTGTGACTGTCCGTGTACGTAATCACATTCGGTTTCTACGGCGAGACGTGGAGGTATATTGATCTATATGCTCTTCGTTTGGTAGTTGAAGTTGTGCCGGTTTCCGAAGAATAGAGTAGATCACGCCAGCAGGTTTCGGCTTCGTACGCGCCACTCTGTCGGTGCAACGGAAAGATCATGGTGCCCACTTTGCAATGTCGCAGCTGCTACTTGCAAAATGAAGTTCATGAACTCTGATGAAGATGAAGATTTTGATCACGATGTCGACGGCAAATGCTAAATGAAAATGCCGCAGCTGTAAGTAGAGAATCAAGCACCAGAAGTAAAAGAAGTTTATTTTCGAGTTTTTCTGTTTGTTGTGTGTATGTGCAGTTCCAATTTCTACTACTAGGAATAGGGTTAGGAATGTCGAATCAAGGCAACTACTAAACTTACAACCAGCGACAGCGACAGTGTTTGTTTTTTTGATTTAGCGCTTCTCCTTCTTTGCGAGCAACTCGATTTGAAAGCGAGCCCGAAGAGGTTCACTCTTTTTCTTTTTCGTGATAATATATAAGCTTTTGCTTTACGATTATCGAGAATCAGTACGTACGCATGGCTGGTGATGACAACGGAGCGACGTCTGGTGATAAGTAGGAGCACTAGAGGGATTACCTTTACCTCTTCTTGCAGCGCGATGCTTCTTCCTCAACGGTTTTGGACGGGGTGAAAATGGATTCGGGGCGCACAGACACTTCATCCGGGAAAACATTCGACAAAGCTCGTGCGATGCCGTCGCTGTGTCACTGCTGCGAGACCACAATATTGCTAAGAACTCGGCCGCGACGTTCGTCTTGCGAAAGATGGACCGAGCATCGGAAAAATCGGATGCGGCGTCGCACATCGGGCCCCGAGGGAGCCAAAAGCAACGGGAAAATTCTCCCGCATCCGGAAGGAGCACGCATGGTAATCGGTTCTCCACCAGAGGTGCCGCATCAGAGCCTTTGGGAGAGCTGCAAAGCCGAATGAAGAACCGCATGGGCGAGGGTGAAGATGCACCTGCATCCAGCGGCGCGCGACCCGAAGCTGAGCGAAGATGGGTTTCTCTCTCCTCCTTCGCCTGGACTCTATGTCTCCGGTTTCTGTTCCCCTGTATTCACGCCCTTGCCCTTGTGTTTGCCGTTGCAGAAACCACACAACCGATAAACGCCGTTATCATTGGGCACGTCATTTTTAACCTGGCGGCTTTGCTTCGATTTGCGGAGGTTCTCGGGAATCATGCGGACGATGCAAAGAGAGCCCTACCCGCCCCGTCCCACAAAACCAAACTCGCTGACGCCGGAGGAGGTGCGGTCGCCGCTCTTTTTTGGGTCTTGGCCCTCTCAGTCGCTTTGCTGTCAGTATTTAAGCTTCTGCTTTACAGCATTGAGGAATTTCGGCAGTTGCTGTGCTACGGCGAGCTCACAAGTGCGAGTTATGCCGTGTGCAATCGAGGCTTTGGAATTACGCGTGCTGCGATGGTGTCTGCGGCGGAGGGCCAATTTTTAGAAGGTACTGAAGGTTACAACTGCTTGTACATGTTCTTGCCAAGAGTCAGACGAGTGTACGAATATGCTGGCGAGGAGGACAGAAGTCCAAAACGGAAGCGAAGCTTCGCTTTGGTTTTCGGATGTTTGAAAGTGCTTGTCTGTCACATCATCACAGGCAATCTGGATATAAATGCGGCAATGCAAATGCTGTAGTTTATGTTTATTCACCTCGTCTTCTGAAACTTTGACGGTACATCGCTGCGCTGGGCGATGAAATGTAAATTGAATTCATTCATTTTCATACATTAAATATATACTTTTTTCAGTTCGACGTCGCCTGGCCCTCGAGAGCTTTTCAGGTAGTACGGCGTTCGCTTTCTTAGCACCGGAGATCGCATTTTTCCTTGTTGTGCTCAGCGAATTGGTTGCGATGTCGTGCTGCTGTCGAAGCAGGAGCGCCACGAGGGCCTTTACTTCATCATCGCAGAAACTTGTTGGACCACCTGCTGGCGAGGCCGAGGCACCATGCGCTCGAAGGGGCGGTAGTGCTGATCTCACTCGAAAGGCACACTCGACAAGACCTGCTTCATCATCTCTCGGAGATGAGGTACAGCCGGCACCTTCTGCAGTGCATAGCTATCGGCACCACCTGCCGCACTGTCACGTTTTCTGGCTGTCCCTCCTTCTGTTAGCACTCGCGGCACTGTACCCAAGTCTGTGGTCTGTCCTGTATTTCGCAGCAGCAGTCTGGCTTTTGCTTTGCGACGAAGACAAACCTGACATGTTGGGCGACGATGGTGTCCTACTTCACCGCTACTTGCGGCTGCTGCCGCTGACTCACGGTGTTGCGTCGCTTATGTTGTGGATGGAACTGCAGTACTGCGAGCAGATGCCCTTCGACGAGGGCCACATCAACACGACGAGATTAAGGACATGGGCCCGCACGCTCGGGGCAGACTTTCGAACAGATGCGTCCTCAGGCGGAACGCCCACTACGCTGAACCGCGGACTTAGCCTCGCACAGGCTTTTGTGGCGTATTTCCTTTTCGGCCTATTTCTTTTCTCCAAGACGGTTTTGCGGTTTCTCGGGGAAAAGTTGGAAATAAAGATGCGCAGCTTGTCTTCCACATCCGCGGGAGCTGCAGCAGGAGATGAGGGCGCACCATTCAAGGCACGGAGAGCAGCTACGTCGTGCAAGGACAGATTGTGGCGTGCCTGTTTTTCGGATCAAGATGGCGCAGAAGAAGAGGATCATCACCTCGGTAGTTCACCGGAGCCTGCTGCGCTGTGGTCTTCTACATATGGTGCGAGTGTCCCGAGCGCGATGCTCTTCGTTGATCTGGACGAAGAGGACGATGAGACAGTCTTGTCCGTCGCGGATAGAGTTGGTTGCGTGATAAAAAGCGTTTCCACATACGCACTCGCGCTGCCGCTTCTAGTTTGGTGCTTCGTGTTGCCCAGCGGCCTGGCGACGGTGATGTTGCTGTTAGGATTTGCGCTTCTGCACGTGCGCGACATTTCGAGGCACGACAAGTTAACGAAATGCATCCTGGTTTATGTGATCGCCTACGTTTTTCTGCAGCTGCTCTACAACGTGTATGTAAATGGAAATGCTACGGAAATCGTGAGCCCGCGTCTTCAACTAAACCGCGGGGCAGCTGCTTTGGGATCGCAAGCAGCAGCGCGCGCAGCCGTTCCTTTCACGACCACTACAGATGAAGACGTGGAGGTAGCGTCGCCAGACGTGAATGTAGGAGAAGTAGAAGAAGAGCCTCTGCTGAGCAATGATCATGTCAGCACGAATTATTTTGCCGCAAATAACTCTTCAAGTACAAGTTCTCAGTTGACATCGAGCCGGGCCCCTACGTCCTTCCTCGCGAAACGAGATGCGACGGACAGACAAAATTATAACAGAGCCGAAGACCACCACATGTCGGTCGCGAATCCTACTTCTCCATTCCGAAATGCTTTGGAGCGCAGTGGCAGGAAATCTGGCGTAAGCACGCCAACGGAAGCGTTATCGCGATTCGGGTTTGCGCTCTTTCCGGACGAACCATCTGCATTTTTGCTGATGTTTCTAGCCGTATGGTGGCTTGCCGGATGGCACTATGTGTTGCATTCGCAAACCCATCATGAAAAGGCCAGCAACCGAAATAGAGAGGTAGAGGAGGAGGATGGGGACGACATCTGCTACACGCGAAGAAGTCGCTTTGCAGTCCAGTTTGCTAGAATATTGCTCTGTCGTCGGAGAACGCCAACGCGCGCGGATGTCAGAGTGTCGGCGGCCACGGGCGGTGAGCCAGCTGCTATTCCGGAGGAATCGACAAATAATGTCGTAGATGGACGCATGAATGCAACGCAGTGCGACGACAACTACGAGGAAGGCGGCGTGCAAGTGTTGAACAGGCTACAGACCACCGATGGAAACTATCACACTGCAGACTTGTTCAGTGCGACGAGCACCGCAGACGCTTTATTATACTCCGAGCTGCTAGAGCACGAACACGAACAAGAGCGCGATGGTACGCTGAGTATCAATCGCGGTAGTTTTTTCTCGGCGGTTGAGAGTACGGGGCGTACTAGACGGAGCCAAAGCTATACTGGCCACCCAAACTGTTATCGCAGTCCGGGAGAGGCGGCGGGGCCGGGGGATAACACGACAAGTGGAGGAGAAGCCGGCCCTGCTGGCAGTGTGGACCACGCATTCGATCAGGTCAGCCTGTCGAATACGACATCGTACGCCACCGCACGAAAGACCACCAGCTGTTACACAGCTGAACATGGAGGGGGCTACAATCTGAGCAACCGAAGCCGGCGGTCCAGCGACATTTCCCGAATGACGCGGGGTGGAGTTCTTGTGTATAACCAATACAATCATCGGAATCTCCACAAGCATAACAGACCCGCAAAACCTGCGCGTGCGCTCCTTGTGCCGCCCGGCTTAGCTGACATCCTGTTCTCCTCGGATGAGCTGGACGAGCATTCCTTTGAGGACGTCGACGGGGACGAGGACCAAGACGGGACTGAATCGCCAGTGTCCCCGCGCACAGACGCAACGTCTCCATCTCCTCGGCGGCACCTACAGGCGGAGCACCAACATGTTCATTGTTCCCGGCCAAAACTAGCGAATCGCTATATTAATCACGACGACGTTTCCGGGCCGTCGCGCTCTCCATTGGACTTGGGGCACCAGATAAATAACCCGCAGCAGCCGGGTGTGCACAGCAATGAGGTTGCAGCGCCCCCCGCAGATGACTTTTACGGAGGGGAGACGTTGAGTCGGAGTAGAGGTAAAAACAAAAAGCTACGTACTCCTGCTCGCAGCGCTGGCAAGGGTGGTGGAAAGGAGGAGAAGAACGTGCTGAAGTCATTCACCCACCACACAGCGGCTATCGCGTATGAAAGCTACACGTCCTTACGCAAGTGGACATTCAAGTTTTTCGAGTTCTGCCTGCAAAAGCGATACTGGCTGGCGCTGTGCGGGATTTTGGTTGTGGTGTTTATCACCGGCGGTGCAGACCGCGAGAAAATGGGGGAGGACGCGGCTGCGTCATCGCTGGCGCAGTTAGGCTACTTGGTCTTCTTCGCGGTGCTGCTTTTTCACGGGGATGAGACGAAGTACAACACGTGGCAAGAAATAGCCCCTCCACCGCGGCAGCGATATACTTTGCGGCCATCATCGGACGATGAAGTCTCCTCGAGAACTTTTGGTCACACAAGTTCGCTACGGCGAAATGACACCGAACAGGAACAAGCTACGGTGGTCAACTTGTGGCGCGCATGCGGAATCTACGGCCAGACAGTGATTTTCTTGAAGTTTCTGTCTTGCCTTCTCGGTGATGTCGTTGTGCTGAATGGGTACTACGTGGGGCTACTAGCCGCGAACGGAGTAGACCACGAGGGCGCTGCAGTACGGCAGCAGCTTCATTTTGACCCCGCCGCAACGCGGACGAGTGAGAGCCGACTGGCGTTCCTCGGCGTCGGGTGCCCCGGTTGGAAGAGCGCGGACGCAAACTACCTGGAGTGCTCCAGAATTTCGTATCCGGGAACGCGTCTGATCATTCCGGACCTTGCTCGATGGGCAGACGTGGCGCTGATGCTCCTGATTTTTCTGCACTTGCGATCGCTGAGTGGTTTCCACAGTTGCGCCGGGCCGAAGGAGGGACCGATCGAAGAAGTCATTGCTAAACCTAGTGCTGGGGAACAAGAAGCAGAAGAAGAAGAGCGCTGGGATTTGTCGTGTACTACCACGACCGTTGGTGTCTTAGCGGGCGAAAATTTCGCCTCGTCTTCCCCCCTTTACCCAGAGGATAGCGGCAGTCCAGGTGGTCCCAATAGAAACAAGCGAGTCTCGTTCCTCTCTGGTCCACCGAAGATTTGCGACAGTCCGCCGACGGTCGAGCAGCTTCGAGGACCAACCGATCCGGCTGCCAGTCCTCTACTACTTCAGCATCGTGGCAGAACAGCAGAGCAGCGCTCTGTCGATGTTGCAGTTTCTGCTCCACCTCCTTCTGTTGGTCCTTCTGCTGCACTACTAGGCACGTCCGACAAAGAGCGTGTGGTCGTGCGATCGGTCTGCCTTCTGGCGGTGCTTTTCGGCACAGTTGCCATCGCACTCGTGCAGCCCTTGTCTTTGGAGTCGTTGGCCTTCTTGTTTTTCTGTGCGCGACAGAGTCTGATGGCTGGAGAAGCGTTCGATGAGTTCAATAACGACATTTTTGAGGAGTTTCCATCTCCAGGAGAACAAGGTGATCTACTCCAAGCGCCTAACGCAAATGAGCTGAACAGCAGCAGCACCAATCGCGAGGCGCGCCGCACCACGGCAAGGACGACACGGAAAAACAAAAGTGTCAGAACTGCTGCAAATGGAAATGCATTGCCGACCGACGCCGGAGATCATGTGATGGTGTCCACCTGCTCGTCCACCATGCGGGGGAAAGCCGCTATCCTGTTGTTCAAAGTGGAGACCTGGCTCATTGTCGTCTGCCTCGTGATGCATGTCTTCTTCGGTTTCGCAACGCTCGAGTCCGCCATAACGGAGAAGTTGCTGCCCGTCGCTTCTCAGGAGCGCTGGGGACTTTACTTTCGCCTCCGAGACGACATGCGACTCAAAATGTTTCTCTCAGGGGTGCTTCTGCTTTTTGTGCACGCGAACTGGGAACTTCTTGAGCACGACTTCCAACAGGTGGAATCCAGACACCAGTCGGAAAATCTGGATGACGCTAGTACCGGGGCTATGAGAAGAACAGTGATGCCTTCAAATCGTGGTGAGCCACGCGATAGTACAGCAACTTCTAGCGGACAGCATCAACAGACGGGATTTGCAGGGACGCAGCCCAGAGCGAGTCTGACGTCGTCGAGCTGCAGTTCGATGACCAAGATAAATAGACCAGCACTGGCTCGAATCTTTTGGGTTCGCTTCGTGTATGTCCACAGCGACAATCTGCTTCTAGCCGCCATAGCGTTTCTGACGCTCTGGTTTAGTCCGGAGCCAAACTTCTTGAGCCGTCTGCGCTTGCTTATGGCACTCGCGTTCGTTTTGAAATACGCAATTTTTTCGAAGAAGCACGACCAGGAGCAGCAGCAAGGAAATTTAATAGTACGCGACACGGCCGCTGCTCCACCCACCTCGCATCAAGAAAATGAAAAGGAGAAGCTTCATCCAGCAGCAGAGCATGACCATGATAAGCAAGGTCAGCAGGTGGAGGGTGCTACGACTTTTACGAGTAATTCAACCTCGACGACCTATCAAGTGGTGCAGCAGCGGCGACGTGCTGGTCGTGTGTTTCTGTTTCTGGCGATTGTGAGTCTGCTCGTCAAGTATTTCGCTGCGATACCCGCGATTCGCGACGATTTGCTGAGTGACTACGTAGATTACGCCTACATGGGGCTTCCGCGCACGTGGGACAAGGGTGTTCGAGAGGTGTTGATCAACTTGATTATGCTGTTTCTGTGTTCCTTGCAGCAGTATTCATTTCTCATCGCAGCGCGGCAGCTGCAACAGTGGGAAACGAAGGGAAAGTTGGACAGTTTCGATGGCGGAAGAGCGGACTGCGACTGTAATTACAGCAACGCTGCTGGGGGGTTGCACCAGGTTGATGGTCGTGCACATGATACAGCCGCAGAAACTGGATTTGCGGCACCTGGTAGTATGATTTTGGCGGGGACAGCACGACATGACCAGCAGCAGAGTCTTTGTCAAGTAGAGGGCGGGCGAAGTAGTACTCCGATGCTTGGAGACGACGACCTGGTCGCTGGTGACTACGCAAACAATAAGAATTCAAGAAGATCTGCGAGCTTCCCTCTTCTGCAGCGTCGAGCGCCGGAGAGTGCCGTCGCCCCTGAAGCTGCTCTTGCTAACGACCGAGAGCAGGAGTACAGCGACTTGCTCTTTCCTCCTCCTGAGAGAGACAGTCGTAGCTCGACATCGCAGTCACAAATAAACTCTCAAGACTCGTCTGGAAATCCCCGCGACAGGGGCGGTATGGAATTTGCAAGAATGCGCCGCGCGACGGACCGACCCACGTTTGCGTTCGCAGGAGGCGCGAGGATGGCCACTACGAAATCGACGCCTTCGCGGGTTTCCCCCGCGATGGAGGATCGGGACAGTCTGTATAACTTGGCTGGTTCTTCTACTTCGCAACTGCACGAGCGCCCGACCGGTTTTTCAGAAGAACAAGGAGAAGGAGTTGACGAGTCCGAATTTTTTGCACCACGAGCGGCCTCGTCTTGCCGGCGGGTGTTGGGCCGCGAGACCGAGGCTCACATTGAAGCGGACAACAGGGACAGCCGAGCGGACACCGCCGTCCTCACGCGAACTGGTTCGTGTGTAGATAGACCAGCACATCATCCTGCACCTCCCAACGAGCGGGGTCGTGAAGACGGAGAGCAACAACAACAAGTGGCAGGGTTTCGTACAGCTCCAACCCCGACCGGCGTAGCAGAGGCGTCGAACGAAGTAGAGGAACAACGTGAAACGAAATCAGTAGCGACTACAAGAACAGACGCCGACGCGTGCTTTGGGTTCTACCATGCTGTTTTCAAAATTTTTCGGCATGTACTGGGCACGTTTCGGCTCGAGCTGGCGGTGGCTGTTCTGTTCGTCACCGCAGTAAGCCGCGACAACTTTCTGTCGCTCTGGTACGGGCTTTTCGTGTTGCTCGGTTTGTGTACCGTCTGGAAAGAGGCTGCGGATAATCAAGAGCTGATCGCGGCGCGTCGTCAACAAGATGAAGAAGAACAACATCAAGACGAAAAACTGATCAATACGGAATTATATCATCATACCGGCGGCGCCGGCGGCCGTGCCGCGGAGGTTTCTGAGGAGAGAACAAGAGGCATGGAGGAAGCTGATTTTTCGTCTCCGATGAAGGAAACAGAAGAAACCGAGAATGAGTTGCCTCTCCTGCTGACTTCATCGGACGAGGATGAAGAGGCATCGTGGGCACTGATTCAGCGTGCGGATGAAGATGAAGCAAGAGAAAAAACAGCATCGCCACAAACATCAATCCCTGCTTTGAACGGACGAACAATGGGAATGGAGATCGATGATATAATCGATGACCCCCACCTCGATTGGAACAGAGATGTGGATTTACGGCGCAGAGCGCGGCGGAGTTGCAAAGTAGAGGCGCCCTCGCGTAAAGACGCAGGAAGGGCTGAGTCCTGCGAAGGAGACCGCGGCGGAACATTCCGATACGCGGATGTGGGTCTGCCGTCAAACTCAAATGGCGACTGCTCAACAAACGTCTACGCGTCTTCCCATGCCGATCGTGACGGGAATAGAAGGGCTAATAAACTACAGTCATCGTCTTTTCCTCCAAGACCTGCGGGCATTTTTTCCGCGCTTCACCAAAATCCTCGGACGCTAGTCGCTATCTATGCCTGGGTGCTTTTTCTTTCCTTGGTTGCGCAGTACTTTTGGGCGCTGTGGTTGCCGGGAGCGGCGACAACGAATTCTTTCACGGCGGGCGATGCTACTACACGCATACAGATGAATAACCCGCAGTCGCCACAGGCTACTGCCAATTCGGGTAGCAAGAAGTGGTGGACCGTTGACCGGCCGGACGCTGCATGGCTTGCCGAAGTCGAAAGTCTGTGTCACAATTACAAGGGAAAAGATCGAAGAAAAGCGTGTGGTGAGGATTGGTTCGCCTGGCTCAACTTGCGCGTGGATCTGCAGAGTTACGGGCACTTCACGGAGCTGTGCGCATTCCTCTTTTTCTGCTGCGTCCTGCTGAGTCCTGACTCCGTGTCAGCACGCATGATGGCAGGGGCGGAACGAGTAAAAGACTCCGAGAACAACAATTTTTCATCCGCGAAGACGAAGACGTCGGATCTGCAGCGTAGTGGTCGTGAAGAAGATCACGCTCCTCCATCGCGAAAAAAATGGGGTTGGTTTTACGCAGTGACATTGTTTCTGGGATTGTTGCCGCAGTGTCTCATCAGCCGGCCAAGCGTCTACGACTTCACCATGTTCATTTACACAGTGCTGCTTGTCGTCTTTCTGCGGCTTGGGTCGATGGCATTTTATGAGCCAGCACAGCAGGAGGCGGGTGACTTTTGCAGCGGGAAAAGTAAAACCGTGCAAGGTCGGCTGAAATTGGAGCGTATTCTGCAGGCGGCAGCGCTTTTCTCCTTCTTGTTGTTGATTTGTCAGCAGCTGTACCAGAGTCCATGGGCGCCGTGCCCGGTATCCGCAGCGGTCGATAGAGATAAGCACAGGAATCGTCGCAGCACCGCGGGCAGCTCCGCAGCTAATCCTACGGTATATACGCCGTGGCTGCAGCGAGAGCGGTGTGTGGAGCATCAGGGCGCGCTGGTTCAGTCGATTTCCGTGACGCAGGACGAGAAGCACAGCCACGGTCTGTTTCAGACGGTTGTGCGACCGGACGAGAAGGGAACCTTCCTGCAGCAGGAGACGTGGCAGGGGGTTCTGTTTGCGCTCGGGTTCTACAAGCGCAGCTCACGCACCAGCTACGGTGCGTGGCTGGTCGCTATCCCGCCCACGGTGTTTTGGCCGATGGTGGCGTTTCTCATCTGCTTTTTCCACTTGTCGGTGCTCGCGGTGAAGCGCAAACTACGGTCAAGGCAATTGAGAGCGCAAGAGGTGCAAGCAGGACTGGTGCAACTAGTCCGGCAAGACCGGTTTTCCTGGAGTGTGCAAGCGTGGCGCGTTTGCGAGCTACAGGAGGTGGAAACCAAGCACGAGATTCTGAACCACCGTATGCGACGGTATCAGCGATTGATTTGGCAGTTGGAGAATTTCTGGCTGGAAGGTCGCCGGGTGGCCGGAGTGCATCCGAGTATGACCGCTGATTTTGTGGACCAGCACCGGGAAGACACGCTTGTAAGTCGCGTGGAGAGACTAGGCCTCGCAACCGGCTTGGAGCTAAACGTCGTTGCGCGCGTTTTGGAGCTACTTCTGCAGCACTCTGTGCGACGAGAGCGTCAGTTACAAGAAATGAGTCTTCCTGTACCCAACATCCACATCGACATGCACGAAATTGGTGTCGGTAGAACAGTGCTTTGTGGCGTCGGAGAAGGCGCGCTATTTTCTAGGGAGCCAGGCCGTGGACCAGGAGAGCCCGTGGAAGATGTAGAAGAACAAATCAACAGAGGATGGACTTGTGAAGGCAGCAGCCGGCAGCTCGATCCGGAAATTCTGCTTCGGTTCTATCTGGACGCAGATATGATTGAAGCTTTTGCACTGCGCTTTTTGAAAACCATTCTCGCCCGGCGGCGGTGTTTGCTTTCAGACGAGGACATGGTCGCCGAGCAGGAACGGCTCTTGCAGTCGCTGGCTGACCGGGTTGCGGGCAGTCACTCAGGAGCGCGGAGGGGGTCTACAAGAACTCGCACTTGGTCTCGAGAAACGTTGGGAGGCCGTCGCATTTCATCACGGCGTCCCTCGAATCTACCGCTATCGCCATCTGGTGAGCGTGAGAAAAGCCCAAACTACAACGGAGCTGCTGATGGGGGCGGTCCGGGTCATGTTGCTCTGACATCACCGGCGCGACCGGTAGCACCGTCGGGGTCGGCGTCGGGCGCCGAGGTGAATAGCAGCGAAGCGTCGGGCTTGGCGGCGGCTGCTTCAGCTTCAGACGGCGGCTTCCACATTTGGAAACCAGAAGAATTGCTGTACACAGCAGGAGTGGCTCCGCCTCCGCCCGCCCCGACACCAGAGAACGAGGCACGAGAATCAGCTGCAGAGGCGCAAAAGAATCTACCTGCTTCTTGTACTTCTACCGTCGGACAGCCGGGCCGGAACCATGACACAGGCGGAGAAATAAACGCCGGGTCAGCGATTGATGGCGCCCAGCAAAAGAACGCGAGCCCCGGCGTTCAACCTCCCCAAAAATATCATCAGGTGGGTCAACATCGGCAAAGCAAGCAGAAGTCCTGTGGTCTGATCCATCGCGTTTGTGATAAGTTGATGGACGATCGGATCTTTGTCCGCAGCGCCAGTGAGCCTTTTCCTGCGCATGCGCGAGACGATAACCTTCTTTCACTGACGTACAAGGCCGTTCTCTGCAGCTGCTCACAGTTTTGGCTGGTGGTCAGCGCGTTGGTGCTTTTATCTTGCGGTGCCCCGGGACCCACAGTCGTCTCGCTCTTCCATACCACAGCAATCCTGGTTGGACTCATGTTTTACCCGACCACGCCCGTGGTGTACTACCGCTGCGTGCGCTTCGTGCTCGTGTTTTCCATCATCCTGCGAGCACTTTACCAGATGCCGTGCTTTGATGCAGAGCTTGGGTGGCCACACGCACTCGTGCCGGAATTCAGTGCCCAAGTCTTCGTCCCCGCGAGGACGACCAACAAACGCGGAGGAGGTCGCGCAGCCCTCGGTGCTGCATCGCCGGGCCGTCGTGGTGCACGTCCGCGGTTTGCAGGCTTTAATGCCGCACAGCAAGAACTGCCACGAAAAATCGCGGGTCGGAGCGGAAATAACGTCGTACCATCTCCCCTGAATACGGATGACGAGCAGGTGGATAATTCCGGCGAAGAGGATCTGCTCGGTTCCTATTTTCTGCACACCCCCGCTCACGAAGACGACGCGGCGCAGCAGCGCCGTGCGCGGGTGATGCTGTGGCTGGGGCTGGTCAAGGTCCCGCGCGATGACGTCTCCGTGTTTCAGTTTTTGTGGCCAGAATTCATTGCGCTGTTGATCCTGTGTCTGCACATCCGCCAGCAAAGAGAAATGGGTGTCGACTTAATTTTACGAAGCGGAAAAGTCCGCCCCAGCCCAATTTTCAAAAATTTCATTGCGCGAGATCTTTTCGCACGGAAAGCATGCCCCGTTTGTCGCTGCTGCGTCTCGGTATTCTTCTCCGCGAGATCGACTCCCATTATTGACTTCGTGGCGACTTGTACGCCCCAACCCGCGCAGCTTGGAAAGGCAGTTTCCCGCCCGGCGCGCAATGTGAAATGGGGCCAGTCCAGGACTGGCCTTGAATTAATGATAGTGCCCCAGAGGCTCGGGGCCCCCGTGTCATGTTTTTTCGCCTCTTTTGCCCTCTCCGACCGACCACTTGGTGGAGTGCCCGTTCGGCCTGGGGCGGACTTTTCTGGGAGAGGCCAATCCCGACCTGAGTACCCCGATCTAGAAAAGTCCGCCCCAGGGTCGACGGGTACCAGATTCGGCCTCCTTGTTCGTCCTGGGGCGGACTTTTCTGGAAAACATTGTGAAGCATTCACGCACAAATATACGACGGCCAGGAAAGTCGGCGCCCAAAAGCGCGCCACACCATCCGCATTCGCCAAATAGGAGCGCAAGGATATGGCGCGGCGCGACGCTTGGCCCCTGCCCAGGCAGGCGGAGCGCCCGAAGCGCGTCCCCGCATTCAGCGACCACTGGCTTGGTCGCGTTCCCGATTGTCTCCTCTAACCGGGACTACTAAAGCCACATATTGAAATTTTTGAAAATTGGGCTGGGGCGGACTTTTCCGCCTCGTAAATTTCCTTCCCCGACCTGTTCCACGAAATCGTCAAAGAGAACGGGGGGACTGGTTGTAGAAGCGCCCGTACTAGCTGTGGTCGGCAGGTAGTAGAGCAAACTTCTGGTGCTTCTACGAGGAAAAGCCCATCCGCCGGAACTCGTCGGCTTTCTTTCCTCTACTACCTCCTGTTTACGGACCTGCCGCGACCTGCTTGCAACTTGTACGCGGTCCGGCTGTGGTTAATCATAGTGTGCATCATGTACGTTCTGTTGTGCTGGAATCGCATGGTGGGGACGGAGGAAACGCTGTGGTCGATCGTGCAGAACGGCAAGCAAGTTCCCGGGAAGCAAGTGCTCACTTTACTGTACCTGTTCTTAATTGCCGTGCTGGACCGCATGCTGCATAGCTGGAGAACGACCAAGACGGTCTTTGCCGCAGCAACGTCTTTCAACGGGCGACGTCGCGGCCGGGAAGATGGTGCTTTCGAGAACGGACCAGCAGAACGGTTGCGCATATTGCGGCAGAAGGCAAAAGCACTGGGCATCTACGAGTACAACAAATTTGCACGACGAGACGAAGATGATGGAAAGATGAACAGAGGGAAATCCTGCGGAGTAGAGCAAACACCTCGGTCGGTCGTTCAGCCTGAATGTCCCACTGGCGGAGACAATCGCGGACACTTGTCGTTCTCGCCGGCGGTCGTGGACCACGAGGACAGGAGACTGGTGACGCCAAGGAGCTGCCATTTGCAAGAGGGGCTCCGGAGGCGACGCATACCACCAGCGCGGGAGGAGTGTGGTTCACGAGAAAACTCGGGACACGAAGTTCGATCCGCCCGGAGTAGTTTTTCCAAAGGCAAAGCGGCAGCGGTGCAGTTGGAGATGCATGAAGATGAGTGCAACTACAGATACGGGATCGGGAACAAACCGCGAGTCGTCAGACAAAACAGCAATACTATGATCGTTCCACACGAGGAACAAGTAGAAAAGCGTCGCGACGAAGACATAGACAGCGCAGGCGCAGCCGCAGCTCTTGATATCAAGCCGAGCATACGTGTCATCTTGCAAAAGCTTCTCCTCTTGACTCAAATGGCTGTCGCCCACACCTTCCTGGTGATCGTGTACTTCGATTTGCGCGCTCAGCAAGACCAAAATGAGCAGGAGTGGTTGCTGATGGGGCTGGCCACGAAAGGAGGACAACAGGGTCAGCAGCCAATGAACCAGCGTCGTCCTGCTCCTGGCACAACTGACACGGGCGAGTACGGACAGCAGCACGTCTCTCCGTGCTTGAAAAGCTTGGCGAACTTCGGTTTTTTGCTAGCTTTGTACCTCATCTACGCCACTTATCTCGCTCTTTCTTCGCTACAATTGCGGTACGCAACGAAAACCGCGGAACCAATTTCGTTGACACGGTCGGTGGACCTGTTCAGCAAGTGCGTCTTTCAGCTGTACATGGTGACTCCGTTTTTGAACGAGTTTCGCGTTCTGTGTGACTGGGTGGTATCCCACGAAAATAACCCATCCCCATCGTAATTGCCATTTTTACGGTGCAAAAAAATAAATTAAAATAAACAAAAAAACTAAAAAAAAATGCGACTTTTCTGATTTTTTTTTGCGAAAAAAAAAGTCGTGGCGTCAGCTAGCTTCGTGATAACTAGTCAGAACAGCCGGCTTGAGAGGAATCGCTAGTGATGATGTGAATAAAGTAGCTAGCTCCAGGCATCCTCAGGGAAGAACCGCCAGCAATGTCTCTGTCCCGAGGGCGCGGCCCTTCCTCGTGGTCTGCGGCCGCGCTCCTGGTCGTGGTCGGTGGCGGCGCGGAAGGTCCTGCGCGCCGGCGGCCTCCGGGAGGGCCGCACAGGCCCGCTTCGCGCCGGAAGGGCGGCCGCCCTATCCTCCGCCTCCCTGGCCCCTAATCAGGCCGCGTCCGCGGCGACGGAATGGTCGCGCAACTGGTCACCTGGCTTGTCCAGAAATGGATGTCCGGCAAAAATGGTTGAGGGCAGACGCAAGCGAAGAAATTCAAAAAAATTCCAATTTTTCGCCAAAATCAAAAATCGACCAAAAATCTATCACGATGGGTTATTTTCGCCGACCTGTATAGGCTAAAAAGCCTACTTTTTTCGAAAAGTGGCCCGATTTTGATTTATCTGGATGGGTTATTTTCGCCCGACCTGAGTCGGGCAAAATCAAAAAGTTGCTCTTTTTTTGCTTCAAAGCCGGCTTTTTTGTAAAAAAAAAACTGGGGTTTTCGGGGTATACAGGTCGGCGAAAATAACCCATCCAGATGATTTGCAAAATTTCGTGACTTTTCAAAAACCCAAAAAAGGCGAGCAAAAAGCTCGCGCCTGCCCCGACCTGAGTCCGGCTAAAATGTCGCTCAGAGTGTTTCCTTTTTTGAAAGAAAAAAAATCGCCAAATCAACGGACTCAGGTCGGGGCAGGCGCGCGCTTTTTGCTCGCCTTTTTTGGGGTTTTGTAAAATAGCGAAATTTTGCAAATCATCTGGATGGGTTATTTTCGCCGACCCGTATACCCCGAAAACCCAAGTTTTTTTTTCCCAAAAAAGCCGGCTTTGAAGCAAAAAAAGAGCAACTTTTTGCCCGACTCAGGTCGGGTGAAAATAACCCATCCAGATAAATCAAAACCGGACCACTTTTCGAAAAAAGTAGGCTTTTTTGCCTATACAGGTCGGCGAAAATAACCCATCGCGATAGATTTTTCTGCATTTTCGGAATTTTGAAGAAATTTGCCAAAAAAAAGAAAAATCTGACTTTTTCCGGTTTTTTGAACAGATATTTGCGGAAAAAATCCGAAAAGCTCAAAAGTCGCAAAAATTTGTCCGGATGGGTAATTTTCGCCGACCTATTGAGGCCAAAACGACGGACAAAACAGGTCACGGGCTTTCATCTATGGTCGCGATGTGGTGGCAAGCAGACATGGCGACGGTGATGTGGGAAAAAGCAAGCAAACCAACGGCCCTGACGGCCCTAAAGCGTATCCGTAGCCGGCGCTGTCTCCCTGTCTGACGCCCATCTTTCGGTGGCTTTGTTGTCGCGGCTTCGCCGGGGATGCCTTGAGCTAGCTAATTCAAAGCAAACACTTCTAGATGAATCGTCTCAGGCTGCTTCTGTCATAGTCGTCACGTGCTAGCTAACACCACGAAGCCCTTCCGCATGGGTAGCAAATTTTTTGTTTTTTTTTCAATTTTTTTTAGCGTTTTTTGCAAAAAAAATAGCAATTACGATGGGGATGGGTTATTTTCGTGGGATAGGTGGTGACAAAAACATCGCTTGACGTCTACATGTGGTTCAAGTTGGAAGACTTGTTCACAAACCTGTACCTGGTCAAGTACGACATGACGTTGCGGCGACAGCACTACAACAAAGAAAACGACGAGGGTGGAAGTGGTTCTGGGAGCGACGTCGACGAAGGCGAGATCATGGAGCCAAGCGATGAGACTGCAGATAATCTTCATGGCCGCAATTTGAACGGCAGCGACGCTGCTGCTAGATCAATCGACGGAACAGCTGCTGCACTAGGGAAGGACAAGGACGCTATTCATCTTGAAAACGATCAGCGACGGATAGTGAAGAAGCGTCGAAGTAGGAAAGGCTCCAGTGCAAAATCTTCGCGCACTAACAGTAAAGGCATGCGGAAGGGTACTAGCGCGGCGACGAAACGGCCGCGCTTTTCCGGGCCTCCACCCAGGTCCGTGTTCGAGAAAATCACAAACGGCGGATGTCTCCTTCTCGTGATTTTCTTTTTGATGATCGGGCCACTGCTGCTCTTCTCCACCATCAACCCGAACACGGAGGCAACGCGCGTACAAACCGCAGAAGCGTCGGTGCTACTCACAGTCGCGAGTAGGGAGAAAATTCGGAAAGTCGTGCTCTACCAGTCGAAGCAAGGCACTCCGGTTTCGCCAAGCATGAAATTTAAGGACGAAGAAAGTGAACAGATTTTTACGACGCCAGTACAGGGCTTTGATCAGGAACAGGATGAAGTACCAGAAGAGCATGGCGCTGCGGATGAGCCCCCGCGGCCACCCCCCGGCGGACATGAAGATGGAACAGAGGACCAGGACGAAGAATACAACACGAAGCAGAGAATCCTCTTTCCACACGCCTCTGACGAGCTTTGGTCGGCCACGCCGCGGCTCCGGTCGGAGATCGTGCAAATGCTACAAGCGGAGAACATCGACAAGGGTAAGCTGCTGTACATTCAGTTCGACTTGAAGTACGTGTTCGAGCGCGCCCCAGTGCCTGACACCGAACTTCCGGACGTCGACGGGACAAAAGTGGTGCGGTTTTTCAATGAAAAAAGCCTTGTTGCCAGTACCAAGCAGCGAGGCAGAGCTCATCATGATGGTGCTGCGCGAGGCCGAGGCCAGGAGAACACCGGAGTTGCTGCAGTATCAAATCTTGGTCAGTTGGAAGATGCGAAGAACGTAAAAATTGAGCGTGATTCCGAAAAGCTCGAGCGAGTCGCAAAAGCGATCCTGGCAAACTTCGACCAAGCCCCTGCAGGGGGTGGTGCTGACGCAAACCGTGCGAAAAAGATTCGATTGCCGGATTTGTACGCGCCCTATCTTCGTCTAACCTCCGAAAGTTACGCGACGCCGATTCTGTCTCCATTCGGCGGCTCCGCCGCACAACTTGCCAAGGCGCGAAGATACAGGCATGGGGGACTACGACACCAGGGCGGTCGTGCCGCAGCAAGAGGTGGGCCGTTGTACAACGACCACAGAGACCTTCCTGCGAGTCGGAAAGCTGGCATTTCCTTGAGGCTAGTGAAAGTCGACTACAATGCTGACCCAGCGGATAACCCTCGTAATGGACAACGCGGTGCCGGGGCTGCTCCTCCTGGTTCAGCGTCTCAGTATCGTCCGCAAGAGAGCTTTTGGGAGCTAAGTATGCTGTTGCCAACTCAAAGACCCCCACCCGTTTCGCGTCTTCCCTCGACCGATGTCATCGGCGACACCTCCGGAGGACCAGGGGAACAGGACAACGATGATGAAGCGGACGATCTCCCAAGTCTGACAAGCGTCCCAACGACGCCCGCGTCAACCGTCTCCCAAGTGGACATCACCGTTATTTCGCCGACTTCCGGACGCCTCGCCCTAATTCCGCCACTAACGTTCGAAACCACTTCCGAGCGCGTGCTGCGCGGCGTGACCTATGGACAGAGCAAGAGCACAAGCGCGACGCCCTTTTTCAGCATCCTGGGCCTCTACTCTTTGATCGTGTATGCGGCGTTCAAAATGATTCGCGCGATGTTCGAGCTGTCCAGCGAGCGTGTGATCTACACGGAAATGGAAGATACGGAGTTCTTCGAGCAGATCTGCACGGGAATCTACCTGGCGCGCAGTCTAGGGGACTTGAAAGCCGAATACGACTTGTACTTCTGTCTGCTGCGCCTCTACCGTTGTCCCGACATGCTGCTGCACTACTCCTCGACATCAAACTCTGATCGAGCTCCTGACCACTACGGAGGCCGGCGATCGCTACATGATTTCCACGGGGGCGGTGGGGGCACAGGTGCTGCTGGTGGTGGAAATCTTCACAACAACTACAGTGGGGGACCCGCTGGGCCACCACGTGGTCCTGCCCGCGATCTTCCGCCGCCTGATGGTGTGCACGGAGACTTCGAGAGCGATTCGGGGTTTTCGCCGGGTGGCAGCGTCGGGGGCCGTTTTTTAACAGATCGTCCGGGGCGGCAGTCATTCAGGACAAGTTCCTTTCGTGGAAGTCCCTCCTCTCAAATCGAGTTCGAAATGCGCGTTGCGGGAGGTGAGGGCGCAGGTCAGGAATTTCATGCAGCGACTTCTACGATAGATGGACATGGAGCCGAAACTACCAGTGTAACTCGAGACCAGTACTACGTCGGTGCACCTCCGGGAAACCGCGTCGTCGTCAACAGCGGCCACGGTAACTACGAATAAGTGTACCGGAAATTTGTTGGCTCTGAAAAGCGGCACCGGAGGATTATCAGAATAGGCTGTGCCTGCTGTTGGATCTTGAAAGCGGCACCGGAGGACTATCAGAATAGGGAAAATCACAGGGAATATAGAATGTGTACTACCTAGGATCACGAGTGTTTAAGAAACGCAGCATGAGGAAACAAAATCATCATGATGCAAATGCCGTAAAGCTAAAGACGAGCAGAAGTAGCATTGTTACTTTCAAATCAAATGCACTGCAGTATACTATCAAAGAGCACTTCAATCATAGTCACTAAATTACAACGTAGAAATTGAAAACGTGTAGCGATGTCTAATTTTAACTGTAAGTCAACCCATAGAGCAGGAAAAAAGGGAAGATGAGTACAGGAATCAAGATCAACATCAAACTCAAGGATGAGAATGGCACGACCGTGCGCATGCCAGCAACTGAAAGGGTGAATATCGACAACGGGTTCTTCAGAACAAGCGACAAGTGTACTAAGTATACGATTATCGAAAGTGAGAAGCATAGGGCAAAACTTGGTAGACTCGCCGCGAATGCACTGTAACGAACTCGCAACAACGAAAAAGGCAATGAGCAAGTTGTATGTTCACGTCCTTGTAGTTTTTTTTGTTTGCCGCGTTTCGTTTGTAAATTGTTTTTCGATCTGGATGATCTCCTAGTGGTCGGCCTGCAGATCGTCCTCACAGGACAAAAATAATTACTAGACGACCCTGACGATCTTCAACTTTACCGAGATCTGTTTAGGAAGCTATCCCAAGCCGTCTTTGTCTTGTGCAGCAGGCATTTAGCGATCCGTACTTTCTTTTTATCAAGTGTTTCGATCTACTTCGCGGGCACTGGCACATCAAACGGAACGCCATTATCAACCTATCCTTTCCGTCCCATGCTACCGGCAAAAAGCAAGTTCTGATTCTGATCAAAAGAGCATATCGTGTAGAAGATAAACAAGACAGATACAAAAAAATTAGCAATTTAGAGGTTGCAGCCGGTCGTGGATGAATATTATATAGAAGTAGGGCGTGGCTTTGTTTTCTCGTTCACTTCCTCATCATGATGGTTTTTCTCTAGCTTTCTAAATTCTAATTTCGCCTTTTTTCGCTCTGCTGCCACAGCCAGAAACTTTCAAATAGACACGATATGTACAGGCACCATGAGTAGGTTTTCTCCTGCTCATCCACGAGATTGTACTTTCCACTTTTAGAAGTTTCTTGTCTGCTGCTCGCAAAGTTGGAGCCCAGCCTGAATCTTTGTTAGTTGAGAAGTTCTGTGGAGTTGATTGACTACTTTTTTTTTCGATCGAAGTATGATGTCGCTTTTGTACCCACGGTGAACTAATTTTGCTGCAATAAGAACTTTGAGGAGCAACGAACAAGATTCTTGCGATTCGACTTCGATTATTAAGTAGTTTTTCTAATCGCTGTTGAAAACGCAAACGCTTGATATTTTTAATTTTTATTTACGTTACGGGCTTGAGTGTTGTCCCACTCTCCACCCTGTTGCGTTGTCTCTTCATGTTCTTCTGTCTCTGACATTAAGATTATAATCAAACACCAATTTTATTTGCATACCTCATTTTCTTCTTGTTTCCCCACGAGAACAAGGCTACCCGCCGACCTAGGTGCTTCTAAGTACAACAGCACGCCGCATAGACCACCAACTCACTGACTGATTTATCATCGCGTGCCAGAGGTTGAGGTGCAACTGTCACAAGAAGCACGACACAAATTTTTGGTGCGCAGTAAAAAGTGGAGACCACGTGGTTTTCCGGACTCGAAAAACATACACGACCAGCATGAGTGGCGGAACATCAACATCGCCACGGAAGGCCAAGGCGGCTTCTTTTCCGCCGCGGGGGTCGTCGCTGGTCGTGTGCTATGCATTTATCTCGTCGACGACGCTGCAGCTTTCCTCGAGCTTTTTTGGGGGACCATGTCAGTTTTCGAGTTCGCTATTGGGGGCTACTGCACTGACTCTGAGACCAGGTGAACAACGAAGGCAAAAGCAAAATCATGCACGACAGAAAAACGGTAACGGCGCGCACGCGCAGCAATACCAGCAAGGCAAATCGTCATCTTCGTCCTGGACCTGGGGCGGACCTGGACGCCCAAGCGACGTACCATGGCCCCCGCCCGGAATGACCTGGAAGGAATTTCGTGAGCGAGGGCAAGAGATGGAGAAGCTGATGGCGGAAAGAGCGACTACACAAGCGAAGAACGAACAGGACGATGGTTCCACTCCCGAGATGAGAAGAGAAAGAGGAGGACGCTCAGAGGGTGCGAGGACGACCGAGAGGAGCCACCATGTCGACGGGCCTCTGCAACAAGCTCCTGTTGAGGAGTTTCGTGATACTGTTACTGACTCAAGCCGCATCCAAGCAGCAGCTCTGCTGCAGCAGCAGCGCCTGGAAGATGTGAGCGAAAGCAAAAGAGCCGGCCAACATTCGGGGAAGAATAAGAAATGGACACCATCACAAGATGAACAAAAGGCGTCAGAAGACGTATCGCCTCGACATGTTGTTGTTGACGAACGGATGAAACAAGGTTCACTCTTAGCGTCGATTTCATCTTCGCATGAAGAGCAGCATTCCAACTGCGGCTTGTTCTCACACGCATCCTGTGGAAGCACCGAAACTTCCGGCCCTCTTTGGGGCGACGTAGCTGCAGGAGCGGCTGGTGCTGGGTTTGAGGAGGAAGAGGTTGCGTCTAAAAAGAGCAGCAGCTCCGCTGGCGCCCCGAGTCAGGGACGAGAAAGTACTGGAGAACAACGCGCGCGCTGGTGCGACTTGATGGATGTCGACGGCGCAGGTGGCGCTACAGCTGCTGCACATCAAGTCGATGTCAATGAAATTCGACGTTTGCACGAAAAAATTCAAGAGGAATTGGAAGCGGACAAGTGCAAGGAACCGCGGCGACAAAACGATTCGGCCTCGCCGTGGAGTTCCTGGACCGGGCTTGGCACGTCCTCCACGCAGGCATACAACAAGGATGAAGATCATTCGCGGGGGCGGTGGACGACCACAGGGATCAGCGCTGGAAGTCATGTTCGCGGCGGAGCGAGTGGGCACGGAAAGGACAAGACCAGGAGAACGAGGAACCAACGAGCGTGGTATGAGGATGAAGCTATGGCATGGGAGGTAGAAGATGGCGCGAGAGCGGAGGAGCACCAGCAACGCAGCGCCCGGGCTGCCAATGAAAAGAAGGGCAGCCGGAAGTTGCTGTTGCAGCTGCGTGCACCAGAAGTGTCTTCCCGACAAGAAGAAGTAGTTGCCCCGCAGCTGGATCTCGAACTTGTTGGGCGGAGATTGAACCTTTTGGAGCGCCAAAAGATAGTGAAGAAGCTAGACAAAATTTTCCAATGCGTAGCGGCGGCATCATTGTCAGCACCACAACAGCAGTTCTACCCGGCGGGAAATACGGGGATGGTGATGGATAAAGGCTACTGGCAGCAGCTCGGTGACGTGCTTTTGCAAGACCCCAAAGGTGACACCTTCAATGGTCGCGAAGCTGTGGCGCTACCAGCGATTCAGCCAATTGTTGTGCAGCAAGTGCAGCCTTGGGCCCGAGCGATTTTAGGTGACTTCAATGCCTTGCGGCAACTGGTGATTCAGTACCTGCCAAACAAAGACGAGCCGGATCTTCCCCTGCTTTGGCGTACCGGCGTTCCTGGCAGGCACAGCCGCGGATTCGGGAGCGACAAAGAGCGGGAGCAGGTGGCGTTTGGCTATCAGGCCATTGCTCGTTACTTTCCGCTGATAGAGAACATCGAAGAGCTGGAGCGCGAAGCTGCTGAGTACTTTTTGGTTTACAAAGATTAAGATTTTAATTTGTCGAATCTGCTCCAGAGAGCGATTCTCCTTTCTTACATAGGAGCTGCAATGGGTGATGTTTTTTTTTCGTCGTCTTTGCAAAAGGATAGGTGAAGTAGTCACAGACAAGCTATCTTGTGTATGAGTGTGTTTAGTTTTTAACCGATAGTACCGAATACAAATGCGGACCTGGTCACCCCCTTTCTGTGGATGTTGAGCTGGACCTAGGAAGACGGGCTCGTAGTCTCCACCTACTTACTAACTTACTTCTTAATCCGGTAGAGATGTCTTCTGTACTTGACGAGCTTGATCATTTATTTCACAGGGCGGCATACACGGACCACGAAGCAGTGACCGAGCGGATTTTGCAAGGAGGGAGCCTGCCTCGACTGCTCGATCATGTGACCATGCATGTGGAACACTTCGCAACCAATGCGTTCGAGTCCGGAGGGTACATCGTCCTTGCACTCTTGCAGCCTCTCGATGCCGAAAATCTTGCGGAGACGCCGGCGAGCGAGGGCGCGCGGATGATGGAGCAAGCGATTTGGGAGAAGAGGCAAACTTTGCTGCTAAGCTTATTCGAAAGCGAGGAACGCTTCGTAACTTTGATCACAGACGAGGTCGGAGTTCGCACTTTGACAGCGGCGTTCGCTTTGCCGGATGCTGCCCTGCGTGACGACGTCCGGAAGGCGCGTGACAAGATTGTCGCACGGTTTTTCCACCCCGAAACTTACAAGAGCCTGGAAAAGTTTTTGGACCGAGAGAACGAAAGGGCCAAGGGCTTGCCAGAACAAGTCCCGAAAAATAACGACCTGTTGCGCTCCCAGGTTCTGCAACGCTTCGTCAACGCGTTCCCCTTTGTGTGGCTGGCGCAACACCAGTACGCACGCTACCTCTACACGTGGAAGTGGTTGGGCAAGGTCGCGAACATGCCGCAGCAGCGACTGATCGCGGAGTTTTACCGCCAGCTGCTCGTGCTACTATCAGCCCGGGCGGACGAGGAGGAGATGGAGAAGCAGAGAAGCCAACATGTTGGTGCAGCTTCTGGAGAAGACGCAGCTGCATCCGGCCAGGAAGTAGCAGCTAGCATTACGAACACCTCTTCAAGTAGATCACCGCATGGCCCAGCATTCAGTAGGCCTCGAACTAAGTCTTCTAGCTCGCTGAGCACTGCCTCGGACGGAGTAAAAACAGCTCGGTTACCGGGGCCCGCCCGACGGAAAAACTGGACCGGAGACGAAGATTTCACCGCGGTGTCCCCGAAACTTGAAGAAGCCGGCGCTATTTTTTTGCGCGAAAACCACGAATTTCTGAACCTACGTGCCTTGTTCACCATGGGCTTCTCGCTGCATCTGGTGCCACCATACAGTGCGGCATGGACGACATGGACGCACGACGGACAGATCGAGATCCCTTGGCGGCGCGACGAGTTTCGGAAAGAACAGATGTCCTACGTGCCCTTTGATTGTAGAGAGGATGACGAAGGTCATGTCCTCTATGACCCAGCCAGCAGCCACGACACACACTTTTTTTCGCGGCCCGGGTCAGCTTCGGGGCGGAAGATGAGCCATCAAATGATGCTAGACCACCGCGCGCGATACACGAACAGTGGCCGCCAAGTTTCCTCTCTGTCGAATAAGCCGCAGGGCAATGTGCTGGAGCGCATGGTTGGTCTACTCCGAACGCTGATCGAACGGGACACGAATTTGACCAAGTTCTTCCTGAGACACGAACCAGACGAGCCGCTCTCTTTGGATGAGCGATCGCTTGCGCATATCTCTGCCGCAGCAGGAGGCACAGAACCAAATAATGGTGCGCACGAAGGAGGAGCAAACGGATCTAGTGGAGGCGACGCGTCAGCACGACCTCCAGCACCACTATCAGTACTGCATTTGAACCGTTTTGTCCTGAAGCTTGACCGTCTTCTCAAGCTGCGGTACTCAGAGGAGGGGTGGTTCTTGATAAAGGAAAAAAACGCCGAAGACAATTCCCTAGAAGAAGCTCGGCTTGGGGAAACCGGTACCAGCCTGAAAGCGTTCAGACAGAAAAAACATGTTGGATATGGGTTGAAGTTTGAGGAGGACTTCAGCAAGCTGCTGGATTCCATTGCCTACATGCGCCAGAGAAACCAGCTGATATTGCAGGGCACAACTTCACCAACAGCCGCGTCGGCCGCTGGTATGTCATACTGCTAATTCATATCCACTTGCATAATATACACAGAATATATTAACTAGCAATATGACACATATTAATCAATATGACACTTGGCAACAACAGCGCACCGAAACGCCAAAAAAGTAGCATTATCATATTGTAATATTGTCATATTGTCATATTGCATATTGCTCGCGACAGCCCCGCGGATGAAAATTGGCCCCGTCCGAGCTGCTTGCGGACTATGCGGCCATTAGGACCGCGCGCCGTTGTGCAGTTTGTGCAGATACCAGCTATGCGCCTCGTAGGTTTCTCGTCTCCGGAGCATGTTGCCAACGCCCTGGCGCAGCGTTGAGCGCACTCCTGGCACGCTATTGATGGCACAGGCACTGTCTCTGCCGTTAGCGGCTCGACAGGACTGCAGAGTCATGTACTAGGTTGCTGCTGGCGCAGCATCATCGGAGAGTGCTTTTTCGGGAACTATTCCCGCGCCCGACCACCTGGCTAAACAGTTTGGCGCTGATTACAGTCTTTCTGCTTCTGAGGGTAGCGCATCTAATCACACCGAAACTGTGTCAAACCACATTGATTTTCAAGCAGTTCCCGCGTGTTGGTCTCCTAGGGCTAGTAGGGGACTCGCGGCGACGAGTGGGCAGCCCGGGTGGAGTCCCTTCTTCGTATAGGAGCAGCTGGGTGGCGGTAAGGCTATCGACCGTCGGGGGCGTTTTCGCGAACGAATTAGACGGGGGGCGAAGACGGCGTGTCATTGTCAGGCCATCTTTCGGTCCCCGAAGCCGATGGGTCCGGTCATATTGCTCAAAAAGTAGTGGTCATATTGACATATTGTAATATTGTCATATGTCATATTGCTAAAAGTGCCAGAATTTTGCTAGTTAATATATTCTGTATACAATTTCATTCATTTTCATACGTTATAGACCTGCTTCTTGGCTGGTAATGCGATGGATTGTTCCATTCCCGATCCCATTACTTGTGGCGCCTTGTATTTTTGCAAATCGCGGCCGCGGCGACGGGGAGAAGAAGATGGCGAAATGAGAATTCATTTATAAGCCATTCTTCTGCAGCCTTTTCGTTTTGGTTTTCTTCAGGCAGCCATGTGCCTTGTTTGTCCAAAAATTTTAAGTACTTAAGTACATAAACATGTTCAACACATTAAACAGGGCGGGAAGCCGATCCGAATTTGAACATCGCTGCAAAAAGCTTTCTCCAGAGCAATTTCCTGCAGAAGAACGACTTGAGCTCGTCACGAGACCGTAGGGAAAAGGCGACAAAAGGTATCGAAGCGTACTTGCGAGGAGTCGCACGCTGGCAAAGTCACCCACTACCGGAAGAGGTTGCGCGAGGCCTTCTTGCAAATGTGTGCGGGTTATGTGACGTTCCTCAGCAGATGCAGATAAACAACAGCAATGCAGCACTCGAGTACCTTCAGTGCAAGGAACAAGACGCAGCTTGTCAGCAGCAAATGATGCACCAATTCGGAAGCTGCAACGAAGGCTACTGCGCTGCTTTTCTTAATCAATCGCACCAGCCACAGCCAGCACAAGGAGGGGCTCCGTCGGACCAAACCGCAGACGAGCTCCGTCCACCATGGAACCCGAACTTGGCAGCGGAGCTTCATGCAGCGTTTTGGGAAAATTTCGCCGCACTGGAGGAAACAAAGCGCCAACTTTGCGACCTTCTTCAAACGACGCAAGCGCAGCAACAGCAACAGCATGGAAACGCAATTGCTGGTAGTGAAAGTGATATTTTTCCTGCAACAAATGAAGCTACAGTCGGAGTAGAATCATTCGCAGGCTCTTCCATGTCAGCAACAAGGCAGAAGCTGTCTGCGAGCGCCCCAATCTTTGTTCCGCATCAGAGTGTACCGTCAGCGCAAACACCCACTGCAGCAGGCATCATCAACATGGCACCGGAGACCACGACTGGTGTGAGTAGGATGCAGCAATATGATCATCCGCAGCAGCAGCACGAGCACTCGCTTCCGAGCTGCGGTGTTTTCACGGAGCAGGAAGCGGCAGTCCAGAATGAAGCGATGCAAAGTTATTTAGCAGCGTCGAAAAGCGATTTGTCCCAGACATGGGCACGGTCGTGTTCTTTCGGCCAGCAGGCGCTTCATCCCGACGCGATTCCGATTTCTGTTGAAGGACCGCTGCAGCATGTATATGGAAAGACGCAGCCATTTACTTTTACACCTACTCCCTGGCCTCAGGCCGACGGGCAGCAGCAGCAGCAGTTGTTGACGATGCTCCAATGTGCTGCTGCCTGTTCAGGAAATCATGAACGGTTTTCGACGAGCTCGCATGCAGTTGAAGATCATTCCAGCGTGACGCCTTTGTTCGTTCCGGGTGGTGGTGCATCGAATTTGCCACTATCTGCCTCCTCACTGTCTTTATCTGCGTCTGAAGAAGGCGCCGGGACGACAGGTTTCGCGGCTGCTGTGGATCTTCATGCTCATCAATATCCGGCACGACAGGAAAATAAATTGAAACAGTTGCATGTACTACATGATCGTGTTCGACGGAGCAACGGGGATGTCGCTCTTCCCAACAGTGACGAAGTACTAGACGGGGAACGTTCACCCGTGACGACTGCTCGTTCCGAACTGTCGAGTGAGGACGGTTCTTCATCCCCCGAACGTGCACTGGACGTTGAGATGCTGAACATGCGACAGTCGCAGGATGATCATGTCAACGTCCATTTACCAGGAGCGGGCGAGCAGGACGGTGAGGGGGACCACGAAGATCAAGATGTTGTCATGGGTACATTCGACACGAGCAGAGTGCCGAGGACAACAAGAGAACAACTGGGAGATAATCAAGATGATCGTGACCTGCTGTATGGTGGCGGATCACCAAGTGACGTTGGGCCAGAGCATCCTGGGGGGCACGTCGAACAGGATCGCTGGTGGGGGCCGACCCCAAGTCCTCAGGAAATCAGCGGAAGCAACTACGACCCTGCTCTTGGTGTCCGGCTTGCGTCGCTCTCGCTAGCAGATTTCCAACATGAGCACCAGCGATGGGCACCAGCATCGACAACGACATGGGAGATGCAAAAGATTCAAAACAAAAGGAAACCTCCACAGGGGCAACCGCCACCGCAGGATCATGGAGATGCCGATGAAGGAGCTGCTGCAGAATCACTTTCTGCATCTTCCTTCATGTCCTCGCAGCCCGCAGCTCGAGTTTCCCCACCCCCACCGAGCGCGCCACCAGTCTTGGAGGCTCTGCCTTTTAGTCCGCCCGTGTCGTCTGATGTTGGCCTGCATGATGATTTACCAAATCCGCCTGCAGCACCTGCTGTAGAGCCAATAATCGAAAAGAAAAATCAACAAGCTGACGGTGATGCGACGGGGCTGTCGAGTGACCGCTCTCAGCTTGATGATATGATGGAGATACATTGAGGAAGCTTATTAGGCTCGCATTTACGATTTCGTTCTTGAGATCAATAGAGCAGGTGGGGGGCATTGCGGACGATGTCTTCGCGGCCTCTTGTACGTACGTGGAAGTCATTTTTGTAACTCTTTCATGTTTTGACTGACTTCCGTCTCCATGTGCATAATGTAGAATTTCAATTTTCATAATCTAAATCTAATTTTTCTCTCCTTCTTGCTCGATGAATACCTATTGAAGTCGATGTTGTTCCTTTTTCTGTCCGATGAACAAAAACTCATGTGCTCATGATTTCATGTTAACAAAATATGCAGCAAAGTCAATTCCTCGAGAATGCCGGATTTTTTTCTTATTTCCGTATTTTAATTTTTCTCTCTTGATAGCCTAGCGGGCGTGGGTGGGCTTCGGAGGTGGTCCTTTGCTACCTACGTCTTGGTGTATCATGACCACGAACGTCACCGCTTACAAAGGATGAATAAGCAGCGTAGGTCTAGTAAGCGGCGTTGTCGTGGCCATGCGACCTGCGTCCGCCACACACTCAACACTAGAAAACATAAAGAGACGAAATAAGCATCAGCAAGGTGCTCGGGTGTCCTCGCCTCTAAACAGCGCTGCGCCTCCCCTTTTTCACTCCGCATGATCTCTCAACTTCGCATGATTAATTTTGAGGCAGTTTTTTCCTATGGTATGTTTTTGGGTCACGCATTTTTTCGCGACTTCTTCTGTTAAAATAATGAAAAGCTTGCATGATGTCCGATCAAAAGAAAGATGTCCAAGACGAATATCAAGGTGGAAGTATCGAATATGTTTTGTTTTTGAGAAGATGGAGATCGTCTCCTTATCCTTCACAAGAGATAGCAACGTGTACGTGTTACGCTAAGTAGACGTGCTGGCAGTTTTAGTTTACCAGCAATGTTCTGGCAGGAAAAAGCTAAACACAACCTCTGATTTGCTTGATGACCAGTGCCGTGTTTTTACAGGATGGGAAAGCGGACCCTTCGATGGAACTGATCAAAAAGGGGGTGATACACGTTTTCCCGTGAAGCAGACTTGAAGAAGTAAAAGGCAGAGTCGTGCTTGCGGTTGGTTCTTGTTACACCATGCTATTTCTTTTCGCAACTTAAACTTGTACTCTGCCTCTGCATGGTTTGACGGGGATTTTTTCTACCACAATCACATAAGATTTACACTTCTACGCTCATCAAAGAGCGAGCGTTCGGCACTAGTCGTAGAATATTAGGGAATACAGATAGTTAGAAGGTGAAGGTTGACCAGCCGCGCAACGTGTAGGTTTCACTTACGGAAGGAAGAGAACACCAAGGTTGCATATTTTTTTGTTCTTGTTGCACTCTTTCACTTTCTCTTTCACTTCACCAATACATCTGCCGGCGACAGCTACAGTATGTACGGCTCGAAGCTAATCGGGGACGCCACTACTTGGTTTTCATTAACCTAGCAACATGCAGTTGCAGCAGAAAGATGAAGATCCACGACCGTCAGGAGACGTAAGTAGCGCAGACGTGACGTTGTTCGTCATGTTGTACAAAGTGGATTGAGCGTCGCATAACCATTCGTAAACACGGAAGAGCATTGTGAACAAGAGTGAAAAAATCGTAAAGAGGGCGGAGCGAAAACCGAAAAGAGCCGTACTACGATATGGGTTCTCGCGTTGTTTTCGCGCTCTTCGCGAAAAGACCAGCTCGCCTTCTCGCTACAGTGCAAAAATTCAGACGTCCCTCTGGGATTTATATTTGAGTTTGTTTTCTTCGCAATATAGCTCTTTATCAATTGACATATGTTGAGTACTTAAACCTTTCTTCATCAAGTTCTACGCGCGAAAATAACTCGACTCGTGCCCGCTATCCCTGCTATCCCTATCGTGGTCGTCCATTCATCGTGTGGTCTTCGTTGTGGTTCAAATATGCGTGAAGTTTTTTTCGCCACCCATTAACTTACAAAGAAATGTGACCTGACCTTGATATCTATATAGCTTTTTTTTTTGAAATTTTGAAGGGTGGAGCCTTCAGCGCTCAGGAGCTCCGGGTGTAGTTGCGCTGTGTGGCGCGAGCTGTCTCAGCGGCAGCTGTAGTAGTACCTACTGCAGTTGTTTTCAGAGAAGCTCGTGCGGACACCACGACGCTAAGAACCGCTGCACCAAACAAACTCGCTTGTAGGTCATTTGCAACTTGGCGGCCTTTGTTCCCCAGGGTAAGTGTCCTACAACAGCGATGATAGGTAAGATGTAGTACCGACTCCGAGCAGAATTTCTCTTGGAGAAGCCCGAGCCAGCTACCGCTGCGGCCATAATCAAATTAAAACGAGAAGAATCTTCAGAAGAATTTGCCGTCCGTCGTGCTGTTTTTACTCATTATTCGCACGGATAAGAGCGGAGCAAGTTCAGGAGGTTGGGGACGTTGACGGTCTCACAAAGTCAAGCCTTGCTGTTTTCTGTGGCGCCTGATGACTCGCACAGAGAATAAGCAATCGTCGTCCATCCGGGATCTTCGAAGAAACCGTGGCTCTGCGGCAGTTGCTGCCTGTAGTCTTATCGGCGCTGCACGGACAGGAGGAGCAGGTGGAAACCTGCAGTCATTTTTTTTTGCAGGAGGAGCCACATCGCCACGACCGTTTTCAGTTTCATCGTCAAGATTTGCGTTTTCCTTTCGACGGCGTTGATGTGACGAACCAGGGTACATCAACAAAAAACAACATCAATCTTCCACCCGTGTCCAGCGGGGGCGCGTCGTCTGCTGAAGTAACTGTAGCACCAGCTTCCGCGACTGTTCGTGGCGTCCCACGTCAAGAAGGTGAACGAACACTCCCGCACCTTTTTCAAAGCCATTGTTACTGCATCATCGTCACGACCACTTTTCAGAGGCAGATTCATCTGTCGGAACTTTCTGCCATTTCCATCTGGGAGGAAGTGGACGGTGACGCACCATGACGGCAAGCCGAGTCTCCCGCGGCGGCGACGACGGTGGGATCATGCTTGGCCCATCCTGGACAGGGGACACATCACAGGATCTTCACGATTTTGCTGCAACTCTTGAGGACGATCGACAGATCTGCGGATCCGGACGAACGAGCAGGATCCCACAAACAGCAGGGGTTGGGGTTGTCCCACCGTCCCCGGCGAGTTCACAAAGATTAGAAGCGCAGGTGGAGCACCAGCATCGTGGAGGCCGCGAATCACGAAGTCGTCCTCAACAACGTCAACATGCGGATCCCGATGAAGAGATCTTCTATACGCTGCGACTCGTAGTCGGGTTATCGGGTGATGTGTGTGCGCTGCCGGACGCTTTGCCAGCATCCACAAAGGTAAAGGACGTACTAGCCGACGTCGCCAAGTTGGTACACGCGATGGGATTCGTGCGACACCCGGTGCCTGTCTCCTTGTGCGTGCTGTTTCATCGAGAAACCGGCGCTGTGCTTGAAAGCGAGGACCTGCTGCTTGACACCTGCGATTTCCAATGTGGCTTCTGTATACGGACCCTCCCAGAATTCTCCGCATTGTGCTGCGGTATGTAAACATAGTTTTAGCTCGTTTAGTCATAAGGATAAGTTTTTTTGAACAACTTCAAGTGATAAAATAATTAGGCTGGTGCAGTGTATCAGATCTTCGAACTCGAAGTCGAACAAATTTGCTGATCAGGATGAACAGAGACGGGCTCTTGCTAGTACTTCCTAGCGGGGGTTGTGACCGCTAGCTAAGTGGTACGTTATACTTGGAGTAGAAATTCTCTGATATCCAGGTCTACTCTTGTTTTCAGGTCCCCAAGAGTTTTTGTGGCGCGAGCTCGTAAAGAGCGCGAATGAGGAAGAGAAGTGCCGGGTGATCATTTTTCACATGTTCGACTCGAATTTGAACGCGGTTGACCAGGCGACGGCGTACTCCACCCGGAACACGATTTTTACCTACATCTTTGAGTGCTTGGAGCCCTTCCTGGACCTGGGCTGGCCGCAGGTGCGCGACCGGTTGTGCACCCTCCTGCAGTGCTTGCTGGAGTCCGAGCGCGTGTCCTTGTCGACGATGCTGCACCGCAACTCGCATCAGGAGAACTTTTTCTCGTTGCTGCAGCGACGCTTCCTTCCGGCCAACACCGACGGCGGGTTGATTGCAGACTTTTTGCTCACGAAGGTAATCGGACAATGCTACTACCTCAGTGACATCGTGGAGAGAAACCCTTGCGCCGGCGGCCGGGCGACGCCACCATCACCTGCATTTACCCACACCTTCTCATCTACCAACCTGGCCCACGCCGTGGACAGCTGCAAAATGTTGCTCGTTCGATGAGGATAAGCTGGTGGAAAAGCTGAAGATGAGGAACATCACCGAGAGGACCACGAGGACGAAGTGGAATATTATACGCAGTTGCAGGGCTACGACTATTACGCACCTTTGTTTGCAGTGATGACGTTGCAGCTACTGCTCCATCATCTTAGTCTTTTCTTGTTATGGGAGAAACAAGAAATAAACTCAAGTTTCTTCTCCTTTGAGACAGCAAAATCGAAGCGAAACATCGGACGAGCACATCAAAACGAAACCACTCCAACCCGAAATGAAACCCGAATGAACAATGTAAAAAGCGATGAGAGTGTGACAGGTACTACTAGTCGTTACTGATATATCAATGCCTGCTCGGAGTCGTACTCGGACTCGCTGCACACCAACAAGTAGGAGCCTAGACTTTCGCAATAGTATTTGTTACAGAAGTCGCCGTGCGCTTATCCTTGTGTGATGTACTGCGGCCCCGGGGAGTAACTCGACCACCGCGGCAGCTCGTAGCTGAAGTTGTGGACGAGCGGATGACCGGTAACAAGGTAACGAAGAACTTGTTGTTGAAGTTGTAGTGCTGGACTAGGACGAGTAGTTGAGAGACCTTTTGAAGAATAATTGTTGCTTGTTGAATCCGAGTTGAACGCTCGCGGATGTCATGCCTGTTTATAATGTTGAAGTTGAACACGTCTTTCGATCGAAGAAAAAAAAGAAACCAAGGATGGAAGATTTGTTTCGTCGATTCTGTTTCAAGAAGTAACACAAAAACGACGACATCACATCGCTCACGGTCGAAGCGTTCAGTGTCTCGTTTCTAGTGCGTGTGGGGTCCACAAAAGCGGAAACATATTTTCAATTTCTGCAGCCACTTTAATGTGTGTTTTTTAGCGCAGGATGGATAGATGATGACGATGATGATGATGATGATGATGCTATTTCTGCATGAGTAATATGCATCCGTGTCTGGGGATGGGGAAATCAGTCCACTTCGTTAATGATACGCGTCAGCTCCGGATTTTTTTTCGCGAGATACATAGTACTACAACTTGACAGGATGTTCATGTTTTCAATATACAATTTCAATAGGGAATCGGTAGTGCCGGGCGGGCGTTTTTCTATTTTGATCTTGCTTGGCATACTTCTGGAAACTCGTGATGTCGTTATCGGTGGGTGCCTTCTACCACCTAGTGCTTATCGTCATATCAGAGCTCCTGTTGGAAGAAGCAAATCGTTGGTTCTTGCAGTACTAGTTTTTACGTTTGATCTTCTAGGTACGACATCAGAACAATAATTTAATCCTACTACGAAACTACAGGTGCAGATTTTTTTTGTGGGGGGAAGAGAGAATTAGAATTTCAAAGACCACGACAGGGAAGAAAAAATATAGTGAAAAACGAACGTCAGGGGACGATCGCGATCCGCTTCAAAAGTAAAACTTCGTAAAAAATAAGTTTTTTTAGTCTTCTGCCGCGAGTTCTTAAGGCAAGGCGAAAAAGAAAAAAATGACGGAAGTAAATCCCGATATTTTGGGTGCGAAGCACTACGCCTCCCGCAACTACAATGACCTACGACAGGCGGCAAACACAGAAAGGAATCGACTGGACTGGCTTTACACGCTGAGGCAGGTATGTGAGACTTAAAGGTGTAGTGTCTGTTTTTCCGAAAAATGATTACGATTGGAAATAGAAGGGGGGGCATGTCCATGTTCATTCTAAACTCTAAAACGAACAAATCAGCACTATCCGCGGAAGCAGCAGACGCGTGCAGGGAGCGGCGATGGTTTCGCAGCGCATTCTCCACGAGACAAGCCAAGCCACACCACTCCTCCCGAAGAGGGGCCGTATCAGAGCAGATGGCGCAGTCGCTCGGAGCAGATCCCACCAGAGAGCGAAATGTTTGCCAATGAGAAATACGGAAACTTTGCAGACACCAGACCCATGCTGCAGAATGGTATCTTATCGATGTACATGTTGTAGTTGCGTCACGATATGCAGGTTTTGACTCTTAAACTTAAATTGCAAGTGCTTTTTGTTTCATCTCGGAAAAAACCTACTTACTTACTTTCTGAGGCGGAAGTTCAGTTGCGAGTTCTGATAGATTCATTGATTTTCATGATTATCATCTCTTACAACTATCAACAATATGATCTTCAGCTGCCACGATGCGGGTTTCCGGGGGTGGGTATTCTGAAATAAATTGGCAACTGAACCTCCGGGGCGGCAAGGCAGGAAAGCCAGATTTGAAATGGAAGAGGTACGTATCTACCACGTACTCATGATTTTTTTTTAACGCCGCACATGAGTGCGCGAGCGGCCATCATGTCCCGAGAAACATCCCTGATATGCCTATTTCTGAATGTTATGTGTTTTTAGTATGCAGCTTCGCACACTAGTACTACAGTTACTTATAGATTGTCCAGCAACGTATTTTTCCTTCTGTACTATCGAATACCTCACAACACCACCAGGTACTTTTCGAAGTCACACCAGAGTTTCGACCTGGCGAAAACGAACTTCGCGGACGGGCAGTACGAAGAGAAGTTTACCAACCCGAAGACGCATATGGGAATGTCAGGATCGAAATCGACAAAATCGAAAAATTTGCGATGCATAAAATCGATACCAGTTGGAGCCCAGTTTTCAAGTGGTGCATGACAAATTTTGGCAGTACCTAAATCCAGTTTGTCATGCTGTTTAGGCAAAGAAGAGTCCGCCTGTAGTGCTACTGTGGCAGCACATTGCATACTGCAGGCTTTCAATCAGTCTTATTTGCCTGGTCCCCAACACAGCTCATGCGTGCCCTACGTGTTATGCATTACAAATTTTCCGACTTTGTCGATTTCGATTCTGACACTCCCATAACGCAGGAACGGCTATACGACCGCAGCCAGTCGGCGCTGCCGATCGCCTCGATCCGCGACATGGACCTGAATATGCATTGCAAAAGTATCGTACTCGTAGTAATTGCAGCGGTGCATGACAAATCCAACTTTCTACCTGAAATAGCATGACAAGTTGCATTTTTGTTCTTGGGAAAATTTGTAATGCAATTTATACTAGTGCGATGCTTTTGCATTGCATACTGAACTTTCGGTACTGGCCCGGCTGCGAGGGGTCAAGTACCAACACGTGGGAGCACCTGGTGCAGGACAGGAAGCACGGTCACAAGTCCCGCAACAACATGAAGTACGAGGCAACGCTGCGCGAGCACGACGGCTACCTCGAAAACCTGGGCAGCCGCATCCAGCACAACCGGTCCGAGGGCTGCGTCACCGAAATGCTCGGGAAGAAAAACTGGCACTACGGCCACGCTGTCGGTATAATAAGTCGTGTGTGATGTGCACCTGGACCTGGTCATCTCAGTAATTTTGTCATGAGTTTCCTCTATCTTCGCTTTGTCAGCCAGATTACCTGTAGAAGTAAAGCTAAGGCAAAATAAGCATCTTTTTTGTATCGAGCATGAATTTAATCTGTTCTACTTTCTTTCACAACAGCCAACGACCTCGCGCTGCCCTACAGCCAGGGAGGCGACGTCAAGCTGCACCACATTCGGTCGGTTTTGGGGGAACCGCACGACGAATCTTTACGGCTCCGTCGCCACAAGACCAAGAGAATTCCGCCGAAGGAGTAAAATCAAAAGCAGGCTTAGGCTCGGTTTTTGGGCAGTTGTTTTTGCTTTTATGTTTAGAGCTGTTTGATGTCTTCGTCCCGGTGCAGTTTTTTATACATCACTCAGCTTCGATCCTCACCCAATAGTGGTACATCAATCAACATTCTGTTCATCGTCGCAAAAAGCTGGGAAGTTATTAGCGCGGAAGAAACCGCTTTTTGTTGCGTTTTTATCGATTACAAACATCAGCTCTCTTTCTAATGTTACCGTTTCAACATCAACTCTTGTGCGCGTAAGAATGAACAAGTTGAAGTTTAGCCATCAATTACACCATCTTCAATCCTTGTCCTAGGTCAACATCCTTTCTCCTAGGACGTCCAGGATCTGATCAGTTTTGATATACCTATTATCGCTTTTTTGTTCACGGGAAAAAAGGTCAACAATACTCACAATAGTCACCACGGCAACATTTGTTCTTTCACCTGTAGAAAATTTTTGGTATGTTATTTGCTTCTCTTCGCAGCTCTTGTAGTCGCGTCATCATGGTTATCTCTTGTATGAAAATGTACAATATGATGAAGCAGATATTGGCTGAATCTCGAATGACACACACAGTTGTATAAACGATAACCATTGTGCTACACTAAAAGTAGATAAGACCACGAAAAAAAAACCGCGGGTGTGGGAGACATTTCGCATCGATCTCCGTCTTCGTGGCCGCCCCTGTGCAGAGTCATTGCATTCGTTCTCATCTTTTGTAGGACTCTCAAACATCAAGAACCAGTTGTTGCTACGTGGTTGATCTTCGTCCTCAATGATCTGCAGTTTGATTTCCTCTTTAGTCGCGGCCAGAGCACCTTGAAATAGTAGAACCTCTGGTACTCGTGTCGTCGGATCGGAAACTGTACTTCGTCGCCCTTCGTAAACTACAAAGACAGAAGTTACGCACCTAGGTAGAGTACTTTCGAGGCGTAATATCAAAGTACCTCGCCGCCGTAGTTTGGTGTCGTGTCGTTTTGCCTTCTTGGTCGAAAATAAAATACGAGACCGTCATTTCAGAACGAGAACTTGAACCGGAAAAATGAAAGAACGTCGATTTTTACAAGGGTCGTCGTCGTAGTCGTCGTCTACTTCGTACTAAATAAGCGGTATTCTGAACGCGGTCAAGCAGGTCAAACTTCGTCGTGCGCGATGGGAAGCCATTTTCCTTGAAGTAGTGTGCCACCAGTGTTTGAAATAATCCAATCAACAGGACGAGCTGCACTTTCTTTGTTCACTTAGAAAAAAAAACATTTCTATCCTCTCACACACCTTCCTGGTCCTGACAAAAAGCATGCCGCACATCACGAAGATGAAGAGCTGCGCCGTATTTGCGCTCGCCACGGTTTCTTCGGAGACGCAGCTGCTTCTGCTGCAAGCTTCCCGAATTGCAGCGCACGAGAAGCAGCACCTGTACCGTGGCGGTGCCGTTCGGGTCGCGAAGCTGCGTATTGATCTCTCTTCAGGAGAACCTGCGTCGCGTGCCGGGAACAATCGCCCCGGTGGGGGACAGCATCTTCAACAGGAGCTGCTGCAGCAAGATCGTGCGGTCGTCGTAAAGAATGAGCAGTCCTCGGTTGAAGATGTGCCGGAAGATCAAAATGATCGTGCTGGTGGAAGCACTGTATTACAAGTGCAGCTGGACATGGACAAGGAGAAGAACAAGGTCGGGAAAAAGCGCGACGACGACGAGGAGGACGACGACGACGAGGACGAGGAGGACGACGAGGAGGACGGCGGGGGGGAGTACGAAGAGGATGGCGAGGGGGAGTACGAAGAGGATGGCGAGGGGTCGTCGCCACTGCGGCAGCCAAGCACAGCTACAACAACAACACCGATCGCTCCAGCCGCACCAATTGGCCCACCGGCACCGGCTGGACCGGCTGTGGCCCGCGCCCCAGTGGCACCTGTTCCGTTCCCTGCACCGGCACTACAACCGGCCCCGGCAGCTGCACCACAAAGCACCTTGCCTTGGGCCCAATGCCACGACCCAGTGAACAAGTGTCATGAAAGCAGCAGAGTCAACACTGCGCCATGCATGCTCAGGGGACCACTCTGGAATGGGTGTAAGTGCACCACCTTCGTGCCTTCTCCGGAAGCGGTGGGGCCGGCGGAGGAGGCCTGGAACCAGTGCCACACTAGTGTCGACCTGCACGAGCACGATTGGGACACGGTGCAACCCGTTGGGATTACGGCCGCTGCCCCTCCGGGTGCACCGACGAACTACCAACCGGCTCCGCTGGCTGCACCAGCAGCTCCTTCGCCCGTGGCTGCGCCGGTTCCGCAGGCGGCCGCACCGGCAGTGGCGCCGATTGCTGCACCGGCACCGGTACCACAAGGCAGCGGGGCGTGGGACTGGCAGACCTGCCACGAGAAAGTGAACAATTGCCATGATCCGAACAACGTCAACACGCCGGAATGCGCGATTGGGGGAGCGCTTTGGAACGGGTGCCAGTGTAACGCTTTCGTGACCGACCTAACCGCGCGTCCGGAGGAAACTTGGAACAAGTGCCACAATGCGGTCGATTCAAACCAGAATACGTGGAATCCGAATCAGATGATCATGTAAATCTAAATGATCAGATCACGAGCGATCATCATCACGAAACAATAGACGCACGATGAAGATAAGAAGAAAGAGGAGAGCGTCAGTGTCGGCTTCGACGTACCCGCCGTACAACTACGGCCTCCGACTTCTTGCGGGGGACATTCCCATTCAGCAAAGGGTTGCGTCAGTGAAATTCAAAAATTTAAACATCTCACATGATCACCCTCTTCTTCAGTTTTTTCGTCCTTGAAGCAGCTGCAGCTATATAGTAATTATTTTTTTCTACCGCTAATTTTGCCCTCTTTCACTTTCGTCCAACATACAACAATTTTTGTACTTATTTCGTTTTGAAAAAAAATTATCTGATTATTGCATAAATATTTACAAGGATTTTTAGTCCAGGAAGACCGATGAGGCAGAGGTTTACTCTATTACACATGTTCATGTAAACGGTTCGCAAAGTCACAGCTCTCACTTTTTTGTTCGGGAATTTGATACTATAGTTTCTTTTGGGAAAACAGCGAAGGGATATAATAAACATAAACAAAAAGAAAATGCAACGGCATGAAAACACGACATTTTTGTGCTGATGATCAAGACTTTGTTCACGGAGTGAGGCTGTGCTCCTTGAGGTTCAAGATCAAAGAGGAGATCTCAGCTGTTGCAACGACGCATCGTCAGTTCCATTTGTGCGATTGCTCAATAGTGTGTGGATCATCCTCGGGTACCAGCAGCGTTTTGATATTCGGTGATAGATCATTTTCATGTTGCGGAAGGATTCTAAATACGAGAAGTGATGTCGAAGACGAACGGGGCGTCGTGATCGTCGTGGCGGTTACGGTTTGTAATGAATTTGAACTTCATATTCAATACGAATACCTACATCGTGCCTTGGCAGTTCATCATGCGGCGGAGGATGGTGTTGAACTATGGCGACAGACTAAACGTAGACGTACTACCATCTATTCAACAAGTTCGTGTTTGTCTGCTCTGTCGTTCACGTTCTCCAGGTCTTCAGCGAATCTCAATCTAGTAAAAACCTTTTGGTCTCGCCGTTGATGCAGCACCAGCAGACTGGAGCCTGGTTTGCTCTACTGCGAGGATCGTGTGACGACTTGTCCTTCTGGTTTCTGATTCTGGTTTTAGACTGTGCAAATCAGTTTCCCTTGTTGATTTGGTCGTAGTTGTTGCAGAAAAAAGAATGTCGCCTCCGATGAATGAGTGTTAGTCGGAGACTGTACAACTCAAAGCATGTATACCCGTCCGGCTGTGCTTCATCGCACAGCGGACGTAGACGTAGTTGAAAGCCTTCACATTGCTGACGAAAGATCACGTAGTGAGCACTACACACTATAAGTTTGTGGTATTAACGAAGGAGGAGCATATCGATATTGGCCCGCCTTGATATTCGCGCGCAGGTGGAAGTGGCAAGCTGTATACTTCGTAATGAAGATGTCGATCATGGATTAATAGATGATGCGCATGATGAAGACTACCATGTCCATGCCGACGGTGCGAGTCGCTCCGCGTCCGCGCATATTCGGGGGCCGGCGGCAATGTAATCCCGGTTGTCACGGGGCTGATCTCATGCTGAGAAGTAGCGAGCGCGTCGTCAAGGCATCCTATCACCACACGACGCAAATAAACTTTTGCAGTGGGGGTCCAACACTAGGAGCATCTAAGATTTCACCCGCACGAGAATTTCATTCGGCTATTCGGTCTTCACATACTGCGTTGCCTGGACGCGGCCCAGGAGCCTGCTTCCCACGATGCATGGCGAATACTGCCGATACTTGTCGTACAATTTCAAGTGCCAACAGTACTGCTACGTCTTCCTCTTCCTCGTCCTCTACCCCCAGGCTTAAAGTTAATCGCCACGTCACCACGACCAGTGCGCCGGCATCTGGATCTTATCCTGCCGAGCCCGGTGCTCCACCTCCTGGCGTTTATTTCCAAGGTGCAGCGTTGTGTGGCGAACACCGTACGGGTACGACATCATCATGTGGTGCTGAGGGCACGGGCAGCTCAACTACGTCTCCTCCGGCGTTTACTTTTCCTACCGCAGGAGGTCTTTTCGACGAACAGGAGAGCGCAGGTGCGGCCCCGGCAGTTGGTCTCGCGAAGGCATTCATCTACCACGGAGGGAAGACGTCCGGTGCAGACAGCAACGCATTGAATCTGAACGGGATACTGGACCACTTCGCTGCTGGCAATGACCCGGTCTTCACGGTGCAAAACAGCTTTCTCGGACAGTTGCGGAAACGCAGTAGTTCCCAATACCTATGGTTGTCGCTACATTCTGCCGGAGGAAATGGAACGTACTGGGCCTACTTTCTACGTACTGGGGGAGTAGTTATCTGGGCGCCACCAACAACAATAGCCCAAACCACGACCGGAGGAGGTGCGCAAGTACAAGACGAGCAGGCCACGAACAATTTCGACGCCGTGAAGCATCTGATCGAAGTAGGTCGGGATCACCTCTTTTGCGAGACTACGGGACATAGCAATGCGTTTGAACAAACAGTGAGCGCTGGTTTTGGGGAAGGTCCTGGTCACATCATGACACCGGGATCTTCATCGACGAGAAACTACACGGCTTCTTGGTCAGCACTGCGGACGAACGCGACCAACTCTAGCACGAGCGCTATTTCCTCGGCCACTGGCAACAAGAAAACACACGAGCGTAAGCACAGCGAGGGCGTTCGGAAACTCCTGTCCTGGCTGCCTACGAAGAAAAGCGAGAACTCGCTGCTCGCGAAGGCGAATCAAACCATTGTGAGCAACGTGAAGCTGGACTACGAGCAACAGATCGAATGGAGCGAGTCACTGTCATTTTCCACGGTGCCAGGTCCAGGTGCAGGGGGATCATCTCTTGCTACAAGTACAACCTCAAAGACCGGCTGTACTTCGGGTGAAAAACACACAGATATGAATCAGAAGAAGCGAGATGTTCTTGAACAAAGTAAAGATCACCTCGGTAATATCAAGGCTGGCAGTGCTGCTTTTGGCACCGCGGCGCCAGGCGCTTTTTCTTCCTCTACCCTGCGTCTGCACGGGAATTCCTACAGCGCCTCCAATATGAAGAGCAGCTTCCATCTGCATGACTCGCACATCCGGCTACAGAGGGATGCGAGCAACCTCCCAACCCTGTGCCTTGCGACCAGTTTGGCGATGGATTTTGCCGTGCGCGTAAACGTGGAGGAGCAGCTGCTGAAGGAGTTTTTGGAGCTGGTGGATTCGGAACTGACCAAGTTCCGCACCGAGCTGCAGAAAACGCTGGACTACGTGATTTTCGTCAAGCGAATCTCTTCGCTGCAAAAACGGATCTTCAACCTGGAAGTGAGTTGCCAGCGGCTGCTGTACGCCAAGCTGCACCCGTTGCGGGAAAACGCGGACGTCGTGGATCTTCTCTGGGAGAGCGGGGAGGCGGAGAAGATCTACGAGGACGTGTGTCAACAAACCTTCGACCTACCGAGCCGCATCAACAAGCTGCGACACGAGCTCGACTACATGGTGGGGCTGTCGCGGACCCACAACGAACACGTACGGCACGGGCACAGCTCGCAACTCGAGTGCCTCATCATCTACCTGATCGCGTTGGAGATCTTATTGTTCGTGGGTGACCACTGGAACCACATATTCTGCGCAAAGCCGAGTAAGGCGAATACTTCCGATCGAGCTGTGGAGTAGCGAACTATGTTGTATAATAGGTTTACGTAGATGCAGTGGTGGCGAACAAGACCGCCACCGCTTCAGTTTACTGCATTGGAGGTTCTAGTCCAGGGAGCTCCTAGCGTAAAGAGGGTCGAAGAAGGGAGATCTCTTTCACCCAAAAAAAGAGATTAAGTATTTTTTAAAAATGTTCAATCATGTTGTAGAAGTACTTTTCCTTCTTGCGCCACAAGGAGGCTCAAAGGCACTCTACGCAGCATGCTCTTTGCTTCTTCTCGCATACAACGCATCCGCGACGGGCCCGCGCTCAGCTCGCTTAGACTTTCTGTATATAGTATAGTGTTCGATGATCTACATCTAGTACGCAGATACAGAACTTGATCAAGACGTCGATCACGATCTGTCTACCGTTCATTGTCAAAATTCCTGGCGCGCTTCTTTCGTGGCATACGCATAGATTATCTTTCCGGAGTCACTTTGTACCCATCAACCAGCAATTTATGATTAGATTGAAAGAGAAAGGAGAAAGTTGTGTCTATTTTTTCTTCCTGCTGCTTCATTCTCGTTGTTGTTCATGATTGTGTACTGTTTCGTACAACTCTCAGCGACAAAAAAATTTCTTATCGAAAGTGCTGGGCATGGCCTTGTCTGCCGCAGCCGCCCGCATCAGAAATATTTAGAATACAGTGGAGGTTTACCTCTTTGAAGACAAAGATCAAGTTTTATCCATCTTCTGTAGCCTTAATAGCTGGCGTTCACATTCACGTTGGTGTTTCGCGTCTTGGTGCGACTAGTTTCTCTACTTTCCAAGAAAACATTCTGAAGAAGCAAGGTCGGTGAAGGTACTAAAGTACTTCACACGCCGAGAAAGACAAATAGCATGAACCACTACAACAGCGCCTCGGCATCCTCGACAGCGACCCCACGCCGAGGACCATACTCGTCCAGTGAAGACAACCAGGGCAACCTCAAGAATCTGAACCCAGCAGCAAGAATTGGCAGCCGGTCAAACCGTGGAGACGGGCAGACTTCACAGACCGGACCGAAAAAGCCTTTGGTACCACTGCCGCCGCGAAAAAAAACTGTTCCTTCATCTGTACTACTGACGGACGAAGTGGCGACTCTGCCCAAAAAAGCTACGACGAACACCAATGGGAACGCAACAAATTTTCCCGGTACTGCACGCACGAAGCACGGCGTTAGAGATGGTCTGGAGGCAGAGACTGCGACCACCTCATACACCGACCGCGTATTTGCGAATGTTGTGCGTCATGCTATTCCAAACTACGCGCGAAGAAAAACGGAGGACAGGCCAAGGAGTAGCTGTAGATCCCTTGTTCACGACACTGCGGCAGCGCCGACCAAGAGCGCACAGAATGGGGAGCAGGATGTCGAGGGCGTCGACGCCTGGTTTTGGCGCTCAGCAGAGACCATGCAAGCACGAAATCTGGTTCGGTTCGAGACCGCACAGCTTGTCGAGAAGCAGCAGCAGCGAGAACGAAATGGCCTGCTGAGCACGCGTGGCATCGAGAGCACGCAAAGGGAGCGGCGCACGGAACGGGAAAGTAGGAAAAATGAGGCGTACCGGGCGTACGAAAAGCGCATGGCAACCGACATCATGCAGGAGACTAACAACAGCGTGAGCGTGAATAAATCACAGAACAACCTACTAGGCCTCGAACAAAGCTACGTGGTGTCTAAAACCGGTGAGGTGAAAGTCGAGGAGCCGCGCCCACTCCGGGTGCCCTTCCCGACGTCGTCAGCGAGCCTGTGGGTCAACGGCCTCCAAGTGAAGAGCTTTCCGACTCTGCACATTCAGCTCCAAAACTGCGCCGGGAGTGACTGGAAGGAGGGGCTAGAGTACGACAAATTTTTCAAGGGGAAAAACGCGGAAGCCGTTTTTTCGGAAGGGTGGTACTCTCGGACTTTGTCCGGTGTCGGCAAAGAGACGAAGGAGTCGTCACCAGCGAAGCTATGGCTTTCACCCCTGGAGAAAGATCTCCTTGACACGGTGAAGATGGTGCTGTTGGTTCACCACAAGGAGCGCGAGCAACTCGCTTCAGCGCAGATGATGTCAACTAGCAATCTTCAACTACATCTACAAGGAGGAGAAGCTGCTGGTGGCGCTTTAGGACTCGCAGGAGCAGCCGCACACCAACGCGAGCCCTCTGGAGGCGGCGCGCGACATAAGACAAGTGCACCGTCGACCATGACTCCGGTGTACTCCACTTTGGAGATTGACAAAATGTTCAATTTTACGAACTCTAATTCGGACCCGTCGAAAAAGCAAACGCGGGACGGGTGCCAGCTGACATTCACACTGCACTTTGACAAAATGGACTGCACCGATGACGCTGCGCTTGCTGGGCGCGTTCTCCGCGAGGCATTCCCGCACGGAGCGATGTTTCTGCGCGGCAGGTATCGTGTGGTCGGTGCAAGCTGGCGCGGCGGGCTGGCGGCCTACGAAAGCGAAGGTATACCTACTTCACAGGTGAAGATGGATAAAGTAGAAAGTCAAGCAGCTTTTACGTCGCAGGGGGCCACCCAGGGTCGATTCCGTTTCACGTTGGGGAACGACAAGCGGCGGGATTGCAGACCGAGGATGATTGAAGATGCCAGCGCGGCTCGTGCAGGACGAGTTGCTGGATCTTCAGCCGCAGATATTAACAAAAAGAGTAGCAGTAGCACAGCAAGAAACCGAAATGTCGCCGCCGCTGTCGACACCACCGGAAGAGGGAGCGCACTAAGTGATCGTACTGTCGGTGCACCAAGCAAGATTTCCTTTGCTGATCTGCTCCACGGTAGAGAACAACAGACTAGTTCCACCTCCTCCTCCGCCTTTGCATCCGTTTTTCCCCGAGCGCCCGATGCTTTGCCGATAGCTTCGACGGATGGGAGTATAAAAGCCGTGGAGAGCGCGAGCGCCGCTGCCATTAGCATGGAGCAGCCAGCATCAGGTGAATACAATGCCCTGGATACGAAAAGAGGAGCAGCTTCTTTGCTAGACGTCGGGAAGGCGTCTCCTCACGACGTCGAGCTGGTTCGGAGAAAAGAGGAAACGGAACTGTGTCGAGTGGCAGCGCAGATTCAGCAGGGTGGTTGCGACTCGCTGCTACTCGAACTCCCGCGGAGTTTGCGGTTCCTGGCCTCTGAATTCTTTTCTGACCATCGCAGTACAGGTGTTTTTCTGCAGGAGCCCACTGGTGGAATTATCGGCCGCGGAGGGGGTCCTGAAGTTTTCCATGACAACAAGAGCAGTTCCCGCTTGCGCGCCACTTCGCAGATCGAGGGGTTTGTGCGGTTTCCGTTGACTAAGTGCCACGTGGCGCTGGCGGGCCGGTACGTGCTTCTTAGATTCAAAAACCAGGGCGATCTGACTCACGCGGTGATCGCGACGCGGGGTCGCGACAAGCTCCTATCGGTTCCGAAGGCGCCGATCGGCGGTAGCACACCAACGGGCAGTAGAAATCATTCGAGCATCAAGCCGGTCTCGTACAATTTGTACGCAGGGAACCAGCGCTCCAAGGAACACTATGAGGAGTCGCTATTCCAATTCCGCCTGAGCCTGGTTAAGGCAGACGAGGTCCTTCAGGCCGCAACGGTGTACCAGCAGAATCCTGTCCTGATGCGACTGCGACGCATCGACTTTTTGCCGCAGGTACAACAGCACGCACAAGCAACTACAACCAAATTGAACATGGCGGCACAGCTGCGGCGGAAGTTCTTTCGGAGATTCGCCGCGAAGGCCCTGAATTTCTCACCTGAGACCGACGCTGAATTGATCGACACAACCGCCGATCAACTCGAGAAGCAGTGGGACCGTGCGAAGGTGGTGCGAGAAATCAAGGTCCGCGCGCTGCCCGCAACCTCAGCGACACCGACAGCCTTAGGAAGTGGTGCAGCTCAGGAGCAAATGGTGAATTCGGAACTCCACAATGTGAATGTGTCTCGTGCCAGTAACTCGCAGAGCAACAAAAGGGCTCGCGATGAGGGAAGAACAGACCCGCAGAAGAAAAGCCACTTTCGTGGTGATTGCGTGAACGTGTCCCGAAGCGGATTTACGCTCTCAGCTAAGAAGTTGAATTTCGTGGAACGCCAGGCGCAGCTGCTCCACCGACATCAGGCGTATAAGGTGAAAATTGCGAAGCACGCGCTTACGAACGGAGAGGTGTTGAATAAAGCGAAGTCCACGTCGACGACGAGTGCGGGTCAACTGTCTTTGGCGATGCAGAATATGACAGATGAGGAGATTTCTTGGCTCCCGCCGAAGGAGCGGGAGCAGATTCAGAAGGCAAAGCTGGCGGCCGCGCGGGCGCGGGATCAGCAGCGTGCGCTCAGCCGCACGGCGACGGGCTCGGGGATCTGGGACGTGACCACAACGTCGACGTCTGCATCCGGCACCAAAAAGGCACTGGCGTCGCTCACTGCCGCGCAGCAGCAGTGTCTGTTTGGCAATGATTCGGCGTACGTGGCACTCGACCCGAAGAGCCAGAGTATGTGGATAAATTTCGTGAAGCAGAAAAAAACAGGTGCGGAAACTACCATCGGAAAAGCGACCCCGTCGGCGCATTTGGTTCCCTTGCAGGAAGGGGATTTGATTGACCTAATGCACCCCTCGGAATACGATCCAAGTAACATTCCCTTTCCGCCCTTTTCCTTTCGCTACCGTGTGGAATACGTCAACGGACCGCCTTTGCTGGACTTCGTCTTGGAGCACCGACCGATATACTGTCGAAAGCTTTTCTCGTCTCTCGACTTGGCCACAGCATTCGAACAAGAAGTTGTAACGGGCACAAAATCTTCGTTGAAAAAGAGTATTAGGAGCGGAGCAGCCCTTGTGGATGTGCAATCCGACCCTCTTATGCAGGTTCATTGCTCACCTGTCATCGATTCTGCCCGGCAGAAAATGCGATTTGTGTTGCTGCAGAAATTCCTTTGCTTCTCGTTTCTTAGGACTTTGAACCTTAGCAGCAAAACGTCACACGGTGTTGTCGTTCCGCTCTTGGTGGAGGACCTTTGCAAGGACCGCGCGCACCCAGAGTCGCTCCAAGAAATTTCTGACCTCTTTCCCGACAGCACGTCAGACGCAGACGATGCTGTAGTTGCGGGGCCCTCGTCCGGCATTGAAGAGCATGGAAATAATGTGGATCGAGTCGCGGGTCCGGGTGATATGATTAGTGGCATGAAGATGGAGTTCGAAGATGACGAGCCTGCTGCTCAGACTTTTGCAGTAGAAGTAGATGAGAACCACGATCCACCCCAAGAACGTCGAGAAAGTGTTGAAGGTAGCACGGTACCACGCGCCGCGCAGGCACACCAGGAGAATGGGGACACCGAACAAAATAGCGGAAGCCAGAACGTCGACCCAATGTTCTTGCAAATGGATGCCGAAAAGAAGGACGAACTCGCGCGGCTGGCGCTGACTGTTCCGCTTGCTGTGCGACAAGCTCAAGAGCAAGAAGAGCGATCACACCGGCCCCCGCCTCCCCCTCCTGCTCCTCCTGTGGTGTTAGCTCGAGCAGCTAGCTCTTCGCCTCTACCGAGCCCTGCGGCTTCGCTTTTCTCCAAAGCAGCTGGCATGTCGGCAATGGCGTTGCCCGCGCAGAGTGCAACCCTTTCTCGAGCGGACCCTCCACCACCACTGCCGAAAAGTGTGTTTGCACAACAGCCGACGGCTTCTAGTGAACTCCAAGGGGCTGGCGCTGGTGCTTCTCGAAAGGTCATGCCGCCACCACCGCCAAAGTTGCCAAAGTCAGCACGAGGCACCAAGGGGGGAGCGGGGGTATCTAACGAACAGCCCGCAGCTGCAACCGCGCCTGTGTCGAACGCGGTGGACCGGGAAGATCTGCAGTACTTGCTCGATGCGCTGCGCCCGCCCCCACCTCCGCCGCGTGCGCCGCGATAGAAATCAAGGCTTAGCCTCGACGGTTTGTTCAACATGGTGATTTTTAATCTCTTGAACTGTTGCAAATGCAACTGATGTATGAGGGTATTTGAGCTGATGTTCTTGCAGCTTCTTTGATAAGATTATTGCCTCTTCTAGTAGTAGTTCATCGAATATGAATTCCTCATCACTTTATCTTTTACTATTCAGTGCCGCGTTTCCCATCGTCCTTCACGCGGATCACCTTTTTAGGTTTTCAGCGATAAAGACGCAGGTGTACTTCTTGCCGCAGTTTATGTTGAAGTCGATGTTGAATTTTTTGCACGTCCTGCTATTGCTGCACTTCACTACGCTGCTCGTTTCTGTTGCGAAAGATGATGACTGACTGTGACATTGTTACAACTTCCTGTCAGAATTTTGCGAAAAAACGAAGACGAAACAACAGCGACACAAAAGAAAACGAAAAGTATACTTGTACATGAACTGCATGACAGAGCTACAGTTGGCGAGTCTCGGGAGCATAATTCTGGAAGGCATCCTCCATGCTAGCTAGATGCCTTGGTTCTCTTAATTGGCGCCCTATCGCAGCCGGAACTACAAGCAAGCTGTGTCGGCGCCAACTGTGAACAAGGCCTCATCTCTCTTGGCAGCAAGCAGAAGCTGAAGCTACTTAATGGATCTGAATCTGATGCTGATCTATCACCGTGATCCTTGCACCAGCGCTTCATTGTAAGTGAGCATTTTGATGTGGCGACACTCACGGAAATGGTAACCACAGATAATGGAGGAGGCACTTAACCTTAAGATCATGAGGAAAAAGATCCAGATTTTTCAGCGGCGCCGCGCCCCCATTTCCTTCGGTTTCGGAATTTTTCTGTACTACGGTTATGGTCGTGCAGCTCTTTCGTCTAGATCTAGATCTTCTAGTACTCCCGAGGGGGAGCCAACACGGCCTCTGGCGAACCTCCAGGCCAAAACGTTGTACGACCCGGATATGTATCATTTTTTGCGCAAGGAGAAGCCTCAGTGGAGAGGCGAAAACTTTCTCCCGGACGAAAAGATACAGGAGCTCATTGATGCATTTTGGCTGGACGAAGAGAAGAAGGAAGACGCCCTGCTGGCTTGGTATAATCCACTCGAAGAACGGGGCGATGCAGCTGCAGACGCAAATAAACTCTTTACCCGGGAGGGCAGGAAAACAAAAGCCGCAGACGCCCTGCAAGTCAGTTTGCGCGCGCTGGCACGCGACGGGTTGGTGCAGCACCGCTTTGGCTTCGATTTGACAAACGTCGTCCGCCGACGGATCATACCGGGACATCAACAATTTACGGACGCCGCAAGCTCGGAAACGAATTTCACGGCACTTGCGAATCGAATACGCGGGGACCGAGATCTCCGGCGCTTGCAGCGAAGATATTTTCAAACGGCGGTGGCGCGGTTTGTTTTCACCGTGGATCTACCCACCTGGTTTCGGCGTTGGGATTGGGGACAGGAGTGCCCCTATCAAATGTAAAAATGTCTGGGTCTGGAAGAATGCAACTTGTAATGCTAAATCTGAAGCATGCAAAAATCTGTGTTGCATGATTACCAAAAGTCGTCCAGTTTTGACCAAGTCGGGAGGGAGTTTCTCATGCAGGATAGGCATGAGAGAGATCGCGCAGAATCTGTCATGCTAGGTCCTGCATTCCAGACTTCATGGGTCATGGAAAAGCTGCATGACAAGTCACGCATTCTTCCAGACCCAGACATTTTTACAGTTGATAGCCCCGTGGGAACTGCTGATGTTGGTCCACCGCCACCTTTGTCTATCCAGGAAAAAACACCCATCCCCATCCAATTTGTCATGCAAAACATGCATAAAGTCCACTATTTGCCATGCAAAAAATGGATGGGGATGGGTGTTTTTTCCTGGATATTGTCCGCCCGCGAGCGGCAGCTCATCGAAGACTTCCGTCGCGATGGATTCGTGCGAGTGCCGTCTTTCGTCAAGCCGCTTGACCAGCAGGAGCAGGGAGACGATAACCATATTAACTCTTTGGCAAAAGCCACGAAACACGTCAGGCCGAATGATCGGGCGTGGCTTTTACCACTTCTGGCCGACCGGCACTCGTTGCTACGGAAGCTGGTTCACGGGTATTTGCGTTCGTCGGATGTGTCATTTACCGGCGGCGTAGGGTATTTCAAGCTGAAGGGCGACCTTCGTAAGCACCAGTATGACAACGCACTATGGCATCACGACGGGTGTGGCACGCGGCTGAAAGTGTACCTGTACCTCACCGACGTGCCGGCAGATCCCAGAAAAGGATTTCCGACCCGGATTATGCGGAACACACACCACACGCACTGGCTCTCACCCACCGACTACTTTCACGGCCCCGTTCGAGCGGCGAACAAGCTGCAGGACGCTGCTGTTAGGACTGCGTTCTTCAACGAAGAATATGATCAACAGGGCGACCAGGAGGAGAGGTCACAACCAGATGAAGCGGAAATAACGGGAAGAGAATCTACTTCGCAAGAGTCCGAAGAGGAACATAATTTTTTTCAAAACGGGACTACAACTGAGTTGTACACCGGGGGACGATACCAGGACCCGGACTTCTCGAGGATTGAGTACATGGATGGCAAAGCTTTCGGGGGTTTTATTTTTGATACAAACGCGCTCCACGGCGTCAATCTCGAGGAAAGCGACGTAAAGGAGCGGCTGCCTCGGGAGGTGTACGTCATGGAATTTGCCGCGATGAGACATGTGGATCACTTGCCGCGGTCTTGGTCAGGTATGCATGAGCCCGGTTACGTTCACCATCCGCTCTGTAACCCCAGGTTTAATCCTGCACGGATCAACTGGCGGTACTGTGAAAGAAAAGTAGAAATTCACAGCTGAGCAGGACGGCTTCCGTCCGTGAATAAGAAAAAGCAAAGGCAGGGTTTCCTTTTGCTTGAAGTGTGCAACGAGCTGACGCATGCTGGCTCCTGTGATGAAACAAGAAGAACCACAAACGCGGCGTGAAAAAACAGCTAGACAACTACTCGAATTGGATCACACACACACTGTTTTTGCAATTGATCGAGCCCTGTTTTTCCAAGTGGATTGCTACTACTTTGACTACTTTTGGATCGATCCTGTGATTCGTAATACTTAAATTTAAATTCATTTTGTTCTTCTCAACAAGGCAAAGTATAAAGTTAAAGTCACAATCGGAGAATGGTCGTGTTTCGCCTGTATTGACGTCGTTCATCATCAAACAACTGTTAATATTTCTGTTCTTCCACAGAACCAAGGAAAGAATTTGTGTCCAACATGAGGCTTTACCTTGTCGCCGCCGTTCTTGCGGCAAGCTCGCCTGTGCCTCTGGAGGGCGCACACTCGCCACAGACGGCGTTGTCCCGTACCAGCTCCTGTGGCGCTGGGCAGTGTCGGGCCCACGGCGACCGTAGTGTCTTCGATGACTCGGATTTGGATGATCTGGAACAGATGATGCACAGTGGCGCTGCAGCAGCCGGCGGCAGCGCGTCCGGCCCGGGGGCGCTTTCCAGCATGGCGGCCAACCTGCAACAGAGAAACTTGCTTCACGACTTGCGGGAAAAAGTGCAGCACAACAAAGCAGGTGCGACCAGTGCCTCTACTTCCGCCGCGCGAGGTGAAGGTCGGGGCTCGTTTCTGAAAACGTGCTCTGGTGGGGTCAAGTCTTGTCCGCGACGGACGCGCAAAACTTGTCCTCAGCGGCTCCAGCAGCTGCCGCTCGTGGGCGGCAGAATTGCTTCTGCTGGTGCGGGGGCCCCGGGCGTAGAAGAAACAGAAGAGGATGCTGACGTGGAGAGTTTCGACGATTTGCAGAAGTCCTGCAGTTCGCGCTCAGCGGGCTCTGCATCCGGTGCCTCTCCGTTCAAGAAAAAGCTTTCCACCCGCAGCGGCGGCGGAGGCGGCAACTATACTGGCGCCCCCACTCTGGTGTTCAGTCGGCAACATTCCGAGCGCCCCTCTTTACTCCTCGACCAGATGGAAATGAGTGCCAAAAATGGAAGAGCCGCAAGGGGAGTGTTGTTTTCACCCGCTGTTGCTACTGTGGGGCAGGAGCCGCGCAACGGGACATCCATTACAGGAACCCCATTGGAAGTATCATCCACCACAGCGGGCAGCAGCAGCAACAGCAACCTGTCTGCGCTCGACCGGGAAGAGCTGGAGTGGGCGGCGGCCAACGCCGCACCCAGGTGGCCGGTTAGCTTGCACTTTTCGTCCACCACGACAGACTCCAACTGCTCTCCCCTGCAGGACGGCGGGCGGAGAAGCAAGTGCTTTCCGAGTCACGCTGCTGGCAAATACGGAGCTCGTGGGGGCCAACAGCAATTTCGCTGCTGGCCTCTGTCGAAGCTTTTCCCGGCGTCGATGGGTGGACGTGGTTTGCGGTACGCTGCCGTCGTGAAGCACGCTGGCAAACAAGGTCGCGGTAGCACTCCTTTGGCGCGCCGGAGTAGCAGTGCTTCCTCTGGGGGGAGCAAAAAGCCTTCAGGCGCACTGGCGACACGCCGGCCCGGGCGCTTTGGTTCGCGACGGACCAAAGGTATCTACAGATACACTACCAGCAATCCTAATTCTTATTTTTTTATCACTTATTTCTTGTCGTGTTGATTTTGCATACTGAACAAGGCACCAGAACCAGTTTATCCGTAGTACTAACTATTCAATGACTTAGCTGCTCATCTCTATTTCAGGCAGTGCAGCTCGGGTTATCGGTGCTACAGCTGTCTGTGGCCTGTGCGTCGCGGGTATGGTTGTGCCCCGGAAAGAAGGCCTACTCCGGGACGTATTCGACATGCAGAAGCTCCGCAGCGCCCTTCCAGAACTGGCCAATCACGCGGGGAAAACTGTGCGTGAAGAATGCAATCGGTTGGTCGACAATGTCAAGACGCAGATCTCGCAGCAGGGACAGCTACTCTTAGGCTCCAGGGACGAAGCTGGTTCAAAAGCGGAAGCCTTTTCAACATCAGCCGCGCCAACGCAGCAATTGGTTGACGAGGCGGAAGACGATCAGTGCTGCGCAGCCCACGATCTGCCAGGGGGACCCCACAACTCCGCCTTCCTTCTGCGCATGAAGCAAAATCGGCAGAAAAATGGGGCGCAGCTCACTGGTGCGGGTGAAGATGCAAAAGTACTTCGTAGTCCCGCGCCGGAGTTGGGCGGCGAGGTTTGTCGACCCGTGCAACAAGAGGGGCAGTCTTTTACCAGCAACATTAGTGTCCGTCTCGCACCTGCTGTTTGTGCATTCGTTCTCGGTGGTCTGACCGAACAGCGAATGGCAAGGCGGAACCAGCGCCGTCGCGCGCTGCACTACGGATCTAGGGCGATAGCTACACGAATGGCACAAGCTGGGGACGACCAGAGCAGAGCAGGGGAAAAGAAAGACGACGAGCCGGGCGATCAAGAAGAAAGTCAAAGTAATCTTTCCACCCTGAACAAGAAGAGACCGTCGGTGCGCTCGCGTTTGGGAAGATCGCTTCGCAGGCTGGTTGGCCAGTACCTGCGTCGCACAGGGACGGACTCCAAGAACTTTATGGAGAGAGACGCTGCGTCTGCTTCTCCAATGGAAACCGGAGCCTCTTCGCCCGCAGAAGACCTGGTTGGTTCAGACAGGGGCGAGGACGGCTGCAAAGTGGCGTACCCGCAGAGCAAGGAAGACCCGGAAGCGGTCGCGCGATACAAGGCCAAGAAACAGAAAGACGAGAAGAGCGAGCTGCCTGGTTCATCTTCATCTTCTTCCGGCGGCACCACCAGCAGCTCGTCGAATCATGCTGCACAGGAACAGGATTTTCTGAGCAGCTACCGCGGCAAATCGACCAATGTCGGCCCGTGGCTGGACGCGCACTTTGGCGCCGTTACTTCCTACTCCTCAGCAGCTGCGATGGATACTGGAGCTCAGGATTACGTTCTGGGTGGCGTAGACAGCTTCAGCCCGTCAACGGCACGAACAAAGGGAGTAGCCAAGCAATCCTCGTCGAGTACTCAAGCCGCTACCGCACCAGGACCACCAACGCCGTCTACAAGCGCGACTACATCGGCGTCTCTGGCGAGTGCTAGCTCGTCAGCACTTGCTGGCGGTACCTCCACACCCGGCAGCAACTCCTCGGGGTCGAGCTCGGCCATGAGTGCCGCCACAGACGATGAAACCGATCCCGATCCAACGGGTAGAAGTTCTGGCGGAATCTCTAACTACAAGGCGACCACCAGCACCCCGACCTCCACCTCGTCCGAACAAGTCAATTATAGCGATGCATCTTCCACCACAAAAATGCCGGAGCGGAAGGCACCCGTCGCGAAGAAGCCCTACCAGTCCTCTGTGTCTGACAAGGACATCGTAGAAACCTTCATGAGGATGAACGAGGGCAAGAGTAGTTGCAAGGACGGCTATTGCGACCTAGTACAGCAGGAACAACAAGCTGCTCCGGAGCAGCAGAAGAGAAACGACGAAAAGGAGTCCATCGGGCAGCGAATCAAGGAGAAGGTGAAGGAGGAGCTGGGTTTTGCTAAAACCGACTTGCAACAGCTGCTCCGGGGTTTCGTCGAGGGGTCCGGCCTGGACATCGCGGAAGAGACCGTGAAGGAGATCGAGCTGGAGGCGGAGACGCTGAAGAAGGCGAAGCAACATTTTCAGCAAGCTGAGCAAGCGTTCGGGCAGGGAAATCCTTTGGGGTTTTTAGACCAAATGGGCGACATGCTGGCCCTACTGGGGCAGGTGTTCGAGAAAGTGCCGGCCACGCTTGGCGAGTTAAAGCAGGAGGAGCAGACCATTCGCGACGTTTTGAAGAACCCAATGATGTTCCCTACTAGGACGGCCGAGCGGTTGTTCCGCAATTTCGGTGAGATCGCAGAGGATTGGAAATCGGCATTCCAAGCGTTCCGGGCGAAAAACTACTTCGAATGTGGCAAGGAGCTGGGGGCGATTGTTAAGGTAAGTAGTACGACGTTCCCCCGTTGGACCTGTTTTATCCTCTTTTGGATCATGACCATTTTTGCGTAGAGCATTATAACGAAAAACGAAAAATGTTCTTGACAACTCTCAGGTTCAGCTAGCATGAAGACATCTTCATGGTAGTCCTTGACATCAAACCTAGACTTTGCACTCCGACGCACGTTGGCGACTTTTTGAATAACGTTCTGACTATCACTGCGAGTAGTGCTTGTCGGTGAAAATTTGTAATACGCCAAAAAACCACTACAGCTTGTGCTGGAGAAAAAGCACGACCGGTCAGACCCCAACCACGATCTGCAGCAGCTCCTTCTTTTCTCTCCGTCGAAGCCCTCCCCGCAGGAACGCGCGCAACTGATCAAGGGTCTACTGGAGGGCATGGGGTTCCACACCACGGATGAGTTTTTCGTGGACACCAACACCGAAACGCAGGACTTGTTCAACTATGGAAGCGTCAGGTTTGAAATCGTCAAAGTTGAAATAATTTGCAATGCATAAAATGCGATACAAAGTCAAAGAGTGACTCTATTGCAGAGGACCCAAGGGAGGCAGATTATAGTCCTGGTAAGGGTCAAAAGTTGGACTGCTAACTAGCATGACAGAAGGCAGCTCTTTGCCCTAAACCGCGTGACAGACTCGCTTCCAGGACCGGGAAAATTTGCCATGCGCCGACTACAAACTGTAGGTCTAACTGGTATCCATTTTATGCATGACAAACTATTTCTATTTCAACTTTGACGATTTCAAACCTGACACATCCATATCAACGCAGTGGTGGTCATCGCGCGAGCGATCAGCTGGAGGAACGTAACGCTGCTCGGCCAGGGCTTGGAGAAGCTGGGAAAGTCGCTGCAAAACTTGCCGCATTTGTACTATTTGCTACAGAAATCAGAGCAGGAGACCACGCAGATCGAAAAAAGCTTGCAGTGGCTGGCAGATGATCGACGTGACCCGAAAGAAATCGCGCAAAAGCTGAGTACTTTTGATTTTTTGTTTTGTTTTACAACGTGCCGTTCATCAAGCATGAAATTCGTTCCTGTTCCTGTATAACGTATATCTAAGTTAAAGTTTGCTATTTTGTTTCGAGGGTCCGGGGCAGCCGCAGCACCAGCACATGACATCACCGAGCTGGAGCTTTAGTTTTGACTACATGTAGAAGCTCCATTGCTATTTTCTAGAGTCATCGAGTTCCACTTCAGCTGTTGCTGAGGCAGAAGACGTCGGGCGCAATAAATTACAAAAAAAAAATCTAACTTATTGCACTTGTTCTATGTTTTTCCTGCAGGTGCGCACCTGTACGCCCAAGGAGATGACGTCTTGAAGAACATGGAGTCTTCCTTTGACGCCTGGAAAAGCAAAGACATCTACACCTTTGGGCTCTCACTCGGGAAGATTCTTGCGGATTTAGTGGATGAGCCGGAGCAGCCGAAGCCCTCGAGTCCAGACACTGTGAAGCCTGCGACGCCGACGGGAAAGAACTGAAATGTGTCGAATACTGTCGTCAAGAACTGGCTTGGGCTAGGGTTTCGCTTTTCGCTTTCGGTTCTAACATTATAGTTGCATATGGAGCGATAGCTACCAACTCTTCCTCGCGATACCAGCATGAGCAACCTGAACCTCATATCATGATCATGAACTACATCATAACTTTTGTTTTATTTTCTTTTTGCAGAAATGATCAATTTCAATTTGTATTTGAATGTAGTTGCAATTCGTCGCACTGCTCTGGTTGCTTCGGGGGCGGATGACGTTTTTTCAGTCCAGCAAAGATACGCCTAATATTGTTGGTTGCACTTGCATTGATTTGTTGCGGTATGATGCTTCGTTGTGCAGAATGAGGAGCATAGAAAATAAACTTAAAGACCATTTTGATCGTCTTTTTAGCTTTTGCTCTTTGGTATGTTCGTGTTTACGTTTAGCCTATTGCTTTCGCTTCTCCGGTGATACAGAACCGGATGAGATCGCTTTAGACTCTTTTATCACTCTCTTCGTTTGCTACAAATCAAAGACAAAAAAGTAAAAGTGGCCTCCTCTAGAGAATACAGCTTATATTTTTTGAATGATTGTTGGCTTCGTTTGTAAGGGAAATTTTGCAAACATAGATTTTGAATTTCGATCCTTCTTTCTGTGGTCTGTTTTCGCATCGTCACACAGGCGGGTTGTTATGTTCTTTATCCAGACTAACGTTGCAACGTCATCATCTTGCTACGAATACAGATAAAAAGACGTAGAACCCCCTGTCAGTCTATTCTGGTTGGTGATTTGATGAAAGTTGCCTTGTAGCTATAGCTAAACCTAAACCGCGCGAACGAAGAAGTTGCACGCGTCTACTAGTGGGTGCGTCTGTTCAGTACTTACGTTGAATGGAGACTTTCACACTTCGTACGTTGACATCCGCTTTTTGTGTTTGTTTTCGTCCTGACCCACTGGGTAACACGATGAAGGTATGAGTCGGTGAGTGAGGGAACCAAAAAATCGGTTTTGAGTGAAGTTGCAACGTTCAATAGCAGAAGTAAATTACTAGATGAAAAACATCGGTTTTTTGAGCGATAGTTTGACACTCGGTTCTCGTTCATGCAGTCAATTTAGCGCCATTTACTACAAACAATCAACATGGAAGACGAGGAAAGCGACACCACCTCGTCCCGTGACTATTGTAGTTACCGCGATAAATAAAGTTTAAAGCCACGACGACGACTCATGATTCGCAATGACAGCATGAACATCTGCATACGAACAACAGCTGCACTAATCATGTAAATGAAAATGTACTTTACCGCCTCCAGCTACGCAAAGCCAAAGCTAGTCGGTCCGAGTTGCTGGAATGCGCGAGCGTTTGTCACACGACCGCTTAGATGTTCAGCAAATTTATTCCTTTTCTAGATCTGAAAATCCAGCACCTCTAGCTCTGTCTATGTATCATCATGCATACAACAAAAACCAGGTGGAGCCCCATTAAGGAGACCCTCCTTCGCCAAGAGCGGCTACATCATCACTCTACTGCACTAAAACCACAACGCTCGATATGAGGAACTTCAACTTTTATAGTATGTTACGCTGAAGACGGTGACGCTCTCCCTCTCGCTCTCGCAACGCAATGGATATTATTTTTACACTCCCACCCGCGCATCAAACAAGGAGTAGGATTTGAAACAAATTAAGTAGTATCTGTATCGCGGTGTTCGTGTTCCCATATTAATTTCCTCCATCGCAGAGTAATAAAGCTCGATCATTTCTGCCCCTCGGGCTCGATCTTTTATCTTCTTCCCTCATTGTCATTTACCCACAGCGGCCAGCTTCTGTCATTTTTGATCTTGAGGGTGTACCTCTGTTTGCACCTGCAGATGTACGACCGTTCATTATTTTTTTAGCGGTGATATTTTGTAACGAAATATTATACTACACACGATTATGAGCAGTTGTACCAACGCGGCAAGACCATGATGTCTGTATCTTTTTGCACTGCCGGTCGTGGTCGGAGCTTTTTGGGGTCGAAATTGTTCCTAGCTTGCCCAGCGTACTGCTGACCAGGCTTTCGTCCCCTTCGGAGAAAGTTACCGTCATGTCGCCAATCACGATGGAGGTGCCGTCGGACGACGTGATCACTTCTGAGCCAGCCGGCGCTGGAGCACCACCGCGATTGTCGGTGCAGGACCTGAAGGCGGAGATCGCCAGGCAGCAACAGAAGATGAAGATGAACATCAAGAGCAGGAGAAAACACAGGGGTTCACAACATCATGCTGAAGCGGATAACGAAAATAAACAGTCGTCAGTGCAGCTTGATTCGCCATTTGATCCTGCAGAGCGACCAAGGAGGAGCGACAATTCTGCCGGCCAGGACCTCCACAGCGAGAGAGGACATGGCTTCGGTGCAGCCGCACAATCGCGACGTCTTCACCCTACTTTGGCCGCCGCGGCGCTCCACAATCTCCCAACCGCAGTCGACCGAGCGGAAACAAGACGCCCCGGGGTGGGTCGGGGCGGCGGCACGCCCAGCAGCGCATCCTCGTCTTCATCGACCACCACCACAGCGAGCGATGGGGGCGATGAAAGCACCAGCTCGGCAGTACCGGCCTTGTTGTCGTCGTCTCGGAGCAGCTTGTGTTCTCATGCAGGCCCCCCGAGGGAAAGTCAAAGACAAAGCGGTGCTGATTCGTTTTCGCGTCAAGTACTAGACACGCCTTATTTACCTCATGCTCATTCCCCATCACATCAAGACGACAAAAACAGCGCTGCCGGAGCAGCTGCAATAAATGCAAGTAGAATTCTTGTTCCTGCTGGAAAAGGTCAAAGCGCGCCTGTGATATTACGAGAAGAGGAAGACGACCAACACCGTATCGGAGAAAACGATAACCGGCTTCCGCCCCGGAATAGCTACAAAAGCGCAGAAGCGCAACAAGCTGCGGACCACGCCCTCGAGGAGCAGGAAGAGGAAACTGCTGCTGGTGCAGAGACCGACTACGAGGATGAAGATCCGAGTCCAGCAGACAACTCCTGCGAGGACGGTGGTCTGATGTCCCTGGAGGCCTTTCTGAATGGTGCCGGCTTGGCGCTCTCGCCACCGAGCGGCCCCGTCAAAAGGAGCGCGCACTCGTGGTCCACTAGCAGTGGAGCAGAAGGTCGAAATTCGGAAAATAGAAGAGGTGAAGACAAGTGGTCGACAACGAACAATGGTTCAAACTCGGACCCGTTGAAACAAGCAGATCTTTCTGCAGAAGGACGAGGAAGTTCCCCTCTCCGCGACAACGAGGGCAGTGAGACTGGTGGGCCGTCCAGTTTTGACAAGTCACAACGCTCCACCGGCGTTGCTGGACAGCATGGAAGAGGACCGCGCCCACACTTTGAACGGACCGTGTCGGCGCGGGCGATCGGGGGCGAGAACGCTTCTTTGAGCCCCGTGAAGAAGGTGTTCCGCGGGAAGAACAACAAAGCGCAATTCCTGATGCTCTACAACGGGCGCAGCCGCATTTTTGCGTTTGTGAACCGGACGTCCGGCGGGAACATGGGCGCACGCATCATCGACCGGCTGATTCCGGAGCTGGGCGAGGAAAACGTGTGCGATTTGTCGAGCCAGAATCCCCGGCAGTTCATTGAAGACCAGGTGTGCGACATGCAGTCCGTGGCCCGGCTGCTCGTTTGCGGCGGGGACGGGACTGCGAGCTGGATCCTCGGCGTGCTCGGGGACATGCTTGCGCAGAAGCTGCTGCGGTTCCAGCCCCCGGTTGCGCTGCTGCCGCTGGGAACGGGCAACGACCTGGCCCGCTCGCTCGGCTGGGGGTCCACCTTCTACTTTAGCAGCGCGCGGGCGCTGCAGTACCTGAAGATGGTGGAGGACGCGGAGCTGACCATTCTCGATCAGTGGGAGCTCACGTTGCTCCCGAAAAAGAAGTTACCCGAGGACCACAAGCTCCGGACGCTGGGCAGTCACCCGCAAAAGGTGCAGGACCCGGCGCACCGGGAGCGGGTCTACGCCGCCCTAAAGAAATGCAACTACGTCACCGAGGAAGACGACATCGCGGACCAGAGTCAAGGCATCAGCAACTTCCACCACGACACAAAATACGCGAAGAAGAAAACCGAAAGAATAAAGGACAACATGGCGAGGTAACGTGATTGCTTTTGTTGCTGTGAACAAAAAACAAGAATAAATTGCAAACTTATTGATTGTGATTCATTGATGAGCCAACCGCAACCATCAATGAATTGGATTGCATAGTTCTCATTTTTACACTTCTACCTTCACGTTCGCTTTAATTAGGCGCAGCTGACGAGCGCCGTCATGTCTCATCTAAAAATGATACGACTTTTTGGGAGTAGTGAACTGCAGATTTTCATTGCAAGTCTTCCAATCCATGCAAAGATCGTGTTGCAATCATAATGAAAAAAACAGGCTTCTGGACGCCCACGCTGCGAACGACGGCGAAATTTTCCAGTCGACGTTTCAAAATTATTTTTCCTTTGGCGCGGACGCCGACACCACCGTATTCGTTGAGGATGCGCGACAGACAGCCTTCGGGAAGTGCACCTTCAGTAGCGGGCTGGGTAAGATGTGGTACGGGTGCGGGGGCTGCAAGGGTTTCATGAAGTGCTGTCCGCCGAGTTTGGCCGACGGGATGGACTTTTACTACCACGACCGTCTTCGCTACGGCGGGGAATTCGAGGACGCTGGTTTGAAAAGACGAATGATCCAGTCCGGACAACATAGTGGACTGCTCAGAACTATGGTATCTATTAAAAAGCGATTTATTTTTTATGATTTTGATAAAAAGTAAAAGAAAAGATTGCGTGGCTCGTCAACATCTTAGCAGCTTTGAACCAAGCCACATCATGATCATCAAGAATTGCTCCAAAGAAAATATCGTCGCTTTCGTCAGGTTTTCTTGAATATCAACTCTTACGGTGCGGGACGGAGGCCGTACCCGGGTGACATGGGTAAGCAGCGGCCGCACGACGGCACCATCGAGGTGCTGGGTTGTCGGAACCAGTGCAGCCTGGCACGGGCAACGCTTTGCGGCGCGTGGATGGCGACGCTGGCCCGGGGTAAGGCCTTTTTGATGGACCTGCGCCAGCCGCAGTACATGCAGGCGGACGGGGAGGGTTGGAAGATCGACCTGCCCTGCCTGGTCACGGTGTCAAAGAAGCGCACTGCCGTGCTTCTGCGCGCCCCGGTAAATGGAAAATTCTGGGAGGCCGCGCACAAGCCGACCTTCTGGCCGGTGGTTTTGCCGCCGGAGGAGGACGCCAACATTGGCGACGAGGACGACAGCAGTTATTACAGCGAGTACGGGAGTGACGGCGATCTCAGCGGATCAAAACGACTCGTCGGTGCTGGGGCACAAAATGGATCGAACAAAAGCAAAACTCGCAGCCACGACGCTGAGGATCGAGCCGCTTTTGCAAAGCATAGCACGCGGAGTGGCCTCTTGGTAGAAAGCAACGAAGAGGGCGCAGCTAACTCGTCTTCCTCTTCTGCAGAGATGAACAACGACGTCAGGAGCACAGGAGCAACGTCGAAGGGCCGCGGTACCACTTCCACAGGCGGCGCCGGCAAACAAGGAGTGAAGAAAAAGAAGGCAAAACGAGCCTGGGTTCCCGCGTTCTTCCAGCGGTTTAACGGTGAGGTGGTCCGGACAAGCACCGGGGCCGACTCACCAGCTGCGTACGCGTCCCCGCGATATGTTGTTGACCGTGATATTACAGACTTGGAACGCGCGTCCACCGCCACCGAGCTCATGCGTTTGCGCGAGCAGGAGCAACAGCGGATGACGACTGACAGCATAGAAACGACGAGATCTTCCCTAAACTCGCGTGCGGCTGCAGCGGACGTGAACATCTTTTCGGACAACGATTACGAGGGTGCGCGCCTGTTTGACACGCGGGCCGAAGACGGGCGCGCGGATGTGATACGCATGCGAGCGATGGTGAAAGATCAAGACAGTTCAGAGAACTTGAGCCTCATGATGCAGCAAAAGTACGACTCGCTCCCGGGGGTCTTCGCCAAAAAGGACTCAAACAAGCCGGGTCGGACGATGAAATCGGGTGCTGGTGGGGCGGCGACGAAGCAAAACAGCAAAAGGAATTCCCCGGGTTCAACAACCAGAGCAAGTGCTGCAAAAGCAGTACACGAAAATCGGGAGACAAACACTACTTCTTTGGGTTCATCGGCGTTTATCGACCTGCGCGGGAGTAAGCAAAGTGAGGAAACTGCGAGGACAAACTCCAACGAAAGTGAAAGTGGTCCCGCAACGAGAATAGGGGGACAAGTACGAGGTGGACCAGGACAAGTTCAGCTGCAGACGAGTGCGGGTGCTGGCGCAGGCGCTTCCAGTTCGACAACATCGCGGCAGGAAGGGGAAGAAAAGAACCCAGTTTTGTACTATCACGAGGACGATCTTCCCGGAGATGTCCTGTTCGACCAGATGTCTCCCAGTAGCAGCGCCACCAGCAGCACTCCAAGTCCCTCCCCTGTTCCCGATAGATAGATTTTTTGAAACGTAAAAGTACAAGTAGAAGTAAGTATCAATCTATGACTATGGAATAGGTCGTCGCCCAAGAACAACAAGCACAAGCCTTGATCTTCATGTCCTGCATGGACATGATGCTTAAGACGAGATCAAAAATCAGAAGAACTTTTGCTGTAGTGTAACTTTCGTGTAACACATAGTAAAAGCAACGAAAGGGCGACCGCGACACAACCATCAACATCAACATGAATTTTCAACAAGAACGTACATTAAGCTGTACAACATAAAGCATCGGAGCGAGAGGGAGCACTTGCTCCGACCACAAATAGGGAATGAATACTGTAGTTTTCTGCCATCTTATTTCTCCACTTTTCAGTTCATTCATCTGTGTATTAAGTCTTACACTATGACGACGTATTCTCTTGTTGACAAGGTGGATAATTTTTTGTGTGTGGTTTATTATCTGTATTGAGGTTTTCAAGCCCAGGCAAAGGCACGGGTATTTCGCTAAGGTTGCCTTTCACCGCGAGGGCGTGGTGTTTGCTTTCGGCACACCAACTAGTGTTCTAATCTTGAACCAAAATGTTGCAAGAAATCTTGCAGCGGTGCAGAAGGGGCACCTACAATTTCTGAATGAAAGGTTCTTTCTCTTTGTGATCAATATGTGTCTCTGTCTGTCTCAATGTTCTACGTGAGCGCTCGTCATTGTCCTTGCTGAAAATAAATGTACTTTTTTTGCGCACCACTTGTTTCTTGACTTCTTTGACAAATCTAAGCACTACTTGTTAAAGCAAATCGAAGGAAGTTGCATGGCTTCATGGATGATGATCCCGAAATGTCCATGCACGTACACACAGAAATCAAATTCAAAATTCAAATTTGCGCAGATGGTCTTTAGGAGGGTATTTCTGGTTTCAAATAACCGGAAAAAGATCGAAGATGAAGGCAAGAAATCGGCCAACGAACTGGAATTTCCCGAAGTAAAGATTTTCATTTTTTGGTATTTTCTCGTTCACAAATAGCACCTTCTCTGTCAATTACTTATAAATATACCTAAAGTAAAGTGAAGAAGTATATACAAAAGGAAAAACGAATGCAGGTGGGCACGCGTAGCGCATATACGTATTTCTATACAAGTGCATCCCCTGAAATCAGAAATCGAGTCTAGCACTATCGTCACAAGATTTTTTCATTTTCATGTTTCCGTCATTTGTTTCTCACGTCACAAAAGTATGTATAGCAAAGTCGCCTCTAAAAACTTCGTGTGATTGATGTGTTAGTTTCTGTTAGTTTATGATTTTTTTTTCGTTTTTGGGAGGCAGGGTCAGTGATCATCTTCACCCAGAAAAGAGCGTTGATTTGTGAATCTGTTTGAGCAGCTATTTTTTCAAACTGGTGCGCTGGGCGTTCATTTTCATCTTTTTTCTTTGTTGTTTCCCGGAGGACAAAAAATATCATGGTAAAGATTCGGACAGGCGATTGGACCTGCCCTGGCTGCCGGACAATTGTCTTCGCCTCGAAGGACAAGTGCATCAAATGCAACTTCGACCGCAGCCTAGCGGCGAAGGTAGGCGAACCGGATTGGGTTTGCAAGCATTGTCAGGAGATCAATCGGGCTAGCAAAAAAGAATGTGTCAAGTGCGGAACCGCTCGCAGTACTAGTAGGCCATCGAGCAGGGAAAACAGTCATGTTGACGAGGACGAACAAATGGGTGGCGCGACTCCGGGCGAAGGACCAGGTAATGTTGGCAATGATCTATACTACTACAAGTACAACCGCCGCGGTGTAGTTCTTCTTGTTAGGAAATATTTGCGGGGACTGATGGCCCGCCCAGGACGACCGCATTATACAGTCTCCTCCAGGTTGTGGTACTGCAGGCTGTTGAAGATGTTCATACATACATCGGCGAATGAATTGAAAGAACAAAACCGCGCTGGTTCACCCGGATGCGAGATGCCCAGCAAACTGCCGATCGCGCCGCGCGCCCAGCATGCCCACAGGTCGAATACCATGTGGCTCCTGCCGCAGCATCGTCGTTGCCTTTGAATCGTACCTAGCCTGCCGCCCAGCCGCGCCTACGTCTTTTGGTTTGTTGTTGTTCTGTTTTATTTTCGTTTCAAAGAATTGGAAGCCGAAGCCTTTTCGCACAGAAACCGCATGCACGCACAGTTGTCAAAATATAGAATAATCATAAAGATTAAGTAAGATAAATCAAAATCAATCAACAAAGCGGCCGCCTGGTTGCTGTCGCTGTGCGCACGGCTTCGCAGTTCCAACATTATGCGGAATCGCAACTATTTTTTATCACAATGGAGAATCAGCATATAATGCTAGAAAATGGCTCAGACTGCTATGACTACGATCGATCGGAAGCAACGGCCGCAGGATCTTGAAGTCGAACTTCACGGATTTTCTCGAGTTTATACTATATGCAAAAACGGTAAGGCTTTGAAATGATTCTTTACAGGTAGTGCTCTTGACGATCAGGGTGGATCTGGATACGGTACGCCCGCTATTGGTGGTGAACCAGCGTCGCAGGACGATGGCCAGCACCTCACCCCACCAGGCTTCGTGATTGAGGAACAAGGCCCCAACAACAGCCCCCGGATGATGATGAACCCGTTTGCTGTCGAGGCCCAGAGCTCCTTCAACGTGGACGACGAGATTTCCAAGGAAATCAGCCATCAGAACGTATTGGACATGCTGGATGACACGCTCGCCGTGACTAAGATGTCGGTGGACCGCGAGTCGGACTTGCTGGAAAGCTCCTTATCCCAAGCGGCGCTGTCGCACAACAAGAAGGGCGACGGGAAGAAGGGGGGACCGAACAATCGGCTGGACGGCGATTGGGACTGCGTCACCTGTGGCGTGATGGTGTTTGGGTCCAAAGACAAGTGCTTCAAGTGTTCGCGCGCGAAGCCGAAGGTTGCCAAAGACGCACCCAACCGGCGTGAGGGGGACTGGGACTGCTGGAAATGCGGCGAGCTGGTCTTTGCCAAGAAGTCCAAGTGTTTCGTCTGCAACTTCGACCGCCGCGACGAGCCGCCAGCGGGCGGCCGGCCGCGCAACCGCAGCACGCCGCGGGGTCGCGGAGCTGGCCGATCGCGGTCCCGAGACCGCCAGCGTCGGTCCCGCTCGCGCCGGCGTGGTGATCACGCTGCCGACCTCTCCGAGCCCATCAGGAATCCCACTGGCGAGGTGCGCGAGGGCGACTGGTCGTGTCCCAGCTGTGCCACGCACTGCTTCGCGTTCCGCGACAATTGTTTCAAGTGCGGCTACGACAAGAGAAAAGGCGGTGCGTCTGTCGAACAGGAGCAGCCCGTCCGATCGCAAAGGACGGGAAGGATGGAGCGAGACCAGTTCGGAGAGCAGTCGCAAACCACCAGAAAAGGTAATGGGAAGGCAGCGGATTGGCCGTGTCCAAAATGCGGAACATTGGTGTTTGGGTCGAAAGACGACTGCTTCAAGTGTGGATATTCCCGCGCTACTTCCTCCTCCGCCGCGCCGCCCTCGCAGAGGACGGCAGCCGCGACTGGCCAGCCTACGCAACGCCGTGGTGCTGCGGGCGGCGGACAACAGGATCATCCGAACGCCCGCCCCGGGGATTGGAACTGTCCCGGCTGCGGAATGCTTGTGTTTGGTTCCAAGGACAGTTGCTTCAAGTGTGGTTACTCGAGGTTGAACGATGCAGGTCCACCTGGCACACCCGGGGGAGCCTCGGGGACAAGGCCATCAAACAATGCTAGCGGTCCATACAGCAGTTTCAACGCAGCTCCAACGCCTGTTGGAGCCTCCTCGGGAGCCGGGAGCCAGAACGTTCGCCCGGGCGACTGGGCCTGTCCAAAGTGCAATACCAACGTGTTTGCGTCCAAGGATTCTTGTTTCAAGTGTGGTTACTCTCGGTCGGCCCCTGGCGGTGCAGGTGGTGGCAAGAGTGCGGCATCCAAAGGCAAAGGTTCAGGGAAGCAGGGAAGCGACATTGTAAGGCCCGGTGACTGGCCGTGTCCAAAGTGCAACACTAATGTGTTCGCATCCAAGGATAGCTGCTTCAAGTGTGGCTATAGGCGTGAAGTGCTTGCACACTAATGGAATAAGAGTACTTAATAAAATTAGAAAAGTTGAAGATGAAGCAAGTGCGAAAGCGATGCTGATGAAACACATGCAACAAAGACAAAAGTCCACGGATAAGAACAACTGGTGATATGAAGATTGCCGCAGCTACTTTTTTTGTTGGAAGTGTTTCATGAAGATGAGAATGTGGCTCTATTGCTGATAGAAGACGCGCTTAACAAGCTTGTGGGCCGACGTTTCTTTGCAGCAGATACGACAAGACGCAACTTACGACCATCCACATGCAGGGTTCTCATCACGGCCACAAGCACTACAATTCGGAGCAGAGAATAACATATGCATGACTAGCACAGAACGGAAAAGAAGAAGCATCAAATTTGAAGAAATCAAGCAGCTACACGTTACATTAGTTGTACTCTCGTATGATCTATGAACGGAGGCATCACGACCAAGCCGCTGCGCAAATTCAACTAGACGGAGACCTTGCATTGTAGCTAGAAGCAAGATTATGTCGATTTTCGATTCTCTTTGGGCTGCTGATTAAAACTGTTGAACGATCATGATGAAATCGCACGAAGATACCGAAGATGGCCAAGTAGCTATAAGTATCACTACCTGCAGCTGGTGGCGCTGTAAAATACAGGTTCCAGCACCTGCAGAAGCAAGTGGTTCTCTTTTTTTATTGTTCGAGAGTACGTGTACGACCCCAAGAATGAAATGCCTCTTGTACATGCTACACATACACCTGGCAATACGCTTTTTTGCTCTCTGGTGTGGCAGTAGAGAAGATGACGCAGTAGACGAGAGATGAGTAGTATTGGTAAAAAATTGGCGAGGACGAGTTGTAATGAAAGAGCCGACGTCGACGACCACTTTGTTTCGTTTCACTCAAATCCGCGTTCTTTCGGTTCTTGCTCTCCCTACTTAGCTTCTACTTTGGTTTTTTCTTGCACCGCCTGAGGCTCCTGAGCGAGGAAGATGGCGGTTGGCTTGTTACTTTAGGAAATCGAAATGCGGTATGCAGAGCAAGAATAGCAGTCGCCATTTACTGCAATTTCTTGCTTCACTCTCCATAGAAGATAAGTAGCACCAGAAGTAGGTTGTATGATTTTTTGCAATAAAGAAAGTTTGGTCAACGTTGGAGCACGCGAAGACAAGTGAGGACCGATATTACTGCATATGAATTTATCCCTGCGGCAGGCTGCATCATTTCCTGCGAGTTTTACTTTTTCGGATCATTATGGAATCGACGGAGTGAGGGAAGAGCAGCAATGAATTCAGAAAACAGGAGGAGTTTTGCAAAACGTCCTTTCATTGTCTACTTCGTTCCGGGTCACTGCAGTTTTCCCAACGGCGCCGACCAGCATGCTGACTGACCATGCTAGATGAAATGATCTAACCTCTACTGCCTCCCTTCAGCAGCCCCGCTCAGTCGCTGATCTCCGACGGGAAAATGAAGCGCGCCGAGGAGGTAGATGTGCCTCTCGTGCTAGGACGAGAGCCCCCGATGCAACACCTCCATGTAGAAGACGTTGTCGGGCCTGTCGGTATCACAGATTCTGAGCTTGCTGAGCTGGAGTTCACGGCGTTGATGTCTGGATGTGACGTCCGCTTGGAGCGGCGGTTCTCCCGGGTTGTGGCGCAGGTGGAAGAGGAGCTGCGAAAGGAAGTTGATTTGCTGGAAGACCTCAGCTTCGACGGGACGTTGACCTGCACTGACATCAACACTCCTGCGCACCACGACCTACTTGCAGCTCGGGAGCACTTCGCAGAAGAAGAACCTGGCGGGCGGCAGCAGGAAAAAGCGGCACCTGATGTTGATGTAAATGAATCGTGCCGGTGGCGCGGCGCAGTGGGGTGGACGACCGGCAATGATGAAAAGTCTACTTCAATGGTGATTGCTTGCTCGGCTGATGCAGATCAAAACTCGGAGCCAGCGACAAGTAACCTTTCGGATTCTGCTTCCAGAACCGGCGAGGACGGGGAGGATGCAAATGGAAAACGAAAAGGGGAACAAGAGGACTCGGAAGATGTAGCTGACGCTGATGCAGCAGGTGTTTTGTCCAAGCTGGACGCGACTCTGGAACAGCACTATCAGCGTAAAATTCGAAATCTCGAAGAGCGCCATATTCTTGAGCGCGAAGAGTTTCGGACCTCACTGAAACGCGCGGAGCTGCAGGCGAAGCACTGGAAGCAAAAAGTGGTCCAGCTCCACCTGCAGATGAAAAGCTTTACGAATGGCGCAAATTTTGCTGGAACTACTGCGAGTTCTTCCTTGTCAATACAACATCTTACCGCCGAAAATGCTGACCATCTGGCAGAGCACGAGCACCACGACGCGGCAGCTGCCAATCAACTGTATGCTGCGGAGGTTGGTAACCTGCGGCAGCTCGCGCGGAAGCAGAGCGTCGCGATTGCCAAGTGGAAGAGGAGGTACCACCTGCTGAAGGGCTTGATCACCGCACCAATTGGAAGTTCAGGTACGGCCACACGCTCGTCCGGGACCAGATCTGCTACCGTTTCCAGATGCGGCACCCCGTCGAACCAGCTAACAGCTACAGCTTCTGTTGTTGTAGTAGGAGACCACGAGGACGATCATGTTCATGACGAACCAGCAGCAGTAGCAGTAGCAGGAAGTAGCGAACATCAAGAAGCGCAGGGTAGTCATGAAGAACGGGTCGAGAAGCGTTTTCCGCCTGATGATTGTATTTTCGACAAAGGCCGCCACCACTCGACAGCTGCGCGTATCGCTTCTGCGGCGCCTGGTGTGCGCGACGGAGCCAGCGCGACGTCCTCGTCTGAAGTGAATCCAGGTACGAGGAGGTCAAGTTTTCTGGAGCAACTGGAAGAAGCGGCCACCGCGCACTTGCTCTCCGATATCCTCTCTTCTTCGAATACGCGTGCCGCTAGCGCCGGGTTGTCCTCGGCTCTGAAAGCCAACGAGGATGGATCTGCTCCAATGCAGATGCAGCAGAGCGGACTTTTCTGTAGTGATGGCGATCGCGGCACTGAAACAGGGCCAGCACGGGACGTGGATGCATCACTTGCAGAGCAGCCGGGAGTTTCGACTGAGGAAAGTAGTTCTTGTGGAGTCGAAACCATTTCCCTTGATGTTGCAGGTCGTGCACATCCTTCAGCAACCCAGCTGGCGGCGCTGCAGCAGCAACTTGAGCGAAGTTTTACGGGCGAGACGACCACCAGCTTGATGGACCTGAGTGTGTCGTCGTTTAATACTTCCACCGCAAATTTGGCACAGTTGATGGCGTCCTGCTCGATTTCCGCCCCAAAATTTGAGCCGAAACACCTTCGCGAGCTGTTTCGGCGCCGCCGGGAGGAATTTCCTGACAGTGAAGCTGTTGCTGCGCACGCGTCCCTTCCAAAGGTCGAAAGTTTACTGCACAGCTTTGCAAACATACCTTCACCGGCCACGACGACGATTGTGTCGTCGCCAGAAGAGGAGCAGCTGCTGGAGCAGCTGCAGCAGCAGCGGGGAAAGGAACAGCAGGAGAATGGGAATCTGCAAAGCCAACCCGCACACTCGAATCTTCGCGCTTGTATCCCTCCCACACCAGGGGAGACCATAGCGGCTTCCGCGTCTTTGCTGGTCTCATCGAACCAGACTCTACCTTTGACACGACGCTCGCCTGCAGAAGTTGAGGCGGCGCTGGGACTCGTGGCCGAAGCAGGGTCTAATACGGAGCGTGGGCAAGGCGGCATACCAGGCAGTACAATCGTAGAAACTACAAAGCGGACTGCTCTATCACGAGACAAATTGAACACTTCCACTGAGCGTGAGCGCGACGAGCCGGGCGAGCACGCGTATTCGCCTGATGATCTGCTCTCAACGCTGTGTTCCGACAAGATCACTGTCGCAGCGTCAAGCTGCCGCACCATGGTCCCTCCCGGAGACGCTCGCGTTCGGGATTTGCGAGACTTGCTCATCGACGACGCTGATCTGGTTGATCGAGAGCAAGCTGCGGAATCGCATCACGACGACGACAATCGCAGCCTCGAGGACGATGGATCAATGATCAAAAATCATGTGGTCCAAGACGCCCCAGGAGATGACCTTGACCGCGCAACGAGCACTGAAACTGCTAGCACGAGTCCCATCAACTACACAGGTCCACCACCGCCCCCTGCGTTGCGTCGCCGTAATCCAGGTCTTTCTATTTCGACAAGCCCTCATTTCGAAATGAATGTCGAGGTACATGCTGGCACGACCACCTCCAGCAAGAGCAATGTGGTCGGAGCTGGTTCTACAGCAGCCGGCGCTAGGAAAAATTTGATTTCCAGCACGGGCTGCACACCCAGCTCTCCCATGGCCAACCCAGGCCTTTGGTCTACCACTTCGGCCGCCTCGTCAAATCTGCGCCGGGTGGTAATCAACGAGAACCATAACTGCTACCGCGAAGTGAGCGCCAGCCCGATTGCAAGCTCGGGCACAACAGATGGCGCGACGTCCACTCCTTCTTCATCGAGTGCATCAGGAGCGCCAACATCTCAACCTGTACCACTTGCTGTTACCTCGGCGGCGTCTCCGTTTTTATTTTCGGTGCCGATTCATTCCAGCCCTACATCTTTCTCATCGACATCCGGAATCCAGCTAGGAGGGACTGGCGGTGCAGCTCGCGCTTCTCCGAGCTCTGCTGCGGGGAAGCTACCAGTTGGTAGATCAAGTTTGAACAGCTCCTACGAGGCCTCTCCGACGTATACTTCGCTGCTCGGAGGGGGCGGCGGTGGTGCTGGCGGATTTGGTTCTGCGTCGTCCTCTTGCCAGTTCGTGCCCGTGACGAGCTCCGCGCCAGACAGAGTTACGATGCTGTCACCGAAATCGGACTACCAGAGGTCCAAAGTTGCCGAGCGAATTCTTCAGCAGGAGAAGGACACTCTGTTCCCTTCCGCAGCGAGTGCTGGGGCCTCCTCATCTTCTACAGCCGTCCTCGCCCACCATTCTTCCGGCAGGAACTCGATCACAACTGCTACGAATCGCCGGGACAGCACGAATTCTCGGTCTTCAGTGACGCAGTACAATGCGCTGTATGGAACTACGTCTTCATCGAGCCAGAACTACAACCAAGCCGGCGCGTCCTCCTGCTCGTCTCCGACGACGCCAGGAAGCACCGCGAGCTCTTCCAAACACGAACACCAGCCCACTTTTACAAAATCTGCAAGCTCAACTCTGGAGCACCTAGCTACCTTTGGAGGCGGAGGTGGAGGTGCGTCGACTGCGTTGTCTGGCGGTGGAGGAGTTGCCAACGGTTCTGTGGTCGTCCCGCGATCTCTGTCGCTTCCGGATCCGAGAGGGGAAGCGGGAGAACGGCGGGAGGGCGGCTGTGCTGATCAAAATGCGGACATTGTTAACAAATCTTCTGCGAGTAGCAGCAGCAAAGCAACAAATTGTGTCATGAGCACTCCCCTGCAGCGGGCCTCGATGATAGAGTACAGCCGGTCGCCCAGTTTGAGTGCGATCGGCGCCGCGGCCAGCGGTCTGGAGCTGTGTAATGCGCCGCCGCTTGCGGAGCTACCGCAACGAATTTTGGAAGGATTTGGCAGCTCCACCTCGTCGTCGTCCGCTTCAGTTTTTGCCGGACCCAATTGGAGTAGCGTCAGTGAGGGACGACTACATCAAAGTCAATCAACACAGCAGGGCGTTTTTGCGTCTCCCGAGCCGATTCACCTGGAGCGGCTTCCAATCCAGCGTGCGAGTCCCTCTCTGCCGGAGAGCAAGACGAAAATCAAGCAGTTCGTTCAAATCGTACAGGCGATATCACCCGTGCCGGCTCCACGCAGGCTCGTTCAACAGAGCTTGTTCTCCACGACGCCCGCGTCCGGAGAGCAGAACAAAGAAAACCAGCCTATCGCAACCGCCTCTGGTGCTTCTACTGGTTCACTCTCTGGCAAGCTTCGCCTGAGCTCCGGAAGCGTAGGCGTTAGTCCTCGCCCGCTACCTCTGGGCTCTCCGCCACCTGCGCCGACACCTCCGGTGCCTTCGACTGGGGGACGCGAGCTGGCGCACACTCAGACAACGCTTCTTGCGGAGAAAAGCGCCGCTGCGACGAACATCGCTGCAAACGCTAGCAGCTCGAGCTCCTCGACGGTGCGATTGCGTCACTCCCAGCGCTCAGCGCAGAATGAAACGGACAACTTAAGAGCTGCACTAATTCAAAGTCGCAACGCTATCAACAGTTCGAATTTCTAACTAGCAGAGGAAGTTGTCGTGCTTCTGGAGTTTATGGAGGCAAGAAAGTATCTCAGAAAAAATCGATACGTCCTAATCAATGTTTGAATTGGCAACGAGAACGGGATAATTGTAATTCCGACGAGTACAACAACTCAAATAGAAAATATATAGATAGATGAGTTTTTAGCTGCGGCAAGGACATGCAGCAGCCTCGCGAGCGAACCACCGTCTTGGCTCATTCATCGTGTAGCGTTCTTGTTATTTTGGGTCATTGTTGTATTGACCATACCTTCTCTTGTGTTTGGTCGGAAGTCAAGCGATCTCTGTAGTACAACTCGTTTAGCAGGACGCGTTCATCTATCATCAGACTTGAGATGTTGTTGCCATATCGATCCAATACTGACACGCTCGCGCGATCCTCTTTCGTTTCTTACGATCATTATGCATATCTGATTTCTTCAAAAGATTCACTCAGTATCAGCAGGCTCAATGCCTTGACGTTGTATGTTCTGTTTCTGTTTGTTGATCTTGATGTCTATGGACGGATTTTCATGAAGTAGGATTTATGATTCGATACACATGCAAATAAGCGAATGAGAGCAAGACCTAGATGACCGGCACCGGAGTAAATAAAAGAAAAACCAAAAAGTTCGCTCGTCCTGCTCCTATCCGTATAAAGCCCACAAAAAGTAGTGCCATGGTGCCTTCGCAGTGTCACGTGGCAAGACCCAACGCGCGTTCGCGACTTCAAGCGGCCGGGCGGCACGTCGCCGGACGAAGCTCGCTAGTCTCGATTTGTTGCAGTTCGCTTTTCTGGTCAACATTATACCCCAGCATTACGACGACCAGCGGCGGAATAGTACTCGCTCAGGCGCTCTTGCGAAAGCGCGCGAAGATGAAACTGGGCGCCTCCCATGACCACCCTACGACGTCCAGCTGCACGAACTCGTCCGCGTCGTCTGCTAGTGCTAGTGGGCAACAAGAAAAAGAACAATCATCGAGATCGAGGAGTTCGAGAGACACAACGGCTACGGCAACAAATTTGATTATTGTTGAGGAAGGCGAAGGAGACCAAGGCCAACAGACGGGGACGCCTACTCTCGCACGGGAACAAATTGAAGATTTTGTGTCTTTCTCAAGTAAGCCGTCTGCAGCTTCTTTGATGTCCTTGCTGATTCCTGAAAGTTTCGTTCCAATAGACAGCGACAAGGCTTGGGAAGTTGAAGGTCTAGGTCCTCGTCGCGCTGATGGTGAAGGCACCGAGTCTTCTGATCTTCCGGCGCGGCACACGACGCAGCTCGCGTTTATTCCTTTGGGCGACGATTTTGAAGAGAACCCCGACGCGCGAATGATACGGAACGTGATTGTGGCGCCAGGGGATACCATCGAGTATCCACGGCCACAGTCAGCAAGCGAACACGCAATGGCAAATGCAGATGGGAACATGAAAGTAAAGAACAAATCGGACAAAATAGAAAAGGGATCGAGTACTAGACCACGCACAGTCGCGGCAGATTCTCGACCGCCAGTAGCACCGCCGGTGATCTATACCGCGAGTTTTCGCCATGAGCCAGACAAGATTTACACGCGTTTGCCCTATTGGTGGGCGCCCACCATGGTGCCTTACGACTATTCCCTAGAGGTTTCGGAAAACTGGAATTTCATTCAGGACTACAGAACCGCGAGCACAACTTTGGCTGCAGGAGACGCGCAGATGGACCTGACCTCCGATGCCGAAGGCGAGGACTCTCGCAGCGCGACGACTGCTCTTCAGACTGGCGGGACGACGAGAACGAGGACGATGCGTTCCGGCGACGTCGCATGGAGCGACACGGAAGTCGCGGCCGAGGGCAGCTGCGGAGACGAGGCACCAAGTGCTTCAGGAGGCATGAATCGGGAAGAGGACGTCGAAAACCCACTGTCCGAATCCGATCAACAGGAGCAGGCGAAGTACGGGCGCAAGCACTCGGACGCCTCAACTGGGTCCTCTGTTGTCACCGGCTCTACTGCGACTGCGACGCCACGTGGTGCGGGTTCGTCCTCATCTTCGCGCTTTCTGTCAATGGAGAGCGGAGGTGGTACGATGAGTGGCAATGAGCTTGAGGAGAACTCCTCGGCTATCACAGGAAAAAGTGTTAACGTTAACGGAATTTGTGATGCAGAAACGCATCCCAAAACGTGCCAAAATTTGTCATGTATATCATGCATACTAGGCAAAATTTGTCATGCATTTTTGTAATCTATGAAAACCGTTAACGTTAACACTTTTTCCTGTGATATCGGCGCTTGAAGAAGATGTTGCGATGACGCAGGGACAAGCGGGGCATGTGCACGACCTAGTTCTGAGCATCGAGAATAGAAGTGTTGATGAACAAGTCGCGAAACGAACTACCGAGGGTCAGAGGACAGGAAAAGACCACGAGCACTCCGACACAACCACCGCGCAAGCGGCCGAACAAGATGAATTTGGCACCACGAGTACGATGCGATCTCATGACCCCTTGAGGGGTGGCGGGTACTGCACTGCATCTGGTGGGCCGGGTAGTACCCGCACGACGAAAGAGTCAGTGTCGCCACCGCAGAGTAGATCTGGAGGTGTTTCCACGCCAGCTGCATGGTCCGCGACATCAACACTTGCCATCTCATCGAGTTCCTCTTCATCAGCAGCACGTGGTGGTGGCACTCCTTCAAGTTCATTCGACGATGGCGCCGTCACCACAAAGATGAGCACCGGCAAAGCAGAAAATTTTTCAGACGCAGGAATCACGACACCTGTACAGCCTGCTGTTGCGCAAACAAAGACGAATTTACTGAAGAATAAAGTCGGCGTGAATCTGCACGCCGTGTACGTAGATTAGTACTGATTTGGACCGACTTCAAAAATGTTAAGAAAATCGGAAAAAAATCCGCAAAAAATCCAGGCACGCCGCAAAAAATCGACTTTGTGCCGCGGCTGCTAACGTCCACAAGCGAAGCAAAGTAGCGCGAAACGAAGTCGGTTGCCCGCGTTCTCGAAGCTCGAGAATGCGCCAACTCGGTCTCCCGGCAGTTTTTGCCGGTGTCCTGAGGCGTTAGGCCCCACCCTGGAGCGTCCGGGCTGCCAGAAAGATTCCCGCAGCCGGGTTGGGGGCGCCGGGTTGTCATGTTCCGCCCGGCGGGCGGTGCTCACAAAATCGATTTTGTGAGTACCCGCGGACAGATTCGATTTTGTGCGCACCCTTCGGGCACGCTTTTCGAAGATGCCCTATCCTCGGGCGGGGCCACACAGTCCGCGCGTGGTCGCAAAATCGATTTTACCAACACAAAAGCCGGAAAATCCGGCAAAAGCTGCAAAATTGATTGCGTGGGGCGAAGTCGCAGAGGACGGGCCTCTGCCCGCCTTGGATCGATCGATGTTTCGCTCGCACGCTACAGGCTTAGGGATGATCGCGAATTCCAGAACTTGCGCCCCGATGAAGTTCCGCACATTCATCGCGTTGGCCCAGCGTAGAAAGCAATGAAAAACGCCCGAGCTTGTGACTTACATCCGGGCCCAAGTTCTGAAAAGCCGCGGGAGCGGCATGGGCCCCGTCTGCGTGTTCTGAGCTCCGTAGAGGCGCCAGGAACAGGCTCTCGGCTGGCGCGGGGGTCGCAAAATCGATTTTGTAAACAGACAGCCCTCGGTGGGTGCCGCGGCTCAGTCCTCGACAGCCGCTGGGCGCTTGATGGGGCGCAGAGTCGGGGATTTTAGTTATTTCAGGCTCGCAGAATCGTCTGCGGGTTCAATCACCCGAGGCGTGCAAAATCGATTTTGTTGGACCGCTCCTTGTGCGATGTCCGCGTCAGTGGTGGTGCGGGCAAAAGAGGTGGCGCGGGCCTGCTATGTGGGTAAGGCAGGTGGCTGTCCGGCTGTTTGCCAAAATCGATTTTCCAACTTCCTGAAAATCCAGAGGAGCAAGTTTTCCGGAAGTCCGCGCGTTGCTTGGACTTTCCGGGACTGCCGAAAAATCGATTTTCCGGGTTCCGGAAATTCCGGAAATTTCGAAAAGTCCGGAGTTTGCGAAAAATCCGGAATTTTCCGAAATCGAAAATCGAGATCGGGACATCAGCAAGTCCTCGAAATCGAAAATCGACTCGGAAAATCGATTTTCTGCTTCATTGCTAAGGAGAACGGACCAAACCTGGTCCATACCATCGGCGGAGGCAGTTGCTTACTATCCAGTTGGTAATCTGCTGCCAAAAATCCGAACGCTTGCACTTTCAAGAGATTCGGAGGCGCTTCAAAGTCGATTTTCTGTGTGCCAAAAGTGCGCCCGAGTGTGCGCCAAAAATGCGCCAAAAGTGCGCGCGAGTTACTATTCAATAGTAACGGAGACGGACCAAACCTGGTCCATACCATCGGCGGAGGCAGTTGGTTACTATTCAATAGTAATTATTATTTTGCTCGGGACGCAACACAAAACAACGCGGATTTTTGCGCGCGACACCTCGAGCGCGACTGCCTTCGGATTTTTTTTGGATTTTTGGCAGCAGCTTACCAACTGGATAGTAAGCAACTGCCTCCGCCGATGGTATGGACCAGGTTTAGTCCGATCTCGCTACTATTGAATAGTAATGGAGGCACAAAATCGATTTTCTGCTATTTTCTCGGAAGCTCTATTTTCCGGAAGTCGGAAAATCCGGACCGCAGCGATCTCCCGAGATCTTTCCGGAAGTCCAGATCTCTCCGGAAAATCTAATGTCCGGCAAGGTGCCGACGTTGTCCATAGGGTTGAGGGGTTGCAGAATCGACTTTGTGGCCGGTAGGGCCCGTTGCCCGTACCTCTGAGGGCGCGGGCTGGGACGGGGGTTGGTAAGGCATTGGCGTGGGAGACTGCATCCGCGAAGAAAGGGCGGACGCACAAAATCGATTTTGTGGGAGATCCGCTAAAGCGCATAGCTGGAAGCTCTCCCCCCTAGTCCGTCGGCCCGGCGGATTGCGTGGCGCACCGCCTCGATATTGAGCCACGCGGCCGCTCGATTCTGTCGGACCTGGGAAGCTGCGAAATCGATTTTGTGTGGTCGGGCGATTGTGTGGCCTTCAACAGCCCTTGCGCGACCCACAACATCGAACCACCTGTGGTCAGCTCAAAACCGGCCTTGTGGTCGGCGCTGCGTTCTGGGGGAATGGAAAATCGATTTTGTGCAATCTGCGGGATTGCGCGTCTGGAGGAGGGGTTTTGTGCAATCCGCGTCTGCGGCTTCGATTTTGTGCAATCTGCGTTGTGTGCCATGCAAAATCGATTTTGTGCAATGCAAAATCGATTTTGCGGGATTCGGTTTTGTGCAATGCAGAATCGGGATTCGGTTTTGTGCAGAGCAAAATCGATTTTGTGCAGTGCAAAATCGATTTTGTGCAATGCAAGATCGATTTTGTGCAATGCAAAATCGATTTTGCGGGATTCGGTTTTGTGCAATGCAAAATCGATTTTGTGCAATCCGCGTCTGCGGGAATGCAGAATCCATTTTGTGCAATGCAAAATCGGGATTCGGTTTTGTGCAATGCAAAATCGTTTCTGTGCAATGCAAGATCGATTTTGCTGCTTTCGGTTTTGTGCAATGCAAAATCGATTTTGTGCACTGCAAAATCGGGATTCGGTTTTGTGCAACGCAAAATCGATGCTGTGCAATACAAAATCGATTTTGTGCAATGCAAAATCGATTTTGCGGGATTCGGTTTCGTGCAATGCAAAATCGATTTTGTGCAATCCGCGTCTGCGGGAATGCAAAATCGATTTTGAGCAATGCAAAATTCGGGAATCGGGAATCGCCCCCCTTACGTTGGTTGGCTCTGGCCTCTACAGTTTCGCCGCGCCACCGGATTTTTTTTCGATTTTCTTGGCCGATAAAAAGTTGGTCCAAATCACTACCAACGTAGATGACACGACAGGCATTCTGTATATTTACGAACCCAACAGCAGCAGGGCGACGAGCCGTACTCGAACAAATACAAACGTATCTTCTACTTCTAGCGACGCGGGGGCTCCAGAGACCACAGCGCAGCCTGGTGGTAGAATGGTGGAATTGCTGTTCGACATGCGGTCATATTTCTGTGGGTCCACGTCGAGGGAAGTGAGTCCGGAGAACAAAACACCAGAACTGCTGGAGGAATTTGCACGACAACGGGCTAGCGGATTGACGCTTTTTAACACAGAGTTGATGTACGAGGAAGCAGAGTACGTCCACCCTGCTCTAAAGATTACCACTCCTTTCAACCACTACGCCCTGCTCACACCGAAACTTAATCTGCCGCAGCTCTGGCGTGCCCGCGGGGCGAGGTTTCTACACCTGTTGCACGAAGTAAAAATTTTGATTCCGTACTTCGCGGAGGACGCTACGAAAGCGCTGGAACGCCGAGAAAAAGCATTGCAGCCCCCGACGCTGTCGGATCTTTGGTTGACAGAAGAGCATCTACTTGCGGACAGTGGGGGCGAGAAAGTGCAGGAGTTTGCCCAAGCAATTCTCGAGGAAGACAAACGAATGAAAGCCAATCTCTATTTGAATAATATAAGCGACAGTGCGCGAGACGCGCCTGTGACGCTTGCCGCCTTCGCTGCCGATGCCAACAGTAAAAGGCGAAGGAACAAAAAACTCTCCTTTGCGAGCAGCTGCAACAGCAGTGATATGGAAATTTCTGAGGACCACCACGTGTCCATGCAAGAACAGAAGCCGCATCAGCCTCCCTCTGCGTCGCGCTCGCGGCCTTCGACCCCGCACCAAACTGGGTTTCTCGCCCAAAGACGAGAACAAAACGCGTCGCAGGAGACAAGTTCGCTTTCATCTAGTTCGGAGAGCGGCATGGCGAAAGCGATGCAAACGGAGTCGTTCTCCATCATGCAAGTTCATGAAAATCAAGGAGACTGGGTCCAAACGACTGACGATGTGGTAGGATGGCCGCATCCGGGGTACGTGAAGAGTGTGAACTTGTCCTCAATTCTTGATCATGCTTCGACGAACACTAGTGGTGCTGCTGCTGGTGTCTTCCCAGCAGCCTCGAATAAATCAACACGTTCTACTACTGCCGCGTCTGGCTGCAGTATGGAAGAAATCGAAGCCATGAAAGACGCAGTGCGGCAGTTGGAGAGCGCGCGGCAGCAGAGCAAGCGATTCTTGGACCAGAACACGGCCGGGCCAACCGTTTCCTTCCAAGGCTCCGCTTCCACCTCTCCGGTGATCCCGGCAGAAGCTAGTACAGGCAATGAGGTCTTTATTTTCTCGAAGAACAACGCGACTGGCTGGAGGTGCTTCCGAGCCCAAGGCCAAGGATGCCTCCCAAAGTCAGACCCGTTTGCTCTTGGAGAAAACCATATAACGCGACGATGTGATGAAGTAGATGAAAATGCCGCGGCTCCACCACTCGTTGTGATTGACACACAGAAGTTTGACAGCTTCAAGGGTTGTAGACCCAACACAACATCGTCTGCTTTGAAGAAAAACAAAGACCACGCGGTCACTTCTGAGATTCTTTCACAGGAAAGACAAAGACTGGATGATAAGAACCCACTGAAACACGCCTACATGAACACGAACTTCTCCAAAATGGCGATGGCATCTTCTTTCAAACAGGAAAGCGAGCCTGGGGCCTCGTCACGTGGACGAGAGGGCTCATCCTCTGCATCCAGTTCCTCAGCGTCTTCTCAACATCTTGGCCGTGTAGCACGCGATTGGTACGACCAACATCGCGATCGCCACAGCAGAAGATACGAAAATGATCTTCAGCGGGACGGCGCTCATCTCGAAAGCGAAGAGCGCAAGATGATTTTGGAACAGGCTCGCAGAGAAGGTTTTGCTCTAGTGCAGAGTATGCATCAGCACGATATTAGAGCAGAAGACCGCGACGCTCGAGGCAAGCTGCGCTCGTCAGTTGAAGTGATTCTGAATCTCGTGGTGAACAAGGAGTCCCGCGATTGCTTTAGCTTCAAGCCGCTATCGCGACAGCTCACCGTTCAGCAGTTCATCGCCGCTGTGCAGCCGCAAGGCATGCGAATTCAACTGCCTCCTTCCAAGGCCGCGCGCGAGAGCTCAAGACTGCAGGCCATGATGGAAGGGATAGACGAGAACAAGGATGAAGGAGCATTAGCAGCTTTAGACGATCACTCGTTTGCATTTCATCAGAGTCAGAATCTGCATCGCGAATGGACAGCAAGCACCACCGCGTCTGCTGCTACTGGGGAGGAGAGAGTGGCAACACTGTACTGGGTGCGGGATCGGCGAAAATCCATACGACACACGGATTTTCTCTCCGGTCGCGAAACGCTTGACCAACTGTGGCGGTGGAACGGGGGGAAACATGGAGGAAGTGATGCAGTGCATTTCCGTTTGGAATTCGTGCATTCCAGTTCGGCTTCTTCCATTCCGCAGCTAAATCCCAAAGCGACCAGCTTTACCCCCGGCCAAGGTTTCGTCAACTCCGGAAATGCGTTCATGCAGCCCCAACACCATGCAGCTTCGTCGTCTACTTACGATGGATTTCATGTCGGCGATGCAAATCAGCGTCAATGCTGGTCCACACCAACTGTGCTTGGCGTTGGCGGGAACGATTTTTCGGCGGACGTCGATTCGATGAAAAGGGTTGAAGCGATAAAATCTGATTTCGCAAGGGCGGCGAGTCGCGAGTGGAACGCGAATGCTACCGAGTTTGTACCGGGTAGTGCCACTCCTGGTTCCTTCGTGATCAATCCGCCGCTTTCCCAGCATAGCGCTGGAGCTGCCCTCCACGTGGCGACCGGAGCGCAACTGCCGCAGCATCACTACCAACAGCAAGCCATAACGCAGCCAATGGTCGTGACGACGTACGACCACCGTGCTGGACGCTTTGTGCCTCTCACGATTACAGTCCCAGACTTTCAGGAGCAGCAGAATCTCCAGCACTCTGAGAGCGACCAGTTCTGGACTAACATTCAGGAGTATTTTGGAGACGTGGACACACTATTCCATTGTTCCGGGCATCAAGCACAAGTCTATGAACCAGATAAAGCACATGCACAGGAAGATGCCGGCGACGGCGTCGCGGCCAATATCGTCATGGAGGAGCACCAGCATTGCTTTGGCTTTTGTAGTTCGGCGGGTGCAGCAGGAGCCGGTGAGCACGACGGCGGACAATTATGGGGTGAGACTTCACAAACCAACGCGCGCGAGCAAGCGGAAGCCCCGCAAGCTTCACCTTCAACCTTCGTTTTTGGAGGTGGACTTCCTCTTCATCGGTTCGGACCCGCAGCCCCGGGTAATGCGGATGAAGATGAATTCTTTGTCAACTGCTGCTGCGAGGACACAACTGCAAATTATGCGGGGACTTCTTTATTTGGCTCTACTGTTGAACCCGGCGGTGGCCTTCTTCAACAGCAGCAGGAAGGTCATTCCTACTGGTCCTTTCCGAGGGAGCATCATGAACCTGTGCATAGCGAAGTAGATGAACCAGCCGAACAAGTCGCCCAGGCCGCCTCTCGGTCGCGACCCCGGTGCGTTGGAGAAAATTGCGCGATGGAAAAAGCCGATGGAGGTGATGATTTTCTGGACGTGAATCGCATGCCAAGAACGCGGACCCCGTCCCCGTTGCCTTCGGGAAGCCAAGTGGCTTCGCCCTACTTGGGTGTAACAGCCAGGTCTCCCTTTCTGCAGTCCGTTCCGATGCCGCACGGGCCCGACTCGGAGTTCTCCTTACCAGCTCTGGATCTACACGGAACTGCTTCGCCGGGTAGCTGGGTACTGGACAGCGCAGAATCCTCGTGGAGTGCGTCCCACGCAAGATCGACTACGCCTCCAATCGGTGATGTTGTCCTGCCTTCGTTCCCCGAAAACGGGCAGGACAGCGGAGCTGCTTCTCGTCCAGATTTGCAAGCAATGGATTCTCACGGATTAGCAACTACTGAAACGGATGAGCCGTTCGACGTCACTCTTTTCAACGTGACTACCGAGCCGAGTTACTTCCTGCGGAGCGCCAGTGTGCCATAATGAGCTACATGCATATGGTTGCACTCGCATCAGCAGCTTTGCAAGGATGTACCATAGTCGTGCTTTTATACATACACCAACACTTCATCTGCATGTCGATTTTCATGTTTCAAAAGCGAAGCCCATACTTAGTGACCGCGAAAGAAATAAGTACTAGCACCAGTAGGTCGTTGTAGCGAAATGGAAGGTTTGCCGCTTGGAGCTCTAGATTTGTCTGAAATCTAGCGAAACGCATACTAAGCTTTTCTTGTCGTCTGTATCCATTCTTTTTCTTTGCGACACGCAGCATGAAGTGTTTACCTATGATTTTTTCAACAGAAATAACAAAGCAAGGACAAGGGTGTGCTTCTACCTCATGCGCCACCTCCAGTCTAAGGAGCCACTAGTTCGCATTTACTTTATCATTATTTTTTTTTGTTTTTCGCATGTGTAAAAAAGAAAGAGCTGATAGTCATGATTTCCTTGCCTATGTCATGATGAAGCCGTGCACTTGTACAAAAGACTTCGACGGACGAGGATCTTCGCCACCTGCCATTTAGATTTACACAGCAATTCATTTTCAACGTATACGTATTTCTCTTTATTTTTGTGCAGAGTGAGTGCAGAGCAACCCGTTGGCGGAGTACACGACGTAACTTTGTTGTGATTTTTCGAGAATAAAGAAATGAAAGCTTGAAGATGAAATTGAGAAAAGAATGAAGAGCTGGTGTATACCTGTAGTGAGAGACGTAGCCAGGACGAGTAGACCACGGGCTGATGCCGTCCTATTCTGAGAAAAAAAATATCGTGTTGTCAGCGCTGAGCCGTGTCGTAGCTGCAGATCAAGCAACTTAGTATCTCGCTTGATCGTTATTGTGATTGTCGGTGACTTCGCAACAAATACACGTAACACGACTACGTCATCATCGTGAGCTCTACTAGCAATCTGAGTGCACCAGAGAGCACTGACATTCGGCCGATGTTGATTTCGCTCGCATCGATCTGTACCTCGCCGTGCGATTGCTCGGGCCGTGAATTAAACAAAGAGAAAGAGATGCATCCACCGCACCACGTTAATTGAACGCTGCAGAAGTACGTCTCTATGAGAGAAGCTGCGAGACGTGATGACTCATCTTCTTCGTAACTCGTCTAGTAGATGACAGCAACAAAAAAAACGTCGTATCATCGTTTCAGCATCTTCGTAAATGGTGGTCCAAAGAACCCATTTATCGCAACCGCACCAGGTATGGCTCTGTAACGTTTACGTTGCTAGTACTAGATAAATAAAAAATACGTAGCATAGAAGAAGTTGTTGCCATTGCCTTCGCTCTTTGTCTACTTTGCGCTCAACAACATTGAGGTTTACAAATTTTCCATCTACCTCTCATTGGTGCCACCAGGTTTTTTTTTTCTCACTACAATACAAAAGGGGACGATAACCTAGTTGGTTCTAGAGTGGGGACGTTGAGAAAATGGCGTCGGGTAATCCAGATTTTAACTATCTGGATATCGTCGCAGAGAGGAGTAAAAACGTACTTCTGGTGCGGGATAACGTTGGCAAGGCAAAGCCAAGCATCTACGACATTCCCCAGGAAATAACGTTTGGCGTCGCGCCGGTAGCTGATCAGGAGGGAGCAAAGGAAATTGTCAACGTTTGGAAGCCGCACGTACTGATACTGAAATTTTTATGCTTCCTGGAAAAAAAGGAAATTGAAATTCTATTCTAGCCCCTTGCCCTTTTCTCGTCTTGTAGTTTACAACAGTACTTCTACAACAGCCACAGGCTGTTGTCAACAGCAGCATCAAGTTAGTGGTAGGTATGGATTGGGCTGGGTTCAAAAATTTTGATTCGGTGAGCATGATGTTGACGACATGCGACATTTCTTCGTTTCTTGTGCACCAGCCTGACACTGACTTCTGGAAATCTGAATTTCCAAAAAATAAAAAAACAGCAACCCTCCATCCAAGACAACGACAATCGAGTAAATTACTTGAAGTGGAACCGATTCACCGCCGCGCAAAAGGCCGTCAGACACCCATCCGTACCAAAACTCAAGAAGCTCATAGGAGAGGCGGATGAGGAGGGTAAGCAAAAGAGCTTTCTTTGTGTCCCCCGGGCTTGCTGTTATTTTGCATCTTTGTTGGTCCCCTTCGCAATTTTTAATGAGTCAAAATTGCGGCTGTCCAACACCTGTGTATGTCTATGTGATGAAAATAGAAATAAACCACACTTTGCTCAGATGAAAAAGCCAACACGTTTTCCGACTTGGACCTGGCTAAGGATGATCTGGACAGAAGGGCACAGAAAATCATGAAGTGGAAGCTCGACCAGCGAAAAATCACGGTGATGCCACAAACCGACAAGGAAAAGCTCTACCACACCTACGCAAAGAAGGACAAAACGTCCTACACCAAGGCCGAAATCATCGCCAGCAAGGGTACACGACACTCTGTACTATAATGAGATTGAGCATTTTACTTGTGCCAAGCCCCAATATTTGTATATTGAAACCAAATTTATTATGTGGTCATGACATTGTTCTTTTTGTTTTTCTTCATCCGACTTCTATGCTGCGTGCTGCATTGCAGAGTAGAACTAGAACAAGAAAATATAAATGACACCAACGACCATGATATCAGCATCTGCCGCTGCGTACAGAAGTAAATCAGTTCCGCAGGACGGCAGCATAACGCATGGAAAGCGAAAAACCGAGAGACCACCAACGCCCATGGAGATGGTAATCGTTTTACCAGCGAAGCTAGTGCCGGTCTAGTGCCTTGGTCTTTGAATTTTTCTTTTCTTGTGACAAACGCCACTGATTAATTTCTACGCTGAGTAGTTTGATACTCTATCGCTTCGTGCTTTGCGAGATAAAAAATCGCTTCTGTTTTGCAAAAAATTTAGGTCCTCGGAATGGAATTCGCGAAAATTGGTGCCCGGGAGAGCAGACAAAAGTTTGACGAGTACCAGCAGGCCAAAAGGGATGCTGCATCTGTCAAGCACTCGGGGCCGACCAAGTACATACTAGAGAGCGCTTTCGCTGTCGAGCTGTTTGAGATGAACTTAGTCGAATGCAGAAGTTGATCAATGAACTTCGATCTGTTCTTTCACAACCGTCCCAATCAAAACCAGAAGCATAGGAAAACCAGAAAATATGTTTACCTTCAACTATCTACTTCAAACTAACAGGGCGTCTCTGGGGCACGCAACCGGCGCACTCAACGCCAGGCGTGCGGCGGTTGAGAAGGACTCGCGTTCTGAGTGGGTGCTGAGTCGCTTCAAGAACATCAAGCCGACCATGAACATGCAGGAGTACCTGCGTGCCGCGCCCCGGCCCACCGCCGACAAGAGCAAGGATTACATCTAGGTATTTAACTTCAAGACGTAGTCGTAGGCAAGCGAGGACCACAGATAGTACTGCCGAGGTGCTAAAAATGAGCCACGACTTAATCCTTTTGCTCATCTTTGTGCCATCAGATAATTCAGACTTTCGTCACCAAGTTAGAGCTTTTACTTTTCTAGTTTGCCTCCTTAGAAGTTTGAAAATATTCGACATGTCGTGATGTCGTGCCGTTTCAGCTGCAGATCAGACAAAGAGCATACAGCATGCTGAAGATATTAGAGTTTAGTTTCAGATAGTCAGACACCGAAAAAAAATGACCACCGAGTTGGAGTGCGAAACGCTTCACGATGTAAAATTCTCAGCAGATAATAACAGGCTTCTATAAATGGTTTCGTTGAAATGAACACTTGAGTATATATGAACAATCAAAATCAATATTAATCAAACTTCTAATTCTATAGATCAGTTTCAGTTAGAGATGCTTCGGAGGCACCTCCAGATGAGATGATTATGTCATTCTTTATTGCGCATCAGACGAGGATATTACCTTCTCCTGTTGTAGGAGAGTCAGTGAAAAAATCTATCCGGCAGAAGGAACACAAAAGCAGGCATTGCAAGCAGGTTGCAGATCAGACGGAAAGAAACGGATAGCGGCAGAAGGAACAAACGAGCGTTTAGTAGACTATACTACCGAGGACTGTGAAGCGATTCGCATCCCGATTCGATTCAGCATCGTCCGCGTTTCTTGAACCTACCAAAACAAAAAAGCAACTTGAGATCAGATGAAAACTGCACGAATTGTAGCTGAGCCCATTTGTATACACTAACACTCGTGCAGATTCAACGAAAAGAACTTGGCCTGCAACTTGCTTTCGAAAGCGAAAAATCTGACACTGACGCAAGCGAAAATTAAAGGTACTAGCTGGCTCGTCTAGTGTCGACGTGGTGCGATTTTCATGCATAATTGTTCTCTCTTGCACATGGTGGTTGAGATGGGTACGGAGAGCCATTTGGATGGCTCTCTTTGTCTTTTGTCGAGGAGCGAGCTCGAGCGTATTACTGCAAGAAATGCCATAGATCTCTCGTGGTGTCACAAATGAGAAGTAAGACGGAGAGGATGTTGAAAGGAATGCATCGGTGTTATCTACCCTCCAGGCCCACTCATCTGAGTTATATACCTCCATTGAGATCGATCACAACATGTAGTAAGTGCTACCACGATTGAGAGCTGTACTTACGTCCTCGCGACACTCACACTCATCTATGCTACCACGGCAGCAATAGAAGATCGCAGTAATTTTGTTTTTGGATTTTCCAGGAACGATACTTCGTGCGCTTTTCCTTACAAACATAAAACAAACTGAACAAATCTCGAGTAGAAGTTCCTCTATGTTCTTAATCTGTCTCTGTCTCACGACGTGATCTCACAATGCGAGCCTCATTCCAGCAACTGCGTGCTCGTGGTGCTGTTGCAGCCTCGAACACAGCGGCCTCCTCTTCGTCATCCTCGTCTTCTCATTTTGTTGCTCCACCTCGCTCGCGTGCGTATGCTGCTCCCCGCCTACGTCCCTTCTCCGCTGTGGCCGCCCAACCCAAGTCGCTCCAGGAGGTGTGCAGCGACACGCTCGACGAGATGAAAGCGAAGGGGACGTACAAACAGGAGCGCGTTATCACCTCGATGCAGGCGCCGGCGATTCAGGTGGAGGGCTCGAAGCACAAGCAGGTGCTGAATTTTTGTGCCAACAACTACCTGGGCCTTTGCGACAACAAAGATGTCATCGAAGCGGCAAAAAAGACCATCGATGACTACGGCTACGGCATGAGCAGCGTCCGCTTCATTTGCGGCACGCAAACGTTGCACAAGCAGCTGGAGGCGGAATTGGCGAAATTCCACGACCAGGAAGACTGCATTCTTTTTCCGTCCGGCTTCGATGCGAACGCGGGTTTCTTCGAAGCGATTCTCTCGGAGGAGGACGCGATCATCTCTGATTCCTTGAACCACGCCAGCATCATCGACGGGGTGCGGCTGTGCAAGGCGAAGCGCTTCCGGTACCAGCACCTGGATTTGGGTGATTTACGCGCGCAGCTAACAGAAGCAGCGGCGAAAGGCGCTCGTCTGAAAGTGGTCGTCACGGACGGCGTTTTCAGTATGGACGGCGACGTGGCGCCGCTGGCGGAAATCCGGCAGGTGGTGGACGAGTTTCCCAACACCTATCTGTACGTGGACGACTGCCACGCGACCGGGTTCCTGGGGAAGACGGGAAAGGGCACCAGTGAGATGTTCGACAACGTGAAGATCGACTTTTTGTCGACGACGCTAGGGAAAGCCCTCGGCGGCGCAACAGGAGGGTACGTGGTTAGCTCGAAGGAAGTCGTGTCCGTGCTGCGCAACAAGGCGAGGACATACCTGTTCACGAACACGATCGCACCGGTCGTAGCGGGCGCATCGCTGAAGGTGCTCGACATGCTGAAGGAGTCGGATGAGCTGCGAACAAAGCTGCAGGAAAACACGCACTATGTGCGACAACGGTTCACCGAGGCGGGCTTGACAGTGCTCGGGCATCCGGACTGTCCGATCGTGCCAGTCTACCTCGGCGATGCACTGGTAAGTACGATAGGTCAGCTGCTGCTGCTCCTGCATCAAAAATATCATTAAAAACAATGACATGCATCAATAGACACTGCGCTTTTACTTGCTTTTGCTTGTTTCTTGTATTTTGAGCGCCTCAACGCCAAGAACAAGGAAAAACACAAGTCTATACAAACTGACAAATTTAGGTTGCGCAAGCGATGTCTGCTAATCTTTTGGAGCGCGGGATTCTTGCGATTGCTTTCTCCTACCCAGTTGTCCCGGAAAACGCCGCGCGGATCCGCTTTCAGATTTCCGCAGCACACACTCAGGAGCAACTGCAGAAGCTGGTCGCAGCGGTTATCGGCGCTTCAAAGGAGGTCTCAGGGAAGTAGTAGGACTAGTTTTACTAGTTTTGAAACAAGAAAATAGTAGAAGATGGACAAGCAAACTTCATCTTCAACTTCGTCTACAACTACATCCTCCTCATCTCGTGCCTCTTCTTCATGTGGGCCATGCCCATGCTTCTTCGACATGTTTTTACCGACGAAAGTGAGGACGAAGTCCCGCGAACTTAACGACTATGCGTCTCTGATGAAGATGAAAAATACATCAAGGTCGGCACCATGGAAGTGAACAAGACCGCTGCCTACGATCAGCGCGCAGAAAGAACGCGCATTGAAGCAGAAAACCAAAGGGCGGCAGATTTGAAAAAGGAGAAAGACCGTCAGCGTTTGCTGGAAAGAGTGAAAAACAAAAATCCCAGTTTCCGATCAAGATAATGGTGGAGACAATTACGCTAAAGCTCGTTTTTTGTACTGATGACAAAGCTGATGAAAGGAAATATTGGATTGACAGAACAATGGTGAAGACCAATTCTACGTTTACTTTTTCAAGAACACTTGGAGCCAATTAGGCTATTTGTAAAGGTTTCAACTTCATATACTTCTTCCTTGTGGCAAGCGCTAGGAGCCAGAAGTTGTGTAATATCTTCAGGCTCGCCGCCCACCCCCGCCGCTGCTCGAACCGGTCTGCTGAATATCGCGGTTGTCGGCATAAGCTGAAGCTGACGAGAACTTCTTGTGCGTGTTCCTCCTTGTGGTGTGCCATCGGAGTGTTTTTTCGACAACAGAGGCAGCTCTTTCCTTCAAGCAATGTCAAAGACTTGGACATCACCACTTGCACTTCACAAAATTGGATCTAAAAAAAAACTTCGCGGCCTGCGCCTCCTAGACTTATCAAGTTTTTCAAATCAATACACAGAGTTGTAGAAAATCAAAGACCACAAGATGGGTAATTCCTCAAGTTCGTCAGCAGGTACTCAAGTGGACATTGCCACCAGCGGCAATTCCAGGTCATCCGGGCTAACAAGCGGGACATCAAACACAAAGAGCCAGCAGCTTGGCATACTTTCTGGTAAACCGATCTGCTGCGTGTGCAAAGAGACCAAGGCCGCACGGGACGAATGCGTTGTGCGAAACGGCGAGGAGAGATGCACGCAATTCATAAACGCGCACGACCAATGCCTCAGAATGGAGGGGTTTGACGTTTTGGAGAAAGCCTCGAATGGCAGTTCGGCGACGCCGTCGCCGCGCGCGTGATGAAGTAGATAAGGCGGCACTGCCTCTCCTGCGACGTTACGATCAGTCGATGTCAATGTTTTAGGTGGCGCACTACGAGACAGCTCTTTCTGCCAGTGAAAAAACCAAAACAAAACCTGAAAGCCCTCCCTGCTGAGGAGAAGAACTTGCAAGCCACCAGCAGGTGGAAGAAATGCATTTACTGTTCGAGTTTTTCTTTTTTGATAGACTCGCTGTCTCATAGATACATCTTGAGTCTTCGGGACCGAGAGCAAGGCTGCTTGTTCGCATAGAAGCAAGCGGCTCCGAGCCTCGAAGATGTAAATATGTCTGAAAATGATGATCTGTTGCTCTGCAACTTCACGGAGACGACCAGCCGTTTTTTGACCATACGACACATCATCAATTGATCCTGATCACTTTCCTTATTTTGTCACAGCAACGCTTTGATGATGACGTACTCACATATAATCCGTAGATAGCACGTTTTTTGTTTTTCATTTTCTCTCGTAAGTCCTCTGTACCTGTAGACCCGTGAGTCAACGAACACGAACCAACGATCGAAGGATCATGGTAATTCTGAGCTATCGTTTTCCAACAACTGGATTCACAAAGGATGGAGAAAATGAAGATGTAGCAAAATAGCTTCGGCGTGAAATACAAGATAGAGGACGACGAATCTCATTTTTCGCCCGCGCTCCAGTCGCCAGGGCAAGGGGCTTCTTCTTCGTCCGATTCCGACGATTTAGCGGGGAAGAAACAAGCGGGGAAAAAGAAGAAAAAGATCGGCACGAGCCTCAAGAAGAAAGACAAGAAAGACGCGATGTCGCTGCAGCTTCAGCTTTACAAGCTGAACGACCGAAATCTGGCCTACACCAATCTGGTGTACGTGAATCCCACTGACTTTGCACAGCTCGCCGGACGCAACAAGCCGGTTGGGTACGTCTTGGTCAAGGACAACTACCCCTTTTCCCTTTCGAGCCACCCGGATGTGCCGTCAGGGAAAATATATCTCAGCAGTGTATAGTTTTTTCTTTTTGTAGACTTGTTTTTTGAGCTTTCTAAGTGATCACATCAATCTCTTTGCGTGCACTCCTCTTCCTCCATATTTCCTTGTTCACTATGGTGCCCTCCAAGTCCTACAAGTGCAACGATAAAAAACAGCTCCAGCGAGATTTTGCCTCTATTCCTTTGGATGCCGTCCTGCCGGTCTCAAGCTTCGCACCAACGGCCGACAATGAAATCGCGGGCGGGCGCGTCACCGTGGATGTAATAGGGAACACTGGGGGTGCTCCGAGGCTCGAGTTGGACGGCAGCTCCCTGCGCGACCTGGTTCTGCAGAATTTTCGTGGGCAACCGTTTTCGCGCGGGCAGATGTGTTGCGCAAAATGGGAAAGAGTCGCGCTAAAGTTCACCTTTGTCGAGCTCGAGAACAAGCGGGACGTGATGAAAAACGCCGGCCGAAGCCCCGACAGTCCACGGAGCGGGCGCGGCGGCGACGCGGCCGTCAAGAGTTTGTGCATCCTGAGCCCGTCGGGCGTGCAGCAGCTGGAATTCAAGAATGGCCCGAGCCAAACGACGTCCGTTCTCTCTAGCGACATGAAAAGACAGCAGGTTTTCAAGAAGGACTTCAACTTTGGCGCCATGGGGATCGGCGGCTTGACCACGGAGCTGGAAACGATCTTCCGGAAGGCCTTCGCGTCCAGGCTGTACCCGCCTGCGCTGATCCGGCAACTCGGGATAAAACACGTGCGCGGGATGATGCTCCACGGCCCGCCCGGGACGGGAAAAACGACCATCGCGCGGCAGTTGGGGAAGTGCCTGCACGCCCGTGACCCGATCGTGAAATCTGGGCCGGAAATGCTGAACATGTACGTCGGTGAGGGCGAGCGACAGATCCGCGAACTGTTCGCGGAGGCGGAAAAGGAGCAGGAGAAGGAGGGGGAAAACAGCGAGCTCCACATCATCATCATCGACGAGATCGACGCGATATGCAAGCAGCGGGGCTCCGGGCGGGAGGGGAACAGCACGATGGACAGTATGGTGAACCAGCTGCTCGCGAAAATCGACGGGGTGAACGCACTGAACAACATCCTCCTGATCGGGATGACAAATCGCCTCGACATGATCGACGAGGCGCTGCTGCGGCCGGGGCGACTGGAGGTGAAGATGGAGATCGGGTTGGCCAATGAAAGCGGCCGGTTCGAGATTTTGCAGATCCACACCAGCGACATGAAGAAGGCAAAACGGCTCGGGCCGGACGTCGACCTGCAGGAACTTGCGAAAATCACGAAAAACTACTCCGGCGCAGAGCTGGAGGGCGTGGTGAGGACTGCGGTAAGTTACGCGCTCGCGCGGAAGATCGACTTCAGCAATCTAGGGAAAGAACTGACCCAGGAAGAGATGAAGGATCTCGTCGTGCAGCGCCAGGACTTCATCCGCGCCGTAGAGGAGGTTGTACCGATCTACGGGGTATGAACTGCAAAAGTATCGTACTCCTACTCGTAGAAATGCATTACAAATTTCCTCAGCATGAGATTTGTAATGCTGATTTACCTTAAGAGTAAGATTTGCAATGCAAGACTTGCATTTGTACGAGTACGATACTTTTGCACAGGATACGGGGCGAAGGACGCAGATTTCAGAAGAACAATCGAATTCGGAATGATCGAGTACTCCAGAAGCTTCACGCACTTGCGAAGGACTTTGCGGCTGCTCATCGGACAGGTAAGACGAGGAACAGTATGTTTTTCGCAGTGTTTTTTCATAAAAGAACCGAAGTCAAGATGTGCGAAGAAGTCGGCAACTGTACAATCGCTTCAAAAGTCACCTGCTTTGCAAATCATGGACGCTAATATCCCAGGTCCGTGGAAAAATTGAAACCGATGTCAACTCGCCGCGGGCCGGAGAGGCAGCCAAGCAGCAGGTAGCGGCGGACGCCGCAACGGGGTTGCAGCTGTCGAGCGTGCTGCTTTCCGGCAACCCGAAGTCGGGCAAAACCGCACTGGCGTGCCATCTGATAAAGGAAGCCAACTTTCCCTTCGTCCGCTTCCTGTCAGCGCAGAATTTCATCGGCATGGGCGAGCTGTCGAAGATGAACTTCATAAACAAGGTATAGTAAAAGAAGCACGAAGCGTATCTGGTGGACTTCGACGCTATATTAGTGCAACCAATGTAATACTGCGCACACGCTAACGCTTTTGCATATTTTTGTTAATCTGTTGAAATAAAATGAAAAATTAAAGATTTTTGTAGATTTCGAGAACCAATAAAAATAAAATTTTAAACTTTCGCGGATTTTGGGAAACGATAAAAATAAAATTTTAAACTTTCGCGGATCAGCGTTAATCTTAGAAAAGACGACAAAAATAATATGCGCACGAGCTAAATACCGCCTCGATTGTTTCAATCTGAGTGAGGTTGCATACCTTTAAGAAAATCAAAATTGGTAATCTCCGGGAGAATAAAAATAAAATTTTGAAACTTCGCGGATTGCCTTTTCTTTTCAAGGTCAGTCTGTGATATTTCTGATTGACGCTCATTCCAACACCAGGTCTTCGAAGACGCTTACAAGACCGACATGTCTTGCGTTATCATTGACGATATCGAGGCCTTGATGGAGTACGTACCCATCGGCCAGCGGTTCAGCAATGTGATGTTCCAGGGCCTGAAGCAGCTTGTTTCCAAGAAACCACCGGACGGCCGAAAATTGTTCATTATCTGCACAACCAACGCCCCGGAATTTATCCAGAATTTCGACCTCGCGGCCAGCTTCAACTACAAATTTGACGTTCCGGAGCTCGCGAACGAGGCGGAAAAGGCCGAGGTACTGAAGAAGCAAGCGGGATTCGACGAGGACCCAAAAGCGGTCAAGGAGTGCGTTTCCGCCGCGAAAATGGACCTTGGGGTGAAGAGGCTCATCTTAAACGCAAAACTCGCAAAATTTAAGGCAGACACGGAAAATATATCGCTTGTGCAGGCCTTCCTAGAAACCTTGACACTGGGAGGATATTGATGAGGAACGCAACATGAAGCTGAGGAGTTGGAACTTTGCCTCCAACTTCTAGCGACAACCGCGAACAAGAAAGACGACCCAAATCACTTTTAGTAGAGTAACGCGACAAGAAGATTCACGCTTACCTTAGCGCACTTGTGACGCTGACACGCGCCCCGCTTGTCGGTGGCATTGCTGGTCTTGATTTGAGCGCTTACACTGTTCTTCCTGGAGGTCATGCTCGTCGTGGCTTTCACAATAGGCTCAGCTGCGATTGCCTACTTGTTCTTTTCTCCAAGTTATATCCGCGCGTATGCAAGTGCAAGTTTTTTTTTCTTTTTTCAGCCACTGCGGCATCCCACAGCAGGAGCGAACGAGATCGAGAGTTTGTGTTTGAGTATCAGCACTACAATAGCGCTCCCTTGGAACAATTTAAGATGACGAGAGCTAAATGAAAAATTGAAGAAATCACTCATCATACAACAACTAGGGATCAACCCAAATAAGCAGAGCACCGCCGTGATCTACCTAATTTCCTAAAACAAGCTGCAGGGCTTTAGAGAGTAAATAGAGAGAAAGCGGAAGCGCTTCCGAAATGCGAAAAGCGAAAAGCGAAACACCAAAGACCCCCGCAGAGGTAGGAGAGTAAAAAGAGAGAAAGCGGAAGCGCTTCCGAAATGCGAAAAGCGAGAAACCAAAGGCCCTGGCGTCGCTAAAGCTAAAGCGGCAAACGAAAGGTAGTAGAGTAAGAAGAGAGAAAGCGGCAACGCTTCCGAAATGCGAAAAGCGAAAAGCGAAGCGCCAAGGCTTCTCGAGTAGTCAATAGGGGGAGAAGAAAGAAAGCGGCAGCGGCTCCGAGATGCGAAAAGCGAAAAGCGAAGCCGCGAGGCCCCTCGGGTAGTTCGGGGAGGAAGAAGAGGGAGCGCGGCAGCGATTTCGAAAAGCGAAAAGAGGGAGGCCCTTGCGTGGGCAGTAAAGTAAAAAGAGAGAAAGCAAGGCCACGCCCGAAATGCGAAAAATGAAAAAAGGAAAAAGGGCCGGAGATAATAAGCAGAGCACGAAGGGAGGGGGGGGAATTGGACCCCGAAGCCCGGAAGGCGAAGAAAGGGCAGGGCCGTTTGTCTATGTCCTAGCCAGCGAAGCGCCCCGCTTTTTTCTTTACTTTACTTCCCCACCCAGCGCAGCCGCGACCAGCTTCCTTGCTTCGAATAGAGTCCGCGACGCTCCGACCCGCTCCCCTTCTTGTATGTTGGCGACTTTAGCGGCCTCCCGCGTACCATGTTTTGCGTGGTTCGTTTGCACAGGGAAGCGAAAGAGGGGGCGCCCAGTTTTTGGAGGCCGGGGCCCCGGGGGGGTTGGTTCTTGGTCCCAGCGTTATCGCTAGGCACGTGGCTCGCCCGTGCGCCCGCAACGGACGGTAGAGAGCGACGTGGCCCGCCGAACCTCGCTCCCGCCCGTCTTTTGGCGGGCAGCATGGGGGGCAACATTGTGGCGCGCGCAGTGCCCGCGCCCCTTTTGCCTTCCTCGCGCCACCGCCCATGGCGGCCCTGCTCTGTTGTCTTTAGGTACGCGGTGCGCCCGTGCGCCGGCAGCAGTTCCTGGCCACCCCCGCCCGCTGCCGCCTCCGGGCGGGTCGTGTTGGGAAACAGCACTGCGGCGCGCGACGCAGTCTAATCTTTCGCGGAGGAGAAGCAGGGCCGGCGAAGCCGTTGCGGCGTGCGCGGGCCGCGTTGGGAAACAGCACTGCGGCGCGTGACGCAATCTTTCGCGGAGGGGAAGCAGGGCCGGCGAAGCCGTTGCGGCGTGCGTCCGTGGCGCGCCGCAAGGAAGCGGCTAAAGGGCGAGGCGTCTGCGCGAGAGGCCGAGCGGAAACCCGCGGCATGGGTCCCAGCCGCAACGCGTGGCCCGTTGCGCGCCAACTTGCGCGGCGGGTCCTGGGTCGGTCGCGCCAGCGAGCGGCCCGCAAAGAAACCTTTCTTGGGGAGGCATTCGGCCGCGGAGGCCGGCCCGGAAGGCGCCCAGCATTGGAGCCGCCGCGGACGTGCGTGGGTGTGTGTGTGTCTTGCTTTGGTTATTCTTAGCGAGCCCCGCCCCTTGTGTGTGCGCCCTACTGTTTTTTTACGCGGCCCCTTTAGTATTTCTATTGACGATGGTCAGCGGGCCCCATCGACAGCTTGTCGGCCCCTGGGGGAGATTGATTGCATTGGTGCGCGGCTATTGGGGCCCCCTGCGTATATTTGAAATGCAGGCCGGGCCAAATTCGCGAAGAAGGAACCAAACGCCATCGGCGAGCGAAGTGCCCCAGAACAGGAAGGAGCGAAGGAACGAAGCGGCCGCCCTTTTTTCTCCGTGGGTGCGCGCAGTAGGTATATCAATACTGTGAGGCGCCTGCGCTCTGTGCTCCACTCCGCGTCTTCTCTCCGTGTGGGTGTTTCCAGGTGTTGGCCGTCGCGCGTCTGTAGCGCGCGCGCCCTTTCGGAGTATCCTGTCGAGGCTCTCCCCGGCCCGGCGCCTGTCATGTGATTCGAAGGATGCCGCGCGGGCGAGTCGCGTTCGTACCCGGCCAGCATTGAGACCAAGAACCCCCCGGGGCCCCGGCCTCCAAGAATTGGACGGACGCCGCCCCTTTCGCCCCCCGTTGCGAGCTAGTAGCTGCTCCGTAAGATATTAATTGCGGCACGTCGCACATGTCGCCACTAAGGCAAAAAGAGGCGGGGCGCCGCTGCTCTAATTTCAAAAAAGCACCCGGGCCGCTGCGTTGAAAAAAAGGGGGGCGGAGAATTAACAAGCGGCCCCGCCCGCTCTTCGCTTTTCGCGTTTCGCATTTCGGGGGCCGCCTCCGCCTTCTCTCTGCTTCCTCTTACTTTTTATTGATTGTTTTCCGGGTCGCTTTCGTTCGCTTTTCGCGTTTCGCATTTCGGGGGCCGCTTCCACCTTCTCTCACTCCGCTTCCCCTTTGTGCTGCTTTATCGCTTTCCGTGTCGCTTTTGTTCGCTTTTCGCGTTTCGCAATTCAGGCAAGCAATCTAGCTACTCCCACACTTTACACAACACACACACACACCAAAGACGCCTCTAATGCTCGCGATTTCTTCTATTTTCTGCGTTCCGAAGGAATCCATCCAACAGCCAAACCACGATGCTAGCCCACGTCCTTGCACTTGTTGCAGAGGAAATTTGGGTAGGTGTTTCGCCTTTAATTCTGCTTATTTGGGTTCATCCCAACAACTAGCTTCGCTCTTATTTGGCAAATTAGTGCAGCTGCGCTAGTTGCAACGTGTAGATGTACAACTAGCATTGACGAACAAAACATTATTAGCAGTAGAGTCCGTGTTTGGTTTACCTTTACGCCCCGGCCGCGACGTGGTCGCTCACTTTTCAGTACCTGCGATTGTCCTTTTCCGATTTTCTTTTGTGCGCGCGTTACTAGACTGACGAACACGGACACGCACGACACGACATAGTACATACTTTTCTCCAGCGATTGGCTATTCCCCTTCCTCCATCACAACCCGTGCTATCGTGAGGAGCAAAGATGCCGCGGGTTCCTCGTGAGAAGAATCCACTTCTCCAGAAGGATGAAATTGGTCGGGCCAAATTTTCCGCTTACGACCTGCCACCGGACACGCATTCATTTGGCAACGTCATGGGTATAGAAGTTACAGTGCAACGTCCTCGCGTCTTTCGTTTCTTCACCATTCGCATACCCGCTTTGCAGAAAGTAAGTAGTTGTGATAGTCATCATCCTGTTCCTGCCACTTCTGCCCTCGTGTAACCAACGTTACAGGATGCTATGGTTGATCAAGCCCGGAAATTAAGTACCGGTTGGTTGCAGTATCAAGAGTAGGTGTGACAGCTGCATAGGACAGCTTTGTGTAACAAGAACAACACGTGTTGCAGCATGGTATAGATACGTATACTCGACAGGCGTCAAATAATTCATCGCCTCTGAGCTTGCGCACAGGCATTGCACCATCGCGGAAAATATTTTCCACCATGGTATGATCGCTCATTTCATAATACACTCGTCTTGGTCTTTCTCACGCACAACAATGGAAAATACAAAGAATAATGAAATCCCCATCTTCAACAGGTTGCGATATGGAAGGTGCAGGCGAGGTGTTGCGTACTTGGGCCAACCACCAGAAAAGCGTGCCAAAAGCCGGAAACAAAGTGAACTACATTGCGTACAACAAAAAGAAATGCAATCTGCTCGTAAGACCAGACAGCGAACAAACAGCACCAGGCAGAACACCGGGAAAAAGGGTGAGAATGTTGTATATTTGCAATGTGAAGAGCTACTACAGCTGCTGAGCATCTTGATGGTGAATATATGTATATCAAGGCTATCTCCACCACGAAGATCGTCTCCTTATTTATCTTTGTCTTCTTGAATAAAAGCCAGGCTAGCCTTGTTAGTGTTACGGAAAAGTTAACTTCTTAGTGATAATTTTGCGTCGAGGTAGAAGAACAAGTCACTGTCACAGGTTCCCGCCACTAGCTCGTCCAAGCCGGCACCAAAGCCGGTTGGTGACTTTGGTAAGCCCACAAGATCAAGCACCCCGATCGGCCGGGTGATCGGGAACCTGTACGCCGTCGAGTACGAGCAGATGCGGGAGGAAATGCAACACGCCGAGGAGACCGCCGCAAAACCGAAGAAAACCATCTACCAGACCAAGGCGTCTCTGGGACACAAAAAGGCTGCGGAAAAGAGACTGAAAGTAGAGGAAGAGGTACTGGGCTGCTCGTCGATCATCGATATTTTTTTGCTCGGCGAAGTATTAAAAGTCGTCATTGTTTACATTGCGATGAAGCTGAGTGATGGGCTCGTGTTGGTGTTGTGACGGAATACGAAAGGCGAGCGTGGCCTCTGTTGAATGAAAGATCTTACGATCAGACGTGGTAGATGCATGAATAAACCGAAACGCACAGGCACTTCTTGCAATTTTTGCTTGTTCCAAAATATTAACCACAGCACAAGCCGTTCATGATGAAAAAGTTCTTGAATGTCCAAGCGTCTTTTAAACTGCCGGGCCCACCACCAAAGAAGGGCCATGGAGCAACGCAGATTCCGGATATCCACCAGGAAGAGCTGCCCGCAGCACCGGTAAAAATGTGTTTGTGGCCATTGATTTGTCTACTTGAGGGTGATGCCCGCCTATGCGTTAGCTTACCCATGGGAATGCGTGCATAGTGCAGATCGATGGACGGCATCTGCGTTTTGCTTCGACACTTTCGGTACGAACGACCCAGCACAAAAAATTTCCTACCCGTGTATCCTTGATGTTCCTGTCGGAGCGGAAGCAGCCCGAAATAAAAGGATAGAAATCTAAGTCAAGAACTAAAAAATGACAATTCTACAGGTGGAACGCGAGATGGATGTTTCGCCCTGATGACGCAGGTAAAATCGCTATACGATTGTACTACCGGAGCAGGAATTTATTGTACAATAGCCGACCTCAGTCTTCGGACAAGATGAAGACAACTGGTCTTTTTTTCGAAGCCAACATGTGATATTGCGTTTCAAGAAGTTCAACAAGTACTACAAGACCAAGAGAAAGACAGAACTGCACCAGCCTGCTGCTCGTCCTCGTGCTTATTGCACGACAGTGATACTGGACAAATAATAAATAGATCACGACTGCTGATAGATAAAGCAAAAGCTCAAGACCCAGCACAAGCATCACACATAACGAAGTTGGAGTTAAGTTAGTAAAAGTGTAATAATCGAAGACATAAATAATTCGATCCGCCAGGATCGCGCTTTCCTCTGTCTTTCTGTCGGGGGAATACGTGCAACGCGTCAGAGCTGACATTCGTGTTCGCAATTTTTGTGCTGGAGCGTGCCTCTAGGTGTAGTTTTACGATCCCCTTTAATGATCTCGTTGACCGTGGTTCGATAATCCCTTTTCGGTTCCTTTTCAAGAAGAGTGACGAGTATTGCAACACTTCTTCTGAAGATGGAGCAAGTCACATGAAGGCGCTGTCAGAATTATGCGGATAGCGATAGCCAGATCAGGATAATTATTTTTTTTGGGGGCACCCTCCTTTGCCTTTCCATTTGCATTTTCATTTTCTTTTCACCAAGATGGCGGAAGATCTGCGTTCCTCGTGTTGTGACCAAGTCGTTCGTGATGTGGATCCTATTGGCGTCGGCGAACAAGATCTGCAGCATGTTCCTCCGCGACAGGAACAAACAAGCCAAACTTGTGAAGAAGAAGGAGCATTTGCGATATTTGATGTTAATGCTTCTAAACATGTGGACACTTCGACTTCTACATCTCACGGTGCTCTTTCTCTTTCTGTTAGTGAGTCAACTACTAATTATTCAACAAAAACTTGTTCCACAGGACCGAACTCGATCGATCCAACAGCAGGGGCAGAAAACGAATTAGAATTATTCTTATCGCATGAAGATCGTTCTTGTGTAATTGAAGAAGTAGCTTCAGACTTTCACCTCCAGAGCCACGCCAGAAATCCTTGGATTTCTCGAATTCGATCGAATTTCCGGGACTACCTCTTTGAGCAATTAACGAGCCAGCAGAACATCATGGGAGGTTCTGGTTTGTTCGCGAGCGGCGCAAACTTCGGGGCATTTTGCCCCCTTCTCATTCTCACGGCATGCTTTTTGGCCGACATCACCAGGAGCAACGGCGGCCCGTGGACCCTAGCAAAAGTCCTGGCCGCACAGCAGCGCGGGCGTCCGGGGTACGATTCATCTGCAGCAGGAGCGGCTGCGTCGGGGGCGTCTTCGCCTACTCTACGGGGAAATTTGATCGAGGAGGGCGCCGCAAGCGGTACGTCAACGGCGTCGGCAAAGAAAAGTAAAAAGCCGCGGGTGTCCTTTACCTCCGCCGCAACTGCGTCTCCACTGGGCAGTGACCGCAGCCACAGCAGCCCTCCGAGTATGGGGCGCAAAATGCAAAAACGTGGCCGTGGTGGACGGGCGTCGGGAAACAACCGCGGCAGTGGCAGTAGCAAGGAGAAGGATGAAGATCACTACCAGGACAAGGAGCATTATGTCGCGAAATCAGATCGTGCTCGTATTCGTGGTCTACGCTTTGATCTACCAAGTGCTACTAGGGACGACACTGCGGCGCAGGACGTGTCACCGCACTCGGCCGGCCACGACCTGGGCAAAGACACCTTTAAGTATTGGATTACGCACTATCAAGGGAGGCTGAAAGAGAAGAAGAAAGCAAAGGAAGAAAAGGGTGCATCGCGTACGCTGTCGGAACAGCCAGCTTCTGCGACATCGACTGACGCAGCGAGCCTGATGTTTCCGGCTGAAGAGCGAGGCGGCAGTGGCTCTCCGACAGACGAGCACACAACGATCGAGCTCCACCACGGGACTGAAACGCAGGACGCAGGAAACTTCGTGCGACACAGTGACTCGGACGAGGACGTTGTGACGATTTTGCAGCGGGAACTCGCCGAAGCCCAGGGGGCTGCTGGACCGGAGCACTACCGCATTTGCACGACGTCGTTTACTCGCGGGAATCAGCAGGACGACGAAGAACAGGAGGAAATGTCGCGGGTAAACGCGGCTCTCTCGTCCCAAACCGATCTGCCTCTACAAATCGCACTCCCTCACTACCGTCCTCCCAACGCAGCCCGTCTCTTGACAGCGTTGCTGTTCGCGGCGGGGCGGGACGTTTTGTTTCGGGGCTCCAACTACTTCTGCTTCAACCTTTTTGCGAACAAATTTGGCAAAGGCTTTCTCGCGCGGCTGTTCGGCAGCGGGGCAAAGAGCAGCTCCGAGCGAGGAAAAGGAAAAACCAGGAGCAGGAAGTCGCCGGCTCAAGCATTTGATCACCTCGAGCGAAACGTGTTCGATGTTTTCGCTGATGGTGACAAGTCTCCAGGGGGTCATCACCCTGCTCTAGACAGCTTTTCGGAGGACGTCTACCGAGCACGAAAAGTCCAAAGCGGCGGCCAGCACGACAATGCGAGCGAAAAACAGTCCTTTGACTCTCGCCTCTACGAGAGGGCGAACGAAGAACTGCTCACGGAAAACGAGCCGCCAGGTGCTTTGGAGCACGCCCTGTACGGCGAAACGCTGCTTCTCACTGGCGTGACGTCCGGCATCGGGTTAGCAGCGCTGAAAGAAATTGTCGCGCGGCAGCCGGCCCGGTTGCTGATTTTGGTTAAGGACGCAGGTGAGGTGGTTCCCGATGATGAACAGGAATACGACCGGTATTTCAACACGATGGGCGGCAGGGACCATGAGGTCATTGCGGATAGTTACGATTTTCATTTTGATCTGCTGCAGTCGTCTCGCGAGGAGCTGGAGCGCGAGGGAGATGTAGACTCGACTCTGTCCAAATTGCTCGGGACAAAGTTGAAGCTGGAGTCCAATACGACGACGGGGACGACTGGTGCCCGTGCCGCTGCGAAAAATGCAACGAGTGAAGACAGCGATGGGCAAGGAAAATACTATGGTGAGACCGAAGTGTACAACAACGAAGGGGAGCACGACCACCAGCACCACAGGAGCATCTCCGACGCTAGTACCAGTGTGCAATCCGCTGACAAGTTCCGGAACCTGATCAACCTGGCTCGGAACGCGCTAGGGATTCAAGTTCACTTCGTGATTGCGGATTTGAGTTTGCCCCGAGAAGTGATTCATGCCGCCAAACAGATCCGCGATGTGCTGCGCTCAGTATCCTCGTCCTCGCGTTTGTTGAGCGAAAGCAGCGGAAATATCGTATCCCGGTCGACGACGGCGGCGCACGAAGGAAGTGGACAGAACAACACTGGGGCCTCGTCGTGCCGGGCAGGACTAGATGAGGACACGGCAAAGGTGAGGCTTCAAGAACACAGTTCGGACGAGGACGAGGTTGACGATGACGAAGTTCCAATTTCGCCGAGTAGTTGCCTCCGGCAGGATCACGGCACCGCGAAGCAGGAAGATGCGGCTGGCGCCGGCGGAGGTTCCACTGTCAACACCAGCGAGGAGCCGGAGCAGAGCGATGCAGAAGTAGTGCAGATGATTGATCGCGTGATGCTGAACGCCGGCATTTCGGATTCCGACTCGCCCTGTCGGACCAAGGAGGATAAATTAGAGCGGCATTTTGCGGCAAACTTCATCGGCCCGGTTTTGCTCCTGGAGGAGCTTTTCCCCAGCAGCACCAAACCCCGCACATCGGACGGTGCGTCGACGTCCACTTCCGGACGTCGGGGGAGTGGTCAAAGTTCTTTCGACACAGCTACGTCTTCTCTCGTGTCGGCTTCGGGACTGGCGCTTTCGTCATCAAGCTCCCATCTCGGAGGTGATGCAGCTGCCGCGGGTGGTGGAGCGTCCTCGTCGAGTTGCGCGATTCTCACCTTGAATTCAGATGGCGCCGGCGGAACGGGCAGTAGCCCCGAGCTCGTCTGTGCAGACGAAGCTGCACAGAGGACAAGCAGTACCACTCTACTGCAAGACGACCACACCGAGGACGATCTTCCTAACCCCAAAACCGCACTGAAGATTTTCAGTGATCGGCTGGAGCAACAGTACGGAGCAGAAAACCTTCAATCCAGCACGTCTTCGATGGAGGAATCGCGCCAGCAACTGCGCTTGTCGTCGCAAAATGAAAATCCACATACGACTCTAGTAGAACAAGAAAATGACGAGAAGAAAGGCCCGGATCACTTTGCCGGTACTAGCACAACCAGGGCTGCAGTCGCGCCGCAACATGATCTTCAAAACCCGGCGGGGGCGAAGAAAACGACGATCGTCGTCACGGGTTCTTTCACAGCCTGGGATCTCGCGGAGGGCGTCGTGCGTCTGGACGATCTGGAATTCGAGCGCCATTCGCCACACTTCCTCGGCGTCCCAAACTCCTTGGCGTACGGCCACTCGAAGCTGTTGCTGCACGCGTATTTCAAAACTTGGGCGGAAAAACATCCGCAGTTCCACGTCTTTGTGGCCGATCCGGGCGTAGTAAACACCAAGCTGCACACGACTCTGAAGAGAGGCTTGAAAGGCGAAATCGAAAACGAGACCATCTCCTCGAGATGTAACAAGGGCGGCGAGACTGCAGCAGCAGGAGCAGAAGATGCTGGTGCGAGGACGTCCTCGCGTGTTGATAGGGTGCAGCGAGATCATGTGTGCCCTCCTGCCGCAACTGGAAGCCTCTCTTCCTTCGGGAAGGACGCGATTGCGGCGAGTTGTCAAACCGTTGCGTCCTCCAGCATGGATGTTGATGACGAAGTAGAAGATGTTGGCGAATCTTCACTTACTACAGCTTCGAGCGGGACCAAAAGTTCTAACCGCATCTTCAAGTCGTCCACGACGCGAGCGATCATGATCAAGAGGCAGGCCAAACCGAACTTCCTCCAAATCTTGGTGAAGAACAAGCTCGTTTCTGAGTTTCGGAAGAAACTAGTGAACTGGTTTTACCGAACGATTATCCGCCTGGGATTTCTGCGTTCGCCCGAAGTGGGCTGCTTACCGCTGCTTCGTGGACTATTCGCGAAGAGGCTCGTCCTCGCAGGCGACACGTCCTCCGCTCGCTCGAGAAAGTTTCCCATCGTGGTGGACGGGCAGGAGCAGAAAAATCACCCAGTCGAGCTGTTGGACCACGGCTTTTCGCACTCCATCATGTACCCCACTCTCAACTTCTGCAAGTACATCGACTGGGGCAAGTTCGGTGCCGTACGAAAAAAACCACCCTCCTTCCGGATGGATCGTTTCGAAGACAGCGACGTCACTTGTTTACTCCCGGCGATTAGCACGGACTTGTGCAGTGATCGGGAGACGGGGATGCCCTCAGCAGTGTGCGAAGAATTATACGCGAGGATGCAGCAATTTATGCGGAAGCTTCAGGCGAGGTACGGAACGACCACTGGTGGCCGAAATGACTGAAAATACAAATGGAAAAAAATGAGAACCAAACTAGATCATATCAGTCGGCGGACGTGGAACATCATCAGCATGAAGACTGTCTTGTGTTTTAATACAAGACTATGACTAAGATTCAGGATGTTGTTCTTGTAAAGTGCTCATTGCCATGCATGTTCATCAGACATGTTAGGAGAAGTGACCCTATTAAACATCAACTCAGAAAAGCAAGAAATATTTTTGTGTATGAAAGTTTTTTGACGATTGAGATGAAAGTGATAGAGGTAGTACCCTTAAACATATCAATGAGAGCAATCGAGGAGCAGCAGCGATTTTGTGTTCGTGATCGGTTGCGAGGAGCGGCGCGTTGAATTGATCTCCTGGCATTTGATGATTGGCAATCGCGACATCCTTGTTGTGCTGACTACAGTATCTCGTATGTGAAGTCCACCACTACGGAGGACACTGCAGGGAAATCGAACCATGTATGGGTGGTCATGGTCTGGATCAGGTTCACCGCTGAGCAGAAAACGAAAGCTGCAGGTACTTGTTTATTGCGCAAGAGGATCCCGCCGATGTCATCGTCAGAGTCACAGAGAATGATCAGCAAAGTACTAGGATGGAAGGAGGTCATGATCATCTTCAACGAAAGTTCATACAGTTACAGTTCCTCAGTCGGCACTAGTACTACGATTTTACCCCGTTCATTCATCTTGCTCACCGTCTCCCGTGTCGCACCTCTCACCTTTTTCTCCATGATGTAGTAAGTACTTACTAACTTTGTTTTTGCGCTACTTGTACAGAAGAAGGTACGACTAGCATCAAAAGCTGCAAAAGCATATTAGCAAACTCGACAGCATATAAGCATATATTTATGCAGCAAAGTCATCCTCATCAAAGAAAGTGGAATGAAGCGGCCGCCCGTTTTTTCTAATTTTTCAATGTTGTGCACATTGTACTACCGCGTCCGCGTCGGTAACCCCACCAGATAATTGCTACACGATACACGCACTACTTTCACTTCATTATCATTTCAGAACACTTCTCCCCACTAGGATCCCCGAGGAAGATGCCGCCCAACAGGGGTGGAGGCGCCGGAGCGTCCAAGATTGACCGGAAACTCGGGCAGAAACGGTTGCTGAAGGAGTATAAGATGATGCAAGACATGGTGAAAACAAAGGAAGACATGAACGGAATTTTCGCAGAGCCCAGCCCTGACAACATGTTCACGTGGTACTTTTTGTTCGAACCGGAACAGACGCCGTTTTCCCGCGGGCAGTACTTCGGGAAGGTGGTGCTCCCGGAGGAGTACCCCTTCAAGCCTCCGGAACTCTACATGATCACGCCGAACGGACGCTTTCGGGTGAACACAAAAATCTGCACCAGCATGAGCTCCTTCCACCCGGAGAGCTGGGACTCATGTATCGTTTAGCTTGCTCGCATCTTCCTCCTCAGCGACTGATGAATTAGAATTTTTGTGGTCCATTTTTCTGTATGCTAATGCTGCACTAGCACGTGCTCATCGATCCTTACACTCGATCTCTTAATTGCTCTGATGTAATAATCATGCGCCAGTGGGTCCTCTTTTACAACCAGTGTGCATGTTTGTGAAGTTGAAACGAAATATAAGAGGATCAGCACAATACACACAGAAACTTGTGCGACAGAACCGTGAAGATGATATCGTATCCATTTTCGTATCACTTTCAACAGCTTGGACGGTGCGCACGGTGCTGCTCGGTCTTCTGTCGTTTTTGTATGAGCAGGGCAACGCGTTGGGTTGCATGGAGAGCACATCCAGCGAGAAGCTGCGACTCGCGGAGTCATCCTGGGCTTTCAACAAAAAGAACAGGGTAGCCGCGGAACTCTTCGGGAGCCGGCTCCACGAAACAAACCCGAAAGGGCCGCCTCCGGAGGCGATTCCGGACAAGGACGAGGAGCCTGAAGTCTTCAAGTCCAGCACAAACTTTCTCAGAGACGGCTTGCTTGCAGCGTTCAACAGGGCGGGCGGAGCAAGAGTCGCTGCTGCCCTCGGTCGGAGCGAGCAGAAAGCAGACGGTGCTGGTGGTCAAGAGCTTTCACCAGACGTTCAGCAGCTCTTAGCGGAACGAGAGCGGAGAGCTGCAGCCCTTGCAGGTGCTCCTGTGAAAAACAACGATGGAACGCAGCAGAAAGGCCCACAAGGACAAAGAGCAACCCTGAGAAGAGTCGATAAAGAGGCGCTAGCACCCGGTGTGGATACTACGGCATTGCGCTTACGTAATAAACCTGCAGGGCACAGCACCAACGGAGCAGAAGCCTCTGGGTACTCCGAGAAGGAGGACAGCAACGAAAAGTCCTCATCCTCGTCAACCTCGGCTTCTTCCTCAAGCGCTGGCGCAAATAAATCCGCCAGCGAAGGAGCCAGCAACAGCAGCAACAAGGGGAAGGCCCGCGGGAAGATAGACCGAGACGAAGAAGATGCTGTCAATGCACCGACGCCCGTCGGACTCGAAGTTCTTTCTCCGTGTGGACCAGGTGGCACAACAAGAAACAAAAATACGCCGCCTGCTACTCCAGTTCAAACACGAATTCTTGTTATGGTGTCAGTGTTGCTGGTTTCAGCAGTGGCCGCGCTGTTCTACTTGAAGTTCACGAGGGCAGCGACCTCCGATTTTCGCTCGCACTAGCTAGCAGAAAAAGAGAGGTGAAGCTGAACCAAGTGGCTGGCGACGGTTGCTTCTTGATGATGTTTGCTGCTGTGTGTAGTAGAAGTCCCGGCTGTACACTCTACACAGTACTGAAAGTGTCGCGACATAACAATAAAACCAGCGAATGAAGAGCTGTACTTGAAATTGAAGAAGAGCCGCGGCGGGCACGAGCTCGCTGCGGTCTTTCTTTCTGTATTAGCAAAGCATGACTAGGAGCATATTTGAATTCATTGAGAACATAACTTGTTTCGTTTCGCTGTTGCAACGCCAACGGTCTATCACGGAGGACATTTCGGTCTTTCTCAAACGATCTTGCACTTGCTCTTGCTGAAGATGGATGATCACCAGCACCACGACGATGAAGATCTAGCAACGACATACAAAAATCATGTGGATCACGATCCTGCTGCCCCTCCCCCTTCTACTCCCACTTGGAGGTTTGTATAAATGATTCAATGCGTACTACGTACTAGTCTCTGCATCGAACAAATGACAATTTTTACGGTGAACGAAGAAGAAGATGGTTCGACGACGAATGCTCTTACCTTCATAGAAGCCTTCTCCTCTGAGTCCGACGGACTTTATTGTCCTTCTATCCACCTTGTTTTACTTTTACGTCGACAGTGACAGTCAAAATACTTAAAACTATACGGTATTGATTTGAAGATGAGGTTCTTGTTAGCAGCGACATACTAGAAGTTCTGAGGTTAAAGGACGATATCAAGTAAAGTAGAGTTCTAGCTTTCTACTTTGTGTGGTCTCGCTTCCGGCGAGCGCAACTGCCAAAACGACCTCCATGGCAACATTACTGGAGACCATGGCGCACGTCGACGAATCTGGTCACCCGGAACACAATGGTGTCTCTGGATCGAACGAGACGGCGGGCGGGGTGAATCCGTTTCACGGCGACCAACACCGACAGTTCCTGGCCTCGTACCTGGAAAAGGGTGAGGACACCATGCTGGCTTTCATGACCGCGCATCTCCGTACCGGCGGCGCCTACTGGGGACTGAATTGCCTTGATCTGATGCGATACGACATCGGAGAGACACTGACCCTCGATCAGAAGGAATTTGTGGCACCGCGACCTGTTGTAGGAGCCTCTGCTCCGAGCACTGGAAACTCGTCTACTCCTAATGGCCACGCCACGGTGGGGAAAGAGGACGATGTTGGGGCGACAAACTTTAAAGGCGTTGCTGCAGTAGAAACAACGCCAGCACAAGTTGTAGGAACAGTAGATGTAGATTCTTCTTCTTCTTCTTCATCCTCGAAGGCCATTCTCAAGCGCTGGATTTTGGACTGTCAAAACCCAGATGGCGGCTTCAGCAGTAATCCGGGGCAAGACAGCCACATCACGTCCACACAATACGCTCTACTGGTGTTGTGCTTACTGGAAGAAGATGATGAAGAGCACGAAACCACCAGCACAACATCACAGAATGTGAATGGAGATAGTACAACCAGAGGAGCCGCCATCAACAAACACAAACGTCGAATCATTCAGTGTCTCGAGACGGAAACGATCGATATTGACCTGAATTTACTGACCGAGCAGCACATTCAGGAACGAGAAGGGAGAAAACGGGAAAACAAGAAGACAGGTGAACACGAACAAAACTACGGAGCTGAACCCGAAGCGAAGGGAGCACAAGGGAGCGGGACGATCATGATGACGCGGAAGGAAGCCATTCTTCGTTTTGTCCAGTCCCGGCAACTGCCCAGGGACGAGAAGACCAAGGGTGCCTGTTTCGCGGCCGACAAGTGGGGCGAAAACGACACGCGGTTCGTGTACGGGGCCTTTTCCATCTGTCGCGTCCTCCTCCGGGACGACGCTACTGCCAGAGTGGAGGACTGGGTAAACGTGGACGCCGCCTGTGCTTACCTCCGTTCTTGTTACAACCCTGACGGGGGGTTCGGCTGGAAGCCCGGGTCGGAGTCTCATGCCGCGAGCTGCTGGTAAGTAATGAAATAGATGCTTGCCTCCATTTCACTTTCCTTGCCAAAAATGTTTGGACTTTCGTTTCTGCGCTGCTCGCTGGGAGCATGCACAGTGAAGATAGTGCTGAAGGAGCTTGCTGCTTCTGGGGAGCAGGAGTACTCGCAGCGCTTGGGACGATGATGAAATGTTGTGTGATAAATCCTAGCCGCCCTACTCCTGCACCAAGAACAGCCACCTGTTTGCTGCTCGTGTTGATGTCTATAAAAGAAAGTTTTATTTGTTTTTGATTCATCTCCTCTTGGTACGAAAATAAAATCGACACCACAGGGTCTGCCTCGCTGCGCTCTCCCTCGTCAATCGCATCGACAGTCAAGTGGACCGTGATCAGACCGGCTGGTTTCTCTGCAGCCGCCAAACGGATTTTGGCGGCTTCAACGGCCGACCGGAGAAAGCTCCGGACGTGTGCTACTCGTGGTGGATTCTGGCGTCGTTGCAAATTATTCAGAAAATGCACTGGATCGACGATGTAAAGTTGAGAAAATGGATCTTGGAATGTCAGGACACTGAGGAAGGCGGCATTGCTGATCGCCCTGGGAACATGCCCGACCCTTTCCACACATTCTTCGGTGTCGCGGCATTGAGTTTGTTGAATTTTGCAAACGGAAGCTCAGGAGGAGCGTCTGGGCATATTGGAGAAGTGGCCACAGGAGGACCAGTCGGGTTTGCAGCAACGAGAACGTCACGAGCGACTGCAACGACTTCGAAGAAGGGCGGCAAGGGAATAGAGATCCGAGATCTAAAGCCCATAAACCCTACGTTCGCCCTTCCAGTTGATACGCTCGAAACTTTGGGGCTTGTCTCCTGATCCGCGACCAACAACATCATCTCAGTTTTTTTCCTCCCCAAGGCGACCGATTATAGCGACAGTTTTCATTCCACCAATTGTGTCACTCATTTTCACGCCACGTGAGGTCGTATAGGTAGAAGAGCAGCTGGTTTGGCGGGTTCATCAATTACAATGTGTTCTTTATGTATTCATCAACTTGAACTTCAACTTCGTCTTCAACTGTCTATGAAAATGAAGATCAAGCGCACTCGTTTTAATTCTCGCTTCTAGTGTTTCCTACCTTTATTACGTTTCCGATCGGTGAATATACAACGCAAAGGAGCAGAGCCGGTAAATGTAAATCGTGCACGTGCAAGCTCTAACACGCATCTCCCCGTAAGACGAAACGCAAAAAAGCCCACAATTGAATGTGGCCTCGGTCATCTCGGAGCGAGAATACATGCAATCGGTGTGGTGTGAACGTGATGCTAGTTGATTTTGTCACACTGTCGGTCGTGCTGCTGTTGCTGCAGAAACTCAGCTTTAAGTTGCTGCGTGTCCTTGTCGGTTGAGCGTCCTTGCAGATGCACCATTTTCACATGGTGTATTGCTTATTTATTTGAGCACCCACCGGTTTCATCTCTTGTGGTGCGTGTTTGCTTTTTCTGGTAGCTCTTTCGAATTGAACATCACCACTTAGGCCAGGTTCTCCAGCAGCTTCTAGCTGCACATGATCGTCGGACCATTTTCATAATTATGAATACGTATTTATACGCGCCGACGTCGTCGACCCCATTCCCATAATTATTTCATCTCTTACAACTCTCCCTTAAAGTATAACGAGCCCAACAGCAACAAGTGACGCAGACGCTAGAGCTACTGCAGCGAGTCAACTCACTACCATTTTTGAAGCGGATATCTTTTTCTTTCGTACCGACTGCAACTTGTTTGATACTATAGGAACGCATCCCCATTCTAAGCCAAAAATTGCAATGAAAAACTTCCCCACCTAGCGGCAGTACGGCATCATTGATTCGGCCGCGGCTTCATTTTGACAATAATAGCCGCCCTCGCGGCCGGCTGCCCACCGCTTGCAACAACCAAAGAAACGACAAACTACTAAAACGGAACATATACGACGGCAAACATGTCGTTCGCCCCGGCCCAACGCACGAAGCCCGAGCTGAACGCTGCGCAGGTGATCGTGAACAACGATTTGCACGAGAAGGCCTGGCGGCGGCTGGATCAGAAGCAACTAATGTCGGTGAAGAACAAGGTCGACACCACTGCGTTGCGCCAGATGCCCGAAGTCGGCTCGGCCCGTACCGCGGCCAGCAACCGAAGCGAGAACATCCAGAACGTTCTGGACTGGGATACCGAGGACCCGGCCCAAACGACGAACAAAAACATTCGGTCCTCCTGGACCTACCACGGCGGGAAGAAGTCCACCGCCGCCCGGCCGTTGGAAAAGCCCATCTGGCGGGTGGTGCCCGCCATTGAGGGCATGAAGAACGTGACGGACGCCTCCTCCCGGGCGTGGATCCCAGCAGGTGCCGGCCTCGACGATTTTTCCGCGTCAACGGGCCCGCGAAGCGCGAACGCGAAAACGATCAATCGAAATGCCGTCGGCGCGAAAAAACTGCCGAACTACATGTACCCGGACGAGAGAGCCGGGCCCGGCGCCGGGCAGTTCGCGCAAATGCAAAGGATCCAGCAGGACGGAAGCAGGCCGCGCGAAAACAAAGAGATTGTTGCAAGCAACTCAGCAGTGCTAGCCCAGCAGCAAGCGAACTATGCGATGAACAATGCACCAGGATCTGCTATTGTCGACCAGGTGAATGGTATTATGAACGAGTTGGTGATCCCAGCGACTGCGACCGTCGCGGACGATGAGAAACAATTCCAGCAGGACCCCAATGGAGGTCGTAGAGAGTTTTTCGTCGTGCCCGGAACTGCAGCGCGGCGGCAAAAGAGCCAGAGCTTGCGAGTTTTGGACGACAGTGAGCTGCAGGGGTTGTTGAAGGAGATGAATCTGGTTCCGAATCCCGCACAGCTAGCAGACGATACCGCCTTCATCGTCGATCGCAGCACGCTGTACAGATTTGCCCAGCGCGCGCAGTCGGCACCGCCTGCGAATCGGGCTTACAACTACGGCTCGCCTGCCGGACGCCCCTCGGACTCGGAAACCGAAAAGATGCCTTTTTCCCCGCAACCCAACAGCAGCACGGTGCCCCGAGGGCGGCGCGCGCAGTCGCGACCGCAAGAGGCCCTCAAGCCGGAAGTTTCCCAGCCGGGTGGGGCGTACGTGGCCGCGCGGTACGAGAGTCTGAAAAACCCGTACGGGGAGAACCTGCCAAACGACAAGACGGTGGCGGCGCCGCAGAAGTTTTCGACGACGCAGAGGCGCCCGGCGAATCGAATCATCGACAACCTGGACCGCCCGCAGCTGAAGGTGGTAGGCGAAATTCCGCCCATGAAGCCACAGCGCCCCGTCGCGGAAAAGCGCCACTTGACCCCGGACTACGCACGGCGATTGCGCGATGTAGCCGGGAAAGCGAGTGATCACCAGCCGTTCGACTGGATCAGCAGGGATGCACCGTTTCCGCAGCGGGCCCGGGACTACGCAGAATTCGACAAAGCCGTCTACCTCGACCGGCCGAAACCAAACTTCATTTTCGTGGACAGCAAGCAACAAAACGCACCAAGTCCACCTCCCCCGAGCGCGGCTGCTGCAACTACAGAGGCGGTTGTCGAGAGAAATAGTGTCGCCTTGCTGCTGCCAGCCTATGCGCCACCCGTGGAACAACAACACGATGTTGCTACAAACACAATGAGTGCGCCACCTGTAGTGGGTCCTGTGCGGCCGGTGAGCAGGGTCTCAACAAGTGGTGGCGCAGGACGAGTTCTACCTGTGACGGACGCAACAGATGCAGCTGCGACCTCTACTGCCGGAGAGAAAGCGTTGCAGCGCAGGTCGAGTGCGATGCTCCTACCCGCTTACGCGCCCCCGGTCGACGACGCCGGTGCGGACGTTGCAAAAACTCCTGGTGCAGCTGCCGCTCCACAACAGCCGGTCGTCGTAGTGAAACCAAGAATAAGTCGTTTGAGCACGGACCTGGACAATCCGTCGATCATGCCCCCGTTGCCAGCGTCAAACGCCGGTGTGAAAAAACGCATTTCTCGCTCCTCCACGCATCGCGCAGAAGACGGTGCGCTCGGGGAGTTTTTTGACACGGACGCCGTCGTCGCTTCCTCTCCAACGACCCCTCCGATTTCGAAAGCGACCACCGCACCGGGGGGCGCAACGCCGAAATCTGGCCGCTCTCCGTCCCCGGCAAACGCGCAGTACTCTCCCACAACGGCCACCTCCCGTGCGGGCGACCAAAGCGCGGGCCCCTTGTCGGCCCGCAGCGGGGTGAGCAAAACCCCGCGCTCGCCCGCGTGGGACGAGCTCCCCTTGCGCGTGATCTCCGACACCGATGGCATGGCGGACGCGCGGATGTGCGCAGACCGGTCCAAACCCCTGGACTACTACAAGGAACAGATGAAAGACCATCACATTCCGAGCGGATTCTGGGTGGAGCCAAAGGAATCGTTCGAGAAAGCCGACCGGTTTTTCATTTTCGCAAAAAGCGACAAGGAGGACGTCGCGGACAAATTTGCGGCGTCGCTGAGAGGACCTAATTTTCAGTTCGTCGGGCCGCAGTTCGAGTCATAGGAGATGTTGACGTTGTTGAATAAATGCAATCAGTGTCTATCGGTATCGGTTAGAGTAGAAGTTCTTCGTCCATGTACCTGGCTCAGATTCAGGGACTTTTACGCTCCAGTATTTCCATCCCACTTATGTCATCTTTTACACTAGTTTTATCCTTTCTCCTGATTCCGTTTTGCGTTATTCCAATTTGTTTTTTTCATTTTCCCAAACGCATTGCATTGAAAAAAAAAAACCTAGCAAAACCACATAGAGAATTACTTCATGTAGCTGTCAACCCAAAATCTCTTTTTGCTTCGTTGGAATGCAACCAACTCGCAAAAACAAGAAGGAAAACAAATAAGCATATTGTGTCAGTCTGGTTCGCGTTCGCATCGTAGAACTGCACTGGTGTCTTCGGAAGAACATGTGTATTTAACCACCACCGTGCACGAACTAAAATTCTATGGGTCCTAAGTTGTACTGTAGCTGCAATTTACTTTGCGTGCGCGAAGAAAAAGACAGAGTGAGCCATAAGAAGAGCCACATCCTCGAAGAGAGAAGATGAAGATGCAGGCCATATCTGTCTTTTTTTGAGTTGATGGCGTGTTCAAAGGGCAGGGTGGAATCTAAGTCTAAGTAATTGCCGCCAAATAGGACGGAAACGGAGTGAGGCATTTCAAATCGGCCTTCGGTGGCATCGTTTTGTTTTCGCGCAATCATAGCAAGATTCGTCGATGCAAATTAGAATTTTCGATCGAGGACAACATGGACATAAACAGAAATAATCTGGATGATTTTCAACCGAATCGCGCACCAGGACCCTTCTCGTTAATTATACCTCATACATCAGCCTTTTCCCACCCTTTTGCTTCATTTATTCAGTTTTTCGTTTCCTTCGTTTAGTCGTTTTCCACTTGTCGAGAAGATAGCCTATTCATTTTCTGACGAAATCGAGTACAGCTACAGGTCAGGAGTGTCATCATCTGTGCAGACGATGAAGATGATCTTAATCTTTTTTATTTCGGTCGGTCAAAAAGTTATATCGTGGGGCGGCTGACAACAAGCATAATGCATGAAGCTCATTGCTGCATCTGCTCTCCGATGCTGATAAAGGTAGCCTAGCGGTAGCGCTAACTTCTAATCTACTGCCACGAATATAGAAAATCACTGAAATAATACTGCGTTCAAAATATAGCAGCAGATAGAATTCATTGTATCGTTGTTTTTTTTTCTAAGCCTTCAGATTTGTTGACGCATTGTTTTTCAGACTCGTTTTGTTGCAGTACCTATTTTCTTGCTATTTTCTCGGACCACTTTGTTTTTGCCAATACATAGTAATAAGGCTGTCGACTTTCTATTGCTTACAGGCACGGCTGCTTGCGCGAAGAGCAGGCGCGCCCGCGCCCGAAAAGTAAGCGCAGATCATTTTTTTACGTCAACACCACCAGCAGCAATCGCAGTCCAGCCGAGCCCGCGATGATGCGCGCAGGCGTCTCCTGGATTACTGCATCGGGACGCCGCCCGGGCGTCCGTCGCGGGTCGACCGGTGGTGCGATGATAATATCAGCGCAGAAACAAGATAATGAGAAACGACTGCTGCAGGCCAGAAGAACTTTTGCAACGAACAACAATGCGACGTTTGACGCAATCATCGTTGGTGGTGGCGTCGCGGGAGTCAACTGTGCACACGCGTTCGCGAAGCGGGGGCAGAAAACGTTGCTTTTGGAGCAGAATTCCTTGACAAGCGGGTCCACGTGGCACGCTGCGGGGTTGGTGACGCACTTCAAAGGCTCCCCCCTGATCGCAGAGCTTGCCGAAGCGGGCGGGAAAGTGTACAAAGAGATGGAAGAAATTGGCTGGCACAATACCGGAAGTCTCGCCATTTCGAGGTCCCCCGAGACGGCAGAGAACCTCTTGCAGGCCTGTCAGCAGGGATGGTACCAGGGGCACACTCACCATTTGTTGGAAAGTCTGGAACAGGTATGTAAATGTTGTAGGCGGGATGCTTTTCGTTATTTTCCTTTCTTGGTGACATTATCTTCAGATGAAGCTTCTGGAACCATGTTGGATGACCATCGTGTTCGACACTGTCCCCACGAATAAAAACAGAAACAGTAGGAAGAGGAAATAGCGGTCATCATCATCAACACGTTTTCTTGTTGTTTCGCCCAAGAAGAAATGAAAGAAAATCTACGCACCACAGGCCCAGAAGGTGCACCCGTTTTTGCACAACCCGCGGGGTGATTTTCAGCTTGCGGTGCACAGTCCCCACGACGGCATCGTGAATCCAGCGGATTGCACCATGGCCGTGGCGAAGCGTGCCCGCCAGGTTGGCGCTGTGATCCAGGAGAATGCTCGGGTCGTGGGCTTTGGGTTGGACCAAGACCGCACGAAGGTACTTTCCGTGCAGTTTGTTTCCGCAAAGAACAACGGGGCTGCTGAAGGTCATCTTCACGAAGATGATGTCCAGACCATCAACCTCGCAGACCGCGGCAACGTCGTGATCGCCGCTTCTGCGTGGACCCGAGGTTTGACCAAGGAGTTTCTTGGCGAGGGGCTGCCGCTGGGCTACGCGCCCCACCAGTACACCATTTTCAACACGATTAAGGGCGTGACGAACGAGTTGCCCGTCGTGCGGGACTTCGACGGGCGGTACTACTGCAAGCCGGAGGTCGGCGGGTTCATGATCGGCGTCTTCGAGGCGCAGCCGATCCCGCACATCCCGGACTTTGTGTTGGAGCGGTCCGTCACCGCGCAGGTTCCCAGCACGGCGTCGCACGAGGTGTTTGAGGAAAGCCTGGACAAGGCGGAGCAAGGCGGCGAGTTCTCCGCGGCGCTCGAGGCGTTCCCGGTGTTGCAGGAGACCGAGATCAAGCAGTGGCTGCACGGCCCGGACACGCACACGCCGGACCACGGGTTTCTGCTCGGGCCCCTGGTCGGCCTGGACAACTGCTTCAGCGCGGGCGGGTTCAACTCGCAGGGCATCCAGACCGGCCCCGCGGTCGGGCAGGCGCTGGCGGAGTGGGCGCTGGACGGGTACCCCCACTCGTTCCAGAACCACTTTGAGGACTGCAAGGTGGCGCGCTTCAACCCGGAGATCTGCGCCAAGGACGAGTGGGTGGCCTACCGCGCACTGGAGTCCTACGGCGGCACCTACCTGCCGCACCTGCCCCGCGAGGCGGACGAGAGCGTGCGCGGGCTGGCGCTCAAGTCGCCCTTCTACGACCTGCTGAAGGCGGACGGCGGGGTGTTCAGCGAGGCCTTCGGCTGGGAGCGCGCCATGTACTTCGACCGCGGAGAGACTCGGGCCGAGACCGAGTGGACGGAGATGACGCCCCACAAATCCGCCGCGGTGTCCGTCGCGCGCGAGCACCTCTCCTTCGAGTACAAGAAGTCCAAGTGGTTCGAGTTCGAGAAGCGGGAGGCGCTGCACTGCCGGAACGAGTGCGTGGCCTTTGACATGACGCCCTTCGGGAAGATACGCGTGAAGGGGGAAAACGCGCGCGCGCTGATGCAGTACGCAGTGTTCGCGGACCTGGACAACGCCGAAAAAGGCCGCGACAAGGTCGGCAGCGTGGTCTATACCGGTTTCGCGAATGAGATGGGCGGCCTGCTGGGCGACCTAACGGTTTGCCGCATCTCCGACACGGAGTTCTACTGCGTTGTTCCTGCCGCGGATCCGTTCGAATTCCTGCGCCACCTGCGCCACTGCCAGAAGAGCGACGACAGCCTGGTGAAAGACGTGCAGATCACGCACGAAACCAACGAGATCGCCACGCTGGCGGTGATGGGGCCGAAGTCGCGGTTGATTTTCGAAAAAGCCTACCCGGGAACCGATTTCTCGGACGAGAAGTTTCCGGCCAACACCTTTCAGATCGTCGAACCGGGTGTCCGCGCCCTGCGCGTTTCCTTCGCTGGAACACTTGGGTGGGAGTTGCACATGGAGAACGCGAAAGCGGCGGCCGTCTACAAAACGATGTTCGACACGGCGAAGGAAGTGGACGTAGACCTCCGGAACGCGGGTATGTTTTCGCTGTTGAACAGTTTGCGCATGGAGAAGGCGTTTCTGCACAACGGACACGACGCTGACCCACTGGTGACGCCGATGGAGGCAGGGCTCACCTTCGCGATGGACTGGAACAAGCCGTTTCGGGGCAGCGAGAAGCTAAAGGAGCGGAAGAAACAGGGCATGCGGAAGCGGCTGTGCTCCTTTCTGTTCGAGGATCTTGACATTTCCCCGCACGGGCACTACGCCGACATTCTTTACCGGGACGGCGAGCCGGTAGGGTACCTAACCTCCGTTGGCTACAGCCATACCCTCGACCGTCCGTTCGGCTTGGGCTTTGTGGACTTGAAGGACGAGGCCAAGAAAAAGCCAAAAAAGTGGTTGGAGTCCGGGAAGTACGAGTGTTCGGTCATTCACCGCGGAAAGGTCGTCCGGACGCCAATCGAGAAATGTGTGATGGGGGCAGTCGTGGCGTGAAGGAACCACACGCATGGATGAATAAACAGCAGCATCCGCGCCAAAGTAAAAAATAGATACAAAACCATGCTTCAGTTCATGATCACGGCTTCCCCTCCCTCCACCACCGTGCCCATGGTTGTATTGGTACTATCCATCATTTTTTTACTTTTTTCGATTTCGCTATCTTCGCCGTGGTCGTGATCGTGTTGCCCGCCATGATGAACCGAAGCTACATGTTTGATCAAGGAGTTGTGTTTAGATTTTTTTGTTTATGAATTATATTTTGTTGTACCTACTTCTTGAAAGCTTCTTTTTGTGTGTTTCTGTAGATGTAGTAGTAGACACAGTGTGTGACTGTGAGATTTGATGAACGCCAAGCAATGTAAGTTATAGTGATTCTGTACCATGAACATGAGGAAGTTTCGGCGAAGTTTGTATGCTATTAGTTTTAGTGGCTATATGAATGCGCAAGCGCATGCGGTCGCACCTCCGCTCATCCTGACTATGTCCATTACCATTCACTCCTGCAGAACTCTAGAACTACCATCATCACTCGTGTAATAAAATTAAAGTAAAAGAAGCTATGCAAAAGCGGTTAGGAATATGATGTAGTTTTGATGTTCGTAGGTCTGCGTGTGCGCCGTCCGCAGTGAGTCCCGGTGAAGTAACCGCGCCAAAAAAACTAACTTGGTAGTGATACTTTTCATCGCGTATCGACTTCCTGGCTGTAGTTCGCCATTGCGTAGCACTAGACGGTGAACAGAGCAAACGCAACGGCAACCGAGAAATACACTTGTCGATCCAAAGACGAGAATAGTAAGCATCACGAATCGCGTTCGCGAAAAGGCGTACAACTAGATTAACATGAGAAGCTTCGCGACCACGCTCCCGGCGCGTACTATCAGGCTCACATAACGCGCGACTGTGACCTATACCATCCTGTTCGCCCGACTGATAGTAGTAACCATGATTACAGGGACATATACACATTGCATCTGTTACTTTTTTTTTTCGCGAGGAGCAGGAGGAGAAAACCGGTGATGCTCTGATAACTCGGTTCGTTTGTTCGTGTGGTTTTGCCTGCGACACTACTTTCTCTTTCGGTGTCCATCAATGTTTAATTGAGATGAGCAGTGTTTTTGTTTAATTTCGGTGCCTCTTTCTTATTTCCGAACCACGACGCGACAGTTTGGACCTTCGAAAAGAAAGCAGCTGCAGCAGCCTCTCCTCGATTTTTTCGAGGGTTGATGAAGTCAGTGTCAAATACTCCATAGACACTCGTCACTTTTTACTTTGTTTTTTCTAGCTTCACTTGTCTGCGTCCGCGTTCTTGCTTCCTGCAAAAAGAAAAAGATATCCAGTCGCTTTTTGAGAGAAATGTCGACCCGAGATGTTTTTTCTTGTCAAAAGAAGTGTCTGGTACCGCCAGAAAATGGGTACAAAATAAAGAACAGCACTGCTCTCACATATTTGGCATCTTCCTACATTGATTCGTCAAACGGGGAGCTGCGAGAACCAAATTGCCCTTTCATCCAAACAGAATTATTCCGGAGTGTCGAACTCGAAGTAGAGAGACACAAACACTTGAGAGCTGGCTGCACTTTTCTCCAAAGAACTGTGGTCGTCAAACTTCAACAAGGACAAAGACAAAGTAAGAAGAAGTGCGTCAACATCAATTATAGTTGTGAGGCCGCCTGCGTAGTTTCGAGTTAGCGTTTCCTTGCGTTGTGTTTAATTTGTTGAGAAGAGCAAGTCAATTGATTCTGGACACTCCCATGGCCGAGTATCCGGTGCCTCCGCGTCCGATTCCGCTGAACCAGCAGGTGCAGCTGATTATGGGCGACGAAAGCAAGGCACAAGCTGCAACTGTGATGTCCACAGACGACCACCTCGCTCACACTAGTTCTGATCAAAGCGTTGCTGGTGTAGTGAAGCAATCCTCTCCGAAGTGCGACGTCGCGTTTCATAGTACCTTGCAGCCACTGAAGCTTATCTCCGAGAAAACGAAAAGCACAGAAATCGACATGTTGATTGATGTTTTAGTACTATCGATGCTCGATGTGGTTTTTTTGCAAAGGCACTTGCTTTTGAGAGTGATTAAGTAGTACAAGAACAATCGTCATCACAATCACGTCGATTGCTGTTGCTGATTGGTTTTTTCTAGTTGATATTGCAACTTGGAACGCTCTTTCCTTCCGCTTCGGACAGGAAGAACCCATACGAGGTCAACAAACAAGAAGGACGTACCGAGGACGCGACGACCAGCAAGCTTGCCAAGAAGACGGTCGCAGGGGATGCAGATGTGGAGCCAAATGATCAGAGCAAGCAGGGGTATAAAAACAAGAATCAGAGCAGCGCCTACCACAACTACCAGTCAAGCAAGATGACCGCGCCCAACGCTAAAATTGCGGCGTACGATCTGGAGGTGACCAAGATTGCGTTTCGGAAGGTAGGACTATACTACCATGACATGAATGACAAAAATGAAGACGTGTAGAAATGCGTTCTCACTTTTAGAACGCGGATCGATCAGGACCGCACCCACACGGTGCGCATCCCAATAGATACAAAGACGTTGTAAATATTCGTAGTGTGGTGTACTAGTATAGTTTCGTCAACTTCATTTTCTCTTTCGAATTTCCCCGCAAAAGCGCTTTGATTTCGACCACGAAAAAAAACAGATGTATTACGTGATGGAGGAGTTGTTCACGCAGCTGCTGTATCCTGTGCAAAAGTGTCGCACGATCTAGTACGAAGGAATTGCATGGCAAATTTTTTCTAATAAAGTATATAGGTACAACGAACTTTTCTTCATGCAGATTCAGGGAGTACAGAGGAGAGGCTGCGGAAGCGGATCTGTAATGCAGGACTGCCATGAACATGATTACTTTGACTTTTACGACGAGCCACCGCGATATTTTTGCAATGCATATGCTGATGCGCTATCTGCCCTCCAACTTCACGTTCCTGGACATCGGCGCGGCTCCGGGCGGGGCGTCGCAGTTTCTGCTGGATCGCTCCCCCATGTCCTGTGGGTACGGGTTCACGCTGCCGCCGGAGTGGGGCGGTTTCCCGATGGGTCTGAAGAACTGCTTCGGGCGGTACCAGCTGCACCTCGGCGACCTGCTCGCGGACCCGGACAAAGTCGACCTGGTTCGCTGCCAACGGGCCGTGCACCTGTGTTTCGCCGACGCGCAGCTGCTCAAGCAGAGCGCCGGTTTTGTCAACGGAAACGTCCGCAGCGAACAGGAAGCGCGCACGTGTTTAATCACCAGCCAGGTGTGACAATGAATTTAGTCGCTGTACTATTTTTACGAGGACGTAGTACTAGTACATTCAAAACATTCTACAGCAGCTGGTTGTATTGGTTAATTTCAATTTCATTTTCTGCAAATCCTAATCTTGCAGTTCATAGTGTTTTAGATGCAGCGCATGTAGTGTAACCTGTAACGTTGTAAACGTGCAATCTACTGAGACGAAAGCTCTTGCTCTTGCATACTCCGCTCACTGTTGTTTTTGAGTACATCCTTCACAAGCAAACCCTTACATTGCAGGTTTTGAACGGGTTAACAAACCTGAAGGAGAACGGCCTGTTTGCGATCCGCTTGTATGCGTACGGGTCGGAGATGTGCAAAAACGAAACGCAGTTGATTTTCCTGCTGATGCACTACTTCTACGATGTGCGCCCGTGGAAGTCCGCGCAGTTTCACGCGTCCGACCTGTCTTTCTACCTGGTTTGTTCCGGCTTCAAGCGCCAGCAGTTTGCCAAGGACAAGATGTTCGGCAAGTTGGAAAGCTCCTACAAAAAGTACTACCGCCTGTGCACCAACCGGAAGCTCTTGAAGCTACGCGATGAGTATCTGTGGCGAACCCAGATGATGAATCACGGTGGCGCGGCGCCGGCGGCCAGGGCAGCTTTCAGTGGACACAGTAAGGACGAACAAGTTGCAGTGGCGGGGTCCTCGTCCACTAGTACTACGTTTACTTCTAGCCAGCAGGGCTCATTGAAGAAGATTTCCGCGGTAGTCAAGGATCCCACGACTTCTGGCACTGCTGGATCCGGAGATTTGTTGCAAAGTGTGACTGCGGCTGCGCAACCGGGTCTGCTCGTAGACCTCAAAAATGTAAGCGACCAGGAGCAGCTGGCGCGCACGATTTCGCGGGACAGCTCCGATGCGAAGACCTTGGTCTCGGTGAACCAGACGGTGCTGATCGACCACAGCACTGAGGAACTAGTGTCGCAGGACGGGAACCCGACGGGAACAGCAGAACGTCAAGAGTTAAACAATGGCTGCAGCAATCTTGACGCGAGGGAACTACAAAGCCACGACCACGTAAACGCTGAGCACATGATGGATCTTGACGTCGATTCGTCCGATAGTGCCGGGCTTTCCGAGAACGACGACGACGAGGAGCTGCACGAAGATGAGTTGATGAATCACTACAACATGAATCCAGAAGATATCAACCATTCCTTTCCGGCGCAGGAATTCATCATGCAAGAAGAGCAGAAAGAAATGCAGCAGAAAGACGAACAGAACACCACAAATGATCCAAAATTGCCGGTCGGCCATGTCGTCGGTGGGAACGAGGAGGGCGAGCAGCACCAAGATCAGGATCATATCCTGGCCACTCCGACCAAGAAAGAGAAAAAGCTCCTCTTGCTGATGCGGCCCCGCACGTACTCAAGTCCAGACATTCTGTGCCAAGACTACGAACGCGATTTCGACATGGCAGACCACGGGAAGGCACTCGTCGAACAGGATGAGATTGTGGAGTTTGAAAACCATAATACAACTACCGGGAAGAAGATCATCATGATGACCGACGAGCCTGCTCCGGCGGTACTGGTACCGGAGACAACGGTAAAAACGGCGGAGCAAGACCTCTGTGCCGCTGCCCACCCTGTCGTGGGCACCAGCAGCTACCAGAAGGAAAATGAAATCAGCGAGGAGTTCTGCCGCGGTGACGAAGAAGTGGTAGCAGATGTGGACGACCACGCTGACGTTTCCTCTGCCGCCGAATTGCAAAACATCATGGAGATGAAGTCGCGATTGCTTGTTGCGAACGCGAAGACCACAGAGGAAAATCAAAACGCGACGCAAAACGCCACTGTGGATGAAGAATCTCGCTCGTTCGAGGATCGGGAGCATGATCGTTCCTTTGCGAGCCCGACACCACAGCGGCCGATCCGCCTCCAGTTCGCAGACAGCATGTCTTCCAGCACAAACAGTCTCGGGGAAGCCGACCGCTTGCCGGACCCGACTAAGTCTATGTTTGAAGATTTTGGTATTATAAACAAAAATCATCTACTACTTTGTGTTGTTCCTGGTGATATGCCCATTTTGGATCTAGGGTTCAAGCGTTAGCGTCGAGGACATTGCGGCCCCATCGACATCAACGACGTGGATGTATGAGTCATGATCTTGTCCATGCCAATCTTTGATGAGCATAATTTAACGCATGACGACGTCAGGCGTTTTCTTGTCCTTGGAAAAGCTAGAAAAAAAAACAAACAGAAACGCTGAAGCAACTGGACCGGTGCGGAACGGCTTCGACCGAGTTAATCCCGTGTTCGGAAACCTCCACCGATGACCAGAGTCCGGAGTTTGCCGCGACTAGCTCCACCACCGGAACATTCATGGACATCAACGAAGTTTGCCGCAATGTATAAGCGAACTTGATAAAAATTGTTGCAATTTTTACATCATAACATTGCAAAGGTTCTACTTCTTTGTTGAGGATCATGTACTCGCGGCTTATCACATCTTCGCTGCATGATTCATGCCAGTTTGTCACAAACAAGAACCGAGCAAACCACAAAAAACCCCATGCATCGCACCTAACAAAACTACAGATGGGCATCTCCGAGGATGAGTTTTGGACTCTCGCGGGCATTCCGAACCCCGACATGCAGGCCGTGGTCGGTCCGCAGCGTGGGCCGGTGCCGATGGAGTTGGATGGCGACATCGTGTTGACTGATGAGCTGTTGCAGCATCAGCCGCACAATTTCACCATCGACCACACGAAGGAAGTCGATCTGGATGTGGACCACGCAAACATGAGCCAAATCATGCAAAACCGGTACGGTGCTGGTGCAGGAGCGGCAGCGGCGCCCGCGGGTAGGGTGGAGGACCAGGAAATCTTCAATCAATCCCAGCAAGGAGAAAGCGACGAAGGATTTTTGCAGGCGAATCAAGAGCGCAGGATTTTGTTGAACTACGACGAGGCGGAAAATTGCCGGCAGCACGAGGATCCGCAGAACGATGCTGGTGCGGCGGTTCCCGCAGAAGAAGAACAAATAGTGCAACAAAATGACGACTCCTGGGATGTTGCATGGTACGGCCATGTCACGAATGCGCACACGTTTTTCAACAAAATCCCAGTGGCGAGGACAAGTGCTTCTACATCTTCTAGTAACGCAATAAACCGTGTAATCACGACCGGAAGTACTGCAGTGGACCAGCACCAGGTCAGTGGGCACTCAGACGTTGACATGGTGACCGCGGCCGTCCGCCCCGTGGGCACCAACCTTTTCAACAACATCAGTTCTCCCTCGGGGAGGGCTGCTGCAGTGGCCGGTGGACTGCAGGGCCAGTTTCAGCAGCACGGAATAAATCAAGGATTGTCGGAACCGACTCTCTCCTCAGTGCTGAACCGCCCCGTCGTGATGACGAAGTCAAAGCCGAAGCCCACCTTTGCGAGTGGCGCAGCATCCCCTCAGCCTACGCAGCACAGCTCGTCGACAAATGATGGGTCCGCTATCACCGTGCCGACTGTGATGAACAAGAAACCCTTGCTCTACAACCCGGCGTTGCAGAAGAAGATGCCGAACAGCAGCCACCAGAATCATGTAGTTTCGATCGGCCGGAGCTCTTTCCGCCTGTCTTCGGCACTCTATGAGAAGTACCGACCCGAGCCGCAGCTGTTGGTCCAGCATGCGCCCAGATACAAGCAGTCGCAGGAAGAAAGGTACCTGCAGCAGCTCGAAAATGTCATCGCCTACGTGCTCAAATTTGCGCAAGCGCACACCCGGCACGGAGGTCGGACGGTGGCGAGGGACACCAGTGTTGGCCATGATGTTAGCGCGGATGTGGAGTCAGGCAGTACAGAGGACGCCAGCCGTGTCGTTAAGAAGAAAATGCACAGCGAATCATCCTCGGATCAACAGCCGGCATCCTCGGCCGGTCCGAACTGCAGCGATGAAATGGAGTGACATTTTGGATGAGGAGTTGCAGAAAGCAGGTTGAAAATCGCAAGAGTAATTTCAGCAGACGATTTTCAACATTTTTCGCAAATGCATAGCAACAATCTTCAAGCTTAAGCTTTCTGAATCAATGTCACAGATATAGTTGCAGCGAACAATAACAATAAGTTTCACTAGCGTTTGCTGCTAGTTGTAGTTTCAGTTTATCTTTTTCTTCGTTTGAGAATACAGTTTCAGTTTATACCTTAATCGCGTTGACGAGAGAAATGAAATCATGCTTTGCCTCGACCTAGATCTGATTTTTTTACAAAAGTGACAACAAATGTCTTGCTAGCTTCGTTGATGCTGCTTTTTTCCAAACGATTTAACACCAAAGTGCGACGAGTGTTTCTTTATCATTCTGCGTTTACGATTTTATCGCAGCTATCACATCTCAATGTTATGAACATCGGCTACTTAGACAGAGTCTACTCCAATACTAGAGAACAAAGCTCTCTGATAGTTTTATCACGAGCTTCCTATTTCCGTTCATTTCGATTTTTCGAGAAGTAGTAGGCCGAGTGATGGTGATGCTACCATTGCCTCCAGTCTCTTGTGTACAGAGACAGCTACACTCTCGCCTTCATGTATGATTTTTTAATGCACAAGTTGTAAACGGAAGCGCCGTTTCTTATGCGATTAGTAATTGCATTTGCAGACGACCCTTTCGCTTTCCTAGAAACTTACTAACTTATCAACTTTTTTATATACAGCGAACTTTTTTCAAGGAGCTGCTGCTCGTGCAAAAGTGGTTTGCTTCGTTTTTATCAATTCTTTCTCCTTTTTTCATCATTTTTCTGTGAAGAATGATGGCACTTGTCAACTACAAGAGCTGCACTAGTACATGTACAGGTTTATTTTACATACTTTTGGAAACTCAAACGAATACGAATTGGAATAGCCACAATGACACCGTCGAGAACAAAGATTTTAAATGACAACTCTTCTCTCACCAGTTTCAGACTAACTTCTCCGCTCTCCGCGTAGTGCGTGGCCATAATATATGAGGGATTCAAACACCATCCGCATACTTTTACGCACCTCTTACCTGCCTCAGGCTCTGCCTAAATTTACTTTTTTTTAGCCTTCTTGTCGATGTGAACTTTTTTCGCAAACCATTTTTATTTAGTGCGCACTAGTTCTAGGTGTAAGTCGCATTGCCAATATCGATATTTCATGTGGAACTTGTTAGACTTACCGAAATAAAACTGTATGATAAATAGAAGATAAAATCTCGTTTCTGATTCTGCAGGACCTTCTTGTGATTTGCAATTGCAATTCGTGCCTGCGCGTCGTCGATTTGCATTTGTCTTCGAGTGGTTGCACTCACATGATGACTCCGGAAACGCTTCTGTAGAACCTCCACTCAGAGGTGAAGGACGAGCAACGACGACAACGTTACTAACTTGTGCAGCATGGTTGTAAATCTGAAAGAAGTTGCTGTACTAGCAAGAAACACGCGGTTTCCACCTGACTCACCCCTCGACCTTGATTTTTCACAATGCACTGTTTTTTTCGGGTTTTCAACAGACCACGATCACCATTGGGACGACCAGGCGAAACTAGATGGCCGACACGACCGCGTTCGCTTAGTTGTAGTACGCCCGACGTTGCTCTTCATGAGTAGTTGGTGAACGAACGATTGCGCGACGGCTCATGTTGTCGCTTGAGAGGTCTTGAGAGGTTGGGTACAGCAGCACCCTGTGGTCATGTCGCAGTAATTTTGTAGTCAGTCTCCAGATGTTGATCGAGTCGCGATATCCAGAATTATACGACCCCTTTAATCGTGGGGGTTTTCTCGTTGTTGATCGTTGTTGCCCATCGTGTTTTCTCGTTGTTGATCGTTGGTTTACTTTTGTAGGCAAGAAGCAAACAGAGCCAGGGCTGCGGGACGAAGAGCACCAGAGTGTAATATACTCAAATTTTAAGAGCGATGATCGGATTGGATAGCACAAGTAAGACGAATAGTGCATTAGCGGGATGCAGATCCTCTCCGGCGTTTTAGGCTTGTTTGCCTTCGGATGTTTTTGTCGACGCACTCGCATATAAGTACATTCATCAGCGCGCTTGTGTGCGCCTCTGACGACCGGCAGACTTCGAAGTTACCCTTTGATTTTGAAGAGAGGACTCGCGAACAACGTTGGTGAGTGCACTGATAAATCGAGCAGAAGTTACGTAGAAGATGCGATCCTCGGCGACGATTCGGTCGCCGAACTACAGGGACATGAAGGACCCGGAGCTGTTGCGGTACGGCACGCCGGACATGATCCTGGTCACGCACGGCACGAAGTTGTACGTGCACAGCTCCAAGTGCGCGGCGTACTCGAAAGACATCCAGGACCAGGTGCTGCATCCCGACGCGTTTTTCGGGAAGATGTTGGTGATCAAGAACAACCGATCGGTGAAAGCCGCGATCGCCCTCCTAGACACCATCTACAGCCAGCAGGTCGCGCCCAACGCGGACGTGCTCTTCGAGACCTGCGAAATCGCGCAGGACTACGGTATGGACCTGGTGCTGCAGAAGATCAAACTCGGCCTGATGAAGCGCGGTAGCGTCAAACCACTGCTGGACGCGCTCTACGTCATGAAGCCCGAACAGCGCGTTCCGCCCGTGGTGCTTGAAGCCTACGCAGAGTAAGTTGCATAACTTCTAAAATCAAGTTCACCATGTAGAATAATGTACATGTTGCGTTTGGGTTTATATTAGTTTCTCATGTGCTTGATACGCTGATGTGATACTACAAACGGCAGCATCTCTTCATCCACTACTTTGCCTTGGCGCTCTCATTTGTGGAAGCGATACTCTGTCAGGGTGTATCTTCTCTTTTGAAACTGCTTCGCTACAAATGTAAATCAGGTTCACGCTTGCGGAGACCAAAGTGATGCTACGATACGACGAGCTTCCTGCTCTGTTGCGCCGTCGGATCGCGGAGACCAGGGTAAAGATACTCGAGACGTTGCTCCGGACGCAACCCTCGCTTAAGCACGTGTATGAAGAAAACAAGCACGTGTTTTTTCGGGAGGTCCCAGACGAGGAGTACACGGCCGAAGGAGCCAGTCCGACGCAGACTGGCCAAAGCAGAACCGCCTCCAAGGTCCGCTTCCAGAATGAGGCCGAGCAGTCCGCCGCCGCAAATGAAGCGCCGGGCGGCATGCTGGACGGATTCAAAAACGGAAAAAACGTACAAAATGGCAGTGCAGCAAGCAACTACAAAGGGGTGATGTCCGCCGCAACTTCGACCAGCGGGACCGGTGCAGCTGGAGCTCGATCGTCGCTTAAAACTCCGGTCGGCGTTTTTCAAGAGGGTGACATCACCGGCGAGATGCTCCTGCAGAAAAGGTTCCTGGAAAGCACCACGGTGGCGGGTGGAGGTGGAAAAGGTGGCTCTTTATTTTTCAACGACGCGGATTTTGGAGGTGCTGGCAGTAGTACAAGGAGTAACAGAGTACTAGATCACGACCTTGTATCTCCAGCGGCCCGACGGCCTAGGGCAGGAACTGATCCAACAGGAAGCACACTAGAAACCACAACATTCGCATATTGAAGTCTTCATCTGTGTGTCTGTGCTATTGAGAGGATGGGCTGCAGTTGTCGTCCGCATGGCACACAACTGGTAGACGAGCGACGTGCGGCAGTTGGAACTGTGAGTAGCAGTCTAGCTGCAAAAAACATCATTCTGTGTGTCGATCGCAGGAGTTCAGTCGTCAACGCAAATCCTGGGGGGGGTGGCGGGTCGTTACCGTGTTGAAGGTTCATGCAAGATGAATCTCATCGGTAATCACCTGCTCTCGTTTGTTTCTTATTCCAAAATTGCTGCATCCATAGATAGTGGTATAGGTTCGTAGCTCGCCTGGTACTATCGCAGTTGACGCTTGTCGTCTCGTCCCGCTTCTTCTATGTACCTGGTCGGTCTTGGTTGTACCTCTGTTAAGCTCACAACTAGGCCCGTCGGTTGAGATGGTAATTCGTTCTCCGGGGATTAGCCTTGAGTCATTGTTGGGAAAAAGGAAGCTGCCGAAGTACCTATTCTTTAGCCTAGATTTAATATCGTCAAGCTCGACAAGTAAAAGTGCAAAGTAGAATGAAATCGTGCGTCGTCAGGTACTGGGTCGTTGCATTGTCACAAGAAAGCATACGAAGACTCTTGTTCCTCGGTACTTCAGAATCAATTGGATTCTGTATGTCCTAGCACCGTCATTGACCGGTCGTGAGGTCCACAAGCATTTCATTTTTATCACATCGGCGGAACGTCGCCAACGCGATACTGACGCGCTATAGCTATACGCTTCATCCTGGAAGAACGCAATCAGCTGGGTATGATGATGTACTTCATGCTGCCATCTATAATGCAAAAAACACTTCACTAAGCAAAGCAGGTTCAACCGATATACTGTTTAATTGGGCAGTTCTTGGTTCTCTGAACTCTGTCAGTTTTTTTCCGATTAGCTTTTCGAAAAATTTGTAGTTGGAGGAAGAGAGTACAATCGGCAGAAAGACAAAGATGGAGAGTTCGGCGTCTGGACGTACGCCGAAGGACAATCTGGACACGTCTCTGCAGAACACCTACTACAGCTCCGATGCACAGCAGAGCTCGCACTTCCGGGCCAACCAAAGTGGGGCAATGGAACAGCACTGGTACGAATCCCGGAGTGCCTACGGCGCTTCGAAACTTCCAGGGCCAAGGGGGAACCCGCACCTCGTACGGCCGAAGCCAGCACCCGTAGAAAAGCCACCGTCCAATCCTTCCAGGGATGCGCAAACCTACATGAAGGGACTGTACGAATACAAGGTACAAAACTACACATTGAGTTTCTGTTTCAGGTGTTGCTCGTGTTCGAGTTTCGTTTTCTTTTTTTTTGAGCTGATTCGCGGACTAGTTCTAGTTCTTGCTGTGCACCCTGCTTTGCAACTGCACCTGAAGGAAAAGACAGCGCAAAATCATTGATTTTCATGTCACACTCACACACTACAACATGAACATTCGAAATTACATATCAACATCAATTCAACACAGATGCAAGAATACTTGAAGACCGTGGATCCCGTATGAAAAATGGAAAACCCAAAAGGCGCCTTGTGCGCACATTATGATTGATTCTTGTCATCGTTGACATACCTACTGGTTGTTTTTGGCCTTGGGTTTGATGTCATGCAGTGTACTATTTTTGCTTTCTGTTTCTACTTTCTGATGAGAATGCATGTGTAGTTACATCAGTGCTTGCAGCACTTTGCAGTGGAAGGTATCTGTAGGAACAGAAAGAGAAGCGATAAGCTTAGAAAAGGCGTATCATAAACAGGAATGATTTACGTCCAACTCCTCGAACAGATCAATTTCAATGTCAGTTTCTTGTGGTGCGCAACTTGAAATTTGATCCAAGCGCAGCATGGCCCAAGAAGGGAATTTTCCGCTGCATACGCCCAACCACGAGCGTCGGCGAACTGGATTGGCTGCACCAAGGAGCCGGGTCCGAAAGGCAACCCGGGTATTTACCAACCGTTTCCGCCCGGGAGTATGGTGAGCCTGGAGAGACCGACGCCCGATGGAAACCTGTCGATTCTGCACCGCAACCAGGAGCGGTGCTTCGAGCAGCTCGCAAACGAGAAACAGGCACAACTCGACCGCGCCTTTACGGGGCGAGTGTTTGAGCAGGGATTTCAAAACAAAGCTGCACCACACGAAATGTAACTAGAAGACGAAGTTGAAGTTGTAGAAACAAGAAGTGGAGATGAATCATTGCTCGTTCTTGGACGCTGCTCATACATTTTTCAGATTCTGCCGAAGCTGATACTTGTAGAAGTACCACCCGCGGAACAAATCCAAATGTATCTAAACCTACACGTGCTACTACTGTTTCAAATAGCCACTCACTTCTGTCACAACTGATGCGCGGCCCTGGTGGACAGGGATTGAGACTGTTGCACTTCACTAATTTACAATTACACACAAACACAATATAGTTTCATTGGTATTGTATCACTATCTTCTCACTGTATCATATCCTATGACACGCTGCGACAACATCGTGTTCGAGAATGGTCCGAATCAAATAGCAATGAACTTTTAACGACCTGCTTCTTGACGGTGCTCTAAGCGTATGTTTGGTAGCACTCTGCTGGCAGAGTCAGGCTGTGCGCAAGCGCATGTACAATTAGAAATGAAAATAAAACAAAGCTGTTGATGTGCGCTCTCCGCTACAGAGGCAAAAGCATTACTGCGTGCTTGGTATTGCTATTACCGGTGTTGTCCACCTCGAACGTGATCAGTGAGGAGTGTAGTGCTGCGCCAAACTTGAAATCAGCGAGGTCGGAATGTGAATGCGCTTCCTTGTGCATGCAGCGAGCAGAGAAAGGTGCGTAAAGAGAACGCGAATGTCAAAGAAAACGCTTCAATGACTAAACGTCGACCCCGACCACACTGCTGTGCATAAGATTGAGCAAGCTTCTGATGTTGCCCGTCTGCCGTATTGATTCTCGTCTTGCACGGCCACCGGTTCGTAGCCTCCTGCCGGCGCTCCAATTTTTGAGTTTAATCATCCTATTTTCATCGATATGATAGTTTGTGTCGTCGGAGTCGAAATAGTAAAATCATCACAATCCCACAGGAAATAGCAGACTCAATAAATAAATGTTTCTTACGGCGCCAGGAGTTACGTCTTCTCTTCCAATGGGTGACACATACCAGCAACAGCAGGGCCAGCAGGTGAATTGCGGTTCGAATGTGCTGGTCCATTTTCCGTTTCCGGCGTATGACTGCCAGGAGGAGTACATGCGGAAAGTGGTGCAAGCGTGCGAAAACCGGCAGAATGCGCTGCTTGAGTCGCCTACCGGCACCGGGAAAACGTTGTGTCTGCTTTGCGCCGTCTTGGCCTGGCGTGACGGGTACGCGGAGCGAAACGCCAGCAAGATTGCGACGAGGCAGCAAGAAGACAAAGCTTACCACGCGTGGACGGACGACGCGGCCGCAAAAGACCTGCAGGACACCCTCCCGCGGATTTTCTACACCTCCCGCACGCACAGCCAGCTCAAGCAGGTCACCAAGGAGCTGAAAAAGACCGGGTACCGACCGCGCGCCGCCGTCATCGCGGGGCGGGAACAGCTCTGCGTGCACCCGCTGGTCAGCAAACAAAAGGGCATGAAGCAGTCCGCGATGTGCGGACAGTTCTGCGCCAACACGCGACACAACAAGAAGCAGCAGAACGCGGGCCCTTCCTACTCGATTTCAAATCTCGGCAGCGCCAGCGCTGCACCAAGTAGTGCGGGCGGCACTTGCAGCTACTACATGTCGGTGTTCACCAAGCGGTACCAGGCTGTTCTAGGCGACACTTCTCTGCTGGACATCGAGGAATTGCAGAAGGTTTGCCGCGACAACTACTTAAGAAACGAAGAAAAAGTCGAGAAGTAAGTTTAAGGGTGTGATGAAGATTCCGACCACGACGACTTTCACTTTTGCTTTTCAAAAGGATCAATGGTTTTATTGCGTCGTCAGCAGACATCGACGTGTTAGGTTGTTGAGGTATTAGATGTAGAAGGTCTTGTAATATTTAACCAGAAAGCAAAGCGATGCAATACTTTATTTTGTCATTCTCCGCACGAGATCTCGTCGTATTTTCGTTTTCATACCTTGTTTGTCCGTTCTTCAAGTCTCGCGAGGACGCGAAGGAAGCGGTGTTGCTGATGTGTCCGTACAATTACGTGCTGGACCCGGTCGCGCGAAATGCACTGGGCATTTCTCTGCGGAATGCCATCGTTATTTTTGATGAGGGCCACAACATCGACTCCATCTGCGAGGCCACGCAGGGCTTCGAGCTGTCGCACCGTGACATTGCCTTCGTCGAGTCGGAGATCCTGGATTGCGTCGGCGACGTGGAAGAGGGCGGTGCCCGGCACCTGGTGCACCACCCGGAGGACGCGGACACGGAGGGCGCGACGGCGGGGAAGATCGCGAAGGAAGAGATGCTGATGCTGCTGGGATTGTTGAAGCAGAAGGTGGTCAGCCTGGAGAAGGTCCTGTGCGAGATCGACATGCCGGAGCGCGACGCGAACAACAACACGACCGTGAAAATCGGCACGATTCGCGGGCAGGAAGGCGAGGAACTGAACAACGTCGGCTACCGGGAGCGGCTTTACCCCAAGGGGGCGGCGATCTTGGACCTGTTCGAGGCCGCCGGCATCACCGTCGTAGAGTACAAAGCGCTCAAGGACGCCTGCGACAAGGTGATCTCGATCATCGCCATGGCAAAGTCGCTTGGCGGCGCGGACGTGCACGGGCGGTCGGCCAAGTGCACGGAGAAGTTCCAGAAGATCCTCAGTTCCCTCTTCGAAACCGAGAAGGCGTTCCAGCAGCACACCGCCGAGGGCGAGGGGAGTGGCGTCCTCGGTCCCGGTGCTCCTGCTGCTGCGTCGTTTGGCATTAGCCGAAACGCGAAGAAGCAGCTTCAGGTTTCCGAGCAGGATGTGGCGGAGAAAGCGCAGCGGTACCGCGAGGAAAAACGCAAGCTCCTGGACGAGCATTTTCGGGTGCAGATCATAGAGCAGGTAAGAACTGCCACACCGCAGGACGGAGCCGCGGAGCCAGATTTCAAGCGACGCAAGCGCAACAACGTGGGATGGAACCTGGACAACGTCGCCGGCGACCGCGAGGAGTCCGACTTCCGGCGCACATTGTTCTTTTGGTGCTTCACCTCAAAGCCCGCCATGACGGACTTGCAAGACCAAGGCGTGCGATCCATCATCATCACCTCCGGGACGCTTTCGCCGCTAACGTCGACGAAAAAATCCCTCGGCGTGCCCTTTAATGTGGAGCTGAGCAACCGACACGTCATCAAGCAGTCACAGGTGATGGCCCAGGTGATCCCGCGGGGCCCCACAAACCGCGAATGGCTGGGCACGTTTCAGAACCGGCAGAACGCACAGAACTACGCCCAGTACCTGCAGGACCTGGGCAGCGGACTGGCCAACTTCGCGAAGGTGTGCCCCGCGGGGTTTCTCGTGGCCTTCTCGTCCTACTCGCTGATGGAGCAGATTTTGAAAAATTGGACGGACAATGGCATCAAGCAGCGCATAGAGAAGTCGAAAAAGGTGCTGTGCGAGCCGCGGAAACAGGCGGAGATGCACAAAGTGTGGCAGGAGTACGTGGCGCTGTGCCAGGAGGGCGAGCCGGGCGCGGTGTTGTGCGCCGTCGCACGGGGAAAGCTGACCGAGGGGCTGGACTTCACGGATCGGCAGTGCCGCCTGGTCGCGGTAGTGGGGCTGCCGTTTCCGTCGCTCTATGACCAACGGGTGGTGCTAAAGCAGCAGTTCCTGCGCGAAACCAACCTGTGCGACCCGTCGGAGTGGTACTCGCAGCAGGCGCTGCGGGCCATCAACCAGACCGTGGGCCGCGTGATCCGGCACCAGAACGACTACGGTGCGGTGCTGCTGTGCGACAAGCGGTTCTGCAACCACACGAACCACTCGCAGCTGTCCTCCTGGTTGCAGGGTTCCCTGCGGCTTCCGGACGCGCGTAACGAGTACCGCGGCTCGTTCGGGAAGGCGTTCAAGGAGGTGCACGCGTTCTTCGAGCACTTCAATCCGCAAAGTGACGCCACAAGAAGAGGCACCACGAGCAGTACAGCGAAGGCTGACGTCGGAGCTCTCGCCGCACAGCTCGCGGGCGGAGACGTCATCGCGGGAAGCAACGGCCAGCTTTCATCGTCCTATGATTCCGGCGCCAACGGATCCTCGTTGGCCAACCACCTGCCGCTCCTCCACGACGACCGGCACCAGCTATCCAGAGAAAAAAACCCATCCACATCCATTTTTTGCTTGACAAGCACGGAATTTTATGTATGTTTTGCATGACAAATTGGATGTGGATGGGTTTTTCTCTGTGGATACCAGCGATCATTTCTCACCAAGGAAGTTACCGCAGCCGGACCCGCTGGCGGCTTGGAGCAGGACGCCTTGCACGCACACCAACCGTCAGCATCGAGCCCTTACAATAGGGCGCTCAGGATTCGTGCGAGCGACCGGTTAGAGAAGCAAGGGTGGATGGATTTGGTGAAGCAAGTGCTCGACGAAGACGACTTCGAGGAGCTTTCGACCGAGTGTTTGCCCGGTCTGCGGAAGCAAATTCCCATGATCCTGCAACTCGTGAAAGCTAACCCGGCACTGCAAATTTCATTAACGAACAAGAAACCAAACGTAATTTCAGCGGACACGCAGCACAATAGTGGCGCTTCAGCTGGTATGAGCTCAGCGATCAAGAGCACAGCAGCGGCCCAGAGCGAGGCAATAGAGCAGCATCCAGCGATTCGGCAGTACAAAGCGACAATTCAGCAAATCCGCACGTTGCTGCTTCCAGCGATTTGTGTGGACAACGAGACGGATACAGCCCGGCGTCGACAGCTGGTGTTCAACTTTCGGCAGTTTTTGCATCCTAAGTTTCGCAGCTTCTGGCGCGCGGACTGCGAGCGCTGGATTCGCGAAAAACGCATCGGGGCCTGGGCTGAAGACATCTTTGTTAGTGGGGAATTATAGCTGAAGCCGGAGATTCTGACGACCATGAGATCGAGGGTTACAACAGGCACATGTTGGAATGATTATCGGGGCGCCGAAGGGTGTGTCGTTTTAAGTCCAAGACCGACGTGTGATGAAAAACAAAAATAATGAATCGCGAAGTTGTATATGATTAATCATTCAGATTAATATCAAGAACTTCAACTGCAGCGTCGTTGTTGAGCACGATGAGTGTTGTTGCATGCATAGATATCATACGGAGGACGGACGAGTAAGCTTAAGCATCAAGGAAGCTTGAATAAAACAAAATCGAACTATATCAATCTGAACCAACGTTCCAGTTGTGGCAACGATAACGAAGCAGCACGAAATTGCCGAAGTTCGGGTTCGTGGGTGACAAGAAAATATCGGCCTGATGGTGATGTCATTTCTGATTCCTTCGATAAAGACGCTCGACTCTCGTCGAGATTCGAATTGGTCTCCAATCATGTTGTTGCAGTGTATGTTTCAGTAATTGTACTAGTTTTTGTTGTTGCCTCACAATGACCTGCGTCGAGTTTCATTCCTTCGTTGTCAAAACAGTGTCGTGGCCTAACATAGTTTCTTTAGTGGGCCGCAAGAGACCGCTGCCGTTCTTCCTGCAAAAGTCATTGTTCGTCGATTTTCCTTCATGCTATTCATGAAAAATTTCCTTTGCATGACAATCACACCGAAGACGAAGACCGGAAGATCATGATGAAATGTTGAATACCACACATTAATTCCTTCAAAGAAATGCAAAAGCAATGACGTCTGATGTTTTGGTGCAGCTTAAGTATCTCGAAGCTGACGACCTCGCATCGTGGATGAGAAGATCAAGATGAGATCAGAAGCGCATCAAGTTCAAGATCGAGAAGCCGAACACTAGGACTAGCTCCGACAGATGAAAAAGAATAAAATCGATGAACAAAGTGCGATCCAAGGAGTGGAAGAGAACATTTGTTACGAAGAGATGCCACTCTCGGATGTCGACGGACCGACGAGGTCGGTGTTAGTCAACATGTGAAACGGATCAAGAACAGGAACACGAAGAAGATGCATAATTTATCATGTTCATGGAGTACAGTTGATTCCAAGGGAGGAATGTGGAAAATTCTCAGGTCCAGGCTATGGCATTTAATACATAGCAAAAAGGCCATTTGCATGCGTCATAAAATTCAATTTAATACATAGCCTGATCGGGAGGTATGCTTCGTCTCAGTACATAAGTAGTTAAGAGTTTCTCCTCGGGTTCTGCGCTGTTGAACAAGGTGTGAAGTGATGTTTTTATTCGTTTATGTAGTACCTGCAACTCTACTACATTGACTTAGTATGTCGTGCAGTCCCTAAACGCGCGGCACAACTTCCACCTGAAGAGAACATCTATCATGGCGGATCCGTGGGGGGTATTTTCCTCCAGCAGTGATGAGGAGGATAGGGAGGATGTTGATCCTGCTTCGGGTTACGTGTCCGATCACTCTTTCCATGCGCAAATTGCACCAGAGCAAGACGGTTTTCAGACTACCCGATCAGTGGTGCGAGCAAAAGGGGCACGAACATACGGAGGAAGCAAAAGCTGCGATGATAGCTTAAATTCGTCCACCAGTTGTGGTGAAGACGAGCCTCCGTCCTTTCGCGACGCTGATAATTCCATTGCGATTGCAAGTACTAGCTCTAGCAGAACAAAGAACTACAGTACTAAGCAAGGAGAAAGTTTTTACACAAGGACGAAGGTAGTTGGCATCGATCGCCAGGCACAGCAGGCTGCTGTGGTTCTGCAGTACCACGCCACTGTCTTGGCGCTCAGGGAGCAGTTTTTACCGCTCCAAGCGGTCAACGAACACGACGGCGGGGCCGCAACCGCGATTCTTGGAAGTGCGGAGGAAGATAAAGCTCTGCGCGACGTCCTCCTGTTACATGAGGAGATTGTGAAGGATGCTGAGAATGGGGATGGGGAAGATGTAGAAATAATTCGAAGTTGTAAGCCGGATTCGGATAGTACGAACGCTGCTACTATAACGAGCGCCGCGGGCAGCACGTCGATGTCGGTGTCTTCGAGCACCACCCCGTCGCCTCCTACTTCGAATTGCAGAATGCTAGAGCGTTTGTCATCGACATTGAGGCCGAAAATCGAAGGCCTTTCTCTCGTGAAAACCCGTGTTATGGAGATGACAAGTGGCGCTGCAGCTGTGGGCGGTAAAACTTGTGATCCGCATCTTGGCGAGGTGGGGGATTCGGTGGAACCACATGCACATGCTCAACTACAAGCCCGTCAGGATTGCCTTGTGTTTTGCCTCTTGATTCTGGGGGGTTGCTATGGCTGTACTTCGACCGACACTTCAAACGATACCCTACGCCAGCACGCCAACAACATCAGTCTCGCGTTCGCTGCTCTCGACGAAGGCTTGAATCGGGGAGGTCTCGCTATGTTTGGGCGTCGGGGGCAACAACTATCCACGCTTATCCAAAGTGCCGACTGGGCCCTGTTGCACAGGTCGAAAACGACGACGAGGAGGATCACCGAGGAGAATCATTCTAATTGCAGAGAGGATATGAAGGTCGTGCGCTCGACGTCGAAAGAGTCAGAGATTTGTCCTTGCCCAAACAAGAGGATTCACCTTTTGGACCACGACCTTCATACGGCAACCAATGAAGGAGCACACGGCAGCACCAACTGCGCCGTCGGCGGTGACGCCTCATTGTCACGTCGGAGAGATGAAGTCCGTGAGGATGGAGGACTCAAGCAGCTTTCATCTTTCGCAACATCGTTGCGAAATCAGTATCTGATCGATATCCCTTCGTCGCCGGAATATGACTCTTTTGACACACGACCCTCCCTGCGCGAACTCTTCCGCTTGCACTTTTCGGCAGAGCGAGCCGCACCAGGCAGCTACTCTCACTACAGCGACACAAAAAACACCAATTTTCACCCCGAGCCCCAACGCCTTCCCGGTTTTGCACGACGATGGAAATGCATAGCGGACTGGCCGTGCTTTCAAGAAATGAATTCCATGAACTTCTGGCTACAGCACAAGCACCGTGTCGTGCCGTTGGAGATATACAGCTGCGAAGCCATCATGACCTCCGCAAGACACGACAGCGGCACGGAGATGACCGAAGCCTACTGGACTTTCGAGAAGTTTTTGAGCGAATGCTTTCTGCAAAGTCAAGACGACGAGCAGGAAGACGTAGACAAATGTTGCGATCTTTCATCTTCAGAATCGAAGCATCTTCCTGAACAACAGCCAGACGACCGGGGTAGTGGTCCTCAGCGAGAAGGCATCAGCGCAAGCGATCAGGGCAGCACTGGCTCTGGGCGACGAGCACATCAGCATCACAAGCAGGAGTGCGACACTGGGAAAAATAAAGATGAACAAATTGTGTACCTGGCCCAGCACAATTTGTTTCGGCAGATTCCGGAACTGAAAAACTCAGTGCCGTGGACTTTCGAGGCTGATGTGTCAAGCATCTGGATGGGAACGCGGAACACAATTACTAATATGCACTACGACACCATGGACAACGCCTACGTGCAGGTCGCTGGCTACAAACGCATCAAGATCGCGCCTCCGTGGTGGCACTTTCCGAAGGAAGGGCTAAAGGAAGCCGCTAGTAGAAGCAGCTGCAATGTTGATAGAGTAGAGCGCGAGCGGCCGCGTTCGGCTTCGGACGACGAGGCCGCTCTTGCATTTATTGACAAATCCGGTTTAGAAGAAGAGATAAGCAAACGACAGCAGTACTGGCAGAAGCACCGAAACCCGGTCACCAATGTGTGTCAGGAGCAGCTTACCGCCGTGCGGGCACAGGCACTGATGACATCTCCGTCGGCTGACATATTGGCGCAGCAGCAAGCAACACGGCCCACGAAAGCTCAAGGTGCGAATAAAAACTTCGTGCCAAATCTCGAGGTCTTCGGGAAGGACGAAGCTGCGCTCTGTCCCATAGATCTTGTTGCAGGACCGGGAGACCTTGTGATAATCCCGAAAGGCTGGTTACACGCAATGCACGCACTCACACCAAGTATCAGTGTTAATTTCTGGATGGAGCGACGAGACGTGTGAAGGTTGAGGCGCGACAGGCAGAACAACAATTGGTACAAATGACGGACAACTGTCTTTTGACACGAACTCAGAACAGCGACTGCCTTACCCGTATCTGTGTGAAGCACAAAGAAATTCTGGCAAAAAGTGACTACTAGACAAACATCGACTCAGGCACTGTACTAGTACGAAGCCAGTCTATTTTTCAGAATGATCTTCTTGTTGTTCGTGTTAGTAGTTCTTGTTTGTCTTCGTTGTTGTAAATCAGATTCATGTGGCTTGATGTCACTTCGATGTGCACATCAAAAGTGCCATGTGATTTGATGACTTTCCGCATTGAAGGCAGTGCAGATTTTGCGCCTCACCGCAGTGCTTTAGTACTAGTCGGACCAATCGAAGATTTCTCTTTACGCAGCATCTCGGTCCAGGAAGAGAAGTGCAGAATGATTCGGCTCTCGTTGTAGCACTTAACTAGATTCCGTAGTTGACAATTATCGGAAAAAAGAATCGGTAAGGTGGCAAATCGGTATTCTGTTGCAGTATTTCATTCACAGTCGGTACGCCTAGAACGTGGCATTGCACGTAGTTCAGGATTTGGCTTGTCGGACAAACAATATCTTTTGTGTACACTTCCAAGCAATATTTTCGTGCTGGCACATGATAAAATCGCAGTCCATTCAAGAGCTTCCCATCCCTTGTTGTCAAATAAAAAAAACGCGAATGTTCTTCTCGTGCAAACCCTGTAGATATAGGTGTATTGCCTAACTTTAGAATTTTCATTGTAACCATCATTCATGAATCATGCCATGTATGTTTTAGCTCCTCGTCGTCCTCTTCATGGTAAGCGTACTATCTTCAAGGTAGAACACGACGACGAACGATGACTACATTCTGATTGTCTTTTTATTTAAGTAGTTCATTTTGGATTGCATTTCTTTGAAACAGCACAGACTACATTATATACCTAACGCTAAGAAGAACCAGAGAAACTCAAAACGATCTCCGTCGGGCAGCGGGTCCCTGTGCCATGGCCAGTGAGTGCGTGAACAGCACCTCCAACATGCGGACGTCAATAAATAAGGCGCGTTGTTGTGGAGGTACTAGTTGAGAAAGCTGCAACTGCTGAGCATGGATTTCAACTTCAAAGGCTTCTTTGCCGCCTCCTACGACGAGCCGAGAGGACGCGGCGCAGGAAAGGCAAAGAGCAAAGCGGCCACGAAAGACAGTCAACCCGCGGCGGCAAAGGCCAAGCAGTCAGAAGGCGGTGCTGTCGTCAAAGCAGGCGGTGGTAAAAGCGGGAGTCCTCGGGATGCGTACCTCGCTGCTGTCGACTCTTCGAATAAGAAGGCATCATCTACTCCAGCACCTGCCCGCGGTGAGCAACAAGCGCGGCAAGTATTGAAGCCTGCAATTTTTGAGCAGGGCTCACCTAGTACGCCGAAAATGAATCAAAATTCTACTGCACCAGCCTCTCCTGGCACAACGAAAGTCAATAGCATTAACAACCAAGGAGGTGCTCGCCCACCTGCAGGAGCTCCTGGTCCCGGTGGCCGGAAATCGCCGCCGGTCACCCAGAACGTTGCGGGCGGGCGAGGTCCATTCCTGCCTCCGGCGCCGACTGCGCCGAAAATAATTGAGACGGTGCGCCCGATCCAGGGCTTTGCGCGCGGCGGCGACACCCGGAGTAAAATACGCCAAGCGGCCACGGCTGGCAAGAACCAGCAACAGATTGCAAGTTACGCAGACGACTGGGACCAGCAACAACCGAAATCAGAGCTCAGCAGCTTCTTTGACAATTACTGGGACGAAGATGTCGAGGCCGACGGAGGGCAGACTGCAAAGGACAAAGGAAGCAAGGAGCCCAATAAGCGCTCAGGGAGTCCACCTCAAGGTGCGAACAACAGGGCCCGAACGAACAGCCCGGAAAATGCTAACACAGACGACAGCACCGGAATGTTTAATTTCCTCTATGCGTTGAACGGAGGGGGCGAGGATACGCCTATCCAGGTGCAGCCAAAAAAGATAACAGAAAAGTTCAAAGGACAGTTCAGTAAGACGACGGCGCCAGCAGGACCTCCCTCCTCCTCCAAGGCACCGTCCAAGGCACCTCTACCAGCATCTGGGGCGCAGCAGGAAAATCAAAATGCTTTCTATCCGGCCAAGCGTGTTTTGCAACCGGGCGCCATCAAGAATTTCGCAGGGCCAAGCGTCATGTCGAAGCCAGGTCTCACCGGAACCCCTGGTGGCGACGTAGACCGCAACGTGAAGGACCTGATTGAGGTAACACGGCTCAGCAACCGCAGTGACCTGCTGCTCGACGAAGCCGACCTCTGCAATCTGAATATGGAGCAAAGGAGGAGCAGGACGAAAAACCAAAACGCGTATTACAACGACGCGGCTGCTGCATCTGCAACGCTGACGAGCGCCACAGAGCGGGATAGCACTGCAAGTACCGGTCGCGTAGGTCGCTACCGGGAGAAATTTGCCGGCGGAGCTGGCCCGCCGCCCAGGCCTCCCTCGGGGGGCATAATAAAACTGGAGCGAAACAACGTCCAACCATGGAACAATCCGCAGCCGGTCAAGGATGGACAAGCAGCGCGCGGGCGAGGACGAGGACCAGGAAGATCAGGCTCGTCTGACGTCGAGCCATCTTCAGCGTCGTCCAGCAGGAGTAGTATTGACAAAAGGGACGTCTTAGGAAATAGAATTGTCGTAACCGAGCGGCCCCGGGACCGTAGCGTTGGAAAAGGAAACGCTCCCGCGCCGCAACAGAAGTCGGCCCAGGAAAATGTTTTTACGACTGCTCTTAACGTTGCGAAGAACAAAGCGAAATCAATAAAGGGAAAGATCAACTCGTCGAGGCTGCGAGCGAAGCTGCAGGCAGAGGTAAAGGTGCAGCAACTGCTGACATTCACGCGTGCAAAGAAGCGCGCCGGCGGCCGGGGGGAGCGCGCGGACTTACACCCACAGGCCAGCAGTGGCACGCTGGCGCAGCATGACCACGCGCCCGCAAGGCAGTTTTCCCAGCCGCACAACGACAGCGGTGGCAGCCGCCCGGCGCCGGGCGGGAGCAATCAGTCTTTGAAGATGAGTGGCGGTGGGATTTCGAACAACGGACCGACGTGGTGCCCAGCCACGGTTCGTCTCCACAACAGAGCACCACTCCACAATTCGTCGGATAGCATCCAGCCCAAAGCATTGCAACACTCCGGGTCAAATTTGAACCTCTCACCCGGGAAGCAAGGCGTGTGGGTCGGGTCGGCGCGGAGTAAGGAGTTACTTCGTAGCGGTTCTTCCGCGTCCCAGCAGTCCATCCGCGGTGCCGGAGACTCCAAACGTGGGCGAACGGTCAGCGTCGCCCAGCTGGACGGGGTGGGCAAGACAGCTTCCATCCGTCTCTCCACACGTGCCGTGGCGGGTCCGGGTGCGGAGGAGAACGATCACTCCACTTTCCTTCGGACCCGCTCGGGGTCGAGCTCTACGCCGGCGCCTGGATCGCCGCGACTATTCGCCCCCAACCCGAAGGCGGTTGCACGGCCGAAGCAGGGCGCGAAGCGCACCGCTTATCTGCAGGAGAATCACATCCGGATTCGCTTTTTGGACGGCGTGGACCCCGGCACGGAGATCATGCCCAGCCTAAGTGCCCCCAACCTTGCGGAGGTGGTCGAGCCGGAGGACCCGAGCACTGTGTACGACGAGTTGGTCCTATGCAATAAAACTAGTATCGCCGCCCTCGCACCCGCGGCGCTTGATTATTTCATGTAGAAAATGTATTTGAAAGTGTAAGTAGTGAGCAACACGGCTTCTTTTTGATATGTAATTCCATCCAGGTCGAAGTAGCAAATTGTTTGCAAGGTAGCATCAATAATTAAAATTATTATTATTCGTCGTAATTCTTCTTCCCTCCGATCTACGTCCTGCTTCCGTCCCGGTCCGCCGATAGGGTTTTATGGGTCTAGGGTTTAGGATATTTGATATTATTCGTCGGGTCATAGGAGACGCTTTTTGCAACTCACTGCGCTGCTCTCGAGCTGACCTATTAATTGGTCTTGTAAAAAGGAGAAGGAGTGCATCCTACTCCATGCAGCGACCTCGGCGTTGTCCATGTGCACTTCCTGAATGTGAACTGTTGCTGCCGCGGGGGCATGATTTTTCCATTGCATAGATCGCGAAGGTGGAGGAACTGCTGCTGCAACAGTACGAAGACGTTATCAAAAAGAAGCCATACACAACGCAGTATTTGAAGCAGTTCTCGGAGTTTGTGTACCGCACCAAGCTTTTTCTCCGATTACTCGGGACGGACTGCGGCGAATTTGAAAAACAACGGTTCCGGCTCCAGGATGCGGAGATCTGGCGCCAGCTCGTCCGCGCGCCGGACCACCAGAAATTGTTCGAGGGCATTCTAGGAAAAAACGTTGACGTGACGACCTTTCTCAGCATTTACCTCGATATCGACCTGTCCAAAACGCTAGTTGACGCACTTGTCAAGCTCGAGGACCAGGATTACCTGCAGGGCAAAGCGAAAGTGGTAGTCAAGCTGACACCGGAGCAGCGAAGGCTCGCATGTGGCGCCGCCTCAGAGGAATCTGCCGTGATAAAGGAGCAAGCAGCGCAACTCGCCACCGCCCATCCGCAACTGCAACCGCCAACCGACAGCCTTGACCGGCAGTTTTGGTTTTGTCTGCTCTGCGAGGAGAAGCACAAGCCGGGGCGAGACTTCATGTTTTGCAGCAAGTGCGGCACCCACTACGAGAACACGGACCTGTACCTCTGCGGCGCAGGAATGTCCGGGAACAACTGCAACTGCGTGCTGCGGTACGACTGCCCGTTCGGGATCCCGCAGTGCCCCGACTGCGGCATGTTGAGGACCAACTGGATGAAAATTTGGGAACGCTGGAAGGTAGACAACGCGCTGTACGAGGACGCGAGCGCCTCCATCGACCTGGACGAGGCCGAAATGCGCGAGAAGGGGATAAGTCGCGAAACGTTGATGCAGCAGCGCCTCCAACTGGCGATGAACACGGAGGTGAACAAAACACCTCGGCCAGAAGAACCAGGTGGTGGCGAGGGTAGCAACGGTGGCAGCCCGAGGACAGGAGGGACCACGACGAACAATCCGGGTGATAGACTGTCGCTCTCCATGTTCGACAGTCTGGGCTCGGCGGAGAACTCGCTCCTCAGGAACATGCTGGTCGTAGATGCGGGTGGGGGGGACATCGACGGAGATGACTTGTCCGATGTGGAATTTTTGGAAATTGACGAGTAGGGGGTATGTCGAATCGCAAATATTTTTTTGGTACCTGTCTAAATGACAGGATAACGAAGATACCGTAGTACCTACCTTTGGCGTAGGGAGATTGTTCGCAACTTGAACTTTTGTGGAAGGCCTGTCAAGTTCAGGGAGGGTTTTATTTCGCAAAATAAGGCTACGTTTATGTTGGTGACATTGACATCTGCACCGTGGCTCCTGGAGGAGCTGTATGTGATATTTTTGGTAGTGGCGGGCACAACACAGAAGGGGTTGCTGCCTGGACGAAGATGATGTTGCGATCATGAGGGTGAAATAAAATATTTGGTCATCAAACTCTAAACTCAATTATAAAGTTTTCATTGTGTTTTCTACGATCATGCTTTGTATGATGCTTTTCAACAACATTCATTGTGTACAATCCTAATCTATGTACTTTCGCCCTCTTTGTCTTTTAAGAGGAAAAGAAAAACAAAAAGCGCTCCGCGTGGTCCAGGGACACACACACGACGTTTTAAAGTAGACGAAGATGCAGGTGCACCAGCTCTTCCGTGTTCCTCCCGGTAGAAGTGAAAAGTGTAACCGGTTTAGCGGTGCGAGACTCGGTGTTATTGTTAAGAGGACCAGATAAACCGCTGCTCTCTTTTTTTCCTCTCATGGTGGGTACTAGTCGTGTATCGTGCTACGTCGTCTAGTATCATGATCTTGCACTTGCTGTTGTTTATTCCTGTTTACGATCTTCAATCTTCATGTGCATGCCCAAGCTCAAGCTGTTTCGCTTTCTTCTTTCGGTCCTACTTCAAATCGACTGGCTGGCCTTCGACTCACTTCGTTCTGCGGTTTTTCTTTTTTCATAAATCTATGTTTTGTTCAACAATGACAATCGTGGTCGGTTAATAATCTAGCTCACTTGTTTGTCTGCACGTGCATTCGCATTGCATTCTGTTCTTCAGAAAAAAGAAGCGTTTTTTTTTGAAGAAAATCCTCGAACAATGCCGGTCAGGTGGTGGCAGGTACAACATTGAAGTCCTCATCATATTTTTCTCTTTGGACTCAGTCGGTCTGGCCTAGTTTCTCCAAAACCAAATCGTTGAGGATTATTGTGCTTTTTGTTGGTGATGTCTTCGTGCGAGTAGTCGTTTGAATGCGGGTAAAAACTCCTACTCTCATTTCCTCGTCCTCCCTGGTTTTTTTAATGTTCGTCTTATTGCGGTAGCTGATGTGTCCTTCATCTAGTCATTTTACCTCGCATGCTGGTGATTTTTTTGCAATAGACTGCAAAATGGGAGAGAGACTCCGCCGTGAGCAGCTGCGTCGACCTGGTATAGTGGTACCTTCTACAGTTGTAAATGATCTCAACACACGAAGATAAGGTTAAGGTTAAGGCCATCTATGACCATGATAGTGATAGTACCGGAAAACAAATCTTCACTCCAACGCCTAGTACGAGCGAATAGGGCAGTCCGCCTTTGGCCCCTCGTAGTGGTGGAGAGATGTCGGACTGATACTAGCTGCAAAAACTCATAAAAAAAACAAAATGGCACGCGTGTCGGCCAAAGTTGTGCCGGACTCAAACTGGGGCCCGCCAGTTCCGGCAATTGACAAAACCACTAACGAACCGCCCGCGTCGTCGATGAGTAAGAAGTATTACTGCCTGTCCAACAATGTGGACAACACGACCACGGTTTTTTTCGCCACGCGCCCTCTACTGCGACACGACCACGACAAGGGCACCGCGAAAACCACGACGAAGCGGCGTCCCTCATACTTTTCGAAAATGCACAAAAATCAGCACACCAACGCGCTGACTAACGCTAGTACGACCGGAAGCGGCCCGTCGACGTCATCTTCTTCAGCCTCTTGGTCAGGAGCCAAGGGTGGCCGCGCCGCTGCCTCCTTCCTCGCGGCGAATGCGCGAGGAAAAGTTCTCGTTTGTGCAAAAGCCGGAGCATTTTCTGCGATGAACCGTGATCAGGCGAAAGTACGGCGCATTAGCGAGACCACGACGTCGAATGGAACTCGTCTTGGTGCGATCATGGCCGCGCAGAAAAAGATCTCAGCGGGTGGGGGTGTTCGTAGGTCGCCGGTACCGAAAAATGTTGCCAGAACTAGTACAACGCGAAGAGGAGCAGGTCAGGGAGATGTTAATTCCAACCGCAGAATAAACACCGCCATCACGACTCCTCCGCAGCCTGTGGCCCACCCCGTAGTGACTACCAAATCGTCGTCAAAGCGCGTGATCCTGATTGCCAGTTCCCCCGACGACAGCATGCAGGAGCTCGAGGTGTCAACCTCTGCCTATCAAGACAACGAGGCGTTGCAGCGAACGCACTTGCACTATTCCGCATTCTACAAGCGCCACTCGGTAGACCAACAGCTGCACGAGATGCAAGAAGAACAAGGTGAACAAGTAACATCATTCGATGAACATGCACCACACGAATTCGAAGCAACTGAAGAAGAAACGGCAGCCGCAGCCGCGCAGGACGGCGAAAAGGACGGAACCAAGAACGTCGAAACGGAGTGGCAACGTGCGGAGGCTTCTACTGGAGCTTGGACCAGCAGCCTAGCCGAGGACACGGATTTGGTGTCCAAGACGACAACCTGTGTGGGAGCGCCAACAACTTCGCTGTCGAGTAGAAGTCACCATCCTCGGGAGTCCGCTCCACCGAGGACTCTATCGAATGATATCGAAGTGGTCGATAAAACGCAACTTGTTTCAATGGCTGCACCAGGGAACGACCCGAGACCCGTTGATGTTCGAGCTGCGGCGGACGGAGCAGCTGTTGATGCTGAAGCAGAGATACAACAAAGAGTTCGAGAAGATTCCAAAAGAAATGAACCATTTTCCCCTGCAACCAGAAGCACTACTACCTCCACAACGAAGGTACAGCTATTGAATACCGGCGCCGTTAACCTGATCAGAAATGTTTGCTGTCCGCCCGACACTACGATTAGCGCTGGCGTCAGCGATCTGGAGTCTGAGCGGATATCTTCCAAAGCCTCCTCAGTTGAGGCGATGCTGCGGAGCGGCGCAAACCTGCTGGAGTTGCAACCACCGAAAGTTGCCTGGGCGGCCGCAGGAGCCCGAGCTGCTGACTCTCACCAGTACGAAGCTGAAGTAGATCAGCCACGGACTTCTGCAGTAACTCCTGCAGGGCGAGTGGACGAGCTTCCTGTTCCGAACCAATCACCAACCGCGTTCGATGCGGTAAACATTTCGTCTCCTCGATCTTGCGCGAGCACAAGTAAACCGGAAAGTTCCCCTGTGGAACGAGGCGATGGTAAGTCTGTAACTACTTCTGCGATCATGACGCCTGTTCTGTCATGACGTCCCATGTTGTGCCGTGCATCGGCAATCGTCCCTCTGACTTTTTTAAACTGAAATCAAGTTGATGGCGACGTCCACGACTGATGCTGAATTGTCCAGCATCACATTAGATCTAGATGTCCTTTTACTGGAACTTCCTGATGTTGATCATCGACCGGAATTACTATTCAGGTGCAGCTTCAGGAGTTGTAGGTTCTGACTTCCAGAAAGCAAATGCAAAACTCGTGGTCCAAGCAGCTCTTCCTGATTCAGTGGTGTCGACGCATGCTCGGTACGCACAGAGCCCAGGTTCCCCGAAGGACGTGAAGGACTTGTTCAGTGAACTGCTGCAGAGCAAGGTCAGCTCGCCAAGCTCCGTGCTGCGCAAGAAAGGAGTGTTTCTGGCAGATGTCATGCTGGCTCGCGCACAGCAAAAGAATCAGCTACTTACGGTACCGCATGAGGGTCGTCGTCCTGCAGCTGGTGCAACTTCTCGCACCACGAGCAGCCCCACGAGAACAGGACACAAAACTGGACCCCTATCAACATCAGGCAACACAGTTGCCCTTACTGTGTCAAACGAGTTCTCCAGCAGCACCGCCTCTACCACGTCCCCGGGGCCGCGGCGCGGTGGCACTGGTGCAAAGAAAAAGGTGATTCGGCCTGACCGTTGGTGGTCGGACCTACAGCAGGTCGAGTCCGGCCCGCTGCGCGTCGGGCTGCGACAGGAAGAGTGGAGCAACCTTCGGAAGCAACGGCGCCAGGCCCTGGAGGAGGACCTCGTATCGGACCAGTGCACCCCCTCGGACGACGTGCTGCTGCTAAAAGAAAAGACGCAAAAGCACTACCGTCACGTTTCACCCCGTCTGCACGACCCGCATTGGAACTACACCAGGAGAAACTTGGTCCGTCAGGTACACTCTTCTTGTCCACCACCAGGAGCTTCGACCTCCTCGAGATCCGGCTCCCCGTCGCCGTCTCCCAACGGCAACGCTGCAGGACCTCGTGCAGAAGATCATCACACCCTGCACACAACAGCAGCCGCGGCCTTACAGATGAAGAGAAAGAAACAGCTTTTGGAGATGCGGATCCAGAATGGAACTTGCTTGTACGCTCGAGGTAAGGCGGCGATGGACCAAAAAGAGTTTCGGCGGTGCAACTGGTTAGCGGAGCGCGCGCTCGCGGAAACGAATGGCTGCACCTTTCGCCCGGACGTTTTTGTCGACCACGTCCGGGAGAGGCAGAAGGCAAATCAAAGACTTCTGGAGAAGGCCGAGCGAAGGTGGGCAGACACCGCCACGGTCTCGCCAATGTTGCCTCTGGAAAATAAGCGAAGCGGAAACAGTGCCAGTGTGTCGGGAGCTGCATCAACACCTCCAAGCTCCAGAATACAACAGTCATCCAGGCCGGGGCGAACTAAGGAGGATTTCAACTTCTCTCCGGAGCCGAGGAGTACGGGTGTGACGAGTCTGAGTACTGCATCGCTAAAGATAAAAAGCGTCAGTCAGCAGGAGCAAAAAATTCACCCAGGCTCTACGTCGCTTAGGGTCGGCGGGGTCGCTGGTGCGGCCGGTCCACCCAAGACGCACCAGCACACAGCGGGCAGTCCAGCGCCGGGGGCAACACAGGCAAGAGTGCAGAAAATGAAGATCGATTCCCCTCGCGTGCAGTTTGTTTCAGCAGTGTCGTCCCCGCGAGGCAACGCGATGAGCAGCACTGCAACTTTGACGTCCGGTCAGATTGCATCTTCGAGCAGCTTGACCACTACGGTCACGTCTGCGCCGGCCTGGTCCTCTGCAGCTTCTGCGTCGTCCGCCACCGTTTTCAAGACTCGGGACTCGTCCGCTTCCAGGCGCGTGGCAACTCCGCGCGGGGACCACGCACGAAAAATTTACCATGACCAGCTAGTCGCGATTTCCGGTGAGGGTGTGGGTGGCAGAGGCGGCAGTCGTGTGAAAGACAAAGAAAGTGGTACGCACGAGGTACTAGACAACCGTGCCCCGCCTGCTCGTGGTAACAGCACGGCTTCCCACACCACGACCAGTGTCGTTACGTCAACCACTAGCAACAAAGCGTATGCGTGTCGCATTAACCTCGCTACGCCCTCGTCACCTCCACCCTCTTCCTCGCCCAGGACCGCGTTGCGGCGACCCGAGTTTGTCGCAAAATCTTCCACAGAATCGACTTCGGCGGCCCCAGCTGGAGACGAAGAAATCCCGATGCCTCTATCGAGCGCCAGCCCGTCGCTGGCCTTCTTCTCTGCGAAATCGTCGCGAACCCTGGACAGTATCGCAACTGTTTCGTTGTCAACAAAAAACTTGAGCACCATTTCGAAGAACAAGGCAGAAAGAGAATCGGCCTCCTCGACAAAAACCGCGAACAAGAAGCCACCTGGAGTAGGAGGTGCTAGTGCGAGTTCTCTTGCGGCACCAAGAAAACTCGTCGGAGCGAAAGAACAGGACGTCGAACAGAGAAGCAAAACTGCTGAAGAATTAGGACCGTCTGCAGCATTCGAGGAACACGAACGACAACGAGCGAAGCCCAAGTCGCTGGAAAAGACGAAAAAGGAAACAAAAAATCCCGAGGATCTTTCCCCTGTGAAGCTGCTGCACCAAATTAAGGAAGTTCTTCTCGGTAAAAATCCGACCGCGAAACGAATGCGACCACTGGATCAAGTACCGATACCAGTAAGAGGGGGCAAAAGTCCAAGCGCCAGACAGCTGCAGAAAAGCAGAAGTGTTGCGAGTTCGTCTTTCACCCCGCGTCGTGCCGGCTCTCAGCCCGCCTCTCCGAGTGTCAGACCGCAGCGCGAGCTGTCGACGGATCAGCTGAATGTCCCTCGGTTTGCCACCCCGATTCAACGGACGCCGCGGAGGCCGAGAAATGTCGCGAGTAAGACGTCAGCAGCTGCTGCTGGTGTTGTTCTTGATGGGCGGGGAGGGGCAAGCGTAAGCGACAGACAGCACAAGCAGAACATCAATACCAGGTCGCAGCAGGGAACAGGAACTCCAAAGACCAGCGGTAGAGCTTGTTCTCCTTTTCGTTGCGCCAGTGCGCCTGGATCCGCTCGAAAAACGCGTGATCGCACGTTGGAACACATGTTGGAGATCTTCTCTTCGCCGTGGCAAAAAGTCCAAGCCGGCCGTCGATATAACGGAGAGCAAGCATCAACAAGGCCAGCCGACACGGCGCGCAGCTATCGGCAGTTGGCCGCTGGACCAGCACCCCCGTCGGAAAAGACGATTCCCTCATCTGGTGGACGCAGTAGAAGTCCGTTTCTGGCTCCGAACCTACCAAAACCAAAAATCGCTGCAGAAGCAGCGATGCACGTGCGTCCACAAGCACCCGCGGCACTGCAGCCTTCCGTGTCTTACTTCCCCACCGCAGACACGATCGACATTGCTGACTCAACCGCAACAGGAGCAAAATCAGTAGAGCAGCACTTCCTACTGACCCCGGAGTGGGAGCAGCAGCAGCAGCACCTCCTCTCTTGGTTGGCGGCCGAGTCCACAGCTGAGTTTTTGTACAGCAACCGCAGCGGAGCTGAAGTACACCTCAACGCAGTCCCTCCCCTACAACATCCACCAACCGTCTTTGGAAACACGAGCACGACACGAGGAGGGGGTCATAGTAACGACCAAGAAGAGCAAGTGCTAGTGCACCATCCTCCCCCGCCCGTGACGATTTCTGGCGCAGCCACGGCAAACAATACCAGCCTGTCAATCGACGAAATAGAGGAGCGCATCAGCAGCCGAAGGTCCAGTATGCAAATCGTTGAAGAAAACGAGGAGGATAATCAGGTGGACTGAAGACAGACACAGAAGACCAATACGCTGGGATTTGGATTCTACTACGTGTACAGCAATCAGATTTGTGCCGTTGATTCAATGCAAAGTAAAGTACTTCTGACATACTTCCTTCTTGAGTTTAACAACTTGAGATTCCGACAATTACGATTGGCATGCTGACGATGACGAACGGCACGCGCGTTTCGTGTTTGAGGGCGCGCAAAGTTCTTCTTGTGACCATGTACGCACAGAACTGAAACTGCAGAGCCTATTTACATCGAGAGATGGCAAGTGAAGCATAAGCATCTGAAGCTACTTACTTACGCACTACTTCTAGCAGAACCAACATGTACCTAAGACTGTGAACGACAAAGATGTTAAGGCTATTCATCCCAATTACGGTTTTCATCTATGTCAACCTACTGTACAAGAAAAACCGATGAAACGATTTTCTCACACAACGAAATAGAAATTCAATGAGCTAAGTTGCATAGGTTGGCTTTGCAGCGGTACAACGTAGATACGGATCAGCTTTCCAACCCGACATGAAGTTGACACCATGATGAAAAATCGCAGCAGCGAGCTTCGTCTTCTCTTCTTGATGTCATATGGTGCTCGCTTGCGTCGCGGTTTGCGAAGTTTTCTTGGAGTCCTTTTTTCCTTGCATGACGAAAAACAACAGAAATGATCATCATTCACATCAGCCTCTTCTGGATGATTTTTTTGTATAACATGATAGATCATAAATAAGTAGATGAAGACAGAGCACAAGACCGTGCGTCATTTTACATTTTTCCTTTTCGTATTCGAAGATCACGGTCACACTGGGATGAAATACAAAATGTTGGCTGATGCACTTGCAGGAGCTGATCTTCCACTTCTATTTTTCATGTTTGCTTCTTCAAGCGATTCGAGCCGGATTCATCTTCCCGATCCTGCAGTGAGTCTCACGCTCACCATGAAAAAATACTAGTAATACAACGAAATAAAGGAATATTCGGTGGGTTCGGTAAACAAGTGAAAAGATTTTGGTGCTAGCGTAAGGGTAAGCCAAACACAAGAAATAGTAAATGGCATGAAGATTACCAACGACGAGCAAACTACATAAGAAATACAAATAGAACAAAAAGGCTAGAAGTTCTGTGGTGTCGGAGCCTCGACGAACAGGCTAAGAACCGTTGTTCCAAGAACATCATAGATGCCCGCCACCGCCGCCCCTACGGCCGCACTTTCTAAGCAGGACAACACGATGCCGGGTTTCCAGAGAGTGGTGATTGGGTCGGACCATGGCGGGTTCGGAATGAAGGAGCTTCTGAGAGAGCACATCAACGCCAGGACAAATGGGTCTGTAGAGGTCAAGGATGTGGGGTGCTACTCAGAAGACCGATGTGACTACCCGGACGTTGCGCAGCAGGTGCACGTATATGAGTTTTCTGTCATCAGTACTACTGAGACCATAACTCAGCACCAGCGTCAGTTTATTATGGAAGAAGTAGTAACCAGATATTCATCTCTGACGTGATAGTTTTTTCCTCGTTCTCGAGCTTGATGAACGTCGTGCATCTTGCTCACGGTGTCGCGTAACTGCACCGAGACACGACCAAAGTGAAAAATAAAAGGATATCTTCCATAACGCTTTTAGGTTGCAAAAGAGTGCTCCGTTACCGGCTCCTCTGGCGGCACCCTGGCGGTATTTGTCTGCGGCTCAGGTATAGGCATTTCAATCGCAGCGAATAAGGTTATGGGCCAGGATTGTTGCCTAGTTCACGATGTAACTACTGCAAAATACGCGCGTGAAAAGATGAACACGAAGGCAATTGCTCTCGGAGGCCGGACCACGGGAAACGACGTTGCGAAGGCAATAATGGACGTTTTTTTGGCGTCGTGACTACCTCTTAGTAGGTTGTGATCGCGCAGCGACAACACAAATAAAATAAATATGGACTTGAACAAGAATCCTTCCTGGCAGTCAATAAAAGTATGCGACTTCTTGTAGCCCGTCTGTCTCTGAAGATGTCTTCAGGGAATCGGAAATGCATCCAAAGCATCAGTCGGCAGGGCAAGCGCAAGGCTCCAAGCTGTCACCTTTGAATGTGTTGAACATCGTGTTTCTTCATTCGTAGCTAGAAGTACATTTTCGCGTAATCTACTCCGCTCATCGTTATCGTATCGAGTCGGATCTTCGGGTCGTGCGGGGTAGGTATTTTTGATTCCAGGTATCGCAACATCGCGGTTAGTATCGCTCCGAGTCCCGCTACTAGCCGCCAGCTCTAGAGCCGACGGCCCTACACTTTGATTATATTCGAGAAGTACGAGCAAGCTATATGAAGGTCTAGATCTAGTACGATGTACGTAGTAGACGGAGGTTTTTTTCAACTAACGTCGCAATATGACACAACAAGATGAAAGAACTTCACTTTGTTCGTGGTTTTTAAACACTCGTCCCTGGTAGTAAGGTGGAGCAAGAGAAAAAGATGAAACTGATAGTATGACTGGCCGGCGTGGTTTGCTTTTCTCTGATGAAGGTTTTTCTTCACCCGAAAGCGTGGAGGATTACTTGCAGGGGAACGAAAAGCAAAAGAATCAGCAGCATCATGCCGGGGAGAGCAGTAGCTCTGCCGAAAATCTTCATGGAGGTACCATCGGCGGACCGGAAGAGGAGGCCGATGAGTTTCCGGATTGGTCTTTGCAAGAGTCCTCGCCTACTTCTGAGGAAGAAGACGATGAGGACCATGAGCAGTCGCTCAGCGGCGCGTCCAGTGAAGTAGCTGTTGGTGCGGAGTTTCTGTCTCGAGATAAGACCGAGGATGGCTCTTCGTTGCGCGGAGATGAAGGACGGCATTTGGCTCCGACCCCTACAGCAGGTCCGCGCGTTGAGGATGGACCGGACAGATTGTACCAAGCAGATGAGAGGCCGAAAACGACAAGGACAAATCCATATTATCAAAATTCTTCAGACGTCGAATTTTCTGATTTTCGCTTTGCACCAGCATCGGAACTTGAGCGGCAAACACAGAATCTTGATGTTTTGGGACTGGGTGGTACAAGTACAACAGTGTCGGATAAGCATGATCCTGGTGACCATGAGCTTGAGGCAAACACAGTGCCCTTGTTCAGAATACCACCCTTACGCAGTAAGCAAAACCAAAAGTTGGGAGAACAGGGGTTGAGGTTCACCAGCGAGAACCTGTTGCAAAAGAGCGGGCCTCTCTCCTGTCAAGACGAGACGGATGGTGCGACAGGCCCTCGGGATACGGACGACGACATTCCGCACAGGGACAGAGATGAGGACGAGGACGAGGACGCTGTAAATAAAGCCAGTTCTTGTCTTGTAGAACAAAGCCGAAAGGGCTTCTTGAAAGATGAACACAACGAGGTTCAGGTTCTTGAAAGTAATTTCTCTCGAAATGGACAAGGACACGAAGACCCGGAAGTTGTGGATTGGAGTCGAAACTCCAACTCCTCCCCCGCCCCTGGCGGATCATCCACATCCCGACGCGCACTGCGAGATCCCCCCGTGGTGATGGTCGAGCGCGAGCCACCACGAAAGCAGCAGTTGCTCGAACACCAGCAGCGCTTCAACTTTATGTTCGCAACCGAGGAAAGAACCGTCAGGGATGATCCGGCTATCGGCGCAGAAGTTTTACTTTATTCACCAGCCGAACAAGACGAAGACTTTGACTTGCTCGAAGAGGAGGAGGAGGAGGAAGACAGTCCGCGCTCGCCAGTAGGGAACACTCTGCAAGTCAAAGAAAATCAGAACAAATCATCTGGTATGTTCGCTGAAGAGAATTACGGACTGCTACGCAATCAGATACTAGGAGCAGGCACCACCGGTGCGTCGGACGAGGGGGAAAAAAACAGGAACGCCAGCAACGGCGAGCTTCGGCTGAAAACCGTGTTGCAACAGGAGAAGCAGGATGACAGAACCGACGAGGACGAGGACGAACACATGCTGCAGGAGGATGCTGATACAGAGATGAAACCTGCAGCAGTCGAATTGCCCGACGAAGGGGATGTGAGGTACGCGCACGCACCGAAACAGCGCACAGTAAAACTCGTGTCGTACATTCCGGCGTCGCACGAGCTCGAGCAAGAGCAGACCTCGTTGCTTTATGCAAGGCAAATTTCCTGTACATGTACAAAATGCATGACAAATTTCGCTACCTTGCAGAGCCCAGCTTGTCATGCTGCACGAGGATTGAAGGCAAGTTTTGTAAAGCAGAAGCCACATCATTTCCATTTGTACGTGTAGGTGTACGGGAAATTTACTGTGGATATGCTTCAGCCGATGCCTATGAAGAGTGGGTTGCTCAACAACCCTCCGATCAAGTCGGATTTCCTGACGCTCCGCCGGGATTACACACACCTAACCGAGAACCTCCGGAATTTCGTGGACGGCAGTCTGCGCGTGTCCGCAAGAATGCTGGAAAACGAAACTGCAAGTGAAGAAAATCGACGTCGTGGTCTTCACACGTCAACACCCTCGGGAGCAGAGGCTGTGTCCTCCCGTCGTCCCCGAGTAAGACATGATGAGGGTAAGGTGGAGCACCGCAACCAACTAGACCACTCTCGGTCCTCTCGCGCAGCAGGAGACGCAATTATGAGCAGCAGTGTGGTCGACAGTGCACGAGATCGACACAGATTCATCACATCCAGCGCAACGGGTGCTCATCGTAGGAAGGCTAATGCCGCTAGTGCTTTCCGACACCCGCAAGCAATTGCACGCAGTCGCCAGCACGCTGAGCTAGCTGCTAGCCAACGACAGAATGCACGGGATTTGTTTCTTACGCTGGTTGAAAGTAGCTCGGTCGAGGTGTCGGCGGATGTCGAGGGTGATTTGTTAAGTGGACGGGTTCCGTCAATTCGTCATGGTGGGACCAATACGACTACAGTGCAGCCAGTGGAAGTAGATGACACATACGCCGCGTTTGCGTTGAGTCAAGCGGTGGATCCTGCAGTTGCGCGCCTCGCGACGACCCTCGACGTGAACCCGCTTGCGCACCGGGGTAGACAGCAAAAGAAACCTTTACGCATCTCCTCGATGCCAGTACGGGAGGTTCGCGCAGGGCACAGTCTCCACACTGAGATGCAGATGGCACACGAAGCGCAGGCACTCGCGAACATGCAACGGATGCGCGAGCGTGAGCAGATGCACGCAACGACGTCTCTTGAAGAAGCGACCGCCGAATTTTACGCTGCAACTGAGCAACTGGCGGACCGTCAACGCGCTTCTGCATTGCTGTTGCAGAAGCAAATCGAAGAAGAAACAGACTTCGTTGCGATAATGACAAATAAAACCCGGAGCCGGAAAGCAGCTAAGCCGCATGATGGAGATGCAAGGATTTTGTTTCCTCATGAAAACGATGAAGATCACGATGGCGTTGAAGATAGCCGCGAAGCCTGGCGACACACGAAGTTGAAAAACATGCCAGGTAGCCCCGAACTAAGTCCCCTGCAGGTGATGTCACCAGCGGGATCGCTGAGTAGCAGGTCGAGGTTGCAGGGGCAGGATCCTCATTTACTGCAGTCGTCGCCGCGGACGAGTAGGATGCCTCCGAAACTACAAGGAACAGGGCCACTCGGCGCTCCTCGCGATGCGGAATTGCAGGACACTTTGCAGGAAGCCTTTGTTATGGGACGAAATGCGAGCCGCGATCACGAACGAAACAGAAATCAAAAGTCGACGAATCCATTTTTGGCTCAGGCTCTGGCCGAAATTGCTTGGGAAGAAGAGCGCGGAAAAAAGAACAAGGCGCACCACAACTTGTTTAACTAGCAAGACGCGGGCAACCGCACCGTTGCTGTTAATTGTAGTGGATCAAGTTCAAGCCGGACAAGAACAAAAAACAAGAAGAAGAACAGAGATGAAGATGGTGATCAAGCAAGCTGGAGGAGTACGATTTGTGCTTTTAATTCATTTTGTGTTCGTCGCGTACTTCATCTTCACATGCTCGGCCTGAATTCAAGTAATCTAATTCAAATGCTTGTTGACCTGATCTCTGTCTTCGGTCGGTGATCAATCTTGTGTGCGGCCGTGCGATTCCTATGTGAAAGAAGGTGTGCAAGTGCAACTTCCTCGTCCTGGATGCCGAATCGCAATCGGTTGATGATGCTACAAGTGCGCTGTGCACCACTTTCTTTCAGCTCACCTTGACTACAACCAGTCCAGCATGGCTGTTGGATCTTCCGCTCTTGCCCTTCATGGAGGATGGGGGTGCGTCCTGGGAAGTTTCTTTGTTCTGTTGCTCCTCAGCCTCCAGGACGCCGTTGTGCGATCCGTTATGGCAGGGGCTGGCGTAGCCGGTGCTGGAGTACGAGATTCGCTAGGTGGGACCACGAAGACCAGAAAGCAGCAGGAAGAACAAGACGCGCGCCTGGGGTTCGATGTGGAGTCACCATACTACGACCTGTCCTACGCCTGCCCAAAGATCTTTCCGTTCCCCCCCTGTCGGCTGGTGATGGAGACGGTTGCGAACACCTGCAACCTGTTTTTCCACGCGACCAGGTGCAAAACCTGGTCGCAGGGCCTGGAGTTCGAGATCGACCCGCATGTGCGCGAAGTCCTCGCCTCCGTCCTTTTGCCGGACTGTCAGGATCCCTGGCGCGAGACGTGCATCACCATTGACATTGGCAGCAACGTGGGCATGTTCACGAGCTTGGCGGCCTCGCTGGGAAGCAAGGTGCTCGCGTTTGAGCCGCAAAAGGCTCTCGCGGAAGCGCTTCGCCGTACTGCGATTGTGAACGCCCCTCGGTGGGGACGGGACGCCGTCAAGGTTCTGGAAGGCTTCGCAAATATGTCGCCCTCTGCCGTTCTGGCACAGCTGGTCGAGAGGGAAAAAAATGACGCAGCAGGAAAGCCTGTCGGTGTGGAGATAAAGGACGAGAGTGAACAACTTCCAATAGAGATAGACCAGGAGGTAGAAATGTCAATGAGTGCGCTCCGGATACATGCGGAGAAAACGGCACACGTAAATTCTACCACCGTGCCGAGCCTCGACTGGCGGGAGCGGCCTTTTCGGGCTGGGCACGAGTATTGCGGACTCCGGGAGAACCAATTCCTCTTCATGAGCCGTGAGAATCGACATAGGACTGACGCGAATGTGACCCAGAACTGGTATCTGGACAGATTAATTTTTCCCAACGCGGCCGGTCAGGACGACGAGCGGCAGAAGACGAAGACTTCAGAAGCTACTTCTAGTGTTGAAGGAGAAGTACAGCGATGGCTACGGCTTTCGCGACGAATTGGAATTTCGCAAGGTGGACCTACAGCAAATCCTTCCATCGCAGGCACAAGAACTACAGCTGATAAATTCAAAGAGCCCCTAACGCTGGCACTAGTTAAGATTGATACAGACAGTCCGAAGGACGCCGAGATTTTGCGCGGCTTCCTAACGGCGGTTGAGCAAAAGCAGCTCGGAGTAAAGAACTTTCTCTTTGAGTGCGGCGACGTCAAGCCTGCAGACCTGATGCGCTTGCAACGGATGAATTACACCCTGTTCCGACTAAATGTGCACCTCGGGGTTCGCCTCCTCGACTCTGACGGCTGGGACATAGCGCACGATTACCAAAGAGGTATCATGAAAGGCAAAAGGACAACTGCACCAGGAGGTGCAGCTAGTATAGCCGCAGCCACCGCTTTAGCTACCCCTCTAGCGTCCTCGGTGGAGCGGTCTGCGTCAGGGTCAGGATCAAATCGGGTTCTGGTCGACACAGCCGATGCAGCGATATCATCCGCCGGCAGCAGCGCGTCAGCCTCTTCAACGATGTCTCGTCAACGTGCAAATTCCGAGCCGACGCCCTCTACAACTTCAACGCTCTCCTCTCTTGTGCCCAACAGCAATACGACACTCGGGTCTCTAGCGCCACAAGGCGCTCCCGCCAAGCATCACGCTTTCTACGAAGGGCTGGAAAAGCTCTTCCCGAGGATAACCGCCACCAGCTCAGGCTTTGCGGCGCCACGGATAACAGAAGAGAACTCTCTTCTCCGCGATATCATGCGCGAGTATGAGGCGAGATTTGAAATCGAGGACTTCAGCACCGCGAGGCTCACGCAGGATTTCGAGGAACTGCAAACGCAAAAAACCTACTTGGAAGATCGGGCCGCGGAGGTGCAAGCCTACATTGAGATCCTGAAGACCCACCGGAGCGCGGAAAACGACTTCTACAGTGCCGAGATCGCCCGCGCGAGCTACTTTCTGCAGGCTAAACTCTTCTACACTTACGCAAAGTGGGAGGCGGAAGAAGTGCACTTTACGTTTGGGGAAAAGATCAAAGAGTTTGGCACCGAGGTGTTTCACCAGCGCCTGATAAAAAACGCGATCCGGCTGCACAAAAACCTCTCCGCGGAGAAAATGGCAAAGGCGAAATTCCCTTGGAAAACTTTTCACTCTGGGGTGCAGTTTCTGGCCACGCTAGAAGACAAATTCGTTGAAACGCCGGTGCTGACCAAGGAACACAGCATCTCGGACCTTGGCGATTTCCAGCGAGCGGCCAAGCATCCGGGAGTGCGCTTCGTGCAAGATCTGTTCCGGCACCAGAGTTGCTGAATTACTTGGAGGTGCTGGGGCCTGGTGGAGCTAGTAGAAGAACAAGAAGAAAATGTCCCCGACCATTCGCCTTCATTCCATAGGAAAGCTGACATCCACATCGACGCCACGTGGCGGCTGGGGGGCCTTGATCCACTGAGAGTGTGTAAGTGGGTAGTTCTTGCTGGTCTGCTCTCATGGTTGTATTTTTTGGACGTTGTTTTTTACGTGGTGCAGCTACTGCTATGTAAGGACTTGCAATACCACCGCTCCCGTCCGCGTCGTCTGTGCTGGTGCATATAATATTCTCCCCGCATGGATGACCCAGTAGAAAAAGAAAGAACTGGCGTATAAGCATAAGATGCTGTTGGATCATGAAGTTCTTCAAGTTGCGCGCAATTCAAATTGTTGCTGTTTGGAATGGTGCGTTCTTTTTTGGTCTGTCGCGTTTTGTATCTTCTGTATCGTTCTGGTAGTACTCTTGCAGGTCCCAGTCCCACTGTCCTCTTCGACGTTTCCTTAATTTGTCGTCATGAAATGAAAATCCAAAAAATCGTATCGTACACGTCCATGATCGTCATTAACATCGTACCTTGAAAGCAATTCACTCTCGTCCGTCTTCACCGTGTCACGTGTTTTTAGTCATGCGTACGTTCTTGATACTGTCTGAATTACTCATGGCGATAGGCAAATACCGTTGCATTCGCTTGATCCTCCTTTCCATTTTCGTTGTTCTTGTTGTTCTCAGGCCCTCAAAATCGTGCTTAATCCATTTAATCCATTTTTGTTTTCTGTTCAGGCATAGATTGTCCATGTCCCCGTCCTCTTGCGTGGTAGTCTAGTGGTGCCCGCCACCCATCGCCAGCGTTATATTGATTTCAAATCGTATTCGTAATCGCATTTGATTTGCAAGTTGTTTCCTTTCCTTGTATACAGGACTTCGTTGCTCCTGAGCCCATATTTATATATTTGCGGTTGCTTGTGGTGGAAGAAGTTGAAGTCGAAGTCTTTCTCTTTTCTTTGGAATATCGATAATGTTGCGATCATCTCTTGCAATGAATTTGAACAAAGACGAAGTGCAGCCGCTGGCGCTTTCGTTCCTCCTGCCAAAAATTTCACCCGGGTGTCCGTATTATTTTGCTGTCGCGCTTCTCTTTCTTGCAGAACTGCCGGCATACGGGCAAGCGATTTTCCTGGTGTCTGAAAAAGCATCTCCGAATTCGTCGCGTGCTGCCCGGGGGCGACGACGTCATTATGCTCAAAAACCAACGGCGGACCGAGGAGGTCGTCGCGACGAGCTTGTTGACGGGACCATCGGTGATCGGGAGTACGAGGTTGAGCAGACGACAGGGGAAGAAAGAAGAGCAGAGAGGAGAGCTGCGGTCGTCGGCGAAAAGAATGACAATGTCAGCACGAAGTTCTCTGAAATTAAGCGGAGCGGCAGCACAGATACAAAACCAAAAGCGAGCAGCAGCAGTGCCGATGACAAGGCGAGCAAAAGGCGAGCAGGTGCTTTAGCTTTCGCATACCTGTCCTCGTCGGCTCCGGCGGGTGCTCTTGGAGCGCCAGCCTCGAAAACGAGAAAGCTCAACATGAAAATCCTGAACACGACGGCCAAAAAACAAACTCCAACTGCTTATGCCCATGCAGCTCACGGTGCGCCTACTGCGCAGCCAGAGCTGCCTGTTGCTGGTCATTCCCCGTTTCTTGCAAGTGACTACGGCACCTTCGCCGCGGGTGGGGACCGCGAGTCCTCTGGTCGCACAGGACGAGATGGCGAACAGACCAAAAAGTCGAACTTTATTCAACGAGAGCGGCGGTGGAGGAGCCAGAGGATGAAGATAGGCACGAACCAGAACAAGCAGGAACGACGAATGGAAGCTCAGAGGCAGGCCCCTAGCAACCAAGACCAAGACGACGAACCTGCTGCCGTGATGGACGCTGGCGTAGGTGAGCAGGGTGCTAGCCCTAGCCCACAGCCATCAAACACTCCGGAGCCCACAACTGCGGCACCCACAGCAACTGCGGCACCCACAACTTCCCCTGGTACTCCAACGCCCGCGTCGACCACCAGCACTGCAGCTGCGCCTGCACCTGCGCCAGCCACTCTTTCTCCAGCGCTCGTGGGAACCACCGCACCACCGGGCGTGGTCAATACCAACTCGGTAGCACTCACACCTGGTACAACTTCATCTACGTCCGAATCTTCTTCATCGACGCCCAGACCTGTTGTAGCATCGACACCTGCAGCGACGTCTGCAGGAAGAACAGTGGCTGGGCCAGAGCAGGTTGGGGACGCTTCAGCTTCTTCGACCTCTCCGCCGCCCGCAACGTCGTCGTCTACAACAGCCCCGCCTGAGCCTGTGGACTGTGTCGGAACATGGAACCGATTGCCTTCCCAGTGCGTACTTTTGTCTTATCCTAATAACGATGTGTGGAGAACGCCGTTCGGCGCAATGAAAATGACGTACGGGATACAGAGAGAAGCGGAAAACGGCGGCAAGCAGTGCCCCGTGATGGATGGCGCCGTTGACCTGTGCGTCGTGGCTGGGTCCGGTACTACTACGCCAGTGGCGGGATGCGAGTGCGTTCCGGATGTGGACTGCGAGGGCACGACGGAATGGGAGACGGAGTGCCAGGACGGCATGCGCAGCCTGGTCTGGAAAATAACGCAGCCCAACCACGGCAACGGCCGCGCATGCGTGGCCGAGGGCCGAGAAACGGAAGAAGCGTGGAACAATAAGGTAGTCGAGCGCGCGACGTGCAACGGGGACGACTGCCGTGGCAGCTGGAAGCCCTGGTCGAGGTGCCAGAACGGGAAGCGAACCCGGCAGTACAACGTCGTCTCTCCCAGGGTGAACAACGGGCAGCCGTGTCCATTCCGGGCGAACTACGAGGTAGCGGAGGCCTGTGGCACTGCGTGCTCGGGGAGGTGGCACTTCGACCACGATGCTGGCAACACCGGATTTCAAACCGCCGCGCTTTCCACCGCGCAGCGAAAACAGATCTGCGCGCTGTCGAACAACCGCAATCGATTCTCAACATTCACGCGGACCTACAGACACAGCCCGCCGGCAACGGGTGGCGGTCGCGACTGCGAAATCGAAAACAATCGCCAGGAAATTTACTTCTGCGAGGGGAACGCACCGCCACAGGTGGTTACTGGGAAGCCTCGGACTGCGAACATCGTATTACAGCAATCATCATCGGTGCTGAAAAACAATCAGACTTTGCTTGGAAATTCCTCGAGCCAACTTCTCACGAAAGGAGACCAAGCGGATGTGGACACTTCGCAAACACAGCAGAGTGCCGAGGGCTGCAGCAAACCAGCAATCTTGATTCCTCTGATGGTTGGTCTGATAGCTGTGACTTTCGTCATCGTTATTTTGTGCACCACGTGCTTCAAAGCGCCGGATGACTGTCTTCAAATGGTGTTCTGCTGTTGCGGGAAAGGGAAAAACAGAAACGTGCAGGACCAGGCTGCTGCTAAGAGTGGTCAGGCCGCAGCCGCAGCACTGGAGGCAAGCAAAGCTGCGGCAGCCGCCGGAGCATTTGGCGTTTCTTCGCATCCTTCCTCAGCCCCGGCGGGCGCGGCTGCAACAACTAGGGCCCCTGGTGTGCAGGGTTCATATGAGGTGAATTTGCAATCTTCCGGGGTCAGCTCGTCCCTGATGAATGCCTCTCTGGCGTCGATGGAACGCGGGGCAAGAAGCAGTAAGAACAAGGCCTCAACAACGGGCAAAGGCAAGGGCAAGGCGGGCAGGCGAAGATTGAAGAAGCGGGCTGGGAGTACCATGGCAGCTGGGTTGGAATCGTCGGGCGGGTCGACGTCGGGGATGTACTCCGGTCTAGATTCGTCATCGCCGGAGGAAGCTGATGGCGACACTCTTCGCGCCGGCGGGTCAACTTTCATTCAGGCGCGCTCGCCGGTTTCGCGCACTGGTGCAGCGCCGGCGCCGACTAGCTCCTTCCTCAAGGACGAGGTCAGCACCGCAAAGTGGGAGGCAGACGGCCAGTCGAGCTTGATGATGGGGGGTAACAAGAGAGTGCAATCACACCAGCAGAGCAGCGCCCCAGAGTTTCTTGCTGTAGATAGCAGCGCGATGTCATTCGAACAAAAAAATCACACTGGAAAAATCTTGGGATTGGCAGCGGCGCCTTCGGGTGCATCCTCGTTCTCCCGCTCTTCCTCGCGCAGTAGAAAACTGCAAAAAAGTAGTGGGCCGCGCGCCAAGCCTCCATCCACCTCCGTGGCAGGTACCGGAAAGATGAGGATCCCGATCCCCGAACCTGCAAAGGGAGCGGGTGGGAGGTAAGCTCCTACGTCACCGCCACAAAAGTATACTCCCCGCCCTTAAAGAACACAAAAATAAAACAAGATGCTCCCCCTTTTTACCCAAGAAACCCCATTGCATGCCTGTTATTTTGATGCTGTACAACAAGAAAAGCAGAAGCACAGTATCAGAATCAGTACACGAAGGTCGCTTTTGTCGATGTCTAGCTCTAGTCCATTGTTGAGGAACAGGTAGAACATCCAACCTGGACTACGACTACTCGCATTTCCCCCAAGAATAAGACACCTAGCCATGCACATTCGGAAGTAGAAAAACGATGAGCACAAGCTCTGTACGTATGAATGTACAACTAGTTGTACTCGTGAAGATGTTCTTTGTTTGATTTTTTTGCTCGGCAGCAGCAGGTCTCTTTGTCGCGTGAGGGACAAAAAGAAAAGAATGCTTCTTGAGTCCATCTTCGTGATCTTTGCTAAAGGCAAAAGCAAATGTTCGCTTCGTTCATCATCATCATCATCATCATCATCATCACATTCCATAAGTAGTTCGTGAAGTAGACTTGCCTCCATGATCTGACCTCCTTCTAACAAGCCGATCCCCATCCAAATTTTACTTCCAAAATAGCACCAGCTCCGTTTTTCTTCAAACAAATGGAAATGACGTTTCCGTGGTGTTCTTGCTTGCAAAAGAAGCCAAAATTACACGACACATCACAAATGGAATGCTTTCAAATTTTTACAGCGACAGCAGCGACAACTATTCTTGATCTTGTATTTGTATCAAGAATAAAGAACTTTTTTATTCATTTCATTTTGGTTTTGTACATGGATGAGTAGGACCGCTACGCCCCGTAATTATGAATAATTGAGCATAGTCTTGTCCTACGTCTCAAAATAGCACCTTTCAACGATATTACTATGGCTGTTGCCCTTGTTCTGGCGACAAAATGAAGGGCCAAGGAAAGTGGAGCGATGGAGCGAACGGCTGGGGCAACAGCAGCTATAGCTCCGACTACAATTACGATTATGGGTCCAGTGGTTGGTATGGGTCCAGCGACGACTACAGCTATCATGGCGACAACTCGTGGCACCACGACGACGCATCCTCAGCGACGTCCTGGTACACGGGATCGGGCGCTACCGCGTCGTCCAGCAGCGCGTCGTATCAAGGTAGGACTCCAGCAGCACAGCCCGCAAAGCAGCGCAAACCGCGCATTGAGTATCCCTCGACCGCCTTTATGCAATACCCGTCCACGAGGCAAGCCTTTTTTGACACCTTGGCTTCAGCGCTCCAGAACATGGGAGCAGGACCGGCTTCCGGAAGTAGGCTGGGAATAGGGCCTGGGCAAGCCGGCGGTACCGCGGCAGCCACGAAAGACGACGATTTGCTCGGCGGACCACCCGGCGGAGATGGCGTAGACGCCGGAACTGCTGCTGCGATGGGCGAAACGAAAGACGTCCGCGTCTTGTCGGAGAAAGGTACAGCAGTTGCTTTGCTGTTCTGGTGAATTTGGTCCTCTACTTCACCTTGCGGTTTTTTCTGCTCTTTTTGTGTTTCTTTGCATAAATGGTACGTTTATGTCGACGGGATGATGATGAAGCTTCGTGATGTTCATGCTTGCGGCTTGCTTTTACTATATAGTAACTATATATATTGCTGATTCTGATTTTGTATGTTCGACTCGAAACTTGATCCCGACTTCCTACCCCGCATTGCTCGATCTCATCAGGCAAGGAGAAGATGCGGCAGGCGATCTCGTCTGCAACGAGCATTGACGAACTCAGCGAACTCGACGACGCCCTGAACACCGGCGACATTGACCAGGTGCTGATTGACCGTTTAGGATTGACTGCGAGCGACTTTGAAGACGACGAGAGTGGTACCGAGGAGGAGGACGACGAGCAGGACGAGGAACAAACCGCGGCTGGTGGCAATGCGACGAAGAGAAAAGCCGACGGATCATCTCCGATCGCCGCTGGTGCCATCGACCAGGACCCGGAAGTTGCGCTTTCCGCGGTCGCAATGGCGAAAGTCAAGAAGGCGATCGACACAGTGGAAACCCTCGAAGACCTCGACGCTCTGGAACAGGCTCTGAACACCGGAAAGATCGACCGGCTGATCGCTGAGAGACTGCGCATCGTCGTTTCCGAGAAGGATGTACCGAAGAAAGCAGACACTGTTCCTGCACCTGCTAAGAGTAAAAATTCCAAGGACAATAAACGGCAAGAAGCCGAAAATGTTAGCCCAACCGCGGCCCTCGCGGGCGCCGCGGCAGACGAAATCCTGCGCAACAGCAACATAAAAGGAACAGCAGCTGCTCCTGCAGGTAGCTCCTCGCCGAAAGACAAAGGAGCAGAGGCCGCAGAGTTTGTGCCGCCGCAGAACGACAACAATGCGCTCCCCGCCGTAGACAATATCATGAACTTGTTTCACCGGAAGAAAAACAACTCCGGAGACGGCGATGAAGAACTTTTGGAGGATGCGGAGGACGAATGGGTGCCTGAAACCGGAGCGAGCCGTGGCGACCAGCACGATGATCCGGATGAGTACGACCCGTTTCAGGAAGAGGATCCTTATGAGGATGAATTCGAGGACGTCGATGAGTACGACGTCAGTCCCAAGACGCTGGAGCAGCGCGCACTAGCCGGGCTGCTGAAGAACGTCGGAACTGCTGGCGGTAGCAAAAAGGACGCGAGAATAAACGATGCCAAATCTTCTGTTTCACCGACGAACAGGACAGGTACTGTGGGGGAAACAATGGCGCGAGCGGCTGCAGGCACAGGAGCAGAACAACAGGTGCTCCCTAGTACTGTAAAGCGCGGCAACTCCGCACCAAAGAAGACGTCAACGTCTGGAGGAGATATCGCACCGGCAAAAGAGCTAGGAAACATACCAGCGAGGGGCGAAAGCCTCGAGCTTGCCGATCTCGAAGAGGACGTGGCGTCAACCAAGTTGCCGCCGCCGCCGCGACCCGCAAAAATAAAAGTCGAAACCATTACAATTCCGTCTGGAGAGAACACTGCCGATCTCGCACAGAACGCCGTTCCTGATTTAGGGCTCGGTCTCCGGGATCTGGGCACAGGTACGACGTCCTCTTTAAAGCGCACCGGCCAGCGAGATTTAGATCTTCGCGGCGCTGAGAGCAGCATTGCAAGTGGATCCGCTTCGGGTGTGGTCGAGCCGCGCGAGCAATCTGATGCGAAACGACAAAAAACAGACACAGCGACGTCTTTATCGCCTCCTCCTGCTGCACCAGCGGCCCGAAAAAAACCCATGCGCGACAACGCCTTTTGGCGCAGCTGGACGAGCCTGATGCGACGGACACGCAAACACGCGAACTTCCAAAAGTTTGTGTCGCCACCGTGGCGTTACCCGCTTCCGCGCGGCTGGAAGCGCGCGGAGGAGCCCATCATTCTGCAGGGGGGAGGTCTGGAGCGGTGTCGCATACTCGCCATCCAGACGACCACGATTTACGTCGGCGACCTGGAGGTCGGGTTCGACCCCCGTCATCTCGCCCGCGTCACGCTCGTGGAAATGGCCGACAGCAGCGGGGGCCGCATAGAGGAGGGAGACCACGCCAGCAACGGCAAAGTCGTCCTGGACATCCTGGTGAAACCAGAGCTGCCCGTTTTGGACCTGCGCACCCACGAGACGGGGCTGACCAAGGAAAAGCTGCAGGAGCACGGCGTGTCCTGGAAGCAGGCGAGGAAGCAGGTTTCGGATGTACTCGCCGAGGAGCAAACCATCCTTGTTGGGCACTGCCTGCACCACGCGTCCCTGGCCCTGCGCTTGTGCTTCAGCATCTACCTCGTGGACACCGCGTTGCTGTTTGAAGTGTACGAGAAGAAGCACCAGTTTCACACCGTGCGCGCGCTCGCCGAGATGATGCTGGCGGAGAAGCCGGATCCGGCCAGTTGGGAGGAATTCCACATCGATCCCATTGCCCGGTGCCGATACATGCTTTCTATCGCGGGCAAGGAGGCCTTCCGGTTCCGTCGCACCTACGACCTCTTCGTCAGCGAGGCAGAAGAAAAAGTGGCGAGAAAGCTGAAGAAGCCGCCGCTGCCGCCAACCGTGGTTGCGGAGCAAGATACCTTAAATCAGACCACGTCGACAACGCAGAGCCCCAACATGCCAGACCTTACGCCCCTCGCATTTCCGATGAAGACCTACCCCCTGCTGCTGAAAGTGCAGCACATATCGCGCGACTTTCGCCGGGGGAACACAAAGCGGAACGCCGCCACCCAGGCGGTCTTGAAGGCCTTCGCGCCGAAGGAGATAGAAATGGGACCGCTGGTCTGGAAGTTGAACGAGCAAGACCCGTCTGACTGGCGCGGCGAGTGCTTTGTCAAGTTTGAAACCAAAAAGGATCGGGACGACGCGTATTGATGTGTTTAAGTTGTTCGATATGAATCATATGGATGTGTATGATCTGATCTTGTAGCAGAATAACTACGTTGACACTGATCGCATTTCATTTGCACGAAGTTAATAAATTTCATCATCTGCAAAATCAATGCAATTTTTGTGCCTCTTTCTACTCTTTACTGGTAGTGCCATTTGGATTTGGCTTGTCTCTACAAGAACAAGCTCAAAGATAAACAAGGAAGACCAACAAGGCGATTTTTTCTTGTTTCCTAGTACAATCGTCCTCGTCCGTTTTTCTTTTGCGTCGAATCGAAAACATCAAAAAAATCAGGTTTGACATCCTGTCCGCGACGACCGACGTCTTTTTGGATTGGAAGCAGCGCCGTGATGACAAAGGGAAGGGCAAGAAGGCAGCCAATAATTCTCCGCTAGACAACATACGGCTATCGGAACTCCTGTCAGAGCGGGAAGTGATCAATAGCTTCTCTCTGTATGGCGTGGTGATCGGCGCGCGGCTACCCCGGCACAACTACACTAATGAGGTGTTGGACTTCGGGTTCGTCTCCTTTCTCCACAAACAGCACGCCTTGAACGCCGTCGAAGAGGGGACATGTCCACTGAAGATTACGCAAAACTTCTCGGTGCCGTGCCGCGCGAAGATGGCAAAAAACGCCGAGAACGACAAGCGAGTGCCCGTACCGCTCGACGTGCTTCACAAGGACGCGTTCGATAACAAACTCGTTTTCGAAGGCCTTGTTGACTGGCTTCACGTGACGCGAAGGTGAGGAGGTGGTTGAAAGACTGTTCGTCAAACTGGCTCGCAGTGTCGCGGGCGGCAGCAGAATGAGCCGCCGGCACGTGGTGCTGGTGCTGATGGGAGTCTCCTTGTTGAATAAAAGCGATCGCAAGCACACGATTGATTTTCATTTTCCTAACGACGCATACTCCAATAGCAATATCTGCCTTGAATCGACGGCGCGATCGACTTTGTATAAAGATTACAACCTCCAACATGAAGATATATAATTCATGGGGCACTGTAGTGCAAGTGCTGAGATGGTACCCTTCGGCTTGTTCATCTTTCGCTTTCCAGCGGACGAATACGATCACAACGACATCACGACGAAACGGAAGATGACAAAAGGTAGAATGCTTGGGTCAAAGTTGAACAAAAAATAAAAAAATTTGAACGAAAACGCGTGGATCACATTGTTTTTTGCGAGCATAGGTCGACTTGAGACCACACAGGGAGCTCGATCGATTGTCATGCTTCTGTGTTTTTTGTTACTGCAAAAGGAAAACGAAGTAGTTGTACACTGGAGGGTATCCCCCCCGGACGTCGCCGAGTCCGAGGCCGTGTCAATATCATGTCATTAAGTACCTACAAGAAACAAATGTCGAGTCTACTTCTTTCACCACAACTGAGTAACAAGTCTAAGTCACGGACACACGACACACGCATAAATTGACATGTGAATCAGGTCATGATTCAAACGCATAAATTGACATCTGAACCATGTCACTCATGATGAGACCGTAGTACCAAGAAATCAACAAGAAGAAGAACGATGTCGGAGCACGTCACAACATCTTCTGATCATGGTTATGAAGAAGACAAGGATATTAATATTTAAATTGATGGCAGGCCAAGCATCGTGTTGGGAGCTACAAATGCCCAACTAAATTTTGTTGCCCCCACCGCGACGGACCGCGCGAAGCAGTTACTTAGATAAATATATCAAATTCAAAATCATGTGGAAAATCAAGCGCAAAAAACGCGTCAACTTGTGGGCGCCTTGTGTTTTGTCGTTTTTGTGTCCTCGTTGTGCTCCTGAGCTCGTCGAGTTCGTGTTCCCTTCCAATATAAGGGAAGGCAACAAAGAGCACTCCTATGGAGGAGTTGTCGTGCGCGCCGAGGACAGTAATGCGTGGCTTTCCTCTTTGGCGCCTTTGTTCACCGAGACGAGTGGCGACGACGACCTCGATGACGAAGATGTTTTGCGGGCAGAGGTAGAGCAGAAACAGAAGGAAGAGACAACTACAACAAAGTCCGCTTCACACCAGGACGTATGCTCTGGCGCACCCGATGATGGAACTTGCTTGGATTTTTCTAGAATTTTCAGGAAAGAAGAAACAAATGCGAAACGAAATGCCTGCTGGAGGGCCGTCGATGATGGGAGCACTTGGGGCCAAGCGCAAGCGCTCCCATCATCGACCCAAGCGCTTGATGGGGCCCAAGCGAAATCAAATTCCCGCTCAGGTGGGCGGGAACAGTAGAAGAGCCTTCAGCATGTGAGTTGCATTTTCTTCAGGGGGGTGGTCGGGGGGAAGGGCATCTCTCGGCTTTGGATTTCAGCGGGAAAGTGTGGAGCTGGATTTGGAAGGATTTGGCAAAGTCTGGAACTTTCCTGCTCCCGATGCCGATCGATAGCTGTTGCATGAAAATTGTTCCAATTCCGGATACTAGGCATTTTTCCAGCTTTCCCCTCTCGAGTTCATTTCTGCCGAAAGCATGTTGCCAACATTTTTTCAGGTAGAATGCCAAACAGAGTCCAGTCGACCTGCCAGCGCACCCGTGAGCCTGATGGTTTCAAACTATCAATGAAGCTTGCGCTCGCCTTGTGTATATTTTTTATATCGTGAAATTTGTTTTGCGCTTTTTCGACAGGTTGGCTATGCTACGCCTGAGAGAGTAGAACAATCTCAATCTTCCGCGGCGGTGTTGTAGTATTGTTCGTCTGCCCTGCTGCTGCTCACTAACAAAACAGCACACCTTTTGCGATCTCGAAAATTTTCAATAAAAATGAAACTTCTGAAAAATCCAACAACTAACTTCCTTACTTCATCGGGCACGCCACGGCGAGAGGCGGCACAGTCGTTCTCTTCATCTTCTTCGAACGCCTACAGCCGCAAGAGGAAGCAGGAGAGGCAGACGAAACACAAATCGGCGGGGACAAAGAAGCATCAGAAGCCCGCTCCAACAAATAAAATACCCGACGAGCACGAGCAGCGCTCCACGACTTTGGCCGACCTTGGCAGCGACGACGATTTTAGTGCAGCACTGTTAGACGTCTTTGAAGGCGGTGAACAAGCTACCAGGAGCGCGCGTCCCGACGTTGTACCTAGGGGCACAAACCCTGCGGGGAATGATGAGAGTACTACTTTTGTTGATGTCGAGCTGGGCCGCGTGCACGACACGGGGACAAGAAGATCAAGAACGACAACAACGGAGAATGCGGGCACGGCAGACGTAGGGAAGAAAAAAGATGGCGTACGCGTAGTAGAGGCAGGGCCGCGAACTGAAGCTAAAAATCTTGATGAAGATGAACGCACGAGCGATTACGATCCAGCGTCCTCCAGCACCTCAGAAACATCCACGTCCGCTTCGCCGCCCACAGCAAGCGAACGCACTCGCAAGTCGTCAACATCAAAGAATAACAAGCGCGACCATGATAGTACGTGGTCAGTGCTAGGAACTGGGCCTGCAGCACCTCTTGCCGTGAAGACTGTGGGACGCAGCAGGAGCACCAGCGCCACTGCTGGAACAGGAGCGACGACGAAAGCGAAAGCTTCCAGCGGTGCGGACGAAAAAGTGCCAGTAGCTTCCAAAACTCAACACGAACATGTTGGTGCGGAATCGAAATCCTCGGCCAGCAGCAACCTGCAAGTTCTTGCTCCTCAACCAAGCGACGTCAAACACCAAGAACAGGCACACATCAAAGGAAAAGCAAAAGAAAAGTCACGATCAAGATCACGCAAGCACAGTTTATCATCTGAGTTGCAGATCGAGCAGCAAGAAAATTTGCGGCCTGGAGGGAAGCCGAATCAGGGGGGCGACCGCAGGGCTGATGAGAATCAAAGTGAAAAGGGTGTAAAGGAAAACGAAATCGAGATCGACGTGGCTGATAATGGTCAAAAGACTCCCAGCCCGTCGCCGAGCGAGTATAACTCCCCGTCAGGAGGAGATTCGGACGCGGAAAAGCTCGAGAAAGCGGAGGAAGAGATCACTCAACTGAAGAACGCGCACGCGAGGGAGCTAAAAAGGATTTACGACGAGCAAAAAGTAGACCAGTCCGACTCTGCATCTACTTTGGGCGGCGCGTGCGGTTCCAAGAACCCAGCAGTCAAGTTCGACCCTGACACTGGCGATGTGAATGAAGGCCAGTGCCAGCCGCCGAGTAGGGATTACGAGTCGTATGCGCAAGACGTCGAAACGACGCTCACGAGCGGTGCGAACACAGCGATCAAGGCTTTGGAGACGATGGAGACTTTGATGCGTCAATTTACACACTTTCACGATCAGCTCGTCGAGGAGGAAAGGAAAGCGCGACTTGACATGTTGAACCCGAGAGACGAAAAGCAGTCGACCCATGCAGCAGCCGTCTCTGCGCGCGAACAAATCACGAGAATGCGACAGACGCTGATTTTTGAGCCGGAGTTGCCTCTTATGCCAGACGAGGATAATCCGGCGAGCGTCATGCTCGAAGTGCTTTCGGGCACGGAAGAGCTGCCGCAACCTGCGCTGCTGCCCGGCGGCTTTGAAAAAAACATCTATAACGTTGACGAAGAAATAGAAAGTGAGAGTCGGAGTGATCGGCGGTGGAAAGCCGAAAACCGGCGAAAAGAAAGCCAAAGCTTCGCTTCTTCTGGTAAAGATATAAAAGAAGAAGAAGTAGATGAACAAGGAACTACAGGAGAAAGACGCGAGAAGCAGGAGATCTCTACGGCGCCATCTTCCGCGATAGAAGCCTACCTAGCTGCCAACCCATCATCGTGGTCACCCACAGCTTCGCGACTCGGCCGCGGCCTGCTCGGGGTCGCGTCACCAGGTTTTCATAGTATGACGGCGCAAAATCCAGGATCCATGCTTTACCACACCGTCGACAGCGTTTTGGCCGGTATGAAAAATGGAAAGAGCAGGCAGAAAGCAGCAAAACCAGAAGGATTTGATGAAGACGCATCTTCAAAGATGGCAGCCCCCGTGGCTGTTGTGGTCGCCGACTATCCTCCGCTACTTGGCGACCGAAGCGCGGAAGTCGACGAGCAGTACGCGCGCATCAACGCATTTCTGTACGAGGAGCATCTACGATTGACACTTTTGGAAAACGAAAAGATTTCGCAGGCTACGACTGCCGCGACGACTATTGATAGTAGTCGAGGACAAGAAGCGGAAGTGCTTCCAACAACCGTCCGCAAAAATCTTGAGGATTTACTCAACGGAGGGAAACCTCATGGCTCCTTCAGCGGGCAGATTTTGGCTACGCGAGAACTTGAACTACTTATTGCGCAACACGCGTCGCAGGACCATGAGTCAGGTCAACAAGTACAACGTGTCCACGAGCAAAACGACAGCGTGGAGTATTTGATGCTGACGCAGTTAGTGAAAGACCTTCAATCGCGAGAAACACAGCTGGAGCAGCTTTTCCGAGGACAGATGGAGGAAGTAGGAGGGACTACGACAGCCGAAGCGGAGGCGCCACCGTCACAAACAATAAAGATAAAGCAGGAATTGCTTTTGTGGCTGCGTGGCGCCGATGACGTGCATAACACAGGGGACACAAGGCGAGAACAGGGGCAAGGAGGAGTACTACAAATGGTGCGGCACCAGTGGCGTCGGCTTCGTGGAACTGGAGCAAGTTCCGTCAGACGCGGTGCTGGCTTCGTGCAATCGTTGAGGAACATTCTTCAAGAAGTTGCGAAGACTTTCTTGGTTATCTCCGAGTTGACGGACGTTTTCATTCCAGATGCCCTCTGTAGCGAAGCCGAAGAGGAGGACAGTCGCGAGGTTGTCGCGGCCTTTGCTCTGCAACTCGACCAGCACGTGCACGCACATGATGCCTTGCAACGCCAAGGCCAACACGTTGGTCCGTCCCCTGCTCTACTGTGGAAGCCGCAGTTCGACTACAACAATTGTCAAGCTCCACCTCAAGCCGCAGCACGCACCAATGGCAATGAAGGTGAAGTAGTAGAGAGGACAACTAGCAGCTCCATCTCCTCCTCGCTCTCGAGCTCTTCTTTTATTGAGAAGTCTTCGGCATGGGCATACACGTCCGTTACACGCAGCGACGGCGTAATAGCACACAAAAAGTTGATTTTCGACTTCACCTTTGGCGAACTGAAGCGATTTGAAGAGCCGGAGCTTGTACCCAAGGCAGCGGAGCTCGTTTTGACACAGATTAAAGCGCTCAGACAAAAAATAAAGGAAAGGGCGAAGCCTCTGAAAGAAGATTTGAAGAGAAAAGGTTTCAGTTTGGATGATATGACGGACCTCATGTATGCCGTGCTTGAGGTATTTCTGCAGGCGCTCGAAGCCCAGTACACCAGCGAGAAGACCGAGGGCACGACGACAGAGAAACTTCTAGATCGCATTGCGTCGGCGTTTTGGAACCGATATGGCAAAAAAGCGACAGCAAAGGGCGCGGAAATAGCTGTCACGGGTGTAATCAATCTACCACTGCAGATTTTCAATCGTATCTTTTCTCCGCTGCTAGAAGTAGTCGAAGCAGGCGAGAACAAAGAGGCTACACCTTCAACACCTCCACAAGAGCAAGAGCAGGCAGTATCTCGAGCAGTGGGAATGGCAGCAATTGTGCGCGAGACGCTTCTGCACCATTTCCTGTCAGCTAAGCAACGCTTTGCAATACTCGAGCAGGAAGCCATTGCCAAGGTAGCTGGAATAGCTTTGCCTTTGGCCGCTCTTCCCTCTCAAGTGGTAGCGAAGGCGCAGAGAGACGCCAAACTTGCAGTTGGTCACGTGCTCCTCGAGAGCTGGGCAAGGGAAGCGGGAAGACACGTTGGAGGAGGGCTTAAAAGCATCGCTGAGTCCAACTTTGTAGCCTGGAATGTCGAATTTTGGGGTATGGTAGGTGGATTGATGGAGCAGTACCTCCCGCAGTTCTTGCCCGCGTATCTGCTGCACGGCAGCCAACTGATGCACGTTACTCATCCGGTTCAGATAGGGAACCTAATTTTCGAGAAATGGAAGCAGTTGGCGACAGCGCAGGGTAAAAACGATGCTTCCTATCGCTTTCCCGGAGTACGTGTTCCTTCCGAGGACCGCAACTATCCCGGTCATCATCTCTTGACTTGGGCACAGTTCATAGCGACGATTCGTGAGATGGCTCCCAGAGCCGGCAGCAACGGCGGTGCACAGCAGAAAATGATACTCGGTATGCTTTCTGGAGAGCTGCGCCCAATCACAGAAGTGCGGCCCTCGCGCAGCCTCATCCCGAGCTCTGCTAACATTAACAAGTACGCTGGTAAACTCATCGCCGGAGTTTCGAGTCGCTTTTCCAGGAGTACTCGCAGTGGCAATCCGCCGTCGCCGAAAGCAGGGGGGGAGCAGCAGTCCACCCTGGGGGAGCAGCAGCCGTCCCCGAGGGAGCAGCCGCCCCCGGAGCTCCTCGCCTCACCCATTACGTCCGGCACGTGGTTCATGCAGCTGTTCAAGGAACAACTGGAAATTGTATCAGCGCAGATCCGCAAGGACAAGGAGAACCGGGATCCTGCGACACCTCCAGCGGCAGCGCAGGATGTAGATGTTCAAGATGTCGCCTCGAATACAGATGTGTCAAGAATATGGCATGAAAGATGCGAGGAATACATCACACAAGGTCCCCCGAGGCCAGAGCGATGCCGTACGTTGGCACTTTTTGTTCGCGCCAAGTAGTTGTACTAGCCATGGTGTACCAAAAATTCATCAATGCCACTCGGAGATGAAGAAAGCTCGTAAAGAGAACACTTGATGATCTTTCAAACTCGCCACCAAACCTGGGGAAGCAAGCATCTCTCTGGTTTCCACGGGCGGGGTTTTCTTGTTCATAAGCAGCAGCGTTTATTTATGACGCACTGTCGCGGTGGTGGACCCATAACGTTTTCGACCAGGAAGAAGAAGTGAAAAAGCCGATCGCCGAAGTCGACCAAACGGAAACTACTACGCCGGTCACGAACTTCTACAAGTCGTCTTCAATGCTCGTTAGAATACCGGCAACGAAAAAATACAGTGCAAGTGCTGCGGGATCGCGAGGAGCGCAGTCTTCCGAGAACAAAAATGGCGAAAGGTGGGGCCTTCTCACCGAAAGTGCCACGCCACACCGTGCGCGTGAGGGAATAACAGCGTATGAGCTGATAGATGCGCACGACGCTGCAGATCTCTTCGCCAAGGTCATACTTTTACTCTTTGTTGATGCGACAGAGGAGAACCTCAAAACCTTCAACCTCGAGCGTCTTGAAGTCGAAGGAGATACCGCTTAGCTACAAACACAGGAATCGACGGTCATTCGTGAGGAGAACGCGAGGTGGTAGGAATGGGATATCAGCTGGCTTCTCCTGTCGTGATCGAGGCACTGCATGACTATATTTTTCCCCGAACGAGTACGAGAAGTAGAAAAAAAGATGTTGAAAACGAGGCGAATTCAGTGCAACACAGGGAACATGGATGCAAAACAAGGCCACAGTGGCAGTTCTTGTTTATTTACATGTCTACCGAAAAAGTGAACCGTGAACGAAGCAAGGTTGTTCAGAGGGTTGAACGCGAAAGCGTATTAAGGGCTGACCTGCTCTGACGAAGATGATCAAGACTCTCAATAATTGTGCTCAAATGGAGAATAAACACAAACGCAAACATAAGGAAAGATCTTGCCTCTGTACCTGGCGAGGACGAAGTAGAAGTCTTGGCATTTTTATTGGTGATCCCGCAGCTATCCCTATCGATTTGATACCTTGCAGCTTTCAAGAGTGTGATAGACATAGATCACCTTTTTGGTACTAGACCTGCGCTTTGCATATCACAGCGATCTTCCCACTCCCATTCTGACTGTCCCTCCAGAAGATCAAGCTTCATAGATAACGGAGTTCTTTCACCGTTGGCATTGCATATGCATTGCGGCTTATTGTTGTTCTTGTTTTTTTTTCCATTTTTTCCCATTTTTCTCGAACTTCCTGGAATACCCAAACTATATCTCAGTTCTTCCACAACTTTGTTCGAATTGATCTGCGATCATTCTCAGTTTTTGTAAATAAAATCATATATCATTCATTGCCACCGTGCTCCCTCCTGAAAATCAAAATGTCGATCGATCCGAAGAAAGTTGCCGAGCTGAAAGCCTTTGTTGGCGTGTTGGAAAAGCAGCCGGCTCTGTTGCACCTGCCCGAACTCGAGTTTTTCAAGACCTATTTGACCAAGCTAGGTGCGACTTTGCCAGAAAAAGCGGAGCCGAAAGATGCGGGATGTGGAGGAGGTAACTGATTGGCTCCAGCAAACCTGCTAGGCTGCTGCTGTCGGCGGGTTTTATCTATCACGTATCGAAGAAAAAAAGTGTTACTGTTACACATTGCAAGAAAAAAACCGAATATTTTCATGCGTTCAGTAAGAATTTTTTTGGCACGCAGGTCTGCGAAAACTTCGTTTCTGATGAATGACGCAGACATGACGGATGCAGCCAGCCATCGGCCCCCTCAGTTACGTCCTACACTAGCTAGCTGAGGGCGCGCCTATTTTGGCGCTCCGCTCCCAATGGCTGGCCCGGAATGCGGTTCGCTGGCCTTTTGTTTCCTGGCCCCATCCCGTGACAACATGAAGCAGAGAATACAGATGGAAGGGGACTCGGTCACAAGAGTGGCAAACCGCCTCCGGGTGAACATTGGCAGGGTTTTGGTAGCCCTGTAGCACGGGTGTTTCGCTATCAAGCATGCGCGGCTTGACTTGTAGGCGAGATATTTTGTCAGACACCCACGGAAGAGCCTGCGCCCGCAGGATCCCTGAAATTCAATCACGGACGTGGGGGCAGCTTCTTTTGCGTGGTGTGCAAACTTGACGCAGAGCCTCTAGCTGAAGGCTCGCGCTTTCGCGTGTTTGCTTTCAGTCGAGGTGTTACACATTTGGAAAAAAAGCGGCAATCTCTTGCGCAAAATCACCCACATTTTGACCCTCCCTTGAGGGCTGACCAATGTTACACTTTTTGGTGTGTAACACAGCAGTTTTTTTGCGAACCCCCATGGCACTCTGCGATTTACTGTGTTACACATTTCAAACAGTATCAAGATTCCGCTCGGGGAGAAAAGTCTCGAAGTTGGATTCCGCCCGGTGAAAAAAGTGTTACATATCGAAAAAAAAGTGATACAGTTGCTATTTTTTCTGGCCTTGCTTTGACCCCTCAAAAAAATGCAGTGTGTATCACTTTTTTTTGCAATCCGGGTGGAAAGTTGGCTTTCGGGACAGGGCGTCGATTTCACCAGGAAAGGGCAAATTACGTAGAGCCATCATGGCCACGATGGGAAGGAAAAGGCTGGCACTGCAAAAGCGCCCGCTCGTCGCGTCAAATGCCAGCGAGCGCTGTTCTGCAATTTTCGCTCCCGCGCGTGTCGCCGTTGCGCAAGTCAGGCTGGAGGCGTCAAAAACGGTCGCTGCGGTTCGTCAGGTTTGCGACTAAGTGAAACAGCAGGCATTGTCCCTCACAAGGTCGAAAGCATCGCTTTGACCTTGGCCCGCTCTATTGTTTCGCTGAGACATTCTGCCGCCGCCCGGTCTATCAGTCACTGGAGTTCTCAATCAGGTCCGCGACATGTAGCAGCTTGCCTTCTTAGCTATTCCAGTGAACTGAAGCAGCCGCAGCTACGTGGCGGCCTTCTTTTTCCCTGACACGAAAGTGAAAACGCAATAGGCGTGACAGGTAGCCGCGGCTCGAAAAAAGTTCTAGCCTGCCCTTGAAAAAATGCGCTATTTTCGATGTCGTGTGTAACTGTAACACTTTTTTCCTTCGATATCACGCTTAGTGTAGTTAGTGTAGAGATTCATTAGGTTCAATCATCTTGCTTTCTGTACCATGAACATGATACGTTCTGGCCGCGCCACGACGACGTTGGTCTTGATCTATCACGAAATATCCGCATACAATCAAGGTTCCTGTTGTCCGCCGCCGAAGTATGAACCGGAGCCAAGGAAAAAGTCGGAAGATCCCGTGGTCGAAGAGGAATCCGATGAGGAAGAGGACATCGCCGACCCGACGTCCGATGGGGAAGACGATCCCCAGCGGCTGCAGGAAGAGACCGTCGCGCTGCCGGCGATGGGCCCCGACGGCGAGAAGGAACTTACCGACGCAGAAATGGACAAGCAGGGCGATCTGAAGCAGGAGGCCCAGGAATCGCTGGAAGATGGAGACTTGGACAAGGCGGTATGACTTCTAGGCGCATTTTTCTTTATGCAATTACAACTGTGTGGTTGTTTTTTCGTCCATCACCATTTGTCAAATGTGGTCACATCATGCCGCAAACGCAGTTTTCGTAGAAGACACAATCTCAATCATAACGCATGAAACTACAGATCACCACCTTTACGGAAGCAATTCTGATCGGAAACGCCTCGGCGATGATGTATGCCAAGCGAGCGGACATGCTGCTGAAAGCCAAGCGACCAAAGGCTGCCATCCAGGACGCCTGCAAGGCCCTGGAGCTGAATCCGGACTCCGCCAAGGCGTACCGCATTCGTGGTCTGGCCGAGCGCCGGTTGCACCAGTGGGACAAAGCCCATGCTGATCTGGAGACCGCACAGAAGTTGGATTTCGACGATTCCGTGGAGGAGGCACAGAAACTCGTGGCGGCCAAGTGGAAAAAATACGAACAGGTACACTCTAGGCCATGACTGAGCATTTTGTTCAACTACGAGCGGAATGCTATTGGAAATGGAATTACGATTACCTGCTACGTTGATGATCATTTCTGTTTCTTCTTCTTGTGTTTTTTGCTGATATGCCAGCCATCATAGAACGGAATTCATTGGCGATAGGCACGAAGCGGAAACAAGCTGCTTCTGCATTTCAATATTTCTCTGACGAACGATGATGCACATGATCTATATGAAATTTATGTCGACGATCAACATCCACTGACAAGGTCCGCGTCGCGCAGCGCCTCCAAAAGGAGCGCAAAGCCCAGAAGGAGAAAGAAAAGGCGATCAAGAAGCGTCGTGAAGAGATCCGCAAAGCCCAGGAGGCACAGAAGAAGCGGGAAGAGGAGGAAGCGAAGGACAGCATGCCGGGCGGATTCCCAGGGGGCATGCCCGGTGGCTTCCCCGGCGGAATGCCAGGCGGCATGGGCGGAATGCCAGGCGGTATGGGCGGCATGGGTGGTATGCCCGGTATGGGAGGCATGGGAGGAATGCCGGGAATGGGCGGAATGCCGGGCATGGGAGGCATGCCAGGTATGGGAGGCAAAGGAGCGGGCAAGGGAGGCATGCCAGGTACGATAGCACCTAGTTTGACACCAGCTGTTTGTATACTAGTTGATGTGGAAATTTCCTTTTCGTTTTCCAACATTATGACCTGATGACTTCGTCTTGGAATTGTAGTCAAAACACCACAGCAACAGAAAAATCTTGGTCAAAATACAATCAGATATTGGCGGTTTGATGTCGGATCCGGATATCATGGCGGCTATGGGCAACCCGAAGGTGATGGCGGCTTTGCAGGAATGCATGTCTAACCCAGCTGCGTTTGCGAAGTACCAGAACGACCCGGAAATCATGGGCTTGATGACAAAAATGGCCGGCAAGATGGGCGGCATGGGTGGAATGCCGGGTATGCCCGGTGGCATGGGCGGCATGCCGGGTGGAGGTATGGGCGGCGCGCCTTCCTCAGGCGGACCAGCCACGACGCCGGACTTCGCAGACGTCGAAGAGTGCGACTAGATGGACGCAACCCACTATTATGGTGCGAGGAACCCGGCACCACATTTGACCCCGTCGTGGAAAAACTAACGAAGATGAAAAAATGTTTACAAGAACGTGGCTGCCCTCCTTGCTGTTTTTGCTCTCGTGAAGACAGTGCAGCTATTGGCAAGGAAAAATGAAATCCCGATATTATTTGCTCGCTGTTGATATAGACAATGACAATGTGATGCCGTCAACACCGAGTCTAGTATCAAGACTTGGTAAGACGCACTCGCACAGAAAATTAAGCCTCGAATGCTGATGATGCGTAGAGACATGAAGATATTAGACATGTGACGACGCAAATTCAGAAGACCACATTCACAAGCGAGTACCCCTTTGCTACCCCGCGACCATGCTCAAGCTACGAGTATACTCTTAGAAGACGACGCCCAAAGCAAAGGAACATGTATATTAAAAAACCGATTTTATGAAACGCATCATCGGGAGTAGGCAGACGAAGATGAGAATCAAGAAGGTCGAGCGGCTCATGTACAGCCCAGGGGCAGAGCAGGAGAAACACCTCACAGGCGCAATCTTCAATCAAACAGCTTCAGTTCTACTTTGTGGAAAAACACAGACACTGCTGTTGGTGGCCACTTTCGTCGTAAAGCAGTTGGAGTTGAGCAGATGTTGTCGTGTTGTACACTAGTTGAGTAGATGAGCGAGGGATTCGAAGCGAGCGTGATGAAACCAATGAAACTGACGCCGCTGAGGGATTTTTGCTCGGCTGGCCATGCTAGCTACTTTTTGAGTTTCCTAACGAACGCTGGGCTTTCAACATTGTCGAGAACGAGATTGCACAAATTGAAATTGGTTCTTCTGCTTTTCGTTATCGTACAAGATGTACGTGAAGTGCCATGACATAGAATCGATATCAGGCATTCGATTAGTAGCGTCCAGAGAAATCGATCTTGAATACGCACCGGAAACGCAAAAAATAGAAATCAAAATCGGCAAAAATAATGCCGGATAATTCAGGGCCCACGGAGGCATTTCGTTTCACGGCGCTGGAAGTGGAGGACCAGGGTGAGGAGCCGGATGAAGTGGCGAAAGAGCAAAAACCGCAGCCCGAAGATGTTACTCTTGAATTTGAGCACGCAAATCACGAGGAAGGGGGTGTGACAGCGACAGGAGCCGAATTATCTTTTGTCGTCGGTAGTTCAAGTTCATCTTCGAGCGCGACTGGAGGTAGCAGACCCCGCAGGCTATTCTCTAGCGCATTCAAGAACGAAACGCTGCCCCCTCCGCCGCGCGTGCAAGGTATGAATAAGCGTTGCAACATCAACATGTAAATGTATGTGACGAATGCATCAATCTAGGAGTTTGAATTTCCCTCCCTCTCTCGTCTCTTAATCCACGGATGTCACCGTTCCACGAACTGCGCGGATCTTTGATATGGACTTTTTTATTTTGAGTCGTTGGGCACAACTCTGTTTGAGGTTTTCTGTTGCGAACCGGGCCCCGGAGCAAGGACACCACGAGTGGAGCTTCCTTCTCGTCGTTCCTGAACCAAGATAGTTTGCAAGCGACGCTAAAGATTCCACTCACGGGTCAAAGCACGACTTCAAGAGAAGAATCTTTCGGAAGAAACCTGACCAGTGGCGGTTCATCCTCGTCTTCCGCGAGGCCACCAGAGGCCGAAGACTCCACTGCATTTCGCTTCTGTCTCAACGCTGGGTCAAGTTCCTCTTCGGAAGCGTCTGATGATGAAGTTGTTTATCCCGCCGGGGGAGGAGGAAGCAAAGTAGCGTTTCCCAATGAAGACGAAGAGCAGCTTCAACTAGAGCATCGAGAGGACGCAACAACTTTCCCGGCTCTAGATCTGCAGGAGGTAGACCCTTTGTTGCAGACCCTCGCCAGTGCCGAGAATATGGCCGGCTGGGAGCAGGACGGTTCAGTGGGTACGCACTTGGAAAATCTGCTGAAAAGGGAAAGCGAGAAACGGGAGCGAGCACTGCTCCAATGGCAAGCCTTGTGCGAATTGGACGCCCAAGAAGAAGAACAACGCCGACTTGCTGAAAAAAAACGAAAGGTAGAAGACGAAGCGGAGGCCGCTAAAACGAAAGCAGACGCGGAAAAAGCAGGTCCCGCGCCGGCCGAAAAAGATGACGATGAAGTAGATGAACAAGCTGCAAGTATAATAAGCAAAAGTAAAAATGAAGGAGTAGCAGGTGAAGCTGAAGCTGATCCTGGTGAGCCTGAACCTGAAAAGAATGAAGATCAAGGAAAGTCTGGTACCGCCGACCATGGAAATGAACCTGATCAAGAAATTGCGGGAGGGGTTGCAGCAGACGCCGTTCCGACCGAAGCCGATCTCATCAAGACAGCAGGTGAAGAAGCTCCGGGCACAGGGACAACCCCGCCTGCTGACACCCCAAACGACACTGAAGCTGCTCCGCAGGAAGTTGACCATGACGCAACCACGCTGCGCGAGGGTGAGCACGAAACTGAGGATGTAGGCGGGGATGATGAAGTTGTTGCGGCGCATGTTGATGGCGATGACCAGGAGCAAGCTCAAGTTGCGCCTGGTGCCGAGCCAGGTTTCGTCAGCGAAAACGCACAACCAGGTCAGGATCGCCAAGAACAGGAGCATGGTGGTGAGGCAATGACGACAGACACTACTAGCAAGCCAAGTGAAGGAGGTATGCGTGAAAAACATTTTCTTTTTAGTGGTTTGTCTTTGTCAAAATGATGAAAATGAGGAGTGGAAGTAGATGTGTGATGTTGTAGATGAGCACGCAAGGATGATGTTGCAAGATAGCCAAGACGATCGAATGAAAGGCCACATGCTCTTTCAAGTACTCGGCGGCTAGAAGAATATCCCTCGATGACACTATGCACAGGTTCTTTTTCGTGCGCACTGTATGTCCCGAACGACATTTTTGTCGACCCCGAGTCGGGCTTCGAAACCGATTTTATTCCAAATGCGAGAACGCGCGAGCTTTCCTCCGAGCTTACCGGCCGCGCGGCTATCTTCTGGGACGTCCGCGTGAAAACGAAGCTGCACGCTGGAAGGTGGATCCACATTGCAGACTCTGCTGAAGAGCTGGTATCACGTTGCCGCGTTGAGGTGGCACTCATCTAGCCAGAGACTGATTTGGAAATTCGTGGCTGTCGTCGTGTAGTATCGTTGGCTCGACGTCTCGTTAGCATCGTCCTCTATAATGAAGCTCAAAGTTGACGAACAAGCGAATCACACCAAACTGGTTCGCCACAATCAAAAAATCCAATAATAAAAAAATATTTTTGAAGGTTGCACAGACGGAGAAAATGGATGCGCTTTTGCGATGGACCTACGAATATGCGCTGGTTTCAGCGAAGCTTCGGGCCATTGGCGACTTCAGCACCTTGCAATTACCACAATGCTATTACGCGGCACGGCGCGCACGCGAAAATCGTGCGAAGCTATTGACTGTGTAGCCGTGCTTCTTGCCAGCATGGTCTGCTATATCAAACTTGAAATGAACGAAAAAAAAAATAAGAAACACAGATGCTGAGTTTAACTTTAACGTATGACAACTACTTCAACTTCTTCTGTTTCTTCTCCCGGACTTCTTCTTTTCAAGAAGTGAACGAGTGTTTTTTGTAAAATGTTCTTAGGGAAACGGAACTACGACAGAGATAGAGACACTACATTACCCGCCTCCATCAGTTTGTATGATTCTAGAGACGAGCTTATGGTCGATTAACCATTTACGGAAGTTTGAGATTCATGTGACTATCGAACTAACAGAACCAGCAGACAACAAAGACTGTCGCGGTAGCCAAGGCGATTGCGCGGAGATGCATGTCAATGGAAAAGAAGCAAGATGAGACAACTCCGCAACACAAAGACTGGCATTGGAGCGAAGCTAACTGGCAATTTTGTTTTCTTCCCCGAATGTGTTCATTTGCCGCGAAGATAAGTGTTGTATACTGACAGAGTGAAGTTTTCAAATTGGAATCCGGTAACACAGTGCGACGAGCGAGTAAAAACGAAGACAAATTATAATAGCACGAACAGTACAAAGCGCGCAATTCCATGATTTCCCCTCCAGTCCTGCTTCGAAGAGGGGAAAAAAGAAAAACAAAATCAAAAGCGTTTCATATAAGTTTGGTGGTGGCGTGAAAACACATTGTTCTACGTTTATTCGAGAATGTAAATATTGACGCCGCGTCCTCACTGATTATTGATTGCCTGCTTCGCGAAGATGTTCAGCTCCCCGATGGAGGACTGCAGTATCGGGGATGCGCAGAAGGTCCCAGTCCCTTGTAGTCCCGTGATGGACACGTGCAAAAACGAGGAACGGGACGAAAGTGATGTTGAAGCAAATTTCTTCGGTGTGGAAATCGAAGGGCAAGGGGGACGGGAACAAGAACAAGAAACGAAACAGGACCGCGAACCAGAACAAGATACCTCGTCCAACATGTCAGCAACGTGGCGTCCCCGTCGCGTGCTTGAATACAAGGAAGAAGCTTGCCCGCAAACGCGGACGAACCAGACGAGGGACAAGACGAGTATCTTATCGGTTGGTTTTTTTTTGAGACCGGTACGTGCTGAGGCCCAGACTTTGAAACACGACGGCACGGTGAAGGTTATATTTTTAGCGTCGAGCATACCCTCGGGGAAAACAGGGGGCCCCCGCCCTCCCGCCTCTCGCCCGCTCGGTAGCCTCCCCACAAGGGGGCCCCCGTCCCCGACTCCCGCCCTCCCGCCCGCAGGGGGGCCCCGCCTCCGTCTTTCACTGCCCACTTACAGGGGGCCCCCGCCTCCTTGATCGCCCCCCCACACAACCTTTCGCCAGCTGGGCATCGCGGGGCGCCGACCGCTGGTACCGCGCCTGCAGGGGGGCCCATGCCTCCTTCTTTCACTTCCCGCGCCCCTGCAGGGGGGCCCCCGTCCCCGGCTCCCGCCCGCAGGGGGTATCCTGCCTACAGGGGGCCCCCGCTTCCTTCTTTCACCGCTCACGCGCAGGGGGCCGACGCCCCCTTGCCCGTCCCCCCTCACACCCTTTCGCCCGTTGGGGGCCCGCCTGCAGGGGGGCCCCCCGGCTCCCGCCCTTCCGGCCGCTGGGTACCGCTCGTGCAGGGGGGCCCCCGCCTCCTTGCTTGCGCGCAGGAGGCCCCCCCGCCTCCTGCGGGCTGCCGGCCAAAAGCGGTCTCCTGCCCTCCCGCGGGGGGCCCCCGCGGCCCTTCTTGCCCACACGGGGGCTCCGCCTCCCTGCCGCCCCCGCCCGAAGGGGGCCCCCACTTCCGCCGTATCAGGTCCGGAACGGGCCTCCGCCTTCTTAGTTACCTGCCTGAAAGGGGAAAGTTTGGTGGGGGCCCATTGTCCTGCTCGTTTGGATGTCCTGTTCGTTTGGATGGTTGCTGCCTTGCTGGCCGACTCCGCCCGTTTTTCGCCGCGGGCACGCAAGGGGCCGCCCACTTGCGGCGCGCCCGGCTCTCGGGCCCCGCCCGCATGGGTGGTTGGGGGGGGGGGAGTGTTGTGGGTTGCCCGCTGGTCCGCTATGTATCGCGAGGGGGTGGCGGAACTGGAGCTATTGTGCCCGCGGGCCTCAACACGGACCTAACCAGTGCGGGGCTTGTGTGTGTTGGGCACAGCTATTGCGCCCGCGGGCCTCACCACGGACCTAACCACTGCGCTGCCTGCTTCTGTTGGGCGGCTGGCCGGTCCCCTCGTTGGTGACTGTTCTGGAAGTGGTCCGCTCGTCCTCCCGGGGGGCCGCAACCGCACTGGGCGGGGCGCCCGCGCGCGGCGCCGACGGGCGTGAAAGCGTGCCCAGCAGTAGGGTTGTTGCGCAGGCTGAAGGGAAAGAGTGGGGCGTTGGCAATATTGTATTGCGAAGGCGGGCTGGGTGATTGGTTGCCAATACGGCAGTTGTCAAGATGGTTTGGTTGGTTGTCAATACGCCAGAACGACAACTCCTTCGCGTGGCGTCAACAACGGGCGCGGGGCAAATCCAAACCCCACCCGAAACAAGGAGCCGCCCGCGTGGAGGACACGCATGCAGGATTTTAGCTCCCTAGCTACCACAAACTGTAGCCACCGCTCTTGTAGCGTATCGCAATTCCCAGCGCCATACGATTTTACGCACAGGGCTTGTCTTGTTTCGGGTGGGGTTTGGATTTGCCCCGCGCCCGTTGTTGGCGCCACGCGAAGGAGTTGTCGTTCTGGCGTATTGACAACCAACCACGACAGTATGTATATGGCGCACAGTGACAACCACAAGAACCCGAGAGACATTCCGCGCGACAGGCAAAGACCAGCAGTGCGGTGGGGAATACTGCCCGCATGCGCCGCCGCGCGCACTACGCGCGCGGGAAGATATTGACTGCAGACGCTGGCGCCACCATGTGCCAGGGCACGCAGTGCGCTGAGCAGTCGGCGCCGTGCTGTTAGGACGTGCGGACTCCGACCCGCGTCGGCGAGGGCAGCCAAGGTAAAAGTAGACACGCGCGCGGGCGATAAGCGGAAACACTGCCCACATGTGCCGCGGTGCGGGTCGCGATTCCCAAACGTTGCGGTCGCGACCGACAAACCACGGAAACCGACTCCGGTCGAAAGCCGGCGCGTACCATCGCGATTCGAGATAAAACCGCAGCGCTTGTTCCGATTTGTGTCACGGCGAGACACATCGTGAAAAAAAGGCCGTGCCGTCGTGATTCGGCTGCGCGACTTGTGCGAAATATCGCGGAAAACCAGGAAAAAGCAACTCCGCAAACAGGGCCCGTAGTAGCGCGATTCGCGACACAAGTGTTAGGCTTTTGCGCGATTTTTTGCACGGTGCAAAAACTCGTGCAAAAGAGGTCCTACCATCGCGATTAGCATAGAAAACAAAGCAACTTTTGCACGATTTTCACCAGTTTCACGACAAATCCCGGGATTCGGGAAATCCCGGGATTCCGGAAAGGCGTGAGTAAAAGACAAAAGCAAAAACCAGAAGACTTTGAAGGGCCAACCCGCATGGTATGGCGCGCGTAGGCTACTGAGATCCTTATAATTTCGCAGTGTAACAAAAGCCGTCCCACGAGGGCACCGCGCCCGGGTATATACGCAAGGTTTGACCCCAATCACGATGGTAGTGCAAATAATTCTGGGCCTCAGCGCGTACCGTTCTGTTTTTTTTATGTCGTTCAAAAGACAAAAGTATGAAAATGAGCATAACGATAACAGAAACATATAGAAGATGTCCTAATTCAGCATGATCAACTGACTCTCTCCCGACCACGGCGGCACAGGTCTACTCATCACCGCCCCGGCCGAGGACCAGACGCACAATAATTGCGTGGTTTCACAACACGACGAGGAAAGCTGTGAGCTCGATGCTGTTTCGCCGTTGAGCAATCTCCACACAGACGGCAGCGAGCAGTCACAATCTTCTGCTGAGCGCGATGAACAACAGTGTCAAAGCACTGCCGCGGCCTGCGACGGGCGAGGCGGTCGTGGTATGGGCACCGCCACAAGAGCAGGACACAGACGAGACGACCACCAAGATGAACACGATGGCTGTACAATGGAGGAACAACAGCCGGCGAACGAGACCACGGAACAAGTAGACAAAGACAGCTCCCGTGTGATTGAGCTCGAAAATTTTGTGCGCGAGCAAAGCCGACAGTTTTTCAGGATGGTGGCTGGCTGGAATTCTCTGCAGACCGTGACAAGTTTTTTCTATACTTGGCGCCACATTGCGGTATCACGGAAGTTGCGACGCGTAAGCAGCACAGATCATCAACAAGCCACCGGCCAGACCATTTCAACAGTGACCGTAGGAATGAAGGAGCTGCCGCAACGACGCACCAAGGAGCTTAGCGTGGAGCAGACGGGAATGGTAACAGGGGTGCACATTTTCCCGTGCAAGGAAATTCTCCAGCAGCTACGCGCTACTGAGCGCGACTCCGCGAGGAAGGATCTTTCGGATAGCCGGCGCAAGGAGAACGAGTTGCGCACCGAAGTCGCAGCGCTGGACCAGAGTTTGATGCGCGTTCGGGGGGACCTGATCCAATCCGAGGAGCAACGGGCCCTGTTGCACCGCGAGCTAGCGCAGTTGCGCATGGAGTTGCGGGAAGCGCACCAACGAATCGATGGCTACGAGACCGCTGCAGAAGATCAAGCGGTGCAACGGAACAAAGTTGAAGAAGAAAGAGAAGGTACGGCTGGCCCTCTCGTCAATGATGCGGCTTTTACCAGCAGGGACGACGACGAGAAGAAACACAAACAAACGAACGAGTGCGGTGTGCAAGCGAATTTGCCGAGTGTCGCACTTGGTGCACCAGAACAGTGCAAAGAGGGTCGGGCGCCAACTTTGGACATGGGCGGGAAAATGTCTTGCGATAAAACTAGCGTCGACGTTGGAATCTCGACAGATTTTGTCGACGCTCCATTCGCCACACTGCAACAACTGCAGAACGCGAATGCGAATGCCGCCGACGGAGGTGCCATGGTGAACGTAACCGAAAGCCCTCCTCCCAAAGAGCCTCCTGTGGTGTTCGAGGCAGGCTCTAGTGTACTGGCAATCGTTTCTTCGCGAAGTGGTGCTGAGCAGGCGTCCGACGGCGGCGAGAGGGATCTTGCAAATGTCGGTGCACAGGATCTGGTGCAGCTGGGGGGCGTCGACGCAGGACTTTCATCATCTGCCGAACGGATGCGGTCCATCAGCGGTGATGCGACTAACGGTTCCTCCTCGAACGTAGGCAGTCCGTCTCGCGTGTTGACTGGGACGCGCGCGGCCTGCTCCCCTGGCTACGAGAAAACGTTTCTTTCCGTCCACGACCGCGTGCGCGTGTCGGAGAATGACTATTTTACCCCCCGCGCGGCCGACAGCAACCTCGCAGGAACAGGCACAACAACGAACCCTAATCCATTCCTGGCGAATGCGAAAGGCTCCCTTCTTCGCAGTAGTCTGCATTCAGAGCGGGCGAGGACGGGACTCTTGCGAAAACGAGGACGAATGGCAACCAGCAAGCCTGACAACTCAGAAGAGATTGTTGGAAAAACCTCTGGTCGTGCATCAAACTCAACCTCGACGAATACAAGGCTTCTGGGAGTAGACGAGGATGCGACGCATTCCCCGGGTGGCCGCGCCTGCGGTAAAAGTAGAACCAGCGGCCGCTGTGCTTCGCGGCAAGTGGAGGACATTTTGGAGGAAGAGGTCGAGCTAGTTTTCGAACCAGAAGCGGAGGGTGATGGGGAAGGACATGACGAGCAGCACGCGGAGCCCTTTTTTCATCCACTTGGACACGACGCAGACCCGAATATCATTGCAGCTGCGTCCGGAATAAGAACCAATCATCGGGCACCAGCCACAACAGATCAAGACCGTCACCAGAAGCGCCAGGGCAGTGACTTTTCACGACTGGGCAGGAACATCATCAACGCCCTCGAAGAGCCAAGCCGACCACCGCGTCTCGGGTCGTCGCCCCGAGGCGCGTCGGCGCGATCCCGCAGCGGAAGTTTGGAACTCCTGCAGCAACAGCTGCAGCGTCAGAGTGAACACGGGAGCGAAGACTTGCGGAAATTTTCGGTATCTCCCCAAGGACCAATGTCGCACCTCCACACGCTTGCACCAGCTGCGCTGGGTCGGAGTTCAATAGGCACGACTCCTTTGGTTCCGACACCAGACGTACTTGACAAGAACGGAGCTGCGAAGACCAGCCAAAACTCCACTCCTGCCAATTTTGCGCCGTCAGCTGCTGTTGAGCGGAACAAGGACCACGTCAGCGGGCGAACGATTTTCGCAAATCCCGTGTTTGCAGGGACGAACGGGGGAGCGACCATGGCCTTTGCTTCATCGCCGCTGGACGGTGGCGGAAAGAACTTCGATCTGAGTCCGCCGCATCTGAACAAGACAGGCACAAACGGAATCGCAGCCTACGGAGGCGGACAAAAAGGCAGCTCTGTTGCAGCAGATCAGAGGCTTGATCATGAAGGTGCTGGCGGTTGTATCAGATCAGACTCGGCCAAGCATGTGCAAAGCGGCCAGCAAGGGTTTCAGCAGCCGCCGAATTTGCATTCGCACGCGGCTGGCGGACAAGTAGACCAAGAGCAAGGGAGTAGCAGCACTGCGGTGCCTGGTGCTGCTGCAGCAGAGAAGTTTGTTGACAAACATTCCGCTGTCAGGATGCAGCCTCCGGATCATAGCCTGAACGGGGCAACTCGAGGCCAGCTTCTGCACATGCCGCTGCAAAGTTCCGGATCTACAGCTCGGCTGCCTCGCAAGGTTTCGAGTGACATGTTTTCTGTTTCCTCTTGGGTTTCTTCTTCGAACACCGATGGCGCTCCTCCCGGGACGACACATCTGCGGCCAGACCATGAGCAACAGAACATGAACAACCACAATCACCAGTACCTTCCTGCTGGTTCTACCGGCACACGGAAGGATTCCCTTGAGGACATCCTGATGATGACGAGTGGCGGCAACATCGTCGAAGGCCCGAGGAAAACTGCAAAGGACCCTTCCAAGCACGCCGCAAATAAAGACGATGCGGGTGGTGCGGGCGGAAATCATGTTGAAGCACGTTCCACGCCCGTTTTCGCTTTTGATCAGCAATATGGTGAGGTCGCACGGCCGCTGTTTTCCTCTGACAATCGGCGGAGGACTGCTCCCAGCTTCTATCCCAGCAGCCGGACCTTATTCTCATCGAAAAATGATGCCCCCGGGCATGTGGGCCAACGCCACATCGTCGACTCAAGAACATTTGGGAGCACCGTTTTTGGGGGTGGTGCCGCAGCTGCGGGAAAAACTACTGCAAATAACAGCAAGAAAGGGTCCGCGACGACGACCGCTGCTGGTGCAGGCGCTACGATGAAAGCAACGCGTGCAACCGAGCCCAGCTTTCATTTCAAAAGTGCGCGCTCCCCAATGTCACTTGGCGCGAGTGCGACTGCTACGGCACACTTTCAAAGAGCTGGATCTGAAGCCTCGTCAAGCATCAAGAGAGATGACTTGGCAGCAACAGAGAATTTTAAGTGCTCGTCGGAAGCCGACACAGCAAAGATGAAGGAAACTGTACTCACGCCAGCGCAGTTGAAGGGAACCGCAAAAATCGGAGAAGTCAGACACCTAGCAGCAACGCGAGACAGCGCAGGTCGGACGCCTCAATTTTCGCCGAAGTATCCTGTCGGGGAAATCACGAGCGCCATGCTAAATCTGTTGCAACAGGAAGAACGGAACGAACCTCAATGGGCGGATTATATGCAAGAAAGAAATGGTCTTCGTTCTAGTAGTTCCGCGGCGGTGGGTGCCAGTACGCAGATCCCTACGGCGACGACCAAAAACGATCTCCGCCGATTGACCGAATATCGCGATAAACAACCTCCACACGACACGATACCTCTGTCGGGCCAGGATCGCTTGCGGGCTGGCGTCGGTACTCCCGCCGAACAGCAAAAAGTAAACGGGAGAACCACGGTTCTTGCGCCAGCTGCTGAGTCGACGAAATCTGTTCCTGTCTTTTTAGGGAAAATGGGCAGCAAAACAAGTTCGAAAAAGGAACACGATGATGTAGGCCATAGCCACCCCCATGGCCATGATTTTTTGTCGTCTACCAAGGGCAAAAAGGCTGCGTCGACACGGGAAAGCATCGCGTCAAGTGCACGCCTGTCTCTGGGATCAAACGGCAGTGGAGGGCACCACGTGCGGGGCTTGCGAAGCTCCCTGCCACCGAAGCTTAACCACGACACCATCCCAGTAGATTCAACGGCACTACATCCGCAAGAACAGCAGTTCTTGACGCAACAAAGACAAATCGCAAACCAGGGCGCCGGTACTTACCACGCAACGCCACCAACCAGCTATAGTGGTACGACAGACCGCGATGTCGGTAGTGGACGGAAACCCACTCAGGTGTCAACCCCGCCTCCAATGTCGATGTTCAGTCCAGGCAGTGGCAGTGCCGCTCAGATCGGCGCCGTACCAACACCGATGGGCAGGAGCCACTACCAGGTCGTGGTGCCGCAGCAACCCACGAGCAGGCAGATGAAGTTGATTGGTTCCCAGTCCGCCTCTTGCCTTCACCGCGGCCACATCAACCGAGATACTCCGAGAACGACGCAAATGCTGGACGCACCGCCACCCTCCGCGCGAGCAAAGCAGCAGCAGCAGGCCCGTGTCGTTTACTATGCGCAGGCGGAACACCACCAGCCGCGGAGCGCCCGGAGCAGTGAGAGGCTGACCAAGTTGCTGTCCCCTCGAGTCATCATGCCAGTCGGAACTACCAGGGGATCGCCGCAGCTGCTGGCCGCTGCGACGGCTTCACCGGGTCTGGGTGTTGAGTCATCAGGGAGCAGGAGCGCAAGACTCAGATACAACATTAAGTAGCACCACAGCAAGAAGCGCACCGGCGCAGGAAGTTGTAGTAGACGGAATTGTCGTGCTTTAGGTTTTTAAAAAGCAAGCTATTATTGGGATTTTATCTGTCGTGCATTGACGCGGCGTGGGCGTCAAACTGTGATTACGCGAATGGATTCATCTGATGTAGTTCCAGGTCATCACTTTTGATGCGCTTGGAGCAGGACCCGCGTGAAGATCAACCGAGTGTTGCACGGGAAGCCATGTCAAGTGCAAATCATGGCGAACTATTTTTGATATTTTTGGTTTGCTGGTCCTGGTTGTCAATCTCAGCATAGGTGAGATAGGTAAAGGCATTTGAATTTGTCCGGTGCTCCTTGTGAAGAGCCTGACTGAGATGAATGCATGTTCGACGTGTTTTTTTGCAAAACCATCGGTCGACGCAGTGTGTTGGTCCCCCGAGCCCTACCCGTCGCCGGCTGCATGATTAACTAGATTGTTTTGTGACAACTAGATTTGGTTTGGGTTTCAACATCACCCTGTACTCGTTGACGTTGATGAGCACTTTATTTTGCTAATCCAGCTTTCTACTTGACATTGACCCATTATTTTTTTTGTTCTTACCCGTTCTTACCTGCAGTGGCAATGCAAAGAATTACCTATCGCTATCTCTGTGATTGCTATGTTCGTCACCTCCTCTGATCATCATCATATCCGTCCAGTACCAGTACCCCACCATTGCTGCCAGGAATCTGATATCAGAACTATGTTGCCCAGTGTTTCTGGAGATGCGGTACGCAACAAATCGTTGTGCGTTTGCAACCTGGGACTCTTGGTCACATGCAATCCGGCCGTCGCCGAGGAAAATGAGCGGCAGAATCGCGTGAAGGACGAGCAAGCGGTGAAGATCGAGGCATGTGCCAAGGCGGACCAACCAGCCATAAAAGACCCCCTCGGCCGTATCCAGGGGCCAGCCTGCTTGTTCTTCGACGAAGCCGGCAACTTGACCTACGCGGGGTCGGAAGAGAGCTGCCCCTTCGAGTTCGACAAGGAGGCGGATGTTTTGCTGGACGGCTCCAATCTGATCGCGCTGCCGGGCCTCGTGGACTGCCACACGCACGCCGTCTGGGCCGGGTCGCGCAGCGCAGAGTTTGCCGAACGACTTCGAGGCGTTCCCTACATTGACATCCAGTTGCGTGGCGGGGGGATCAACAGCACAACCAGAGCGACCCGGGAGGCGAGTCTCACCGATCTGTACGAAGCCGCACGAAAACGCGTCGACTGCCTGCTGCACACCAGCGGAGCGACGACGGTCGAGATAAAGTCTGGGTATTACGACCTACCAGAACATCAACATATGCATATCTTGACCATGTGTTCTCATTTTTGCAAAAGCTACATGCATCACTTTCCGGCACTGCTTCGAGTTGTCCGTTTTATTCTTGATCGACCCTCTTCATACAGATTGTTGGACATGACACGACACGGATTTCCACGGCATTATTCCACTAGACTTTGTCGCGTTCAACAAAAATGTATCTTCTCAGTCTCTACTAGAAGATACAACCCACAAACTAACATACTTACTTGCATCTGGGAAATCCTAATCGGAATTCCTCCACTGAAGCGCCGTGTGAACATGAACTGAAGTACTTCAGAACTGTTCTTTGGTGCTCATCAGGTACGGCCTCAGTGTCGATTCCGAGTTCAAGATGCTGCAAGTTGCCGACAAGATAAAATCGCACTCCGCCGCAACTCATACCGGACCGCGCGTTGTGAAGACCTTCCTCGGAGCGCACCTGATTCCCCCGGAATTTAAAGACCTTCGCGAGCAATATGTGCGGCAAGTGATCAGCGAACAGATACCGAAGTGCGCCCCGATCGCGGACCATTGCGACGTGTTTGTGGACAAGGGCGCCTTCACTCTAGAGGAGGGTCGGCGGATCCTGGAAGCCGGCCAGCACGCTGGCCTGAAGGTGAAGGCGCACGCGGAGCAGATCGAGCACACGGGCTGCGCCAAGCTCGTGGCGGAGCTGAATGGCCTTTCCGCGGACCACTTGGAGCGGCTGGACGAGGACGCAGCGGAGTGGATGGGGAAACGCAAGACGGTTGCGACGCTGCTCCCCGGCGCGCAGTGGTATCTACGGGACATCAGCCCGCCGGTGGACTTGCTGAGAAAGCACAGTGTGACGATGGCGGTTTCGACAGATTTGAATCCGGGTTCGAGTCCCGTCTACGACTTGATGCAGTGTGCGACCATGAGCTGCGTCATGCAGGGCCTGACACCTGAGGAAGCGATCCTCGGCATCACGCGCAACGCGGGAATGGCGCTCGGGGACAGCCGCTTAGGGCACTTGACGGCGACCAAACAGGGTGACACCAGCGGCGAAGATTCCCTTCCAACGAGCGTCGCGGACGTAGCCTTCTTCCGCCCGCCACCCGGGGAAGGGTGCACAATTGAGTCCCTTATTCAGTTTTCCGGCGGGTACAAATGCGTTGGAGCGATTCGAGATGGCAAATTTCTTTTTCGGGACACCACTTCCGGTGACTTGCGGTCTTTGGACCAAGGAAACAGCTACAGCATGCAAAGTCAGAATATAAACACATCTCCGTCGCTGGCTGATGACCAGCGTGCCACCGCATTTTCAAATTCGAAAATGTAACCAACTTGTTTCTGTTGACGTGCGGACGAAGCCGCAACCTCTCATGCACAGCAGGTGTGCGTTGCAAGCTGATGACGGTGAAGACTCCGGTAGCTGCTGTGCCTGCCAAATGTTAACAGGAGTACTTCCTTGATCTTCGCTTTCAGTTTCATGTACTTCTTCAAGCATGACTAATCCTCGGTAACACGCACGAAGAACCTGGTCACTCCCGTCGAGCCTTGTGATGTCTCAACAGCATTGCAGGAGCTGCTAAGATGTTGACACGTTGCAGCACCAGAAGCCTCTGTATCGGTGCCCCAAAGGCAAATGCTAAATCGGTCGTGGTAGATCTTCAGTCAAGAAGTTCAAGTCGTTTTCCATTACTAGTAGCAAACGCGGCGTGCTGGTCATGCTCATGTACATGTTATCGATGTCGTGCGCATTAGAATTTGCTCATCTTTCGCGGTCTCCTTCGGTGACAACCAGTACGGCGGCGCGTTTCATCGTTTATTCGGTTTGACTCTTCCATCTTGCACCCACGTCATCGGTACACGTACGATAACTAGGTGAAATGAAGTTATCTGTATTGAAGTACAGGCTCTTCCTGCGTTTCTCCTCGCGTTGTGATGAGGATTCAGGTCATCTGGAGCATGTCATCACGAGGACGTGGTAGTTCGTGACTTCTACATTCTCATCTTTTGTAGAATGGCAGACAGCTGCTCAACGCATAACTAGGTACGTACCCCCCACATATTTTGCCTGGCAGCATTTTTTACAACATTACTATTCTCATGACCATCCCAATAAGGCAAACGCCATACGAGCAGACATGACGTCGCCCCCGGCGGGCAAGATCAACTGCAAGACGAAGTAGGAGAAGCACTACTACAAGTAGCACCGACGCGAAGGACTTTTTAAACTTCTTGATCCGTTGAGGAGTAATATAGAACTTGACTTGCCCAGCATGGGGCAGATGATTTCCGACAACTTCATCCCGATGTCCGTCGCAGAAGCGGAGCGGGAGCTGCACAGTGGGGATTTTTCGGACGAGATGACTGGCACCGCCGGCGCAGCGAATTTGGTCCCCCAAAGCGAACGGGTGCTTCTCGCCTACCAGATTAATTCGCAACGGGTGCTGTTCACGGAGAAGCGGATCATCTTGCAGACCCCCGATATGTTTTTCTGCAAGGAGACCGGAAACTGCATGCGGTTTCTGCCCTACTCCAGCATCGGCGGGTACGCGGTGCACACGCCCGGGTCCTTTGATCGCGACTGCGAGGTGGAGCTGTGGACGAAGTGCAAGGACAAGTTGCGCGTCGTCGTCCGCGACTTCGCGCGGGTGAACCCGCTACCGATCTGGAGCGTTTTGCAGTTGCTGAACGACAAGGTCCTGCCCGATTTTCACCCGTATTCCGGGTTCCAGTCGGTGGTAAATTGGGATCCCAGTGTGCACAACGACTTCCCGACATTCTGGGACCTGCTGGGGAGCAACATGGCCGAGCTGGACCCCCGGGAAGTGCAGCGCAATTTGCAACAGCGCGGGCTGCTGCAACGGCCCATACAAGGAGCCGTGAAGGTCCCGGAAACCGTCGTGCTCGCTTTCGACGGGACCCGGAACTTGTACCCGACGATGGCGGTGTTCACTAACAAGCGCTTCTTCTCGGTCGGTCAGGACGGGTTCTCGGGGAAGCGGTACGCGTACGAATCCATCCTGTACGAGCATATCCGCTTGTTCTCCTTCGAAACCGCTGGTACCGGTGGCGTGTTCACCGATCGGGACTCGACCCTGCAAATGTTCACGGACCTGCCAGGCAAACCGGTCGTGTCGCAGGACTTCAAGGCGAACGTCGACATCAAGAAGATCGGGAATTTTCTCATGTCCGTCACCTGCGGCAACCACGACGGGCACATCAGCTCCATTCAGCACGCGCGCAACATTGCCGGCACGCTGGGCGGCGGGACTCTCGGCCCCATGGCGTGGCTCACAAGGTCGGACGGGAACGCCGGGCAGATTGACGCCGGGGAAGCGGATGCGGAGTTTCACCGGCAGGGCGTGTTGCAGCCGAGCGAGCGGGTCGAGATGGGGTTTAAGGGGAAGAAAGACTACTTTCTCTTCACCACGAAACGAGTTTTGTTCGTGGATAACAAGAAAAAGGGGCTCTTCGGCTCACACGGCAGCGCGACGGAGTACATGACCATCCCCTACCACAGCATCAGCCACTTCGCGGTGCAAACCCCCGGCGGCCGCAATTTTTTAGGCCAAAAGGACGGCGACTGCGAGGTCCAGCTCTGGACCGACAGCTGCTGTTACAAACCCGCAAAGTCCGACGGGGAAGACCACAAGCCGCCGAAGCCGTGGGTGACCTTCATCGAGCTGGACCTGGCAAGGGACCGCGTCGACCTCGTTGGTGTGCACCAGTATTTGAGCGAGAAACTGATGGCGCGGCCTGCCGACCGCTGGCAGCAATACGCCTACCAGGGCAGCGGCGCCAGGGCTGCTGCGCAGGCGACGCAAATCCAAAGGCCCGAACTTTCCATGAGCAACAACATGTTCGACCTGTTCGTCTCCTGGGCCACGAACGACGCGCAGCAGGTCAACCCGCAGCTCGCCAACGCGCAGATGCACCAGGCGCAGCTGCTCTCGTTGGACGAATTTGTCATGCTCGCCTTCCGCTGCGGCCGGGATTTGCTACTGTTGACTACCAGGCGGATCTTCATGATTGACGCCCAGGGGTTCACGGGGAAGAAGGTGCAGTACTTGACCATTCCCTACCAGTCGTGCAGGCAGTTCAGCGTGAAGTCTGCGGGCGACGAGTGGAGCTTCGATCTGGACTGCGAGCTCGAGCTGTCTGTGCGCGCGTTTTGGAACACCCGGGGAACCCCGGTCTTCGACGAAGACATCGATCCGACGATTCGCCAGGATCTAGCGCGGGGGCACGTCGATCTGCTTTCCCTGCAGGGGTTCCTCACCGATCGGGTCGTGCTTCACTACGGTGCCTCCGCGGCGGCGATTTCCCAGCTGCAAAACCTTCCCAATTTTCAGAACCTAGTGCCCCCCTCCCATTCGAGCGACGACAAGGGCCTAACGGGCCTGTTGATGTCCGCTCTGAAGGTGCTCGACCGCGACAATTTCGCGCAGCTCGGCCTGGATGAGACACGGCAGCTGGAAGCTGCACTCACGCAACAGCGGATTCTGATCTGTTACCCGGACCGGAATGTGGAAGAACGCGTGGAACTCGCCTTCCGGAACCGGAAAGACTTTATCCTGTTCACGAACCTCCGTCTGTTCCACATCGATTTTACCGCGAGGTCGTTTTTCAAGCTCGGTGGCGGAAACAAAATCGAGTACAAATCGATGCCGTGGGGCCTCTTGTTCGACCAGCAGCGAGGCCGGATGACGTCAAACTTGTTAGCGTTTACCTTTGAGACCGCCCAGTTCACCAACAGATTCGATCTGGATTCCACCATGACGCTGCACAAACAGGTCACGAAATTGGACGGTAAGATCCGGGTGGACATCCAGCGGGGGAGATGCGACTTTGGCTCCATTGCGAGGTGGCTCACGTCCAAACTAGTTTTGTAGACACGTTGTAGCACAAGTTGATGCAATAGGACGTGGAGGTGGACCAGCATGTGAAAGAATCAGGACTTCTACATCTACGCTCTGGCTCTTGATTCATTCGTCCGTGCTGAACTACAACAACATTTACATAGATATAGATTACGGCAAGTTAGTACTTGTTATCCAAGAAGACGCAGTGCTACTTGAGGTGGCGACGGTAGGAGCAGCCTGTTTTTAGTATGATGAAAATTTATGCTGCGGCTTCGCCTGGACGATCTCAGCAACTACATCGTAGGATCACGATGTGCCTAAGACGTCCTCAGAAGTCATCGTCGGTTTCGTGCAGCAACGTCTTTGTCATTCTCCTTCTCGGTTGAGCGGTTATTATCCGATATTCCAGACGAGGATCGAAATCGATACTCTGGTCGGTTGCCTAGTCGGTTTCCTCTTTGCGTCAACTCGGTAAATTTAAATTGTTGTATGTGCGTTATTCTTATTTACAATACGATAGATACCCAAACAAATACAAAAAAGAACCAACGCGCTTGTCTTCGCTCTTTTTCTCTTTGTCTTTGCTTATAACTTTTATGGAAAGTGAAAGGTGACGAGCATGAGCAAGCGGCCCAGCTACCCCAGTCCAAGCTTATTCTCAAAATAAATACTGAGTGGCTATATCAACACGTAAAGCTAAAGAACGTCTTAGACCCACGGCATCATCAAAATGGGGCAAGTCTGCACGAATAACTTTAGTCCCATGACCGCCGCCATGGCAGAGCGCGAGCTGCGCAGCGGGGACTTTTCGGACAACATGGCCAGCGCAAAAGGGGCTGCGAACCTCATTCCCGAAGACGAAAAGGTCCTTCTCGCCTACGAATTGCTTCACAAACGCCTGTTTTTCACGGATCGGAGAATTATTCTGCAAAGCCCGAACACGTGCTGTTTCGGCGCCAAGGACAACTTGATGCGGTTTATCCCCTACTCGAGCATCGGTGGCTACAGTGTTACCACCCCGGGAAGTTTCTTGGACAACGACTGTGAGATGGAGCTTTACACGAAATGCAAGGACCAGCTGCGAATCATCTGTCGAGATTTCGCCTGTACGAAGGCGAGCCCCGTCCCGGTGATGGATATTCTACAGCTTTTGAACGAAAAGTGCCTCCCAAACTATGACCCGTTTCTTGGTTTTAAACCTGTGGCGCGGTGGGACGATAGCAAAACAAACAAAAGCGGGAGTGATAAACAGGGGTTTTTCGACTGGGTCGGCGGCAATGCAGTGGAGAAGGACCCGAGTGAAATTCAAGCGAAACTGCAGGGAAAAGGCGTGCTGCAGCCGGCGGGGACGTCGACAGGGGGAAACAAAATACCTGAAACGGTGGTGTTCGCCTTTAAAGATGGTAGAGACATGGTCATCTTCACGAACAAGCGCTTCCTCGTGGTCGATGTGCAAGGCTTTACCGGGAACCGGGTTTCGTACCAGACCGTCCTGTACGAGCATATTCGCCTGTTTTCTGTCGAGACGGCGGGTGAGGGTGGCATTTTCGCCGATCGGGACTCTACTCTCTGCCTCTTCACGAATCTCCCGGGCAAATCCTACTTCTCGCAGGATCTGAAGCGGAACATCGACATCAAAAAGCTCGCAAAGTTTCTAATCGCCGTGACCTGCGGGAACCACCAGGGGCATCGAAGTTCCTTGGAAAACACGCGAAACATCTCGGGCGATTTGGGAGGCGTGCAGCTGGGCCCCTTGTGGTGGTTGACGCGGTCGGAGGGCAACGCGGGTCAGATCGACGCGAGAGAAGCGGACCAGGAATTCCACCGGCAGGGCGTTCTGCTGGATGACGAGAAGGTTGAGATGGGGTTCAAAGGGAGAAAGGACTACTTTCTCTTCACCACTAAGCGGGTTTTGTTCGTGGACAACATGAAAAAAGGCCTGTTTGGGTCTCACGGGAAGGCGACGAACTTCTTGACCGTGCCCTACCACTCCATTTCCCACTTTGCGGTCCAGACTCCCGGCGGGCGAAACTTGTTTGGGAAAAAGGACGGCGACTGCGAGGTGCAGCTCTGGACCGACAGCTGCTGCTTCATCCCCGAGGTGATCAACCGGGACGACGAGGGACGCATTGAAAGCATTGACCCGCCCCAACCGTGGGTCACGTTTCTGGAACAGGACCTGGCGCGCGACAAGGTCGACCTGATTGGGATTCACCAGTATCTCAGCGAGAAGCTGATGGCGCGACCGGCGGAGCGGTGGCAGCAGTATTCTTACCAGGGGAGCGGGAAGGCGCAGGCCACGACGATCCAACGCCCCGGTCTGTCGCAGAACAACAACCTGTTTGATTTGTTCATCTCGTGGGCCACGGATGACGCCAAAAGCGTGGACGCACAAGTCGCCGACCAGCAGATGCACGAAGCGCAGTTACTCGCGACCGACGAGCAGGTCATGGTCGCGCTCCGCTGCGGGCGGGATTTGGTTTTACTCACGAGCAAGCGGGTTTTCCTGATCGACGCGCAAGGCTTTACGGGGAAAAAGGTCCAATACCTTACCATCCCTTACCAATCCTGCCGACAATTTGGCGTGAAGTGTGCCGGTGACGAGTGGAGCTTTGACCTGGATTGCGAACTCGAGCTTTATGTGCGCGCTTTCTGGAACACACGTAACCTCACACCAGCCCGCGACCACGAGATCGACCCGGTAATTGAGCAGGACCTAAGGCGCGGTAGTGTGGACTTGCCTGCAATCCAGGGGTTTCTTGCCGACCGCATTGTTTTGAATTACGGATCTTCCGCAGAGACCATCAATAAAACACGAAACCTCCCCGATCTGCAGAACTTCAGACCTGAGGACTTGCGCGGTGGAAAAAAATCCAAAGGTCTGGCCGGGCTGCTCGCGACCGCGTTGAGCGCGCTCGACCGTAACAATTTTGCGCAGTTGAGCAACGAGGAGGTGAATGCGTTGGACTTCCAGCTGAAGTCGCAGCGCATCCTGCTTTGGTACCCGAACACGGAAGTGCAGGAGCACCTGGAGCTGGCCTTCCGGAACAGGAAGGACTTGATCCTGTTCACAAATCTACGGCTGCTCCACATCGACTTCACTTCCCGGTCCTTCTTCAACCCCCTCGGCGGGAACAAGTGCGAGTACAAATCGATGCCTTGGGGCATGCTGTTTGACGGAAAGCGGGAGCAAACCAAATCAAATTTACTGGCGTACTCATTCCAGAGTGCGCAATTTACCAACCGTTTCGATTTGGACTCCACGATGATTTTGTCAAAACAGGTCGGGCACGACGCATCACTTGCGGTGGACATCCTGCGCGGCTACAGTGACTTCGGCGCGATTTCGAAATGGCTCGATTCAAAATTGGTTCTCTGATTTCGAACGCGATGAATTCTTGAGTTGTATAATGTTTTTACTTTTACGACTATGTGATGTGTGTATGTATCTAGTACTTGTTGCAGCACTCTAGTGTAGTCACTTCCGCTGGAGGCATCAATAAACGCGACTATGTAGTGACAGCTTTTGTTTGTGCGATTACTTGCGACATACAACAGATACGTTTTCCCATCCCGTCGCTGTTCGGCTGCAGCATACCTTCGTCGACATATTCATCGGCTTCAGTTTCATTCACTTGCAGCAAATTCGCTGAATATATAATCATAATTATTGCGTAACAACTCTGGACGTCAGCATGGTCCTGCTGGTAGGTAGAAAATGATATGAAGCAACTTGCTTTCAGAAAAAAAGAAAAACAGCACGCATCGTTCGCCGGCTGCCGTGAACTCGCTGTTTCACTGGAATCTTTTGTTCTTTTCCATTGGCTAGTTGTAGCATGCACGCGTCGTGGTGCTATTCTTACGTCAGGAAGGGTTCCAAATCCTTTGCTTTTTTGAGGCCTACTCGATGCAGTCGGATCTTGTCACATGACATCAATTCACGTGATTTAAGTACATGGATCCTCGGTTTATCGGTTTAGTCCTCTCTGTCGCCACCTTGTTGCCCGCGAACGTCAACGCTCCTTCCCGCCTTCGGTCGAAAATAAAAGATCAAGTCTTTTGCCTTTTTCCTTTTTCTTGTGGCGATCATGTGTGCACGTGGCGTTGTGTACGTGTGCAACAACTCAAATAATGATCATGATGTCTCTACTGCTAGTTGACGTGGTAGTCCTTTGCCTGTGGTCTTTCTGCGGTCGTGCGAACAAATGAAGCCGGCTTCGTGCTGCTGCCACTTCACCACCTCAGTAGAAGAGAGATTTATGAATGCATTGGAAAAAAGTACAAAGAACGATGGAAAAACATGGTCATACCAAAAGAGGAGTATTACGATCGGTATTTTCGGCGACATGCCAACGGAAACTGCAGCACGACCTGGTACTGGGAGAATTCCATAATTTCCAGTCGTGTCGGCTTCCATGGATTGTTTTGGTACCTGCAAAATTGGTGCCCCACGAACCCACAACGAGCAGTGCTTCCCTCCCTTTCGTCCGTGGCGCTGCCAACTTCCACTTCGTCGGGTGGTCTTGAGCAGGAGGATGTCGTGCTTGGGCACGCAGTTGAGCCATCGTTCGGCAGCACAACTGCAACAGGAGCACTGACGACGACGTCGAGTTACAATCGATTACACGAGGAACACACCTTGCAGATTGACTTCGATTCCTACCATACTGAAGTGTTGAGATTACGCTCAGCGGAAAATGTCCGACGCAAACGCGAAGCGCAGAGGCTTGACGTTGCAGTCGACGCAGACGGGTCGACTACAACGACACCGGAAGAAGAGGGTGCTGGCACGGGAACAACATCTACCTTGGGCTATAAGCGCGACGAGAACGCTGAGCTGCCTGCCACAGAAGATGACGAGAACAATACTAGTGCGACTACACCAGCTGCTTGGTCACAGTATGTGGGTCTTTTCGAGGAAGCGCTCGAGAGTCTCGGAGACGACCGAAGTCTCTTTTGCAGCCGCGTCCCGAGTTGCGAGCCTGGTGCCTGTTTGATGGAGCGTGGCGAGGATTTTCTCCCACACGACACGGATACGAAGCATGGGTACGCTGCGGTTAGTGGATTGGACAACGCAGTGGCTTCCGCCACAGACGATGAAGAGAACGACGTGACAAGCGATAGCCCTACTTCATCCGGCGCGGAAGTTGCAGAGGCCCCAGGGGACCACGACAAACAACGCCCTGCGTCTTTGGTAAATGATGATGAACCAGACTCGACTAGAACCTCCAGCTCCACGACCACCACGTACCTAGGTCCACAGCAGCGCGCGAAGAATCTTTTGAATCTCTGCACGACACGCAAGTCGGGATCTAGATCGGACCAGCGATCCGCAGTGAACAGATATTTCGAAACGCTGACCCCGATGGACATCGTCGAGAAGCTTGGCGCCCTGGCCAATTTGAAAACACACGGCGGATACAACGGATACTCCCTTGAATATTATCACCGGAAAATTACGCAGCACCAGAGCCAGTATTGCGAGTGCGACTAGGACGGCCGATTAGCTCCTTTTTCTTTTGCATTGATTTGCTTCGGTAAAACCTTCCCTCAGCCTGCAGCTCCAGGAGTGCTTTTGTTCGGCTCTCGACCGACTAAGAATCGTCCATGTATTGATGCATCTCTTCGTAGAAGTTAGTCCGTTGCTTGTTTATTTTTCCGTCTAAGTAAACATGTTATGGCCGTTGTTCCGCGTTCTGAACCAGAAGTACTTTCGAAGATTTCCGGATCGGATATGGGAAACGCGCGGGTACGAGACTTTTCTCGTGCACGGATCCGACCGGTATCCAAAGGGTGTGGTGCGGTTCGGCATACCAGATGTGTTCCAGCTTTCTTCTCCAACGGAACAGCATCTCCAGCGCGTGGACGACCAGGACCACCCCAGCAGCGTCGTCGCAGAAAGTTCTTCTTCGACCGCCGCGCGACCAGAGGATAGTGAGCGACCACCTGCAACAAAAGCACAGAATAAGAATTTCACCGCGGTAACGGTGACGGAGGTGACTAACTTTCTGTCCACCATGATCCGCGAAAAGGTGATCCGCATTCCGGATCGGGACGCGAGCAACATCTGGTTTCGCCGGGGCAACCCGAGTAACGACCTGATCGCGTCCCGCACGGGGCGGCCGATCGAGGATTTTCCGTTCGTGTCGAACCTGAGCGGGATCATTCAAGACGAGGACAGTGTGGAGTTTTACCACCGCCAGACCTGGCGGAAAGCCTTCGCGGAAGAGGTGGATCGGGAGAAGGAACGACTGGGCGCAACTGGTGATCATGGTGTTCTTCGTAGTGAAGGAGAGGATCTTCAAGGACGTGATCAGGTGAACGAACTACAAGCGCCCGACGATCTTCAGAGCAGTACACCGTCAATATCCTCCTCGAGCCGTTTTGCTGTTGAACACGAGCAAGATGACAAGCTCCCTTTCGACCCCTACCACGTTTTCCCGGTGAATCCCGTGAAGGAGTTTAGCAACACGATCGTGGTCATGGCCTCAGAGTGGCAGAACATCAGTCACTTCACGCGGATGGTGATCTGGTTCTTCGAGCTCTTCACCAGTGACTGGTTTTTGACCTGGATCGAGCGGGAAAACCTGCAGCCCTTTATCCTCCCAACGAAATTTCTGCAGGACTTTCACTCGCTGTTGCCGCACAACAAGTTCCTGCTGGACGTTTTGTTCAAGCACTTGCGCGAGAAATTCGCCCACATTTGGAGCGCGGTCGAGTTCTGCATGTACCTGGATCCGCCCTACTTCATGGATTACCACGGGCCTCTGGACAGGGAATTCATCAAAACAAGCATCACCGGGAGACACTGCATCGATTGGAAGTACGACCCGCTACCGAAAACATCTTCGAACACCGACGTTAACGGCGATGAAGTAGAGAGTAGGAGTGAAGATGTTGATAGTTCCATGAGCAAGTTTGACGCGTCGAAGCAAAACGTTCCCATGTATGATACGGAACGGCAGCACCAGTTTTTGCTTTATGGCTACGATTACGCGGTGCCGAAAGAAGAAATGGAACACGACGGAGGCAGCGCCGAGCACACCGATGGCACATCACCTTACGGAATAGACGCTGAGGACGCGGACGACGATCATGGTTCAACATCTTTGCTCACCACGCCACACGAGACGGCGCAAAAGCCTCATCATAGCCTTTCAGCCAACGAGGTTGCACAGAGTGATGCAGCGGCTGTTGAAGCAACATTCGAGACAGCGCCTGAGCAGAATGCTGCTGACGCTTTCCGAGATAGTAGCCTAGGCGAAGTCATGCTCGACGACGAGGAGCGAGCCTTTTACGCGGGTGCTGATCCGCCCCACCTGCTCTCTATGTCGACTACGAGTGGCACGAGGGAACCACCACGCCAGAGACCAGGTTCTTCACCTATAGAACCATCAAATAACGGGGGAACAACTTTTCGAAAGAGAAAGCGGAAGAGATTGAAATTTCTTTCAGCCGCGGTTACCACAATCCAGGAGGTTGGATATCCGAGTTTCGTCGTGCAGCGCGCCCACGACGGTATCAGCACCCCAGAAGCACTGGCACGATTCCGGGAGCTGGTCTGGGCGGAATGCGGAATCATAAACCAGGACAGCCACCACGTGCAAGATCCAACGAGCAAAAGAGAACTACAACCGGATAGTACTAGAAGATCCGCACCAGACCAGAATCTTGAAAAGGGAATGCCGCGAAGAACGTCAAGCAGCAAGCTTCTGGTCTTGTTTATGGAAAAAGATGGCAACAACCGGCAGATCACGAACCTGCAGGAGATTTTGCAGAGATTCCAGCTGCAATACAAAGAATTTCGCACGCAAATCGAGTTTCAGCGCGTGAAGATGACCTCGAAGACGCCCTGCGAGCAGATGCGGTTGATGCACCGGGCCTTCATCGTGATTGCCATGCACGGAGCCGACATCGTGAACACCATTTTCATGCGACCGGGCAACAAAAGTTACATGATCGAAATCAGTCTCGGCGAAGGGGCCGCGGTCGCCGCCACCGGTGCGGAGAAGGACGAAGTGGGAGAGCAGAAACGTGGTAGTTTACGAAATGTAGAGCCTGAAGATCGTGCAGACATAAATTCAGTGGAAAAGCAGGAAAAGAAATCACAGGATCACTGGCGGTGCGACGCGTTGAAGGGCATGATGTGGCAAGAGATGGAACCTTGGGTGTTCCGCACCGCAGATAGCAGCATATCCCTTTCCTGGGACCGGACGCAGATATTCCCTGGAACTCAAGCAGTCCCATCCAATTTGTCATGCAGGACATGGTCGTGCGCGCGCGCGCGCGAGTGAAGTGGGAGCCGACTTTTGTCATGCAAAATGTGGTTGGGGATGAACGATTTTCAGCGAATAGCAGAACTCCTATGCCCACCACGAGGTTCTGCGGCGTCGCCGGCTGTACCCCGACCGGTACAAGGAAATCCATTGCAAAAGGCTTGGAAATGACACCATCGCCACGTACTACTCGGCGGGTGATGAAAAAAATCTCGATCCATATCTTGCTACGGGTAGAGCGGAAGGAAGTCAAGAAACTGGTGTTCCGATCAGCACAACAAGAGCTGCCGCACAACGCCAGGTGCCAACAACAAGTCCGACATCGTCAAGCCCGCACTACGATCGGTTGCCGAGCCGTCGGAGCATGGGGTACTACTCAGACTTCTTGCGGAAAGCGGGGGTCACGTACGACAATCTGCAAATCGGGGTTCCCGACCTGCCGTTGGACAACCCCTACGACGACTTTGGCGAGGAGCGATTCCGTGGCGTCCATCTGACGGAAGAGTTTTCCAAGCGCCTGGCGCTCGGAAGGGATAGAAATTTGACTGTGCCGTATTCAGTTCTGGAGTCTCTGGTCCGCCCAAAAATCCAGTATGGACTGAAGCATTTCGTTGTCTAACTGCAAGTGAAAGAACAAGAAACTCCTCGCTCATCTCCCATAACTCCCCTCTGCGAGGAAGCTGCTAAGACCAGAAGGAGCTGGCACGACTTCACACAGGTCTTCTATTTCGAAAAGAGGTGGAGGTGCCAGCACAGAATCAGCAGCAGATCCTGATTGTGTAACAGCTACAGCCACCCAGACTAAAGAACATCATTGAGGATCATCTTCGAGGAAAGAGCGGTTGGTAGAACACAGGTGCCTTTACCTGATAGATTGACGCTCGTATCTTTCTTGGCCTACAGATCTGAAATCGGGCACTTTCAAACATTGATTCGCCACATAATCCGCATTAAGAAAGTGCCACAGCGGGGGCTGGCACTTCTAGTCGCGGCAGCAGCCGGAGTTGCCTGTCTGTCGCTCTCAACTACTGGTGTTGAACTTACTCCAGCACCACGGGCACGCAGTGTGCCGCACGCATGCCGTTTTATCTTTTATTTAGTTATACATAGTTTTATTTTTGTTTCTCATCTTCCAATCAGACTCATAATGTGAATCACAATCAGGAAAGTAATATCATTAAGGGTTAAGAGATTTGCAGTTTTCCTTTCCCCCAGTTGCAGTTTTGCTCTTCATTCATTGTAACGCTTTTAACTTCCTCGCGCGCCACTATATGAGGCACGCTTTTTCATTTTTTTTGAAGCTCTTGTGTCATTATTTGCCTGCTACCCTCCGAGATTTATTTTTACAGCCCCGTGATGATGTTGTTGCTGCTGCAATTATCTTGTTGGGATTTCAACTGATGATTTTTTTAGGTGTTGACTGCTGTTTGTGTTTGATTATTTTTCTTGATTAAGTTGTACCCCTGCTTCTTATTATTTTTTTCAATTGAAGGTGGCAAACGCAAATGTCTTGAGCCCTGTGTATGATCAATCGCAATCAGTCGTATTAAGTACTAAATACCATTTGAATTTTTCTTCCGTCGTGTTAGTACATCTACATGTGGTCGCGCCACGATTGTTGCAAACCTCTCGCTTCCCTGTTGTATTGTTAATTCTCATTCTCGTACCCCCGCCAGGCAGGGCCTGTCTCACCTTGCCTTCACTCAGAAAAGCAACTAAAAACCAATTGGCAAGAACAAAATGCGCAGTGTAACTCTTCCAGCACCAGCTTCGGATGAGAAAAACTCCGGAATTACCCGGAAGTTTTCCAGCAACCCCGTCCGCACGAGAAGACGACAGAGCGCGGTCGCAACAAACAGTATGACCGGAACAAGGAGCAGAACACGGCCAATTTTCGCGTTCATGAAGCTGCCATTTCTGCTACTAGTGCCCGCTACTTGTTCTATATCTGGTGCCGCGCGTGGCGTACAACAACCGCAGCTTTCTTTTTTGAAAACAATAGCAGAGCATCAACATCACCAATCTAGTACGGGCTCTCCATCGAGTGAGCAAGCCACCACGCAAGGAGTCACAGGGGGACCTCCACAAGTAGAAGTACGAGGAACTGGGGAAGACCCCACTGAGGAGATCCTTCGCCAGCCGAAGATTTCTCGTCCTGTCACACTTAATACAACAGTTGTAGACCGTGGAGCTGGCATTGCCGAGTTTCTGGATTTCGCATCACGGGAGGAGGATGCTCCCTCCAATGCCTCCCTAGTGCTGTCGCCCGGAGCGACATCAGGCGGATCGCCCTATGCAGAAACCGTTGCTCCGACCTCTTCATCGAAGTCTACAACGCCTAGCGCTAGCAGCCCAGCCCGCGGGAGCAAGAAACTCCGGTCGGTAACATCCCTTCTTGTGAAGGCAAAAGAAGGACTAGAAGGGCGTGACGTGCAAGTGCATAGGAGTGCTGGTGCTGTGCAAGATGTAGTTTATTGCGGAGATGAGACGATTAATGCGGCGTTCTTACGTCCTCTTGACGCACGACAACGAGCATCGCCTTTTTATTTGCAGAAACAGGAACACGAAAAACTACAACAACCCCAGATCATGAAGGACGGGCACCAGCGGGCAAGCGGCCAAGACGCGATCTCCAATGTTGCAGATGATGGTGCTTTCTCGTCTTCTAGCTCCTGCTCGAGCTCGTCTGCGGCGCCTTGCTTTTCCTGGCAACTCGCCTCCAGCCCCGCTCCTTCGCTCAGAACAAGTTCCCCCGCTACTAGTCGTAGCGGATCGGCTCAAACCAGCCCTGCCTTGACGGCTGCGGTGCGGTCGGAAAAGCAAGACGTCCTTGACCAGGAGGAGATGGAGATGGAGGCACAAGCGCAAGGCCACGCGGGCTATAGACTTGACGCTCCAGCAGAACCCGATGCCGATCCCATCGGCGACCAATTCAAGGCACTCGACGTTGCGTACAAACACCTGCTTCAAGACGACCGGTGGGTCAACGCGGGCGAACTCCTGGAGAGGCAGTATCGTCCTGACGCGAGAACAGACTCAATCGTGGGCACGACGTTTCTCGAGGACCTGCTAAACACTCTGAAGCAGTGCGACACACTCCTCGCGGAAGAGGAGCAGGAACGACAGCTTTCGCTGCTTGGCGATGACGCGGGCGCGTTGCAGATGCATCGTGAGAGAGTCGAAAAGTTGCTCCTGTACGCCTTGGAGCTCCATCATTTCAGGGCAGGCTTTGGCATAATGGAGCCGATTTCAACATCTTCCTGTGAAGGCACTGAGTCAACAAGAACAGCAGGAGGACGCGGCGCGGGCACCGTGGGTACAAGCAGCGGCGGTGCTGCAGTCACAAGTAGTGCTGCTTCGAAGCCGGATGCTGAAGGCTCTCGACCTCCTCCTGTCGTACAGCAACAGCAAGGTAGTTCTTCTACGGATGAAGAGTCGCTGTCGCAATCGCAAAGAAGTGCAAGTACGTCTAAGAGCCACCTGGTATTTCGGTCTTCAAATCCCGCCTCGGCTCGCGTGGCGAGCTTGTTGACAGAGTACTTCGTGAATCTCGAGCGGGAATTCGACGGATTGCGCCGCCGGCTTTCCAATGAAGTTCTGGACGACGAGGAGTTGACCGCTGAGGAGAAAGTGGAGCAGCAGCAGTTCGTCGCGCATATGCATTGCAAAAGTATCGTACTAGCATGAATCGCAATACAAATTTTCCCAGAAGGAAAAATGGAATTTGTAATGCTGATTTCGCTAAGAAACAAGATTTGTCATGCATGGTTGCAATTAGTACGAGTGCGATACTTTTGCACAGCATAGCGCAAGAGGTGTTGCAGCCGAAACTCCCCGCCCATCAACACCGCCGCCTGGTGCTTGGTCGCGTTTTGTTCCGCGACCTGGTGGAACACGCGCGTCGCCGCCTTGACTCTGCACCCGTTTTCGCCGAGCTCCTGCGGGATAGACAGGTGATGTGCGAGGAGTTTTACGCCAGAGTAGACCTCCCTTTATTGTGCATCGCGAGACGGGGGCTGCAACTGCCATGTGACTTGTGCGAACTGGACGAGGGCAGACGCTGGACTGCGGAGCAGATAGACAAAGAGTGGAAGCAGCTGCACGAACGGGCACTCTTGCGGAGACACGACTGCAACCAGGTGTACGTGAGGCAGGTGCTGGAGAAGCGGAAAGTGGAGTTTCTCCAGGCAAACATTCTGCAGCAAATGATAATGAGAAAACTGGAGATAATAAAACAACAACAAGCTCACACGATGAAGGACGAATGTTCGCCGGCACGTGCTGGAGAGTATTCTGGAAACGAAACTGAAAGTCACGACTCGTGCATGGTCTCCTCGTTGTGGAACATGATGCCCAGCAGAGAATTTGGTCGCGAACTTCTTGGCATGCTTTGCCTTGGTGGAACGGCGGTGGAAAGCGACCTGGGCGGCAAACGGTCACAGCATCGGGACTTGTGTCTGGAACAAGACGTCGACACGGGTTCTTTTACGAACGCGGAGATGAACCACGTGGCGGCTGGCTCCTCGCGGGGGCGCGACGAGGCGAAGAATTGTGATGAAGACCAGGAGCAGATGCAGATCGACGAGGAAGAGTCTGACCGGTTTCCCGTGTTTTCATCTTGGGAACATTTTTGCGACGCACGCGCGCGGTCACCCGACCCGATGAGTCCGCTCACGCTTTCGCAGATGATCGATGGCAGGGACACCCCGAAAGCAGGACCGCTTGATGAGGCCTTGCTGTATCTGACGCGAGTGGTGCGTGCGGGGCAGAAAGCTGCAGGACGACACTCCTCGTCGGAGAAAGACGGTGAAACTGTAGGAGAACAAGCCGGTGGCTGTGACGAATCCATCGGCATCGCTGCGGTGCTTGACGGTCTTCGATGCCTGCAAATCAATACATAGCCATGACAGCTAGCGAAAATTATAAGTCAAAGCAGGAAGAAAATTAACATATAAGAAGTATCATCAAAAACAAAATCATGTCCTCGCTGCTAGTCGTCCAAGCGCTCGCCTCATAGACGACTGAAGAGACTCCCATGTCTGAGTTGTGGGATGATTTTTGAAGAGACAAATTCTCAGGCACAACAGCAGCAGGAGAAGAAGAGGCAAAACCAATGAAGCAGCAGACCCGACGCCGACGAGCTTTTCACTCCCGCTAAGATACTGCGCTCAGTCGTGTCAATGCGATTTCTGTTGCACGAGTGTCACTTCTCTCACTTCTCCGAGCTAGATGTCATCCCTGTCACAACAGTGTACTTTTATTTGTCTCGAAGCTTATACCGGCGTAACGCCAGGAAGATGTCTCCCATGAGCAGTGGACATGGAGATGAACAACTTTTTTATTGCTGATACCTACACTACATACTCCCTCGTACACTACATTTTTTTACAACTGCACCATGTGCAATCGTAAAGACTATTTTTGAAGTCAAGAACCTATTGTAAAAATGAAACTCGAACTTCATTTAGCCTCTTCGAGCTCAGCGGCGTCTTTGGGTCTCAGCGAGGAAAAAAAATCAAAAAAATAAAATTCCTAGAATCAACTGAGCGATTGTCCAAATTTACCCAATTAATGATTGCCCTGCCCTGTAACTTGATTTCTCAATGACGATATGACACAATTTGTATATAGATATGGGCTTTTATCGCTTGCTCGATGATTTTGACGTGGTTGACGTTGAAGTCGGCGGTGCATGTGTTAGCCCCTGCCCTCTGTAAAACCACTGTACTAAGTGAGATCATGATCATGTGATGTTGTTGCACGTGCACCATAATTGCATTGCGATTTATAACGAATGTAAATGTTGTTGAATGCTTGAATAACATGTAAGAATTTATCCTTAAGATTATTTGCATTTTGATGCACCAGAATATTACACTAGCATTGCGTACGTACGCAGCCTCAGCTCTATGCAAACCAACTTATCCCTCTGTGGAACTATCGCTATCGGCGCAAAAGCGTCAACGAACACGAATCCACACTAGCTTCTGGCAGTGGTCATCTTCCACTTGCACCTCGCGGAGAGAAACATGTGAATGCAACATGGACCACGTGGCTCAGTGTCATGTCGTACTGGTGGTATTTTGCTTCCTTCATTTGTGGTCGTCCTGTCGTTTGTGTAGTCCGTAGGCATCGACAAGAACGCCGTCGCTCGTGCGTAGAAAGAGAAACAAGACAAAAATATAAACTTACTTGAACTGCAACGAACAAGTTCAAGTTGTAAATCATCATGATGCAGCAATTCGTTATTTCCACGGCCGCGCAGCTGCACCCTATGCTTGTAGTTGTAGTCGCGTTTGTGCTGGGATCGATCTTGTATCTTGCATTTGAAGAACCCTCGGTGTGCTTGTGGTACCTACTAGAGTCATCTTTGCAATCGAAAAAAACCGTCCGTATCGATACTTTTTCATTTCGCATGTGTTGCGTAATGTGTCGTCCTTTGTCGTCCTGTTTCTTCACAACACGCTCACTGTACCTGTCGTTCATCATCATCATCATCATCTTTCAACCCCCGGCACGCCCTTTGTCGTACAGGGTGAAAAGGGACCGTCGCAAGTGCCTTCAATCGTTCGTCGTTGGTTTGGTTTTTTCTTGTGTTTTTTCGCCAAATACGAGGGGCACTCTCCCGATCGGCCCATCATTTTTTTTTCGTATTCATACAGCGAGCTAAGTTACCTGAAGGATATTAAATTGTTAGTACGAAAAATACTACGACCCACCCACGCTAGCCACTCAAGCCCCAGAAGATTTTTCGTTATCAAGTGTGAAGTAGTTAAAATGATGCTTACCTGTCATTTTACCTCGTGCGCATCATGCAATAGCCCTCGCCATGTTGTTGATACTGTGACCTCCGCGATTTGTCTTTATGTAGAACAAGGCCCGCTCTATGCGGGCGCGGCTTTTTAAGTAAGCCCACCTGGTGCGGTGTGGGTGCAGCTAAAGCCTATAGCCTAGATCATTCATCGATCTAGAGTTCGTTTTTACTAGGTCTTTGTCATTATAGACGACCCTGAACAACGAGCAATAAAATGCCGGCGAAGACTGCCTACGAGGAGATGGAGGACCTGATCACGACGGTCTTCTATCTGCTCGATGTTTCTCAGGACGGTACGCTTTCCATCGACGAGTGCGGCCCGGTGCTCCGGTACCTCGCCCAGGCGATCGGGTCTTTTTTGTCGCCCAACGAGCTGGATGAGATCTTTCGGGAGTCCGCGGGCTCCGATTCCAAGATCGACCTGGACGAGTTTCACGATCACATGCAGGGTTTGCTGGAGTCCTGTTCGAAACCAAAAAAGCTGCAGAGCGCACTGATCGAGTTCGCCGCAAAGAAGTCTTTCGAGCAGAACCGTTGGGTTTTTGTGCCCTGCTACGGGCACGAATTGGGACAGGGGCAGGTAAGTAGGATATCAGCAGGAGCCGGAGGGGGTAGCAATGGGAATGCAAATAAAAACGGCAATAAAGAGCAACCGCCTCTGAATCCAATGGTGCAGAAGTACAAACAAGATCCGAAGTCTTGCAAGACCCTGCAGCAGATGAAACAGCTGTACCCAAACGCCAAGTCCGGTTACTGGTACAACACGAAAACGCACAACGTCACCCCGGTCGGGTGGCCGAACCAGCCGGCGGACCACCTGGATTTTATCGAGGTGCCCTTCTTGACCATCCCGATCCACCAGACGGACGGCTACCGCAATTTTCCGAACGACAGCCGCTGCAACCCGTTCGCGCTGGCCACCACGCTCAAGAACGAGCACGCGTTGCTAAAGAAGGCGGATTTGGGCGTCATGGTGGGCAACTGGGTGGTGCGGGATTTATTCGAGCCGGGAAGTACGGGCGGGTTCGAGTCGCCCGCGAGCGCAACCAGGGAACCGATTAGTGACAGAAATGGTTCCAACAGCAACGACGAAACGAGCCAAGGAGCGGTGAGGTTTGATGACCAAAGCACGACGACCGGCGCGATTGATGCGCTGAACTCGTGGGACATCACCATCACGAAAGATTTCACGTTTAACCTCCAGGAAAACCAGTTTGCCGCGGAGCCGCTCCCGAAGGAGCGATTCCAGATGTGCTTGCCGAACGACGTGATCCCTTTCCTGCACTTCAAATCCGTGTACCCGCAGTTCCACTTCTGCTGGCGGCTGGACTTGGAGCAGAACGACGGGTCGCGCGCGAACATGCTGGGCCCCTTTGTCCCGGTGCGGTCGGAATTTGCGGAGCAAAGCTCGGAGCCCGCTCCACCGACGCTGTGGTTCCAGAACTTGGACGACGATTTCTGGATGTACCCCATGGACGGCTTCAATCAGGAGTTTCTGTCCGCGAGCAGGCGAAGAAGCTACCTGGGCATCTCCACCGCGGTCGATAGGCAGGAGAGAAAACGGAAAGCCGAGCACCCGTTCACGCTCTTCGACGGCCCCTGGACGTTGTACCAGCACGCAGACAGCGTCAACCTCGCCGCGTCAGCGGTTAGCACGACGGGGCAGAAGAACTTAGCGCCGGCGCTCGCGGACCTCGGGAGAGTGCTGAAATTCCGGTTGACTGGTGGAAGTTACCTGCCAGGAGCGGGGGAAAAGGGCGGGGCGCCGACGAACAACAAGCAGGAAGCAGGAGACCACAGTGATCAGTTGATGGAATTAGAAATATGTGAGCCAGATTCCGTGTGTCCGCACTTGCACATGAAGCTGCCCTGGTGCAAGCAATTTCTGGAGGAAACCGGCGACCGACCGATCGTCAGGCTGGAGGACGATTCGGAGCTGGATAAACTGATGGGGATAAGCCCCTCAGCGGAAGACCAAACGGAGAAGGAAACCGATGGCAAGAAGAAAAAAGGAAAAAGCCCTCGGAGCCGGGCGAATGTCGCAAGGAAGCAGACTGCCGCAGAGTTGGAGGAAAAGGCGAAACAGACGAAAAAGGAGCAGCTAAAAGAGATTCCCGCGAATACAAAACTACGGTTTATCCCATTTCAATGGGACCCGTATCAGTACAAGCGGGACATGTTCTGCGGCCCCGAGGGGATTCTGTTGGAGAAACGGTTTGACGTGACGCAGTTTGACGGGGTCTACCTTGTCACCGCGCTCGACCGGTTAGACAAGCCCATCGTGAACGACAACAGCAAAGCCCCGACGAAGTTCCGCGTTCACGTGGAGCACGGGGAATTCACGTTCCCCGCGGAGATCGCATCGCCGGATGTCATTCAGACGTTGCAGCTCTCGCTCCGCCCGGGCTCCGCGACTGGGACGAGCGCGAAGGCCGCGAACGACGCGATCCGAATGAAGCAAATCCCCGCAAATGCGGACATCTTTTTCGACTTGGAGGCACCAGTCACCCACTTCGGCGATCGCGGAGAACCCGCACGGTACTACCAGAGCCTTGACGATACCTATGAAGGGTTGCAGATCATGGACGAAGATGCGGAGGAACAGCAGGCCCAACAAAATAAGCAGGCTCAACATCCGCAAACGAAACTTCCGCAATTCCGTTTCGAACTAGATCGCGAAACGGTCGAGGAGGAATGGTTTGACGGGGCTTTTTCCTTCCTCCTGGAGAAGCAAGTTCCCTTCACGAAATACGACGGCAAGTACAACTTCAGTTGCCAACTAGAGCAGGACTCGCTGGATTCCAGCGGGGAGGTGGTGGTGAAAAACGGTATGTTCACCCTGCTCTTCGTCAACCCCGACACGGGGAACGTGACCTCAGTGAAGTCCGCTTTTGAGGAGGAGAAGCCAGAGCCAACGATCTCCAACCTTCCGCAGAATGAAAATCTAAATCCGAACGACGTGACGCCGAATCTGACGCCACGACCGCGCCCGCCGGGGGTGACGGATCTGGAGCAGACGAAAGCTATGAAGATGAACGAGAAAATCCAGCCGGTGTTTTTTCACTTCGTTCCCAACGACGACACGACGAAATGCGTCTTGCAGGTGGAGGATTTCGGCGAGCTGCGGTTTCAGCACCCGGAAAACGCCAACATTTCCGCGGTGTTTTCCAAAATCCACGACGTGCACGAGAACGTGGTCGAAAACGTGGCCGCGCACTCGCCGGAGTCGAAGGAACTACTGACGCAGTTGAAGGGTCACTTCGTGATGAAGGTTTTCGCCCAGGAGGAGCGGGTGGTGAACACGAAGCGGCAGGAGAAGCAACTGCAGATGCTGGATGCGGAAATCGAAGCGATGTCGATGAAGGACGAGAAATACATGATGCCTTTTCCCGACCTGAATGACGGGGAGGAAGATCAAGACCTGAACAGTACCACCACCGGGGAGGGTGGAATCAACGCCACTACGGACATATGCATTGCAAAAGCATCGTACTAGAACTAGTATAAATTGCATCACAAATTTTGGCAAGAAGGGAAGTGGAATTTGTAATGCTGTTTTCCCCTCGGAAAAGCATATTTGCAATGAGTACGAGTACGATACTTTTGCACAGGATAGGACACGCAGTCCGAGGACAAGCTGCTCTTCGAGCACGATCAGACCAGACAAGCGAGCACCGGGGAGGCGCTGAACTTGCAGGTGAATGTGGACAAACTTGGAAACCTCGACCTGCACTTTCCCTACCAGCCGACCATGAAGGGCGTCCGGTTCTTTCCGCCCGGGGCGAACAATCTCCCCAACTTCCACTTTATCATTCCCGAATGGAACCACGGTGCTCTCATGCTTCCCGAGGACGTTTCGATCTCCGTTTTGTCAGCGCAGTTGCGCGAGCGGGAGTCGTCGGTCGTCATCCCCTGGATTTACAAATCGTTGCGGCCCATCGTCGGCGTCGGAGATACCTTGGCCTCTTCCGCGAGCTTTTTCTCCCAGCAGAACCAGCTGCAGCGAATGCTCCTGTCCGCCCGGATCTTCTGGGACCGCAGGTTTCACGTGGGGCACTTTGACGGACGGTGGTTGCTCCGGTTCTTCGACTTGGACCTTGTCGAGGAGTATGAGAAGGCGATGGAGCAGAAAAACGTCATACAGGTTCTTCCCGCATCTCCAAACGGAAACAGGAAAAACAACGGCCATTCCCCCCGCGGGGGCGGCGCCGGGAATAAAGCGCAACTTGCCCGAGCGAACACGGTCGCGCTGCAGCCGCCGCCACCGCTGGTGGAGATTCGCTGTTCGATTGAAGAGGGCGAGCTGATTCTCGCACAGAGGGAGGACATCGCCACGTTATCTGCCGAGGAAGCCAGCATGAGCCTGCACGAAATTCTGTTTGGGAAAGACTACGGGGACGTGACGCAGATGAGCAGCGGTGGAACAAGCGGCAGTGCAGGTGCAACTTCTGGCACTAGTAGTGCGCAGAAGAACAAGAAGAACTCCTCGATCCAGCGACCTGGGGATCTCTATGGGTCTTACCATTTTTCTGTCCCGGGTGCGAACCCCAACAGCAACGAGATGTCTTCCTTTGTTTTCGATGCGTCTGGCTACGACACGGAGCAGCCGCTGAAGTCGCAGCTGGTGGAAAAAACGAGGCAGATGGGCCTCCCGCTAAACTGGCTCAGTGAATCGAAGAAGTGCGAGATGCGGGCGATTTTCGAACTCACGCCATCGTTCCTTGACGGACGGTACGTGATGAAAGTGGAGGTGAATTCCGGAGACCGGATCCTCTGTTCCCTCAAGATCGAGCACGGGGTGTGCAAGATGCCAAGCGTTTTCGGTCCGGGAGGCGGTTTCGGCACCACGAACTCCCTAATCTCGATCGCAAAGGACGACATGCAGCTTGATACAACCAAAAAGGAAGACTCGAAAAAAGAACACATCAAATTTTCCAAAACGCGCGTGGCTTTGCCGCTGCGGAACCGCTTTCTCGGCGGGACGGGCAACGCGGCGACCCCGGGGTCCGCGAAATTTCCCTGGTTCAACCCGAGCGAGGGGATGACGTTTGAGCTCGACCCCGCAAAGCAGGCCTTCCCGAAGCAAATGACAAGCGTTACGGTGAAGCACGAAGACGGGACGGAGACGACGGCCAAAAAGGAGCAGAAATTCGAGCTGAAGCAGTGGGAGCTCGACCCCAGTGCCGTACAGAAATTGCACCGGTTGAACTTCACTTTGACGAGCAAGTTCTTCGACGACGCCATGTGCAGTTACGGTCGGGTTCTGCTGGAAAGACGATACGTGGTAAACGTTTTCGACGGGCTGTGGACCTGCGCGTTGGTACGAGGGACGAAACAGCTGTCCGACTTAGAGCAAACCGGTTCCCCGAGAGGCGACGAGGGCGAAAAAACAACTGCAGAGGAGCAGAAGCAAGACCAGCAGCCGGCTTCGCAGAAGCACGCGTTCTCCGCGAATCGTCAGCAGAAGGTGGAGCAGGAGAAAAGCCTGACGGCGGACAAACCGAAGCTGTTCGTGAACAAGCAAGCACAGGAAGCACAAGAGCTGAAGGAGACGATTGAGCAAATGCGCATGAACTTCAAAGTCCCGGAGGCGGTGATCACCGTGCAAAACGGCATTTTCCACATGAACAGCCTGCGGAAGGTGGTTCCCATGGACTTGTTCGATTTGTCCATGCACGCGCTGAGCGACGAGTTCTGCGTTCGGCGCCCGGGCACGGGAAAGGAGCCCGAAGATCCGAAGCCGAAGGAGTACTACTTCGACACGCCCGACTGGACGCGATTCGCGCTCGACGTTGCGGAGTCGGACGACTTGCGGAAAATCATGAATCGCGGTGGTGGTGGGGGTGCCAGGACGGGACAATTCCAGAAAATGAAAACCACCCCGAACCTGAACAGATCCTCCACCGTCGCAGCAGTCGTCGGGGGCAGCAAAGGGAACAAGCCCGGAGAGCCGGAGAAACCGCAGGCCATGCCAAAATTGGTTTGGCGCAATTCGGCACAGTTCCAGGCACCGAAGATGTGCCGATTCATGAAACACTCGATTTTCACGGACCTGGAGAAAATCGTCTGGACGAAAATCGACGTCTGCAAGGACTTCGACGGCAAGTGGACGTGGGAAATCGGCTCCTTGCAGAAAGCGGAGGATTCGATCACGGGGAACAAGTACCTCGTCTTCGTCCCGGACAAGGGCGGGGACAACGAAAAGGACGACGGGGAGGAATTCAGTTTCGACCTGCGGCAGGTCGCGGCAAACGCGGAGGTGGATGTGAAACGAGAGACCATTGAGGATGACACGACGTCGACCTTTGGCGGCGCATCAGCAGTAGAACTCCAACCGGAGAAGGAAAAGGGCCCGAAAATCGTCCGCACCACGACCGAAATGGTTCTGGCCGTGAAATCTGGTTTGATCTCTGTGAACAACGAGAAGATGTCGATCCTCGAGAAGGATCCGGATCGGGTCAACGTGCCCCGGTACGCGCAGAGCCTGGACGACCGCGAAAACTTCTTCGTCCTCGAGTCCCCGGATTTGGAGGAACTCAGGAAGCAAACCGCCTCCACGGCGTTGGTGTCCACGCTGTCCACGACGGGTTCGAAGTCTGGCGGCAAATACAGCCGCGCCGACCGACTCAGGGGAAACGACAAGAAGATGAAAAACGACAAGAATAAGCCCCAAGTCCAGGGCCACTGGGCGGCAAACGTGACGGAGCTCCAGTTTCGGGTGCAGAACCCGAAGAACGAGGAGGACCGCAAGGTGCGGATGCGCTGGCGCCGCGAACCCGAGCCGGATGCAAAATTGCAGAAGTTGCTGAACGCGTTTGCGGGGAAATGGCAGCTGGAAGTGTACCCGTTGTTCACAAGTAACGAGCCGGAAACGATCTTGCAAACGACTGTTGGCGTCGACGGGCGGTTCAAGATGGCCGGAGAGATCTTCAAGTACCGACTGAAAGGCCCGGACAGAAGGTTCCAGGCCCTGCACTTCGAGCTTCCCGACATCGGGTCGAAGGCGCCGGTAGACATTCCGGTCAATCTGCAGAGAAGAGTGAAGGTCGAAGGAGAAGAGGACGACGGCAAGAAGAAGGCGCCAAAGCCGCTGTACAAGATGCAGACCGCAAACGTCGCGATGAACGCTTTTGGTGCGGTGAAGGCGTTGTCTCCGGTGGAAAAAACGGAGAAGCCAAAGTCCCGACCGGTTTCCGCGATGCTGCTCCGACCGAGCTGCAACATCGGGGATGAGCGCATGGTCTTCGAGCTGTCGAAAGAAGGTGAGGGGCCGTTCAAAATCGTCTTTGTCCGCAAAGACCCCTTCCAGAGCGCATTTGGCGCGAAGATGGGGGCGAGTCCTGCGGCAGGGAACAACCGCCACCGGTCGATCGATATCGCCAGTAACTTTAACGGCGTCTACCGCATGTGCTACAGCGTGCCCCGAGGGAAATTGGGACTACCGGCCCTGAACAACAGTGTAGTGGGTACTTCTAGTTCGGGAAATGTCGCCACAGCAAGCGGAAAGAAAAGCACGAGTCAAGTTCTCGACATGACGTGCCCCGTTTCGGTCGACCGGGGGTTGTTCCTTTTTCCAACGGCCGAGGCCGCAACCATTCGCCCGGCAGATTTGTCCATCTGCGAGACCATCTACTTCGAGTGTCCCACGCAATTTGCGGAGTTGGTGGTGAAGCCGTTCCTGCCCGTGAATCGACCGGGATCACCCTCATCTCCCGCCGGGGGCCACGAGCCCCTCATTCCAGAAAGCGACCTGCTCAAAAAACCCGAGAAGTACATCTTCCGGCTGGCGAAAGGCGCGCGCGCCGAATCAACGACGCTTGAGTTTTACTACGAGGACCAAGCGTTGAATGTGAAAATCAGCATAATGTTGGAGAAGATCGCCTTCCTGGATAATCTCCCAGTCGAAAACCCGCTCAACACGCTCATGTCGCCGAAGCTCGCTACTCATTTGCTGAAAAAAGCACAAATTCCCGACCCGTTGCATTTCGCAGAATCATTGGTGATCAAGAACTTTCTTCCGCCCGTCGAAGCGGGGTTCGAACCCAACTCCTTCCCGAGACAGCTGAAGAACCTTCCCACTCGGTTCACGCTCGCGGTGTACTGCGAATCCGAACGGAAGCAGTTTCGGCTGACGCGCGTGCCGGCAATCCAAACCACGTCTGATTGGGAGCAATGGCAGCTGGGGAAAGCGAGTTGCGCACAGTTGCTGAACTTCGGGATGAGCGACATGAGCAAGAATTGCGTCTACAAATGCCCGAATCAACTCCAAGTGGGGTCCGTTTTGCAGTTTCGATTACATCTGGAAGAGAACACCGTGAACAACTTGCCCAGCGCTGGTGACAACGCGACTTCTTCTCTCTCGGACAATAACGAGACCGAGCCGTTTTACTACTGGCGTATCCAACCCGGGAAAAACAACCTCACCATCGACATGGAACTCCTCGAGGATTGCATCATGCGGCTTGGCTCCACCGGCCTGAAGCAGATGTGGTTGGGGTCCAGCTACACAAGCAGTCCCGCGACGACCCAGTACAGTTTGATGGCAGAGCAGAATCTTGAATTCCAACAAGCCGCGTTTTACTTCAAACAGCAGAAGGGCGGTTTGTGCGCACTACCGGTGGTTCAGTCGTACCTACAGACGAGAAATCTGCTTCCCATAAAGTCCCTCAAACTCGACAAGCCGCCGATGCCGAACGGAAAGTTCCCGATTACCATTGATGTCGGCGCGATGGAAAACCAGCACTGTCTCGGTATGCGGGTGGTTTTCCTTGACCCTCTTGGCTTCCTTTTCAACTCCTCCGCAAACGCCGGTGGGGCGTTCGCCAAGACTATGCTGGCATCCGCAACCGGCGTCGCGGGCGCGGTCAGCGCTACGGAAAAGAGCCAGATGCTTCTGCGAAAGCGCAGCTCCAATCAGATCCTCCGGACCGGAGGGGACGATCCGGGGAGGCTTCTGGAATTGCTGCAGCAAACCGGGTTGGACACCATTGTGCAGCAAAGCGCGCCGGCGAGCAATCTTGATGGGGAGCAAAACACGAGATCGGTTCTGTGCAACCTGGATTTGAATTCCCCAGCAGTCCGGGCCCTGAAATACAACAGCGCCTTCGGAGGCTCGCAGTCCACCGCGAAGTTCGCGCTTGGGCCGGACGACGAGGCAAACCTCGCCAATCCCGGGCACTTTGACAAGTTTGAATTGGTTTACCTGGACCCGGTCGGATCATTTTACCGGAGAACACAGGAGCTGCAGAGTCAGAAGTCGAACGACAACCACGTGAAGCACCAGAAGCCGGAGATTGGTTTGTTTGTGGACAGGAGAAAATTTCCCGCCTTGCTCGGACAGAAACCCTTGCCGCGAATCGCGGAGGACGAGTACGCCTTCAAGTTGATTGACACCGACGCGGAAAAGGAGTTGATTGATTCCGATCAACTGACGAGGGAGGAGATCCAGTTTTTCCGGAACGCGAAGCTACACTTGGATTTCAGCGACGATGTGCCAAAGGTGCTGGGAGCTGCGACTACATCGAGCGGCAGTAAGGGTGCCCTTGTCGGAGCTAGTACGACCGATCGCCAGCTAAGTACCTTCGAGCAGCAGCAAAGCGTTGCGAAGTTCCCCGCGGGGTTCTCGGTCGACCTCGCGGACGACGACAGCAGCTTTCTACAGGACCGCGAAAAGCGTTCGGCCTTCATCGAGTTCTTGGAAATTCGCCGGACCGACATTGTCCCTGCGCCCGAGAATAACACGGACAGGATATCCTATGTAAAAACGTCCCCACCCCAGAGTTGTCATGCAAATGCGCAAGGGCAGGAACATCTGTAATGCGCATCTCCATGGGAGGCATTTTCAGTCGTGTTTTGACATTTGTAATGCTGTAAACAGGATAGAAAAGTGGCTTTGTCATGCGGCTTTCCTTCCTAGCCAGTACTACACTGCAGGTGGAAACTTGTCATGCAGAACTCCCAAAGCAAGAAAATTTGTCTTGCAGACTTCCCATCTTGACTATGGTGTGGGGACGTTTTTACATAGGATACAGGAACCCCAGCGACTTGAAGAAAGACTTGGAGTTCTATCGCAACGCCGCGGGGCCGCTGGTTCCAGGCTTCGGCTTATCCAGGAAAAAACACCCATCCACATCCAATTTGTCATGCAAAACATAGACATACATAAAGTCCTGTGTTTGTCATGCAAAAAATGGATGTGGATGGGTCTTTTTCTGTGGATACGGCTTGAACGGTTCGTCCAACGGCGCGACTTCCGGCGTGAAATTTCGGCCAGGGGGAGCACCTGCAGATGATGAAGAAAACGAAGCGGTGGAACCAGCGGACCCCGAACTTGACGAAAATGGGGAGCCCGTAGTAAAAGAAGAAGCCCCCCTGGAAAACGCCAACGATGCCACTGAAGATGATGACAACGAGGACCGCAAGGAACAGGAGCGTGCGTTATCGTACTTTTCCACTGGCAAGCAATGGGACAAGTACATGAAGCTTGAGACTGAAATCACTTTCAAGTGCCTGGATGATTTTCTGCGACGCGACGTCCCGGATACCAGCTACTTCCCGCACGGCCCGGAGCCCATCGCCTTGGAGTTGAAGGAGCGCTCCCTCGCGCTCCAGCAGCGCGAGAGGAACTCGCTGAGGTATTACAACGAAGACAGCGGCAACTGGGAACGCGAGAATTTGGAAAAACTCTTCCCGACGTCGGTTATCTACCCAGGGGGACAAGATAATCGCTCGGAGAGCGGCGCGCCGTCGAACAAAAACGTGGCAGACCAGCAGCAGTCGCCTCATCAAATGAAGAGTACATCGTCGTCGAAAGAGCATCAACTAGCGGGGGCTGCGACGACTAACAATCCCAATGTGCAACTTTTTGTTTCCAACAACATGACGAAGAACAGTATTCTGATCAAGGAACTTCCTTCCGCCGACAATAACAACGACGGTAATCCGGTTGAAATTCAAATCGACAAACTTTCCCCCAACATCGACTGCAGTGCGTTGATGCCAGCGAACGCTGGAAATGCGACGTTCCGCGTCGGATCTCGACTCGGAGTCTACCTGCTGGGGGATCGAGATTACAAAAAAAACCCTTTGATGATTCAAGAGCTCAACCCGGATGCGAGCTGTCTGTTTGGCCTCCCGACTTTCAATCGTATCGTGCTCGATGACGACTTATTGAAATTCTATAAGCAAATCAGCCTAAATATCAGGGGTGGCAGCAGCTCCGGGAGCGGCAGTCCGAGCGGGGGAGCAGGCGGATCATCATCTTCTCCGTCAAACTCGCGCAACAAGGCGGAGAAATCCGCTCTCCCACTGTTGGAGCACCTGACGCACTATGAGGCGAAGCAGTTTGCGTTGCAGCAAAACTTGGTGCACTTCCCCCCGCCGAAAACCGAGGCGGAAAAGAAAGATATGGTCGAAGAGCAGTGGCAAGCAGACACGCTCCTGAGCATCAACAAGGCGGCGCCGGTGGAGCAGCCAGAAAATCTACACCCAAAGGATGGTGGTGCTCCTGCGTCGACGGGTGCACCAGTAGACGAGAACACTCAACAAGAAAGCACCGAGGGCGCTGGAACAATTCTCCACCAGCAAAGCCAAATTTCAAGCACCTCAACAGGCGAAACGCCACTTGGTGCGTCGGCGAACGATGCGACTGTCGGTGGTATCACGATAACAGGCGAGGGGATCCCCGTCATCGAGGAGCGGCAGCTGATCAGCGACTTGTGTTTTCGCTTTGAAGAGCGACCGCATAGCTTGTACGCAAAAACGGTGCAGGCAACGAGCGGAAGTAGCAAGAACATACTTGGCATCAGCGCGATGCAGAGAAAGAAAGATCTCCCCGTCGAAATATTCAACCGTAGTGCGGAGAAGTGGGAGAAATACCAGTCGGTGGAGGAGTGGCTTGCGAAGTTAGGCGATCAGGATATGACTTTGGAGCCTTTGTTGGACCAAATACAGAGGACGGGCCCCTTGATGGTCGCATTTAAATCCAACCCGAGTGATTTGCTCACAGCGGCAATAGTAACAACGGCGAGCAGCAACAGCCATGTTGCCGCGAAATTTGTCGACACAGAATTTAACCACTCCGTTTTTGACACGCCTGCGAGGAGTAGTAGTGGGAACAGCAGGACCAAGTGGCTCCGGGTCTCGGAAGTAGGCAGTTACACCACATCATCATCAACAGTAGCTGTAGTTGACCCTCCAGCAGGCGATAGTGAAAATAAAGAAACCGAAAGTAGTGCCACCCCACCGGTAGTTTCAGCTCCGACACCACGCGGAAAATTTTCAGGAAGCCAAACCATACAGATCCCCGCGGATTTCGACAGCGATGCTGGTATCCAGCATATCGCCAACTTTTTCACTACGAAGGGAGCTTCATCTTCAGCAACCGACGAAACAGAAGGCGCAGGTCCAGATGGAGATGAAGCAGAAAAGGCTCGACAGATTGCCGACTGGCGATTTGCGCTCCGTGCACTTCGGCAGACCGTAAAGAAAATCACCGGCACACCCGCAGCCGGGTTTTACGTTGTGACGCACCGGATCGCACAGAGCGGAGAGGTGTGCTACGTGTTGGTGGATGATTTCTTGCCAGAGCAGCTGCAGGTGTTGCATTCTAGCACGTGGATTTTGCTCAAAGTACTGCTCAAGATCTACGGTCGAAAGCCGGAGTTCGCGATTCAATTCTAGAAATAAAGTCGAGATACCGATTTCGACGACGTGGATATGCGAATGTCAGAAGTTTATTTTACCAGTATAAAGCGCAGCTGCGCTGCAGCACAAAACTTAAATTTATCTTGTTTTTTCCATCCTTAGTTACCTCACATTTAGGAGCACCTTGAGCTCGAGCTCCTTTCTCATCGTATTTTTTTGAAAGTGACGAGCTACAACGACCTATTTCCCCCACTCTTGAGCTCGAGCTAGCTAAGCTTGAAGCTCCAGATGATCCGTTACTTCTCATGACTATGACTTACATATGAATACCGCTATTCCTCGACGCCATCCCGCGATTTTCATTTTCAGCAACAGTTACAAAACAATCAACGTGAAAAGGACCGCCGGGGCGGAGTGATCGACTGGCACGACAGTGACAGACGGAAGTCAAGACCTAGTGTTTCTACTCTCAAGATGACATGCAAATGTCCTTCGGTGTTCTGCTCCGGCGAGAAGGCGATTATCGCTGCTGCTGCAACCAGATCCAGCAGCAGTAGATCGATAGTGTATCCATCTTTGGTTCATCTGACGTGGTGCATTTCTGTGTAAAAGATCTATGGAGATCGCAACGCCGTCGACGATCTACTGCACGATGATTCCAAGCAGGGAGCATGATCAAAGAAGTGACGAGCAAAATGTCGGCCATGGCCGGAGTTCCCCATGTCGTTCTCCGAGACCGAGCACGGTCGCCTTTATTGTTGCGCAACATCGTGTTCCTGTTCGTTGTTGTCTCTTGCTTGCATCGGTCGAGCGCCACAACAACGACCCCTGTCACACCTCCGTACTACGGAATCGAAGGGCATGTTCGGAGCGGATGCTTCACCAGGACCATGCTCCAGAACTTTCTCGACGAGGCCGCCCTCGTTCGACGAATGTTGAAGCAAGAGTGTGACGAACGCTTGGAACAGCATGCAAATGGGCACAAAAATCCCTATCCCGGTGAAGCGGGACTGTTCTTGGAGCGGTATTTTGCAAATAGCGTTATCCAGCACGAAGGACGAGCGACAAAGGATTATCGGCATCGCACGACACCGGATTTTTCATCAGGCACGACAGGTAGCTCGAATCACGGTGCAAACGAAGACAGACGCCGCGAAGAAGAAGGGCCGCACACCAACAACGATGGGATCATGAATTTACTTTTCGACTTCCATCGCTCTGATCGCGGCACGCGGCAACACAACTACGGTTTTCTGTACGACTTGATGTTTCTGTCTCCCAGCAAATCCTTTCCGCTGCATCGCTGTGACGTCAAGCTCGTGGGCGAAGTTGGCATTGGCCCGCTCACGGATCCACTGCCTGAGATGGAAGCATTAATGAGAAAGAATTCGAGTGCCTCGCCGGCGGGGGATGTTGACGGCGCAACCACGCAACTTCCGAGTCATTGTGCCCAACGCTACGAGCGGTTCGCCGGTATCGAAGTTCGCAAACTAGACGACGAAAACCGCAGAACAAGTGCCGCACCGAAAGATCCTGCGAACAGGCAGCGCGAGGACGCGGTAACAACTTGGCTCTCCAGCTACACTCCTGGTGGCGGGTTGCGAGCTTGGAGCGATTTTTTCCCCAATGCGAAAGTGTACGGCTTCGACATTGACGAAAAAGTGGTGGAGGCGTGCCGAGCGGACATTTTTGCGCAATCCGAAGTGCTGGCTGGTAGTGTAAATGTTCTTGAGGGTCCTGCCGATAAACAGACCAGAAACAAGAACATCAACATTATTCCCTACAGATTGAATTCTTACAACAAAACCGAAGTGGATCATTTTGCCGGTCGAGCACTGCTTTCGAGAAATGCAGATGGCGAAGCGCACCAACAGCTCTTCTTCGACGTCCTGATTGATGACGGCCTGCACGAATACCTGGCAAATCGGGCGACGCTCGCGTTCTGGTGGCGGTTTGTCCATCCGAGCCATGGGGTTTACTTCATGGAGGACATGCCGATCGCCGTGCTTTCACCGCAGACGGCGCAGTGTCCTGCGGCGGGAACTAGCAAGAATATCTGGAACTCGTTCTACGTCGAAGAGGGTGGGGATCACGTGCAACACGTCACAAGCAGGAGGGAATCGTCCTGGTGGCGCAAAAAGGAAACGTCTGATATTGATGACGCAGAGCAGGAGCCAGCACCAGCTGGCGACTTGGAAGACGAAATGGAGCCCAAAGTTTGCCTTTGGCTTGATGCTTTCCTGAACGAAGCAGACGTCCGAAAGAGCCTTGAGCTCGGAAACGGTCACGACGTGGTTGGAGGAAGAAGAGCAGCTTCAGTCGACCACATTTACCACGAGCCCTTCGATTCGCGGGCGAAGAACGCGTACGAGTTTGTGGCTGAAGCCGTTCGACGAACGTCTCTTCGTGAGGTGAGACCTGCACCTGCATCCTCGTCCCAGGAGACGAGTGTTGACAGCGTCGTGCTGACACCAGAGCAAGCGCACCCAGAAGCCATAGCATCAATCGTTCGCCAGTCGGCGTTCGCACCAGTGGCGGGAGGAGCCGCGCGGCACATGGTAGAAAATCAAGTCCAAACAAGAATTGCAGCTCGGCAGGTAATCTTTGAGACAAATCCGCGATTCACATGTTCGTTGCCGAATAAACTTGTGAACTGTTTTGCGGTCAGCGACCCCTTCAACGCCAGATCTATTGTGGTTCTGACGAAGATGACCACTACTGCTTTTACTGCGCATCAGCCTCAAGAAAACGCTTTTGCTGCGACCGACGGAATATCGGGGTGGACGGATGACTACTATCCTCGTCTAGTGCCACAACGCCTGAGCCAGAGCCTGCAGTTTCCTCTCCCCACACGCACGGATCAGTACACGGATGGCACTTGTTGGACTCACTTCGTGAAGAATTTCATCGGTTACATAACCGAAAAAGCGACTGTCAACCGGGGTACCCACGACGCATATCTGACGTCGCCTGCTGCTGGTGGCCCCGGAGATCCAAAAGATTCCGAGCGTGGTAGGTGGCTTCTGTCGCTGGTCCCGGATAAACAAAAGCCGACGCAAGAGAAGATGCAGAAGGTGCAGTGGATCGAAACTTACTACCGATTCACATGCGTGACGGCGAAAGTGGACAGGCGCAGGAGCGACGGTGAGGAAAGCAACTCGGTTCGTGCACTTTTTCTCGCGGGACCATCCGCGGATCGGCGAAACGCGGTAGACCAAGCTGCGGAGCGGCAGTTTTCGGACGTCAAAGTGGCACATCAACAAGAGAGGGCCGCAGGGGCGTACATCGGGATGCATCTTGGCGGCGACCACAGGGAAGGTGCAAGTCGGTCCCCCAAGAACCAGAAGAATGAAGCCGAACACGAAGCCTCGACCGCGGCATTGCTGCGCATTCAGGCAAGCAAAACATCATCTGTGTCTTACCCAGACCTCCTCACAGTTGAAGAACGAAAGCACCACCTCGCGATCGCTGCGGATCTTTTGGAGAACGCGTATGCTGCCGACAAGCTACGTTTTCTCGGCTACGACAACCCAGAGATTGACATCACGGAAGTTGCAGCTGCAAGTAGCGCCGACCCCGACGATCGAGCCATTCTCAGCCGATGTGGTGCGCGCGGCAATGCAGAGTTTGAATCTGAGGTTGGAGATGAAGATTCGGGTAAAACTACCAACGAGCCTCCACAAGAAGCAAAACAAGTGGCAACGCGCATTCTGCCCATGGCGGCCGCCCTTGCGGAGTACATAGAGCACATGTTCAACATTTTGCACCACATCCGGCAAATCAATGCGGAGGACGAACTTGCGCTAATTCTGGATGGTGTTTGGATACAGAAAGCGGCCCGGGAGTACGAAGCGCTTTTAGTCAACGACGTTGGCAGATGGAAGAGGGAGTGCGTACTTGCAGAGTTGGAATTTGAAGACAAGACGAACAGTGCTGCTGCTGCGTCCTCTGTGGAGGATGTTGACAGCCGCAACCCCGTCGTCACCAGTTTTGTCGAGCAGGAACATGCTGACTTGCTCAGGCACGATTTTAGCTTCGAAGGGCAGACGAACACTGTCGTCGGAATGAAAATGATAAACGCAGATGATGTCGAGGCAGAAGACGTTTGGGCACTTATGAGCAAGGCTCTCGTTGCAATACCGAATTCGGACCTTCGGATAGCTGCAGCTTCAAGGGAAGACGCAGGGCATGTCGGAGTTGGAAATCAACAAGGCAGCTTCATGTGTACCAAGTACCATCGCTGGATGTCCCACACCCGCCCACGACTTGCATTTTTTCGCGATCTCGGCGCAGCGTTTTACTACCGCATGTTTTGGCGACGAAGGGACAATTATACAACGGTGATAGAGCCACCTTTTCTGGAGAACGCGAACGCGATGGGCGAAGAAAAAGGGCACGACAGCGGCGCACGGCATCGTCAAGAAGTGGGAAGCAAGATCGAGACCCTGCTACAGTTCTGGCGACAGCTCTATCTTGAATACGCACCGATTTTTGACTTTCTGTGGGCGCTCTTAGTTCGCGCTCCGCCGTACGACTTTCACTCGTGTTGCGGTAGCGGTACAGAACAGAGGAACAGTGAGGACCGCGAAGGTGGAAGCAGAATTCGACAAGTCGAGGCTGCTTCTGCTACACCTACAACTGACACAGTGAATAGATCGGCATCGCCCGCCGAAGCAACTCCCTCAGAAAGGATGTTGGACAACGACCTAGCGCAAGGGGGGTCCTCATGGGGAACGCCGGCCGCAGGGTCTTGCCCGGTAGCAGATCCTGACAAGCAAAATGCATTTCTGCGGACTTGCTGCCTCGCCGCGACAGTCCGATGGACTCGTAATCAAAAAACTCTAGAGTACTTGTCAAAAAGCAGGACAAGCAGAAGCACAAAAGAAATGAAAAATAAGCAAATAAAGTCGCATTCAACATGTACGAAGCACAAGAAACAGCAACGCTTCAGCAGTGCGCAGCTCCTCCGTACGCTTGATACTTGGGCACCAGCCCGAGTAAGAGATCGTGCAGCTGCGTGTGACTATATCGTCGAGCCAAGAATGCGTATTGTGAAAACTGTTTGTTTGTACATCGTTGTCGTTCATGGTTGTTCGCTTTATTCCCAATCCAATGATCTGGTTCAGGTTTAGGGCAAGTACAGGTAGATACTAGAAGCAGTTGTCAAATTATTGCATCGTCGTGGTTTCAGTTTCACTTCGTCTAAGCTCTCGTCCTGTCGTTGAGTCTACACATAATTATCGTCGTTCATCCTTGACCTTGTGTGAGTTTTCGTTCACATTGTCGTCCGCACGCGCTTGAATCATGAAAGTCTCCAGTCATCTTCAAAACTCTAACTACCGGAAATTGTCCCATCAGGTAAAAGTGTTGGAAAACTCATCTTCTTCCTCGCTACAAACACATCCAGCAACCGAACCTACTTCACGAATAATTACCTGCTCTACCTGCTGTCCAAAAACATTGCATACGAGTAGAAATCTAGATTTCGTGTTGTAATATACTTGCTGTACAAGAAGGCTAGTATAACTTCGACTTTCAAAATACTAATTGCTTGTTGCGATTGCACGACAGCTTGAACTTGCTTTTGTATTACAAAGCGTTGCTGAGTCCTTTTCTTCGTTGCGTTACTTCGTGATCTTGTACGCTTCTAGATAGAAGACTGCACCCATGCTGCCCGACTTCGAGAACAACCAGCAACAGGGCCGCCTGCGCGGACTGCGGAGCAAAAGCGACGACGACGAGGAAATGATGTTTGGGGGGCAGAAGAAGAAGCGGGAGCCACTTTTCAAGTAAGCAGCACTTTTGTTTTCTCTACTCTTGGTTGCTAATTTCGTTTTTCAGTTTCAGCATCGCTATGAACGGCAGAAAAAAGACGCATCTACATCTTTGCAGCCAGCTCTTTTTTGCGTCAACAATGAATACTCACAAATAATCTACCTACGACTACATCGACGGAGAAATTATCAACCAAAAAAGACCAAAAATTGCAAAACGTGTTCCTTCATCAGGTCGTGGAATCCCTTGCACATTATTTTCGGTGTGTTCTTTGGTGCGCTGACCTTGAGCATTTTCCTTCGCGTTCTCTTTCCGTCCCTGTACCACCAGGTTTACGACGACGACTACGAACTGTACGAAGAGGAGTCGTCCGAGGACCCAATTGTGCAGCAGGCGGCGAAGAGCAACAAACCGCCCGTGAAGACGAAAACTACAAGCAGTGTGCCGGTCAAAACACCAAAAAGCTCCCCTGCTGGAACTGGCACCACTGTTCCCGCCTCCGCTGCTGCCAAGAAAACGCTGCTGAACATGAAGCGAACGAAAGTTGTCCGTGAAGATGATTTGTACTCGAACTCAGAGGACGAGTACAATAACATCGCGCACCACGACGAAGACGGGAATTACCCCGCGCGTGTAGACGGCGCAGCTGACAGGAAGATCAAAGCGGCTGCCGCGGCTCCGGCTGGTACCGCGTCGAAAGTGAGCACCTCCACGCAGGACGACGGGAAGGACGCAGCCGCACCAGGCCAACAGGATGTTGCCGAAGGTTCGTTTCTAAATGTTGCCGGGCCCCCGCAGGGTCCGAAAAACCACCAGCAGCGGATTGTGTCGTCCAAGAAGCTGACCACGGCCACCGGGGAAGAAGTGGAGCTGGTGGAGATGGAAGAGACCAAAATGGGCGACGACGACGGCATTACCACTGCGGGCGCCGCCCCCGGCGACGTGCAAACCGCTGACGTTACTGAAATCCAGAACCGAGTCACCAGCATCGGAGAAATTTTGACCAAGGCCACCACCAACATTCTGAAAAAACACAAGAAGAAGAGCCGGTCCACGATTGTCATGACGTAAAAATACGATGTGACCTTTCATGGGTTCTCGTTCTTTTTCACAATGCTTGGTGGTAGCCCCGCCTCTTTTTGGTCCCTCCCCATTCATGTTGCACATAAGTTCCATGATTTACAGACAACGGAATTACCCGTAGTTGGCCTTTGCCGTTTTGACATCGAATCTTCAAGATAAGCAGCATGCTTGTGTAGGAAAGTAGCACTCGCATTGCGGTTTCTGTTCTTTCTTTTTCTTTGTCTTTCAGAAATATTCTCACACCAACATAAACTTATCTTTTTTTTGAATTTCTTATTTTTTCCAGCAAACTCAGTTTTTCATTGTGTTCCAACCTCAACTTAAATTCAAGTTTCCTGATGCTGTTTTCGGACGGTATTTTCCAGGATATGCATATGCAGTCAGTCAAATTGTTAGCGCTTTTGCGCAGTTTGATGGCTTTCCATACGAGCTTACCCAGCACACTGACTAATACTCAACAACTTGTTCAATCAAGTATTCTAACATCATTTCCCAACATTTTGATTTTTCCTTCGATACATGCATGACACGGCTCCCCAAGAGCCACGCAGCCACGGAAGTTGTTGTTACCCACAACAGCGTCCGTGCTATTCCTCGCACGGTATGTTGAAATACAATTCAGTTGCACAACCCGACTTCTACTAAATGCACAATCATCGCCACGACGGCAAAACCACGACTGCAAGGCGATGCATCCACCAACAAGTAATATGTTCTTCGACAGCTACCTCCTTGGTTTCATCGTGCGTCGACAAGTGACAGTGGTGTCTTCACAGGAAGATGAAGATCTTCTGTATCTTTTCAAGAACATGAATACGAGCGACCATCGGGCAACGATTTGACCGATAACCTCGGCGCTGCAGCTGCTGACGAATTGCAGCAGAGAAAAGCGCTTCGGAAAGATCAATACCAACTTTGCAGGGCCGCCATGTTGATCGAGGTTGCCAAACAAAGCGAAAGTAACTGAAAGATCCAGTATCATGAAAATGAATCAACAGTAGCAAGCCTGCTGATAGAGATTTGAACTATTTGATGAAGTAAAGTACTCATCTCGGACGGTTCTTCTTTTTCATCTTCACGTTCTTGAAGCCGTCTTTCTTGAAAGAGTTGCAAGATGCCGATGTTTTGCGCAAAGTTTTTCGGTCGGTTCAAGGACGAGCATGCGGATTCTGGGAACGAATCGGACGAAGACAAGACCGCGAAGAAGAAGCCGGCAAAAAAGGCCACAGAGAAGAAGAAGGGAGGTGCCTCCACCATTGCGCTGGCACCGTACATGGCACCCTTGCGGGTGCAGGTGACCAGGGATGGCAACACGGTAAAGAAGATCATCGCCTGGCGGTCAAGAGTCATAGCTTTTCTCACTTCTCGAAGGATGTCATGCGTTTGTCCCGTTTTTTTAACACTTGAGACTTTCGTTTTGGTGGACCCGTGGTTCGTTGTTTTTGCCTACGACTAGCTCTAGCACGACTAGTACGACTCATGTTTTCCCACAGGTAACTCAAGAATTGCTCCGCATCCGCGCGGAGAACAAGAAAAAAGACTTCAGCAGCGACATGGTGGAGGCCATTTCCGAGCTCCCCAAGGTGCACACCATTGAGATCACGAAATGCGGGGTGAATACCCTTCCCAAGCGGCTCACCGAGATGTATGACCTGCGGATTGTGAAAATAAGCGGCCATGCGTTGAAAACAGTGGACATGCGGCTTGGCCAGGTGGAGTACTTGGAGGAGCTCCATCTCGATAATGGGTTAATCAAGGCCATCGAGCCGAGGACTTTTGCCGCGGAACGGTTTGCCAACCTTTCTGTGTTGAACTTGAAGGGAAATCAACTGGTTTTCCTCCCCCAGGACTTCGCGTTTTACACGAGCAAATTGGAGTATCTGGACCTGTCAGAGAACAAACTGGTGCAGCTGCCGGAAAGTTTGTTTCTCGGAAAGTGCAAACTCGTGCTGCAAGTTCTTCTGCTGGATCACAACAACCTCCAAACGCTCCCAGAGTCGATCGAGAACGCCAAGCAGCTGCGAAAACTGTTTCTCTCCTTCAACAATTTGACGTCGTTGCCCTCCGGACTGGGCGGGTGTGTCCAGTTGGAGAAACTTCGGTTGGTGCAGAACCAGCTGGAGAAGCTCCCGTTTTCGATCTTGAAGATCAAGGACAACCTGAACGAAGTTTTGGTCGACCGGAACCCGTTGAAAATGCCGAGTTTGACGTCCTTCAAGATGGGCGGGCTCACCATGGCATGGCGCTTGCTGGCGGAAGAGCAAGAAAATGTCGAGAAGGCGAAGAAAAAGCAGAAACAGGAGGAGGAGATGGCGGCAATTGGCTTAACCTTTGGCGATGACGGAGACCAACAGGATTCCGGCGGAGGCATGAAAAACGCGATAAAGGACGCGACCGCCGCAGCTGCTGACCCGGCCACCGCGGGAGCAAGCTCATCAGGTAGCAAGGAAAACGCAGGAGCAACGACGGCAAGCAGCAAGGAAGGTGGATCAGCTTCGGCCAGCGGTGGAGGTGCACCAGGTCCATCCGGAGGAGCGGCTGCAGAACCTTCTACCTCGAAGGTAACAACCTCGCCCTCGTCCACCAAGCATCATCCAAAGGCGAAGTCTAACTCCATTACGGACCGCTACTACTTTCTCGGCGTCGAGGATCGCGTTGCGGAAATCCGGCAGATGGAAAACACCTTGCTTCTGCAGAAGAAAAAGGCCGGCATCGACATCGTGCAGAAGGAAGCCAAGCAAAGACTGGAGGACCCTGCGTCGAAAGACAACCTCTCCGAGGAGGAACGCGAGCACCTCATGTTCCTCTCCACCTGCGACGTTTCGACGTACACGGAAAAAATCGCCGTCGCGGAAGTGGATCTCTACCTGTACCTCCTCGTATACGCGACGAAGCCGCTCTACTCCACCTGCCCAATCCTTTTCGACCGGTTTGACACCGGCGACACTGGGTACCTATCCGAGCCGGAGTTCCGGAACTTCGTCGTGAAAATCCCCATCACGTTGCCTGACCACATCGAGAAGCAAATGTGGAACATTTTCCGCCAGGGCGGCAACACGGTCAAGCTCGAGGTTTTCATCGCGGTGTATCACTTGCACGAGTTGCAGGAGAAAGACCCGCAGATCAGCAGGATAACGCAGTTGATGGACCTCGATTACTACGACATGGACGTGGCGGAGATGGAGCGCAGACTGTCCGCGAAGTCGTCCGGTGATGCGGCGCCCACTCTCGATTTCAACGCGGCCGCGGGGTCGGGCGAGTCCGTCGCGATGCACAAGGACGAGGGTGAGGGCGGACACTTGAAAACCGGGAAAAAGAATGACAAAACGGACGACCAGCTGCTGCAGAACGCCTCGAACCAGAAAGCGAGGCAGTTGTCGGACATTCCGGTCTTTTTGGACGCGACCCAATACCTGTCGAAGCAACTGGCCAAGGAAGACGGGGAGTCCGACGACGACTTGTCGGAAGTGGAACTGCATTCGGACGACCTGAGCGACGGCAACGAGGACTTCAGCAGCGACGAATCGTTTGATGCTTTGGACCATTTGAGCACCTTGGAGGTGGTGAACGACGAGGACGTCGAAAACAACGCTGGGTCAGGCGGTGGTGGTCCTGTACCTTCCGCTGCTCCAAAACCGCCTGTAATCGACGACGACGACGAGCACTTTCAGGTTTCCAGTGAGCTGGACCTTGCGAAGATGATGTCGATGGCGATCGAGCAGGTTTTGCCCGCGAAGTACTTGACGACGGTGGAGAAGCACCGACAAACCAACTTCGGCGCAGGAGCTGCGAGTGGGCCAAGCAGTCCGACGGGCGGTGGCACGGGCGGCGCAGCAGGTGGGGGCAAAGGACACGGCGCGGATGATGCCAAAGCTGCAGCGGAAAAGAAGAAGAAACAGCAAAACGCGGGAGGAGCAGGCGGCGCGGCACGCAAGCGGCGAAAGAAAAAAAGAAAATCGCAACTCGACGCTGACGGTTTGACCGGGCCCATGGATCGGAGGTTTCGCACGGATGTGCTGCAGGTCCGGAAGAGCTTGCGAAAGGTGTACCGAAATCTGCCGCAGGAGTCGTTCGAACGGGCGGTCAACTACATTTTGAAGTCGTTGAGGTACATGAAATCCGAGAAAACTGAAACCGCGACCTACTGGTAAGCTTGTACACAATGTTGATGTTCGTCATGAGTCTCTCACCAGACGCACACTCACATGAATCTCTCCATAGCTATTGTTCTGGTTCTGCCTCGACCAGGTACTAGAGATGAGAGGCGAAAAGAGCAGGAGTCAACAAATCTTTGTGAATTTTTCTTCGCGGCAACACACTACAACTTAAGCTTCATTTTCTCTTTCTGTTTGGAATGAAATAATCATATTAAACTACCAGGCACGCATTTGACCCTACCTTCAAGAACTCGCTGGGTAGCAACGTTTACTGCGTGCAATTGCTAGAGGCAATGGGCTTCCTCCGACTGATGAACATGTACTGGGTGTGGCCATGCATCCATCTCGCTGCATGTGGACCCACCTCTTGGCTATGATAAAGCAAACACCTCCCAGTGGCCGCTGCTGTTCTAGCCAGCACGTCGTGCCGCATTCCTGAATCTGACAGATGGAGCTGTTGCTTCTGCGCATGATAGTTCCAACGTACTACACAAGCACCAGATGAGTTGATGTATAGAGTTAGTCGATCGCCGAAGACATTGATTTATCTGTCTCTGTGGTCATGGATACGGAGTGAGGGCCTATTCTGGCTGACGCATGATCGGCCGCCGCGTGTTTGCGTTTTCATATCAGGGGAAGCGTTCTGTTCCGAGCAGATGCTCCGGGACGCACAAGGAGCGTCTTGACGACATGATATTACTGTTTACGCACCTGCGGCAAGATATGGCGAAGAACGGCGTGAATTTCGACGGGTTCTTCAAGTGAAAGTGAAAGGTGTAGTTTGTTGTGGTGCACAATTATGCTTCTGCTGGTGCCCTCGAGGACAGGCTTTGAGTTTGATAGGGTGTTGTTCGCTGCAGAACACAAAGATACACACATTTGATACACATGTTTCCTCTCTTTTTACTTTGTTTTCGCATTCCAAATCCAAACCAACCGACAAAACAGAGACACGAATGGCTATATTTTTCAACGTTTCCAATTTTTGGTCGATGCAGTTTTTGGTTGAGACAAAAAACTACTGACGCGCAGTTTCGACGAGCACGAGCATGCTCGAAACTACAGGCAGTTTCTGCACGATCCGTTTTCGCGCTTGTATTCGATGAAGTGCTAACGACCACAGAAAAGAGAACTGTTCACGATTTTCATGCGCTCTGATGTATCGTGTGATGATGCTCGAACAAAAGTCGCTCCTAGAAGGATTCGTCAAACGAGTAGAGTCATCAAGATCTAGATCAAACGAAAAAAATCCCGAACTGAACAGGAACATAGATCTTCTTCGTGAACTGTCAAGCCTCAAGCTTCAGCTTTGTAGAAGTGCATAATAAGATACCTGATTTACATTTTTCTCGTGCGCACTCCAATATTGAAAAAGTAAAGAATAAGAAATGAAAAAAAAAAAAAATGAACTCAGACGGGAAAGCCAGCTTCAAATCTGGATGTGCCTAAGGGCAAGAACGAGATCTCATACCGATACCAACATAATATGTAAAAGAGTTGTCAAACTAGAAGATGATCTGAGACCCGTCGTCGTTGTCTTCAATAAAATAGTCATAGAACGAACCACCTGGAAGAATTGCACAAAACCAGTACAGAAATACTTGTTGTAAATTTCGCACGCCTCTAGGGAAACGGAAAGAGAAAGAGTCAATGATTTAGACGATACTCTCCTGCCTAGACAAATGGCCGAAAACTTTACTCGCGTATTTTCGTTTCATATCTCAATTAAAGTTTCTTGTTGCAACTACTAGTGATAGTATAGAAACCTCCTAGTGTTGCAGCTTTTACTCTTGCAAGTAAAAGTCATTCAAGTAGGATTAGAATCTCTATAATTTTGCTCCGCAGCCCGAAAATTCTAAGGGCTAAGGTTTACCTCTCATTGCATTCAGTTTCCATACATGATTCAAATTTGAGTTCTTGAGCATCTGTTTGAAAAGTATAATAGGTGGCACAAGCAAATAAGGGTGCGCTAAGTTAGGATCTGGAACCACACAAGTCAAACCAAGAAGAATAGAGTAAACCTTTGTAGAAGCTAAGTAGCGACAACAAGCGTCAATAAAGTACAAGTGCCAAAAAAAGTTGTTGCACGAACCCACCATCAACGGAAGAAGTGCCGGAAGTCTTTCCAGAACAAAGCTAAAGCACCGGCTCGGGAAACGCGAGCAGGAAAAAAAGTATCTACTGCAGCGAGTGCGAGCAGCACCGAAATAAATGCCCCTTTTATCCAGAAAGCACCACCTCTTGACGAATTTCTATTTTCCACCACCAATTTTTAATCACAAGTAAAGCCAGCTCCAGTGCCCAGCATGGAGGACTTCGACGGCGGCGAAGATATCGAGTCTGAGATCGACGAGGTCGAAGTCGATGACCAGGACTTGGATGCGGACCAGGATTTAGATGGCGACGACCAGGGCGAAAAAGACTTGGGCGCCGCGACCTCGGTCGTGTCGTGGTCGCAGCTTGTTGGGGAGTATTCGAAGGAGCTGAACAACGGCCAGGGTGGCTATCGAAACCTGGCGAAAGGGGCGCGCGCGCTGCTCGAAGAGTATCACACCCACTGCCAGCACCGAACGCTGAACTTGATCCTCGAGCTAGGCGGTACGGGCTTGCACTTTATCTCCGCGGAATCCCTCATATTGGATGTACTGCTGCACAAGGACAAGGAGGTAGGACTTCTAGGAGTCTTTTTGTTTTTCTCTGCTAAACAACCCCCTGAATTGAATACGAATAGTTTCAGTTTGTGTTTGTACTCCAGATGAAACAAGAACTCAGTCTAACTTGATGTTTCCCATTCGTAGTTCTTGTAGGTCCTTTTCGCATGATTTTTTAATATCGATAAAACTCTCCATCAACAGGGTACCAGTGCGGACAATGTGGGTTTTTCGAAGTTTGCGCAGATGCCGCAGACACTCCCGGCCATTCACGCACTCGAGAAGGTGCTCGGGCACATTCGCGACGCGGGGGGGCGCACGATGCGGCTGATTTTCTTCGACTGCTACGAGCAAATCTTCCACAAGCTCGCCGGCTCCGGCTCCGCGGAGTCGTTCTGGCTGTTGCGACAGGCGTTCTTCCTGCACTGCATGAACCACAGCAAGCTCGACGTGGCGCGGTTCAAGTCCTGGTATGACCAGGATTTCATTACCCACGTAAAGGAGTGGCGGCCGTCGTTTTTCCTCCTCTCCGACGAGTTTCTCACCGACGCCTTGGCCCGGGAAGAGGAGGAAGAGGAAGACTCGGAGGAAGAGGAGCTGAAAAAGGGAAACGAGCCGGAGATCGATGACAAGTTTGTCCAGCAGTACTGGGAACCGGTGCTGAAATCCTTGACGATTCAGTGCTTGCGGCACAAGCTCCCGGTCGCGCATCTCCACGGGCTGGAACACAAGGGCCACCGGATCATGTGCTTCACGCTCGGTTTGGAGAACAACTGCCGCTTACTGGCGGACTACATGGCAAGGATTTACGACAAGGATTACGACACTCACAACGAAAACAGGCAAGCGTCTGCGCTCGGCGCAAAGACCATGTCGGCGTCCAGCCCCATGGAGGTGGAGGACGTCGATGAGGTGAGCAGCAGCAGCGCGCTGGCCGAAAAGACGTTGTCCGGCACCAGCATTCTGGGGCCCAGCAGCCCGTTGCTGTTAGAAAACGTCCCGAAGTGTAGTTTACTGTACCCGGTAGAACACGAGGACGTCCAGGAAAGCGGTGAGAAGGTGGCGACCATCGTTTCGTGCATGAAGCAGCTGAGTATTCCGTTTTCCACCGCCGTGTTGCTGAACTGGATTCAGGAATACGTACAGAACGAGGACTATGCGCCGGAGGGAGAGTTCATGACGAGCTTGCTGTTTATCTTCAAGTCGTTCGTCTTGACAAACCTGTTCAAGGACGAACTTCCCCTGCTCCAACGGTGTTTCACCTCCTGGGAGCCGGATGAGGACGGCGAGGGGTTCCTGGACGACACACTGGAGACGATCGTGGGTAAATTCCAGGAATACAGTGCGGGGGTGATGCAGAGCTTTGTGCAAGTGAACAGCGGTTGCGACACGTTTGAGACGGACTCGGGCATCATGCAGGGCGTGAACATCGAGAAGCAGTGTGACTTTCAGGACTTCGTCGATGTACGCTTGTTGAGACATGTTGCGGGGTTCCTTTTGCAGCAGAAGGCAAGCGAAGTGGACGTGAAAGTGTTCGACATTGCGAAGGATCTGAAGAAGAAGCTGCAGGACATGTGGGAAAACTACGTTGTTGCATCTGGCGCCTGCCCTGCGAACTGCAAAGCTTTTTGGCCCATTGCTGTCGATTTGGAAGAATTTTCGGAGGCACCGCCAGAACTTCCCGCAGCACCAGGGATGCGATCCATGCCCGAGATTGCTGAAATCAAAAGTGACTTGCTGCAAGAGGTACTAGTGCTAAATATTACATTTTTTATTTTTGCTCACTTGAAAAATGACGACCACGACCTGTGTCGAAAATATATATCGAACTCCTTTGAACTGCCTCTCCGGTTTGCGTTGGCGTGTGCCCATCGCAGACAACATCAACATTGTGTCTTCACTATATTACGTCATCTCTCTAGGTTGTCTTCAGCAAAAGGGAGCTAAAGACCATGGATCCCAACGCCCCGAAAGACCTGGATGATGAGCCGAAACTGTTCGACGGGAGCGGGTGGAAGGTTGGCACCGCGGTCTCGTCCGTCGGCTTCGAGGAACACATGGAGGAAAACCGAGGGCAGAAGAAGGAGCGCGAGAGGAAGGCGGCGATCATCAAAAAGAAAGGGTTCCTGTCCAAGGCCGACCTGGAATTCTTCGCAAAGGGCGCCGCGCGATCACGGCAACTGGCGGTGCGGGCGATTTCGAACTATGCTAATTCGCTGACCGGATCGAAGGGACTACACAAGCCCATTCTAGTCAAGGACGAGAAAATGTTGCAGGACGAGAAAAAACTAGCAGCCGCGCAAGATAACAAAAGCAAAAAGCACATGGTACAGACCAGTGGCTGTTGCAATTTCTATTTCTATAATTTCTACGTATTTCTAATATATCTCTACGACCCCACATTGATATTATTGAAATCAAATTGATTACTGTACCATTATTCCGCAGATTGACCTCGCCTATCAATGTTGCGCTTTCGCAACTGGTTCGTTATAACGAAGTGGCACCAATAAAATAGAAGTTGATCCGCGCTCACAATCCATTCCTGAGGGTCGTGTCTGCATGTGGTGGTCATTCCAGCTTACAATTTGCTCCACTCACAACTATCTACAGGAACTTCTCAAGAAAAACGAGGAGAAAGCGATAGCGGAAGCCAAGAAGAAGGACGAGGAGCGTCTTGTCCAGTGGGAAAGGGACGCAGAGGGCTTGAACCCGAGCAGCACGGGCGTCACCGCGTTTCTCAAAGTACAGCAGCTCCTTCTGGAGATGGCGGCCGGGTACCCGCGGTACTCCGTGGTGGACGACTTTACCGGCTTCAAAGACGGGATTTCCAAGTTCTTCCAGACGAAAGAGGCCCGAACGAAGATTGCTGTCAAAATGCTGGGGCACATCCGCAAGTTTTTGAAGAAGGTCAACTTGAATACCGAATTGAAGTCTGGGGATGTGCTCACGCGTGCCGGAAGCAGTGCCAACGCGTTGTACAAGGCGGGATCAGCAGCATCATCAGCAGGGAGTTTGGACAAAACGCTCTCTGTCGCTGGAACGCTAAACACGTTCATGGTAAGTACTAGTACATGCTTTTTTAGATGCATAGAATAATATGGACGAAAGTTTGTTGCTTCATCGGTGTAGACATCATGAATCCACATAATGCAGTGCCCGCCTTATATGTAGCGCTACTTGCAGCTTATGCTGAACAAAAGAATGAAGATGAACCTTATGAAGATGAATATCCAAAAAGGAACTCTGGTTGTATCATTTCCAACAGACTCAAGACCTGGGCGAGAATCAGCAAGGGGTGAGCCCGCGCATGGCGCAGTTTGTCTGCTACATCTTCAACTTCTGCCACACCGTGTTCAAGGAGTACGGGCAGGACCTTGAGGGGAAGGGAATTCGGCTCCTCCAAGAGGTTCTCATCGCGCTGGGCTTCCCCGAGTCTGCGACCAAAGTTTTTCGGCAGTGGGCCGAGATGCAAGCAGGCGACGAAAGCAGCCCCAATGACTCGGTGGATCCAAAAAAGGATGCAAAAGACGACAAGAAGAGCAAGAAGGAGGACAAATTGCGGAAGACGAAATCCGAAATGCCGAAGCAGAAACTGACCAAGAAGGAGCTTAGTGTCGGCGGCAAAAGCAACAAGGAGGACAACATTGCCGACCTGAAGAAAACCAAGTCGTCGCTGTCCGTCACCTCGCGGCGGTCTGACAAGCTCGATGACTACTACGTCGACCCACGCCAGATCACGTCGGACGCGATCTCGGGCAAGGACCAAATCACCCCCTATGAGGGCCCGACGCTGATGGGCGGCGAGCAGGCGTTCCAGCTGTCCTTTAATGGCAGGTACATGGAGCGCAAAGTGGGTACCAGGAAAGACGAGCGGGTGTTGTTCAAGCCGGATGACTGGCAGAGCGATTTGCTAACGGTGGTCGACAACAATCAGTCCGCCCTGGTGGTGGCGCCTACCGCGAGTGGAAAAACGTTCATCTGTTACTACACGATGGAAAAGGTCTTGTCCACGGACCACGAAGGCATCGCGGTTTACGTCGCTCCGAGTAAAGCGTTGGTGAATCAGGTAAGTCTTCATCTTGATGTGCGGGATAATTCAACTGCTTCGCTTTTGCTCACGCGTTACTGTTGTGGCTCATCAACAGGCCAACACAAATTACTCAACGTCAAGAATCTTCAGCGAGGCTAATAAATATGTTGCACACGACACTGACACTTCACTTCCTATTCCTCCCGATCTCACGCACAGGTCTCTGCCGAGATTTTCGCCCGATTTTCGTCGAAAAACTACCCACCTAATGCAAAAAACGAGCTGTTGGGCGTCTTCTTGCGTGAGATGAACAGTGCTGGCGGTGTAGCAGAGCAAGGAAAGTGGGTGAATACGCAAGTGCTGGTTACCATTCCGCACATCCTGGAGACCATCCTGCTCAGTCCAGAAAAACACGAATGGGTGAGAAGCATTCTTCAGTTTTTTTCTTGCAAGTAGAAATTAGTTGCATCCTTCCAAAGCTATGTACCTCTCATAAAATTAAAAACCACTTGCAGTTGCTTTGTTTTTTGGCAACGCAAGGGAGATGATGAAGGAGGTCAGTGATCAATTATCCCAGGTCAAGCGCTTGCGATACATTGTCTTCGATGAAGTTCATTGTATCGGTGAGTCTGAGGGCGGTGCCCAATGGGAGCGGACGATGCAGCTGATTCCTTGTCCGTTTATCGCACTGTCCGCCACCGTGGCCAATCCGGAAAATTTCCACAACTGGCTCTCGCTGTTGCAGGAGAAAAAGTTCCCGCACAATCCGAAAGTGCACCTGATTAAGCACACCGAGCGATGGAATGACTTGTACAAGTTTGCCTTCATAGACGGAAGTCTGTACCCGCTCCACCCCTTCGCCTGCTTGAACGAGAGGACAGTCAGGACGCAGGGCGTCATTGCCGATTTCTCCATGACACCCTCGGAAACATCAACATTGGTGCGGACGTTCACCGACCTGTTTTCGGGGGACAAGGACCCCGCCATTCAGGCGGCGATTAAGAAGTTGAACCCGCGGGACTTCTTCCTGACCAACCGAATCATCACGAAAACGGACTTTAGAAAGTACGAAAAGCTCGTGTTGCAAACGTTGCTCGGCGGCACTGGCGCTCCGGAAACTTCCAGCGACCCGTTGGTCAGAACAAACACCCTGATGACGGGGTCGGAGACCATCACCAGCCCAGCGAATAGCTCCAAGGACAACTCGCCAACAACGATCCCAGAGGACGAAGAAGTGGAGGAGAATCTGGATGCCGGACAAAGAAAAATGGCCGTCATGGCGCAGAAGTTCGAGGCGGCGTCTATGAATTCCGGAGACGAGGGCTCAATAAAGGAGGGCAAGAAGATGCTGCTCGACAAGGACAAATTCAACATGTTGCTTACCGCTCTTCGAGTGCTCCCCAGGAAGAACCTCCCGGGGTTGCAGAACAATTTACCCAAGCTCGCCTTCAGCAACATGTCGACGCCCGGAGTGACCTCGAACACCCAGACCCCGGCGGACACAGCGACTCCCTCCGACAACAACGAACTACAGAAAGCGACCAGTGTGATCGCGGGGAAAACGCAGTCCGTACCGCTTGGTGGTGGGCCCGTAACCGAGGTGGTGCAGACCCAGCTGGAAAAGAGCATGAGCAAGACTCCCGGCGGTGGCAGCGCAGGCGGGTTCTTCCCACATTTGCAGTCCAGCACGGTGGATGTTTCCAAGATGGAGCTGCAAAAAACCGCATCGGGGGCAAAGATGTACCAGTTTTTGAGGGAGCTCGACCGGACCGAAAACTTGCCAACCATCATTTTCAACTTCAACCGCGTAGACCTGAAAAAGATGATGTCTGGGCTCTGCAAGCACATGCAGGACATGCAGTACGAGAAGTACCTCGGCACCGAGGACGCGCGCGCCGCGACGAAGCAGGAGAACGCGAAGCGTGAGGCCGAGTTCAACCGGAAGTTGAAGCTGTACGAGGCGCAGCTGAAGCTGAAAGCGAACGATGAGGACTTCGACGAGACGACCCTCGAGGAACCGGTGAAGTTGCCCAACGTGGAGGATGAGCTCGACCGCGAATTCTCCTTCCACAGCGAGAAAGCGTACGGGCAGTGGAAGGACAGTATCGACGAGGAGTTTAAAATGCTCCGGCTGAACAAGCGCATGGACAGGATGCTGATCGCAGCGCTGGAGCGCGGTATCGGCATGCACAACGAGTCCATGCCCACGAAGTACAGGCAGTTAGTGGAGGTTCTCTTCCGTCGAGGCTTTTTGAAAGTCGTGTTCGCCACCGGCACACTCGCGCTCGGAATCAACATGCCGTGCCGCTCGGTGGTGTTCACCGGTAACGACGTGGAGCTGAACGGTTTAATGTTCCGGCAGATGGCTGGGCGCGGGGGTCGTCGTGGCTTCGACCTTCTCGGGAACGTGATCTTTTTCGGCGTTCCCTTTGAAAAAATCGCACAGCTGGTAGCGGCGGATCTGCCCACGTTGTCCGGAGAAATGAACTTGTCCCCGACTACGTTGCTCCGGGTTCTGGTCCGGGAGCAGGGCCTGCAGGAGGTGAAGGAAAGCGGAAAGGTTGAGCTGAATGAAATGATACACAAGAAATGCCTGCAGCCATTGTTTGAGTGTCCGTTCTTCCAGGCCTCCATCTCCAGCGAAACGCTCGGAACGCAGTTGGCCTTGCACGCAAAATACTCGCTCGAGTTCTTGCACAAAGAAGGTACACGCTTGAACACTTCGAATTTTGTTTGTTGTAGTTGATGAAGATGCACCTATATTGATATTTCATCAATTTTTCATTTAGACGACGCTCTTGTTGTCTGTCTCTGTTGGTTCTTGACGTCACAGACGCTAAGCTGCAGAATCAGTCACCAAATCATCATCTTCAGGTCTGATTACACCGGACGGAGTGCCCTTTGGCCTCGCCGGCCTCGTAGCCTTTTCTTTCGAGTGTGAGCCGGCAAACCTGGTGCTGAATCGTTTGCTGCGGTCTAATGCGCTACATGCTTACTTGAAGAACGCAAAAAAGTCGGAGGTAAAGGACGACCGAAATACCTGGGTGTCCACGAAGCTGTGCGCTGTGCTCGCTCAGTTCTTCTTGCCAAAGAGGAACGCCGCGAGCATTGAGCAGGGCATGATGAAGCGAACGCAAACAATGTCTTCAAGAATCACAAGAAGAAAGCATTTGCCCAGCCCAGACTGCCCGTCATTACCACCACTACCAGAAAGCATCAGAAAGGAGATCCTCATTTACAATGAAGACATCTCGCACACCTACATGAACTACATCTGGTCCACCTGCGCAACGAAAAAGTATGAAACCCAGCCGGGGGACTTCACACTGCCGATGACAGGAGTCAAGTGCTTGTCCGAATACAAACCGGAATTCACAAAGGTACAGAAAATCTTAATGATCGACTTAAAGGTGCAAAGACCACGACTGTCGGAAAAAAGTTAATAAGTATCTAGTAAGATTAATAAGAAATTATCAGGGGAACGACAACGAGGTTGGTCGACACTTTGATTTTCCGAAATTTCTCCTAATCTATCAGAATAGTAGAATGCGAAAGAAAAATATTTTTTACATACTTATCAGGGCCTGATGAATCCGAAATCCACGTTTAGTCAGTGGCTCAAGCAGAGTCAGAGCAAGTTTAAAGCACGGAGCATATTCAGTGCCATGACGGGGCTTGGAGACCACTTTGAGAATTACCGGGACGCAATCGTGAACACGCGAAGCTCTGTCGCAAAGGTCGACATGAACTCGATACCAGTAATCGACTTGGAACACAGCAGAAATTCGTATACAGATTTGTTTTTCGATTTCGACGTATGAACTGTGCATTTTCCCATGTCCACCACCAAGAAACTTCTATTGCATGCATTACTTTTGTTGATGTTGAAACTACAGAGCACATGATGATCAAAGTTTTAGTTATTTTTGACTGCTTTCCCACATACAACCTCAACGAATTTGCATCCAGGTACTTGCTGGACTTTCTGGCTCACGGTCAGCTCCGCTTGCTTACAACCGACAATGGCTTGAATCAAACAGAAGCGTACGCAAGTTTGTCTTCGTTTCTGATGGCACTGCTGATGATCGATCACGCCATCGGGCAAATGGCTCCGCCGCTGAAAAAGTCCACCACTGGGAGTCTGACGGGCGACATTGTGGTGCTCAGCCTGAAGGACCTTATCGCAGACTTGAAAGCGCGGCTGTCAAAGGCATAAAGCTGCAGCGGACCACCACTCGCATCTTCGTCGGGGACACGCGCTGTTCATCTTCCTCAAGTCTTCAGGTTTGACAAAGCTCTAGTGGGTGACAGACAGCGAGGTGGTATTCCGGACAGGAGCAAGCTGTCTGACCACACCGAGTTTGGTTTTAAGTTTTCTAGATTGAAATTACACGTACACCGGCATGATGTGTTGCTTTACGCACACTTCTGTCTTTCTTGGTTGTTGAGTACTTTTTTCGTGACGCACTGAATCATGATATTTTGGTTGTACAACTAGTACTAAAGAGAAAGCGAACGACTACGACTCATTCTCATACGCGTGTAACCTCCGAAACAAGAAAGTCCTCTTGTTTCGACACACACATCGCGTATTTTCACAGAGTTTCGACCTGTTCTTTTCCACCCGCGACACATCGACATGAATTTGAATATGAATGAAACAAGACGACCACCTTCCATCTTATTGAGCATACCAGAACTCGCTACAGTATACTTGTTGTTTCCTCGCACTTGGGTTGCTCTTTTGCCCCCGCCCCAGCAACCGAAGCTGCGAACGATACACAGCAGGAGCTGTACCGGACACAAGCTCTGCACCGGGACGCATGCATATGCTCGAAGATGAACCATGCGTACTTTATTTCTCCGCGTGGTGCAATTATGAATGTGGATGCTGCATCGTACCCACGCGGTAATAAAGTGCAATGGGTTTGGGTGCAAGGAAATTTGAACGCGTCGCGTCCTTGAACGTTTTTCGCTTCATCTGTGAAGATGTTTAGAAAAAAGAAAGACTCTTGAATATGGTGGAGCATGATGAAAAACGAGACCAAACAACGCACCGTGTGGAGGAAAATAGTATAAATACGCCGTCGGTGCGTGGAGATCGATGAGCAAGCAGACGCCGTCAAAGTCTAATAAACGTACTGAAATACAACAAAAATGATTACAGCTACGTTGTATGTATAGTTTGACTTTGTAGGATTGATGTTTTGCCTTTCACTTCTTCGTGGTATAGGATGCATCTATCTACTCACTCAGCTTCATCAATACAGCCACAGCCACTGTAGTATTGGGTTGTCACGTTCTTACACCCGCTCAAAAACTTCGCATACACATGTGACTCACTCTTTCAAGAGCATTCTAAAACGTATAGATACGAATACCAGCACCTAGTACATCGAGCTTGACGAATGCACAACTACATTCCGCCGCATCTGCCACTGTTGCTGTTCACATGAAGTCTCCTCCTAGTTCATCTGGTGATGACAGACGAACAGGACATGGCTACTAATTATGATTGCCACCTATTTTTGCGTACTTCTTGAGTAGTGCAAGCTACTCGGGAATAGTTCCTTCTCGGCCCAACATTCATCTGGAGGAAACCACGTATTTTCTATGAAATGATAGAGTCGCGCGGTCTCACTCTCACCAACAAGGCAAAACGTTGCAGCACATTTGATTTTGATGTGTCGAAACTGACGAACATTTTGCTATTGCGCATGCACTGTGCCAGATGCAATCACCAATGAAACAAAGCCAAAGATGAAGATTCAGTAGCTGCAAAAACTCAAAACACGAAAAAACAAAAAGTGAAATTTATAAAAAAAGGACCTGGATGAAGAGGAAACACGAATAACGTTAACGACGTGCGCCTGCATTTGGTGGAACACCGCGACACATCTTCGGCATCGTTCGACGAAGATGATGGTGATGACTCGTGTTCGTTTTGAAATTCGCCAATGGGAATGCGGACACTAAAACTGTATCTTCCAATAAAGTGAGTCACCCTGTGTGCGGTTCCTATGGACTCTTCGAAATGCGTATGCGACCTTCCGAGTGACGACAAGGCGCACACGATTCTGTGAAGTCCCTGCTTTCTAAATTTATTTATTACGCTCGCCCACGAATGAAGATGAAGATCCTCGCTCGTAAAAAGCGGAGCGATGTTCACTACTTGACGGCCAAGATCATTCTTTGCTTAGAAAATAGCACAGCTGGGTCTATTAATCTTCTGATTATAATTGCGACTCGCATTGCGTACAAGTGGGCCGATAGTAGCGATAAGAGATCCTGTTTCTATTTGCGGCCTCGTTCGATAATTTCTGCATTCGACCGACTTATAGATCTAGAATGGAAGTGGAAATAAGACTACAAATACATCGTCGAGCCCTTGTTACCGACTCTTGCTAATGAATGTTGGAACAAAGGCGATGCTAGGTAGATCGCAAACCGACGAGTAGCGATATACTTGCGAACAATACCAAACGAAATCCTATGTATTCGTGATTGCGTTCAAGAGGATGTATGTAGGATTGCCACGACGACAAGGCAAACTTTTTTTGTCGACTATGCTCGATCATCGTAGTTCAAGTTCTCTTTGAGTAAGGGTTGTACTAATACTAAATGAGAATAACGGTCAACAAGATCATTTTTGCGATACCACCAAGCCGAAGAGAAATATATTAGCATTAGGGCTGCTGGAAAACTAACAGAACCGATTGAAATTTTGATCAACACCTGTGCTGCCTTACTCTCATTTATTACGACGAATCTTCATGATTGATCGCCTAGGCCTTAGTCTTAGTGGCATAGCTAGAAGATAACCACAAACATAGTCATTTTGTTCTCGTTGTAACAGATCGCGTTTTTCGCGTTCACTGGGGAAACGCGGTGGAGACTCCGCGCCCATTTCGCGAGCAAAACTACATAACTGAATACGAAGAAACCAAACTGAAAGTTTATCGAAAGCGCAACTACTACCGCTACCGATATATTCAAATTTTTGAGGGTCGAAAAAAACAGCTGCTCAGGATCCAAAAAAAAAGCTTCTCAGGGTTGCCGGAATCCCGACGCCAGGCTGCGGATCCGACCCTGCCGAAAGCCTGAAGACCGCACTGCTTCATCATCGTCGTAGCTAATAAGAGCACACGACTTCGTCTTCAACATCTTCGTGAGTTGTAATTTGCAACTAGCACATTAGCCACAAGCGCAGACATGCGTGATGAATGCAAGGGCTTTGAAGATTCCAGCGCGCTGCTTCTGGTGGTGCATCGCAAGTAGTTTGATTGTTTGCGATGCACCACCAGCGACAAGAGGGGCTGACCACAGCAGTTTGTGGCTCAACATAGCTGAACTATGTTGAGCAGCCGCAGTTTGCTGCGGTCAACCTCTTTTTTCTCTTTTGTGTTTTTGCATCGCACGCATGCGCTTGCCTTGGTGTTGAAGTTTTATCCAGAGCATTAGCGCTGTCTACCAGTAGCGTTGTTGCCTGCGCTACTAACTTGCAAGCCTTCCACCAAAGCCGCGAGGTCGGCGAGGTGCCCGATATCGTCCGCGGACACAGCTAGTCTCCCCTCTAGTATCAGCGTGATCAGTGCTTTCTCGTGGATGACCCACTCCGCGGGCTTCGCGGCTCCGAACCAACGCGCGGCGACGACACTGGTCGGCCGGGAGCCTAGTGCGTGTTTACTTTTGCAGTTCGTTGTAGAAGAAGACGCTGGGCCGCCCTGTGGTGCTTCTTGTGTTGCTCGCCGGACCTAGTGTCGCGGGGCCAGCGGCTTCCCTTGCTGGGGAGATGCGCCGGATTCATTTTCGCCCGACAAAGTCCAGGGCGGGGGGCCCGCAAAGGCTGGAGAGGTGTCGCGTTGGCTGCTAGCTTAGTTCATCTGGTAGCGACCCATCACCCCGGCCGAAACAATCGCGAGCCCGAAGGAACCGACAGAAAAAAGTGCAGCGCCATCATGTTTGTGCGTGATTCTGATGATATATATACGCATCATCGCCGTCATATTTGTGCACGAATCTGATGAGTATACTCGCAAGATAGTAAGTATATTAATATACTCCGGCCGTCTGACCAGGCTCGGGCCCGAGCCTCGCCACTTTTCTTGAATTTATTCACTTTTTGTTGGTTTTTTTGTCGACTTCTGGCCCGGTAGTAAAATCGCCAAAATCGTCCACACCATGCGGGTAATCTTTCTACTCCCGACATTTTCAACGAGTGCGAATATTACAAAAATACTCAAAAAGTAATTAACTTAGTGCATTTGTTTCCAAGATAATAAATATACTCGCAAGGAGTATTTTTTTGATCACGAAAGCGATCACTTTTTGCCATGGTTTTGGTCGGTAGTAGAAAGAGAACCACCATGGTGCTGCTGATTTTTGCGAATTTGCTACCGATTCAGAAAGCCAAGAGAAATACTTCAGAAATTACAACAAATGCCGAAATTTTTGGAAATAATAAAGATGTATTATTTTTGAATATTTTCCTTTATGGCGCGCGTCGGTAGTAGAAACATAACCCGCATGGTGTTGGCGATTTTGGCGATTTTACTACCGAGCCCAAAACCACAGCCAAGGTGTGTGACCTTGGTGGTTTTTTGTTCAAAACTGTCGCGAGGCTCGTGCACGAGCCTCGCACGAGCCTCGCGAAATATTTCGTAATATTTCTGTCGAATTTAATTCGACCACTTTGCGAGCTCGGGCGAGAGCTTTGTCGGATGTGATGGATTACTTTTCGAGTTCGGGCGAGAGCTTTGCCGGGTATTATTCGACTACTTTTCGAGTTCGGACGGGAGCCAAAAGGACATACGTCGCGAAGCGGTTTGCTTACTTTTTAAGCCTCGGCGAGAGCCGGAGCAAGCAAGCCCCGGCCGAATAGCCGGCCCAAAAGGTCGGCCCGGAAGCGCCTCTACGTCCGTGGCGACGCGGCCGGCCGATGAAGAAATGTATGAGGGGGCCGGCGTGCCGCGGGGGGGTTGGGTCCCGTCCCCACCCGGGCCGCCACGCCATCTGTCAGTCCTCCTGCTCGTCCTAATCTTCTTGCCCAGGGCCAGAAGACCAGGGCCGCGACGAGCAAAAACTTGTGCCACGGATGGCACTACTAGTGTAGAAGCCCCGTGGCCATGCAACAAAATAGAAATAGAGCTGTGTTGTTCTTCAGCGCCTTCGTCCGCGAAGCTTTTCCGGTTTTCAGCTCGACGGCTTCGCTGTGGTCGGAAAGCTGGCGCAGCTCGATCTTCCGGGTCAGCCGCTTCCCAGCGGCGTCGTAGTCGTACCCTCCGCGGAGGCTGGCCCGTGCCGTCCTTCCTCCACAAAATCCCCTCCGTCTCTTCCGCAACTCCCGCAGTTTTTTTTCTTTGTTTGGGTGTGATATGCTGCGAAAAGGCTTCTGCATGATGGCGCACACTGCTGCGACTAGTACGGCTTTGTGCTACCAGCGCAAGCACTAGTAGCAGCAGTGTGCACCATGACGAGAGCTCTTATTTTTTGCAGATCATGCTATTGCTCAGCCTGTATCCTCTGAAAAATCGCCCCCAAATGCCCCCAAGTCCCGCTTTTTTTTTTAGGTTGTACTACTACTAGCTATTCACGACGAGACGAAGCAGTGCGGTCAGGCTTTCGGCAGGGTCGGATCCGCAGCCTGACGTCAGGACTCCGGCAACCCTGAGAGGCTTTTTTTTCCGATCCTCAGAAGCTCTTTTTTTCGACCCTCAAAAATTGCAATATTCCGGTAGCGGTAGTAGTTGCGCTTTCGATAAAGTTGTCCAGCAGCAGGGTTAACCTCGGAGAAGCAAAGCCGGCGTGGCTTCATCGCAGGCGACATCGATCCTGCTACCATACCAAAGGTGTCGTCGACGTGATTGATGTACGTGGTAGGATCACCAGCTGCAAAGAACAATAGAAGCACGCTCGTAGGCGGAGCCGCGTGCAGAAATTGATCGTCTTTGAAAAAAGCAAAAAGCAACGACCAGAACTACCTCGTCTCTCACCAGGGAGCTACCTTTGGCAGATGCATTTTTTGTGAAAGACCCACCTATAAAAGATCACGACAACAGGCCGAAAGAGACAGCAGAAAGTTTAGCGCGCTGGATATTGTGAATGTGAGAATATTTTTCGTACATGTGGTCATTTGGCTAGAGACGTTTTTAGAAATTCACAGGAATTTTCAGAATGTCAGTATCACGAGAATATTGAAAAAGTAGAGTAAGATACGCATATTTCTGCTTATAGTGACACACCGCAACTATTTTTGTTTCTACGCTCGCACGTCAAGACATGATAAATATCGTGTTGACAACAACACCAGCAAGCAGTGAAGACTTCATCTGGGCGGGGCTGCTTGTCTCATCAAAGGTCAAGCAGTCTCTTCTTGGAGCCTGTCAGTGGTCTCTTCAGCACGGCCTTCTGGCGTTTCTGTCGTGATCGACCACGAAGATACACACTTACTCCATTCCTTCATTCCTGTGAAAGGCATTTCCCGTGCGTGAAAACAAGCGGACGGGCATCTTGAAGATGATAAAAAAGATCCCCGTGGACAAAAATATCGTGAAATAAGCCAGCCACCAAAATGTCGCAGTGCTCTTTCATCCTACATCTCTAGGAGATTATGGCTTTACGCCCTATACGCCACGCGGCTCATCCTGCGGTTCTGGTTGTCCTCTTCGATGGGGTCATATACCGCTAAGCCGGCAGTTTTTGCTTCTTGTCACTCAAATTCGAATAGATGATTTTTATCATTTTCGTAGAAGAGAAAAGTGCCACCGGGCCGCTATTTTTTCACTACCGCATCAAGTGCACGCTTCAAGGCAGTCAACAAGTGCGACCATTTCTCGATGGGGTGTCGATCACCACAATCCAAATGTACTGAAAATCATGACGTCCTCCAGTGAGGACCGAATAAAAGACGCGGGAAATACCAAAGACTTCTGCGGTCGTTGTACCTCTACAAGTGCTTCTGGTGAGGGGGCTGCCAGCACCTCTCCGCGTCGCTGCGGTTTCAGGCGAGAGGAAATAGAACAAGGTCACGATTTTTCCCGAGCCACGACCGCCGCAAGTAGTACTACCTCCACCCCGCGACCACCGTCCTCCGAGCCGAGTTCCTTCAAGGCACACGAGGATCACGCTCGTACCTGCTCAGCAGAGGTAGAGGTTTCGTCGTTGTCGGAAAACGCAAAAAAGAGCAGCAACGTAGTACTAGCTCCTGAGGAGCAAGGCGATTACGTGAACTCAAACCACCAGAACCGGGACGACAAAACCAAGTCCACAGGCATGATGGACGGAAATGCCGGGGACGAGTTTGATGGCCTGTTCGATAACCTGGACATGTCTGAGCTTGAAGATGGGGGCGTCGACAAAAAACTGAAGAACGACAACAGTGAGCAGCTGCGGCCAGGGAAAAAAGTTGTTCAGAATCCGGCACTGCAACAAGCTAGCTTAGTTCAAGGAGGAGGAGCTGCATCTTCATCGTCTACTGCAACGATCGGACGCCCTTTGCCTGGATCGACCGCAGCCGTCGTGAACGTGGCGGCAGCTGCTCCACTTGGTGTTGGTTCTTCCACAGGAGTCCTTGGGCAACAAGTTGTACTCTCGGCAAACGCAAAGCGCCCCGGAACCACGAGTGCGACTACTTTTGTTCCGCCCCAGCGCGGTGCGGGGGTTGCTGTGCCTGTCGCAAACCCGCTTCCTGCGCACCTGGTGCAGCATCCTCAACTGGCAGTACCCGCCGGTGCTCGTCAACCAGTCCCGACTATGCAGATGAAGATGGGTTTCGGAATGCAGCAGCCTTTCGCTGCCAATCCAGGAACGGGAGCTTTCGCCGGAAGCGGTGCGCTTGGCGCAGGAGGGCCCGCTGCTGTGCCAGGTGCTGTCCTGACTAGTCAAGGTGCTCTACTAGTACCGCCAGCGTCAGTAGTTGCGGGAGTTGGTGCCGCAGCCAGCTCGTCGAAGGTCCCGGCTGTTCTCGGAGTTGGAGGGGCTGTACCGTCCACCTCTCTGTCTAACGGTCAGGGTGGCATGGAAGATTTGCATCGCGAAGACCCACAAGAACCCTTGCATCAGTGGCGCCCCGTCTTTCGCGACGACATCGCTATTTCGACAGGACAGTTCATCGTGCGGAGTCAGAAGGTGCGCACAAAGGAAGACCTCTCGACAAACACGCAACAGAAGATCGCAAACGAAAAGGCTGAATTCAGAGCAAATGCAGTTGACGATGGCGGAAACGTCAAGATGCAAGACGCGGGAACGGGAGCGGTTGCGCCCAATGCAGCGACTGAAGAACACGAGGTGGACCACTGCGGAGCTCCTTGGTACCTCTCGCGACTGGCGAACTGGCGCATAGTGCAAAAAATCCACGCGAGCAGCAAGGTGGGAGCAAGTACAATCGCAAAGATGGAGATTCATGCGAAAATGAAACCGGAGCTGGAGAAAAAGCCCGAGGAAAACCTGCATTTCCCGGACGCCCACGCCGAGAGCGAAGAGATTCGTGAATCGTCGTATTTGACCGCTTTGCCTGTGTTTCACACGAACCTGACCCAGGAAAATTGCCGGAAGACTGCTTTCGAGGCCGAGGTAGAAGACCACCCCAATTACCAGTGGGAGCAGCGGCAACTGGAACTGGTGAATGGCGTCCAGACTTTGCAGTGGCAGATGCAAGAGGCGCAGCGACGAGCGCTCCTTGCGCAACAGGAGGCGAATCGCAAAAAGCAGCAGCTGGTCGCCATGAACCCGTCTCTCGGACCTGTATTGTTTCCGGGGGTCCTCGCGAAAGGGGCTAATTCAAGTTCTGCTCCACCAAAAGGTAAAGGAGCGCAGCAGCTTCCAGGAGCCTACACGGGAGCGGGACTACAACTCGCGGCACCAGGTGCTCCGCTCCCGATGATGCAGGCACAGACAGTGCCGGTTAATTCCTTCGGATTTGGTCCACAACTGCTCCAGCAAGCGTCCGCTGTTGCGCAATCAGGAGCTGCCTACCCAGCAGGCTACAGCGCTGCTTTCCAAAGCACGACCCAACCTCGTCTTGCTGCTGCCGCGTTAAAGCGTTCCGCCGTGCCGCTAGCAACGGGAAGCACTGCCTCATCAGCGTCTGCGGCCCAACAGCCCGCACTCAAGAGGCCACGAATCTCAATGGAGTCCGTACAGGGCGCCGGAGGACAGGAACAACTGCAACAGAACGCTGGAACAACGGGGACCGGCAAGAAGGCCCGTCCGACGCTGCGCATCAGGCCAAAGAAGAGCGTCGAACCCGAAGAGAAAAAATCGCTCTTCGCAGCGACAGCTGCGGCCGGAGCGACCACCAGCAAACCTCCGGCTCCGAGCGGAGCATCTTCCTCAGGCGCAGCGGGAGGAGCACCTTCAGCGAGTGTTCTTCCTGGTGGTGCGACGCAGCTGCAACCACCAGTGGGATCCAATGCGGCGTTTCCAAAAATGCCTCCGATGAAGTCTCAGATTGCGATCCCTCAGACCAGAGAGCTGTATAACTATCCCCCGGTCGTGCAAAAGTCCCGTAGTTCGCTCAGGAGCCGCATCAATTTTGTATGACAGCAGACGGCCGCGGCTCGCGGCTTCAACGCGTTTTTTTGTTCTTGTGCAGCGAGAGAACCTCCAACTGGAAAAGCATACAATTTCAATTACAACAACTAAATCATATCTAATGTATGAGTTAATGATTGCATATGCATGCACATGATTGATCGTACGAAAGCCAGGGCCAGGGCAAATTCTTGAAATGCGTCTCTATGCAACTACAGCGACACGCTTGCAATTTCATAACAAGTCCGGGCATTACAAAGTGACAATTTTACGCACGATGAACGAGACCGCCAAGCTCCTCCGCTCGGAGCATGACATCAATCTCACGCAAATACCACCGCCCAAACCTGACGAGAAGGTCGTGGCCACTATGCCTGCAACGAGGCACAGACTTGTGCTGCAACAGCAACAGGAGTTGCTGCAGCAGGCGGCCGAAATAAAGGGAGGGAAAAAGTTACCCAAGACCTCTTCGCTCCCCTCCCTGCAGCGAATGGGGTCTTCCTCGCAGAACCTGAGCACACTCGGGGAGGCTGCCGGAGGTGCGAACAATGCGGGAACGAACAATGTCCCCTCCGACGACGAGGAGCGCGGCAGCAGCGTGGTATCCGCGGGAGGCAAATTAGAGAAGGCAGCTGCGGCGTCCTCGGTGAATGGTGTCGGGGGAGCGTCCTCGGCCGTGACCAGTGCTGCCGGCGGGAACAAGCCGCTGTCTTCGTCGCGGTCAGACATCGGCGGCGCAGCGTCCTCCATGGTTTCCTCACAAACTGGCGCGAACAAGCGGGGGAAGAAAAAAGGCAAAAAGCTGGGCGCAAACGGATCGCAGATCGGGCAATACGTACTTTATTTTGGCTTGTGCAGATGATTCGCGATCGCGCGAGCCAGCGACTCAGTTTATTCTGATTGTCTGAGGAGCACTGCGAGTCGGATGAACTGATCTATCTTCAACTGACGCCCTCACTACAGACACGAAATTCGTAGCTCGCTGCACCACAACTTCTTTATTTCTTCCGGTAATGAAACAAACTGAAAAGCAATAATCTACCTCCAGAATAAAAATCACAGGACATGTACTACCTCCGGGAAGCGGATAACGATGAGATACGACAAGCGTGCTACGAGTGCCACATGACGAAGCCAACTTTCTCGGAGAAAAATGAAGCTGCCTGGGTACTGCTGGAAGTTGAGATGAAGAAAAAATGCATCGCAAGAGCCTTGCTGTTCTTGCTGCTGTTACCTAGATAGGATGAAATTACGTAACGTCCTCTGGCGCATCTTGACGTCTATTCTTCATGCATGAAAACGAAATAGGAAAAGAATAAGAAATGATCCACTCTATCTAGAGGGACAAACAAAAGGCATAGTGGTGTTGTGCCTAGCTGTAGCTGTACTGGCGCACAAAATTTCAGGTGAAAAGGCGAATATTTGAGGATCGGCAATGGTCGTGCAAAAGTTGGGTGTTGTTAGACCGAACCAACGAGGTTCGGGCGGCGATGACGTGCCGTGTCAACCACTGCCGACCGCTCACCGAGGAGGAGCGAGACAATTTGCCTCTAGTGGCGCGGGGAAACAAATGGGAAACCGAAACAAACCCGTTCTACTGGATCCAGATCATGAACATGAGTGCGCTCGTGGAAGGCCAGGGAGATGGCAATCGAATGTACAAAGTCATGGAAAATCTGTGGCGAAGAGAAGGTAAGTCTAAGTAGCTGCAGCATAAATAGGTTCTCCCAACAACTCATCCTTGTTGTCCCGCACTGAGGTAGACTTACTTAAGAGCTACCCATTGCTCGAACTACACATGTAGTGGTCAATTGTCATGTTGATGCGTTCGGGCAAAACAAGGCTGGTCACAGTGGTCCGAGCAGTACATACAAAAGTCAGTTTTACCTAGTAAAAACTTGGAACTAGTTGTTTGTGCGCAATTTTCCTCAGGCTTCAAGATCGTTACACTGTATCCTGCCGATAACGATGCCGCGCCGAAGTATTGGGGCAACTTGGGCTTCAAGGAGTACAAGGGTCACCTGACCATGCTACCCATGCGGGCGAAGGAGGGACCCCACGCCGATCTTGTCGCCGAAATGGACGTCGGAACTGGACAAATACTCCCCCTCTGGGAAAAGGACCTGCAGAAACGCACCATGGCCCGGCGCGGCAACGTCAACCGCTCACTTTTTGACGGCCGAGCCGGGTACTGATTTATTCTAGGGGGTGTTGGCAACCTCCGCGACGTCCTCATCCTGCTCTGCAGCAATACGATAGGGACAGGAGCCTCGATCCGGTTCCGGAGGAGAACCGCGACACCTACTCTTCCTTTCATTTTTTTCTTTTTGGGTCGGCGCAGAAAGACATACAGCCGTGCCTTCTCTATAAATCATAAGCCCCCCTCGCGTCATGCCCTACCTTGCATCAGCTTCAGCTCCCCCTTTACCATTGAAGCGGTAGAATGGTGACTCACGCCCCCAGTGTCGGTACAAAAATCTTCTCGCTCAGTAACAGTAGGGTGCGATCGGGATCATGAGCGAACAAGTAGAAGTACTAGATTACTCTTATCACTCAGCGACAGCGACCTTTTTCGTTTTTCCACAGGTATTTGTCCTCATCTTGTTTTGCTTGTGACGATGAGCAAATACACAAGAATGAAACGCAAAGTACCAGGATTAACACATATCATGCAGAACAATGTAAGCGACCGAGACAATGTTGCCTATTACTATTTTTAGTAGGCGCATGTAAATTATCGTGGCCACGAGCGCCATCGAAAATAAGAAATACTGTTTTGTGTTCACCGCATTTTATGTGCGCAGAAACCTGTAGGACGAGTATCTGCGTTAGTACTCACATTCAAAATTCACAAGTGGATGAAAAATATATGTAGTGAACTTGTATGTAGTGTCCTTCTGAAAGACGAGCGAGTGATACTAGCGAAGTGATATTATTTAAAAGCGAGGGATAAGTATGGGGCCGCTGCTCCTTTCTTTCTCTGTGTCGGTGTCACCTGGTTTATTCACGTCAAAGTAAAATGTAGCAATATCATTCCTTCGAATACAAACCTACGTGGTCGCCTTTATTGCAGTGATCAATCGTTTTAAGTTTCACGGGCTCTACTTGTTCCCACACATCATTTGACTCAATCCAGGACTTCCCATTGCAGCCCCCGAAAGGCTAGCGCGAGGACTTAAACTTCATCTTTATTTTAATTAGCATCATACTCACATTGGCTCAGCTCCCGCCGTGGTGCGTGCTTGTTGGGATTACGTTGCTTTCTACTTGTTCCCTCCAACGCATTTCTTTTTGCTCCCTCCCAACATTTTATACGCAGATTCATTACTGGAGGTGATTCTTTTTACGCTAACAATCAACATCTTTTTACGAGACGGCTTTCGCCGCCACTTCGGCGATCTTGATTAGCCGAGCTCTATTCTGCGTCTGCCGGAGGAGTTGCATTTGTATTGCATCCACCGCTTATTTTGCTTCGTATAGAAGCTACCAGAAGAGACGAAAACGAAAACAACCTACAGTGTTGTTTTCTACAGAAAAAAAAGTAGATTCGTAGTGTTTCTTTCTTGATCTTTGCGCTGATATATTTAAATCACAGTGTAGAGGTAGACCCCACAGTTGGGTACATCATCATCATCATCGCACTAATACTGCTGAGAGGACCAACATCGGGATGAAGAAGGTTCTGTGGTATTTTGGTCTGTTCTGCCACCTGCGCGGTGCGGGAGCGCAGGACGCTCCGCCGCCGCCGCCCCCACCTGACGCTGCGGAGGACGCACCGCCACCGCCCCCACCACCACCGCCGGAGGAGCCGCCGGCGGAACCGGAGCCTGAAACCACCACGACAACGCCGCCTCCGCCACCCCCACCACCGCCGACCACCACTCCGGCGCCTGTGGTTGTGGAAACGCCCCCGCCTCCGCCGCCAGTCCAGCAACCGCAAGTCCCCGCCAAGCCGGTCAAGGGAGCAATCACGCCGCAAGATCGTATTGCGATAATTGTGATGATGTTGAGGTTGCAAAACAAGCACACTGTTTGTCATCGTCTCCTCCAAATGTTATGTTGATGTAGAAAATCCAAATGGAACAACAACAAATTAAATCGAACGTCTTTAGAAGTCCTACATTCAGTACCTCGTCATGATCCTGGTGCAGCAGGAATAAAAATAAAAATCATCAAAACAGGTGTCGGGTTGATCGTCTTTGATTGGGACGACCGCACGATTAAGAAGGACGGTCTACTGTTCCAGCAGGAGTTATCCTGTGCAAAAGTATCGCACTCGTACTAATTGCGTTTATGCATTACAAATCTTTTTGCTCAGGCAAATCCGCATTACAACAAATTCAATTTGTAATACTAAGTCAGTTTGTAATGCAACTAGCCTTATCCCGCTTCCCGTGTTCAGTAACCTGCAGACTTAATAGTATTCCGCTAGATGAATAGTAGCGCTCAGCGTCTCTCTGTGGGGAATCGTTGTCGGCGCTTCAGCACAGGCAGGCCCATCTGCCGGCGATTTTCAAAGCGCCAGAACGGCTTTGGCACGATCCGGCGCCGGCCGGCGCGGCGGGCAGGTTGCCCGCTGCCGTCATTTTGCATGCTGGCGCCGGCGGGGCCGCGATCTGGCGGCGGGGGGCGGGCATGGTCGGGCACCGGCCTGGCCAGGGCCCGACACCGGCGTGGCCAGGGTCCGGCACCGGCTTGGGCATGATCGGGCACCGGCACGGCCATGCCCACGACCTGGCACCGGCGTGGCCACGACCTGGAACCGCCTTGGCCATGATTTGGCTGGCACCGGCTTGGCCGCGGCCTGGCACTTGCAGGCATGGCCATGATTCCGCACCGGTTTGGCTATGCTCTGGCACAGGCAGGCAGGCAGGCTTGGCCATGATTCATCTGGCGCCGGCGGGCGCGGCTAGGCCATGATCTGGCCCCGGCTTGGCCATGACTTGGCGCCGGCTTCGGCTTGGCCACGACCCGGAGCCGACTTGGCTTTGCCACCCATGAATTGGAACCGGCTTGGCCATGGCCTGAGGAAGCGCCGGCCGTGCCGTGATCTGGCACCGGCCGGCCTGGCCACGACCTGGCACCGGCCGGCCTTGCCACGACCTGGCACCGGCAGGCTTGGCCATGGTGTGGCACCGGCCTGGCCATGACCTGGCACGGGCCTGGCCATGATCTGGCACCGGCTTGGCCATGATCTGGCACCGGCTTTGCCCTGATCTGGCGTCGGCCTCGCCGCGACCTGGCACCGGGCGGCTTGGCCATGATCTGGCGCCGGGTTGGCCATGATCTGGCCCCGGCTCGGCAGGCTTTGGCCATGATGTGGCACCGGGCGGCTTGGCCACGACCTGGAACCGTCTTGGCCGTGATCTGGCTCCGGCTTGGCTCTGATCTTTCTCATCAGGCGCTGGCTTGGCCATGATCTCTCTGGCGCCGGCTTGGCCACGACCTGGCACCGGCTTGGCCACGATCTGGCACCGGCTTGGGCATGATCTGGCACCGGCTCGCCCACGACCTGGCACCGGCCCGACAGGCTTTGGCCATGATCTGGCACCGGCTTGGCCTCGACCTGGCACCGGCCCGGCCCTGATCTGGCACCGGCTTGGCAGGTTCTGGCCATGATCTGGCACCGGCTTGGCCATGATCTGGCACCGGCTTGGCCATGATCTGGCACCGGCTTGGCCATGCTCTGGCATCGGCGGGCTTGGCCACGACCTGGCACCGGCTTGGCCATGATGTGGCACCGGCTGGCAGGCTTGGCCATGATCTGGCACCGGCGGGCCTTGCGGGCTTTGTTCGGCCGTGATCTGGCACCGGCCTGGCCGCGACCTGGCGCCGGTTTGGCCCTGTTTCATTCTTTGGCATCGGGTTGGCCATGATCTGGCACCGGCCTGGCGGGCTTCCTCTGGCCACGAGCTGGCGCCGGCTCGTGCTTCGCGGTTTCGTCTCGCACGTTGCTGCCCCGCCTCGAGGCTGCGTTGATTCGGGTCTTCGCTGCTTCGGGGCTTCGCTGCTTCGGGGCTTCGCTGCTTCGGGGCTCCGCTGCTTCGGGGCTCCGCTGCTTCGGGGCTCCGCTGCTTCGGGGCCTCGAGGCTTCGCTGCTTCGAGGCTTCGCTGCTTCGAGGCTTCGCTGCTTCGAGGCTTCGCCGCTTCGAGGCTTCGCCGCTTCGAGGCTTCGCCGTTTCGAGGCTTCGGGGCTTCGCTGCTTCGAGGCTTCGCTGCTTCGAGGCTTCGAGGCTCTGCTGCTTCGAGGCTTCGCTGCGTCGAGGCTTCGCTGCTTCGAAGCTTCGAGGCTTCGCCGCCTCGAGGCTCCGCTGCTTCGGGGCTTCGCTGCTCCGTGGGTTCGCTGCTTCGAGGGTTCGCCGCTTCGGGGCTTCGCTGCTTCGGGGCTTCGCTGCTTCGGGGGGCTTCGCTGCTTCGGGGCTTCGCTGCTTTGGGGCTTCGGGGTTTCGCTGCTTGTTCGAGGCTTCGCTGCTTGTTCGAGGCTTCGCTGCTTGGTCGAGGCTTGGCTGCTTGTTTGAGGCTTCGCTGGCTGCTTGTTCGAGGCTTCGGGGCTTCGCTGTTTCGAGGCTTCGCTGCTTCGAGGCTGCGCTGTTTCGAGGCTTCGGGGCTTCGGGGCTTCGCCGCTTCGGGGCCTCGCTGCTTCGAGGCTTCGCCGCTTCGAGGCTTCGCTGCTTCGAGGCTTCGCCGCTTAGAGGCTTCGCAGCGTCGGGGCTTCGCAGCGTCGAGGCTTCGCAGCGTCGAGGCTTCGCCGCTTCGAGGCTTCGCAGCGTCGAGGCTTCGCTGCTTCCTTCGGCGTTTCGAGGCCTCATCGTTTGGAGGTTTCGCCGCTTAGAGGCTTGGGCACTTTGACTGCATTTCGTTGTTGTTCTTTTTCGTTTCTATTCTTTGTTTTCGTTTTTTGTTTTCATTCTTTGTTTTCATTCTTTGTTTTCATTCTTTGTTTTCATTCTTTGTTTTTCATTCTTTGTTTTCATTCTTTGTTTTCATTCTTTGTTTTCGTTTTTCGTTTCTATTCTTTGTTTTCGTTTTTCGTTTCCATTCTTTGTTTTCGTTTTTCCTTTCCATTCTTCGTTTCTATTGTTTGTTTTTATTGCGGGATACTATTAAGTAATGGGTTTTCTGACTTATAACTAGTCATGGTAGAGATTTATACTAGTGCGATACTTTTGCAATGCATAGGAGTGCATCAGCTGCAACAGCGAGGGGATCAAAAACATGATTACGACGGAAAAGTTCGAGGTGCACCGAAATTTCGGGATCATCAACCACCGAACCTGGACCTGCGGACACTACATCGGCGAGGTCTGGTGGCAAAGATTCAAGGCGGGCCAAAGCACGGTGAGACGAAGTCTATTTTGAACATTTTCTTTTCGCCTCTTCTCCTGCTTTTGTACGGCAGGCGCAGGGGGCGTTCGCTCTTTGAAACTACAGCTCTGCGATACTGTAGTCGTACGACGATGAGAATGATGGCGCTCCTGCTAAGCAAGGAGATGAAACTCTGTAGTGATAATTCTCGCTGAAATTGTTCTTGAAAACCTCATCAAACAGACCGAGTGCCAAACGGCGATGCAAACGTGGCAGTCCCTGGGTGGCGACATCAATCGCTGGGCGCATGACGGAGGCGCCCCAACTCGTACTTATTTTTACAATTTCATCGTGATAGCTTTTGACTCTTGATGCTAGCTTAGAAATAGAATCGATAGATTTTTGATTTGATTTGATTTGCACACTTACAGTCTGTTTA